TGTAGTATGTAACCAATCTTAGTTTTCCTGTGTTGTCTTTTTGTTATAACTGTGCTCTAATCGCATAGTCTGATACGTCTATATTGAGATAACTCTCTTTGTTTAGGTTGAAGTGTATTTATATGTCTCCTTAACTAAACTTTTCCTTAAGTTCTTTGAATACTTGTTTTTTGTTAGTTCCCCAAATAAACTCTTTTACTTTCCTAAATAGGTCCATCAGGGGTTTTACTGTTACTAAGAATTTGTATATGTATTATTAATAATAATTTACTAGTCCGTGGAACTGTTATACTTCTTTGACTATTGTCGGCGTGGGCCAATCGATAATGGCTTTGATCTTATCTAAGTCCATCTGGATTCCTTCTATTAATACAATATATCCTAGGAACTTGACTGATTATTTATAGAATTCACACTTTGATACTTTGAGGTAAAGCTCGTACTCTTCAAGTTTCTTAAGTACTTATCTGACTTTTTCCGTATGATCTTCTTAGGTTCCTTTGGTAAATATTAGGACGTCGTCCAGGTACACTACCACAAATATATCCAAATATTTATATAGCACGTTGTTGATAAGTGCCTAGAATGTTACTGGTGCGTTGGTTAATCCGAAAGGTATAACCAAGAATTTATATAATCCAAATTATGTCCTAAATACTGTTTTCTATTCTTTGTCTTCTTTTATTTATATCCGGTAGTAGGCTTTTTATATATCCAATGCCATAAAGTATGTTGTTCCTCTAAATCTGTCTTATATCTCATCAATGAGTGGCAATGGGTATTAGTTCTTAATCATTATATTGTTAAGTTATTGGTAATCCACACATAATTGTAGACTTCTATCTTTCTTTGATACAAAGATGATTAGGTATCCTGCTAGTGATTATGATTGTCGTATATATCCTTTTGCTAAGTTGTCGTTAATATATTTTCATAATGCTTCAAGTTCTATCTTAATCAACCTATATGTGGGTTTATATACAGACGTCTTCTCTTCCACTAGGGGTATCTTATGATCCCATGCCTGATATTCCGGCAAGCTTTCTGATGGTTCTTATTCTTTAAATACCTCGATTAGGTTATAATACTCCTTTAGTATCTGTTATTGTAGTTTGTCTATTTCAGTAGCTTCCTCCATTTGGTGAATCGTTTCCTGCTTCTTTGTTGATTAATCGTTTACAGTTCCTGTCATTCCCATTTCGACCTAGGGTATCTTGCCTAGTATCTAACCTCGATCCCTTCTTTTAGTACAGGTGGCCGCAAGGGTATCAGTCTTCTGGTTAGAGTGGTGGTTTCCACCATCTAGTCACAATATGCTGTCTCTCTAGTTAATAGTCGGGTTGTGTTTTGCTAATCAAGGGTGTCCCAAGACCATGTTGTAACTCCTTAGGCTTATCACGTCAAAACATTCTGTTCCCTTATACCGTCCTTTGACGTATACCTTCATACCTCTGGTTTCCTTGTTGATTCTTTGGTTCTAGTCTTTATTAAGTCCTCCTAGTTTGTATGGTTCCTTTTTTATTTAGGTATAAATCCCTGACTACTTCACAAATTCTAGATCTATGAAGTTCCTAGTAGCTTCTAAATTAATTAGTGCTCGCGCGTTTAGCCCTACTAATTGAACTACTATCACTAAGTGATTCTTTCCTCTTATTATAGCTAGACTTCTGCCTATTTTAAGTCCTATAGACTGTCGAAATCGTCCGTTTCCTATCATCTTGGTTTACTGATCATGAGTTCTATCATACGGTCCTTCAGCACTAGTTAAAGCCTGAATTTCCTTATTCAGTTCTTCCTAACTAAGTTTGTCTATTGAGTCCTCATCTGGGTACTCCATTATCTGTGTTGTTCAGTCCTTTTAACTCTCTTAGAGCTGTAGTTGTTTTTATAAGTGTCGTATCGTTTTCAGCCAATATCATGTTGCTGCTTTTCCTTTAAACTATATAGTGTGTCCTTTATACTACACAGTGATTTATTTACCTATTTTTTAATATAAGACTTCCAGTTGTTCGTGTGGCGTTATGTTTTCTTGGTCCATTATATTAACACTTTTTCCATCTATCCATCCTAAGTACTTGTTGGTGTGTACTAGATATTCCTTGTCGGTACAGTACCTCCAGTAGATATTCTTGCTGTCTCTGCACAATAGACATCTCATATAGTTTTTGTAATGAAATCTTCGTCCTGATTTCCATGTTTCTTTAAAGATGTGGTATTTGTAGTGGCAGTCCTACCTGTATTCATTATGGTATGGGTGCCTAGGGTCTCTGACTTCTATTTGTTTTTCCTTATTGTGTCTGAAATATAGTCCTTTTTCTTCGCACACTGTCCAGTGTTTATTAGGTATCTGGTTATTATATTTCTCTCTTTGTTCCTGTAGTAGTTTGTGACTGTCTTTGAACGTTATTTGTGGTGCTTTGTTTTCCTAATTGTTTGTTTCCTGTGTATCTTTGTATTCTGATTCAGTTTCTCCTTCTGAGTCTGTTTGTTCTGGTGTCATAATTCCTTAGTTCAGGCTTGTTGCTGGATTATATATTTATTGTCCTATCGTCGCATTCTATTGTATCAACACTGGTTATTTTCCTTGTTCAATCTGTTTGTCCTGTTTCTACTATCCTTATTATTGCTATATATTAGGTACTTATTTATATGTGTCGTTAAGTTTGTTTTCTGGTGGCTATAGATAGGTGACTTTCCTTATTGCCTTAAGGTATTGTCTGATATTCTATGAGTCTTGGTAGCCTCCTCTACCCTATTCCTTCTTATAGCTACTAGTCTTAGACGTAGTGGTAGCGTTGAGGTGTTTCTTGGTATCCCCTTATTTCTTTCTATAGTCTTTTGTGATATATCTGGGTTTCTCATAGTAGAAACATAGCTTCTTGTCCCTGCATCTTTTGCTTTTTTCAGTGTTATAAGGTCATCTTTTGGTGGCGTCCAATTCTATAGGTGTGGTGCCATAATTGTTGCGTTTATTGGATCCTTTACATTGGTTTACTTTCCAGAAAGTGTTTTTTCCTTGTCGTATGTTCTGTAGGTTATAAAGCTGATTATCAATACGTACTGCTATTTCAACCATTCATTCAAAACTGTTATATGGTCCTATCTTGATGGTTTTGTATTAGGTTTCTGGTTTTAGTCCTTGTTTGAATATAGCCATTTTCTGCTCGTCGTCGTGGATTCCTAGTTCTTAACAGATCTGCTATAGTTACGCTGCGTACTGCGCTGCGTCCCTAGTTTATCTGAGTCCCTATAGTTTGCATTATAGGGTCCTCTTTCTGTCAGTGTCTCCAAAGAATTGTCTAAGTACTTGTTTGAATCATGTGTAGCTGTTGAGTATATCCACATATAGTATGGGTCGTCTTTTGGTGTTAGTCCAGTCCTCAAGATATGGTTTGAACCATGTTACTACTGCCTTTTGCATATAGGATCCTGTGAAGATAACTTTTTCTATATCAGTAACTTCTGGTTTAGTTGCCAGATAGATATCACATTCCCCTAGGAAGTGTTTTAGTTTGGCGTAGTCTTCTTTATAAGTATTAGGTTCGTAGATCTTAATAGTAGTTCTCTTATCTCTGGTTCTGACTCTAAGTACATTGATAGTGTCTTTGTGACTTTTAACTTGTTCTAAAGTCTGTTCAATAATATCTTTGCATTTATTAAGTAATCTTTGTTATTCTTCCACTTATTTATTAGTCTTATCTAGCTGCTCATCATTGGGTTACTCTTTGACTCTTTTTTCCAGCTCGATGATTTTCTGTTGCATTTGCCCTAACAAGGCGTTGGTGTTGGTGGTTGGTCCACTTGCTGATGACATATTGGCTCGTCTTGCTTTGGTATATTCCTGTAGTTAGTATACTCTTAGGGGTAGGGTGATACATACTTAGTTTTGTCCTTCTTAATATATAATTGTAAGTCACTCAGGTTGGAGTGTCTATAACAGTATGGTGGCTCTAGTAAGTTGGAATTACTTTTGCCTCTTTGTAACCATGAAGTCAGGGCGATCAATGTCACAAGCTGACGGCGCTCCTTGATTACCTAAAGGTAATCAGAGGTTCACACCTGCCGTAAGACAGAAGGTATAAAGGTCTTAGGGAAAGCTTAGATTGGAAGTGAGTCGTTATAGGAGATAGCTTAGTATTAGGGTAAGATAGAATACTATAGTGAGACTATCCCTCAGTTCCAAGTATGGCTTTAGTCAGTGCCTGGGTTAGATAAAGGCTAAAGGTCCTTATAAGTAGTAAAGACAAAGTTAACCTACATTAATGGGCAAAGGGGTATTTAGTAAATATAGTATAAGATAACTAGAATGGTGCTTTGTATTAAGCAGTATAGTAAAACTGTAGCTGGTTTGATCGCGAGTATAAGACTCTTAATCCTAAGGAAATAAGCATCTTTATATATATGGTATATCTGGTCCCTTCCTCCTGATTCTCCTCAGGTCTGGTCGTGGACCTGATGTCCTGGTCCCTTTGTGGACCTTTCATGTTTAGTCCCATAGGGACCTGTCCCTGGTCTTGGCATCTGGGACCTGTCCTTATAGTCACGTGATGTGTAGTTATTCCGTCCCGGAATCTTGTTGTCCAATGAGTGTATATCCTGGGGCTGCGCCGCAGGTGGTCTGTAACAGCATGTGGATTACGTTAATTAGGAAATATACAGCTTATTAATATGCTTATTCATTATGATACACATTATTACCATATTTACAAAGGACAAACCAATAGTCATCTAGATATAAGTTACATCAAAACATACTAGTAAGGATATAATACCGGGATAAATATATTCCATATAAACCCAAAATAGACTAGCGCGCGTATCTTGAAGCTCGAAAGTTGGAGATAGGAAAAAAAAGGAAGAGAGCGAAAGAAGTGGAAGAGAGACAGGATTCACTCGTTATTCCAGGCTCGGAGACAGTCAATCGCTGGACTCAGGTTCCTTAACTCGAGCTCTTCACACTGTTCACGACGATTGTGCGGACACCAGCGAGCACTGCCAACATGAATCCCTCCATTCGACGGACTCTCCCGTCATCCACCCGCTCGGTTGTTTTCCAATGGGCTTCAAAATGCTCCTCTCGACAGTTCTCTCAGTCGAGTTGCAGAGCTGTAGTCAAGGCTCCTCTTGTCATGAAACCCAAAGTCCCTGCTCAGATGAGCTCGAAGACCCGTATGGACGAGACCATGCGCGGAATAGCCAGAAATATGGTGCCAGATGACCTTGGCTTGCTACCCGGTACATTCGTCCGACCAGTATGGAAGAACCTTCCGTCGATATTCCTGGAGCCGAAGATGAGGTGGCGCATGGAATGGATGTATTGGAAGTCAAAGGTCCAGAACTTCGTGAGGTTAGTTTTGGCAATTCTATATTGATGCATAGATGCATTGAATCAGAGAAACAATTTGCTAATTAACGGGTTAAATTAGTTTACTCGCATTTTGCAAATATATAAATAAGAAGTTGCCCATGCGGCTCCGGGAAAGGAAACGAAGAGCCATTGAACTTCACAAGGACATGTACAATCATTTCGCAAGGTACAGATCCACCCCTACTTATACGTATAATGTGATGGAAACTAATCCCAAAATTTTATAGTGGAAGCCTCGGTGCCCTTCAGGAGACGTGTTGTAACGGCCTTTATCAGACATTCGCCGCGCGCATTTCTCGACGACCTCCTACCTCTCCAGTCCTTGTCTGGAAATTACATAAATACCTTAGATTTCCACATTCGATGACCATAAGCGGTGCCCGCGTCGTGTCTGATCGTGCCGCTGCTCTGCCTGGTGCAGATGGTATGGGAATCAGACAAGTTATCGTACGGATACAAAGTCGACAATCCCTCATCACTCCATCCGCGCTGGTATCTCAGTTGGGAGAGCAGCAGATACAGGAGCTAGAAAACCAACAACAGGAAAAGCAGAAAGACTGCACGGAATATATCGTTCTGCAACGAATGATGTGGGGTGGGAAAGATGGCGATTGGAAGGTTTGGGGCTTGACTGAGGAAACCACTATTGAAGACCTTGACACGAATCCAATGTTCGCTCCGGGAATATCGTTGAAAGACCGACTTGAGATGATGACGTCGAAATAAGCTTGACCGATATAGAATGTGATCTTTGTGTTTATTAGAAGCGTTTCATTTTCAGTGTATTTTTATAACAAGCGCTTCAACTGGACAGTCTCCTTATATAACTGTGTAAATATATGAACCTATTGAAGAACTTATTCTTAATATATACATTATCCCGTCCGTTATTGTCATCAGGCCATATATATAGGCTCGTAGCCCCAGGGCAACGGCCAAATAGACCCCTTGTTTCCTATTTGCATATCTCCCCTTCCTGCTTACTTCCCTCCCTTCAGCTTTAACTTGATGTTATATAGCTAGGGCTCCCTCATCTACTCACTCGGAATTTAGCACCTTCCTCATCGTTGTTGCGAATGGTTGCATCAGTTCCGGTAGCGATGAAGTCAGGCTCGCCATTGTTCATAGGGCCTGGACTTACGAAGGAACGTGGAAGAGGACGGTCGAAAGCATCGAAATGCCGACCAGTGGTCTTTGCAAGGACAAACTTATACCCAAGACGTAGGCCTAGAGCAAGGAGCGCGAATATCATACCGCCAACAGGAGCAGCGACGAAGGCGCCTATATTGCGGTTATTGAGTTAGCACTGGATCCCGGAGTAATTCATACAATAGTGCGAGGTAAGGAGTCAAAAATACCGAAGGCACTCCAATCCTTAGAGTAAAGACCATTCTGCAAAAGGATCAATTTTCCTCCCTCGGTGGCATTGCCGTAGTAAATGGTACCGAATATGAAAATCGATAGAATCCCACCAAGCCCACCAACAATAACTTCAAATCCTGTCCACCAGTAGAATCTATCAAATAACCCAAGGACGAGTACAGGTATAGCGGAAGCGGAAACCAGATCAGAGACAAGGAATATTTGTAAAACGCTGGGCGATCGAAGTGCAACCACGACGACCGGGACGATGCACAGAATAACTCCAATACGGACATATATCAGAGGCAGCTTGTTATGGAAGATATCGTTACTAGCTGTGCTGACCATTGCAGATTGAAGACTGTCGAATGCGGCGGTGCTCAGGGCAATTGTCATCACTACCACGATGCCAACAACCCAGTTTGGTAGCTTCTCCAGAAGGAGGAAGAATGCAATTGATCCGGCCTGTGGAGGGTCCCCGGGCCATACTCCAGACCATGCAGCCAAAAGACCCGTCGACCCAACAAGGACAAGGATACAGAGGACAACAAAACTCGCAATTGAGATTCCAATGCGTAAATCACGATCGGTCTTTGAAGCGAAAGTACGGAGCCAGAAGTTCGATAGGAAGAAGTCGTTGGTCAGGATGGCAACAGGTAGGATGTAGATGAGCTGCCATCCTAGTAGCGTTGGCTTTAAAAGGCCTGAAGAATCGATGAGTGACCTATCAATCTCAGTTCTCACGCCAACGGTTATAACGGCGATGATAATAAGGCCAACAACCATTGCCCCTTGGATATTATCCGTCAAGAAGGAAACCTGGAAACCACCAAGGGAAGTATAGATAGTCGTCACGACAACCTGCACAATGACGGCAGGCAGACCATTGAGCCCAGTAAGCGAGGTGACAATTTGTTGCAATGCAGACAATTCAGCAACCATATACAAGAAAAGGGTGATCAGTCTGTATCAATGATTAGCAAATAACATAGTACTGCCATGATCAAGTGCAAAACTCACGTCAAAATGCTGAGATATATTCCAGCAATCAAGCCATAACGCTGTCGAGTCCATTCCGTAAGGACGAACACGTCAGGGAACTTCTTTCGAATAATTGGTCCGACATAGGCGAATGCCAGCAACGGCAGCGCTGATGAAAGCCCATATACGACCAGTCCCTGGACACCGGCGATAGTAGCTATTTCAGGATACGTGAAAAGAATACCCGATCCAAGAGCTGTATAATAGTGAGGCGTCCCCTAGCGTTAGCATATCTCATCTTCATGTTCAAGTTGGTAGGTGAAAGGAGAAGCGGCAGCACGTTTCCCACGCAAGCATTAACTTGATCGAGTATTCAACGGTACAATCTCAGCATCATGTTTGCACTGGAGTCGACGATCTCATCAGAGACGATAGAGGCTCTGAAGTTGGATCGTCGACAAAATTTCCAGTCCTACAATCAGCACCCGTAGTGTTGCCAAAGTGCGTACTGCCCTGGAATTTAACAGAGCTGGGGATAGGGATACCACTCCAGCTCTTCAAACAGCCAGGACAGCACCCACTGAACTTGAATTCTCTGATACGAACCTGGCCAATGCTGTGCTAGTCAATCTGATAACGTAGCTTGATTCCGCATACTGAGTCGACGTCCATCTCCACGCCATGTCTTTGACCAAGATAATGATCCTAATAGCGAAGATATGTCCCTTATGATATCGTGTGCTCTAGAGCTGCCGCATCTCATGAGGGAAAAGGAAATAAGCCTAAATGACTCTTCCGTTATACAACTCACCCGAAGCAATGAAGTTCAGAGCAAGCGGTAAAGCTGTAGTGTAGGAGCAACGTAGAGATGCCGTATATTAGCCAGTCTGTATATAAAACATAGTAATCCGCAGTGAAGGGAGATTCATGGAAGAATCCTCAGGGTATATCTATTTCTAACCCTTTTGCGTTCCGTTGCTGGACAAGAACTCGCCCTTGGTCTGATTTCGCAGACGCCATGCGATATAAAGACCAACGATCCTGGTAAACGTCAGTTGATCGAACAGGCCTATATAGTACTGATATCGACTTACAAAAATGCGCCGTAAGTGAGATAGATCAAAGCGTTTGACGCTTGAAACGAAGGTTGACCCATCGCGCCTCAAATCTGCACGAACCCAGTAGTTATCCGTGGATGATAAGATCCGAATCAGATTAAAAAATATGCAATATACAAAGCGAAAGCTGGGCCGAGTTCGAGAGCAACGAAACGGCCGTGGACTCGAGATGTCTTTCAGGCTGAATGAACGAGCAGAAAGAAAAGAGAGCAAAAACACCCGACTAAGCACGTTGCGCCTGGGTATTTATTCTTTTTCTCTATCTCATCTTTTTGACTCGGCCATTATATTTCTTTTTTTCGTTCTCCACGCAGGCTCCGAGCTGCAGCCACTGCTGTCACTGTAACTTTGCCTAAGTGGACGCGAGCTCGGCGAGATCCAATTGAATATCGGACCATGGGCTAATAGAGACACTAGCAAGGGAATACGATATAAATAAGTGCACACGGACCGAAGACTACGATGAGAAGTGGTTTAACAGTTTATAGAGAGTCTTCTACCGCCCAGAGAGATTTAGGAACATGTCGTCTTATGTACAGGAACAGTGAAACCGAGAAAAAGAAGACCCAGAATTATGCAAATATGCAAGAGTGTGCTGCCTGCTATCCATTCATATCCATTCATGCGTATCTCTCAATTAGCTCGTCATCATCCAACTTCTGAGGCATCGTTTTATCGTTTATATCACCATTCGTTGGAAAAAGGGGACAAAGGAAAGAAATGAACGAGGGGGGACTTTTGGCCGTCTAGCATACTCGGATTCAGTCGTCGTCAAAGATCTGGAAAGTATTTTGCAGAATTGTTTCAATCACTCGAGCTTGCCATCCTGAATCTGCAATGCTACGGCCCGCATTGGAGCCCATGAGGGTGAGGCTATCGAAGTTAGTAAAGATGCTAGAAGGGCTTGGAGGGGCTGTCATGGGCTTACCCAAAGCTGATTGCAATATTTCCGGCATTCATTCTATTTTCAGAGCTCCGTTCTTGAACATGGTTAAGATGCTGACTCGGATGTTAGTATCAATGTGATTCGGTATTCCTATGAGCAATTCTTACCAGAATCAGTGCCCGAAGGGTTGCGTAATTTGGGTCAGGAAGACTGTTAATCAGCGCATGCAGCGCATCACGGCGATGGGTATCGTCATCCTTGCCTAGATGAGAGGGATGTGTTAGTAGGACATCTAAGCAAAAGCTTCATAGTGCAAGGGTAGCTTACGGGCTGCCTCGATGAAAGCAGAGTATCGCTCATTCGTGAACAACGGATCAGGCAGATCTCTGAAGAACAGCTTCAAAAGGCCAGCAACGCTATTGACGTCGTGGTAGAAGTTTTCCGGGTTCGTAAAGTCCACTTGCGTTGAATCTGTACCGCAATGTTAGAATTAATCCCTATCTAATTAATCCATCTGAACACGGGTATGAACATACCATTATCGAACATGCTCTTCATATGTGTAATATGATTAGCATTTCCGGAAAGCCTATAGATACCCTCGACATTCAAACCGAACAGCTCCACGGCCTGAATACACTGATACACTACCATGGGAATGGCTGTGCCGTCTCTCTTAAACAGATCTTCCAGAGTCACGCCAAAGACGGGATTAAGCGGAGGTAAATCTGGATGCGCATTGGTCTGCATATCACTTATCGATGGTCGGGGCTGAGCATGTTGTGCAAGCTGATGCGGTTGTTGATATGAGTGTTGCTGCGGATATGTAGGCTGCATGGAAGTTGGATTGTTATACTGCGGCGTTGAGGTAGGGAATGGCGGCTGGGAAGCCCATGACTCGCGCCGTTGCTGCAATGATAGTGGCGAGCCCTGTCCTGGCGTTTGGTCCCGGGATACTGGAGACATAGTATTGAATACTTGAGCAGCGGGTTGAGGAGGGGGAGTCGGGTGGGCGTTTAGGCTGAGGGATTGTCTCTTTGGATGAGCGCTGGGATTCGAAGCCGGCATTAGAGTCTGTTATATGTTAGTATGTATACGGATACTATAGTAGCGGGAGTCATACAGCATGTCTTTCGTATTTCGGCGTTGGCTTTGTGTCAGGGACTTTCCCAGCCTGGCTGATAACAAAGTCTCTAAAGTCTCGCTCATTATCGATTCGCCTGGCAGCTTCACGTAGACTGTCTGGGGTGGCATTCCCGGTCTTCATGGGACTAACGGCTAAACCGCTCCCGAGCAGTAGCTTCTCGTTAAACGACGCTGTCGGCCAGAAGAACTGATGTCAGCGCAGTCCTAGAAATAGAACGAGGAAAAGAACAAAACGTACCGAGCTTCTGCAGTTGGAGCGTACAGCCAGAATCACACTCCATGATCAAATCCTGCAGCGACCGCACAGCCTGTGGCCTAAGAGTGGCAACGAGTTCCTGTCTCTGTGTCTGCGCAGACTGCACCTTTGTAGAATAATCCGAATCCGCCTGCTGAAGCTTGCGCAACAGATCCTCCTCCTGCTGTGCAGCTGATTTGGGTCCCTTGAGGCCGAACTTCCCCGTTGCCCGCTCCCCCGTTCGCGCACGATCATACTGTTCGGCAAGAGTATCGTACTTGGCCTTTGCCTTTTCCGCCAGCGATTCTGCATCCTGCACCCTCTTCTCGGCGGTCAATCCGTTCTGCTTCCACTGTTTACGACCCCGTTCCATGCCCGCGGCCAGATCGTTTAGTTCCTCCGCCATCTGCAGCAGGGATTGGGAGAAATGGACTCCATGGTCGGCGACCCGGTCGTGGATCGCGTTCATCTCGTTGTAGCTGCGGGCAAAGCTTCCCTGGCGATTATCCGGGCGCATCGACGACTCGTGCATTGCGCGCGCGAGCTTCTTGAGACCCTGGGCATGTTCATCTTCGAGAATAGAGCGTTTGCGGAGGAAGGTAGCGAAGTCCTAGGCGATGTTAGAGCTGTCTAGACCCCTATTATGGCGTACATACTCTGGCAGAAGAAATACTCTGCTTCAGGCGAGTCAGCAGAGTAGAGACCCCGATCTATAGACATGTCATTAGCAACTGGAACGAGACAGGGAGAATAGACAGGACGTACATCCGACTGCAGCACTCTGTCGACCTTTGCCAGGCTCTCAGCCAGCTCAGGACTCTCGATCTCCTTCTCCGGCAGCGAAGAGTGCGGCGTCTCCCTGTCAGACTGCGGAGATGTGGCGATGTCCAACCCCGGCTCTGCCATGATAAAAAGACGTGCAGAAGACAAACTTGGTTATCTGGATGCGACTATTGAAATCTCGCGTCTCGAAACTGCGCGCTGCAGAACAGAGTGAGCGATCTCCAGCGATGCGATGCGTTACAGCATTCGATGTTGCTCGAGTGGCCACTAAAGTATGAAACTAACGGCCCTGGTCCAGGAGATGAACACCAAGCACTGTGTATGTTCGTCCCTTGCATGCGTTTCGCGGGATAAGTAGTTATATATACTGTCCAGCTGTAATTTCGGATTGGTTCGGCCTTTCAGGGAGCATGTCTACGCATTACAAGGGAGGTCTGGTGAATAACAAGCCACACCAGCTACGTATGGATAGACAGTCCTATGGCCACTGAAGTCTCAGCGACGTGGCACAGCAACGGACGTATACCAGAGCTCGTCTTGCGATGCCATGTTCAGCACTGGACTATCTTCATTCCATCTTCAACATGTAACTGTTATCGGTTACTGTTCAATGACATCATGACGATGCCGAGGTCCGGTTCGTGGCGAGACAAACAGGAGGAGATCCGTATATATAACAGCTCACCCTGGCAATAGCTGGACAGGACAGATAGCACTCATCAATTAACAGCCATGTCGTCAAAGGAGATCCATATCGTGGCCATCGTGACCCCTAAACCAGGGAAGCAAGACGAGGTGAGATGTTCTGTCCATCAAATATCGAATCAATAGATCCATTCAAGACTGATGATCGAATCAATAGGTCGCCAAACTCCTGGCAGAGACAGCGGAGAAGGTCAAAGCCAATGAACCCGGTGCCCTCATCTACTACGGGTTAAAGTCGAAGAAGTCGAACGAGATCATCGTGATTGAAAAGTAAGCACCTCAACCAGGGTGGAATGGTGGAACGGTTCTGGAAGCATCAGGGGCTAACGTACCGTGAACTCGGGCAGATATGCCGACATGGAGGCAGTGAAAGCTCATGGCGGTTCAGGGCACTTTCAGGCCTGGTCCAAGGCAGTTGCACCGCTCCTCGAGGGGCCGTCGGTGGTGAAGTTTGCCAGCCAGATCGGGGGGTTCGAGTCGAAGCTGTGATGACTTGTATAACTCATGAAGATGTAACAGCTGTCCATGTATATAAATAGTCAGGGGCCAGAACATCGCGCGAGTCTGTGATACTCAAGCTTTCTTCCGATACGCGCTGGTCTGTAACCCTTCCACTGCATATGAATAGGGCTGCTACACGCTGTGCCAGAGCTGCCTCTGACGACATATATAGAGTGTATACTTCGTACGCTGGCCGGGTTCCAGGGTCGGCAGTAGTCAACGCCGTCAACTCGTGTGCTTCAGCACCTGCTGTAGAGAACAAGTGGGCCAGAGTAGTAACTCTCTGATATGGTAGCAAGCGAGGGAGCCAGTTTCGGTCCCAATTGTCGGGTTTGAAGATTCAATATATCATATCTGAGCCCGGCAATGTGGAGGACGAGCAGTAGTGACGACGCTCCAGCCGCCGCATGAACCTCCTTAGCCGCCGTCGTCCCCTCGTCCCCGTCTCCCGTCTCGTCTCGCATCCTCGTCGCTCGTCCTGTCCTCTCGTCCTGTCTTCCAGGGGTGCGATAGGATGGCCAGGAGGTGCACTAGAAAACTCTCTTCCAACCATGGTTAAGCACCCGAGGATAGCCAAACTGATTCCATTGGCCGTCAGTATGGAGATGAGACATGCTGCCAAGCGAGTTGTGTCTTCCAATCGATGTCTTTTACCCGCCAGAGATGAGGTTGAAGTGCGAGTGATAGCCATAGAGTAGAGGACGATAGCCGTGTTATTCATATCATATCATCATATCATCATCTCGTCGGCTTCTTCTTCTTCTCCTCGTCGTCTTCTCCTCATCATCTCATCATCATCATCCTCTTCTCATCACGTAGTTTTCGTGGGCTGTTCCACTTTGCGCTTTCTCCCGACGAGCAAGCTAAAAAAACGGCCGGCCTCCTATCCCTGCGCAAAGAGCTCCGTGCCACCATCGTATCTGCTCGAGAAGCGACCTCGCCGCAAATAATATCACCAATTGCTAGATATCAAGGAGTCGAGCCTGGCATCAGCTTAACCGTCGCCTGCTTCGTCGTCACTTTGTCCTCTTCCCTTCGACAGCACGCGTTCGTTCGGCTCTCGCAAAGCTCCTTCAAGCGCCCTCCTTTTTTTGCTGGACGAAGTTGCAGACGCTCCGAGGGCCCTGGACGACCGTATATGAACGTAACGAAGCTATTCACGACCTAGACTTCCTATATTTCTGTTCCTGTGGCTGGAGCGGACGTCTCCTGTGCTCAGCGGACTAGTCCTTGCTAACGCCTGTTTAAACGCGCCACCAGCTGGCTTGATAAGAGCTTGGAGTGAAAGATACTTGCTCCCTGGATATCTGCATAGCCTGTCAGCCTGTTTGTTCCTGTGGTGGATACAAGAACGGTTTTACTCTCTAGCTCATCGTTCTTTTGCTTGTCTTGAGATCCAGACTGACCGTTGCCCTGTTAACTTAGCATCCTCTTCGCCTGCTTGACCTGCACATAAATCAACCCTCCCTGTTGATATTGATCTCACCGCGTCTTCCACCTACCTACATAGAGCAGCCAGCTTGATACAAGATGGCTTCTGGACCAGCTACCCAGTCGCTGAAAGTTGGTTGTCCCAGGCCAGATGTGTGGGATGAATGCTGACCTCTCTTGATAGTGCGTCGTTACTGGTGATGGTGCTGTAGGCAAGGTATGTCCTGTTCTATCATCCTCTGGTCCGGACCAGGTGAAGATTCCTGCTAATGATCTCTGTTATAGACCTGTCTGCTCATTTCTTACACTACCAATGCCTTTCCTGGAGAATATATCCCCACAGTGTATGTTTACCTGCAAAAATGGGGTGTCCAGAGCCTCGAGACGGCCAGACGTGCTCACAGCTCTTCTACAGGTTCGACAACTACTCTGCCAGCGTGATGGTAGACGGAAAGCCCATCAGTCTTGGATTGTGGGATACTGCTGGACAGGAAGATTACGACAGACTCCGTCCTCTCTCCTATCCGCAGACGGACGTGTTCCTGATATGTTTCTCGATCGTCAGCCCGCCATCCTTCGACAACGTCAAGGCAAAGGTATTTCGACATATCTAGACGCGTGAATGAACCCCCTGCTAATGGATGGATGATATAGTGGTTTCCCGAGATCGAGCACCACGCGCCAAATGTACCAATCATCCTCGTTGGCACCAAACTCGACTTGAGGGAAGACAGGGCCACCGCGGACGCTCTCCGGGCTAAGAAGATGGAACCCGTTTCATACGAACAGGCACTCGCAGTCGCGAAAGAGATCAAAGCTCAGAAATACCTTGAATGCTCGGCTCTGACCCAGCGCAACCTTAAGAGTGTCTTTGACGAAGCTATCAGGTATAGTCCTGTTTGACACCGTTTTCAAAAGTCCCTATACTAACATCATCTAGGGCCGTGTTAAACCCTCGCCCAACCCAGAAACCGAAGAGAAAGTGCCGAATACTTTAAACGCGCCCAAGACGAAGTAAATAATACTCGCGCCTCAGCGATCACGCCTTCAGGAACGAAGATTAATAGATCTCATTCACACCCGTCCCGCCATAATCTCCTCCCTCCTCCCACTGGTTTGGCAAAGTCCACGAACCTGAAAACCCGAAAACCTGCAATACCTTCTTAGTCTCTCTCGTTTTTGTTCTGCTTACCGATTTTAATGACGAGCGTTCCTCATTTACCTCCTGCATTGGGACGGAGCAACTGCTCGTACTGCAAGGTTCTCTCTCCTCTCACACCTCTCCCTTCCCTCCATCCACCTTTTCCTATGGTTTTCATGAAGTAAATATCCCCGAGTGACAGCAGATACCATAATCAGGCACCAGTCACTCCATGATAACATTTCAACTACGTGTGGAGATATTTGTTACATCTTACTCCATAATTTCTGCGTCCCGCCTACCTCGACATCAATCAATACCGCTTATCCACCTTTGTTCAAAGTTCCCGGCTTGTGCTTTGTTAATTGTTTGTTTTCATTTGTCTCCTGGAATTTAATACCCTGATTTCTGTTTCTTCCCCTCCCTCTGGTTTCCGCCTGTCTCTAGTGCTCATACATAATCAATTTCTTACTGTTTCACTCTCTGCTTTTCTTTTATACCCTTATGGGGCTGGATGAAAAGTAGTTGGGCAAATGTTTTACCGGGCTCTTACGAGGTTATTCCATATTACGTCTATGTAGTTTGCCCTAGGGCTAAGCGTACATAGTGGTTGCACCACGGCGAAAGAGCCTGCTGGCGGATGTGTACCCGATCTTATCGTGTAGATCTAGACTTGCGCGGAATTTCTAGCAGATCTGGAGAGAACTGAATGTGTATATATTGCATAGAACGAGGCTTTGTCACTCTATACATATACAACGTGTGAATCGATATGTTTCTAGTAAGTCTAGAGTAGCTCCACGGATAATCTAACGTGAAGCTAGTAGTCTCAATATAATACACCAAAGGACGCCTATATCAACGCCAAAACTGCTCGAAAGGGTCTATTCGTTGACCCAGTATCCATAAACCAAAACACTTTTGTGATATAAAACATTAACCTATACGGGAACCCTAGTCCTTCGGCTTGGATGGATGTGCGATTCATCGTCTGCTACCGCCGCAGCACCGTTAGTTGCTGGCGCCGCCTTGGCTCGTTTTGCGCTCTCCTGTGCTTCACGGGCACGCTCCTCGTTTAGTTTCTGGTTCTTTTCGAGAATCTTCATCTTGCGGGCTTCGGACTTTGAACCACCGCCTCCAGCACTGCATTGGAAGGGCTATGTTAGAAGGATTTGCAAAGGTAGATGGCTCAAATGGCCAAAGAGGATGGATAACTTACGTCAATTCAACCTTGAGTTTGCGGGCAGGCTTCTTCCCATCCTCAAACATAGTGCCGTGGTATTGTTTTAGGCAAGTCTTCATGCGGTCGAATCCAGCGAATTCAACGAATGCGAAACCACGTCCCTTCTTTCCGCATCTTTCTAGTGGAACGCGGACCGAGGTAGGTTGGAGCTTTTCAAAGTGTTTGGTGACTGATTCTTGGTTGGCGGAGAACGGTAGATTGCCTGTTTGCTGGTGTTAGCTAACTGGGCTGTACAATGGTTAAGTTGGGGACATACTTATAAAGACGATGAATCTCTGGTTCTTCTGAGCTGCTTCCATCTCAGCTTCGCCAACAGCGGTTTCGGTGGCCTCCTCAGCACCGTTCTCTGTAGGCGCATCCGCTTCAGCTTTAGCAGCTGGTGTAGATTCTGCTACCTCCTCGGTGCCATTTGCTTCCTCTTTCTTCTCTTCTTTCTTGGCTTTCTTCTTTTTTTCCTTCGTTTCCTTCTTCTCTTTCTTTTCTTCTTTGTCAGCCTTCTCCTCGTCCTTGTTCTTCTTCTCTTTCTTTTCCTTCTTTTCTTTCTTCTTCTTGCTCTTTTCCGTCTTGCTGTCTCCATTTGGTTGTTCATCCACTTCCATCTCGTCGTTGCCAGCTGAGCCATTGGCCTTCATCGGTTCCTCCGGCGACTCCATCTCTTCATCTGGCTTGGTTTCCTCCTCCACATCGTCCTTCGCCTTCACCTTCTCCCGCTCTTTCTTTTCCTTCTTTTCTTTCTTCTCCTTCTTTTCCTTCTTGTCCTTTTTGTCCTTCTTCTCCTTCTTTGACTTCTCCTTGTCGAGCGATTTTAGCTTCTTTGATTTCGTGGTATCAACAACGGCTTCATCGTTTTCATACGCAGCGACCTGGTCGCGCTTTCGCTTATCGCCCATGCTTGTGCGTGTATATCGATGTATCTAAGAGAGGGGTATAATTGTTTCGGCCAAGAATTGGGTCGCAAACACCTTATTAAGTGACAGGAAACAGTCGCTGTCTTATCTCAATCCTATCAACGAGCATCGAATATTTTCTTGCTTGTTTTGCATAAAAAAATCCCTGTGGGTCCGATAATTCTGCCGGCCGAGGATTACAAGGCGGTGAGAAGATAAGGTTGGAACCTTCGCAGCTTAGTAATCACATATATCTTAGCCCGAAGATACGAATATCCAGCTTTCTTCCAATACTATTTAATCCAATACTGTTAAAAGATGATACGGTCTGTATATTAGGTCGAAGGGTAGCTTAGGTTTGAATGTAGGTAAATGGTTACGAAACCGATATGTATTGTATCAAGTGTCTCTGGTCTAAAACTGCTTCAAGATATATAACGTCCCGTTTGTATAAATCTCATTAGTCGGCCGTGGTATAGTCTGTTATACACCCCGCTATAGCTCAATTCCTCCTGGGATAAGCTGTCGAACGCACTCCTTATGCGCTGGCATAGAATGGTTGAAGTAGTAGATACAGGCGTTGTGTTGACCAGTATGTGCCTGTTTGGAGTAAATATCCTGCGTATTGATAAGGTAGCTGTTGATATTCGTTGCTGTCATTCGCTGAATCAAAAGACAAGTATCTGCACCTTGTCCCCTTTCTTCGACTGATATCGATCCCGTAGCTCGGCTCGGTTTAAGAGCTCAATGAGAGGGAAATGTAGCTCCTTCATGTCGAATATACCTCGTTTCTTCTGGTCAACATACGAGCCATCAACCACAATGCGCGCTAACGAGTCAAGTTTTAACGATCCTGAAACGATGGTTAGTCACAAATGTCCTAGGATGAGAGTATTTGTTGATTTCACCTGAATTTATAAGGTCATTTAGTCTGACCGGTGTTCCAATGCCTATTCCCATCCTGCTCAGCAAGTTAGCTTAAAACGAACTGCTCATCCGTCAAATAGAGCTATGTTACCTCGTCTTTTCCACAGTTTCCTGGGCCTCCTTTAGTTTGATATGTTTGGCGAAAAGCTTAGCAACGGCGCAGTCTTGGTTCTGGAATTGCCGCAACGTCCTAAGAAGATGTTAGCTTCCGTAAGTTCTGCATTGGCAATCTTACATTCCCTACCTTGATATTTCTGCTGCCCTAAGCCCTGCAAGGGTTACCACTAGTGTATGCGGAGATCCCTTTGCCTCCGAGGCCTTGGAAAGAGAAGCACCTTTATCTGGACTGAATGCTTTTAAAAAGGAAGGCATATTCTCAAGGTCTCGCGATGAGTCCCAGGATGAGGTATCGAGGAATGCATGTTCTATGACGTTATTGTTAGAACATTGCGTACACAAATGTATAACTGATAGCTCTATGAATAAGAAGAACAGATGCCGCAACTTACCTGGAACGTAAAAATCGTCCAGTTCCACCGCGGTCAAGTTCTTGTTATGCCGCTTAACTCGCTGGGCAAAGTAATCTCCAAGTAGCTTCCCATCCATTCTGCCAATCGATTCATCAATTCCTCCATCCTTGCCCATGACCTTATTTATATCGTATTCACTGCCATTTTTCGTCGCCTTTGAGCGCTTTTTCTTTTTCTTCTTGCTGGGTTGACTCTGGTCTCCTGCTGGTCTGTTTGTGTTTTCGGCAGCGTCCTCCTCGTCCACACGTTTTCTCTTGTTTGACTCTAGTGGCGCATCCTGTGAAGCTACAGATGAAGCCATAACGGAATGACTTGCTGTGTTATTCCTGTTAAATTCGTATATTCTCCTTTTTGCTTGCTTTCTTCAAGTCGAAATTTCCTTGCGATAACAAAAAAAGCAAATCCTTATCGTGCTTAGTCACGTTGTTATCGCAGCTTCCGCGTCGCGAACTCCTTGACCGAACATGACGAGCGAAGTTCACGTTGTTGACGCCGACTCGCCCTAGAGCACTCTGTTCACCGTCGGAGAAGCTCGATAGGTAACTGGAGTGACCGACTCGTGCATGATGTCGGCATCAAATCGTCGTGGCAATGGGCGGACGCCGCGAAACTCGGCTGGACCAAGCTCAAGTCCAGCCAAAACACCCTACAATGCGGTATGATAGGCCTTGACCGTTGAGAATTCCAGCTTTACTAACATTCTAGTTTAGCTATTCAAATTATCCAAGTTAGTGGCGGCGCCGTCAACTCCTGCACAGCAGAATGCTGCGTTTCTCAACACAGGCAGGCCGTCAGCATCTCGTACTGGTCGCCGAAAATCAGGGACGACTCCTTCACGGACAAGGGCAGGAGATATACCGGCGACACCACACGCAATTCGGGCATTCCAGAGACGGGCGGCGACCTATACTCCGGGACGGGACCGACGGAAAAGCCAGCGCTTCAAACGGGAGACTCCAATGGATATACTGAAGAACCTGGGGAAAGGTTTGATATTACCCCCCTTGTCGATATAATTGTTCTATACACGGTGCTGATTGGGATTGATATACTACAGCTCTTGCGCCGATATCAAAGACAGTTTCGTCGTCTCCGCAAACAGAGCCCGAGGAGGAACCGGAGCCTTCGATTGACGAAATCGATGAATTAGATAGGGAGCCGCCTATCCCTCCACCGAGACTGTCCCTACCGCTCAACGAGATGACTATAGTCCAGGACGATAATAGCCCCGATATCCCTGCTCCGAGGTTATCCCTTCTCCCCGACGATGAAGATGTCACGAGAGGGTCGATCGAAATGCCCCGCAGAGAGCGATCAGCTCGTGATTTAGCAAGGTTATCAAGAGTAAGCTTTGCTAGTAATCGCTTTAGCGATCATTTCGGGGACACGACGAACATTGTTGAAGACACCGAGGAAGGGTTGGATTTTGGAGTCGGACAGGAGGACTATATCGATGAAGATGTCGATAATACAACCGGACAGGCCATGTTGGATGCAGGGTAAGTTTAATTATCTTCTAATCGTACAATATCGCTATTCTAATGTTACAATAGGGGGGAGACCGAAGATTTGGGTCGTTTCAATCTCGATTTCGCCTTCCCAACGCCTGAAGCGCCCCATCATGTGCCAGCGGAAAATACAATTGATAATGAGCAGGACACTTTCGAGCTAGACGCAGTGCCACCGGAGTTTGGTGGCCCCGACAGTCCTTCATCGCAAAGTGATTTCGGAGCCGTGGGGTTCGAGCCAGCGGCGGACGAGCAATCATCCAAAAGAGGAACACCAATGACGGAAATTGAAGAAGAGGTACAGCCTGAGGAGCCGCAAAAGAAGAAGCAAAAGGTGTCTAAACACGGGATACCAGTCCCAAGTCTGCCCGTGGGCGTCGTAAAGAAGCTTGCAATGCGGTTTGCAAGGTCCGGAAACAAGAATAAAACCAGGATCACCAAGGACACGATGACAGCCATCCAGCAGGCAACAGACTGGTTTTTCGAACAAGCAAGTGGAGATTTGTCGACATACTCCGATCACTCCGGGCGAAAAACAATTGACGAGACGGACGTTATCGCGCTCATGAGAAGGTAAGTCGTCCATATAAAGTATGAAGCGAAGGCGCTAACACCGTCCTAACAGGCAACGACATGTTGGTAAAAGCGCCTCCGTATTTGCTCTCGCCCAAAAACACCTTCCCAAGGAACTCCTCCAGGATATTCGACTCCCAAAAAGTTGACGTCGCACCCAAATTTGAGCCCATTGATTGCCAAGTGCCGAGCAACGCCTGAGGGGTGCTCATCTCGGGTGCGAGCATGGGGGCCCGGGTAGAATTACCAGTTCTTATTCTGACGGATGCGTCGAACCGCTTCGTTTGGCCGTTTCTTAATCACCATCCCCAGCATAATGGTGGTGGCTAGCGAAAGACCGTACCTAATGTCACTCGTTAGTTCGGATTGCTGCATGGCCGGCATTACGCCGTGCTAGGTACATCCAGGGGGGGAACTTACCAGGTGAAGATGTACTGCGCATGATTGTTACGGAGGTGTACCTCCGCAGCACGGCCGATGGGTATACCCTTGTCTTCTCTGTTGTACATGCTCAAAAGGTCCTGTACTGCTGGCATGTTAGTTAGGGTCACACGGGGGTGCGCGAGTCCGCTGCAGGGTTACGAGACTGGCTCACCCATTGTTTCCTCGATCCAGACCGGCTGACTTCCCGTCAGTTCCGCCATCTGTTTGACGTCCGGGAAGTAAAACTTTCCTTCTTCTGGCTTGTTGTCGGGGGTGAACATGTTCTTCTTCCACGGTGACCGCAGCAGCCCTTCGATGACAACCTCCTCCTGCGGCAGGCCCTCCGTCCGGTCAGACTGTTTCTCGAGCGTCTTTGCAACCCAACCGCGGTTTACAAGGATTGTGCTTTCACCCTCCCCTCTCTCCAGTGGCGTGACGACCAAATATCCATCCTTTCCTTCATGCATGCGGGGTCCAATCAACATCTCTTTGTCGTGTCTAAGGCGGCCCTTTGCATACACCCTTCGATATTCGAAGTCACCCACAGAATCGGGGTCGACGACGGGCGGTAAGGGCAGCGGTGGTTTGATCAGACGGTCCTCGTACTTTGCGATCAAATCGGATTTCCAGTCGAGGCGCTGCACCTGCCATGTACCCAGAGCAAATGCTGTGATAGGGATGATCGCTTAACAGATGTTAGTTGACAATTAAATTCACACGCACGCCCACATATACACACTGTACATGAAGTAATGCAAGCGTACACATACCTAGTATAATCAACCCATATCCGTGCTTCCCTCCTGTCCGCACCAGCCTGGCAGGGTTATCCACGATCGACGTCCAATTGGGGTCCTCTGCCGGCGTGTGAGCCTGTCGAACCTGAAATCTCGAGCATCGTAGAGACTGTGTCTGTATCCGACTCGTAGACTGCGCCGTCCGCGTTCGTATAGAGGCCAGCGCAAACCGCCGTACGGAGAGAGCTGCTGCGTTCATCTGAGCTTGTCAGCGTGATGTCCGGCGAAGACAAAGATTCCAATTCCACCCAGCTCTGGTAGCCGTCGGCGCCGGTATATGTAATCGGCGAGTGCTCGCAGCCTATCGCCCTCTGTCTGCTGCGCTGGTCGACCGTCTCTCTCGTCTCGGAGGCTTCGGGGAGAGAAAACAAGCAAAAGAAAAAGAGAGAGAGAGAAGTAGGGTTGGTGGTCCGTGCACAAGGCCCTTCTCCACGAGTTTCTTTATATATATGCGACGCCCCCAGGGACGGAGGACGAAGGACGAAGAACTGACAGGTTTCACGCAGGCCAGAGCATACGCCGACCATGTTTTACAGGGGCGATTTGCAGAGCGGGATAGACCAGGCTGTCAGGGAGGTCAAGCAGGTTGTCTGCTTCATCACAGGTCCGTATTCCAACTACATAGATCCATCTCCACAGCTTCTGACGCCACGGTTAGACAACGGGAGCCTCAGCTTGATATGGGAGAGAGACTATCTCAGAGACGAACGGGTGCGTCGATACACTTGGTTTAACGGTGCTGAGTACAGGAAGAGGTCTGACTCGCGAATAGATCGTACGGCTGATAACCGCCAATGCGGTGGCGTTACGACTGGTAGAGGGCTCGCAGGAGGCCGAGTTCCTCTCTACCTTCTGCCCCGTGAACGAGTCGCCTACGCTGGTCGTGATTAAGTGAGTCTTTATGTCGTCGGGTTCCCTTTGAAGTCATTGACATGCTAACTCCGCTGTCGCAGAAATGGCATCGTCCGCGAGTACATAGCGGCAAGGACCGAGGAGCCCATGTTTAAACGCCGATTGATAGCTGCCCTGGAAGACAATAAGCCTCCAAGAAGGATGCGGGAGGCACAGGCGCAGAGAGCCGCTGGCCATGGAGGAAGCCCGGCCGTGTCTCCGACTACCGTCCCTGCTGCTCCTGCGGCTGCTGGAGCTCCTGTCCCTGCTGCCGCTGCTCGCTCCATCCCGACTCCTCCAGCTCCGGCTCCGGCCCCAGCTATACCAGCTACCCGCGTCACACCTGCTACGCCTCCGCCCGCTCCAGCTCCAGCTCCCTCGCCGTCATACAACATTATAGATCCACCACCAGAGGGTCGTAGCAATGACCCACAAAGACGAGAGGACATCCGGGAAGGTAAGCGACCTGCTGAACCAGAGGGCGAGAAGAAAGATCAGGCGGAGTGGAAGGGTAAACAGCGAAGAAGGCACCAGAAAGAGCGGGAGGAGAGAGAACGGGTGTTGGAGCGGATAAGACGTGACAATGAAGAGCGGAAGGCGAAAGCGGAGAGACAGAAGGCTGCTGCAGCAGTGCAGAACGAGTCCTCACGCAAGTCATCTACTCCTACACAAACTTATCGTCTTCAGGTTCGCCTGTTCGACGGGAGCTCTATAAGAAATACCTTCCGGCCCGACCAGACCATAGGATCGGCTGTTCGGTCGTGGCTCGATAGAGAGCGCTCCGACGGGGATGCGCCATATACCTTGAAGCATATATTGACGCCTCTTGAAAACAAGACAATCTCGCTTTCGGAAGAAGATCACACCCTACAAGAACTAGGCGTTGGTCCCACCGCTACTCTAGTCATGGTCCCTATAAAAACGTACACGGAGGCATATTCAGCCACAGACACGCCGCTACCATACCGTGTTATTTCAGGTGGCTATAATCTTGTTGCTGGCACTGTCAATGCTGTAGCTGGAATGGTAGGATCTGTGCTGGGGATTGGTCAGAACCCAGCTGCCGTTGGACGTGGTGCGTCTACGCCAGCCAACACAGCTACAGAGGAGCCAGCTCCGGCGAGTAGGCAAGGCACGAGAGGGTCAGCGCGCAACAAGATACGGACACTGCATGATGCCAACTCTGAGAGGGATGAACAGCAATTCTATAATGGAAACCAGGTACGTTACACATCGTTGACCTATCGTTCAGCGCATCTAATGCTAATTACTGCCATAGCTAAACTTTGAGCCTCGAAAAAAGGACGATGATAACTAATGACCAATGTTTCGTCACCTACCTGCAGTCTTTTTCGTCTTCATTTCCCTTAATTTAATTATATCCTTTGGAATGCCAATTTCATTATCTGCACTGGGAGATTGCCAGCCAGAATTCGTAAATGAAAAAAAAAAAAAAAATACTGGTTCGCGCTATGGATCTATGAACAAATAACGATGAGTGAGATTTGTCCATGGGCCCACACAGAAGCGTGGATGCTGAAAGTTGTATTCTATTATTACAATGACATGAGATCGTTCTGGTCTATAGTTCTCGGGGACGAGGGACGGGGAACACAATGCCATAAACTGGTGACTGGGACGTAAGTGGACATCAGTTACATCCTCGTATCAACTTAGTAAGGCTTAGCAGCAGCCTGGCAGGCTTTCTACATAGCAGAAGAAATAAGATTAGCATCATGCATTGTCTTCGACAGATGAGAGAGTACGTACCAGCTGGTCCATGTACCATCCACAGATAGACATGTTGCCCTGGTTGTCATCCATGCACTTCCTGAAAGAGCGGATGTCGGTCTCGCAGGGAGAGTTCTCGGCCCATCCGCTGGTGCTGGCGTTGCTCTGGTACATTCCGCTATCCATGGGTTGAGCAGCAGCCTGCTGGGTCTCGGCTGGAGCAGCGGTGGAAGAGCCACCGGTGAAGAAGCTGCCGACAGCGTGGCCAATGGAGGAACCGATGGCAACACCACTATGGAGAATACATGTTAGCCTGGAACAGCTGCGTCGAACGGAAGTCTGCCGCCTGCCGCCTATCTTGCAGACTGACTCGGAGCTTGAGAATGAATGCGACTTACCCAGCGGTAGCAGCCATTTGGCCGAACAAGCTGGATCCGCCACTGGACTGGGCAGCAGGAGCCTGTTGGGTCTGTGGGGGAGCAGCGGCGGTAGAGGATGGTCTCTGCTGCTGCATCTGGGGAGCTGGTCTAGCGGGAGCAGCGGTTGGTCGGGAGGGAGCGCTGCGCGCAGGGGCGGCGGAACGACGTTGACGGGCCATCTTGAGTGTGTAGGGGTTGTTTGGTTAAGTCGAGAACTGTGTCTTGATCGTGTATATAAATCGTTGATGGAGAGACGTTGGAGAAAATACAGAGTGTTTCTTCTGATGCGCAGAAAGGTGAAGAATATGGGGGGCGGACAAACGTCGGGCCGAGCAGTTGTTAAGCGTAACTCCGATTGGCCGAGAAACTGCAGATTTGTAACCTATCGATCTTGCATGTTTCTACGAGGATCTAGATATCGGATCAGATATATTGTATAGTTATTTGTATAGTTATTGTCTATTCAATTATGTATACTCCGTACAGGGTATCTATATTGTGGTGGCTCGTCGCTGTCCTCCTGTAGACTCTATGATCAAGCCATCGATCTTGCGTGAGTACAGTACTGGAGGCCCGGCGCAGCTTCCATGACCCCGGGGCATATTGCAGGCATAGTAAGAGCCGATATGCAGGGCATCAGACTCAATGTGCTGTGTATAGCAAAGAACAGCAAGTCTCTGTCGGCCTGGATGATTGTTCAAACGGCGTTCTAGCCAGGCCACCTCAACCGTTAGCATTCGCATTCGCAGGCTGTTCCGCTTGCTGCGCTGCTTCTCTCTTGCGCTGCCTTTTTATGCGATTCTTTTCCTTCTTTCTGGCCCGCTTTGCCTTCCTTTCTTTCTCATTTTGCTTCTTTGCATTCGTGGGCTGATCCAACTTAATAACCAGCTCTTCGCTCTTCGTATCCTCATTCTGGCCATCTTCATCCTCGTCATCCTCGTTGTAATCATCATCCTCCGCTTCCGCCGTTTTACTCTTCTTCGGCTCAGGCGTCGAAAGTTCGGTGCTATCTCTTTCAGACGAATCGGACTCTTCGATCGGGCGTTTCTGCGGTACCGCCGACTTTGCCTTCACTCTAGCTAGTTGTGCCGCCCGTAGTTGCGCCATGGCCTTCTCCTTTGCCTCCTGCTCGGCGCGCTCGAGATCTATCTTGTCATTTCCTGCCTACACCAGCAAGTCAGACGCGTTTATTCCAGAGGGTAATGGTAAAGGTTGCACTTACAAGTCCATGTTTTATAAATCTTCCGGCAGCCTGTTTGTCTAGCGTCATTGTTCGTTTCTCTGGCGGGGCCTCTAGGGTCTTAATCTTTTCATGATACTGCCTCACTCGAATCAGTTCCTTGAACACAGGGTGTTCTTTTGCATCTACATCGTTGAGACGTAGATACGCTAGAGAAGAAGTTAGCTTGGCGGGTCAATAACGCATTCACAGACGACACGTACAGAATATAAGAGACTCGATGGAGTATGTGAGAAGGATATGAAGCTTTGCCTTCTCCATCAACGGCAGCTTCTGTGCAGTCGCGGCCAACCCATGCTCTAGAAGCGGCTCTAGGGCCTCTTCTATCTCATCAATATTATCTTCCAGCTGTTCTAGCAGCGGAGTCAAATCTGCAGTCTCCATGGCCATCTCTGTAGCTGTCTCTGTAGCTATCTCTTATCTCTTGCTTGTCCAGTCTTCAACTTCTTCCTTTCTTTCTCTTCCGCAGCGAAATATTAAATGCTTATGTAAGAGCTGACTTATCAAACCTTATCGGCACAATGAAGCACGTGATATCGAAATTGAAATTCGCGACTTCTTCGCCTTTTGGACGGTCTCTTTTCGTATATGTTTATGTATAGTTGCCTCAGTTGATATTGTTAGTGCAGTTGAGCTGGATCTCGCTGGGCTGGATACTATACGTGCTCAATATACTGAAGATACCCACATTCACTCCATTTTCAGGGGCGTGACGCGAGAATCCAACTTTTTAATTGCATTGCCGAGGGAGCTCAGTTGAATGCCATAGCTAATAATCGGACTTTTGCCCGGCTATCCGAATGAATACCCCCAAGAGGCTGTGGGCTAGGTTCAATAGCTTTCAGCCCATCCAAGGACAATACACATGCACATATACCCTTAGATGGACGGCTGGATCGCGGCATCCCTTTTCCTCTGGGCAGCAACACTCATACAACTCTACTTGGTCTGCCAACAGGAACGATAATTTCGAATATAAGATGCCTTCAACAAAGAAAATTCACATAATGGGGGTAGGCAACATAGGATCTTTCGTGGCACACTCGCTGGCCGCATACCCTGCCCCCAGCCGGCCTCACATGACTCTCCTTTTCCACCATCCGGCCTTCTACAAAGACTGGAACCGCTTCGGACGCTCGGTTATCGTAAAGCGTCACGGCTTAGCTGAGAAACGTACGGGATTCGGAATAAACGTGCTCCAGGACGGAGTATGGTATTATCCATCTGAAATTGCAGATGCGCCGCGAGAGTTGGTGCGAGAAGAGCAAACCCTACGCGAATATGAGAGAACGGATGCCCAGGGTCGACATATACCAGCCGACGAAGAGTTGATCGAGCATCTGATTGTGACTGTCAAGACGACGCAGGTTGAAAATGCGCTAAAGTCAGTTCAGCACCGGCTGACACGAGACTCGTCTGTACTGTTCCTCACCAACGGCCTCGGCGTGCTAGAAGAGGTGAACGAGAAGATATGGCCGGAGGAAGAGAGTAGGCCGAATTATCTATTTGGAATCACCTCGCATGGCCTATACCGGTCGGGCCTCTTTGAGACCACGCACGCCGGAGTTGGCACTACGACTATCGGCGTGGTGCGTAACAACAATGCACAGCCGCCGCAGTCAATACCAGGAGAGGCAGCTTCGGATAAACCAACACTGGCCCCGTCGTCGGCCTACTTGCTGAAGACACTCACACAAGCTCCCGAGCTAGCATGCATATCCACCAACGCCACGGACCTACTCCAACTCCAGCTCGAGAAACTGGCTATAAACTGCGTCATCAACCCGCTCACCCTGCTCATGGACTGCCAGAACGGCGATACACTATACAACTACAACATATCACGCGTACAACGACTTCTCCTCATCGAGATCAGCGCCGTGATATGCGCACTCCCCGAACTTCAAGGTGTTCCTGGGATCCAGGCCCGGTTTGCGCCAGAAAGACTACGTACGCTTGCAGTAAGCGTGGCGAGGCGGACGGCGGAGAACACGAGCTCGATGCTACAGGATTCCAGGATTGGGAAGGAGACGGAGGTTGCGTATATGAATGGATATATTGTCAGGAGAGGTGAAGAAGTAGGCGTGAGGTGTGCGTTGAATTATATGCTGATGCAGCTGGTGCAGGCCAAGGGGAGGATGATGGGCAAGAAGAAGGCAGGGGAGGTTCCGTTCGATCTTTCGAAGCTTTAGCCAGCGTTGTATACTATTTATTTAATCTACGAACTTGTAATCTTTCCCCGTTACCTATAGATCTATAACTTGTACTGGGCCAGGATCTAGATTCTTACTAAGCGGGATACCTTGAAGCTAAGAAGAGTTGGAAGTAAAGAAGTACAAGAAGCAAAGCACACCAAGATGCCTCCACGGATAAAGATATCAAGTCAATTGCTACGGTCCCTTTGCCGGCAAGGGTGCGTACGCGAGTTCTCTGCTCTAAGCCGCCCGGCATCCAACTATCCCGGCCATGTCCCTCTTACGACGGTCGAGAGGTGCTCTCTGGCCATCGGATCAGCCATCGGATCACTATTAAACCCTCGACGACATGGTAAGACTCTTTTTAACTTATGATATAGACGACGTCTGACCTCCGATAGACCTGATTGCCACCCTGGGCGAGACAACAGCGACGCCATACTTCATCTACCGGCTGCGAGACGCCATGCTCGCCAGCCCTACTGGCCGGCGAATCCTCCGTGACCGACCACGCATCACATCCCAGACCCTCTCACTACCATACCTACGCTCTCTCCCTGCCTCGTCTCTGGGCGCAACATACGCTGCCTGGCTGGACCGTGAAGGCGTAACGCCCGACACCCGCAGCAGCGTGCGGTACATTGATGACGAAGAATGCGCGTACGTGATGCAGCGGTACCGCGAGTGTCATGACTTCTACCATGCCGTCACCGGCCTACCTATCGTGGTAGAAGGCGAGGTAGCGCTGAAAGTATTTGAATTTATGAATACGGGCCTACCGATGACGGGACTTAGTGCTGCGGCCGTGGTGAGGTTGAAGGGACCGGAAAGAGAGAGGTTCTGGAACATACATCTTCCCTGGGCTGTGAGGAGTGGAGCTAAGAGTAAGGAGCTGATAAGCGTTTACTGGGAGGAGGAACTGGAGAGGGATGTGGGTGAGTTGCGGGAGGAATTGGGTATTGAGGTGCCGCCTGATCTGAGGGAGATGAGGAGACAGCAGAGGAAGAGAGACAAGCAGCGAGCTGGCAATGCATAGATCAGTCGTCATTCTCATGTATAATAGAAACATCATCCTCATAGTTGTAAAACACCATCCTCGTCATTGTAAAAGAATTCCATATCGTAGTCCGCCTATAGATCCAACAGGTCGTCATCGTCATCCCATCCGCCTCGCCGGTTGATAACTATCTTCTTCTCCTCCTTATTCTCAGCCACGGCGTTGAGTAGCTCCTTCAGCTGGTCCTCCGTGACCTTCTGGCGCAACTGGCCGGACCGAGCAAGCATAATCAGCCTGTTCTCGATGTCTGTGGCACGCGACTCCTTGACAAGACGGATACGCCCGAGCCTGTCTGCGGCTTCGGGGAGTAGAATCTGAGACAGGATGGACTGACGGGCTTCATTTTCCTTGCTTCTACTCTTAATTAGCATCATATACTATGAACTGGGGTGTATATCGTGTGTAGAGGGGATGAGATACCGCTGGTCATCGTCACTTCCGCCGCCACTGGGACCGCCCTGCTGCTGCAGCTGTGCAAGACGGGCTTTTCTAATCTATACACTGTTAGATGTGAAGCAGGTAGAGTTGTCAAAGTAAGAATACAGACCTCCTCGAGCTCTGCGTCCGCCATGTCGAGCTGTGTTGTCCGCGATGGTGGGATGGCGGGGTGCCTATATGCGATATGAAACTCGTTACTCGCTATAGCAATGGAGCCGACTTGAGCTGTTATAGACCGTTGTCTGTATAGATGTTGTGGTGAGGTCGTGTTTCTTCTTTCAAATATATTTTCTTTCTCTTCTTACTTGGTCTTCTTATTGTGGCTAATATCGCGATCTTATTTGTGACTTCATAATTTCCTATTTAGCTACTATAACTACACCTACAATATCTACAATATACCACAGTATACTACAACGTCATATTTATAATTGATATATACACACTAATAACTATAACCATATAACTATACAGTATAATAACATCTTCCTCTCCTCGCTCAACCTGGTCTTGTAGCCTTCATCATACACTGCACCATCCGTCTCATCCATCTCTCCCATCACCATCATCTTACCATCTTCTCACTTATATCTTCTCTCTTCATCTATACTTATATCTTTATCATCTCTTCATCTCTTCATCTCTTCATCTATACTATATCTTTACCATCTTCATCATCCATCGCCACCACGTGACCTTCAACTTCAAACTTCAACTTCAATTTCAACTCTACCAAAACTTCTAACTTCAACTTTTCCAACAAACTCGCTCCCTTCTGGTTCCTCCCGCCAGGAACACGCAGAGCGAAATACGCCGGCCAATGGACAAGGCTGAATCTTCCTCTTCATCGCTTCGTCTTCGTCTCTTCGCCTCGCCTTCGCTTCATCCTCGGAATCTGCAGAGTGGATCTCCCCGGCCTGCGCTGCATTACGTCTCTTGAACTCCGCCGTGGCGACCGCTAGGTCACCTACACTTCACCTCACCGGCTCTGCGTTGTTGCAATCCTCACTCGGCCGTTCTTGAAAAGTCTTCATCTTCACTGGCATTCCGGCTGCTCAGCTTCACTCACCATGCTCCGTCGCTAGCAGGCCGACATCTCGATCGCAGCCACTAGCGTGCGAGCCCCTGCCGCGATACGAGCCGCCAGTCCGCATCTCAACCGCCATGGCAGAGTATGTTCACCACGTCTCCAACCTCATCTCTTCCGCCTGTCTTCTCCCCGGCATCTCTACTGACACAGCACGTCCAGATTACTAGCCTACGGGCTGCACCCGGACCGGACGCCCTCCAAACTCGTCTCGCGCGCAAAATCGTCAAATGCACTCGCAGACATGGCTGCCGTCGTCGCCCAGGGTCCTACCCGCCGCTCCCACGAGCGAGACCGAGATCGAGATCGGTCAGAGAACTCGCTCTCGACCCTCCGCGACCCGCGGGTGGCCAGCACCTCGGATCTCTCCCGCACAACCTCGACTTCTTCCACCTCACACCATCCGGACCTGAGTAACGAGGTTGCCAACCTCAGTGACAAGCTGATACAGGCCATCAACCACCAGACCCTGCTGGATGACAGTCTGGCAGTGGCTCGCCAGGAGCTGGAAGAGGAGAGGAGGAAGAGGAGCACGGTAGAGAAGGAGAAGAAGGGAATCGAGACGGAGCTGGAGACATTGACTGCTGCCTTGTTCGAGGAAGCTAATAAGGTACGTCACGTCACCTTACATTTCTCTGGATAAATACAGATATGATACTAACTATGGATAGATGGTTGCTGCAGCAAAGAAGGAGCGGGAAGCAGTTGAGCGTAAGAATGAACAGCTTAGAGCTCAGATAAAGGACACAGAAATGCTGCTTGCATCACACCAGGAACAGCTCGCCGAATTGAAATCCGTCATCGAGCAGATGAACGACCGACATGACGATCCCGACACAGCTACCACCTCGACATCAGCGAATTCTCCCTCCGACCTGTTCGCTGAACCATCACACATCAACCGTCTCTTCGAAGCCATGAACCTCTGCCCAGTCACCCCGGGATCAGACGACATCCCACCTGCTCCCTCTACAAGCTTCACACACCTCCTCAAACCGGTCTGTCGCACAGACATCCTTGCCTACGAAGACTTTCACACCCTCCTGCAGCTGTCCCGTTCAAAACCACCAAGTCGTGTGGGGAGTGGCTCCTACAGTGGTTTAAATGTCATGAACTTGGCCAACCTAGCCTCTGCCCGACCAAAATCGACAACACACACTCCAACCAACTCCCAAGACACCAATAACAACAATAACAGTCCGGCAGGCACGCATTCTTCCTCTTCTCCATCCCCACCACATGGCATATCTTCTTCGCCCCGGGAAAACATCACATCCTCCATGCAACTCAAGGAGACTCGCTTCTACAAACGCATACTCACAGAAGACATCGAGCCCACTCTACGGCTGGACATGGCCCCAGGAATATCATGGCTTACACGCCGTTCTGTGATGAGCAGCATAGTCGACGGCGAACTCATCATCGAACCTATCCCGACAAACAATGGCAACTCACACTCCGACCTCCCGTCCCCACCGTCAACTCCGTCAAGCATGTCCAGCACCTCCATCCCTTGCACTCTATGCGGCGACCGTCGTCTATCCGATAATCCGCGAACACACCGTTTCCGTACCTCGAGCTCAGACAATGCTCCACGCCATGCTCTGTGTGCACTCTGTCTAGAGAAGATGCGCTCTTGCTGCGATTTCGTGGGTTATCTTAGGCTCGTGGTTGATGGACATGTGAGGACCGGAGGAGGGGAAGGAGAAGGCCGAGAGAGAGAGAAAGAGGCATGGGAGGAGACTGTTAGGTTGAGAGAAAGGATCTTTTGGGCCCGTGTCGGTGGTGGTGTTGTTCCCGCTTTTGTCGTGGGGAAGAAGGACGAGAATATAGAGAAGGCTGAGCAGAATGGTGAGAACGACGCTGAGGCTGAATTCGTGGCTAAAGATGTTACCATGGTATCTCCGGTGGCTGTGAAGGATGTATCGCCCGCAACTGAGCTGCCCATTCTAACTAAGCCTGAGCTGGAGGAGCCTTCAAAGACCGCTATATCCAACCCTATACCAGAACAAGCTCCGGCATCAGTACCAGCACAGGCACTTGAACAAGCACCTGAACAAGTACCTCAACAAGCTCCAGAACATACACCTGAACAAGCACCTGAACATACACCTGAACAAGCACTTGAACATACACCCGAAAAGGCTCCAGAACCGGTGCCAGAATCAGCACCAGAACCAATACCTGCAACGCAGCCAGTCTCTCTACTTTCTCCAACAGCGCCAAAGGACGCTCCCACCGCTCCCGCTACACTATCAACAGCAGCAGCAGTAACCAAGCCCAAGTTACGGACCCTATCTTCCTCTCCTTCTCGTTATCGTTCTCGCTCCCCGTCACCAGCTTCCACCGCGAAAGCTACAATCTCCAAAACCGCCAGAAAAGCATCTCCTTCGCCCGCTTCCTCTCCATCCCCACGACTCCTCCGTCGCCTCGCTCCCGTCCCACAAACTACGTCCACGCTCACCAAAACCACATCCCCAGACAGCAACCGTGGCAAAACGCCTTTGCCCATAACGCTCCGTGCGACCCCAAATACGACTCCCAAGCCAGCCCCATCCACAGCAGGGCCCGGAGCGAGCGAGAGCAAGCTAAAAGTTAAAATTCCTGCCGCGTTCTTGCATGATAAATAAACAACTACGAGTCTATCATTCTGAGTCTTTCCCCTTGGATAGAGAAAGGAAACAAAAGAACGAACGAACCAAAAAAGCCTCGGAACAAGATGAAAAACACTATCTAAATCCTAGAGATGGATAGGTAGTCGGTGATTGATGATACCCCCGCATTATTCTATTCTATTCTATTCATTCTACTTTTACCCTACTTTATTCTATTCTTAATATCCATCCCCTTGAGAAATAGTACCCCTTCGAGCCTCGGGTTTGACGCTCGTTCAGAACATTTTTTTTCTTTTTTCGTTTCCTTTATATACCACTTTACCTATACACCAACCACGCAGCAAGCACGGCCAGCGGCCAAGTTGGCATTTTTATTCCTTTTCTTTTTTCCACCTTTGAGTAGTGGACCTTTGTGCTTAGCTGTTGTGCTTGTTTAGGGAGAGAGAGTACCGAACGAAGTATAGTTCGTTGGTACATTGTACGTTATGTTATACTATAGATAGGAGGTGGATTGGACAGGATGGATTGGATTGGATTGGTGATGCTCTTCATATGCTTGGTTAACTACTTGCTTGAATAGTTAGAATAAGTAGAATGAATAGCAGAGAGATATTTGAAGTACTTAGATTGTTTTCTTTTTTTTTCTTTAATAAAAAAATAAGCTTAAATATAGCATGTATGCAAACTGCTGAGCGCCATTCTTCCATTCCGGTTTCCGGTTTCCTTTTCCAATTTATCAAAACAAACATGAAGAATAAGGGTGAAAGCTAGGTTTAAGGAGGTAATACATGAAGTAAAGGTACAGTGAACAATAGATATGTAGCGAGGATATCAAATAGAGCTAGTAGAGACGAGCAAGATCTTATAAAAGTAGTAGCATTCACTGCTTCATCTTCTCGTGTATCTTTCGTATTTGCGCGTTGATATCGACCGGCGGGGTATCTGATTTCTGAGACTCACCTTCAGGCTGGGGGGATTGGGATTGTGATTGGGCTGATTGTGGCTTAGGAATGGGAGGTTGTGGTAGGCTATGCGTGACTGGTTTGGGAGTTGGTCTGACTCCAGGACCAGTTCCGGGGCTCATCCCCGGAGTCATCGACATGGTACCAGGCGCTCCGGGTGCGACTCCTGGCACTGTCCCCGGTGCGTGGGCATGAGCAGACACAGAGGGCATTGCCTGATGCATGGACATTGGTGGTTGGTGGTGCATTGGTACAGACATAGTCACAGGCACTCCATTGGGTCCAACAGCCACTCTCTTCCGGCTCATCTCCTCGTTCCCGTCTCGACCCTCGCCTTCGCCTGATCCTGCTGTCCCAGTTGCTCCTGACAGCACTGGATCAAACACATCACTTCTCTGACTAGCCAATCGCTTTAAGTTATTGGCTACATCGAGCGTTGACAAGTTTGTGCTTGCAAATCGCGCGTCAGCTTTGGCGCGCTGTTCTTTCCAGCGTGGATCCTGTAACTCAATGCGCATGTGGTGCTCCATTTCGGCGATGGGGATTTTCTGGCGACAATTAGGACATATGGAGGTTGGTTGATTAGTGTTTGAGAGGTTTTTGGCCTGGGCGCGGGGGATGTAGTCGGATCGGATGCGCATGGGAGGTTGGCCTGGGAGAGGGGATGGGGAGGGTACGGCGCGAATCCGGTCGCGGGACGGGTGATGCTCCTGGACAGGAGGAGCGGGAGACGAGGTTGCGGGAGGAGGAGCTGGGGAAAGGGAGGCGGATGTGGACGTTACTGCTGTCGAAGGGAAGGATGATGGCATAGGACCAGTCGATGTAGGGCGTTGAGGTTGTAGGACGGGGAGAGCGGGTTGATGTGGCATATCGGTCGTTGCGTTGTAGTATATTGTACTGTCATCTTCAGTGGGCATGGCTTCTTCTATTCGTCTGTTGTTTGGCTGTAGCGACATCATGGCCTTTTGCTCCAGAGATGCCGTCTGTAGATCGTTCAGTGAGGTTGGAGGAGGTAATTCTGTCTGATCGTCTGCTTCCGTAAACAGGACCGTCTCGACGACCACGAAGTCATGCCAGTCGATCTGGGCATAGGCTACTTTTTCTTCTTCCTCCTCCTCTTCCTTCTGCAGTTTTTGTAGCTCTTGGTACTTGACCCATTCAGCTCTCTGTTTTGCGCGGCCCAGAACGTTGTATTTATTCTTTACGTTCTCCTTGAGCTCTGCCAATCGCTGTGCCTCGGTGACAGTACTCTCGCGGCCCTCGACCTGTAATAGCTCTCTGTATTGGTCCACCAGCCTCGTGAAGAATTGATATAGACTGTGCTGCGGGCGGAGGAAGTCAAATTGGAAGTTTCTTGTCTCGCGCTGGGATAGAGATGTCATGAACGATCTCCCCCTCTTCGCAACGAATAGCGCCGTCAGTTTGACCACCTCTAGATCCAGAGCGTTGATATTCGGCATCCGAGCAGCGAACTGGAACTCTGGCGGAGCTTTGGGCGCAATTGGTTTTTCCTCTTCCACCGGGGCAGCTTCTCCAACGCGACCAGCCGACACGGCCGTCCCTCTCCCGGCTTTGATTTCACTGAGTCGCCATGCGTAAAACGCAGCGTAGGCATCGTTGGGATTCAGGAAGCAGAACTTGGTGTTGTTCTTCTCCTTCTCTCGAACTCGGTCTGTAAAGACAATGCGATCAATATCTCCAATATCTCCCCGTATATCACCAGATCCGAAGCTACTTACCTTCAAACACATGTCCATTACGCGCAACGAAACCCGCGGTCTTCTCGACAATAACTAATCGCAAGTCAGTATATCCGTTCAGCTGTTCTCACCACGGATACCTTGACCCGTACATACCTTTGATATCTTTTGGTGGCAAGATAACGCCCTCTGGCGGCTTGATCACCTCATCTAGCAGGTCTGAAGGCGCGCCAGCGGTCTCATTAACGGCATACGGAGCCATCTCGAACACGAACAACAGTCTCGTCGTGTGGTGGCTGGATATTGAACGTCTCTGGTATCTTTTTGACCTTCTTCGTGGTTTCGAGCTTCAAAATGATGTATGCTTACCTAATCACGCCTCCGACCCCTTTCTTGATCCTCAAACACGCAAACGAGAAAACAACAACTGCGACTGCGCGACTCTTAGCGAACTGCTTGTTGTCCTTTTCCTTCTCGTGCGGCCTTGTCGGGTTGTTGCTTTTGACAGCTTGTCCTTGGTCGTTTACCTTCTCTTCTTGACGCTCGCTCGCCCTCCTTCGTTTTCTTTGCTCGGAGTATTTCTTCTCTACTTCAGCCTCACTTGGCGTCGTCTACTTTTAATCAATGTGGCCCGTTTAGCTTCAACTTCTCTACCATACACCATTTTTTTAATCCGTGATAATGGCGTCCAAGGCCTCGAATGCCGGTCTGGAGGCGAAGACGCCGCGCAAAAGCCGCTCTAAGAGTCGTTCTAAGAGCCGTTCCCCAGGTCCTAAAGGTCGATCCAAGCAGGCCGAGTCGAAGGCCAACGATTACCGCTCCGATGGCGTTAAGGACTACGATGTCCTCAATCTGCCAGTATCAGACTATAAGATAATGCTTATTATTACTGCAATTGCAACGGTAGTTCGCCTGTTCAGGATCTATCAGCCTACCAGTGTCGTCTTCGATGAGGTCCAGTACGTGTCCCCCCCTCTACAGCTGAAATTACTGGGGATTCGTGGCTAACAGGGCACTCTACAGCTTCGGAGGCTTTGCTACAAAGTATATCAAAGGCAAATTCTTCATGGACGTTCACCCGCCATTGGCCAAGCTTCTTATCACCCTCGCTGGTTACCTCGCCGGATTTAAGGGAGATTTCGACTTCAAAGATATCGGAAAGGATTACCTGGAACCCGGTGTTCCTTATGTTGCTATGCGCATGCTTCCCGCTATTATGGGTATAATGACGGTTCCAACGATGTTCCTTACCCTAAAAGCGACTGGTTGTCGTACTTCTACTGCATCAATGGGTGCCTTACTGGTTACTTTTGGTAAGCTCCCTACATGACATTAGGCGGGCAGACATGATCTGACATCTGTTATAGAAAACGCACTCGTCACCCAATCTCGATTTATCCTTCTGGACTCTCCTCTTATCATTTTCACCGCCTTGACCGCCCTGTCCTTCATTTCGTTCTCAAACCAACATGAACAAGGCCCTCCCAAAGCTTTTGGATGCTCGTGGTGGTTCTGGCTTGTGGCATCAGGCCTGTTCCTAGGAGCTACTGCGAGCGTAAAATGGGTTGGTCTCTTTACCATTGCATGGGTTGGCTCTTTGACCCTTGTTCAACTTTGGGTTCTTCTCGGTGATCCGAAAACTGTTACCCCAGTAAGTTATCTTTCGAGAGACCGAAATATTTTATTCGTCCCAATTAATATCTATTAGCGCATCTGGTTTAAACATTTCTTCGCGCGTGCCTTTGCCTTGATTGTTATCCCTGTTGGCTTCTACATGGCTATGTTCGGTGTCCACTTCCTGTGTCTCCGAAACCCTGGTGAAGGCGATGGATTTATGTCCTCTGAATTCCAGGCAACCCTTAACTCAAAGGGCATGAATGATGCGCCAGCAGATGTCGTGTTTGGCTCAAGAGTATCGATCAGACACCACAACACCCAAGGAGGTTATCTACACTCGCACAGCCACATGTACCCAACCGGAAGTAAGCAGCAACAAATCACCCTTTACCCCCACAAGGACGACAACAATGTCTTCATTCTGGAAAACCAGACCCAACCACTGGGACCCTATGGTCAAGTTGCCGGCCCACATGCATGGGACAACATTACTACGGAGAACATTATGGATGGTAGCACCATCAAGCTCTACCACATCGCTACCGACAGACGCCTCCATTCCCACGATGTTCGCCCTCCTGTCACCGAAGCTGATTGGCAATTCGAGGTCTCCGCGTATGGTTACGAAGGTTTCGAGGGTGATGCCAATGATCTCTTCCGGGTAGAAATCGTTCCTTCCATGTCGGATGGGGTAGAGGCAAAGAAGAGACTGAGAACTATCGAAACGAAGTTTAGACTGATACATGTGATGACTGGTTGTGTTCTGTTCTCGCACAAGGTGAAACTCCCTGAATGGGGCTTCGAGCAACAAGAAGTTACTTGTGCCAAAGGCGGTTCACTTCCCAACAGCATCTGGTACATTGAGCAGAATAGCCAGCCAGCTCTCCCTGCCGATGCTGAGAAAGTGAACTACAAGATTCCTGGTTTCCTAGCCAAGTTCTGGGAACTTCACAAGGTTATGTGGAGGACGAACGCTGGTCTCGTTGACTCTCACGCCTGGGACTCTCGCCCGCCATCCTGGCCTATTTTGGCTCGCGGTATCAACTTCTGGGGAAGACAACACCGCCACATTTACCTCATTGGCAACCCAATCATCTGGTGGACTTCTACTGCCGCAATTGCAATCTGGGTAGTCTTCAAAGGTCTTGCCGTTCTTCGATGGCAGCGTGGCTTCAAGGACTATAACTGCGTTCACTTTAAACGCTTCGATTACGAGATTGGTCAAACCCTTCTCGGCTGGGCTCTCCACTACTTCCCATTCTATCTCATGGCCCGCCAGCTCTTCCTCCACCATTATCTCCCAGCTCTCTATTTCGCCATCCTCGCATTTTGTCAAATGTTCGATTTTGCCGCTAACAGGTTCACCAAGCCATCCGTTTTCGGCAAGCTATTCATTGTTGCCTTCTTGACCCTAAGTGTTGCCGCTTTCGCCCTCCTTTCGCCATTGGCATATGGCAATATCTGGACTAGGGATATGTGCCAAAAGACTAAGTTGTTGACAACCTGGGATTTTGATTGCAACCTATTCCATACTGACGTAAGTGTTCCAACGTGGACGGCTCCCCAACGTGGTCATGGCTGAATTGAGTACTGACTTGGTCAGCTGTCCCAATATTCCACCCCTGAGGTCATTGATAGCCCGGTAGCCGCAGAAACGCCCGTAGCATCTTCACCCGCGCAGCAACAGCAACAGCAACCTCCCCAGCAGGAGAACCAAGTCCCTATTCAGCTAGAATCTGTCGAGGTTCCACCTTCCCCGAAGGATGGAGAAATTCGTAAGATCCGACAAGTCGAGTACCGCGATCAAGACGGCAATATCCTAAACGAGGAACAGGTTAAGGCCCTGGAATCGCAAGGAGAGGTCTCGTTCGAGACCCGATATGAGACTCGAACTAGACTGATCGACAGCCAGGGTAGTGAAATTCCAAAAGAAGCTCTCATCGCCCCTGAACACCCTGATGTTCAAGGCTCTAACCCCGAGACCGTTGCCAAGAATGCACCTGAAGTGCCAGCCGACAAACCTGCTGCCGTTGAGGGCGAAGAACAGTCGGTACAGAGGGAAGAGGGAAAGCCTAAGCCAGCCAGCGAGGCTAATGCTGCTACAAACTAATTGAATCTCCACGATATCTAATGGTTTCATTTCTAATCTGTTTCCTGTAAAATATTAATTACTGTTTATGGCCTGAGCTTTTGCGGGACGTTTTGAGGTGTCCGATTTTACGTTTTAAGAAAAATAGAATGGCTTAAAATAACAACTTTCGGTGTTGGTGTGGTTGTGTTCATTCCTCATGAGTGCAGATTAACAGCTTTTTAGAGTAGGATACAAAATAGACAACCGACACTCAAATGGTGTTGACACAAGATCAATGTTACTAGGCAACAAGAAGTAATTGACTAAAGTGATATGCGTCCCCATTATAATAATATGCGCCCAGCCAAACATATTGCTTGCATCTGATATCATAGATGTAAAAAAGACTTAAACAACCGTATGTAGCATGTTTGCCTGAACAGGATTATTATGAAACTCGGTCTGAATTGACAACTTCAAGTATCAACGAAATAGATCAAAGGAAATGATTAAGCTTAAAGCTATTGGCTCAAAAAACGACACTGCGTATACAGCAGCGAGGAGAGCGAATAAAGATGACAAGATGTTACAATTGTAGGAATATGTACAGGAATCTCGATGCTGTGGTTTAAGTCTAGCATAATTTCAAATCCACCCTTGATGGTATAGCCTGGAGTTGATTTAGAGATCCTTTCCATACTTGTTGAATCGTTCGTGGAGGTCCTATTCTTAATATCAGTAAAACGTCCCAGGATATGTCAATTGATACGAATAGACGTATGGCGGATAACGTACCACTGGTAGGGTCACGTTTGGAATGATGACCTCGTTCAAGGCACTGGGGGCCTCCTTGAGGGGCTGGCTCTTGTCTCCGTGAGGGTGATATCTGTACTTGAAGTTGCCCTTGCTCTCGGAATCCTTCTCGTCGACTTCCCATGGCATAGAACCGCTCTCGCCAACACGGACGTTGCTCTCGGAGCTAACACTGGTAGGAGTGCTGCCTAGGTACCAGCCGACGATTCCAAAGGCACCGGCCATAACGGCAAGGAGGACCTGTAAAATTTCCCAACGTACCCCCATGGTTAGCCTTATTATCGCATCAGGGAAGGATGTGGCCATTGCAATTGCAGCCGTCACGGCCAGGTCGACGTACGTAGAGCTCAGGGTCCTTTTTGGCGCCCTTATCGAGGCCGGCTTCCGCGGCCTTGGAGGAAGCGTGTCGTCTGAAGGGCTGTGGTGTGGCGAGTCTGCGGACTGGCTGGCGCAGGAACGCCCGGCGGGCCATGGCGGCTGAGATGGAGGACATGGTGAAGGGCAGTCTGACCAACGCTGCTGTATCCGGAGTCAGAAATGGCCAATTGGTTGCAGGACGACGAAGCTGAAGCTGTGTATAGCGGTAAATTGTCGCTTTGTTGCTGTTTCCAGGGTGGGTTTGGGTCAGTGGTCTAGTCACGTGGGATGTTTTAAGTCACGTGGAAGTTACGTGATGTGTCAGCTTAATCACGTGGTGTTCGCGGCTCTGGTCACGTGGTAGATGACATCACATGACTATACACGCTTCTGGAGATTAAAGGGAGGAAGAACTTCAAGGACAAGGAGAAAAGCACAACACGAAACGACGACATCAACCCGACCAGCAGACGCTCTCTTTCACTTGATACACAGTGTTATATCTATATCCCCTTCGTTCTTTTTCTCCTTCTTCTCGTCGTCGTGTTTTTTTTTTTCAGCAAATTTGGTCCGGAACGTCTTCTACACAGCCTCAGCTAAAGCTTGGCCAAGGGTGTCAATAATGAGAGCTTGAACAACCATCTACACATATTGGCACGATAATGCATCGCGACTGTTAACTCTTGATACTATCACGGATCCTACGCTGCAATGGCGTCTTCTGAAAACAACCACGAAGCCCCAAGCTCGCGCCGTCTCCCGCCGCCTGCATCCCAGCATGCTCGACCCGGCTCCTACATGTCCTCCCACATGACAAGCGTTATATCAGAAGACGAGGAACCGTCACATCAGCATCCGGCATCATGGTCACAGCCGGCTCAGTCGCGTCGTGGACCGCCGCCATTGAGGAATGCAATGGCGAATGCACGACCTCCCAGCGCACAGAGCAAAATGAGCAAGACACACGTATCCTCGCTCACCTCACAAGCATTCTTCCGCCCCATGAGCTCGCAGAGACTGCAGGCACAGCGTAGCGGGAGGCCTACAACGACGGCAACCAATGCCACTTCAATTGATGACAACCAGAGTGATGTAGCAAGCCAGGCGCGGAGGAGCATAGTATCGAATACGACGGCACATCTAGAGCATGAACTGAGGCCGCCATCGAGAGGAACAGAGTTCACGGACCCGGTCTTGCCTGACAGGCTGACTACCAACACCAGTCCCTCCGGGAATGCAACCGTTCGCAGCCTGGGGGACAATGTTAGGCTTCTCAACGATAGATCCCACAGAACGTCAACACCCGCGCAAGTGAACCTGGGGGAGAACTATAACAACCCAGGCGCATCACACGAACCCCCTTCCAAGTCGCCTATTTCTTTCCCGTCCGGTCTTCTCGGTGGGAATGGATCTGAATCTACAATTCGCCGCGGCGACCAGAGGAATCACGCAAGGCTGGCATCGAACCCGACGTCTATTCCAGAGTCTGAAACTAAGAAAGTTGACGAGAAACCAGTCACAGAGAAGGGAAAGAATTATGAATACTTCACGGGGAATACCGCGTTCTTTGGCGGCGGCAGATTCCAGAATTCTCGTGATAGACCAGTCAACATTGTGACTGCATTATTGATAATCATACCAACCGCTCTCTTCTTCGCATTCTCGTAGGTCCCCACCCACGCCTCAACAGTGAAAGCTTGCTTTGCTAATGTATATTCTTCAGGGGTCCGTGGCTATGGAGCAATATGTCGCCTGCAATACCAATTGTATTTGCCTACATATTCTTCCTCTGCATATCATCCTTTCTCCACGCATCCGCAGTTGACCCTGGAGTGAGTTACCATGGAATTCTATCACTATAAATGGTTATTCCTAACGTCTTCTCTTAGATCCTTCCCCGAAATCTTCACATAATGCCTCCAACTGACCCCGAGGCGGATCCCCTGATTCTTGGCCCGCCCACAAGTGACTGGGTTATGATCAAACTGGCAACTTCTGACGTCGCTGCCATGGATGTGCCGGTTAAATACTGCAAAACCTGCAGCATCTGGCGGCCACCGCGTTGCTACCACTGCCGAGTGTGCAACAACTGCGTCGAAACCTTGGACCATCATTGTGTCTGGCTTAACAACTGCGTTGGACGTCGAAACTACCGTTATTTCTTCAGCTTTGTTGCATCAAGCACGGTACTCGCTGCTTTCCTCTTCGGCGCAAGTCTCGCCCATATCCTCAGCTATCAAAGCAAGGAAGGGATCAGCTTCGGAGCATCTATAGATAAGTGGCGCGTCCCCTTTGCCATGGTCATCTATGGTGGATTTGCCGCAACATACCCAGCCTCGCTAGCAGTCTATCATCTTTTCCTGATGGGCAGAGGCGAGACGACTCGAGAGTATCTGAACTCCCGCAAGTTCAAGAAAGAAGATAGACACCGACCCTTCACCCAAGGAGGCCTACTCAAGAACTTGACCGTGGCCCTCGGAAAACCCAGAACTCCGAGCTACCTTCAATTCAAGAATCCACATGTCGAGGGTGACCAGCGATTCGCTACTTACCAAGTCAACAAGCGGCGTACGGACGTTGAGGCGCAGAATGGAGACCTCGAAATGCAGCAGGTCAACAACGGACAGCCAGCTGGTGCAACAGGCGCCGTCCCCAGCTCACAGAACGGGCATACTCCCAATTAATCTTCCATTGTGGCTCTGATTTCATGAATCCATGTATAACCCTGTAATCTACCTGTCACCTACCCATTCTCCCTCCCTGACCACTCCTTCGTCTCCCTTTCCCTTACCCTTGACTTCTTGTGTATACCTTTTTGTCTTTGCTCCTTTTTTCGTCCTCCCCTGATTGATTTACGCTTCTAATACCCAGTCCACCCACCTAGACCATGGGCTTTTCCTTTTCCTTGTGGACTGCCACGCAGTCCTATACGTTTTCTATCTGTTTGTTTCCCTAGATAGACCTGTACACGTCCTGCCTCCAGGGGCCCCTTTGGCTACATGTTCCCTTCGCAGCGTCGTCTTTCTGGCACTAACTGCTATAATAATGATGCTTCTAGGGACTGGTCTGCCACAGATGATGAGTTTGGCCGTTTTTTTAGAGCCTTAGCTATAACTGTTAAATATTAATGTCTAAATCTTAGTATTTAACTTCACCCCTTACAGTAAATAAACTATCAGTGGCGCGTTTCTCTCCAGCTTCAAAACCTGAACAACTTCAAAATATCTGAATGCAACAACTGACTGTGTGCGGATACTCCATTTGCGCTCCCTGATACTCGCCGTCAGCGTTTGCCGGTCCATGTTGCATTGTTACCTTGCTTTGTTGACTCTCCCCGGTCCCTGAAGGCTGTCCTCCGCGTCGCGTCCTTCCTATCAAACACCGACACAGTTCACTTTTCACCTTCTGGCGCAGAATCTCGCATTCCTTTCAAGGGAATATATATTTATATACAGCGTCTCCTTCGGCTCAAGCTTGTGGCTCCTTCGCAGTATTCAACTGCGGTCACGTCATATACAACCATGTCGCGTCTCGCCAGAGAATCAACGTCTACATCTATAACTCCGGACAGCGATTCAACCCTTCTTGAGTCGACTGGAAACCCTCTCACGCCGGCAACGAGCATCTCTGAGACCTCTAGCAATGTCGATGTTCCAGTTACGAAGGCCACTTCTCATGTCAACTCGCGATCGACGCGTCGCGTAACTCGAGCATCCATTGGGGATGGAATCAGCACCGGTATCGAGGAGGAAGGGGATAAACAGGACAATGATTCAGAGGAGGTTATATCCGTGTCTGCTACTGGAGAGGAAGCACACGTCAAGCGCGAGTCGACTCAAAGGCGTGGCCTACGTTCGTTACGTGGTCGCCGTAGCTTGGTTGAGGAAACGCCTGAGGAGGAAAATACAGCAGATACGCCCCTGGAAAACGCTGCGCATGGTACTACGAATGATGATTTAAAAGAAGAAAGCGAATCGAGGCAGCAATCGCTTGAGAAAGTCGAGGCTACACAACGCCGAAGACGTTCTGGTCGGTTGACCCTTTTAGAGAGGACCAAGACGGTTTTAAACCAGGTGTCATCGATTCTTGGAAAAAGGCAGCGCGGTAGCAAGGGGAACGAGAAGATCGAACCCAAGGCGGATGGTCGAAGGTCTAGCCTTCGTTCAAGGAATGTTGTTCAAAAGGCACCACAGGAGGAATCGGCCACTAAGAAGAGGCGCGTATCTGGAAACGACGTTAATTCAGAGAAAGATTCGAAGAAAGATGAGCCATCTTCATCAACGGCTTGTGAAATTGCTGTGGCTGCACCCAAGAGGAAGAAATGGCTTTCTCATGGTCTTTACGCAGGTCCAAATGCCTTTGCCAAACTTGAAATACCCCCTTCACAAAGACGGAGAAAGGGATCCAGACAACCACCCCGTGAACGAGTCTTATTTCCTATGCCAAAATACTCTGGTGCCCTCCTGCTGGAAAGAGGCCGACAATTCAAATTACCTTATGACATATTCTCCCCCTTACCTCGCGGCCAGCCTAAGCCAGACGAGTGGCGCAAAATAAACAAAAGTAAGGGGAATATACGTCCTGGCTACTGAAGCTAATGATTCACTAAAGCTAACTGATATAGACATTTTTATTGGTGATGCTGCATGCATCTGGAAGGCTACCATGCCCACTGAGCAATCAACGTGTCTCTGTACCCCTGAGACTGGTTGTGAAGAAAACTGTCAGAACCGACACATGCTCTACGAGTGTGATGATAATAATTGCAAGCTTGGTGAAGATCTGTGTAGGAACCGCAATTTTGCCCAGTTGCGCAAACGTATCAAGACCGGAAGTAAGTATAACATTGGAGTCGAGGTTATAAAAACAGAAAGTCGTGGTTATGGCGTTCGAAGCAACCGGACCTTCTCCCCAAATCAAATCATTGTCGAGTATACTGGGGAGATTCTCACCCAGATCGAGGCCCAGCGCCGAATGAACACGATATATAAGAAAAATGAGGTTTGTTTCCGCTCTCATTTCCCCTGATCCTACCACTTGTCACTAATATCCTCAACAGTGCTTTTATTTGATGGACTTCGACCAAGATATGATCATCGATGCTACACGGGGCTCAATTGCACGGTTTGTTAACCACTCCTGCGAGCCTAACTGCAAGATGGAAAAATGGATTGTTGCAGGAAAACCCAGGATCGCCCTGTTTGCTGGCGATAATGGTATCATGACTGGAGAAGAGCTGACATACGACTACAATTTTGAGTATGGATCCCTCGAGCCCTACACCGTTATATTTATCCAAACTGACCAGCATAATTAGCCCATACTCTAATAAGAATGTCCAAGAATGCCGTTGTGGTACCCCATCCTGCCGTGGTGTATTAGGACCAAGGCCCAAAGGAAAGGACCCTAAGGCCAACGAAAATAGCTCCTCTAAGAAGATATCCACGACGAAATCTACACGCGCAGGAACCAAGCGCAAGTCAAAGGGGACCGCTAACGAGCCCGCCTCTAAGAAGCAAAAAACCAACAAGAAATCCTCCGTCAAAGCAGGTCTGAAGCGAGCGGTATCGAAGGCTTCTCAGAATATAAAGTCCAAAGCGAAGGCGATAAAGGTTTCCAGGAAGCGAGTGGGCGTTAAATTTAACAAGTCCGCAACTAGCAAGGCAGCTGCTACGGCAGCGGCTAACGTCTCCTTTACGTCTGTCTCACGATCTTCAAGAGCAGGAAAGAGAGCCACTGGCAACAAACTACGAATGCCTTCTAGGGCCAGTATCAGGACTGCCGCAACGGCCGTGCAAACGGCAGTGGCGGGCAGAGGTGGACGCAGAGCATCTACTAAGACTTGAACTTTTGATTGCAGCGTATTTTGGGCGTCGTCGGTTTTTGTTTAACAACTAGGCCTCTAGAATTGATATGAACTTATCTAGATACATCGTGCTTTTTGCATTATTCCTCTCGAGCCGTTTTAAGTTATAGGAGCCATTACTGATGGTGGGCGCATTTTTATATTCAACATATGTAGTAGCACTATTAAATTAAATTTGAGCACTCGTCCCAGTTTCCCCCCTATATTCGTTCATACGTCTCCTAATACATATGACAACTTCAAAAAAGACTTTGCAAAGGGGATATCGTCTACTTCATATACTAGATAATATCAGAAACGCTTTATAGAACAAGAACACGTACTAATAGGCCTAAGGGAATAAATAGCTTATTCTACATTACACGGGTTCGCCTATCTGAATGACCAGAGCTCAACCAAGGCTCCCATAGAAAAATTGGAACAGAAAAGCAGACCAAAACGCCAATCCCACCAATACATTTAACCAGTCATTTCAACGTCCTTCCCTACGTCATTATTTGCTTCCTCCTTAGTAGCAGGTATGTCAGAATGGGTATTTTCGCCATCATTTTTCTGTTCCGTGGCTGGAGCTTGTGCTTCTTCTGGCTGCTGCTGCTGCGCAGTAGCGCTTGATACCGAATCAGCTTTCTTATCTAGGCTCGCTTCAAGACTTCCCAGGAGGTCGACCTCGCCATCATCGAAATGAGCGAGATTTGTTGAATGAGGCTGGTTTTCTGTGGTTGTTGGTTGTTCTGTTGATGTTTCGGGGGGAGGGGGCTGCTGGGAGCTCGTCGATGGCTCAATAGACTCGTCAGAGGATGTAGGGCCGGTAACGGGCCCAGGAGCAGGGGAAGGATCGGGGTTATGTTCAGGTTTGAGATCAGACGTAGGGGCAGAGACAGGAGGAGTCTGGGGCTTAGCTTCTGCCTCCGTGCTCGGTGGGATATTCGTTGGTGAAACTTCCTCTTCCTTGGCCGGTGCTTGAGGGCTAACGGCTATATCGGGGACGGGCTCCTTTGCTTCATCAGCCGTGCACATCTCGACGTCTAGGCTTTCCGGGATCGGTGGTGTGGAGGTGCCCGTCTGAGTATCATCCGCTGGGGCATTTGGAGTGGAACTGGCTTTCGACAGGTCAGCGGGATCTGCCGGTTGTGGCTCAGCTGGAATCACAGCTTCCTCTGGCCCTTGAGTGGGGATTACAGCCGCCTTTGGCTCTTCAGTGGGCGACTTTGAAGGCAATTCGGGAGCAGATGTCGTGACGAGTGGCACCTCTAGGGAACTCGAGGAATCCGGAGGTACTGTAGATGTTGCCTCTATGGATGCTTGCCCAGCAATAGAGGTCTGTGGTGTTATACTCTGCTCGTTTAATGGGGTATCAACAACCGGAGTGGTATTTTCATCAACAGGGCCGTCCGCGGTGGTAGGGGTGGGCTTGGAGTCGGCAGTGGATTCGTCTTCCTCGTCGCTCTCATCACCCTCTTCATCGTCATCTTCATCTTCTTCGTCTTCTGGTGCATGGTCTGTTCCAGAAGGTGTCGCGCCATTTTCTGAAACGGCGGACTGGCCTGCTGTGTCCCCTGAAGCTTCAACTCCAGGAGCCACTGGCTGTCCCGTTCCACTCCCAGGCGCAAACATGACCTTCTTCCTGCTCTTCGATTTACTCCCACTTTTCAATTTCCGTTTTGACTTGTTCTGATTGGGTATAACTGCGCTGCTGTCGGTGGTAGCAACCACTACCCCGTTATTATTCACCACCCCAACATCCGCAACCACAGTTCCCGGGGCCGGTTCAACGTTGATAACTTTAGTATTTGGGTTCGCCGCTATAACCTGAGTTTCCTGGACGATCTCTCCTTCCACCTGGTATCCCTCTGGAACCCAGGCTTCGTATATTGATATATTGCCGTTCGTAGGGTCCGTCTTTTTAAATTTGGTCTTCCGCATTGGAGTAGATGAGCCCGCCGCTGCGACTGTATTTGCTTGAGCCCCAGCTCCATACAAAGATGGCAATCCTGTTCTTCTTGGGGCTAGGAATTCCACCTCCGGAAGCTCAACATTTCTTGGTGCTAACGTCCATTTAGTTGCTGTGAAAGTCCGCTCGTGCTCTGCTTGCTCTGCTGCCGTATCCTCCTCATCCTTTTGATCTGCTTCCTCTGGCTCTGGGTCCTTGCGGACAGGTTGTATGTATGTGCATCCAGCTCTCGCGGCGCGAAGCAGCGCTCGGCTCACCGGCGTCAGAAGGTTGCTATCTCTAGGCATCGGTAATTCCGGCAGACTGTTCGAGTCTACTATGCTTGTCTCCTCCTCGGTTGGCTTGGGCACTTGCGAGAATGTCGTCTGCTGGCGAGACCAGCGGCGAACAGGCAGTCCCTCGAAGACATCGTGATCGATTGGGCCCGGTCGATGGGGACGAGAGGATCGGTTCTGCATTATTCAACGTAGAATGAGTAAACTAGCTTGCCATGAGCTGGAATAAGGCATGCGCGCGCATAGAACCAGGTCATGATGCTCGCGATTGGAGGGTTTACAACCTGACGCGACGGGGGAACTGCCGCCGACCAGCAACCAGGCAGCATAACCTAGGATTGCTGGAGGGCAGAAGTGGGCAGACAAGAAGAGAGAGCACTTACGAGACCCATCCTGATACCGACTGTTAAACTGCGTTATTCCACTGCATGAACCAAAGCTCCGCGGCTGGAAATCGCTTTCGTTTCTTCGTTTCGCGCTCGAAGTTGAAGGACAGAAAGTGCTTAGTCATCTATCTTGACAAAGGCCTATCAATTTTTTTATACAGCATAAAAAACAGGAGAGTATCAAAAAGATATGCAACCGGGCAAGTTACAAGCATTAAGTCTATATTCTACATATTCCCCATTGTGAGGGGAGAGTGTTCGGTCCCTTTTGTAGTCCCTATATGCGGATAACCTTTCACCTAACCACAGAGTCCCGAGCAGTTTAATTTGACCTATATGAAAGAGTAAGTAAGTGTTACTTTGTAAATGTAAAGCCAAGGTAGTGTAGGCCTTACCCAGAGTCATGTTGTCGAACTATGCTGCCTTCATTCCCGGTTTCCTTCCCCTAGATATTCCGTAAGTTTCATGCATTGCCACCGATAAACACCTCCGTCAGATCAGAAGTAGTTTAGGAAACTTACAGTCTTCTGCCCTTCAACCACTAGTCTGTCCAGCTGGTAAAACTGGCTTATAACTGTTTGTCTCTGTTCAACGAGGAGATATCGAATCAGCTTTTGACGCAGGACGATAAGAGAACGATTTCAGAATAAGCCTACCTTCATCATTTGCAAGTTGCTCAGCCCCTTCTGCATGAATTCCTGTATCTTCCGCTCTTCGGTCTCATGTTGATGTTCTCTGAAAGCATCGACGGTCCGCCTTCGTGCGTATGCTCGGAAATTGTAGGCGGCGAATTGGTTCGATTGGCGGAGGAGAGACCGGAACTATACAATGCAATGTCATTAGCGAGAGCAATTCTAGGATGAACGAAAAAGGTGGAAGGTTGTGTGATGATATCCAGTGGGATGTCGCAGACGAAGGCTCTAGGTAGCTCTCGGTGGAATGAAGACACGTACAAGCGATCGTGCCTGGAAGGCGGAACTTCGGTTTACCGACTGTACGGACATTCTGAAGCGTTTGAAGCGTTGTAGGGGCAAGGCGACCAGGTTATGGTTGCTATTCGACTGCCTGTTGGGAGGATAGCGAGCAGGTCAAGGACTGCACCCAAAGCTCTGAGACGATCAAAAGGTGGGCAGAAACGCGAATGCCACGGTCTATAGCAGCGATATATCGAAATATGGTCCTATCGCGTCTCCTGGCTGCTATCGTATGCAATATCTGTTGAAGCAGCAGTAACTGCAAGACCGCATGTACGAAGTTCGACGAATTAATTAATAAACGGGCTCGGAGATAAGCGTGCTCCGCGGCAGGTCCGGCGAGGTCGAAGATGCGATTCAACACGGGCAAACGGGGGTATCAAGAGAGTAGATTTATAGGACGTCGTATCCGCTGCGCTCTCAGGCTCGACCGAAGCTGCTATATACAAGAACAAGCTGCTGGATGAAGTTGAAGTTGAAATCGAAATGCAGCAACTTGTTCTCCTTTGGTGATTATGTAATATTCCGTGTTTATATGGGCAGGGAGGACTATCTTTCAACAGAACATCTTGAGTAAACCATAGACAAGAGCTATAGAGAAGAGCTATAGAGCTGAGGATGGACGAGGTATTACCGACGCCTCCAGCATCGCCCTTGTCTGGCCCACACTCTGAATCACACTCTGAATCTGACCTCATTCGCGCGATCGACGACCTGCTCGAGCGATATCTCGGCCTACTCGATCAACAGCAGAAGCTCCAGGAAGCTATAGGCAAGCAGTTTGCGAATGTACAGTTGATAGTTTCAACATCTTTTCATGGCCGTTGCTAATATAAACGTATAGGGCTTCTTCTCTCTCGCGCGGGCCAACCACTCCTGCCCTCCTGGCCGGCGGTATGGAGAGGACTACTACGATGAGAGAATGAAAGCGACCAAACATGTGTGAGTACAGGGTGTATAGGCCGGTTTGAGGGACCGTATCTGACCTGGACGCATTCAGAGAAATTACGATGAACGAGGCTGTACGGTCGAAGTCTGCTGCCTCCCTGGTAGATCTATCGAGCCCCGCGTTCAAGATAGAAACTATTGAAATCAAGCATGACCCTACCACGGACGACAACAAAGGTGCCCCTGGCAACGAGGCAGAGCCGTCAGGGACAAAGGCGAAGACAAAGACCAAATCCTCCAACCCGCTGCACTGGTTCGGTATTCTGGTCCCTCCTCCGCTCAGGAACGCACAGGAGTCGTTTTCCGGCGCTGTGGCTGGCCCGATCCCAGCACTAGCGGGCGTTGTAAGCGAGATGCGGGAGGTTGAGCGGAAAGTAGAAGGTCTAAGAGAGCTACTCGGCGGCGTAAGTGATGCAACATAGCCCGAGCGTGTATTTATTTTTACATTTAAACGTAGATAGACTTGGGAGACGGTACGATCAGTTGATTTGGAAATGTAACTGTCTTCTAAACTATATCCGAGCTGAGAGTAGTAGTAAAGATTGATAAAGCTGTGGCCTGGGGAGCTCTGATCGCACTGGCGTGAGCTATTAGTATTAAAGAGTGTAGTAATATGGGTACAGAGCTGTCAAGCAATCTATGCTTGCAATGTGTGGTCCTGGATGCGGAGGTATAAAAGAAAAATTGATGCAAAGAATGTGTAAATCGAAGTGATGCAAAGAATGAAGGGTGTATATAGAATTGATGCAAAAAGAATGAAGGGTTCAAAGAGAATTTTTATAAAAAAGGAGATGCAGATAATGAATGAATGCAAAGGCGAATAAATGCAGTGGGTAGTAAGAGCAAAAGCAGGGAAATAAGAGCGAAAGGCAGTAGTTCCTAGAGCAAAGAAAAGAGTAGCAGGTTAGCTGAGGGCTTGTACTTGGTGTACTGGAGGCGCGAGAGACTGTGGTGAGTTGCAGCCACTCGGCCAGATATCTTCATCGTAGTAGCTGCGACGGCGCGTCCGCTTGGGGCCTTTGCCTTTGCGGAACGGCGTCACATTGGGACTGAGCAGCTCCCAGACGGCGGTGTCTTCGTCGATTCTAGGGACGGTCCGCGGCGTCATGAAGGCCATGCTGATGCTGACCGGGCTGGCAGTGCCCCAGCCGCTGTCGACGCGGGGGAGGTCTGTATCCAGGGCGAGTCGGCTCCTGGGAGTCTTGGTGGGTGTTTTGGGAGGTTTTACTTCATTCTCAGGAGCTAGAAATAGTTAGATGGTGTATAGTAGAGGTAGATGTAGATGTAGTGTTGATGTAGATGAGGTTGAGATTGACATACCGGGATGTCCCTTTTGGGAGTGGGATGTAGATGGAACTTCAACTTCAACGTCACGAACTTCACGAACTGCGCGAACTGTTACAGGCTGGACGTCTGCCTTTGCTGGCTCGATATCAACATCCTTGAACTTCACAGACTGCTTCTGCTCCCTGTAAACTGCTGCAGGCTGAATCTGCACGTCGCAGATCTCATCGTGGACTTCGGCTTCGACTCCTGCTTCGACTTCTTCGGCAGCAATCAGCTCGTCCACAACCCTGTCAAGCCAAGCGTGTATGCGCGCCGTATCCTGGGCATCCTCGTCCTCTGGCTCCGGCGCCGCTGCGGCCCTCGACTTTGCAGCGCTGCTCTGTGTATGGCTGTACGTACGGAAGTGCGGGATGGGTGCTCTACCACCGGTTCGAGGCCGCGGAGCAGACGCAGACTTTTGCTGACGGTGCTGCTGGTATGACTGGCTCTGGCGGTGATGCTGCTGCTTGTGGCTGCTGGCCGGAGTCTCGGGCGGTTCGCCAGCGTTCTGGAAGACCTGCCGGAGTGCAGAGGCACCACGCTGGCTTGGAGACGGAGTTTGCGGCGAAGACGGGAGGAGGATCTGCTTTCGAGGCCGCTTGGGATGCGACCAGGTTCCCCAGCGCTCTGCTAGTGGGTATCTACAGTCAGCTGCCGCCGCTTGACCATGGCTGAATCTCCTCGGGACGGTGGACTCCCATCTCGGCCGTGAAGAAGAGCCGTGTGGGAAGATATATGGTTATGGATGGGAATGGAGCAGATGTACCTTTTCCGTGGGGTACCTGGGTACCGTTCATGGTAGACTGGGTACGCTTCGGGGCCTGGAGCATGCTGGAGAGCAAGGGGGAAGCAGGCTCAGGCATGTATAATGTCTATAAGAGGTCAAGTTACCTATCCCAATGGTTCAGCAGCTATTCCAACTGGAAGAGAGGTCTTGAAGATGAATCTTTGTGTACATTCGATTTATTATGTATATCAACAAACCGGCCGAACAATGCAATTGCGCTGGCAACCTCAACTCGGTGCAACTCGCAACACGCAAACTGAAGAAACTTGGCAATTGAATAACTTGATCGCTTGAACGACTTGAACGGCTGGAACGACTTGACGCAGCGAGGCTATGGAAATCAAAATAAACGACTGCGGATTGTAATAGCTGGAACGAGGGAAGACAGAGTGGCGAATATGGCTGAGGGAGGCGTGCCTGCTACCGGAGCAGCCACGACGAGATCAATTGCAAGGAACAGCGACTTCAAAAAAAGGAGTGTAAGGATATTGCAGTGAGGAGCAGTGATCTAAGCAGAAAGCAAAAGGAGAGGAGAAAAGAAAGGGACAACAGGTTTGCTCTTTGTCGAAGATTTAAAGCGACCCTCGAGCAAAGGAAAAAGAACTGCGATGGCGGACTGTTAGTGTCTTAATCCACTATACAGCTCCCTAGGCAACGGGAGCTTAGTTGCGTATAATGCGAAAGATAGTGAGCCATGGATGTGTAACAGCTCTGCTACTGTTACTGTATAGAAATATCGGAGATGATGCCTTCCGGTACGATCAATCCTCCCGTTATTAATATATCGAACTGACCTGCGACTCTCGATTCACCATGTCGCCTATGGCAGCAGCCTACTGTCTCTGCTGGCAACGATGACAACGACCCCGGCTGATCAGACGCTGCCAGGCCCAGAACGAGGGTGCGGACGCAGGGTTCATGGATGCTGCAGGCTGATGGTCTCTCTCGTTCTTTTACGTACTGGTTCATCTCTCCATGATGATGTCTGGGAGATGATCGAGACATTTCCAGCTGCAGCCTCATCCTCAGATGTCGACCTGTCGACCTGTCCAGCACTATTTAACATAGCCTGCATTTAGCGTCTTACCGGCTGATACGGGAGTACCGTCTCTCGGACGCAAGAAATTCCCTGGAGAAAATGCGACCTGTTTCGGTGGAGTCGGCGTTCGTCCGTATTTGGCAAACTCTGAAGCATCGAAGCAGTGGAGATCTCTCTTTTTTTCTTATATTTTATTTTTTTCACTGGCATATCCACGGTGGAACAAACTTACAGACGGCTTCAACCATCCTCGCAACCCTCGCATCATCATCCACCCACACCACAGCCAAACCCACCACTACCAGCAGCGCCGCCGCCCACCGCCCACAGCCCAGTACCGCGGCTTAAACATGGATGGATCGATGGGCGCTGCCGGAGGGTGCGTTCGGCGTGCATGGCGAGCGAACCCTTTTCCCGTCTCCCTCCTCCGCCCTTGTCGACTGCTGTTTCAGAACTAAATTAGGCCTCACGATATATCGGATGGTCATGAGGAGACATGAGACGCCCTAAGACCGATGCCCAGGGAACCCAGGCAATGGCCGGCTAACATGGTTTTGGACAATCATTTTCCCCTTCAAACCGATCGTTCGCTTCAAACCGATCGTTCGCTTCAGAACGAGTTCTTCTCTTTTCTCTTCTTCCTCTTTCCCTTCTTCTTCTCTGCCTCTCGCTCCTCTACCTTCATCTGTCGTTGAGGTAGACGTGTGCTGTTTGCTCTTTCTTATTTCTCATTTTTAAACGGGCCAGAGGCTCGAGAGAGTTCGAGACTGTGTCTTGTTCCGTGCGATATCAACCTGTGGTTGACTAGTTGATTAACTAGCTGGCAAGCAGGTCGCAATCTCTACTTTCTCTCACACCCCCGCCTCCAATCAATTGCAATATTCTAGTTACTCCTTTGTCTTTACCTTCGTTCTTTTGTTTAACCGGTTCTGCGGACTCATTTCATACATACTATCTGGCCTGTGGCCAATATTCGGAACCCCCATCAACCAAACAACTACGATCTATATTCGGCATCCAGAGCTCGACATAATTATTGACGAATACCCATACGGTGCAATTGATCATGGCTGACGACAACCGCCGTGAGGATGTCGCCAGAAAGGGCTCTGTTCGCCGAGCAAGGGAGAAAGCCCGGCAGCAAATGGACCAGGAGGAACACGAAATGGTGGGCAGGAATCCCTCGGGGCAAGGCAGACGACCACCGCCTGTCGCAGGCACAAGCAAAGAGCATCCTCACGGAGCCAAACGCTCTGTAGTCCAGGACCCCGCGGCCATGTCCCGGCCACGACGTAACACCAACCCTTATGCTAAAGAAATGGCAGAGGCACAGGCGCAGGCGCAGGCACAGGCACAAGCAGCTTTGCAGCATGCTGCCCGTCCTCCCAGTGCCGTTGATGCCTTTCTCAACGACCCTAGAGGAAGACGGTATCCTCCCTCCAACCCATATCACAGTGCTGCGCCTACCTCACAGCCGTCGTATTCTCAAACATCCGAATACGGGACCACCGCTCTACCAGTCCCATCAAACGACTACTCCCACCATGGCCAGCTCCTAGCCCATCCAGCACCAGCTCGACGATCAAACTCTGGTTCCTCGCAGGGTGGCCGTCGTGACCCAGCGCAATGTTCCTATCCCATCGGATCAACCGTCTCTCCAATCCCGGAGGAATTTCCTCCTCATATTCAGAGGAATGCCAAGTCGTTTGCATCAAGCAAGGTGATCCCGTCAAGCTGGGGCTCAGCTCCCTTTGAAAGTGTCGATCTCAAGTACGAGGAGATGCCTGAAATCAACATGGGCACCGATGGTGGCTCATCAGCCTACAACGAAGACGAGATGGCCCAGGCACTCAAAGCGAAGTCGGCTCTCCGCATCAGAAACAAGGGCAGTGTCGACCTTCCATCTAGCTCTTCCTCCAGCCTCGCAAGGCAGGTCAGCATGGGCAGGAAAGGCAAAGGCGAGCTGCGTACTATTAATATCACCAAAAGCCAAGACTCTCAGTCGTTACACAATCGTACCATGAGCGAAAAGTCCTTTGGTGTCCCATCGGAGGCCGGTAGCGTTGCCTCAAGTGGTACAATCGGCATTGCCATCAACCCCTCTCTCCGTGCAAATATCCCGGGTCACCAAATACCGCCATCGTTCCACAACCCCAAGGGCCAACTCCGGCCAAGCCGACTACGTGCAAACTCTCACTCATCAGTTGAGTCCTTCGACGAGGACGAGGAACCAGAAGGCGATGAAGTGCCGATAATACATAAGCAGCCTACCAATGATTCGGACTTTAGAGATGTCGAGCTGGGTGGCTCGCGCTCAGTCGCAGGCAGGATGTCACAATTCAGTGACCTGCCAATGCCCCCGAGCCTAAACCATGGGAAAGAACCAGAGGTTAGAAGCAGTCTGACCAGCTTGCCAGATTTGATCCGCCGTGCGACTAAATTAGCATCGAACCTTGATCGTGGCAAGACGTCCAGCAAGACCCCGAACGGAATCTTTGAAATGCACAACGCAAATGGAGAAAATAAAAACAAAGAGCGCCGATACTCAGGTTCGATAACCGACATCCTAGCCTCTTTCCCTCCGCCTGGCATCCAGACTCCAGGCAACTCTACTCATCCAGGCGACGACTCTAAGGGGAAGAGTGACGCGGTCGACGTCCCTAGAACTAGACGTCGCTTCTGTGGATTGCCAGTTCCAGCTCTCATCGTCTTCTGCATTGGCCTAGTTCTCCTCCTTGCCATTATTATCACCATCCCACTCGCTGTTGCCGGCAAACCACGCAACCATTCTCCTAGTAGCACTACAGAATGCGAGATCGAATTCCCCTGCAAAAACGGAGGTATCAGCATCGGCACTCTGGGCGCTTGCAGCTGCGTCTGCCCTGAAGGCTACCGGGGGAACACCTGTGGTGTTCTCGCCGATGATGGTTGCGTCATAGCTGAGCTGAAGGATAATCGAAAACTTAGGCATGATGCAACTGTGGGTAGCGCGATTCCAAGACTTGTCATAAACTCACTAGTAAGCTTCGATATCCCGCTTGATGTCGGAAAGTTGTTGTCACTCTTTGACTCGGAGGATGTCTCTTGTAATATGGAAAATGCTCTGGTGACCTTCAACGGCCGAAATCAGAAGAGAGGTCTCCCGGCCCCAGAGCATCTGGACGGCAATATACTCAAGTATAATCTCCCAAGTCGCCGTCGTTCGGGAAAAGGCAACCTTGAGGCCAGAGCTCCGCAAGATCCTACCCAACGCACCGCCACACCCACGCCTACTCGCACATCGTCGTCTACGCGCACTCCAGCCCCTACGAGAACTTCATCTTCTACCGGGACTTCATCACCCACCCGTACTTCAAATTCAACTTCAGCTCCAACTTCAACCTCTACCCCCACTCCTACAGTTAGTCCATCCACAAATGTCCTCGACTTCTGCCGTATAGCCGTTCTTTACGTCTTTGAAAAGACAGAGCAGTTCAGCGCTGCCAATGCAGCTCACGAATCTATCCAGAATGCTCTCCGACGTCCATCTAAAATAGTGAACGATGTTCCTGTCTTTGATCCAGTGCAGCTTTCATATGGCGAGGATAAGTTCTTGCTAGGCTTCGACACACTTTCTATCAGCTACTTCCAGAAGGGGGCTGATAAAGTCCTCGTTGGTGGAAAAGGCGCGAACGATTTCACATAGTCGTTCATGGCCCTCAGATAACGACTATGTTTTTGTTGTGTTGTGGTAATATAGCCTGTCTTTCAAGGGGTTGCAGGCAGGATCTGTTTTTGACTTACTTTCTTCCTTATATATTTCTTTCTTATATCTTCGTCCTTTCGGTTGACTCTTATGAATCCCCTGGGAAACATTCTTGAACACAAAAAAAATCTCCTTCGATACGACCTTTGACACTATCCCGTGTCAATGCTTGTCGGTTGTGAATAATTCTTTTTGTTTGTTCATATTGCTTGCATCCAATTAGACATCGACTACCCCTCCTGTTCCTGCTTCCTCGTTTATAGCCTTCCTTTTTACTTTCTTTTTTTTACTTTTTTTACTTTTTTTTAAAGCATATGTTTAGTTGCATATCTCAATCTACAAGCCTCGTATGTATATATCTAGTGGATTGCGAATATATATATCTACCTATATCCTTAAAGTACATCCTTCGTATATCCTTTATTATTCTAGAAAGGTTAGCTCTCATCTTGGTTTCAGGTTATGGATCTCGATTTCGCTCTCTGGGGTGAAGCTTCGGGGGTTGGCATTGGCAAGGGGGTTATTCGTTTATGGTAACAATTTTCTTGTTGGCTCGATACATACACCTAACCTCAAATTCCAGGGGTTTCGTTCATGTTACTCTTCATTTTAATATACGAATTTTATCCTCCTTTTGGTAATCTTGGCTCATCTCCGCCTATGCCCGTACCCTGTCGCTCGTAACGAAATAGATACGGACATGATCAAGGGGTTTGAGATACTGATTATTTGGCGAGTCATGGCACAGGCAGCGAGCACGGATACCTTCCTCTCCTTCTTCCCTGTCCAGTAAACTAGAGACCGACCATATACATTTACCCGAAATATATACGGGGGTGGGAGGAAAGCGATGTATAGTATCTGGTAGATCTCAAACATTAGAATAAGCAGATTTATATATGCCCAAAACGCCGAATCGCCCCGGGTAAACCTATTATGTTACATATAATCCAACCGTTAGCAATCCCCTCAGCCAAATAACAAGGAACCCCCCGAGGTTAGAGAAGAAATCTCATCATCTCCTAAGAGGTTCTGAATCCGCTTCGCACGATCGCTCAAAATCATCTCCTCTGCCTCCCATCGACGGCGCAGGGTTTGTTTCTCTGCCACTTTCCTAGGCCCGCGACCAAACCAGTAATCAGCAACATGGTCCATAGTATCTAGCTCCTCGTTCTCAGCCTTAACAACTAGTGTACGAATCATCTGCTGCCAGTTCTTCAGGCCCGATCTAAGGCAGTGTTGGCATTGTTCCTCGGTAGATTGATATTCCACTCCGTAGCTTGGAGAAGCCGAAAGGCGCTTTTGTTCCTGCGATCCATCAAGTTGAAGAAGAGATATTTCAGCGTGGTCAACGGCGTCACGGGTCCATGATAGGCCAGTTTCCTGAGAAGACGAGGAGAAAATAATCTCGCCGATGTATACCATTAAACCTGCCTCTTCACAGGCGGTAGATTGGGAACGGGTGATGGGCTCGTTCCCTGTACGGACTGGAACTGGATATGGGGGTGGTGAGAAGATTGATGAGATTGTGGACATAGTGTCATTGGCTTTCGGGTCTGGGGTATTTGAGCGGCTCTTCCCGCTGGGGCTACCATTAATTTGAAGAGAGTCATCCGATTCAGGAGCGCTCCGTCGAGATTTTAGCACAGAGAGGAAAACTGCCAGAGCCATTGATAAATCACCAGTGCGTACGTGATGAACGCCCATTGCCTTGGATGTTCGAAGCAAATTTTCTGTAATGTGTTTATTTCCACCATTCTTTACCACGCCAGTCTTTAGATCAACAACCTTCTTAGGGTCGACATCCAGACCTTCGGCTGCGATATCCATAGCCCAACGGTAAACTTCTCCAGCCGTTTCTTTCAGGCCTTTGTAATCAAGCCAGTCGGCATATGCCAGAGCAGCATCAAGCTTTTGATTGGTTTGGAACCCCTTGGTTGTTAATATTTTCATATAAAAGACGGCTGGGCTCCGGTATGCAGGCACACAATTCTCCTCGAGCGGAACAACTGAACCCTTGGGCGCTTGCTTCGGTCTCGGATTCGACGGGCCAATAACGTATTCTGGAGGAGAGGCTCTATGCGTCACAGAGTCCTCTAGCCATCCATCAAGTTTCTCAGCCGTCTCGCCGGCACCCATCAACGTTTGAAAGTAGCCTTTCTTCCAAGGCTCGCTCATTCCTTCAATATCAAATCCTCCTCTGCCCATGCCATCAATTAAGATGGCTTCTCCCTCTCCTTCATTGACAATCTGCTCTCTCAATCCCTTGCCGTCAAGTTCAGGATTTTCCAGTCGCCGTAATAGCTCATTGTAGTAGCTGCCCACGGCTGCCCAGTCGGTAGTTATTCGATTAAATTTCTCTGGAGCTTGCAGGGCCAATGCAGTCCGCAAACACCATCTGCTCTTCCACGACCATTCCGGCGGCGTAGGGAACATACCCTCTATAGTCTCTTGGTCATAACCTATTTGCGCAACGGAGAAGAGAAGCATGATCGCGGAAATGGTAGCGCCGATCTTTATGCTATTCGTTATCTTTTTCCGGCGCTCCGTACTTATTAGGCGGTTTACATGGCGACCGAGTGTTACGATATTTAGAGCTCGACCGGAGAACAGAGAATGGCTGGAGGCTGAGGGAGGATGTAGGAAAGGGAGCTGCGGTCTGTTGGCGGGAGATGTTATGAGGAGCAGCTGGGAGTTGCTGGTAAAGAGGCGCGGATTGGAGGGGCGAGAGACATTATTTGGAGGCCGAAGCCTTATTAGACGCGGTATTCGCTGTATATGTAGCTGTGAAGAAAGCATTGTGCAAAATTTCCGGTTTGTTGATGCTGTTTGATATCAAATATTCAATATTCGATGTTGTTGAAGTCAGAGCAAAAAAGGTGGAAGGTAAGTTTGCATTGTTTGCACTCATCCCTTTTACCTCCCGCAGAACATTTCAACATTTGCTACGACGACGACGATATCTACGTGACGGAGAAGAGAGCTACCTCCAAGAGCCTGACGTTAACTTAGTGCTATCATGGAAGAGAGTACTCCGTATTCTCAGTTGTAATTGCAACTGAAGACGAAAAAAGGAGGCGAAGGCCTGTTGACGCGGAATATCAGGAATCAGTTACGCACCCTTGCTCTATCTGCGTTATCTGCATTATTCCGGGCGTATTTATGAGGGATTTCAAAGAGGCAAATACTGATTACACTTCAAGGCTACACATGGTCTGCCTGCATGAAAGCCCTCAAGGGGATCCCAGATGCGCTGTCCATCTCAAACCTCTATATATATACCCAATCTACTCCATACGGGATCTACGATATCAAACGCTCCATAGCGATGGGAAACCCGGCATCCATTCTCCGTGGACGCCCACTCAGGTGTCTTGTTTTTTTTTACAAAAAAAAAAGGTGGCAGTGCTGATTATAACCGGGTCATGCACTGTCAACCTTGCGCCGTTTTATCCTGCCTTGCTTTGCCCGGTGTGGTCTGGGATGGCCTGATACAAAATATCCCCCGGGGGACCTGGCGATCAAACGTCACCGTGATCACGATCATCTAGAACGGTATATGTGAAACAGGTTTACATCCAGGTGGCCTTCTCTCCGGAATGCCGAGATCGGCGCACGTCTCTAGACGGGGCCAACAGGGTATGGTATAGGAGGACGGGGGGCACGGAAGAACAGTAAGATGCCAGGGGCCTACAGATAAGCATGCAGACAGACGTCAGAGGACGCCATGGCCACGACGGGGTCCGAGTTCAGGTTCATGACAGGTCTGACCCTAGGGATCTCCATTGCATCTGGGCTAGGAAGGTTCACGTTCCCTCCCGGCCGAAGGAGCATGCTTCGGTTGTCGGTCGGTCGGTCGGGCAAAATCTGCACGTCTAAACTTGCCGACGGATAGTTGGCCGACTTGACTAGGACTGGGATTTATTGCATGTTTGAAGCAGACGTGTGCTGCGGAATGTTCCTTGAGGTAGGGATTGCGAACAAGCCTTTCACGCACGGAAATCTGCACATGTGGGAGGAAGCTAAGGAAAGGATCACCAGGGGAAAAGTGATGTACGTCTATGCCTAACGACTGGCAAGGTAGGAGGTCAGGGAGAAGTTACTAGGCCATACTTAAAGAGTCCTAGCTTTCTACGTATGGAATTGGATGATTTTGTATTCATGCAACTTTCTGACAGCAACTCTCTAGATATGTTATAGAAAGGCATAAATGGATACCTTGGTACCAGCTACGATTACTACGTAGCAGGAAAATGTGATAAGATACTAAATTTGCTCCAATTGAACTAGTCAAGCCAAATGACACCATGATGACTTTAAGGAATTTGGATTTCGATTTATCCTCGTGCTTATGGATAGACGTTGATATCTTAAGGAGAACGAACCTGAATTAGGACTTGCAAATAATCAGCCATCATGATGGATAGATGGATAGATGGTTGGATGGTATCATTGATCTACGGTCAAGGGAGAAGTGACGATATTGTAGTAATTTTTCTCATTCAACTAGTTTCCAAGGAAAGTCTATGTAACGAAGAGAAAAGACATCATGGAAACAAAGGAAAGGTAACACTAGGAAATCAAACACCACATCACATCGCCATCGCAATCGCCATCATGTATGTATATCAAATTCACATCAAAAGGTCACATGGTACGGCATCAAAGCCCCGGGCAATAGACAATAAAAGGGTTAAGAGTACAATCTTTGAGTTTCAGGAGGGTATGTAGAGGGAAAGGGGGAAACGGAGACTAGCTCCATTGGATAGGGAAGAGGGGAAGGAAGAATCTATATTTGGTCGGGGAGGGATATATTGGAACGAGCAGAAGAAGCAGATCTAAAAATGTCAAGACTAGTAAGAGACATTTAGAATCTCTCGAGGTAGCCCTGGCTCTCGAGCATGAGGATGATCTCGTGGACGATGGAGCGGACGGTCTGCTTCTCGGTGTCGACGGTGAGGTCGGCGTTGGTTGGAGCCTCATATGGGTCATCGACACCGGTGAAGCCCTGGATCTCGCCACGGCGGGCACGGGCGTAGACACCACGCTTGTCGGTCTTCTCGGCGTACTCGAGAGAGGTGGCGACGTGGACGAGGAAGAAGGTACCGGCACCAGAGATGGTAGCGCGGGCAGCGTCACGGGAGTGGGCGTATGGGGCAATAGGGGCGGCAATGACAGCGGCACCGGCCTTGGTGAGCTCACCGGCAACGAAGGCAATACGCTGGATGTTCTTGTCACGATCTTCACGGGAGAAGCCGAGCTCGGAGGAGAGTTCGTGACGGACAGTGTCACCGAGGAGGAGGGAGACTGGGCGGCCACCCTGCTGGTTAAGGGTGACTTGGAGAGCACGGGCAATAGCAGCCTTGCCAGAGTTTAGGTAACCAGTAAGCATAATGGTGAATCCCTGCTTAGCGCGAGGTGGGTTGGAGTCACGGAGGACCTTAACGACCTCTGGGTAGGAGAACCATTCTGGAATGTGAGCACCGGTGCGGAGACGCTTGCGAAGCTCAGTTCCGGAGATGTTGAGGGTCTTGGTGCCGGCTGGGACCTGGTCGTGTGGACGGTACTCGTCAGAGTCGGGGAGGTAGGTGAGGGCCTGGAATTCGACGACCTCGATACCGAGCTCAGAACGGTACTTCTCAACGAGGTGCTGGGCGTCGTATGGGCCGTACATTTCCTCGCCGGCGGAGTTCTTGCCTGGGCCAGCGTGGTCACGACCGACAATGAAGTGAGTGCATCCGTGGTTCTTACGGATGATAGCGTGCCAGAGGGCCTCACGGGGACCTCCCATTCTCATGGCGAGTGGCAGGAGACCAAGGGCGGCCATACCGTTGGGGTAACGGGGGAGAAGCGCCTCATAGACACGGACACGGGTGAAGTGGTCGATGTCACCGGGCTTGGTGAGACCAACGACGGGGTGGATGAGAACGTTGGCTTGACGGGCACGAGCAGCGCGGACAGTCAATTCACGGTGAGCTCTGTGCATGGGGTTACGGGTCTGGAAGGCAACAACCTTGGTCCAGCCAAGCTTGTCGAAGTGAGCGCGGAGCTCAGCAGGGGTGACTATGATACAGGGTTAGCTATCTGTAACGCTGGTTTCTAGATTTGAGAGTTTGCTTACATCGAAGACCGACATAGTCGTAGTGGTTGAGTCTGTTAACAGCCTCGAGCTTACCACCAACGTAGAACTCCTGGACGGTCTCGTTGAGATAGATGATGGCAGGGTGCTCTGGGTCTCCACCGAAGACGAGCTCACCTTCCTTCTTCCTATTTTGGCTGTTAGTATGCTTTCATGATAGACTCAATTGCAAGATATAAACGTACTTGTCTGGTCGGTAGACGTCCTCGACAGTGAGGATGGCAATGTTGTTCTCGTCACGGAAATCACGGAGGGTGACACGAGCACCAGGCTTGATACCCTTGGCCTCGATGGTCTCCTTGGACAAGTCGAGGTTGATTGGCATGGAGAAGAGGTTTCCGTCAGCGAGACGGGACTCAGCGCAGACACTATAGCAATTGGGTCAGTAATTGTCTCCGTATACAAGATAAGGATGAACATACCCATCGTAGTCCTTCTCGGTCAAGAAGCCCTCCAGGGGAGAGAAGCCACCGTTGAGGATGAGCTCGAGATCACAGATCTGACGCTCAGTGAGGGTGATGGCAGGGAGAGTCTCAGCTTCAGCAACGAGCTCATCGTGGCGGGGTTGGTCTCTGGCGAAGAGGTCCTTGAGGACACCACCATGGGGAGGGTTGGACATGATGAGAGAGTTGGAGTTGGTTAGATATTGGTTGGAAGAAGAGAGTCGGAGAAGGGAGCCAGAGAAGAGAGCCGAGAAGTAGAGAGGAGATGAGGATTGCTGAAGTTGATGCTGAGAGGAAGAAGAAGAGCAGAAGAAGCGGACGAGGAGGCCGTATTTATGAAGACAGAGAGAGAGCGTAGAGGCCAGCAAGATGAAAAATGGCCGGAGATGGAAAGGGAGGAAGGTAAAACGCTGGTAGCCGGGCCCTGGCGATCCACAGGTCACTGGTACCTGGCCCTGCGGCAGACCTCCCCGCAATGCAGAGGTATCCGGTACCTAGATCTTGCCCTGACGTCAAGTCGCACCCCTCGCCCCCCTCGAGACCCCCCGATAAAACGAACAGGCCCCCCCTTAGGTCAGCCACAGTCCACTCCCAGATGGCGTGCTCTGCGGGTGCAGGTTCTGCCGTTTCACGCACACCGGAAGCTCGTTCTATCGCGCTCACGGGGTCTCACCGGTCTTTTCGCCATATAAACCATCAGCGTTGGGGCGGAGAATTTCCTCCAGCTTGATAGTATTGATATTGGCTGTCATGTCGACTGCTACTGTTCGGCGGTCAAGAGCCCGGTGTAGAGCATCAAAGCTTTAGGGCGTTCTCGATGCGGCACCAGCTGCAGAGCCAGTATCAGAGTGGCAGCTACAGTATCACTGCTCCAGGGAACGGTTTCAAAATCCCTGGTTCTGGATCGTATTCGAGCCTCTTGATTATTCAGATATTCAGGCCCAGCATGCACATCTCCCCTAGCTATGCACCAGCCCTGTTCCTCTCTCGCTCAACGGCGGCTCGACTGCCCTCCCTCGCCTGCGTGCATCCATCGGCCCGACGTCCCTTTTCATGTTAGCAGCGTTCCTGATACACTTTGGGATGCTGTTTCGGTTCAAGGGTTGGGGTGCGATGCGCATCTCTCCAAGGTGGATGCTGGGTGGGTAGCGAGTAAGATTAATTTGCGTTTCATCTGCTCTGCGCTATAATATTATCGATTGCAAGGCCATCGGCACTTTCATCGACGAGCTCCGTAGTTTCCGTACGCCTGTCTGGCTTCAATTCTGGCTGTACTCGGCCCGGATCGTGGAACACGGCGAGATCCTCGTGTCTGCTTCACTTTGCTTTTTCCGTTAGGGCCGCTTCCCTGCTTCCTTTTTATTTTCGTCTTTGCTTTTTTGGCTTGCTCCTGATGCGCGCGAACCAGTGGCGGTCGGGCTAGCAAGGTCATGTAAATCATCATCGGATGAACTGGTTGACCTTCGGGATCCGCCTGTTACATGCAGAAACGCTAAGAGCTTCGAGGAGTTGCTCTCGCTTGTGTGATCCGTACTCCGTATCTCAGTTGCACATCTCATTGGCCTGGTAGAGCTGCTCGTCCCCCCCAAAACGTATCTCCAGGTAGTTATCGTGAAGCCTGGCTAGTACGAGCAGCTTTGACGGGTAGCCCCCTGTAAGAAGAGGCATTGTAGCTCGTGTTTCATACGGGCCTGCTGTGCCTTGCAAGCTGGTCCTTGGCTTATCTTCTCCGTACGGGCCATACCTCGTAAGCCGACACAGAGATCGATACGATGCCGTCTTATGGACAGGGGGTGCTTTTGATATCGTATCAAGCCCACTATATCTCCACACATCCAGACAACTTACATCATCAGACGAGATCGTTGAGACATCGAACCATTAAAATCGGTTATAATGCGCCATTGACGTGGGTGATAGGCGAGATGCTTCTGCTGGAGGTCGAGCAATGTCCAGCGCTTCGTCGATGATGTGCAGCTTTCACCGCGAAGGCTCGTCTGGCGCTCAGGATAGCTCCAAGCCATGCATAAACAGCCCACCAAACCCCGCAATTCAGCTTTGCGATGCTCGAATTATGATCAATTATGATCAATTGGATCCAGAACCATCCAACAGAAATGGACGAGAGAGAGAAAGGAATGCCGCCGGCGATTGACTGCGGCTGGCGGTGAGATGGGCGCCGGTGAGCTGCGCTGCTAGTACACGGCTACTAGTCGCCTTTCGCCTGGTTTTGCCTCCTGGTGGATGCAAATAGACGGCCTGAACACCGAAGAATGACGATTGGAACTGTTCATCATGACATCGTCGAGTTGTCGGCAGTTGCCGTGGTGGCTCGTAATCGTTAGTTATGCCTGCAAAATGCAACTTGCGGTGTAAGCGATGATTCCTGACCGCGGACGAAGCGACATCGACAGCCCACCACATCGCAAATGCGTGAAAACTCGAGAAGAGAGACCTGAAGGAATGCATATGCGCATAATCCTACGTTGCAGTCCAGCGCTCAGCCTTCCGCTTCGTCGTCACCGTTTACCCGATCTAGACAGCTTGACGGCCACGCATCTTATACTCTGACCATGGTCCTAACACGACATTCTGAACACGACGAGTTGAACACGACAGGCCAGCTATTTGCAACTTTGCTAACAGTCCCGTTCATTAGGAATCATCGTCAGCTTCCGAATTCGAGATTTGACTGGTACCAGGACATCAACTGCAGGCCGATTACGTATTCTCAGCCCAGCTCAGCCTCATCCTCAGCTCGAGACAGGCAACTCTGTTCTACGCAGCCGTATTCGACCACGACGATATAGCGAACTCGAAGAAATATCCTAAACCGGTGGACGAGGCGGTGACTAGAATAGGACTTTTTTTCATTTTCATTCTTTTTTTGGAGTCGGTCCTGCATGGAGGGTGACTGGAACGGACAACCGGTTGTCCTACGCTGAGATCTGGTCTTGCATGAGCCTGAGACTCTCGACGGTGTTTTGTTTTTTGTATAGATGCGAGATCGCGCAGTTTGCCGTTTCTGGCAGTCATGAGACCACTCTATAGGACCACTCTATACTGGCACTCTATATGTCGACGATGGAAGAGTCTAGACAACTAGAGGATGGCCAGTAGCTATACGAGTACTTCTCATCTATGCATCGTCTACTGAACATATCAAAGTATCATCTACTGTAACGTCATCTAGATATCAATATCAACACGTCATCCAGATATCAACATCTCGATCACCAGATCTCCCGATTACGGTCCGATAGACCTCCGCCTCAACCCCGCCACTAGAGTCAAGGGTTGCTCTCCCACGTTATAACGCCACAGTATGCTGTATGTTGTCATATCAGCAAGGAACAGCGCATGGCCTCGCATAGTAAAGTATACATGAGATCGTGCAAATACCCGTCACCTCCCCTGCACCCGACTTCAGAGACCAAGTAGGATCCATATTTCGAATGTTATCGAACGATCGTCGAAGGAATCAGATATGGCAAGCTCCGGTGATCGTCTGGGGTTCATCATGGACCGAAACAGGGATAATCCGTGATCAAACGGGGAGGGGGAATGGGGTGCGAGGGAGGGAGGGGGGAAGGGGGATGTGCATTTCGGGTTCAGGCATGAAGTTTGGAGCATATTTTGTCGGATATCACGAGAACTGGTGAACCGAGCCAAGCATGGCTGGGGTCGGGATCACTTGTCGGGATCAGGGTTTGGATATATAGCCATGTCAATGTTTGCCATGATGTGTTGAGAGTGCATACATTCATATGTACGAACGGAGCATAGAGCAGCGTGCCCACGGCGTGCCGGCCGTTAAAGGTAAAGGAAAGACAAAACCAAAGTAAAAGGTTTACCAGGGCAACAGCGTGAGAGCCTGACTTGTTGAACCTGGACCTGGACTAGAACCTGAACCAGACTATCGAACCAGACTGAACCAGACTGAACCTGACATGAACCTGGGGAAACCCTGAGGTTGAGATGCCAAGATCCGAACGGAGTTGTCGATATAGTCTTCATCAGTAAGCAAGCAGTCGAGAACCAACGATGGCGAATCGAGAACCACAAAGGCAATCAAGGCACGGCCCATAAAAGGGTACATATATACCCCATGGGCTGGTTTCTTCGATAGCTTTGTGGAGTCACGATAGAGTGCTATAGCTATAGTTATGGGTTTTTAATGGGGTGCCTAAAAATGCGCCTAAAATGGACCGAAGTTTTAGCATGATGGAAAAGGCGGGCCCCTTGGCTGGCGATCATCAGCCTCAGGTTTCATGCTAAGTAAGGCCATATGTTAGTGTAGTTAGGGGGAGGAGAGTGTGGATAGCCGTTGACAGAGGTGATAGGCAGGAGATTCTCCGAAGATATCCTGAAAGTCGTCTTGGCAGAGAAGCAGGAGACAAGGAGGTTGATACATATGATATATGTATGTAAATTGCTATATCATATGTCTCTGCTTGCCACGCAAGACCTTGCATTTTCCATGTCGGCCCTCGCTTCACCGTTCTCCTGATAACGGCGGGAACTCTGATAACAACACGATGATAAGGCAGTAACGTCGCAGTTGCATAAACCATATATGTAATTCGAATCAACCCCTAATCCCTGAGCCATGCAATGTATATAAAAGGGCGAAAAACCGTAAGTAAGCGGCAAGACTTCTAACTTCATAGAGAAGGTCAACGCTAATCATCCGTATCTCTTGAAGGTATAAAATTGACCTGTTACTCATAGGATGGATATTATTTGCATTTTGCCAGGTGGAGTGCTCCAAGAGAATATCTCGGAAGACCCACGGACTGGCTAAACTAAGCAACCCGGTCGAACCTGGAGTGAGTTCACGCAGGCCTGAAGCCTGAAAATGTGAAAAAACATGCGCTCCTGCGATGAACGTTTTCTGTGCGCCCAAGGGGGGTCGCCCGGGGTACCTCCATAACATGGGATCGGACTGCAACTTCGGTCGGCATGCCATATACGGGACACAAGTATGGGGTATACGGTACGAGCGGATGCCCGGGGTGGGAGATTATACCGTTATACATAGATTGAATCGCGGGAAGGAGAAACCGCCTCAAGATCGAGCACCACCATGGCCGAAACATATCATGTCCCGTAGTTATAGCGTAGTGTATAGCGTATAGAGGTGAATATGGTGAGAGTCGGAGGTTAAGTAAGTGTCAGATATGCAGATCAGCAGGAGATCACCAGGAAGAGCTAATCTCCGCACGCTCCAAGGGTCAGCGCATCAGCGATCCCCCAGCCCAGCATGGCATGGTCGGTGTGCTTGTGCAGTCCTTCTGGAAAAGTTCGAGGGACTGTTCGGGTTCGTGTTTCGCCTGTTTCGATGTTCGGTTTAAGCTTAGCAGCGCCGCCAGGGTCCTGGGATATCGGACATGGATGCTGGCATAAGAGACAGGGCGCTGCTAGCGTATTGAGGCCACGAGCATGTTGAAACTCGGGATTGGAGATCCATGCAGGTTCATCAAGGTTATGCAGACAGCTGGGCTGGACGATCATCCGAGACTAAGCATTGCCACAAGCCAGCCAGCACAGCCAGCATCCAGACGTGTTCGTACTCCGTATAGAGCAAGTTCGAGAAGTTCTCAGGGTTCGTGTCCACTGGGGGCGAAGAAGTCTGATATCCACCGAAATGCGCTGGTCCCTTGCCAGGAGGATTATAGCCATCTAGCTCGTCTCGTTCTAGAGGATTATAGACACTTAGCTCGTCTCGTTTTATCGCCCTGATAGGGTCCACTTAAAACAAACGGTCGAAAGGTTGGTCTTTTTTGAATCCTGCCTGTGGCGGAAGCCGAAGTTTCAATCCATCTCCAGCCTGCCCAGCTTGTCAAGCCTGTCAAGCCTCCTGGATGTCCACATCGCTCCATCTTGCCCTCGTCTTGCCCTGGTACGCGGGGTGCAGGATAACCAGGCAGTCCAGGTCCATACCCGATGAAATCATCGCCAGACCAGATAGCAATACCAAGCGAACACGCAGGCTAAGCATCTGCCCAGCATAGCAGCAAGTCCGTCTGTCGGTCCGTCCTCACTGTCAGCTGCACGTATGTTGGCGGAGGCCGAAGAACTCGCGGTCCGTAGCAAGGGATGCCGAGTGTTTGCAAATAAAAGTACCTATACAAGTACACATATCACTGCAGGCCAAGCTCTGGGCAGGTCAGGCACGATCACTCATCCTCGTCCGTCCATCCTGCGTGCTATACGAGGAGCGTGGAGTGTCTCTGTCTGTGTCTGTCTGTCTGCGACTGCGAGAGGTGAAGGTGTGTTTGGACGATGGAGTCGAAGCGAGGGTTACATTGCAACATCGCCGTCCGTGCTATTTTAATATATCGACTTGCATCTTTGCCTAGGATAGGAAGAACTGCAATACGAGTCGTTCGCCAGTCTCCATCCAGACCGAAGATCTGAAAATACAAGAAATAAGAAAATAAGAAATAAGAAGAAGAAGAAGAAGATGCTAAGCGACTGAGATGGGCCCTCGCTCCGCCTCGTCCGTATACAAGGCACGCATCGAAGTCTGCCCTCGCTCTCCTACCCGTAGCTGCGTCGATCTGTTAGCCTGTCAGAGCTTCTTCCTCAACTTCTATCCGCTTATGTTTTCTTTTTCCGATCCTCCGCGTCTCTCTTTTCGTCTGGCGGTGGAGTTGGGGCTTTTTTGCAAGCTCCCTATTCGCCCTCTCTCTCATCCAGCGGGCTGCCACCGATCAGCAAACAGGAATATAAAAAGATCCCATGTGTGAGACACAGCCAATGGCACTAGAAACGAGAACGTCTTCCTGAGAGTGGCAGGGCAGGGGGGCTACGATGTTACTCTTGCATGTTGCAGGAGAAATTGATATACGAAACACGGCTCCATACTGGTCGATATGATAATGAGATACGAATAGCTATATGTAGTGCTATTATTACTACGTAGGTCGATTACTGTTAAATTACTAATTTGGAATCTGGAACATCTCATATCACATTCATTAAACATCTTCACTTCTGCTGCCCGACCTGTATACGTAGGGGCACACGTTAAGATAGATATATGCAGGGTTCAAGGACATGGGATGGATAGAAGGGGTTGGAAATTCGACCGCCACCCGCCATCCTACAGTCCTCAGCGACAACTGCCAAAGCACTCCTACGGTCATGGATCGATGCTGATCTGTACAACGCAGAGAATGCTTGATTGATCATCGTGCAACCGGGGCCAGCGTCTTAACGGTAAACGTCGTAAACGTCGGCTACTCCAACAGCCTCACGCAAGGCAGAAACAAGCGATGGTCTAGGATAGGTCTATGCAAGTCTGTGCAAGTCCATGCAAGTGAATGTATTAGATCAATTTGTCATTTATGTATCGTAGGTAATATGTAGTATGTATGTATGCTTTTCCATTGGAGGATTAGGAACATTCTAAGGATGTGTAGTAGTGTAAGGTAGAAAAGATCGCCGATTCCAGACAGGCGAAACACCGAGAGAGAAAAGCAAAGAAAGGACAGAAATCTTAACGCCTAAAGCACAGTGTATCGTAGATAAGGAAAAAAATGAGACAAATAGGGGAATATAAACATGAACGGAACAAGATGAAATATGCAAGGGATGATGATAGGAAATAAGGAAATTAAACGGCAACGTGCAAGGCCTGGTTGATGGCCTCTTCCTGTCTCTTCAGCTCCTGGTCCATGAGGAACTGGGCATACTTGGATCGTGGGTTGTGAATACCGCACTCGGTCTTGGCCTGACCCTTCCATCGGCCCGCACGCTCGTCCTCGCCGTTGGTGACTGGCTGGGTGGAGTGGTAGTCACCGACAGACTTGTAGCCACGGTCGAGAAGGGCGTTGTATCGGAGGTTTCGTCGGTTGACGTAGTCCTTGACCTGGTCGAAGGTCCAGTTGGCAAGTGGGTTGATCTTGATGAGACCGGCCTCGTCGACCTCGATGATGTCCATGTTTCCACGCTTGGCACCCTGGCTTCGGCGGCGACCAGTGAGCATGGCGTGGACACCTAGCTCGCGGTAAGCGCGCTGAGCAGGCTCGACCTTGGCGAGCCAGTCGTAGAGCTCGTCGTTGGTCTCCCAGAGCTTCTCGCCGTGCTTGGCGGCGAATTCAGCAGCGCTGGAGACACCCTGTGGCCCGTAGACGTGGAGGGTGAGGTGGGGGTAGTCCTTTTGGATTCCATTACGGAGATCAATGGTCTCCTGGAAGTGGTGGAGAGTGTCGAAGAAGATGAGGTCAACCTGCTGGTGGCGTGGGATGTCGAGCTTGGAAAGCATGTCGAGGATGACAAGACCAGTGAGACCGAAAGAGGTGGACTGGAAGAGACCAGGCAGAGAAGTAACACACCATTTCAGGACGTCTATATAAATTAGTATATAATTTGATATCAAGAGTAAAAGTGTAAGACTAACCTTGTGGCTCGAGGAATTGGAGTCTCTGGTTGAGGAATTGCAGGTGTTGCTTGGTGAAGATCAGATCTGGGATGGCATCCTCATTGGCGGTGGCAGAGCCGGATCCGCTGGCGTATCCAGACTCGAGTTCCTTCTCCTTTGCGTCATCGACTGGAGCAGGGGCAGCTGGCTTCTCAAAGATCTCGTCACCAGTCACGACCTCAGCGGCAACTGGGGCTGAGACCGGCTCAGCGGCGACATCGTTGACTTCCTCGACGGTGACGGGTGCGGTCTCGACAACTGGGACGGTCTCGACGACGACGGCCTCCTGGACTGGGCCGTCAACGACAGCAGCCGGGGCGTCAACTGGAGCAGAGACTGGCTCTTGGGCGGGAACGGAGAAACCCTCGACGACCTTGGTGACGACGATCTCGTCGACGGCCTCGTTGGAGTGGACTGAAGCAGGCATGGTGATCAAGTAGTTGTGTATGTGGATGAATGTAAAGAAGATCAGCCAGGCTAGCTGTTGCTGAAGAGATATGATGGAGAGAGAGGAGAGTTGTCTTGTTTATCGTTAGTGATTGATGAGTGAGAGAGAAAAAGTAGGATTGAAGGAGGACGAAGCCGGTCCTATATAGACGGGCGAAGGTGTCATTGATACGAAGCAAAAGTGTGCTCCGTAAGTAACGAAACGAGCGAAACCGACGAACGAGGACGAAACCTAGTGCGAGACCCCCTGGTGCGCTGGTGCGGGACGAGATGAAGGACCACCGCGCCCATCGGCTCGCCGTGGACCTCGTCTTTCGTCCCTCTTTTTTTTTCATCCTCGTTTTTCTTGCAATTTTCAATTTCTCATCCTCGTCTTCAGATATGGTCCTTGTGTTTCCGTGGCCAGGGGTGGATGGGATCATGCCTGCTGCGAATCACGCAATCCACATAAAAGACTTTGGCTAACGAACATGCGCTAGGCCAGGGCATTTTTGCATCTGAGTCAGCCAACCGAAGCTCGGCTTCTATTGTTAGAATGGTTCATCGGGCAGGCTGAAGTTGGTTGACAGTTGAAGGGATGAGCCACGCAGGATTCACAGCCTGAGAAGACATGAAGACCTGTGAACCTGTAGCTGTAGACCTGAAGATCAAAGAGGAAGTGGCAGAGGCCAGTGGCGCTCGTGTTGGGCTACCGACGGCCTCATCCTCTCTGTAACTGCGCATCCATGCTTCATCCTCATCTTCTTCTTCCCATCCATGTCGTCCCTTTTCCATCCATGTTTCTGATATCCATGCCGTTTTCTGCCCCTTCTCACCGGCGTTGGCCGCGTGGGCCGAGGCTAAAACTTAAAGGGGCCACGTGAGGTCACTATATCGTAGCCTTATGTCATCGTGACATAGCTGACATAACTATGACATAAGGGGGGTGTGGGTTATACTTTTTATGCTTCATGTTTCCTTCTTGCGACAGACTTGAGACTGCATATACGGATATCCCAGGCGACACAGCTCTCTATCTGCTTTGCAAGCGGTATTCCGGCTAGTTGGGGACGGACGCTCAGCTTGACCTTGCTCGCCTTGACTTGGCCTTTGACCTGGCCACCTCGACTGTAGGACCTTGACCGACCTGCGACATCGATCGCTGTCTGCTGCCTCTTTGGTCTCACCCCCGAACACACTAGCACATCAAAATCCTGAGACGCAAGAGGGTATATACGAAGATGGCAGAGCGAGCGCCGCCTCGTGGCTCCCGCCCCAGTCTCCGCAACACATCTCTCTCCCTCTCCTTCATCCACGATCACCAGCAGTACAAACCCGCATCGCCGCCTACCCACCAGCCCGAGCTTGGCGCCTCCATCTCCGGCACCTTGGAGGACTCCAGGGTGAAGGAGAGCGGCATCGTACACTCGCTGTTCGGCGACGCCCTCACCTCGCTGCCGGCAGACACGCCAAAGCTCGTCGCGACCCTCTTCTATGCCGGCCCCTTTGCGACTCACTCGGCCCATCCGGAGGCCACCGAGGATGGACCGCTCGAGCCGGCTGGTCCTTCTCTGCCCCTCGATGCCCTGTACGGCTGCCACGTCTCCCAGCTGTGCCTTACAAGCTTCCTTCAGACCGTCGAGGGCCTCTCTCATCCGTACCGCCGCATGACCAGCTCGCATAGATGTCTGGACCGGCAAGAGAACCCTCGCGTGGTCGAGGTCACCATCTCACCCTCGCCCAGTGGGGAGTATCTCTCCTTCGACGAGCTGCGGAAGCACGAGAGTATCTGGCGGTTCGAGCGGGCATGGAACGTCGAGGTCGTGCTGCAGATGGAGAGCGTCTGGAGGAGGTATAAACGGTTGGCCGTTTTCGACATGGATAGCACTCTCATCCAGGAAGAGGTTATCGATGAGATCGCCAGAGTTATCGGGGTAGAGAAGGAGGTTTCCGTAGGTCTAGACAAGCCTTCACTTAGTGTAGTCCCTAGGCTAATATTTTCGCGCTTAGGAGATAACCGCCCGCGCGATGAACGGCGAACTCGACTTTGCGGCCTCGCTCAAGGCCCGTGTAGCTCTGCTCAAGGGGACGCCAGCAGACGTGTTCGAACGGCTAAAGTCTGTCATCACCATCTCGCCGGGTGCACTAGAGCTGTGCACGGCGCTCAAGAACCTGGGATACAAGACCGCCGTGCTAAGTGGTGGCTTTCAGCCACTGGCTGACCATCTGGCAGATCAACTGGGCCTGGACTATGCAGTTGCAAATCACGTACATATACCCTATATTCTGTACCTTGCATAGGTTAACTAACTGATGTGTGCAGCTCGTAATCGACGAAGCCACCCAGACACTCACCGGCGAGCTCTCACCAGACCACCCCATCGTAGACGCGAAGCAGAAACGCACGCTGCTTCGCGCCATCGCCGCAAAGAACGGCATAGACATGTCTCAGACAATTGCAGTAGGTGACGGTGCTAACGACTTACTTATGCTAAAGGAGGCGGGGTTGGGAGTCGCGTGGCGCGCAAAAAGCATGGTGCAGCTTGAAGCGCCGACGAAGTTGAACGGAGAGAGTCTCGAGGATATCTTGTATCTTCTTGGTTTGACTGAGGAGGAGGTTCACGCCTTGATGGTGAGTTCGCCCGCGGACGAGCCGATGAAAGGGTTGACGATAAGGGAGCGGACCTCGTAACATCTAGGCGTAGCATACACTCTAATATACACACTCTCTCCATTTTCTCATCTCATTCCATCTTCCTTACAACACGACATCCTTGACATCTCCAACGGCTGCGGCCGCGCCCTCTATCCTCTCCTTCGACCTCTTCTTCAGCACGTTCTCAATAAACGCCTCTCCGGCTTTATAGCTACTTCTCACCAACGGGCCGCTGGCACAGTATAGGAATCCCATCTCCATCGCCTTCTCCTTCCACATATCAAACACGTCGGGCCTCACGTACTCGTGCACAGCCATGTGTCGCTTCGTAGGCCTCATGTACTGACCAAACGTAACAATATCGACCTGTGCCGCACGTAGCTGCCTCAGCGCATCCATCGCCTGATCCTCTGTCTCGCCTAGTCCCAGCATTATACTCGTCTTCGTGATAAGGTCCGGCTTCGTCGCCTTTGCCCCGCGTAGAACGGAGAGCGACTGTTGAAATGTCGCTCGTCTATCACGTACAAAGGGCGTGAGAGCTTCGACCGTCTCGACGTTGTGAGCATATACATCCAGCCCGGACTCGGCCATGAGTGCCACCATCTTCAGATCCCCCGAGAAGTCGCCCGTAAGACACTCGACAAGGATATTCGGAGCCTTCGCCTTGATCCGTCGTACGGTCTCCGCAAAATGCCTCGCTCCTCCATCTACGAGATCGTCTCTGTCCACGGCCGTCATAACGACGTACCCCAATCCCCATCTCGACAGTGCCTCGGCCGTATTCTCCGGTTCATGCGGGTCAAGAGGAGGAGGGGTGCGGGAGGTTTTGACGCTGCAGAATCGGCATCCACGGGTACATGTGTCGCCCATCAACATGATGGTAGCCGTCGCCGCGGCCTTGGAGTCACCGCCCCAGCATTCGGAGATGTTAGGACATCGGGCCTCTTCACATACCGTGTGCAGGTTTAGGCCTCGGAGGTCGTTCTTTATCTTTTTGTATGATGAGGAGTCCGGGATGGATGTCTTGAGCCACGATGGGAGACGGGTGATCTCCTTCTTCTTTCCGGGAGGTCCCACGAGGGCGGTTTTGAGGGCGTACGCTTCGCTGGGTGGGAGAGGGGGTTCGTTGCCCCCGCCTACGAAGTCGGAGAACGAGGGTCCCTTGTTCAGCTTGTCCTTGAATGTGGTTGGGGCTCTTTTGGGGGTGGGTTTTGTGTCTCCGATGGTCGATTCAGGGTTGGTGGTTGCATATGTTCGGCTGCTGGCTATGGATCTGAGCACTTGAGAGCTGGCCACGCGCATGCGGGCGGCTGAACAGACTGTCTTTGATGCCATAATGATGGTATCAATGCTGTGTTGGAGTTTGTATGACTGACCGTCGGCGCTCCGGGAAAAGATCGAGGATTGTAGTTGAAATGGCGTGGCTCTGATTGGCGGATTATAGATTTTCCACTATGTTCCTGAGGTCCAGGCCAGGCACAGCGTGAGGCTCAGTCGATGGCCGCTGGTTTAAACATATATATATCGCCGGGGGTATATGTTATGCTCGAGTATCAGTTCGTCTTCTTCCCCAGGTTTTGTGCATGAAGAAAGAAGAAACCTTGAACTTTTTTGCAGAGACGGAAGAACTGATTGATAAGATCTAGATCGGATCTTATCAGCGGACCTAAGTTTCTCCGGATAGCCGGCGCAAACAAAAAATAAAAAAGGGAAGAAAGAAAGATGCAAAAAGCCGAAGGAGCTTTTTGAGAGTGGACATCGCGACTCATACACCGGCTACCAGGTCAATATAGTGCTGGCTCTCCCTCCTGATGCTGTCCGAATCCTTTGTCGCGTCGTTGCTGACCTCCAATTCCACGCACTCGACCTCCGCCACCCTCAAAGATGTCGGCATCTGTGTGCAGGAGTTCAGACCAAACCCGTCCCTCCAGCTAGGTTTCAAGAAGAGCACGACAGAACCCAATTGCTTGGCTGTGAATAAGGGGCATATCTTTGCTGTGCAGGCGGGGAAAGCTGTTGTGCATGTGTATAGTCGTGAGAGAAACAATCATGAAGCTACCGTGCCGTTTCCGGAGAGGATACGGAGTATTGCTCTTGTGGGGGAGGGGATACTTGTTCTAGGGACAGAAGGGGGGAAGTTGATGCTCTGGGAGGTAAGTAATTGGTCAATTCACGTTCCATTACTTCGTTGCTAATACGTGGAGTAGGTATGTACTGGGAGACAAGTAATGACGCCCGCAACCCATCTACAACCTGTTACATCTCTTGTCGTTGATCCAACAAACAACTTCATCCTGTCCGGCTCAGAGGACTCAAACATCCATGTCTGGTCCCTGCCGGACCTCATATCCTTCTCCAAACCGTCATCCGCCGACCAGAGCCTCTCAGCATCCTACTCTCACTCCCCAATCAGAACGATCTCCAACCACGCCACCGCCATAACGAGCATAGCGGTAGGACACAGCATAAACCGATCGAACATTGCTATATCGACCTCTCGGGATGGAACTGCGGTCGTCTGGGAATACCGAACGGGGAAGATCCTACATACCTACCTCCTCCCTTCGCAGCCCCTATGCCTGGCCGTCGACCCTGCGGACCGTGCATTCTATGTTGGTTACGAGGACGGCAGTGTCCAGCTGGTTGATTTCTTCAAAACCCAGTCCGTACAGCATGTCCTTCACGACGCAGACCATCAAGCAACACCCACCCAGCTACCAGTTGGCGACAAATGGCTCCCTCCATCTTCCGAGTTAGGTGCGACAATTTGCTTGTCACTATCGTATGACGGAACAAGCCTTTTATCCGGCCATAGGAGTGGTGCCGTGGCATCCTGGGATGTTGGCAGGGCGAGATATGGAGCATCTGTGGCAAGCCTTAACTCGCCCGTCACCAACCTACATATGCTTGAACCCACAGGCCTACCCCAGAAACCTGGCAGGGTCACTATCCATCAAATTGTCAAGCCACGTCTGGATCACGGCCTGACCGGCGGGCAGTCCGCCGTAGACGCAGTGCCGGCCACATACCATGTCAACGTGCATTTAAACGCATCATATACCAAACCAGAGCCTTCTTCATCAGTACTACATGACTTTTCAGCTACCTTGTCTCATCCGTCCTTCCCTTCTTCCCTCATATCCGAAAGCCTCCTTGATCTCTACTCTTCCTCCGAAAATACTTCCAAGAACAGAACAGCCCTCCCCATCCAGATGGAAACCTCCTCTCAACCTGAGAGCAGTGCTCGCATGGAATCATTAGAGGCAGAAATAAAATCCTTGAAGAAGCAACTTTCTACCCAAAAATCCACCCACCAGTCAGATGTGGCGCAAATAATAAAATTGCGCGACCACAATGCCGAGCTAAGCGACCTCAACAGCGAGCTACTCAGTCAGCAACAAGCAGCAGAGAAACAACGAGCCGAGAAGCGGGTAAAGCTTGAAGAACGGGCCCGCAAGAGGCGAGAAGCTTGGTTTGAAGCAGAGAAGAAGGGGCATAATGGCGATAAGCTGATGAAAGATATGGAGTCGGAGGAGGATTCGGAGCTAGAGTCTAGCGATAATGAGATGAGCGATTAGATTTTATCTCTGCCTTCTTTTACTATTTGTTTAAAAGCAATATCAGGATATATAAAGGAAGGATTTGGCGTTGGGGATAGGACTAACGTACAAAATTAATCGGCTTTTCCGTTACTTACTATTTCATTCCTAGACTACCAAGAAACTATCTCTTCATAACCATTGGCAGGCTTGTTTAGTCAAAGGCGGTACCCTTATTTTTGCAAGAAAGCTTAGGGTCGTAGTTAAATGCTTGATTAGAAGTAGGTTGTGACTATAAAAAGAAAGTAACTGCAAAAAGGAAGAAAAGAAAACCAATTTTTTTTTTTTTATATTTCCGAGGTGGACTTGACCTGGAGTTGAGGCAGAGGCGATTTTTGTCTTAACGTCAGGTTAACTATCAGCTCTCCGAAATAGCTCGGAATGGCATAATAAATATGCATTCCTTACATTTTCTGTAATCCAGGGGTTCCTCCAAGCAATATCATGGGCTAGTAAACAAAGTGCTAACCTCTACCACCACAAACAACAGGCAAGGAAGGTTGTACAATTAGCTTCCGTTAACGTCGATAATCAATGTGGATAATCTTGATATCATGTTTCATGAACATCATCACCGTCTGAAGCCAGAGTTTTGTTAGCAGTGAAAAGAGCCATGTGCACACGTGATGAAGGAGAGCCCTACTTTGTATACCAACAACCTCCGCCTCCTCAGGAACAACACAGGAATTCGATACCAAGGGAAGCTAAGGATTGCAGCCACTGTTGCAATATATGGAATCCCTGATGAAAGCCTGAAACAGAGCTCTAGTATGGGTGATGGTGGTGTCTCTGCTGGCACTATCACTTTTTTTGGACGTGGCTTTTTCTTTCGCTTTGGCAAGAGGTTTTTGAAGACATTTTGCCTAGGAAGAAGAAGATGTTATTCTCTTGTTCAGTTAACAAGCATGATATGTTATCACTTACAGCCATAGGATATCACCACTCCTGGATTTAAGGATTACTGGCATCTTTTGATCCCTGTTGGGTCTCACTGTCTGGCTGCTGCTTGTCTGTCATCTGCTCACTGGATTGGTATGGCCCAGTTGTTTTTTGAATGTGAAAAAGATCATACCAACGACTAAGCAAGATGGAAATTCACTCCATCCAGGCATTGGGAGTTATATATCTCCTAGGGTTCGAGAGCCCGGCTTCTGAACTCCTTTTCTCATACCACATCATCAAGTCATCAAGTCTACATCCATTTCTTACACAATTTCCGGTTCCATATTAGCATATCACTCTCATATACTAAGGATACAGGAGATCAAGCTCTATTATTACTCGCATCGACACTAGCTGAACTGCCCCAGGGCCCATATCAAGGTATTTCATTCGGTTTACCCCATGCATTCTTTGCGTATATCAAGCCAAGCTGATATAACTGTGAAAGAAAGGATATCACTACATCATTAAAAAGCCGGAATATACCTCATCATAGGTTTAAACCGTCCTACTCTCAAGGAAACAATGAGCACCCCGCGTAACGAAGCTACGATGCGACCCGGCTTTACCATGATCTATAACTTAGCCGCCACAAAGGCTGCTGATTTGCTCCATATAGGAAGAATTATACTCGCTTATATGATTTTGGAAATTGTTAGTTGGATGATGGATATTTCATCCGCAATAGTACCGGCTGAGAGAATACCTGGACACCCCGAGTTGCCCGAGGAGCCCCCTAGTTCGGCAAATATCCCCAATATTGGAACCCCTCCACCTTACCGTCAAGAGTGTGAGGGTGAATCAGGGTTAGATTCTACGCCTGAAAATGTGTCTTGGATAATAGACTACCCTTCAAACCCTCCATCACATTACTCTAGTTCCTCATCTTCATTACGCTTGGCCAACTCCAACGTTATTCCAACTCTTGAAGCGTTGTGGGCTGATTGGAACCCGCAACCGGAGGCAATGGCCTCCCCTGGCCGGCCAACCACTCCAGGTATACTGGAGACCGCTTTATCTAATGACACAAGCTCGCTCTGGTCGAGCTCAGAGTCCGATTCGGAACCGAGCCAGCCTGTGTCATCCCAGCCAGCCTTCCCCGAGAGCCTACCATACGTATTTACTCCAACTGGGGAGTTGGAAATGAGCGATGTTGAGTGATAAGATACTGGTAGGTCTAAGGGACAAAAGGCCTTCCTGTTAGCCCTTACCCAGGATAAGCTAAAGGGCTTACATATATCCTTAAAATATAGGGGAGCGCCTCATTTTTATCGTTTATTTCCCCCTTAAGGCTTCAGTGATATCCCCCTATATATCGATATTTTTTACCCTCTTTCCCTTTCCTTTTTATCATCTTTACTACGGGTAATACATACCTCTAGGTTGATCATCTGTTGAAGGAAACATAAGAATAGAAAGGATCTTAGAGATTAAGTGACCAAATTGATATTGAACTTCCATTTAGTCCTAGGTGCTCGGCCAGCCAAGCCCCTATATATATGCCCTAAAAGATCTGATCTGCTTATCCCCCCTTAGTAGCCATCAGCTTTCGTAGAATCGGCGCCCACATTTCCACCACCCAGAGCCTCCTTAACGATCTTTACCCCAGCGCTCGCTCCTATCCTTGTTGCGCCGGCTTGGATCATTTTAACGCAGTCAGCTGCAGTCCTGACTCCGCCGCTAGCCTTGACCTCCACAGCGCCGTTCGAGCAATGTTCAACTGCAGCACGCATCAAAGCAACGTTCTCCGCGGTCGCTCCAGCCCCATTGAAACCGGTACTAGTCTTGACGAAGTTTGCGCCAGCCGCGCACGACAGAACGCACCCCGCAATTATCTCATCCCTGTTAAGATGCGATGTCTCCAGGATGACTTTGAGTTTAACTTCCGGCTGTTTCTCCTTGCTGGCGGTCCTAACCATCATAACGGACTGGAACGCGTCACTGAATCGACCGTCCTTGAGGAATGGATAGTTTATCACCATGTCAAGCTCGGTAGCGCCCTTTTCTAGAGCGGTCCTGGTCTCAGCTATCATCTCTGGAATAGGGTGGGTGCCTTCATGGAATCCAATGACGCATGCGACTCCGATGTTTGTTCCTTGTAGGTTTTCCACTGCCCGCGACACCCATTCCAGTCTAACGCAGACGGTAGCGAAACCATATTCTTTGGCCTCGGCGCACAGTGCATCTATTTGGTCCTGGGTAGCTGAGGTAGCCAGCAGGGTATGGTCTATTGTTTTGGCGATGTCGGTAGGTGCAGGCTTAGAATACTGAGAAACGTCTATGGGAGCCGCGAGGGCAGACCTTGCGCTCTGTATCAACGCTCTCCATTCGCCGTTTGGCCGTGATATTAGCTCCATCAACTCAGTTGCTTCTTTTGACGGCTCCGCCATTTCGAATTAGATCAATTGGTATTGCACTTGACCGTGACAAGAGGGAGGATGGGAAGAGAGAAGAGAACTGTTGTCGGTGCGACGATGGCCTCTCTTTGTGAGGGGGAACATGAACTCCCCCACCTTGTTCTGTTACCCAAAGTGCTTGACCACGTGACACCTATACTTCGCGATGCTTCCCAAGGTTGATATCCATGGATGTCTACGAATTCTCAATTTAACGTGCAGGTTAGCTATATTGTACTCCACCAGCACCTCTTGGTTACATTGATAAAAGCAAACCCATCTTATGCCGTTTCAAGGGGTAGTTCGGGCCTGCGGAAAGGGGCAAACGGACACGTCGATCTTAGGCAGCTATTTTAATATAATAATTTTCCCATTCGTGGCTCGTCCTCGTTTAAAATTCCTCCTATAGCACCTGTATATACATATATGTCTCATCATTGACAGCTCTTACATTCTGGTCCGCGGACATCGTCCACTCTGCCAATTCGTTTCAAAGGGCCACCGGCACCTCCTCCGCCGCCGCCACCACCCCTTTTGTCACTCCCGCCTCCGCCTCCACTTGGACCCCTGCCAGACCTATATCTAGGGTCACGGTTTGCAGGATTCTTAACGTTGAACTGTGAGGCCTCAGCGGCAGCATATGGGGTAAACTAGTGAAGTGTTAGCAAAACGGTACCTTTTGAACTTCCATTTCGCCGTCCTGGAAATAACAATGCTCCAGGGACGGAAATTGATCCATTCTGTCCATTCAAGTCCAAAGCTGGCAGACCGGGGTATCACATACTGAGAATAGGCTGACAAAATAGAGGCCTAGAAACATATATACCGCATAAAGAAAGCGGCGTGCCTTGGCCGTGAAAGGTGGGCTAGACCGCAAGAAATGTTAGATGACGTTTATCCTTGTAGATATAACCGCTTAGAAGGTATATAGCAGATATCTACCTTTCCAGTATCTGGCCATCAGACACGTATGGCTTATTGAATGACGACATGCTGGCACGCTGCTTCTGTAGATCCCAAAGCCTAAGAAATATTTGGGCGCAAGGCTTCGGTATGAGTATAGGCTGCGACTATATCTCCTGCAGTGTTCCCGGGTGAAGCAAGCTGGATATTCTGTCGATCTTCAAGGAGAAAAGAAAGCTGCGAGGCTCTTGGATGCGCCTCGAAAGTCCTGTCAGTTTTAGGTTTAGGGCGCGTTCTAGCTTAGGCCTCCATATTAGTCATCATTTATATGAGTAACATCACGTGTTAACTGTTGACATCCTTACGACGTCAACTTCATCGTTAACAGAAACAGCATTAGATGTTATTATTTACAGAATCTAAAGAGATATATCATGTCAGCGTTAGAAGGCACCTCTATAGACCTAAGAATTTGTGTGGATCGAACCCCAACCATGGTATATTTTACATAGAATGCACAAGGACCACCTTTGTCGAGACATGCAAAAAGAAGCTATACATGTCCAATTATGCATCCTGAATTCCTCCCAATGCCGTGATGGTATCCAAATTCATGTCATTATTGAGGCCGTCCAGCGCCTTGAACCCATCCTCGACAACCCACTTCTGGTCCGTCTGATGGAGGACCTCGCAGCTCTTACCAACCACAAGGAGACCCGGTGGTCTCGAGCCTTCCTCTTGAACAGCGGAGCAAACATGTTCCAACGTTGACCTGATCACCCGTTGATCAGCACAAGATGCTCTTTCTACTACAGCGCAAGGTGTATCCTTGGGCCACAAAACTCTGGGAATAGTGGGTTCCCCCTTGTCGTCGACAGGATGGACCGTCATTGATTCAATTAATGACTGTAGTCGGTGTAATGCCATCAGGAAAACTACCGTTTGGGTTGAAATATAACCCGGTGGAGAGGGTGCTGCCCCATGGCGGCCTGTTCCAGTGCATATCAGAACTTGATCTGCAACTCCTCGATGGGTGGCCGGAATATCGGCGAATAAGGGTGCACTCAAGGCACTTGTTATTCCCGGAAGGACTATGGGCTCGTAACCCTTTCTTCGAAAGAAGGAGAATTCTTCGGCACCGCGTCCGTAGAGATATGGATCTCCTTGTTTGAGCCGGAGCACAGTTCTACCTGCTGATAAGCCTTCGGACGCCAATACCAGGAGCTCTTCTTGGGCCTTGTCTGCATTGCCGGGGAATTTGCGTGCAATGTGGACTTCTGTTCTTCGCGGGATGAGGTCTAGCACGGCCGCTGGCACAAGTTTGTCCGATAATATAAGATCGGCGCTCTTGATGGCGTGGTATGTTGCGCGTGTTAGCAGATCAGGGTGACCAGGCCCAGAACCAGCTAAGATGATTTTTCCCTTTTTCGACAATTGGCCTGCACCTTTACCGCTGGTGACGGGACACTTGTCAGCCCCATACGCAGCAAGCATCTTCTCCACATCTGAGAGGGTTACGCTTGCAAGCTGACGAAGGGGCCAATATTCACATATCTGTGAAAGCCAGCGTATCCTTCTCGTTTTCGATGTAGCCGCTTCGTCACCTACCACCAACGTGTTGAACGTATGTTTCTGTGCAGTCGAGTCGTCAGAATCATCCTCAAAGTGATCCTTGTCTGCCTCATTTTCGATAGCGTCCTCTTCCCAGATACGTTTTCTTAGGATACCCAAATTGCCAACAGCTTCTCCGAGGCCAGATGGAAGGAAAGAGGCAATCTCTCGCCTTATCCGAGAAGCTAATGACCCTCCTTTTCCTGATGTCGTAACTCCAATATGCAGAGGCCCATCAGAATACGTTGAAAGTAATGTGAAAGAACATAGTTCAGGCGCATCAGCCACATTTACGGGGATGCGCAACCTCCGACACAAATTTGATATATGACGGCCTACACTTTCAAATTAGAACTCGAAATAGGAGTTTGACGGTAAGTATATGGGGTTATTCATACTCAAGGGATTTGTTCTATCCAGTGTCACGAATACAGCATCAACCACATAGTCTACCTCATCTCTACCCAATGTAGAGAGGTCGATGTCTTGGAACTCCCGCTGAATCCACTGGACCCGCCCAGCCTCGACTCTCTCAGCAAGAGTGGATGGAAGCTTGGTTTCGGACGGGCAAATCAAGATGGGCCTTGCTCCTGCGTCGAGGGATTTGGTACAGCGTGTAGCTGCCAACGGATCAGATCCGACTATCAAATGGACTTGTGAAGTTGCATTTACTGCAGTCAGGAGTGGAATTCGCCTCTGGCAGTCGATGGACGAATCCCTCATCGCGGCCATTTAAAAGAATGCAATTTGGCGCCTCTCCGGAATACTGACTTCAAGTTGAATGGTAATGGGAAGCTAATCTCGGAAAATATATGTCGATAACTTAAAGAGCGTAAATGATGAGAGCATGAGGCAAGACAGTTGCAACCATGGGCGAGGTCCGATAAATAGATTAATGAATGGATTAAAGGCTGCTAACGAGTTCATAAAAGAGTCGTATCTGATAATATCTGTCCTTTGCACGATGGCCGATATATTGCCTCCTTTCGGCTTCAGATCTTAAAGTTGGATATCAAAATGGTGATCTATACACTGGCTGGCGCCATGCAGGGATGGGTATGGAGGCGTGTATGCCAGTCAAATATGAGTAGAGCGGTATATCAACAACAGTTATACGATAAGTTCGTGATGCTTCCTTTCCCTGTGCTTATATATATCTTCTCTTTGCCTTTTGTTCATCCTTTGGGTCGATTGCGTGATTATTTCCGGAAGTGGGCAATAATAAGCGCGCGCTTCCATGGTTGAATATTGGTAAGCATAACCCTTTGCCGCCGATGTTACATAAGCACTGCCAAGGCCTCCATCCGACGCTTGTTGATGCTCAAGAAGGGAAGCTGGAGCAACGCAGACGAGTTAACTTGAGAGCTCTCCAGACAGCTACACGCAGTTCCTTTGTATCCAGCTCTGAAGAGACGCTGTTTCATTCTCTGTTGCTTCATCTCGAACTGCCACATTCTCTATATCTCGCTCTAACCCTCAAAAAGACACCAGGTCAACCAGACATCCATCATGTCGGAGGGCACGCTGTTCAAACCCGACAAGGACTTTACGAAGGACGTTGACCAACAGATTCCGGAAGCTGAAGCGCTTGCTAAGGTATGATCTTCTCTTTTTAATCCAGCTGGTTTCACTGTTAACAAACAATGTCCGCAGACCAACGTACAAGGCGCACTTGACAAGCTCTTGTTGCTAGAGAAGCAAGCACGACAGGTATAGGATACATTCCACGATGCCATACCAGTACAAGATTTTAACTGAAGATTCAAGGCATCCGATCTCCCTTCCACCTCGAGACTCTTGGTCGGCATCGTCACCATTTGCAAAGATGCCGGTGACTGGGACCTGTTGAACGAACAAGTTATCGCTCTCTCAAAGAAGCATGGCCAACTCAAACAGGCAATAACGAAGATGGTCCAGGTGGTGATGGAATTCCTGGACAAGACTCCAAGCACGGAGGTCAAACTGTCCTTGATCGAGACGCTGAGGACAGTCACTGAAGGAAAGGTTAGACATGAGCTCCAACCACATCTTTTAACGAGGCTCACTCATGTATGAATGAATGCTAACGAGATAATTGTGGGTTTACTAGATTTTCGTCGAAGTTGAGAGGGCACGAGTAACCCGCGCGTTATCCGACATTAAGAAGAGCCAAGGCGATATCAATGCTGCTGCGGATATCTTGTGCGAGCTGCAGGTGGAAACCTTTGGATCGATGGCTCGAAGAGAAAAGACGGAATTCATTCTAGAGCAGGTTGCACTTTGCATAACAAAGAAGGACTGGACACAGGCCAACATCCTCAGCCGCAAGATCACCACGAAATTCTTCGCCCGGAAACCCAAGAGGACCCCAGAACAAATCGAAAAGGATAATAAAGAAGCTGAGGAGAAGGAAAAGAAACGCAAGCCTGATGATCCACCAGTCGAGAAGCCAGATGATGTCACAGATCTGAAGCTCCAGTATTACGAACAACAGATTATCCTTGCAAACCATGAGAGCAAGTATCTTGAGGTTTGCAAACATTACAGACAGGTACTCGACACCGCGTCTGTTGAAGAAAACCCAGAACAGCTACGTGCGGTAAGTCTCCCGTAAAACACTTCCCCAGATTACCATTGCATACAGAAGGCTAATTAGACCTTACAGGTACTCCAACGGGTCATCTACTACGTTATTCTCTCACCCTTTGATAACGAGCAGTCGGATCTCCTGTACCGTATTCAAGCCGACACACGAAACTCCCTTGTTCCTGTTGAGGCTCGACTTATCAAACTCTTCACAATTAACGAACTGATGCGCTGGCCCATGGTCGCTGAGCAATTCGGGCCCCATCTCTGCAGTACCGATGTGTTCGACGCCACCACCAACCACACTGCTGACGACAAGCCATTCCAGCGCTGGCAAGATCTCCGAAAGCGTGTTATTGAGCACAATGTCCGAGTTGTTGCCAAATACTACACACGCATCGAGATGGGCCGCCTGACCGAGCTCCTCGATCTGAACGAAGAGGAGACTGAGAAATATATCAGTGATCTCGTCACTTCGAAGACCATCTATGCTAAGATCGATCGCCCAGCCAGACTTGTCAACTTTGCGAAACCACGCGACGCCGATGACGTGCTGAACGAGTGGAGCAGTAACATGAAGAGCTTGCTCGGGTTGTTGGAGAGGATCGATCATTTGATCACCAAGGAAGAGATGATGGCTCGAATCCTTCCGTCCAAGGGCTCGGAAAGGACGAAGGCGCGTTGATAGACATTTTCGTTAGCGACCTACAGAATATCAAAGCGCATTGATGTGTATAACAAACAATATGCTCATAGACAGCCGCCTTTGCCTAATGATATTTTCTTCTACATGATATCATATCCCCATCCCAAGTCCGTTTCATGCTATACGTAAGTAGCGAGTAATATAGTCATCAATGCTCTATCCCATGGCCGCCTAGTCTAAGTGGTCCATCATATATACATCTAGGGGCAAATATGTTCTATCTATATCTTGCAATTGGCCATAGCTCTATGCTGCCGTAAACACCGTTAAAATGGAACATCCATATGTTCAACTCCCACGCCGTCGTCCCCTTTGCCGTTACCGTTACCGTCTAACCCTTCCAAGTGGAGTCTAATGAACTGCACTGCTCCATCTAAGTATGGTCTTTGGCTAGGCAAGAAATGACCACCAGGATGCCACAAAACCTTCCCATCTGACTCAGGGTTCCCAGCACAAGATTCAATTAACTTCCTGCTCCGCGTTTCCTCCACGATCATATCCAAAGTACCTAAAACATGTAACACTGGAGTTTGGATCTTGGGCTGCTCATAAAAGGCCCGATACCGGGTTCCAGGAGCGATGAATCCACCATAGCAAATTGCAAACTTCATTGGAGGATGAGCTATATCGGCGAATGAAGATGGAAACGGGATTCCAGTCACCATCTTCTTATCCCCTGTATCTTGTGGTGGCTTTTGAGGATTCTGTTGACTCCCACCCGGAAGCTGCGCGACTAGCTGTTGCTGATTATTTGCTGGGTCCGAGAAGTAGGCGAACGCTTTACTCCGATCATGCTCAAGCAAACTGGTTACCATGGCTGCTAAACATGCTCCCTGGGAAAATCCAATGACACCATCGAACGGTCCTTCGTCTACGAGTACACGGGCGACCGTTGCCAGACCTTTCTCTAGTCCAACATATTCAGGTGGATCGATGGAGTCCGAACGACGCCACCAGGCAAAAGCTTCGGGCTTATCTTCAGCTGGAGTACCGCCGTTAGAAGAAGACGGTGTAGAAGAGGGCGTGAAATTGGGTATATCAGACGGACTCAGCCCGATGGGCCCAGACGGGTATGATAGCGTAACAGAGTAGGTAGGTAGATTTTTCTGGATGTGTTTTTCCAGGGCCCGGGATTTAGCATGGAACAACGAGCCAGACTGGGTGTATCCATGGAGCATAAGAATTCTAAGCGGTGTTCCTGTTGATTTCGCCATGGCTCTTGATTTCCCGGCTCAGTCGGTAGATGATCCGGGAGATGTCCTCGGGCGATTAAGCCGATGTTATTTTTCAAGCAATAAGAGCAGCAGCTGCTCTAGTCCTAGGAACTGTAGCGGGACAAAAAGAGAGGTCCACGAATGTCCTAAGCGTTATTGTCGAGGTCACTGTTCGTCCAGGTGCATCTTATCTCAAACCGCGGAGTAACGGAATATCTATTATCCGTCGGCCATATTCAGCTATAAGGAAAAGAGGGCATAAAGGGTCATCGTACTCGAACCTGGAGCAAAAAACGAAGTTGCAACCAGGTTCCGGTGCTATTCACGATGATTAGGTTATTGTAGCCTCTTCGCTGGTGCGTAGATGGCTTGATATCCAGTCAGGCTCTGACATAATCCCAGCGAAGAGCGGAACATCTATTTTCCAGCTCAGGCATAGAAATAAGCAAAAAGGGAGTCATTGGGGTTCGAACCTGGGGCAAAAAAGAAAAAGCGAAGTCAGAACTTGGTTCCCATGACAGATATTGTTACTAGGTTATGTGGCCTTGTTCGCTGGGATAAAGAGGGCGCAGTGTTGTCTTTCTTCACCATCTTCCTTGTCGGAGACCAAAAGCGTCCATTGTAGATATCTTACGTAATGCGGCTCAACTTCACGTGATTAACCCAAATTTAGGTGTGTGATTATGTAATCAGGTCAGCTCGTTGGTGGGCGAGTTGTTTGTCGCATGTGAAAGGTCGAACTATCCAGGACGAAGAGGACAACTCGACAGAACTGAACGTCTATGTTGGCGCATACCGGTGAACCATAGAGAAGAGCGTTGCCGAAGGTGGTAGATAGGTGCTTTGGACGATCGAGCTGCTGGTCCCGGACGAATAGGAGAATGACAAGTGCGCTAACCTTCCAGCTTGTTCAACTGCAAAGGTTGGTTTATTGAGAGTGACTGGTGTGAAGGTATGTTTTCAATTGGGGAGCTATACTCAGGGATACGCTTTCTAACGGGCTCTCGTAGGCTATAACCATGGAGAAGTACTCCCAGTTTCGGGATCGAGGTGCGTGGTTGAAAAGCCCAAATTTGATCATTCTTATAGAGGTTGGTACTAAAGTGCCGGCATCATACAGCGTCGGGCATCGCACCGTTTCTACCTGTTGTTGGACATCCTCCGACTATATCTCTTTTGGTTCACACATTTCTATTCATCGTACGCTTTCCACTGTTAATATCGGCATGCATGGTCTATTTTTGTGTATTGCAGTGGCTTCCAATCGGGAGTTTGGGGAAGAAGGTATCCCTGTGGACAATATTAGGAATACCCGGCATATGGTGGGTGGACTTGCAAATTGAAGGCGTGAAGAGAGGGTAAGATAAACTGTATCACTCCTAGTTACCGTTATTTCCGATCACCTGTTTACATTAAATATTTAGATCACTGGCCAAGCATCAGCAAACTCGACTGCCAGGGCCAGGAACCATAATCGCCTCTTCTTTCACCAGCCCAGTCGACGTTCTCTACCTAGCAGCAATCTTCAACCCAATCTTCACAGCTTCATACCCATCTACGCAAAAAGTGAAGCAGGTTTCCCTACTCCAGGCAATTTTCCGCGCCTTTTCTTCACCGGAATCAGCACCACCCCAAGATTCCAGGGCAGATCTAACGGATATAGCAACTTTGATCAAACAATACCCTAACCGCTGCATTGTTGTCTTTCCCGAATGCACTACCACCAATGGCAAGGGTATTCTAGAGCTCAGCCCTTCGCTCTGCTCGGCGCCGCCATCAGCAAGGGTTTTCCCAATCAATCTTCGCTATGAGCCGGCTGATATTACAACGCCAATCCCAGGCTCATATGTAAGGTTTATCTGGAATTTACTGAGTAAACCAACACATTTCATCCGGGTGAGGATTGCAGAGAGTATTGTGCGGGGCAATACTGTGGATGTTTCATTACAGAGCCTGGGTATCGAATCTGATACTCCGTTAAATCTTGAGCAGCAGAAGTTGATTTTCCTTGTTGGAGATTCGCTTGCTCGGCTGGGGCGCGTGAAGAGAGTTGGCTTAGGGGTTAAACAAAAACAGGAGTTTGTGAGAATGTGGGATACAACTAGAAAATGATTCAGAGCAGGTGTCAATAATGAGGGGCACTACGGGAGTTGCAATGCGGTAATAATATCAATTCAGTCTGTTTTGCATTGATTTTCTTAGAAGCTTGGATAAGTAAAAATTCCTTGGAGTGTTCCGTGGATAGGCCCCAAGAACCCCTTTCATAGGGATAAAGGGGATTTCAACACGGCATTCGCTAGAACAAATGAAACCAATTATCTCATGACCTCCTCAGCTCACTAGATTAGGTCGTTGTGAGGCGATGCATTTATTTCTTTCCGCCGGGAGGAGCGTAGTTGGAGCCTCCCTGGCCATTGTTGTAGTAGGTGCTGCCATTGGGGTTGCTGTAGTAGTACGATCCATCGCTACCAAGGATATATATAAGGTCAGCATCTATCACGAATCTATAGTTTCAATAAACTGCTTCAAGGGAGATAGCTGAACATCCAATAATCATTTTCTTCAAGAAGAATTAGCAGAAGGACGATAAAGTACATACGTGTTGGAGTAGTGGTAAGAATTGGAGTTGGCGGCTGAGGAGCCATAGTCGCGAGCACAATAATGGTTACCCTATTCTCGGTCAATAGTACGCTCAGGATATGACGGACAATGCACGACTAATCAGTTTATGATACCCTCTAAGGGCCTTTTGGTCGGCATAGAGCTCCATGCCCGATCAAGATATCTGCACCGACAGAAGTCTAGATGCTAGCACAGAGACAACTTGCTCTACAAGTGGTCGGATTGAGAACATATCAAATGATATATCCTCCTTTTCTAGGGGGAATTCCATAGGATCCGGAGAATTGAGACTCAATGTCATGGACAGTACCAACCTGGTCGTTTGTTCCGGATGACTTGTACGTATACCCTCCGTTGCCGCTGGAGTTGCCACTAGAGTTGCTGCTGGAGTTTTTTTCAGGCATCTTGATAGATCGTAAAGTATCCTCGACAACACAGGTGAGAGTGTATAAACTGCTGTAGACTTGAGGAAAGATGAGAGCTAAAGAAAGAGGAGATAGAATCAAGAACAAGTGAAGCGAAGAGGGCACTTCTGGCCCTTTTATCCGTCAGGTTACGGTGAATGATGAACGGAGCGGGAAAAGGAGAAGTTACTCCGTTTGGTCCACGATTCACCTGGTCCGCTCTAAAACATCCAGAAGGGCGAGCCGTGATAGTTGACCAATGTTTGAGACTCTATGGCGTCAGAAGAGGGACATCAAGGCGTTATGCATTAAACTACTTGTTCGTTGCCAATGGGGGTTCTTAGGGATATGGAGCTGGGATGCTTCCAGGCAACTCTGGAGTACTCTAGCTCGAGTTCAGGCTGAGCGTCTCCGGGAGCGTCGGAGATACGCCGGGCTTGGACACCAGTACTCCCGTATATCTTCCTTGAACAGGCCTTTCTGACCAGGTGGCAGAGACATGGTTTCGGAGCTATAAACAAGGGGTTCACTAGCCAGTTGCTTACCAACCGTACGGATATAGTTATTGTACAAAGTATCACACAAAGGACACGACTAACCGTGGGAACGATCTCTCCACCAACCGAGATTTCAGTCAGAGTTTCCACGGATAGAATACGGAGTATAAGGGAGATGTTATCCTCAAGCTAGGTAAGTAACAAATTGAATACGGAGTACGCTTTAAGGCGTGGTTTTGTTCATCTCCGTTGCTCATTATGAAACTAGGTGGAGCTGTCTCAAAGTCCAAAACGACATTTATATCAACATCATGAGAAAAGAGAAAAATCCCTCTTGTTCCAAGTCTCGATATCTACTCATGCGCCGTGGATAGGAGGATCAGTCCAGGTCGCCAGGATTTACATATTTACGTGATGTATATCTACGTGCATAAACCCCCCGTCGCCAATATTTAATAAACAACCTGGTCTTCTTGGATTCCGATTCTTCCACAATGCCTGTAAATTAATAGCACTCTTGCTATTAATATTCCCATGTTGAGAATGAGCAAGGTCTATAGACTACTACGCTGCGCGCAATGCCAGTTGTTGGGATCAATTGTTGGATTGCAGGCTTGCGGGTATTTTTCGCATATTTATATCTCATCCTGGATACACGAAATAGGCCCCAATACGCCACTGATAGACAAATATTCCAGATAGGAACCCATCCTTCGGCGCGGGCTTGGGTAAAATGTCCAATACCCACACCATATAACACATATCTTCTCACAGTGCCATGGGCCCGAGCCGTGACTAGGATATGCTCCAACTTATCGCAACATGTTCTGCGAGCATACCCCCTAGCCGACGTTGTATCCGGCACGATGCATTAGATCAAGACGATGGCGAGGGGAAGTTCTACAGATATCATGAGGGGTTTACTACGGGTCGAGAGGCCGTGTCACCCAATATAAAGATGGCGATATATCCCTTTACCAGAGCAAACACATCCCTTCTCTATTCACTTGGTCCTGGTTTAAAAACGCCCATCCAACCCTCTTTATTCATCCAGTCCTTGATTCGAAAAGCACTATTCCAATCCCCTAGTACTTGACTCGAAAAGCACTATCCTCTGTTGAACATCATGAAGATCTTCACCACAGCGCTACTGGCTTTTGCAGTCTCCTTCCTAACTGTCGTCGAAGGTAAACTCTGGGCATCCTTCCACGGCATCGGTCGCTATGTTCTTCGCGACAAAATCGACGGCTACATCACGCTCGACTGGCGCCCCACCTATCTCTCGGGCTTCGCCATGAGTAATGGCACCGGTATATTCAATGCCGTCTTTGATAGCCCCCCTCGCTACCCAGGATGGCATGTGTACTGGGATAATTCAATCGACAATTACCGTAAGGCCCTCAAGGAAAGAAAAGAGGCCGGATACCGACTTCTCCAAGTCAATGTCTATAGCGCTTTCGGTGAGCGTTACTTTACCACTAGATGGGAGCAGAACTACGACAATATCCCATGGGCAGAACTTACAAATCAGTCCCGTGATGAGTTTATGAAATCGCTCAAAGAGTACGAGGGCAAGGGCTACAGGCTTAAAAGCCTGAGCGGGTACGGCTTTAATGGAGAGCAGCAATTCGCCAGCGTGTGGGAGCAAAAGTCTAGTCTTCCCTGGAGAGCGTATGCTGGCCTGACTGCTGCCGAGTACCAGGCCAAATTTAACGAGGCGAGAAAAGATGGATATTACCCGGTGCAAATCAGCCCATACAACGTCGGGACTCAGGTCTGGTTTGCTGGAATTTTCGAGAAGGTTGATAGCAAGGCTGCTAAGCCGGAATGTCAATGGGCATTGACCTCCGACCAATATGTGAAGGTGTTTAATGATTGGAGGAGCAAAGGGTACATGCCAACTGTGGTGGAAGGTTACCTTAACGGAGGGGAGAGATACGCTGCCATCTTCAACAAGATTACTGAAACTCAAGTCTCGAACTAGTTGCAGGAGAGAAGTCTACCTTATTATAATTATTTTCCTTTCCATGAATGCAGTGTAGCTTTCCGAGTTTTACTGAATCCCCTTTTCCCGCTGTCAATCTCCATCTATGTATGTAGTTATTTTAAATGACATATCTAAATTAATTATATTAATTATCCTGGCGTCTTGAGCTACGCCGACTGTCTTTTATGGCTTGATGGCTTTAGACTTCTTTGGCTGACAGTCGAAGGCCCCCCTTATATAGGCAAATATTTTTCAGAAGCCCTCTAGTACTGTAGGTAGATATGTGTCGACTGGAACTAGAATATCGGTCACCTTCGAAGTCACGCATTATTTTAAGGAAACGGAAATATCCGTACTGTGAATAGTCTACACCCTTTGTTGTTTGTTATTTGGGAGTTCATTGTCACGGAAGGGACTTTGTGCTAAATTACAAAGTGAATCGTTGTGAGAAGATATTATTAAGGGGTATAAGTACGCCCCTTCACCTCTCCAACACTATGTCTTTTAATAATAAGAGGTATCCATTTACGTTCAAAAGTGTGGCCGTTGTGAAAGGAGAGAAGGGGCCTTGAGAAGGATCAAGCAGAAGCAAAATAGGCGAAAAACAATACCTGGTAATCGGTTGGCATATTCAGTCGAAGATGATGGAATGGCTGAAGTCGTTGCTTAGGCGGACAAAGGGACCGAATCTACAAGATGTGACAGATAATATCCTAACCAAGGAACCACAGAACGTCGTTCAGGGGGGGATAGATAGTCTTCCTATCGAGATATTGCAGTTGGTGGCTGGACAGCTGGAATTTGCGGACTACCTGAGCTTTACTCAAATTAGTGATCGGTTTCGAGGGATGTTTCGACCGGATGTTGTTGAGTGGTTGAGTGTTCATTTTTCTGAAGGAGAAAAAGCAGAGAGAGATGCGAAGCTGGATTCATTGGACGTGGTATCTTTGTCACATGTGATGGTCAAGGTGTTGCTCGGAGTGTCCCACATGCCAGCGGCTATGTCGGAGTTTACGTCTCGGGGGGGCATCATTCTTGTTTGTGCCGGTGGCAGCGAGATTGCTCTTGGAGCAGAAGTTCTTGAAATACGGCGACAGTCTGCCGGTGGATTTTCTCCTTTCACAAGGTGCGCGGTTCGATTGCAACGGGATTCACAGTTTGTTGCAGCAGACGTTCAAGGAATTTGGCGGTGGTCTAAGGGCGAGGTTTCTGTTGTCACAGGGGGCAGATTTTAGGTGGGTGCCGATGGGTGCAGAGAACCTGCTTAAGTGGCGGTTGGAGAAGTATGGCAACAAATATAACTACCATCATAATACGGATGCTCGATTTTTCGTATCCCATGCAGGGATTTCGGAGCAAGAGTTGAGACAGCTGATCCGCAGGATGCGGGAGCCGGCCTTTGTGTTCAAGTGAGCCCCTGACTGAACCACGGCGGCAGGTCTATTTGACCTTCAGAACCCATTGTGGGTAAATTGGGGGTATATGCCTCAGACTAAAGGCCACAGGAGCCACGATAGCTACTTATGGCGCCCGTCATCTCTGTCTGATCTCACATCTCTGTTGTTGATATTGACATGTCGTTGCGGTTTCTATAAACCCGTCGGGAATATGTTTATCCGTGGCTATTCGGTCATGTGACCAGAACGCGCTTGGATAGACGCGAAAGAAGAAAACATCGACAACAACATCGGCATCAATATCAATAATGTTAACCCAATGATATCCCATTAGCACTTTTATTCTTCTCAGTTAAAATATCCCATCTAGTCAATGCTATACGAAGGTTACGATCATAGTTATCCATGCCACTATGCTCACATGGACCGACGATAGTGATCTATGTATACCCATCCACCTGTTCCTATTCACTGAGAGACGCGGTGAATACCGAGTAGCTGGATAGCGACCTAGGGCTTTTCAGTCAAGTGCCAAACGCTGTTTGTCAGCAAGACGATTCCTTGATGAGAGCCAACATCGACCTATACCAAGTCTCAAATTTGTCGTGTCCTGCCGCATGGAGTGTTGTGGACAAACGCCAGACGCGTGTTCTAGAGCCCTTGATACCTCAACCTGCTAGCATTTAGCTAGAGAGAAAACGAAAGAAAGCCTTGGCTTGTGGCCAGGTTGCCTGCTATGGTACATCATCCATGGATTCTTCAACTTCTTTGGTTGTCCTCTGTGTTGCTAACCAACACTGTGTTCGCTTAATTTCTGGAATTCACCAGACTTCATTACTAGTTAAATGAAGACAAGACGCCCCATTTAGCCATCTCTCGCTTGACTCTCTTCTCTTTCTTCTCCTCTCCCTTACCTGCTTCTCTATTACCTTCACTTTAGCTCTTGAGAAAAGAAGTGAGAGCTAGCACCTTATCTGTTACATCCATGCCCTGTTTCCCCAAGTGTGCTCTAACCATATATCGACATATGCTTTTTGTCTTCTATAGGCACTGAATCAAGGTAAGGAACGCCTATCTACCCAGCACCTCGCTGCTGACCAAGTTGGAAGTAGATAAATCCTTCAAACCACCGCCATGCCTTCCGAGCTCATTCCACCCGCGGTAGCCTTTTCAATTTCGCAGATTCATGCCAATAATCATCGACTAGAGTGCCTCCTACACCTACCAGATCTTTATCATTGCAGGGTCACTACGTTAAAGGGTGGGCCTTGTCGCTATAAGGGTAGGAATGGAATAGAGCCAAATGGAACAAACCCTGGCAGACTACCAGTGTGCGGCATGCACCGTCCCTTTGCTCCATCGGCTGGACGATGCAAGGCGGTTCTATCCTGCGGCTTCGAGTGTGGGGGGCTCATCAAATGGAGCCCAGGTGAATTTAGGTTTTGCCCTAACCATGAAGATATAGCAAAGCACTGCTATTTCATGAGCATTCCAACAGAGCTGAGGTTGAGAATATACGAACAGCTGTTCCTTGAACCCCGGCCTTACAAGCTGGCACATCCAGAAAATCGTATCCTTAAAGGCAAGCGTACCAGCATATTCCGTGTCAATCGCAGAATCCACGACGAAGCCACATCTGTGTTTTACGGATACCCCAAGTTTACAATTGAAGTGGGCCCAGAGGAGGTATTTATGATGGGCGATTTTTGGGATTGGAACTATTTTAAGAACTTGGTCAAGGAAAAACCTCAGCTCGAAAAGTCAGCAGTGTCTCCATATCGCCCTATCGCCCTCCTAGGAGCTCCAAAGCACCCTCTCCTTAAATGTACCACTATCGATGTGCCTATGGGAAAGATTAACTTTTCAAAAATGAGGTCCTTCCATGTCCTTATCAACCTCGAACGTCCTCGGAAAAAAATACATATCGGCTCGACGGATTTATCCCAGGACAAAGAGACTAAAGGCTCCTTCTACATGGTTGCAGACAATGTACAAAAACTTGAATCCCTGTTGAAGTTGGTTCAACCCAATATCCACAACTTATCCGTCTCCGTCCGGGTCCAACATGGCTTCTGTTCCGAATTGGGGGATGTGCTAGGGTTTTCGGTCAACGCCCTTCGCTGGCTTAGTGGTCTCCAGTTTGTTACTAACGCGTCTATCGAAACTGTAGAATGGGGAAGTGGGTGGGATACCCTTCGATCATCTGATTACATTACAGATATATCTTCCAGTCGACAAACTCTTGTCCCTTTAAAGGGTTCTCAAGTGTCAAACGACGACATGCCAATGTATGACTTGTTCTTGAAGGAACTAGATCTCTGGAAAACTTTGGTCACCTCTACAGGTGGCCGTGCAAGCACGAGCACAATCATGCTAGCGTTTTCGAAACTCGAGAACCTACTCTGGGTATTTCAAGCGGCCAAAGTTCGTCAATTTAGAGACGACGAAAACACACTCCCAGATTTTATCTATAGGGCTAGAAATGCGCTTCATGAGGGCGACCTTAAGGGCTTGAACGCCATCTGCAGAGAGGCCGTGAAGCTCTGGTCTGACCACATTGTGGAGGAGAACAACTTGAAGCTATGCGCTTGGGGGGAATTCATAGCGTTGGATGCCCTGTCTGCGACTCGGCCTTCCACTACTCTCGACGAATTATTGGACGCCATGAGTGAGATAGGTATCAGCGAGTCGATCATACCTGATTTGCAAGGCTGATATTCACTCGTGCAACGACATCATAGCATGGGCTAGGTGGAAAGTTGATTACATAGGGATTAATTGGGAGAGGGTATTGGACGGGACCCCATTCACTTGTTCCCCGTCAATACTATTTCTCTTTTTTAGTCCTTACACAACATTCACTTAAGCTAACCACCTCATTTCTCGTTCACTTTGGTCTTTTATACCAGCCGGTTCAACCTGAGAACTACATATTAGAATTAGTTATGGTGGCTGCAATACAAACACAATTATATTAGCTATTACAAGCATACAGTAGAAACGCCCCTTTGGTACATACCCGGGATTATGTGCGTGTTCTCTAGCCCAGCTAACCTGTCCTATTATCTATAGCAGAAGTTTCATAGATACATAGTAGACGCGCACGAGCCATGGCACTTTTGATAGCCAGGTTACACCGCCTTTGAGGCTTAAAATCTAATCTCAGCCGAGGGGTTGGACATTCCTACGCAGGGGAAAAAGAGCATCACTATGTATACAGTCTCTGATTTCTTTGCACGGCTACAATAAATGAAGAGCAGAGGTGACATGTGAGGGAATTACTTCAAGGATGTCGCATCATCATCCGCAGTCATAGCTTCTGATATTGGATCGTAAACCCGGACCTTATGTCCTGGAATCGGGGCAATTAGCGTCCAGAGAGATGTAGTCCATCCAGCCCCGCAGGCACGGAGATACCAGAAGCTCATGCGCACGTTTGTACCCGTATATCATTGAAGAATTCGACCTAGTCTCCTCCATCCCTCTATCCGCAGCAATGCCGGCAACAAATATACTGAAAATCACGAGTTCGAACTTTCCCACCAGGATGCAAGACGGTCAACAGCTAGGCATTGATGCGAATGTCGAAGAGTAACAAGAAGTCAAAGTAAAGGAGCAACAAAAACAAAAGCAAAGATTCTGATTTGATTGCCAGATATCCGGAACTCCCGCCATCCATCATATTTTTTGCCAACGTATAGACACAGTCGACATGAGAAACAAGAAGGCAACAGGTGATCATCTCCATCTTCTATCTGTCTGGTATCATCGAGCAGGTTTCGAGGGCGGAAGCATGGAATTCGGGATAGTGGGAAAAAAAGAATCGACAACGAAATGCTGCCATATTGAATTAAATAAGCTTTTTCACATTTTTTGGTATTGGAGATATTAAGTTGTTGGGTTGTGGTCTGGTGTGGAAGAGAGGGGGGGTCTGCGAGGCGGTTGTTTTGTTCGTCGTAAAGAAAGCTATTTTATGACAGATTCCACTGTGATCTTTTTTTTCATATCCCGTTTTGACACATGTTTTTTTTGATTGGCGTTAGGTCATTCCTCTACTTCCTCCTGAACGAGCATCCCTCGGTCAATCTGGCCTTACCACCGGTAGGCTGGCAAAGGACGGTGGAGCATCCGGCGCAGATGACGACGGTCTGGGCGTGCGAGAAGACGGTGGTGATTGTGAAGCAACCGGGGCACTTGACGTCCATGAAGAAGGATCGGGGAGCAGGCACGAGGGTCTATATGGGGTTAAAGGGTCGAGATGTTAGATTTTCGATGTAATTTTGATAGGTCGACGGGACGGTGATATGCGACGAGGCGAGGTTGATATCGGAAGCACATACCTTGAGCTTGTGCTTGCGAGCCTCCGACTGAGGCTGCGGGTTGAGGAGGTCGACCGCGAGAACCTATTCATCGATATCCGTTAGCTTCTAGTGTCCGTCTTGAAGGCCTTTGCATGGGACCGGCGGCGGCATCAAAGGTTGACTCAGAGAGCTCATCCAGCGACGAGCATCGGCGGTATCGCCAGAAGAACAGGAGACGTACCATGATGACTCAATATGTCTTGTCTGGAGCAGAGATGTGACGGGTTGCGCTTCGGAGAGGTGGTTTGCGAGAGAGTCGACGGTCAGCGAGAGAAAGGGAGAGAGGAGGAGGACGGAGATCGTGTGCGTTGCGAAGTTGGCGAGGTTTGACCACACACAAATTTCCCTCCCTTGGCCAGAGTTTGTGCTGGTTTCGCTTAGCTAGCTTCTTCGGGTATAGTCGATTATGTAATACACTAGTCCGCTTTAGGCAGCTCACGACTTCAACTACAACAGACAACAACAAGAACAAGAACAAGATACAACAGACAAGATACAACAGACAAGATATAATAAGAGACAGAAGAGAGAAGAGAAGAGAGAAGAGAGAAGAAAAGAGAGAAGAGAAGAGAGAAGAGAAGAGAGAAGAGAAGCATATGTTTGCTGTTTAGACGGTTGTTGTTTGATATGCTTGCAGTTTGCAAGAGCAAACCACGCCTGCAACACTATATAGAGAGCTCGACCTCTACTCTCTTCTTCAAAACATGCTGCTTCGAGAACACTACTCAAGAATGTGAATACTCTTGAATATTCAATATACACACTGTGATACCATTGTCTGTGACTTGACTCGTCACTTACCTTGTCGCTCAGTCACCGCTGATTAGTTACGGAACAAACCGTACAGTCGAGACTGTCGTCCGACTGGGATATTTTTTGACGGAGGGAGCCTTAGTTTAAGAGCTGCCCTGCTGGAATTCTCCATTTGAGTATAAGGACAAAGAGATCTCTCCTTAATATTTATTTCGGCATCCACGCTAACATCGAACTACCCGTCACTCACTTCTACCAAGAACTTCACTCTTGAAAATGAATCACCAGCGACACCACACTCCCTCCTCAGGAGTGAATGATATGTCCAGGGTAGGAATGCCATATAGTCAGATACCCTTCCAATCTCTTGTTCCAGGCTCATCGCCTGGACAAGGGAGCCACCAAGAAAACCACCAAGGGAACCTACAAGGGCAACAGCCGTTCACCCCAATCGGCTTCCACGGCTTACCGGCCGGTGAGTGTCCGTTTATACTATACTTCTCAACGGCTGAAGAAAACTGAGAATTCTCCCGTCAAATAGGCGCTGCTCAATCGTCCTCTCCACGCAGGCCCACACCATTTTCAGCTGGGGCTGTGCCATATATTGGAGGGACATATACGCTCTTTCCTGGTTATAGTATACAGCAAATTAACGGTCTTGTGTCCACCAATGATGGGCGGACCGGATATATGGTAACAGCGCCGTTTGAACCCCAACTTCCCCATAACTACGCTGCCCGTATATCACCCGTGGACACAATTGCCCATGATACTGAGCCACGACCCACCCAAACACAAGCAACAACCGTGACAGCAGTCACTCCGGCTGTAGCCTCCAATGTAGCCTCAGCACGAGAGGCACAAAACATTCAAACCGCCATCCTGAACTCACTAGTGGAGGAGAGCCATCAAGTCATGGACATTAACCACGAGTACGGAAACTCTCGTGCCGCACCTACTAATCTCAACCACACATCTTCCAGTTCCCCTCGCTCACAAGATGGAATGCATCAATTTTGGCAAACCTATGGTGAACGACGAAGAAGCGGTATTCAAAGGGGTATGGCTAGCAATCCCGTACCACCTCGACAAAATGCGCAGACGAGTACCGTTACGGCAGCGTGTACGCTCTGTAGTGGCAATCGAGCGGTGCATCGAGACCTAGATATTGCTGACGGCATGCCTATTTGTGAGAAATGCTGTGACGAAATGATACGGGCAGAGCAGACAAGAGCCGAGAATAGGCGGCGAGTTCATTTTGTTTCTTAACAATATGATGACCTGACGTATAGGCTATTAAATTTACCATTCTTACTATTCTCTCATGCTATATTGTCCCTAGGTGTGCTTATACTTCAATACTCGGGGCCCGGGTAACTCGAGAGGATTCGTCTTTGGCTTGGAGTACTGAACTCAATCAAAGTGCAATTAGTCCATGGTAACTTGGAGAATATGAGATGGAGCGGATTCTCAACTTACCTGACTGTGATTAGGAACTCTTGGAGCTGGGTTTAAAGTCATCGGTGACATTGTCGCCTGCCACAACGGGGTCAAAATTGGTGAAGAAGTCGATATCACACTTAGGCTGTTATTTGCCATGTTTTAAGTGACAGATTTGAAAAATTAACTAACACGTGAGAGTGTCTCACCCGGCGGACGCCCTATTGTCATTAACTATCTCAACGCCAACCAGTGCGTAAAAAATAACCCCCCCTATCTGCCGCTCTAACCTTTCTACTCCTGTCACTTACGAACTATACAAATAGCTAGTTCTATGATTACAGCATTTGATCATGCCTAGCCACGACCCTCTCGACATCAAAGATGATCTGGTATCGCCTAGCAACCCAGCACAGGATAATGGAGCACTGGATATCCAGCGTTGCGCAAGACTTCACAACTATCTAGTCACCCGTGGCTGGCTGGCGAAGAATAATAAAGACGAAATACACCAGCTCTTAGCCCGACCCTCCTATGCATCCTTTTATCGTGATCAGCTGGCTGATATTCGCGACAAACTCAACCCCTCGTTCGAGGCATTCCTTAACTCTGTTATCTTTACGGACACGGGGAATGGAGATGCATACCTCTTCTACTGGGCTGTCGGTATACCAGAGCCTGATCGCCTTATCGACCCCGACGGTTATATTGGCTTCGACGAAGAGGAAATCGATGAGGGTTACCCACGATACCTCCTGCTCTACCAAGGAGTCTTTGAGCTAGGTTGCCACGAACTAGGACTTATATATGATCAGCAGCGCCACCGGGTTGCGATGGCAATGGCCATTGAGGTGCAGGATTCGATATTCCCAATTGAGGAGCACGAGGACCGGTGGCATCCACTCGAGACTATGTTGAGTAACTGGATTGAGGTGATACAAGTGGGCAAAATTGTACCCGATTCTAATGATGGTAGCGGGAAATGGGATGCAATTAGTATCTGGCGTTGGTATCCATTTAGCCCGAAACAGGTGGATAGTACTGTACGGGCCTTTAATCGACTTATATCTGCAGTCGAGGCCCGTATGGCACCCTCTGCGCTCCTGGATATTGACGGGGAGGCCCCTTTCTTTACACATGCAGAGCTTGATACGGCCTTGGTGCCACAGACATGCTTTATACGCTCTATCTTAACCCGCATACGTACACCGCGGTTTACTACTATTGCGCCAGGGTTAGAGGTTCCGCATGATAAGGCCAAGTTTGCAGCACGCCAGACGCTTCTTATTGCACATACCGATAGGAATAACCGCGGTATAAATGATGGTAGTGGCGACAAGATCATCCCACCAGTCCTTCTCGTTGCAGCATCCGGCGAGCAGGCAGCCTGCCTTGACAAGGAGTCAGTCAAGCCGTTCTCTCCCAGTATCAACGCCAATGGTGACCCTATCGGCGCAGGACTCTACAGTGAGTGCCTAGCTATAGATTCTGGGCAAGTTGCTGGCGAGGGCTTTCGGCTACTCCTACCTTTTGGGCTACGAGAATGGGATATCATCGGTCCTTCACAGGGTGCGCGGGATAGTGCTGGGGACCTGATAGACCGAGAAAGTACATCAAAGCTATTCCAGCACGGGTTCTTCTCATTTGGGGGCGACTATCGTGCACAGCGGATGGAGAGGCTGTTGGATGCGTGGAGGGAGCTGATTGAGGCTGGTATTTGGCCGGTAGGGGAGCAAGGCGTAGAGGGGACGATTGAGAAGTTCAAAGACGCAAATTCAGATGATACTTGGAGGCATTATTGGATTCCTCCGAGCTGGTAGTGGTGACTATCGGATCTCATGTGTATTCGATTATATAGTAAAAAAGAAGACAAAGGGCAAAAAACAAAAACATACGACAGTCGGGATTCGCTGGTGGTCACCCACCCAACTACTAACCGACCGGCAAGTGGCTTAAGTACAGCTGAGCGGACGGGAAGCTCTGTTTTCCACTTCCTGTGGTCGTATGTACTGGACAGTAGGAGGAGAGGGTATATATAGCAGGAGATATCACGAAAGTATCATGAATAGGCCAGTAGAATGCAGTAAATGCCGTTAAAGATATCAGACCTCTAAAGTCTCTTAGATGGCAACACTCTTTCATGTCATGTTTATACAGGGTTGTTTGGCAGGGAGTTACTCTTTATCTCACGTGATATAAACATATATCGGTGGCCTAAAAGGGACAATCGGACAACTTACAACTTCAACCGTGAAGCCAACGTACGCATCGCCATAGCTGCTTTTTACAGGCCTATGGCCCTATCTACAAGCTTGACAGCATAGCATCATGCATGTTACGGCCCGCAGGAGGCACAGTGCATCGACAATGAGTGGCCCTTGACTCAGGTGTGATAAGTGGGCGCTTAAGCAGGCAACCATCTACATGCCTTGCTAGTTCACGGCGTCTGTCTGTATATAACACCCTTCAGACTCGCCCTTCCTTTATTCTCCTCTTTCACTCTATTCCTTGCTCTCAGTCAAGTCTTTTACACATAGTCACTCTAGTTCTCCCTGTATATTACACACACCTCATACGAGTGCATAGAAATCGCCAGCTTCAACACATATACCTTAAATTCTTCGAGCATTACTTTCAAATATGTCGGCGATGTCTCAGAAATCCGACGCTACTGACACATCCGACCATGGCGAGTTTGTGGACTCTGACGACGAAGTCACAGAGTATTCTGAATCCCCATATCGATATGATGAAAGCTCACGACCATACTATCCCATCCGAATCGGAGAACTGCTCAACGAAACGTATCTAATTGAGCATAAACTTGGACACGGCGGCTTTGCCACTGTCTGGATGGCCTACGATATCAAAAACAAGAAGAACGTGGCTCTCAAGATCATGACTGCGGGCGATTCAGGAGAACATGAACACCGTGCACTAGAGGAAATCAAGAAGGCTGTGAAAAATACGACTGGACTTGTTATATCCCAATCGGCCTTTTTTCTTCGTGGCAGAAACTCTAACCACAGAGTCTTTGTATTTCCCTTACTTGGTCCGTGTCTCGACGCCCTAGTTGGAAGGGAGATACCTATGGCTTCTCGCATGTCAGCCGCGAAGCAGTTACTAGAGGCTTTGGCAAACCTACATGAAGGTGGAATTGTGCACCGCGGTGAGTAAGTCCTAAAACGATGCTATTTTTGTCCATGTGCTAATGATTCTATAGATATTAATAACAAAAATATTATGTGGGGTATGGCTCCTCTCGAGAAATTCGATAAAGCTACCAAGTACAAGTTACTTGGCCGTCCTCTGAAGGTAGCCATACCGGACGAACCATGGAGAGAAGGAGAGGTCGTCAAGCCGATAGAGGTTCCGGACGATCTACGGACTGAGGATTTCTACCTCGGCGACTTTGGTCTTGCCATGAGAGCAGGCACACCCGTCACTCAACAAGGCCGCCCACCTATTGAGTATTGTTCTCCTGAACGGCTTCACAACCACGATCCAAGCTTTGCCTGTGATATGTGGAGCTACATGTGCATCTTTATGCAGCTATACCTTGGAATGTTGCCATTCCACACATGGGCGACGGGAGGGGTGGCGACTACTATGGTCCAGATCTTAGGCCCGATGCCCGCAGAGTGGAAGGGTCATTACTGTCCTCCTGAAAAAACCCTTGATTCATGGTATAATCAGGACGATATGCCCGACGTTGAATCTAAGCTTAAAGAGTTAATTCTTCGTAAAAGGCCTAACTCAAGTCCAATTGAGCAAAAACACGCATTATCCGTTTTATCTAAAGGGCTCCAACTTTCTCCTGAGAAACGTCCGACTGCAAAGGAACTTCTACGGGACCCTTCCTTCATGGCGCTCATTGATATCCATTGTCATTAGGCTCTTTCCCGGCTATTTTATCCAGCAGCCACCTAGTTCCCGCTTCCCGTTGTTATCTCGTCATGATAACCTTATATAATTCTCCGTTCATATTCCCTTGCTATTTACACAAATAGCAGCTGTTGCAGAGACATCCTGGAAGGTAGTTGGCTAAGATGGGAGCCGCTCACTCCCTGTGTCTCATCGCTACCAACCTACTTCTTGTCATACGGTTTTTTTACCGCATGAGGCTGCATAGACGTCGAACCGGGCCGGGGTCATTACTTACCCTTAAGCCTTTAGGCCTCTAGGCTGATCTCTAACCCTACTCTTAGGCATCTTAAATGCTAGTTTAACTAACAGATATTCTCTTAGAGGCTATTTTTAACTAAATAAGTCAGCTAATTTCAATTCATTCGGCAATTTCATATCAACTATGAACAAGAGCTTAACTGAACAAAGGGAAAAAAAATGTAAGGATATTTCAAGATTGGTAAATCATTGAAGCTCAACCCCCCTCCCCAGCCACCGAAGGATGCTAATATTGTATATAATACTTGCAGTCACGTCGACATCGTGCTAGTATCTTGATGATAGCAGAAGCTTATCTAGCATACGAGTGGGGGAAACTGATAAGTACCAGTGGAGAGAGCTGGGTCGGGGGCTGTTTTTCCCTTCTGAACAATACCTTCTCCTAGCACAGTCACATTGTCGAACACGGCATCCCCATCGCCCAAATTATCGAGGTAGATATTGGCCTTCATGCCACCGGGTTTAAGTGTCACAGATATACGGGGTTCGTCTGGAGATGTCTGGCCAGTCAAAAGGTTGGTGGTTGTAGAATGCATCCTGTCCCTAGAATACTCCCAAGGGACTGCGTAGGGTGGTGTACGGCTATCATATGTGATAACAGTCGAAGTCTTTCCAAGCCTCAGGGCACAGGAATAAGCGAAATGTTCCGCGACAGCCTTTAGGGCCTGATGGTTCCAGTTTCTAGCCTCGGCGTCGTCTATAAGTCTTATTTTCGCGTTCCTATGCCATTTTAGGTGAATGCCGTTGATATAGCCATCGTAGCAATCGGCAACAAGGCAATTGGGGTATGACATGGCTCAATGAACCCGTAGGCTCTGGGCGGAAGATTGTAGTTTTGTGATGGCAACGGAACTCAGAGGAAAAGCGACGGCAGTCCGAAGTGGTAGGTATATCTGTGGGATATATAGTAGGATAAAGCATAAGGGGGCCTAAAGCTGGTATGGAGGCACAGCCAAGGTAAGCATAATGCGCTGAGAATAGTTGAACCGAAGAGTTTTTTGTGCAGTCGAACGAGGAAGAGAACTAGATGGGAATGGCGGACTTTATAGGCCAAATCGAGGGTTGCCTTGAAGGCGAGGCCCCGAAACAGCCCTCTGCCTGAACCTGTAAGAGTAAAACAAGTCACCTGGCACCTGTTGGGGGCGAAAGACCGTAAGCGCCAGCATACCAAAGGGTCCTGGCGTTTGAATCTACCATCGTATCCTCAGATCCATTGGATAGTAGACTCTCAAGCGCATGTACCCCTTGGTATATCATGTGGAAGGGAACAATAGATAGGGAGTTCAAAAGTTGGGCATCCGTTCAATACCGGCATGGCATGGATATATCAACAGGACAGCAATGCGCTGACGTAGGACCCCTTGGTACAATAGAATGAGGCGGCATGAAATATGCACACCCCTAGCGGAGGCAGGCCACCAATGATACGGTCTTAATAGCCGCTGCATAGGGGAGATCAAAAGAGGCTTGGGGGGGTAACTTAAAGGGTAAATCTAGTACTCTTTAACTAAAAAGTACTCTCTTAGGGGCCACCTTTAACTATAGTGTAGCTGTTTGCTCTATGCAATTTGCTAGTCTAACTTAAGGATCGATACCGGTTTTGGGCCACCCTATTCCAATTTACACCAATTGTTAGGGTAGGGAAGTATTGATGCTTGTGGCACTCCTTTCTGCGTCTATACTCCCTAAACGGCGATGACCATGTATAGTTCAAAGTTGTATCTAGGGGTTTGTTAATAATCCACCCCAATTGTCTTGCCATCGGTATTAACATCATAACGCGCAACGTGAGCGTGTACAAAATTGCAAATGGGTTAACTATGGATTCTTCGCTTTCGGGTGGTCCAAACTGTCAACGCAGGGATACTTGATGGTCAGGCACCAGATATCTAAATAATCACATATACTGGTGATAACATCAAACTATGTATCGAGACAATGGTTAGCCGATGATTACAATGGTAGTACTTAATATTCATAACTGAAATTATACGGGGTACTCACGACAAAGCTTCCGTATACGCCAACCGCAAGGCCAAGACACGAAAACACAAAAGCAACCTGATTCGATCCAGATCCTAGGAAGCTGTTCTCCCATAGTCCAAGCTTTGGAAGCACGCTATCAACAACAGCTACCGCGAGTGGAACCACAAGGACATTCTGATATGGAAAGTCGAGCTTCACTAGATGAGCAACGATCATCTGTCCGACCGAGTAGGCATTTACAAGGCCGCCAAACAGGATAACCGGGATGAGGTGGTTATGTAGTATTTCCGGATGCATGTATAGATATGGCACGAGTAGTGTCCATGGTACGATGGCAGGCAAAAGGCCGTAGAGTGGTTTATATATGCTGTCGTCATCGCTATCTTTGCTGCCAGTAGGCTTTTTGGCCAGGTATGCCTGTGAATTCTGTCGTCGTTCGGATTTGCGTTTTTCAACAACCTCTAGAACGTTCATTATGCTGGATACCGTGCTGAAGAGGAGGACGATACCGCCGTAGATCATCCACCAAGTTGTGAAGGGAAGATTATAGGCAGATTCTGGCAGAAGTGGAAGATGCGGCAGGCCGAGTGTAGGTAGCATAGGTTTGTGCCAGAAACTTCCACCTCCCAGGACGGCTGTGGTGAGGAACACGAAGCAGAGTGATAGGATACCTTCGACTGGTCCCGAGACGATTCCAAGTGTGAGGATGTGGGTATGATATTCCTCCCATGTTTGGACATAGAATGTGAAAACGGCTGGAGTCGATTAGAATAATGGCTTAGATTATCTGGTGATTAAAACTTACCTCCAAAAAGGGTGAGAACAGTTGCCCAGCTTTGTCCTAGATTCACCGCACCGGCAAAGATAAGTACTCCAAGACCGGTATTGCAAGCATCGACACCTAGAAAGTTAACATCATAACACCTTGCTGAGAGACGGATTATCTTACCATGATCGAACAATTCTCCCAGAGGCCCACTTTGCTTTGTCCTTCGACTATACCAGCAGTTAGCAATTATACTCTACCATACACTCTATCAGAATGACAAGAAAAGTAGCAAGACATACGCCTGGGTACCGTCGACGGCGTCAAATGTTTGATATAAGAACAGTCCCACGGCCCAGCTAAGGTAGACCCAGCGAGGACAGTCTTTGTCCAGGGTAGGGTTGTACCACAGCAAAGTCAGAAAATTAACGACCACGAATGAAAATCCGGTCAGTGTGATCTAACATGCATCCGTCAGTATGAAATCTCGCTATTTCTCCTGACATCACTCGTAATAGGGAGCTGCCTTACAAGATTCGGCCTATCAAATATGTTAGCAGACTATCCAACGGCAAAGATGCAGTAGGGTACTAAAGGGATCGCCAACTCACGCCATCGACATTGGAAACAGATCAATAACATAATTCGTATAGAACGGCTTCAGGATATATTTCGATGTCAAGGACTTATCGACCGATGCATATTTGTACTGTTTCAGCCCATCAAGGGCCTGCGCGCGTATGTACGTCATGCTACGGCGGCTATGAAGTAAGGGATATTAATATGACGACCGAGCAGGCGATTAAAGACGGACGAAGAAACACGAGACGGTCGAGGGGAGTATTAAAAAGCATCCAAGAAATTTCGATATAGGTTGAATCTCGAGGTGGGGAGTACAGGTACTCTGTAGATGGTAAGTTGTATATTTATACGAGCCGTGTCGCGTGGTGCGGTCACTCCCCGTCCTATCTCTTTATGCGCAACCCTTTAGTGAAGCGACCAAGGAAAGATGAAAGACGCGCTTCTCACGATCGCTCACCCCTCTGCCGGTTACTGGGAAGAGAAAAAGAAATGCGAGGGCAAAAAGTGACGTTTTGTGTGTTGAGAAGAAGCCAAGGAAAGGGCGGCTTGGCAGGGACTGAGCAGACATGGGATGGCATCAGGGATTCGAGATGAAGGGTAGGGGAATACTGGGGGAGGGTTGCACTACAGCGGACGAAGGGAACACGGCCGGATGACCTGGTATATATTTGTTGAGTACGGCGAAGGTGCTATAAAATATACATGTAAAACGCCCAGAACTTGGTACCTAGAGCCCTGCCCTGCCTACTTGTCTTCTTATCTTCGGTATGAGATATCGTGCTCAGCATCGAGAAAGATGCTCCCTCGGGCCAGGGAAAGCATCACACTTCGCCCATCTTATTCTAGATTCATGTTCTCTTCTATATAAGAAGATCGTGTATCGGTTCGGTTTATCCTAGTCTTGTCGACCATGCACACATGCAGCGTTTAACCGACCGGGCTCCATGGCATGGGAATCAGGATCCTGCTCTTCATTGACTGAATCAAGGGAACGGTCTTGTGCACTGTATCGGCCCACCCTTCAAGCTCCCACGACTGCTCACGTCGCTTCTTTCGCTCCTCCAGATCTGCGAATTGCCACAGATGGTGAACGGTGTTGAGGTCGCCGATCTGCACGAACCATGCACCAACTCCCTCCATGATCTGGCGTCTGGCAGCAAGGCCGCGTCTCCAGTGGCTCTCCCACTCTAGGAGGTTCCCTGGGTGTAGGGTGTAAGATCGGAGCTCGAAGACGCCGCCCAGGCGACGTGGAGGTGTGGTTGGCCAGAAGGAGAATTCCTGCATCAACGAGGTGCTCTTGCTCTTGATTAGAGACTTAAGCTTGCGGTCAAACTCGACGAAGCCGGGTTGTTGCCCGATCTCGTGGAGGGAGGCGTGGTAGCCCGTGTATCGCTGGTACTCCCAGATGTGAACTGTAGAACCGTCAGTAAGCATTTAGAAAGGGTCAATTTTCACAGGGAAAGAGGGATGTGGATAAGTACTGAAGGTATCGTTGTCTCCAACTTGTGTCCGCCAGCTGCCAACGAGGTTGACCTTGTTGTCTTCCATGCCGGCCATCTTGGGGTACCAGTCTCCGACTAGACCGACATACTCGTCGACCTTATCGGGCTTAACCTCGTGGAAGACGATTGAATGGACGTACTTTCCTCGCGCCAAGACCTCGGAGAAGGACCGTTCGATATCCTTGTCTAGCTGCTGGCCTTCCTTGGTGCCGTAGATGAGACTGGATAGACGGCCACGTCCAGCGTTGGTGTTGCTCTCTGACTGTTGCCGGTCTCCTACAATGCGGTGAGTGGACAGTGAGCCTAGTGCCTGGCCATCCAGCGAAGATGCAGCATCAACGACAGAGGCAGATCCATTCGCATTGCTCGCATCTGGAGCAGTGGGAGATGATGACACAGCTTCAGAGGAAAGGGATGGGGCAGAACGAGAATGACGAGAAACAGGGACAGAAGCATCAAGCGACTGACTGTCTTGCTCTGCTTTTCTTTTCCGAGCAGCTTCTAAATTATCACGGAACTCCTTCTGACGGGTGTTGAACGCTGAAGCATCGTCTGGGGTAATGTCTCTGATAGAGGGGGCCCGTAGACGGGTACATGAGGTGGTGAATGGGCGAAAGAGAGAAGAAGCGGTGCCGGATCGGACAAGACGCGATGCCAACATGATGGCGGGTGGCACGCGAGCGTAAACGAACGACGCGTTGGAGGTAAAAAGGTAGCGTAACGGTGGAGGGTGAGCTCTATGGGATAGGCAAAGGCGGGACAAGAAAAAGCAAAAGGAGGGTTGACGCTGGAGCCGAAGAGCTCGGTCGAGCAGTGTCGTTGTAGTTTGTTTGTGGGAAGTTTGAAGAAGACGAACGAGGCTTTGAAACTGCAAGCAGCTGTATGGAAAGAGGGGAAGCTAGCTCAGGGCAAGGTCAGGGCAGGGATTACGGGGAAACACCGTAGCCGTTCGACCGACCAGAGAGCTTGTACAAGTACCAAGCGAAGGCAAAGATCCTGGTGAGACGAAAGAGAGACAACGGAGAGGACTAATTGGCCCTTGACGAGCAGCCAGAACGCAGGAAACGGCAAAGATGAAGCTGAGAAAAGCTCAGGAAAGCGGCCGAAGTGGAAGATGAAGTCGAAAGTTGAAGTTGAAGTTGAAAGTCGAAGTTGAAAGTTGAAAGGAAGTAGAGATTATGTAAGATACACGTGACTTACCCCGGACTGGCCGTTTTGGGTTAGTTTACATATGACGTCACAACGGATGTACGTTGTTCCGTTAGGCTTAGTAAGCAATGAGAAGTGGGCAAAGCAAGAGACAAAAAGACGAGATATCAACAGGAAGGGTTGATGTTGAATTAACACACCGTCCAACTATCATACTATCCAGTTGCTGCGAAGATGACAAGCCCTCAGCATCCGCCGCTGAGCTACGAGGCGTCTGCCACTACCACACATCCCTACTTTGCAACCTGTCTCCCACAGGAAGTCGTCTCCTGCCTCAAGAACTCTAGATTCGTAGGTTGTCCCTCGCCGTACACACACACGCCATGGTCTAACAACCTGAACGATAGCTCCACCTGGCAACCTGCGATGGCCTCAATCCCCACATCTCCCTGATGAGCTATACATATCTCCCCTCCACGCCGTTCAACCCCACTCCGACCATAATCATGACCACCAACCCATCCTCCAAGAAGACACTCAACCTCCGCTCTAACCCGCGTGTTTCCCTCCTCGTGCACGACTGGGTCTCCCACAGGCCTCCTACCCGGGCTCGTGACGCAGGACGAGAAGGCTCACCTCCCCCCGCAGCCACACAGTCCAGTCTCGCGGCGTTACTGCTGAATATCAACACCAGCGCCATGAGCAGCATCAGTACCACGATCATTGGCGAGGCGCGGGTGCTAGATTCAGGTAGCGAAGAGGAGAAGTGGTGCAGGGAAAGGCATCTGGAGAATAACACGTTCATAGCGGACGAGGTGGGTCTCGGTGCGTTCAGTGGTGGCGACCAGGCACGGCAGGAAGGAGAAGGCGAGGAGAGACGGCCTTCCATCATCGATGACGATGTGAATGTTGTGGTTGTTGCCGTCAAGGAAGGCAGGATTGCCGACTTGAAGGGTGGAGTGAGGGATTGGGCGGTCGTTTCGGAGGGGGAAGAGCGGCAGCAACCAAATGGCATATACCCGTCATGACCCAGTACTCATTGAGGACAAGAACGAAATGAGATGGGGAATTGATCGACCATTTTCGGCCGCGATACCAGAGGATTTGCTCCTTAGGCGCCGATCTGGAGACCAAAGATGCCTAATGCCGGACAGGGACTGCCTATACTACCTCCAAATAAATTAGGCGCCCGTTGACCACCGTTCTATGTATATACTATGTACGAGTTTCCGGACACTCTTTACACATACACACGCCTTATGGCCCCAAGCTCAAAGAATAGCCATAAAGAAGACTCCTGTAAAGTAGTGCCAAGTAATATTAGCAGATATTATCGCAAAGTGGGCATATCATATATAGAACGAACAACATATCAGATGCAATATAGCCGATGGTACCTGTTTCGCGAAGATATTAGCCCAGGCCTTTAATCACGCGACTGGTGGAGCGGCTGTTATGACTGGGAAGTTGACATATATGTACCTCCGGTGTCATTCCACAAGATACTTCTCTATAGAGATGTAGAAAGCCCCAGCGATTCAACCCACTACTGCCTCCGACGATACTGCATCCTAGCACTGTAGCAGTAGGAGCTCGGAAACAGTTGTTGCTTGTGCGAAGCACCGTTAGCCCCATCTAGTTCAAACAGGGATCTACCTGAAACCACCGGCATTCTTTCAATCAAGAGATAGCCTCGAAACGCGCTCCATCTCAAGTTAGGTGATCTATCAATTTGGTATATATAATAATCGGCTCTCGCCATACATTATTAATAAGTAGATAATAACATGGGCCTAGGTCGCCGTCAAATGCGCGCAATTTCGCAACACCTGCACGTCAGGAACGCCATGGGGAGATGAGATAAACGGGGATGAGCTGTCATTCACGTAGCCTCCGATGGCCGCATAACTTGGCACATCATCTCCGGTGCTTGGCTTCGCTTGGCTGCCTACCCAGTTATAGAGCCGTTAGTAACTATAGGGCGTCAAAGCGTCGAGTCCAGGGCATGATTTTCTTTTTCTTTTTTGCAGGATTCAAACTACTAGGATTTTCATTAGTTGCCGTAACATTCCGAGACATCCTGGAGATAATGCAGGGCTAGAACTAGTTATTCTTCACCAAGGAGTTGGATGGCGTGCATTGAGCGTGCATTGAGCGTTGGTGGAGAGGAGAGCTCGGGTTAGAAGCTAGCGATGGCGTAACAATGCTCAGGCACCAGAGGTATCCATGCGTTTAAAGGGCGGAGCCATATAGGGCGCGAGATAACCAAGTAAGAGTATGAAAGGAACCGTGGAGATTTGGGTTAAGGGGCTCATAGACCCGTTTCAACCTCGCAAGGCGAAAAAGTCGACCTGTCACAATTGGTGAGCGTCGCTTGGGAGCATGTCACTGCATATTATACGAGGGTGCTCCCATTCGGTACCAAACTTATGTCGTTGGGCAAGTAGTTGTCAAATATCCTATTCTGTACATTCCATCTTCAACCTGGGCCTGGAGATGCGTCTCTTGTGGCGTGCGAAGGATGTTGTCAATATAAAAGCTAGATTTAGGGTTTGCGGGAAGGCCCGTCCGTCCGTTATAGTGGAGACTTCCCTGAGCTTAGTCAACGACATTTTCGCCGTCGAAGTGTCTTTGTCTACGGAGTAGGAATGGAGATCTTTAATTTATACGATAACGATTTGGTGCCGATAAGTGGATATGATTTTAGTGATACTGTCTCTTGTAAAAAAAAGAAAGTGAAGCGAAAATGCGAGGATGCTCTAACTAGCTCTCCTGCCAAGGGCATAACTAAGTAAGGATAGGAAAACAAATGTGGGTTGCACCAGGTTGGTGAACCAAGGGATCGACGAAGAATATAGAAGGTATGACATGACAGAATGAGCGGGGTACATAAAATGTATTCGCCGTTCTAACAGGAAGGAAACAGAAGGGGGAGAAATACAAAACATGGAAATAGAAGCGTAAACCGATGTTTCACTCTAACTCATCGAGTGGGTGGGAAGAAGGTGAGTAAACCGAAATATCTCAGTGTGATCCGACAAACTTGGCCGAAAGGGGGGAATAATAAAAAAACAAGCAAAGAACTCCTTCCTAAACGCGTAATCATTAACACAAATAAACCGTGGCAAGGTCATCACTCGGAAGAAGATCCCGAGCGGCTGCTTGAGTTTGATTTCTTTTCTCTTTTGTAGATTTCACTTGGATCCCATTGCGATGGCTGAAACTCAGAGTTCAGGAAGTGTGCTTGGTTGAAATGGGAGCTACGGAGATGGTAAGCACGGGGGAAACTTTGTGCAGATGTTGTAGACTTACTTTCTAAATGGAATGCTCAAGGGCAAACAATTCATATCCGGATCTACCAGAGGATTCATTCGAATCATCAACTCTGAAGATTTATCCTCCAGGGGAGGCGAGCGGAATGGAAGGTTGACCGTCGCGGGTTCTGGTGTGGCAGGCTCGGGCACAGGGATGGGCTGTGGCATCATGTTAGGAGCCGGATGGATAGGGTAGGTGTACTGGTACGGAGATGCGGCCGGGGGGTTAGTGGCCGGATCTAGTGGGAGACTTGGGACCGCCATTAGGACTGGGTTCAGATCGAAGGTGAGAGAATTCGGATACCAGGAAGCGTAATCGCACGTCATAGAATACTGGTAGATGGGACCTGTCGAGGAGGGAGAGCTATAGAGAAGATCATAATGACCACTTAGAGGGTGACCGTTAGCTGGGAGCTATACCTGTGATTGAGCTGTGGAGGGAGGCATACGGTCGATAAAGCAGTTTGATGGTCCCAAGGGGAGCATTAACTTGAGATGTAAGTTGATGTTCGGTCACTTGGTCGCCCTGGCTGCGGTCAAGATAGAGAATCTGAACGGCAAAGCCAGAAGCTTCGATGACTCCATCGACCAGTGCCTGAAGACCGATTTCGTCTATCTCTGTCCTCACGGTATCAATTGTCCTGGAACAATATTGATCTAATGGGATGGACAGGAATGCTTCGTATCGTTCAGGGTTGAGACGCATCCAAGCACTTGTCATTAACTAGGAAGGAATCAGCAATTCAAGTTTTCTCAGTTGAAAAGGAGATAAAAGGCAGGCAACTGACTCGGAAGTGCGTAATTATAGCATTGGAGTTGTACTCGTCGTTGAATGCATTGAGGATGAAGATTCCGTCTTGGTTGTTGTTACCGATCTCCTCGGAGACGCTGTTCAAGAGCTCTTCGGTAGCATCGACGAAGATCTCGTATAGATGTTCCTGCTGGCCCACGGCATCGAACAGCTTGTTGAAGCTCTTGATCCGAGAGAGCTCCTGAGCCACCTTTGACTGATCGCGTAGGGCGAACAGGTTTTCAAAATAGCCAAAGGCCACAGCTAAATCGGGATAAGCAAGTCATGAACACGTCTGGCAGTTGAGGGGAGGAAACTCAAACCTCTCCATCCACAGTTGCCGTCTCCTTTCATGATACGATAGTGAGAGTGTGTCTGCGCCAATGACTATCCCTACTGTCAGTTTCCGTCCATTGCAGACGTGAGGGAGCTTCAGGACATACCGTCGTCTTTGCGACGTACACAGGATCAGCCTGTGCATACTCCTGGCTGAGAGCAACACTGGACTCTTTCAAGCCGACGAGAGGGCCCTTTGACACTGGTTAATACAGATAGACGGGCTGTTGAGTGTTCTGTTTGATGCTCACCTGTAGCTCCGGCTCATACTCGTTGGAGAGCTTCTGGAACTGCGCCATATCGTCTGGCGGCAGGATGTTGCTCATGATGGGCGGATGGACGAGATAGTCGCTATAGAGCGGCTGGTAGGCTTGAGCAGGGTTGAAGTTGAATCGCGGGTTGTGTACGAGGGTGGTGTAGTTCTCGTAGTGGAAGGGCATCGGTACATGCTCTTCTCGCGCTGTGGGGAAAAAAGAGTAAACGTCTGATCTCTCGGCCTCCATCGTCATGGCTATGGGAACCAGCAGACTCCTCATGCGCGCTACAACTCGAACAGCAAGAGAACTTCTGCTGCTCTGCAACGGCTCGCGAAGCTACAGACGCAACGACAGATGACAATCACAACGACAGCAATGAGAACGACGAGGAGTGACAATGACGGTGACGAGAGTGACAACAACGACGAGCAATGAGAACACGGCGAGCAACGACAACGACAACAACAAGAAGATGATAGCCAATATAAGACTTGAGTAGGAGAGGAACGCACATTGAATCGATCCAGAGCTGGCATCCAAGGGCGATTTATAGAAGCCAAACGCTACGAACGGGGGTTGGGTTTCTGGCCATGTAACTATGCAGCAATGGCGATGATCGGGAAATGAACCAAACAGCTGAGCCTGCTTACGACACGCTGCTGTAACCCGCTAGCGACGAGCGTATAACCCGCCCTGGAAATCGTGGTGAAAAGAAAAATAAGTCAGGGACACAAAAGTTATAGCCGATTTAGCGGTGGTCGAGCGCAGGCATCATGCTCCAAACTAGTCGGCGGAGCGCTGGCGGGTGGGGTTGGCAGGCTCCCGGAGACTAGGAGCCGGGCGTCGATTGACAAACAAACGGGCACATTGCACAGAGTGACAAGCCGACTTCCAGAATATGGCTCGGTCGTGGTGTTGCGACGAATATACGGCGCCACGGAATGCGCACTCTGCAGCCCGCAACGGGTACCGACCTTCACCCTCTGTGTGACACGGCTGGCAGGCGAGGATCCAAAGAAAGTTAGGGGGACCAGCAGATGGGAGAAAGGGAAAACATTATTTACGGGGAGAGGGATCCTCTTGTTTTATTGATCAATGGAGGTCTGCATAAATTCCTGCAAGGGAGCCAGCAAGCGGGCAACGGACTTGGGGCCCCCTGTCTTCCGGTAGCCAGCACCAAGGGCCCTCTCTATCTTTTCTTATTTTTTGTCTTTTTTTTTGTCTTCTTTTTGGTCTGCGTGTTTCCGTCCCACCGAGTGACTGCAGTGCAGCACCGCGCGCAGTCAGCAGAGGGCTATCTTAGAGCTTTTCTGTGCGCGGATGGGCCGTAGGGAGCGGGTGCAGGGCCCCGTACCGGCCAATCGTCTGGGAGGATATCATGATATTCCGACTAGGCTTCTCGCTGGTATGGATCGCTGCAACTCCGTCGACAAGGGTACAGCTGTCTCCTCCGGTACAGAGGAACCGGTCTCAGGGCGAGATAAGATTTGCTCCTGGTCACTTAATCCGCCCACGGCGACAGCACCTCTAGCCACGAAGGGCCCCCAGGAGCAGACTGATATCATTTGTCAAACGCTGCTTGGCACAGGACCTCTTTTTCCTGCCTCTTTTTCTTTTTTCTCTCTCTCTTGCAGACAATAGTAATAGTAATATTATTACTACAAGGCATGCTGCATGAAATACCAACGCAACTATGGCATCGCCAGCCCAGATTGCATCGGATACCTACATATTCATCACAGAAGAGCACGTCCGGTTCTAAATCCTGCGCCGGAACGCTTCTCACTGGTCACCTCGAAAGGCACACCCATTTTTTTTTTTCAATTTGGTTACTTTGAAAAAAAAGGTACGCCCAAATGCACACTCAAAATGCAGTTTGCGTTTGGTGTTATTTAAAGCCAGAAGCTTTTTTCTACGTTCACGGTAGAAACTCTTTTCTCCACAGCCGTTGACTCTTAGGGAAATCATAGTGATGCTTTTTTTTCGGCCAATAACTTGCTGTTCATCGGGAGGTGTAGCTTGTTATCGGCATAGCAAACGATCCTCAAGCTAGCTAGCTAGAATACGAGGCCACAAGCAGCTATATTCCGGGGTTGTACAGGAACTCGAGTACGGATGAGCAAGCGTGCTGGCGTTAGTCTTAATGCATATTCTATCATCTCCGCCTTATCGGAATGATGAGCCGACCGCTCTTCAAATTGCGGAGTAGCGTTCCTGGGGGAGCTATTGCCGAAAGCCAGCCAAGCCTTGACCGCCATGTCCATGTCGCATCGCAGAGCTATTACTTGGATAGCCGGTATCAGAGTACGGAAATTGTGGTCCATCAAGGAGAACTTGCAAGATACCTTCCAGCACCCGACAGACTAACGGATCGGGAACTAGGGATCCGTCGTTAGCGTTGTAACAGTGGCTGGGGAGCTGTCAAGCAGCACGATGCCGTTGAAACCATCAGCCAAACATGCAATGATCCGGCCGTGAGAGCTCCAAAAAGTGAAGAGCCTCAAAAGAAACACCGGGTCAGCCAGGCCAAGTTTCAGGACGGGATGTCAAAATGTGACCTAGGGAAATGACCGTTTACCAGTTACTCTTAGTGCCCTTAGTTTTGCGGGTGTGTTACAGGGCATGTCCTGGTCTCCATATGCCCAAAAAAAAGTCTCAAGGGAGTGACGTCTGGGGCTAAACCATGCCACGAAAACTCCATGTACGAAGGGGAGACTCCAAGATCACACAACAAAAATTCGTTAGCACTACTGGTGGAGATGTCTCTCCGATATGCATGCATGGACAAGCATTCGCTTCAGTGTCTGATGGCCCTCGGACAATATAATCGTCATCGGGGCTTATACGAATCGCCAACCCGACGACTTCATTGTCACTTGTGCGACTTCCCTTAGAAACGACATTATCCGGGCCAGATCACTTACCGTAGGTGCATCATTCTATATGGACAGCTGCAGACTGAGGGATCCTATGTACCACCTGAGGAATTCCCGGGTTCCTCGTGCTGGGGGCAGGTACCTATCCTGAAGTAGCACAGGATATTCTGTTCATGGCAAACCAACAACTAACAATTATCTAGCACGTTTCACTCCCCCCCCCCCTTTTTTTTTCTCTATCATATATCCTACGGAGTACTCCGTACATCTGACGTCGAAGATTAATTAACCCATCAAGGACAACAGACAAAGGAAACAGAAAAAGAAAATACACATCTACTCTGCGTATCAGAGTAACACAGCATATATAAAAGTGGTGGATACAATGCAGCAGCCAAGAGCGAGGAGACAAATGACCGCGAAGGGAAGTATCGGAAATATCTGGTTTGTCTTCTGCCTTACATCTCTCCTTGAGGTCGTTTAGATGTCACAAAGGAATTGATTGATTGTGTTCAATAGGCGGCTTCCTACTTCATGCATGATGCAAATCATGAATTGGCACTAATTCCTTTGACAGCCATGATAAATCATGCATGTACGAGGTCAGAGGCGAGGTTAGGCCGTTTGTCGGATGCCTACTGGACCAACAGGCTGCCTGCATGCATGCCACGACAGAGAGTGGACGGGTAGATACATAATGCGGCGCTGATGGTCACCCGGCTTGCACCCCCTTTTCCCCAATATGGCTATTGTATCTTAGGCTTCACTTGCTCGTCCACCGTATGAGCAATAGCCGTTCGGATATTCCTGCCCCGTCTTGCAGGTACTTCCGTTTGCTCTTTCGTGGTACAGAGTCATGTAGAGACGGCAGATTTTACGCGAGCAGAGCAACACAACATGACGGTTATCTAACTTGTCTCCGACCCGTGAGTACATATCTCAAAGTTTAAAGCATTCATTAGACATTGCATTTGGGTATTAACTATCAGCCTATCATGGAATGACGCTCAATCTATTCCATCAGGTCGTGTTGGAACGCCGGGCTGCCAGCTGTGTATATTCCACAGCGTTTCCCCTACCCAGTAAATCATTCGTCGATCATAATGGACGCCGTAATGAGGAGTAAAAAGGCTTACGCCTTCAATTCGATATCACCGTCACTCAACTCCGTGTCGCCCGCCCTCTTACCACGCCTCCAGTGATGAACCGCAGCACATGCAAAACAAGTGTAGACCAAGTATACCAGCGTGATCAAGTAGCCAGTTGCCTGCCGTGCCCAGAAAAGCCCGTACCATGCATCAGGGAATTTGTTTTCGACGCACGCATCAATCAATGGGGCCAGGACAGAAAAGGACAACCATAATCCCCCAAAACAGAACGATAGTACCAGGGCAGCGATGGGATGGAGCAGGTCTTTATGATATAGCCATAACTGAATCGGAACATGGAATGTCTCGATGGAAATGGGGATAAACAACCATATAATTTGGCCTCTGCAATGGGGAGCAGTGTCAGCTCGTATTCGCTATATATGCATGGGAAACATGCTAGAGGAAGGGGACAACAAACGGATCACAATCTTCCAGTGTGTCTATCCATCGAATGGGAGGATAGTCGTCATGCACGCCAGCATTCTTTTCGTACACGGCAGAGTAGATGCAGGCGACGATTACGAATATCCAGTAGAGAACACATAGCGCTGCTATCGGTAGTAGGAACCGTTTCCCTACATTGAAGACTTTGATGTATCTGCAGGATCGCTGCCCGGAGTTAGAGTGCTTCGTGACGGCCATCTTGGATGGATGTGCTTTGGTTGTGAGACAATAATCTCACTGCATCTTGAGAACCTGAGGATATTATATAAATATATCATCGAGTCAGGCTGTGGATGCTAGCTTCTTGGCCAGATGTCGTAGGATTCTGGATGGAAGGCCTGCGGGCTAGAAGACCAACCAGGATACAGGATATGTGGCGGCGATGAAATGCATCGTATCGACCAAGGATGTTCGTTCAACACGAGCATCCTCGAACAGCTTGGTGATAAAACTCCACTGAAAAAGACCACAGAGTGAACAAAAGCCGACGATGATTTGGCCGTTCACGAAGATCAACCGCCAAGCGCTGCTGCGCCATGGGCGAAACGACGTCATAGCGAATACTTAACGCGAAGATCATATATCTCTTAATGGAACCGTTAATTGCTTCCATTATTTACAGTTAGAGAGTGTTGAGGGTGGAAAGCTGCTCTATCATGATTCATGCTAACAATATACTCCATGTTTCGTGAACCATCAGTTTCCTGAGTACTTGCCCCAGGCAGGCCGTCCAGGGCGTCCCTTCATTACTTTCGTATGCATTTGGCCTCTTCCGCCCATGCCTCCCATATTAAGAGCTTCATAAGGGCCGTATCCCATGCCCATCCCGCTGAAGCCGCCCATCAAGGGATGCATGCGGGAATCGTCTACTTTGAACCCATCGGCGTGTGTAAAGGTTGCATTCCACATGGAGTCGAGCTCGTTTCTCCAGGTCGCCAGAGCTTTGACACGAGCAGCATTAACAGCCCCCATCCGGGTGATTTCCACGATGCCGACTTCTTCGTTAATCTTGGCGTCAAGTAGCTCTTTGTCTAGAATCAGATAGCTCAGGATATCCTGAACCTCGGGGATGGATATCTTTAGTTTCTTAGAGACGAAAGCCAGGCTGAAGCGGGTGTAGGGCTGGATGAGTTTCATGACAGCCTTGGTGCGCATCGTGCGGCTGACTTCGTCGATATTCTCGGCAATAAAGGGGTCGTTCATGAGATCCTGTTTATCCCGGAGGATTGCTTCGTAGGTGTGGATGTCGTCTCGCTGGAAGGCGTCCACCAGGTCTGTCATCCCCGAAACTCGAGGGTCATCCTTGTACGGCTTTGTCTCTTGGGAGTCGAACGGGTTAATGTCCGACTTCATCAGCATGGTTGCCAGAACCATGTATTTCAAGACCTGGATCCGCTGCATCGATCCTGCTTCGTCGTAGTTCCGGAATGATTCAAAGAAATCGCTGTGTGCCTCCTTCCAGTTCTCTTCACTCATGTGCATTTTCCCGCCACATTCACGGATGATGCCCATAATCTTGGGATGCGGGACGGCAGACCGTACTTTCAGCGCTCGCTGGTACAATGCCTTCAACCTCTTGTTGTTCTTCGTGTTGGCGTACATTTGAATTTCCAGAGCATATACCTCTAGTGAATATGTTCCCTTGGCAGGGTCGTCCGTTCCATCTGACTTCTGGCATGCCTTGTGGAGCTCCCTGAGCTTCTTGCTAAGTTGGGCGTATTGCTCCCGGTCCAGCCACAACTTTGCGAGTTTTATATTTGTCTTCAGCCAAAGACGCTCATTATTGGTATTTTGGAAGGAGTTGAGGGTTAACGAGTAGAATTTCTCCATGCAGTGGTACGCCTTTTCATCATCAGACGACTTCTCAATAAAGTCTAGCATGTTGTTGATGGATTTCTCGGAGTAGTTTCTCGTAACCGCTGACTTGACATATGTCAGTAGCTCCTGGTAATGTGTAACTGCCTGTTATTGTTAGCAACCGGCGCAGGAAGCAGTCCATGGGGGAGAGCTAACATTGTCATATCGAGCCAGTCGAAACTCTAGTTTTATCGCTTGCTTCAACCCTTTAAACCCCCTGTCGCATGAATAACGTGTCAGTTTATTTCTTAGAAACAAAAAGGGAAAGAGATCGCAAAGCTTCACCATTCGCCTTTATCTTGTTCTAATAGCGGTACCCCCAGGAACTCGTCAATAGCCTCTTCCGGGTTGTCTACTTTTATCTGCTTCGCATTGTAGTATTTATTTTCGATACCGATGTCACCGGAGTCGTCGTCGTCTGCGTCTTCGTATTCAAAGTCGTACCTAATGCGTGGCTTGGGTTAGGAGCTATCATCTAGACTGCGGAGGTTGAGGTGGGACCTACTCCTCCTGGTCGGAGTCCTGCATAAAATCGTCGTCGTCCGACATCGTGGATGCTTCGGCAAGCCGACTATTAATACCAGCAGCGATATATCAAAGTACACAGGAACAAGAAGGCTGAGAATCGCGAGAAGAAGACGAGATGGTTGAGTATCAAAAGCGAATGTTTTGTTATCTAGAAAGAAAGCACAAGTCGTTAACTAGTATTAGGTAAGCCTGACATCATCTATCACGTGTTACCCTTACTCAGCGCCAAGACTCAGCCTCTTATCTTTTTTGCCGTCGCGAGTTTCTTTTTAAACGTCAACAGTGAACAGCACGACGAACATCACGACGAGCAGAGGGTCTATAAGACTGTGATACGAGTCAAGATGGGAGGCGACCTCAATGTGAAGAAGAGCTGGCATCCAGTGCTGCTCAAGAACCAGGAGAGAGTATGGGTTGAACAGAAGAAGGCGCTCGAGGAGCGCAAGAGGATCGACCAGATGATGAAGGAGCGCCAGGAAGAGAGGCAGATACAAGAGCTACAGGACATGCAGGAGGCCGCTGGCGGCAAGAAACGAGTGAACCGAGTCGACTGGATGTACTCTGGCCCAGCTGCCGGTCAGGCTGGGACGACGGAGGAGATGGAAGGATACCTACTGGGTAAAAGGAGAATCGACGGGCTGATTAAAGGATCAGAGCATGCGAAGCTGGAGAAGGCCGCGACCGAGGACTCGTTTATGCTGGCTCAGAGCGCGAACACGGCGAGAGACACGGCGTCGAAGATCAGGGAGGACCCCATGCTTGCCATCAAGAAACAGGAACAGGCTGCATACGAGGCGATGATGAATGATCCCGTTCGGAGGAGGGCATTGTTAAAGGCTGCTGGTGTTGATGACGACCGGTCAACAGCCCATACGGAGAAGGAACGGAGACATCGACGACATCATAGACACAGAGACGAACGCGATCGAGATCGAGACCGAGACCGAGACCGAGACCGAGACCGTGACCGTGACCGTGACGAGGACAGGCACTCGAGCCGCCGATCAAGGAGACGCCATGATGAAGACGATCGGCGAAGCCGCCATCATCGAAAGGACCGATCACGCAGTGCCTCTCGCAGCCGATCTCCACCACGCAGATCCCGTCGTTCGCCCTCTCCAAGCCATAGAAGACGTTCGTTCTCCCCTCGCCAGCGGGACAGAGACCGGGACAGATCACGATCGCCGTACCGACGCCGCGAGGAAGAGTCAACACGCAGACACAATGGACATCGCTCTCAGCGCTCTGCACCCCCACGCCGGCCCAAACCAGAAATACATCAGGGCAACCCTCCACCACCGTCTGCCGACGCCGAGCGCGAACGTGCAGCGCGCCTAGCAGCCATGCAGCAGAACGCAGACGAATTGCACGAGGATCGCGCACGCCGTATCAACGCAGCAGAAGAACGAGAGAAGGCCGAAAGGGAGGCGGAAGAAAAAGCTCGAGCAGAGTCGAGTAAATACGGCGGCCGTGGCGCCTTTGTCAACAACATCCACCGACAGGCAGGAAACATTGATCTTGCAGATCGGCTGCAGCGGGGGAAGAAGAATCTCGAGAAGGAACAGGAGGCTTATTGATAGGACAACGACGATAATGTCTTATTGGGCTAATGGTTGGTTTGCATTTGGGCGTTCGTCTGATCTAGCGTTAAGGGTGGCATAATTGGTTGCACTTCGACTGTATATTCTACTTCTTCTGCTTCTACTTGTTCTACTTGTTCTACTACTACTTCTTCTTCTACTTATCCTGCTTCTCCTGCTTCTTTTTCTACTTCTACTTCTCCTGCTCTGCTTCAGTCCGTTCTTTCAACCCTGCGCACTACGCCCACTGATGCAGGCCAGATGAAGATCTCGTACCTGCGCAACAAGCGCCATGTCATGCCAGCTCACGCAGCTGGACGCAGCGAGGCTTTCGATCGACGAGCTGACAGGTCGAGGCTTGATCTCTATACGGCCACGTCGGCCAGAGATCAAACGGGCAACAAACGGAGGCCAGAATCAGTCCGCCAGTCAATCCATTACGAGACTCACTGCGCCGTTCTGCAGGTCAAGGTTTGTTTCCCTGTATAAATAGATAGATAGCTAGTCGAGGTCTATTACTACTCAAAACTCTCAGTCCTTTTTCCTATCCCAAGTCCGGTTCATGGTCACCGTTCTTCCTGTGCATCCGCGACAACGTCTTCCCCCCCGACAACGCTCTCGATATTCCGTATAAGAATCATCCTCTATATCTTCGCCCTGCTATCACGGGGTTGGCGTATACGAGAACTAGAATCCCTGATCCCGGCCACGGCCACGGCATATCGATTGTGGTTTCTTGGACAACATCATCGATCTGACTGCGCTCTCGCCCGGCTCCTGCTCCTCTGCCATCGCTTCTCACGGCGCCTCGGCGATCGAATGCCACTGGATATTTAAATATCTTCCAGCTCCCAGATCGCCCATATCTCGTCTGCCGCAGCCTTACCCGGACGATCGCATTTACCCCTGATCGAACGCCCGCTAGCCTCGCTCAACCGTTCGACTCCGCGATTGTCAATCCGCCCGCTTGTCCCTGTTGCTCGATCTCGCTCGCTCGTATCGCCGTTCGTCTGCTCCCCACATACTCGCTTCGATCCTAGGGCCACTGGTCGTGCGAGCTCGGGTTCTAGTAGCATCCGACCAGACAGCCATTCGAGATGCCGCTCTCGTCGCTCTGTGGGGGAGAGAAGACCGTGAAGCGCAAGCTGGTGCTCTTGTGAGTTGTGCGCTGGAGGTTCAGGGTTGTGTTCTGGACTGACATGGTGGTGATAGAGGAGACGGCGCATGCGGAAAGACTTCGTTGTTAAATGTGTTCACAAGAGGGTGAGTCGCGACTATATTTTGCTCCGGAAGGACGAGGACCTTGAGACTTGACGGCTAACATGATCTTAGATTCTTCCCGACTGTCTAGTATGAAATTCTCCCTGTCCGCGCACTTTATTGAGTTGCTAACATTGTTATCCATGATCCAGTGAGCCTACTGTGTTTGGTACGTTTACCCAATTGAAGCCCATTAAGAGATATGTTTACTGATACGAAGATTCCTCTAGAGAACTATGTTCATGGTATACCTCCCTTACTACCTGTTTGCAATGGTATGATCAGAAGTCCAATGGCTTACTGTTATAGATATCTACGTTGATAACATCCACATGGAGCTCTCCCTATGGGATACAGCTGGACAAGAAGAATTCGACCGCCTCCGTGCTCTGTCATACGACGACACCCAAGCTATAATGCTTTGCTTCAGTGTATGCTACGATTCCAGATACCATGCGCAAGTCATGCGTCTAACGTCGGTGGCTTCATAGGTTGACAGCAAAGACTCCCTCGAGAACGTAGAGTCAAAATGGATGGCTGAAATTGGCGAAAACTGCCCCGGAGCAAAGATCGTCGTTGTCGCGCTGAAATGCGATCTCCGAGAAGAAGCCAGTGACGAGAAAGATGATGGCACTGCCTCGCAACAGCAGCCCAAGTCCGTGATAACTTATAATCAGGGACTCGAGGTGGCAAAGCGAATAAATGCTCTACGATACCTAGGTGCGTCCAACCTTGAGAAGGGATATCGGGATATCGTTACTGACTAGAGGTTAGAATGCTCTGCCATGAGAAATCGTGGAGTCAACGAAGCCTTTACTGAAGCTGCTCGCGTTGCCCTTTCAGTAAAACCTGCAAAATCATCAGATAGCAGCGGGAAATGCGTGATCCAATAGGACCAACATTTCTGACGATTCCCTTTCGTCCTTTTTTTTCCTTTTATGTTCATCTACCCGCCTTAATTTCATGATTTCCCAGTACTTTCTGTCTTTTACCTTCGTCTGCTCGGCCAACTGCCTTGCCCTTCTTTAATCTTTGTCTTTATTCCCAATACTCTTCCTGGGTGCAGCATGGTGGAATCCCGTCATTTTCTGGAGCACACTCGCGTCCTACCCTGCCCACGAACTTTGTGGTGTCTTCGAAACGCCAATTGTATATAAGTATCTATACCCTCCATCGTTGAACGGGATGCCTTTCCCCCTTTCGTTTTTCCTATTCCTTACGACCTCTTCTGACTATCTGTCTGTTTCATTCTTTGCTCGGAGTCTATAGTGTGCCTTCTAGATATGGATTGCTTCGCCGCCCAGGGACAATGCTGTTGTCTTTGATCCTCCTGTTATGTTATCTAGAGACGATCTAGTGAACGTTTGACGGCTGACGCCTGTGTTATTAAGTACTTTGTGAAAATATTATCTGATTCCTGTTTTACATCTATCATGTAGACTCTATATCTATACCAACGCCCTAGTACATTCCACCAGTAGACGGCACTTTAATATACATATAAGCAGGGAGTATATCAAATCAAGATTCAGTCGAGAACGTCCCCCTCTTGTATTCTATATACCTCATCAATCCCCGGGCCGAGGCCGTCACTTGGCTCTCCCGAGTTCACCTTGTCCACAAACGCCTGGACGAATCGTGTTCCGACTTCTTCCATCGTAAGCTGTTTAACGTCCACGCCCACGCCTTCAAGGCTGGTGGCTTCTTTTCCTTCGAGCCCACACGCAACGATCTGTCGGAGATACCATAGCGGTTCTTGGGTAACGCAGAACCCAACACCATAGCTACTCACGAACCGCCGCAAATGGACACCAACGGCAGCAATTTTGCGAGGAATACCACTGCCCTGGCTGCCCATCTCGTCTAACTTTGGTGTCGCCGGCTGTACCCACACCCCTGGGTCCTCTGTAGTGATTCCGCCCTTGACACCAAATCCTTTTAGTACATCGAGAACACTGTCTTCAAGTAATCGTATATGCGCCCTGGGACCAATTCGCAAAGCCCGGAGGTCGAGGATGGTATATATGACTAGTTGGCCGGGGCCATGGTAGGTAGTCTGCCCGCCACGCAGGGTGGGATGGAATTCCGCGAGACGTTCAGACGCATTGGTTGGAGAGGAGTTCGGGGTCAAAATATGGCGAATTGGTTCGAGAGGGGTTGGAAGGACAAGATTCGACGCATTAGCTGCGGAAGAGCTCAATTGCTGGTCATTAGGAGAACATGATGCAGGCAGATCTCGTCGTCCGGTGGTATATACCGGTCGAGGGGTGAATGTTAGGATCGTGGGATCGGGGATAGACGATGTAGTAGATTCTGGGTTTGATGGTGACTGGTTCTTCTTATAGGCGAGCAGACGTGATACGAGGGTTTGCTGTAGACGCGAGGCGTGTGTAAACGGTATGATGTTCGGGATGTGAAGATGAGCAAGCCGCATTATTTCACCACCTCCTCTTCCCTTGGAGATGTGTTTCTCTCTTTTCTTCTTCTTTTAATGCTCTTTTTCGATGTCTCGTTGATTACATAACGTCATACTTCCACGTGACATCAACTTCTCCGCGACTTCGAGAAATCAACAAAAAGCAAGAAAAGCGAACAAAGCAAACAGAGTAAGAGATCGAGCTGGATAGAGCTTCTTTTGGGGCGCCGGACTTGGATTTTTAGAGAGCTGGCGGCTGGAGCACCATGTAGCAGACATGTAAGCCTACCCCCGAGCTCCCGCTCCATACCATCCGCCAGCATCCTAACTCTCGCAGGTACGATTTACCGGTTCAACTCCGCATGCGACGAGCTATCCTCGAAGGTGACGCATTGCTAGTTAGACGGATAGCAAAGAAATACCCTGCCTTCTTACACAATCCCGACTTTGACGATAAGAGCAACACCTCCCTGCACCTAGCCGCGATTCTAGGCAATCTCGAGGTTGTCAAGCTGCTGGTCAGCCTGGGCCACGACTCCTGCGTGCCAGATGTAGCATTCATGGACTTTGACTGTGCTCCCGGAATCAGCCTTAATACAGAGTCTTCTACACCACTTCATCTTGCAGCAGCAAACTCGCATGCAGACTGCGCGGATTACCTGGCCTCCTGCTTCAAGCAGACTATTGACTGGCAGGATAAAAATGGCGCTACCCCGTTGATGCTTGCAGCGCAGAGTGCCAACATTTCAAGTCAGACATCGAATACCTCATCATTGGTGCCACCAAGGCAGAGACCCAGGGCTTCGTCATCAGCATCGAACCCTAACTCATTCGAGGATACGAGTACCGTGTCCAAGCTCATAAAACGCGGGGCCTCACTGACGTTAGCCGATTCCGTGGGTAACACGGTACTACATTATGCAAGCGCATGGGGCAATCTGAAGACCTTCCGGTTACTAGTTTCCGCCGGTGCACCACCACTGGTTAGGAACAATGCCAAATGTGCGCCTGCAGACTATGCATTAAGCATACAGGCTGCGGCATATTGTCGCTCTTTGGTAGCTGAATACGAGCGCGCGAAGAAGGGGCAATATGAACAGCAGCACGGTAAACCAAGTCTGAAAGTCAGATCAAATGATATTCCACCACAACATTATGGGAGTGGTTCCCGCTTATCACCGATTTCTCCGGCGAGTGGCCTTCGGCCAAAGATGAGCTTGGATAGCCAGCGAACGGCCCAGACCCATGGCATTGGCGGTGTGAGGCTAGTTTCTCAGGACGAGAGCGACCAGGAGAATGATTTGAGGCCAAGTGTATCCTGGAGTAACCCAGGTACTCCAATATGATAACTTCCTGGAGATTGTCTACTGTTAAACATGTACATGGAAAGGATATGTCGATATGAACAAGGCTACATTCTCCCGCTATCAGTGGTTGATAGAAATACACTTGGAGGGTATAGCTGAAGAAAAATAATGTACATTCTATTAACATTTGTCCAAGTGAATAAAAACAAGTAAAAATGCCAGATTCACCCCTTCATAAGCCTAGAATAGGAAGACATAAGGCTAATTTAATACATGATTGTTTCCGGGATAAGAAAAGGCACTGCTCCTATATCTTACAGAACAAAAATGTACATACAGATATCCACCCTAGCCCTGTGTGATTGCTCACTCATCCATCTTCCCTTTATTTGCATCTGGAGGTATACAAAATAAAAGGTAAGAATAAACAAATGTATGAAAGGCACATAACAAAGTCCAAAATGGTTCTGTGCTTCAGCATCTATCCCTATTTTCCTTTCTCCCATGTTCCCTAGACTGGGCCACGAGGAAACGAACATAGGGATCTAGCCACGACACCACGCGAACATATTTTTTTTCCTAATCCCTTCATCTCTGGCCGTTAATCCTCTATGGTCGGCGATTTTAGGCGTTTTATTTTCTTCTATTTATTGTCTTGTTGCAGATTTCGATTAGTCCGTCCTTCGCTTCGCTGTCAGGGAATTTGCTGATGGCTGCCACCGCGTTATCGGCATACTGCTGGGCAAGGGCGCGAGTCTGTTCGAGGCCGTCGGATTGAGAGACGATATGACGAGCCTAGAACCACGGTTAGAAAAGAACGATTCAAGGAAGACGAAAGGGCTGGCTAGCTTACCAATTCAACATCTCCCTCGCGGCAGAACTTTCTACCAACCAGAGCTCCGAGCTCTGGCCGCTGTTTCCAGGCGAAAAGTAGAGGCGAAGTGGCTAGTCCGAGCTCTAGGTCGGCACCGGCTGGTTTACCCAGTTCCTCTCCGCTGATTGTATAATCGAGCATATCGTCGACCAGCTGGAAAGCGAGTCCTAGATTCCTTCCGAAGAGGTATGCTGCATCTGCAACCTCGGGGCCGCTCTGGTTCAGCAACGCTGCTGCACGGCAGGACTTGCTGATCAAACTGGCCGATTTTAAATATGTCTTTTGCAAATAATACGAGACGATCTCTTCCGACCATACCGGGTTGGTTTCATCCTGCATGGTGTTTTTCAATTGCATGAATTCACCCTCAACGAGGTTTGCCATTACCGTACCCAGCAGCTCGATGACTTCGGGATCGCGCAACCTAGCGATGAAGACGGATGCACGACCAAGGAGGAAATCTCCAGCCAACACGGCCATTTTGTTTCCAAACGCAAGGTTGGCTGATAGGTTAGATCGTCGGGTGACTGCGTTATCAATGACATCGTCATGGAGTAGGGATGCGGTATGGATTAATTCGGTGATTTCAGCGAGTCTTCGTTGTGAAGGGAGAACGTTGGTAAAGTTATCATTCGAGTTTTCCTTTGCAGGAGAGTATACTGTGTCGCGAGATGGGGAGCTGAGCGGCATGAGGTCTGGGTTTGTATCTGCGAGAATAGCGGGGGAGTTGATTGAATCGTTGATGTAGGCTCCTGACGGGCCAGAAGATGGAGAGGAGAGCAGGGAATTAAGCAGCCGGTCTCGTTCCTGACGTTGCGGGCAGCTGGGCGTCAACGCTGTGGCCTGGGACATCAAGAGAACCAGCATAGGCCGGACCTGCTTCCCTTCACCCTGGGCATAGTATTTGGCAACCTGGTCCAGAATCGGGTGCCCGGAACCCAGTAAAGTGCGCAGGTTCTTCTTTAGAAACGTCAACTCCTTTGCTACCATCCGGAGCGGGTCAACGGATACGTTCGACGGCAGAGAGCCTGGGTTCGAGGGAAGCGGAGGAGGAGGAGCTTTGGATATATCCTTGGAAAAGAGACTCTGAGCAGCGGATACAGCTGATGCGAGTGCGGACTGGTCTTTCCGGCGTGATGGATGGTAATTGCGGGCTATAATGTGACGTGGAGGTATCGACACGGAGATGTGGTTGTGAAGACATTGCGAGCATATCGACGTCGGCCGGTAAGCAATGGGAGAGTAGAGGGTGTGTGAAGCTCGTAGAGGGAGCCCGCAGGCCCGAAAGCCTGCTCGGGCTTTCATTGCTTGACGGTTATGCTTGTATATCGAGAGGAAGAGTCGAGGTTGAAACTGGGCATAGACGCAAGAGACGGATAGGGTAGTCCGGAGTTCAGCAATGCGTTGACGCGGATTTGAATATAATACAGAGCTTCAGCGGCCGCAGATATAAAGGATTGGATAGGATACAGCTTATATATCAAGCCATGCGAGGTGGTGGGTGGGAGAAGATGCACCGAGATGCCCGTTTTCGTGGTGCTTTTTTTTTCCGGGTCAGAAGTTGAAGTTCAAACTTGGTCGAAGCCCGGAAAGCTTGGTCTTGCATTTCTCCGTGCCGAGCTTGCACCCGAACATACACAAGACTTCACTATGTAGATAGCAGATGTAGATAGCAGAAGAAGCGAAGATATGATGACGGTGATTGCAAAATTGATTCGAGCTTGTGTCTAGGTAATGGCAGGCAAGGAGGTAGAAAAATTACATTGGGATTTGTTGTAGCAAAGACACAAGAGAAAAGATAAAAAGGAAATAATAAACCCCGGTTTGTCGGTTGAAGGACTGTACATACATCCAAGCTGGCCACTCCCTGCCAGAGACGCGTGTCTTGTCGTTGATCACAGGAATGATACATACACAGATGATGGGAGACAGCAGCCCTGGAGGGAGCGAGAGCAGTAACACTAGTGAAAGTAATGGGAACCATATGGGCAAGGGGGGAGACGGTATGTGGATAGCGAGGCGGCGGGAAGGGAGTATGTTTAGGGGGTATGTCTTTGCATACACACGGTTGACTAGATGCCCTCGAAGTCGCCGCCGGCATCGTCGTCATCCATGTCTCCTTCTACGATCTCCTTGGCCAGCTCTCTCTCTCGCTCGCGTGCCTCCTGAGCATTCTTCAGCTCGAGTCGGTGCTGGTTCATGGGAAACCTCATTGCCTAGAAACGCCATGTTAGTATAAGAAGTACATATGTTTATAGCAAAGTTCATACCTTGACACTCTCGTCGTGGAGACCTAAGCACGCTTGGATACGTTCGTGGAACACCTCGCCCGGTTCCTGGGTAGCATACACATCGCCAACCTCCTTGCTCTTCATGTAGCCCTGCTCATGGTCCAACGAAGCTTCGATCACACCATCTCTTATGGCCTTTGCAACAATGTACTCGGCGGATTCCTCGCTATCCAGGCCTAGACGGAGGCAGATATCGCGCAGGGAGATACGAGTGTAGGACAACGACATCATGCGGATACCAGTCTTTATGACATTCTGTCGTAGTCGGAGAATGAGCGTGTACGTGCTGTCTTTTCGGAATGCGGGCCCGTAGGTCTGGACGATCTTCTGGAATCCGTCTAGGTCGCCAACGCTGACGGCTCGTACAAGTAGGAAGTAAGGGTACATGGCGCGTTCCAAAGCTGCCTGACGGAAGATGGCACGGTCAGGGATATCTCCCATCAACAGCTCCACAACGACAAGTAGCTTCATCGACGCCTGGTAGAAGCCGCCTGCGCTGAGAGTCGATGGGGATTTCCGAGTAGCGCTCACCAAGTGCTGATGGGCGTCGGTGTATCGCAGCTGGATGGCTCGAATTCGGCCTAGGTAGTACAGATATCGAGCAATTTGGTTGTTGGACGCACCGGCGGGGAACTCGGAGTGTGAGATGAAGAGATCGGCTTGGGAGATGTGCGAGGTGGACAGGTAGTTGCGAAGCAAGAGGGTTGTAACGGTTGCCTGGATGTCCGTGTCTTTGCGCAGAACGGCGGTCCTCAGAGCTGCAAGGAGCGATTGCCGGATGGATATAACGGCGGCAGTTGGCGATGGAGGAAGTGGTTTTAGCTGCTCGAAAAAGAGAGAATAGTAAAAGTACACTCGGGCAGCCAAACAGTCCAAAGTCCTCCGGTTGTGCGTCCTCAGCCTCTCGACCAGCTTCTGTGAGAACTCAGCGCCCTTCTCGATAAGCTTCTCGTCATAGAGATGAATCTGGACGAGAATGGAAAGGTAGATGTCGATCTCAGGCAGGGTCTCCTTGGGCGATGGCTTGGACGAGGCCGTCTTCTGTTCGGTGACATCTTCCATGGCAACATCCTCGGCGACATTGTCGAAGGCAGAGTTTCTATCAAGAGCAGACAGAAGGAAGGAAGCGGTGGGATCCGATCGCTGGTACGCGGATGTAATGACGCTGGCGAGAAGGTCTGCAGACAGGTATTTACGCATAGAAGAGATCGTTCGTAGTACCCGAAGAGTGAAGCGTAGATCAAAGTGCACAACGGCTCTCTCGAGTAGTGTGAAATTTGTCCTGATATCTATCAAATTGTCAGTATCACGGTCATTATTAGGAAGTAGAAAAAAAAACACGGTTGAGAGAGAGACATACCTGACTGAGCTTTCTCGACCGGGTCAACCACTTCTTCGGCCTTCTGGGCCTCCTCGTCCTGATCTGTGTCCATCTTGGTCTCGCTACGGATCTTATCAGGCTCTCCCGATAGTCGGGAAGCTTTCGACGGAGGCACGACAACAGTCATCTCCTCGTCGCCGTCGTTGTCGTCGCGGTCGAGCTGCTTTGGTGATACAGACCCGTTCACATGCTCTTCACTCATCTGCACGTCCTCTGCACCATTTACGCCGTTCTCGACGAGATCTGAGCCCTTGGACTGCGAGGAGTCCTTCTTCGAGCCTGAGGCCGGTTTTCTAGCAGGCGCTGCCTTGCCTCGTGACGCCGCAGAACGGGTCGGAGCAGGTTTATCTTTGTTCGAGCTGGAGCTTTGCGAATTAGAACGGGGTTTATCGCCGTTGGCCGAGGCGTCTGATCGGTTAGAGCGAAGCGTTCGCTTCTCTGCTGGCATTTTGAAGCTATTGACCAGCTCCTACGAGATGGAGCTCTGGGGCCGGCGTTAAGGACAGCAGAACCGGGAGGCGAACGGAGCGTTGGGGCGTGAGGTTTGAGTCAGCGAGCAAAGCAGTAAAAGAAAGAAACAAATACAGCAGAGACAGGTAAAAGCAGGTCGGGAGACGCCGAAGACGAAGTTGCAGAGTGCACGAAGAGATGGTTGTTTGGGCTGTGCTGGTTGTTGCATGCGAGAGAAAGAGAGAGAAGTCGCACTTCCAGCTTCGCGTGACTAAGCAGCGTCTCAACCTGCGCGTTACTCAGCGACCTCATACACCATACAGCATACACCATACAACATAGCAGGCAGTATGGCCACGACGACGGCGTAGGGTGTTCAGCTGCGATTGGTGGCCTTCGAGTATGCCTATGACAGCACACGTCGTCCCTAGGAGCCTCACTACTCATCTTCCTGATGACGGAGCCTTGACGACAGCTATATCATATATCGATTTCTTCCGAGGTTAAAACATCAGCCACTCGATCAGCTCTTTCAGCTCTTTCAGCTCTTTCAGCTCTCATACGCAGTACCACAAGGGCAAGCTAAAGTACAAGCTCAGTCTCAGTCTCGGTATCTCATAATGGAGTCTGGACAGAATGACCTCTATCTTGACATTCAAGCGATACAGACTGAGATTTAGAGCCTGTGAAGCTACACTACCAACTTCTAGCTGCAGAATAGCTTAACGCTTATGCATCAGGATAACGATTGGTCGCTATATAGCTGTAGTAGCTCGCCTTTAGTGAGAGTATATTCAGCTGTCTAGTACAGTAGGTTGTGGTGGTTTACTGAAGGCACTATAAGGACGAAGGGCTGGTGATGATCGATTAGACGTGGAGAATGGCTATGGAAGCTCCGTTGGCTGTCTGCATGAATCCAACAATTATGATCCAGGCTTTAATATAGATCCATGTACTGGACGATGATCTTAGCAGACTCGAAGACACACTATTTTGCAGTCTATTCAACTTTCTAATCAACATGGTCAGTACCTCTGCTCATCCGTTTATCCCCCCAGCATCGACCCTGTTGGCTATGTCTCTAATACGATGACTGCTTTGGGCTCCTCGGTAGCTTCGGACTTGGGACTATGGTGATTATCGGTATAAGCGTGGCTACTCGCATGAACGATCTCTTCGGTCAGCTGTGGAAGGAATACGCCAAATCAGAGTCTCAACATCTGACCATAGAGCCATGCTTGCTCGGTATGGAATCAATAACAGCTGTAAGGCCTGATGGGTATTGTTTTTAGGGGTATTTTGTCTTCTTGAATTCTTTCTGGGTTCCTCTTCTAGTCTGTAAGAGAATGCATCTTATCCAACCCCTATCGCCGCTCTAACTGTTGCTGTAGTGAGCATCTATCATAGATTGTTGCCATGGTTGAAGCATCTCGACCACCGATTGATCACCTTGTTGGAAAGAGGCCATGAAACCGTCATAGCAAGGTCGTATATACAAAAGGGACAAGCTGAAAGTTGTAATAGTTATTGAGAGAACAAACTCGAGCTTCTTCAGTATATATATGCCAAGACCAGATGACTAATCCGATATATCTTTTGTTTACTCGGCGATAAGAAGAAAGTCGATGGATGAGAAACCACATAATAACATTAGAGATATTCCCCCGTTTTTCAGGGTGCCGATACTTGAATACTGGATTCTCGAGAGAACTATCTATACTCCTGTCAAAGTAGCTGTTTGAAGTGGTCATCTATACCCCGTTGATGGCAAAATGAGCCTACTACAGAACCACCTGGAGCAGATCTCTCTCTCCGCAGCTGCAATAGCTGACTTGTCGTAAGCTGTTTACCCATAGCCACGCTTATTCCGGAGGTTTACTCTAACATTGTCTTGTTCCAGCTTTCCCCCTCCAAAATCATTTGTGAATGCGCTTCTCCAACCCCACGATATCACCACCCTTATCCGAGACACAGAAGCCCACGAAAGAGCTCTTTTCTCAGTCGACAATGCCGCCACTAAATCTCAAAGAAGAGCGACTCGCCGAGGTACGATGTTCGTGGCAGAAACTGAGAAGGAGTCTATGATCAGTCGCATATATGCGGTGAGAGATCGTACGAACCAGTCTGCTGTTGCGCGGGTTTTGGGCGGGGATATGATGGATGCAATCAAGCGGTCGACGGCCGCGGCATCTGACAGGACTACAAGGGGCGGATTGGACATTGAAGTTTTACTACGAGGAGCTGATATGCTTTGCAACGTATAGTAAGTCTACTCCTAGACATGGCGCAACTGGATGGAGTTAGCTAATGCCAACACTTGTGCTGAATAGTCCAGTGGCTGGAGCCAAGGAGAAGATTGCTACCATACGGTCTCGCCATCGTGAGATTACAGATTCCCTTGTGCATCTTGAAAAACGTGTTGCCGATCAGGCTGCAGAGCTGGAACAGATGAATCACTCGCAATATAACGACGGTGACTACCCATATCGGACAGAGAATCCTGACGCAGCAGGGACTGAAGCTGTGGAAGTCACAGACGAAGATATTGAGCAGGAATTGGAAGCCATTCGTGAGCTAGAGATGAAAAAGCGACGCCTGGAAGTTCGAGTTACTGGGATGGAGAAGGATTTGGGAGGGCTACTACGATGAAGCTTTGGAGTTAGCGATCGTACCACAGAATCACTGCGTTCCCACTGCATTTTAAGTGCGGCAATGATTGAGAACGGTATCTGATGCAATGAGTACATCCAAAGCTACCGTCACCTGGCCTAGGTTCTAGATGACCTAACTACCGTTTTTCAAGGGGACGAAGGTGCAGCTCATGAAAGTCTGAGTATCATCCAGGCTATATGGCTGCGCGCAGGGGGTACACATACCCAAGCCCCCTATTTACGCTGACATGCCGCCCGGGGATACCAACATTTATACCAGAGGCCAGCTAACCGACTTAGACAGTATAGACCATGATTAACATGCCCAGATAATGGGATATTGGGGTGGGGAAGACGTCCTTCCGCCTCTAACGCCATTATATACGAATTATGTATTTTGACGTTGAATTATGAGAAATATAAACACAAAGATGTTCATATTCGTAATTTCATGACATTGCTTTATTCTAACTCAGCTAGGGGTTTTAATTGGGTTTCGAGCACCTCTAAAGTTCGTCGTTCTCTCACCTTTTGCTGCTTAAATTGTCTGAGGTCACTACACGAAGCAACCAGGGCAATTATCATTCCGTAAGAGGCCGATGGAATATTTATCCATGGTATTAGACTTTCTAGAGTTAAAAGGGGTTAGATACTTGGATTGCAAATAAAGTACTATGACAGCTGCCAATGTATTTGCAAGGTAAGATGAAACCCCTCGAAGCAGTACTGGCATTATTAACCAGACACAAGACCCGGACACAATCTGCAAGTTGAGACATCAGATAACTGTAGGCTGAAAAGATGGAAAGGACAGGCGGTGCATGTAAGAACCGAAAAAGTGACATAAGATGAGGCTTTCACTGCATTATCCTTTGCTGGAAGAGTTATCAGTTAGTCGAGTGAAATTCCGAGAAAGGCTTGCGTGATGACACTTTTCCTTGCTCCTGTTCCAATAACTGGGCACCACCTCGCGCAAGTCTTTCCGGATCCACCAGGATAACCTGGGTTAAAGCTTGACTGCGAGACTCTGCCGGTCTTCTTCATGCCTTGGAATTCGAATGTGCCTAAAGCGTCCAATTTTCGCTTATTGGATTTACCTGTCCATTGATAGGCCGAAGGGTCCAGCTTTGTAATTGAAAGCTTATCGTCTAACGAGAAACGTTCCTGGCATAGACTACGGAAGGTCTTGGAGACTTTCGCGCAGGCCAGTTGAGTTTGGGGACCGATATATGAAATAATTTCAGCGTATATCTCTGTTGGGAACACTCCTTGATTAAAATTCGCAGTCTCCATGCTGACCTTTTTATTGAATAAGCCTTGTAACATTGCAAATCCCCGGGATGCGCGATAGGGTGGTTCTGTCTCAGTGGCGTGAGGGTTTGGGCCTGACATGTCATTCTCGGGCATGCGACGAGGATGGAGGGTGACAAGTACAATTCCGGTGTGTCTGACTAGTTTCAAGTCATCCTTCACAGATACCTCCACAAAGAGAGCAGTGATGACTGAAAATATCACGATTTGAAAATGCGTCTTGCCGCCCTGTACCCCGAACTCCACTGCCTTTGCGATTGCAGCATCGGTGTCCTTTTCAAGTGTCTCTGGTGTGACAAGGCTGATGAGGATACCTTCGAAATAGTACATGCTACCGGGAGGGGCAGATCCAGCTTCCTGGGCTGGGGCATGACATCCTCGACCAAATATAGGGAGCATCTCCGTTTTGCCATCAGAGGTTTTATTAATAATAAAACCATTCGACTGTCCCTCGCGTTCGTAGCCACCGCACAACTCAGCCGGATTAGAAAAGTAGTACTGACCAGCTGCGAGTGATAGAACAGCAAACGCCACCTCCTGGAAAGCGAAGTCCTGAGGCCCCCATTGGGGGAGATACTCCCAGAGACGTGACCAGTACGGCTCCAGTAAGCATTCCAAGAACATCACCGCAACAATATTCTGGAGGGAGGCATTGGGTATATTTATTTCAAAGGAGGCAGTCTCTAGCGCGGGGCAACTGTATGTCCCGTACACCTCTTTATACCGGTCACGCTCAGCATCATCCACAAAGTACTTGGGCGTGATCGGATTGAATGAGGCTTCAGGGCAGATTATAGTGGAGTAGGACTCTTCCGTTTCGAAGGCACGCAGCCAGCGGTCCCGCGGGATGTCCCAGAGGTTGAAGAACAGAGTGTTATTCACAGTGAAGACTTCATTGTCAAGGTCTATGAGGTAAATCCACTCGATGAACAAGTCATTCCCCACCTCGCAAAGGGTAGAAGGGAGTATCTCAACATCATCTATTTCCTTCCAGACAGGGTTGGCCTCGGCTTTTTTTGCAGCGACATCCTGTATACGTTCTTCCGTAACGCAGAGCGCTTTCTCGAGCCGTACCGATAGCTTTTCATATTCTGCCCGCTTTTTCTCTAGCCATGCTATTCGCCACAAGAAATATCTCCATTATTCGTATGTCTCTTCATTCATGGGACGCGTATGTTAGGATCTCACCTTTATATCCTTCCGGGTCGACGGGTATGACTGCCAGGAGATTCTTGCCGAGATAACTAGGGTAGCTATCGTAGTGGTTGTAGTATACCCAGTATCTACCCCGATGGCGCACGATCTTGTACCCCCTGGTGCCCATCTTGGTCGTGTTAGTGGTTAGTGAACGCGTAGAAGGTGAAGTTGTAAGTTGTAGATATAAACAAAGTCGAAGATGAGGTCATGGCGTGCCAAGAGCTTTTGCGGCGTGAGGCTTGAACTTCTTGTCCTGCGATTCCTTTTCAACCTCCAACATCCAACAAGCTCGCACATCCAGCACCACCGTCGTGTCTACGCTTCATCTGATCGATTCCTTATTTATACGGCTGCACGGCGACGTATATACGGGTGCGCCATCACACCAGAGCAGAGCGACTTGCGAGCGAGTGACGAGCTTCGCTGGGAAGCAAATATGGAGAACTCATCGGCACCATCCAACACCGCGCATCCTGGCCAGCAGCCTATGCAGCAGCAGCAGCTATCGAATCTAATACGTACCGAGCAGGTCCAGAAGCTGCCTCATCTTCCTGATGCCCAGAAAGCGATGCACACGCAGGCCGTCAGGGGCTGCTGGGAGGTGCTCCAATCGCACCCGCCTACGTCGAATGAATATATGAATGCACAGCAGAGACTCACAACGCTATCGACACAGCTGATGAGGGGGATGAGATTGTACCAGCAACAAAACAGGGGACAGTTTGCTAATCATCCTCAGGCTCAGGCCCAGGCGCAAGCCCAGGCACAAGCTCAAGCTCAAGCAAAGGCGCAAGCCCAAGCCCAGGCACAAGCACAGGCTCAACAGGCTCAGGCTCAAGCACAACAGCAAGCACAGGCTCAAGCGCAAGCACAGGCTCAGGCTCAGGCTCAAGCTCAGGCACAGGCACAGGCTCAGCAGCAGCAGGCGAAGCAAGCTCAGGACCAGCAAGGACAGATAAATCGGGGTCCAGTTGGGGTAAACCCAGGCCAGCAAAAGCCACAGAACTTCCAGGCCCTTTTCCCTCAGATCCAGGCCAAGGTCAACAGCCTAAACTTCATTCTCCCGATATCGATAAATAAGGACCAGGCGGAAAGCTGGTTACAGGAAGCGAAGAATCGATATGGTGCAGCACTACAGAAGCAGGAATTGGGGAAAGTGAAGCTGGCTGAAGTGCGGCAGGCGTTTCAGCAACGTCAGGGCAACGGTAACCTGACGGCCGACGAGATAACTGAATTCAAGTCGAGGCAAATCTACGCCGACAAGCTATATAGAGAAGGAGTTGAGTTCCTTGCAAAGTTCAAGGAGCAGCAGGATAACTTCCGACTCCAGCACCAGCAAGCGGCTGCTGCTGCTGGCCAGCAAGCAAACCAAGGAACGCAAGCTCAGGCTTCTGGGGGAGCAGATCAACAGATTGTTAGCCAGGCCGCCGTCCAGCAGGCTGTTCCTGCTACTACAGGAACTCCTGCACCGCATACTATAAACTCAGCCGTTGTTGCAGCAAGACAAACCCCTTCTCAACCGCAACAGGGCCAGCTTCCTGGGGCAGGAGTAACACTCCCACAAGCTCAGCAACAAGGACAACAACAAACACAACAGCAAGGACAACAGCAACCAACACAGCAGCAACAGGGGCAAATTCCGGGTATAAAACAGCAACTTCCAGATAGCGCAGCTTCAGCTACCATCTCTCAAGTTCCACAGCACCAGGGCCCTCCACGCCCACTTTCACAACAAGCCGCAGTCGCTCAAGCACAGCAGAACTACTCTAACGCAACCATGCCTCAAACACCCACTCATGCGCACCCTCAGGCCTACATCGGCGATCGAAACATGGAGACACGCAAGATTCACATGGCCATCCCCAAAAATTTGAATATCTCTACTACCCCCGAGCCTGTCAGCATGGGAGCATCCCGCCCTACCCTTACCACCGGAGCCAGTCACGGATCCATGGGAATGATGGGACAGCCTGCGATCCAGAAGCACCCTGGCTACGTTTTGGAAGGAGAAGGCCAGCGCGTGCTTAGCAAGAAGAAACTTGATGACCTCATCAGACAAGTAACTGGAGGTGGGGAAGGAGAGAAACTCACGCCCGATGCTGAGGAGGTATGTATTCCTATATTCCAGGTATTCCAGCTACCATCATCGTCATCTAACACCCACTCTTACAGTTTGTTCTCCAAATGGCCGATGATTTTGTCGACGACGTGATCACCGCTGCCTGTCGTCTTGCCAAACTTCGTCCATCCTCCACTTTGGACATCCGCGACATCCAGCTCGTCCTGGAGCGCAACTACAACATGCGCATCCCAGGCTTCTCATCAGATGATCTACGTACAGTCAAGAAGCCGCACCCTACCCAAGGCTGGATCCAGAAGATGACCGCCGTTCAGGCTGCTAAGGTGACCCAAGGTCGCGCAGAGTAGAGGGTGACGGGTATGTCAGTCAAACAGTGTACTCCTTACGACGTGAAATGCCCATGCTACGTCCTATTATTGCATTTCTATTATGTACTGGAAGTTTGGGAGGGGGTAACGGTATTTCTCTTTTTGTCCTTGTGATTTCTTTCTCTCTGCTATGGGGGGTATTACTGGCTAGGAGCCGCGTATGGTGCTTTTGGCTGGGAGGGATCTTATCTGCGTTCATCGGTATTACTTCTGGCTCCTCTTTTTCAAGGCTAAAGCGCGGTTATAAGGAGTTATGTACTATAAGCTAGGCTATCAAAAAAGACATCCCTTCACTAGATTCGTCTCCGAGTAAACACACCATGAGAACACACATCTTGCTCCTTCAACACGCTAAACACATCACGACATCTGGTGATGATACATCGTCTTCCCGCCATATTCCGCTTTCTAAGCTAACCGCGAATCAAAAAGAAAAGAAAACCCTCGAGCGCGGTCTGATACAGGTCTTGTGATGCGGCTGACTTCGTGCCTGTGCCTATGTTTCGATCTCTACCTCAAGATGGAACATTTACGTGCACCGCAGAGTGAACCTCGCATCATATGAACGCCATCAGCTGCTGGAATAGTAGTGATGCGCCGCCTGCCATGGCCAGAATCCTCTTATATTCCTTGTCTTGCCTTCCTTTGAAGCTGCTCAGCCTTATCAGCCCTTCGTATACCCGCATGCATTGACAGACGATCGGCGTCCCTAGTCTCCTGGGCGATTTATTAATGATCTGATCGTTGACATTCAGCTTCCGTCCGCCTTTCTCTCGTACGGAGTTCACGTTTGCTCTTTTGTTTCCTTGTTTTCTTGTTTCCTTGCGTTGTTGCGTGGAAGATGGATGAGCCACTAGTTCGTCCTTCGATAAAGCATCGTTGGAGCAGATCTAGTATCCCACGCCTGCAAACTGAGAACCTCCTCTCTCCATCTTCGAGACAAGGTAAGTAAACTGTCTTCGTTGCAGGAGAATTCTACAGCGTGTTTAAGTAGCTAACTAAATGTCTATCAGGTCCCTATACCCCCTCGACGCGTCTTGCGGAGCAATTACCTCCTGATATAAAGCCGAGAAGTAAGCCTCGCCGGGTACCCTCTTTATGATTTTAGCCGGTTACAATTATCCGATTGGATAGTCTCCTGCTTGGAACGCGAACTGGCTGGTTAGAGGTGCCGTGTGTAACTGACTGCTGCTACTAGAACGACCGTCACGACGACATGACCTGGGTCCGAAATGGCACAAGGAGTACTCGGAGATAGACCAGAACTGTGGTCGTGTTTTGATTATCGATTTTGTGAAGCAGGGTATGTTGGGACAATTGAGATCTCTTGGACTTAGTTTATTAACGCTGACCGGATCCGTGAACTATAGAAGCAAGCAAAACGCGTATGCGCAAAGTCAGTGCAGAAGAGATATTCGATATCAACGCCCTTCGAAAAGTGTACAATAACCCCCATCGAACCAACGAGGCCGTGCTGCGAGTTTTCCACGTTCAAAACGCCGACTGGGCTACAGAGTATCTGTTGAGAAAGTTCAATATAGACAACAGAGATAACCTTGTCGGGAACGACTTTGGGAAATATGTTCGACATAAAAACCCCGAGAGGCGCGGCGGGAGACCTTTCTTGAATGGCAAAACGTGGAAAGTGCAGTATGATCCGTGGCGGGGAGTCAGTAAGACTTCGTTTGGATTGGACTATTTGAAGCAATATAATAAATCCGCGCATATCACATCTGGCCACCGTCGAAGTGCTGAGGATGATCAGTTGAAGATGATGGAATTAGATGCCTTTGGGGATGAAGGTAAATAAAAACCACCACTTCAGCCCCAATACAAGCAGCATCCTCTAGCCGCCAACTCTTTTCATGAGCTTATTTCTACATACAGATAACCCAGCACATGGCTACGATGTTTATGTCCAGCGCCTTAGCTGTTATATCCAGCACAAGCAAACCCCAGGGGCCATTTTACCGCCAACTGAAGACCCAGACATCAAGAACCCATATCATATTGATGAAAACCAGAACGGTGAATCACCAGAGAAACGCAAAGACGTATATATCCCGCGCCTGGACACGCTAGATAATGGTAATGCGATTCTCATCTTCGATAATTCTCACACCGGCTGTCTGGACGACACGCTCATTCCGCCCCGTCAAACATGGGAGGAACGGTGGAGACGTCTTCCCTTCTTCCTTGCCTTTGAGTCCAAAGATCTAGTTGAAAGTGATGAACAGCTTGCTTTCCAGAGTTCAAGAATTATCCTCGATGATATATTCAAAGTGTTGTCGGCAAGTTGGGATTCATTCCTAGACCAGGCTATGGACCACGTAAGTATTCTAGAAGATAAGATATACGAGAGGCCAGCAGATGAGACCCGCGCTCCGGAGTTATGGGCCAATTCGAGTGTGTGGCTCAAAGTTGAAAAGCTGCTGTTTATTCATATCGATATTGTGAAGGATATGGTGACAAGATTGCAAGATCTAACAGGTATGTTGATAGTTTGCCCCACGCATAATGATATATCATTACTAACCTACCATATGTAGATGATGTAGAGTCTGATGACACCTGGTTAGATGGCGTTCCGGGAGAGTTCGAACGGCTCAGTACCGTCATTACGGAAGATTTGATCAAACCGACAGAGAATTTGATTTCCTTATTATACCAGTCCGTCTCGATACGAGACAGTCGGCATAGTATTCAGTTGAATGTGAGCAGTAAGTGAGCATCTGTCGGCCCAGCCTGGGATTGAGATGATTTAACTCGTAGCCTAGTGTGGCGCCTGAGCTGGATCACCTTCATATTCCTCCCAATGACCTTCATTACTGGATTTTTCGGTATGAACGTCGACACCTTCAAGGGCGATCCAAGTATAAAATGGTACTTCATCGCTACTGTACCATTCATGTTCATGGTCCTTGTTCTCTGGTATATCATAAAACATTACCTTGCAGCTAGGCGCCAAACTCCACATCAACGAGGTATATATGAGAACTTCTTCAACGAAATGGCCAATAATAACCCATCACTCTGGTCCCGAAATGGACCGCGTGATTATGTCGTACCACAAGGTATGTTGGCGCGGTTGAAATGGCGTTTCATCAAGAACTGGAGTGCACCTGAAAGGACAATCTTGATGGATGCAGACGGCGGCGATGGAAGTGGAAGTGATATGGGGACCATCTTTAAGATAAAACAATATCTTATCCGTCGATGGACTTCGCAACTTCGCGATAATGAAGCTGTTGTGGCAGTGGCGCTAGAAGAAGGGACAATGGTACCCGATGATGAGAATATGAGCGATGCTCACAGCACGATTGCCGAAGGGTTGGCAGGAGCTACAGAACTGCTTGTAGTCCCTGCCACGCCGGCCATTGAGACACAGATAGTGCCGGAGTTTAAGACCTTTGATCCAAGCAAAACAGGTGAGGTGGATGAACGCCACGACTCTACGATTCCAAGCTCGGCGTTGTCGTTTATCAGTGGTGCGCATCGCCGAAGTAGTAGCGCTGGCAGAGCTAGCGGACTGCTGGTTGAAGAGGAAGATTACCAATGGCTGAGCGAACGAGGTAAACAAGGGAAACAATGGGCGTGGAGAACGTCGAGTTCAAGGGATAGAAGTGCGCAGAGGAGTTCTCACCAGAGCAGCCACAGCCACAGCCAGGAACGGGAGGATAAGGGGAAAGGCACTGAGATGACTGAATCGCCTCCCGTGGCTACTGCTACCGCTGCTACCGAGACAAGGCCGGAGACGAAGGATAAAGATAACGATGAACCTCCTTCTGCGGAGATTGTTCATCCTAAAGAGACGGAACATTGATTCGAGTGAATTGATCTATTCCTTTGGCTAAGCATTTATGCTTAATGTTTAGATGTCTCGGATTTTAAGGGGACGTGCTAAGATAGATATGATACCCCCTTTTAGACTGTTTATACTTGCTCTTTTGCATATAAATTCAAGCGTTGATATTTACAAGCGACTCTCTCTCACGCAACCTCGCACATTGCATTGCTATCTTCCCTTTCACTTCTTCTCCTACGGCACAACCTTGAAAGCGAAACATCCTGGCCCCGTGAAATAAACATGCACATACTCCGCCTCCAACTCCTTATCCCCAAACACCTCACTCTCTAGCGTTTCCATTAGCTTCGCTCCCTCAAGCACTTTATGCCAAACCATCATGTTTCCCGCATCATACGCTCGCACCGTGAGGGAACGAGCATGATATTTCTCCGGAATTCCCAGCTTGTTGTCCTCACTTCCGTCGTACAGCGTACAGTCATCCGCATGCACGAATATCGGGCCAGCGCCACTATAAGGAGTGTCGCGGTTATCGGGAAGAAAGGGGTTATAGGAGATGAGAAAGACGTCTTCGTTTAGGGAAGCATTCTTCAGACAGCGACGGCACGGAGCTCCGCCGAATGTAGGAGTTATGGTCGACCGAATGGTGGTTGGCTGGTCGATGTCCACGGCGGTAGGGAGAGGGACAATTTTCATGTTTTCGACTGCGTGGGTATTGTTTGGAACGAAGGAGATGTTTGAATGTTTTGATATTGGGTTGGTAGTTATCTTTATGAGGTCGATGGATAGAAAAGAGGATGCTCGATTGAGGGAATAGGAGAGCTCATATATAGATCTACAGTACGGAGCAAGCATGTACATCCCGTTGTTGCATCGTACACGCCCCCTTGGTTGTTGCTAATGTAGTCAATCATATCCGTCCATGTTATCTGCCGGCCATCTCAACGAGCCGTGTTGTTGCTCCCAATGTAGTCAATTAGATTTTCCCTTACTTATTCCATCATAAACTTGACGAGCTCCCCTGGTCTCTATGCCGGGGTGCGTCATCTAGGTTTAACTACAGTTTAGAGTGCTCGTATTCCTTTGCTGCCAATATGACCAAGCACAAGGGGTTAGATACTAACATGTCGAGGGATGATCTACTGCGTTCTTGAGGCCTAGTATAACAATTCGGCATATCATTTCTTATCATACGGAGCATCATATAAATAGCAAAGCTTACACGACACAGCTCCGTCCTTCCATTTAGCCGGTCGATAATGACCTCTGTGCCGTCCTGATGCCGGACCAGACCAACAATACTATAACCAGGCGCATACGAAGTGAGCATAAAACGGGAAAGGAAAGTATGGTGAAGGTCGGTGGGTAGGATAGAAGTGACATCAAGACATATCATGCTGGCCCGCCAGCCAGCCAGCTATAGCTATCCATACAAACAGCAGATGTACCCTCGACCCGTCAAAGGAGATATAGTGAGTAGAAGTGAGGTAAATAAAAACACAAGTGCGAACAGGAACTCATTCCACCACATCAGGTCATTGACCGTCGTCGTTCTTATTGACAGGTAACGGCGACCGAGCCGTAGTATCTACCACATCTTCATCATACGTCATGCCATCTAGCATCTGCGCATCGACACCAGAAGCGCGTGGCCCTGGTGTATTTGAGCCAGCAGGTGACTGCGGCTGCTGTTGAGATTGATGCTGGTATGTGATTGGATGCGAGAAGCGACTCGAGGTAGGAGAGCCTGCGACAGCTGTAGTACTGACACCCGTCATGGACGAGGACTGCCTACTTAAGCCTGCAGCAGCTACGCGTTGAACGGCGGTAGATATCGGCCCAGAGACGGTACTGTTTGCTCCCTCCCCAAAGCCAACGAGGCTGGCATTCCCTTCATCGCTAAAGGCGTCTGTGGAGCGCGCATCCGCATCGTCTGCATCAACGTCCTCGCCGACTATTGGCTCATCATGACCGTAAACGTCATCACTTCCACTAGCCCATGTCGTCCGAGTGCGTCCACCTAGGCTTCCCCGACTCACACTCTCAGTTGCACTGGCACTACCAACCGTACTTCGCTCCTTGAGCATATGAGGATGCGAGTCAAAGTACTCTTGGCCATGGTAGGGTCCGCTATAATAGAGTGAGTGGGGGTTACCACTGGTACCTGCCGGGCGGGCAGAGAGGCGTTCAAGTCCGGCGAGTCGCGAGATACGGTCTGCGCGTTCTGCATCAAGGGTTGTGGTGGAAGTTTCGGATGCGTTGGAGGAGGAACGATGTGGGCGGTGGGTGTGGGGTCGTCGAGCTCCCTGGTGGCCGTCCTTGATGGCCACGGTGGACAATGCAGAGAGAGAGGTTGTTCCAGAGTTGGGAGTGCTTCTGCATTTATAGTTAGAGGAGAGTATCTTATACGGGGCGAGTCAGGGGAGAAGAGCAAGACTTACGGCCCCATGTCGGAGGGAGTGAGGGGGTCCGACGGGGGAGGGGGAAGGTTAATAAGCGTTGGTGTTGTCATTTTGAGATGAGAGACGGAGATGATCTGTTTCTATGTATAAGAAGAGAAGAACTGGTATCCTCAGTCAGTGTTCTACCCAGCGGTTAGCATGCACTCGGTGTGGCGTTTGTATAAGCCATAGTAGCCTGGTAGAAGTATACTTACCCTGGAGAGACGTGCGTAGTCGCAAGCTGTAGTCGGTGTTGATATGGGCTATATGTTAGTTAGATGAAGCCGTGGATGGTCCTTCGAAGATGGTCGATGATAGATTGCTGTAGATGTACTTGGTGTGATTGCTGAGGAAGAGAGAAGGACGTCATCGCGAAGGATGCGGAACAACTTCGTGATATTATGTAAGCATCACTCTCACTTTCACTTACATCGACGTAGTTCCATATTAATAGACAGTATATGTATTGATAGTCCTAATTAGTACCAATTAGACATCCTAGAGCTCTATCAACCTATACAGCATACTGGTATCACTGTAGTATACTAGATATCACCGCCTACCTATACAGCATACTACCTCGATCATCCACCTTTCTCCTCCTTCTCTTCCCTTTTCTTCTCCTCTATCTTATATCCTCCTATCCTCTACATCTATCCTTTACATCCTGTCATCTATACATCTCTATCATCATCATCATATTATCATCACCATATCTATATTTATCCTTGTCAGCCCTACGCCACGTCGCTGTGGATGACTAAGCATGCACGTGCCAATTCGCTTCTTCCCACTTTGGGCGATTCTTCGACTTCCTTCAGCTTCACCTTTTTCCCTTTTCTTTTTTCTCTTCTTCTTCGCCTCTTCTCCCTCGCTCTTCTTTTCCTCCTCACGCCCTCGCCCTCGCCCTCTCGCTCGCCCGTCCGCTGTCACCAGCCCAGCGTCCGTGGAGGATCCCGTCAAGCCTGTCGCCTTCCGTCAGGCTGTCTCGACTTTTACACAGAAGACTAGCGGTGAACAGCGCATCGCTAGAGTTACATCTGCATTCGATCCTCGCACACTACATATCGGTGATTTCGACCTTCGTCTTCTCGCTGGCATTCACTTGCCCAGCAGACTTCGACCGGAGAGAAAAGAGACTAGGCAAGCAGTAAGCAAGCAGGAAAGAGCACGCACACAGCCTGGATATAGCAAACTGCAGCCCTGCAGAAAGCGCACGCAAAACCGAAAGATCTTTCCACAGAGAAATCAGAGAACCAGAGAATCCGTTGGACTGGCCAGGAGAACCCGCTACTCTCGTTCTTGGTTATTCTCTCGACTTTTTTCTTTTCTTGGAATATTGCTGCCTGAGATATTATCCTACATTTAGCGTCGACCTGTTTCTGTGGCTTTGAGTAGTCATGGCAGCTCCGACTCAGCTTGCTTGTAGGTCTATTTAGCCAAAACTAGCGGTTATAGTATATACTGACTGTATTGCAGACCGCACGGTGAAGGATATCGGCATCCTAGATGCTGCGCCGGTTTACGAACCCTTGCCCGGTTTTGTTAGGTACATATACCGCTATAAAGACTTTTACAAAGAACTCCCGTAGCTAATACATTTTTGCTAGACCAGAAGGGAACCTGCGTTGTACCGCATACTCTGCCTGCGGCCGATATTTCGCTTGGGCAGCCCCAGAAGGGTAAGTTCTACTCTGTTCATCTTTGGAAATTGCTCCATTTTAACGCCATGTAGTGTCACCGTCATCGACCCTTCTGTCGGCCATATAATCACCCAGCTTCCCGCAGAAAACGTCTATGAGATTGATTTCTCGCCGCTGGGCACCTACCTTATCACCTGGCAACGGCCATCCAAGGATGCCAACGGCGACGCAGTCCGGAATCTGAAGGTGTGGAAAGTCGTAGAATGCGCACGGGGAGCCAACAATGATGACACGCCAGACGAACACACGGTTATTGGTAGCTTCGTGCAAAAATCGCAGACAGGCTGGAATCTGCAGTATGCATCAGACGAACAGTATTGTGCTCGTGTCGTGACAAACGAGGTTCAGTTCTACGAGAGTGGGAACCTCTCTACAGTTTGGAAGAAGTTGAGGGTTGAGGGAGTCTCGGATTTTGCCCTTTCGCCAGGCAAGGGGCATGCCGTTGCCACCTTTATTCCGGAGAGAAAGGTACCTTCACCAACTACTCTCTTTTTAGTGGTCCTCGTATCGTTGTTTCGGATGCATAGACTAACACCGGTGTAGGGCCAACCTGCTTCCGTCAAAATATTTGATATGCCCAACTTCAGTGCCCCAGTATCCCAGAAATCTTTTTACAAGGGTGACAAGGTGCAGCTGAAGTGGAATAATACGGGTACCACCTTGATTGTCCTCGCCCAGACAGACGTAGATAAGAGCGGCAAGAGTTACTATGGAGAGACCACCTTGTATCTCCTCAGCGTCACTGGGGCGTTTGATTCTAGGATCGACTTGGGTACGTTCGAAAGATATCATCATATTTTGGATAACAGTGCTAACTCCCAGCAGACAAAGAAGGCCCAATCCATGATGTTACGTGGTCGCCAACTTCCAAAGAATTTGGTGTCGTGTACGGCTACATGCCTGCAAAGACCACCATCTTCAACACCCGTGGGATAGCTACGCACTCTTTCCAGCTTGGCCCACGAAATACGATCCTCTTCTCTCCACACGGCCGTTTTGTCCTTGTTGCCGGTTTCGGTAACCTGGCTGGCCAAATGGACATCTACGACGTGGAAAAGGATTACAAGAAGATTGTCACTGTTGAAGCCTCCAACGCCAGTGTCTGCGAATGGAGTCCAGATGGCAAGCACATCCTCACGGCAACGACTAGCCCCCGCCTGCGTGTTGATAACGGTGTCCGCATCTGGCATATTTCCGGTGCTCTGATGTATAACGAGGACATGAATGAGCTGTATTCCGTCTCGTGGAGACCCCAATCTCCTAACAGCCATCCGCTGGGATCGAATCCGCTCCACCCAATGCCTAACCCGCACCCTTCTGCGCTAGCATATCTGAGCACCAAAAAGGCGCCCACCAAGCCCGCAGGTGCATACCGGCCGCCTGGTGCTCGAGGACAAAGCACACCCTTAGCTTTCCGTCGCGAAGACGAAGGTGGTGCCGCATTCGTACGTGATGGTGCGTCGCCATTCGGCTCGAACAGCGGTCCAGCCGCAAGCCCCTTTGGAAAACCACGCCGTCGTGTTGTGCCTGGCGCTGAGCCAGCGGAAGAGTTCTTACCACCCGGAGCCGCTCCGGGAGGCGGTGTGGCTCTTCCCCCTGGAGCTGATGCCAGCGCAAACGCAAACGAAAAACTGTCCAAGTCGGCCGCGAAGAATAAGAAGAAGCGAGAGGCTAAGAAGGCCAAGGAGGCCAACCAGGGAGGAGAAGCTGGCGAAGCGTCCATCCCCACGGCTCCCAGTGCGGACAGGCGAGACCGCAGTCGCTCCCGAGGACATAGGCAGCAGCCCAGCGGTGGCGCGAACGGTAATAACGTCAACGGCCCCAACCTTGGGCCTAATTATCCTCGCGGCCCTCGCGACCGAAGCAGAAGCACCCACCGCCGCCAGCGCAGCGATGGGCGCAACAACCGTAATGGTAACGGTAACGGTAACGGCCAGCAGCCTCAAGACCGTCGTGCGCCAGCTGTCAATGTCAACACCGGTGCACACCAGCAGACTACACCACCAGATCTAACTGTTACCTCGCCTGATGGCGGTAATACAGCCAACGCCGCACCGGACGCTGCGGCTATTGCTCGGGAGAAAAAAATGCGCGGTCTGCTAAAGAAGGTCCGTGCCATTGACGAGCTGAAGATGCGTGTTGCTGGTGGAGAGAAGCTGGAGGAGACGCAGATGAAGAAAATATATACTGAAGACTCGGTGAGGGGAGAGTTGGAAGCTTTGGGATGGACTGGCTGAAGCGGAGGATGGAACGAAGAGAGGAAGTAAACGAGTAAACGAGAAAAATGATATGACCTCATTTATTTGGGTTATTCCTATTCAATTAGACGCCCGCTACTATCAAAACTATTTCGTAGACGAGCGTAGACCAGACAGGCGACTTGCCCAACGTGAACGTTGTTTCACGGCCTTGTATAAAAATCTGTCTGGTCGTTATATTTAAACTCCGACGACTTCAACTTCAACTTCACTCCTTCAACCTCAATATCAACGATGGCTACTAACATTGCCTGCTACGGTCTTGGTCCAACCCTGCCTCTAACAGCGATGACATCACTCTATTTCATCTATCTTAATGACCTGATATGTCGTTTTTCATGCTTCATTGCTGTACTCATGTTGCCGCTCTGCAGCGCAACAGATGCTCCAAGTCCTCCATCGCTTAGCATGAATCTGCTATGATGGCCATTCACCTTGCCTTATTCCCTAGCCTTCGCCTAGTTAATCCCTGCCTGTATCTGCATCTGACTTCCGTTGTTCTGCGCGTTCATTGGACAAGGCACGTCACGGCGCTGGTTTTAAGCGCCGGGGTTCAGTGATGCAGGAACAGGCACAGCAAAAGGGAAATGGGACCGGAGCAAGGCTCAAGAGAATATATAACCCATGAGATGCAGCGACCGATCAAATGCTGTGAAGATCATAACTTAGGTTCATCGATCATTTCGAATTTTATCTACGCCTCCTTTGCTCAAGACAGCCGAAAGCCATACCAGTGGCTAGATCTCGGAATAGGGAGTTACTGGATATTATGAGAGGAAAGTGGATTTTGAGAATCCTTCCAGCTTGAGATCTACTTAATTTTTGCCTCATTTATTCTCTCTACTGCTGCATCTCGACTGGACTCCCACGATCTGATCTAGTTTGGCGGGATGAACCGGCTTCCGAATGGCAGCGGCCGGAGTCGCCTTCGCGGTGGCATTGAGATGTCACATATGCCCTGGCAGGTACAGGAGCAGGAGAGGTCCAGAGTGCCTCCGCTAGCGAGGATGTTGATGTCCGGCGAGATGAGCGGAGACCCGCCGAGGAGTTTGAATATGAAGGAGAAGTTTGATAGATGGTATGCACTATAAAACCCGACGCCTTGCGTATACGAGCTAACCCTAACCGCTACAGGATGGTGAATGACGGATGGAGGAGGCTGTATGTTCTCCATTCCGTACTCTTACAATGTATATGGCTAATTCAAGGACAGATTCGTCGTCATCTTTGCCCTGGTACACGTTCTACTATTTGTACTTGGTATGCTGAATTATGGTCTAAAGGTATTTTTTGTCTCTACTCGGGCCAAAAGTTGTGTTTTATTGACATCAAATGCAGGATAATCTCAGCAAGGCTAGAGGATTGCTCGGGTCCAGCTACCCCATTGCCAGGGCGGCTGCATTAGTCCTTCACTTCGACGTTGCTGTCATTTTATTTCGTATATCTGCCCGATGAACCACTCAGGATATCCTTGGTAGCTAACAGGACTATAGCTGTCTCTCGTAACCTTATTTCCCTTTTGAGGAGAACCCCCTTGAACGGAATTATCCCGTTTGGTACGCTCACACTCATATCCATTTTAACCCAATATATACTGACAATCTATACAGATAAGAGCATATCATTCCACCAGAGTACGTCCATTGCCTCTATATTTAGTGCCCACAACTAACATATACATAGTAACGGCATGGTCCATCGTCTTCTTCTCTATACTCCACACCGTCGCTCATTGGGTCAATTTCGCCCGAATCGCAGCCGCCCAGGGCCTAGGAGCAACAGGCTTCTTTCAACTCAATTTCACCACCGGCCCTGGCTGGTCTGGGTATGTCATGCTGATATCCCTGATAGCAATTGCGGTGACATCCCTTGAAGGCCCGCGAAGAGCCAACCACGAGCGTTTCTGGAACACGCATCATCTGTTTATCATCTTTTTCATCTTCTGGTCATTCCACGGAGCGTTCTGCATGATCAAATCGGACCTACCGCCATTTTGCGATGGGATAGGGGTATTTTATCTCTACTGGGTATTTGGTGGGGCTGTATATTTACTAGAACGCCTCATGCGCGAGGTTCGCGGCAAGCACAGGACCACTATTACGAAGGTCGTACAGCATCCAAGCAATGTCTTTGAGATCCAGCTTCGAAAGGAGAAGACAAAGATGAAGCCAGGACAGGTACGGCGTCTCTTGCTTTATTTTTATCTTACGCATTACTATGCTCACCAAAGAATAGTACATACTGATATGCTGTCCTGTGGTGTCAATATGGCAATACCACCCATTTACTCTCACCAGCGCCCCTGAAGAGGACCACATCTCGGTCCACATACGCTGTGTTGGCAACTTCACCAAGGACCTCGCCAAAGCTGTCGGGTGTGACTTTGACCAGAAGGAGCCGCGAGTGAGCACGCCCTTCTACGAGCAACGCAACAAACGCGAGTCGACCGTGATCGGCGTCGATGCCAATACTACAGAGCCAGACATCGACCCGAGACTGCGCCGTATACTACCGCGCATATTCATCGACGGCCCCTTCGGCAGTGCATCCGAGGACGTGTTCAAATTCGAAGTAGCTGTGCTGGTCGGTGCCGGGATCGGCGTCACGCCCTTTGCTTCGATCCTGAAGAGTATCTGGTATCGAATGAACCAGCCTCAGAACAAGACACGGTTGAAGAAGGTGTATTTCTTCTGGGTCTGTCGGGACTTTGGCTCGTTTGAATGGTTTAGCTCGCTGTTACTCGCTATAGAAGCACAGGATAAGTATAGTAACATCGAGATCCACACGGTATGTCTTATTCTCTATTGAAAGAAGGATTCATGTCTTATCCCCCCCATTGAAGAAAGGGATCCTTACTGACGTGCTCTCAGTATCTGACGGCCAAGATCCAAGCTGACGATGCAACGAACATAATGATCAACGACGTCGACGCTGACCGGGACGCCATCACCGGCCTCCGTGCCCCGACGAACTTTGGCAGGCCAAACTGGGACATGGTGTTTCGGTCTATTCGAAAGATCCATACTCCGGCAGAGGCAGGCGTGTTCTTCTGTGGTCCCAAGGCCCTCGGAAGCGTGCTGCATGTCAAGTGCAACATGTACTCTGAGCCTGGCTTTAATTTTGTCTGGGGCGAGGAGAATTTCTAATCTGAGTCTGCACATAACACTGTAACCTACATCTCAGCAATATCAAGTCACTGTAACTTTCCATATGGTCAGCAATCTAATATTGTCCACGGTCTGCCTTGTCTGACCATCTGCCTTTCCTGCATAACAAACAAAATGACCGTCCTACCATCCTCCCCCGCGCGATATCTCGTCTCCCAATGTTTTCGTGTTTTCTCAATGCATCTATACACGTGGTGCTCTCCGGAGGTCTGGCGGAACGGCCGACAAGGGGGTAATATGAGAGAAGGAGAAGAGCCGCCCGGTTATCTCGCCTCTTCTCGCTTCATCTTTGCAGGACGACCGCACCGTCCGGTGACCACTAAGGATGACTTCTCCGGTTCGCCGCGCCTCCGCACTATATTACATATAGCGATCTGTGCATGTTCATTGCATAGCCGTCGCCGTACCTAGTCGAGAGGTGACTGGCTAGGAGCCCTGCCAGCCTTGCTCATTACCAATCCCAGCGTCTAGATCAGTTATATACAGTCTCTATCGAGCATGGGAAAACACTCTGTAACCGCCTCACGCCCTGGACGCCTGCGAGCCGTCCAACACCATACCTAGCGAGCACGTAAATCTATGCTAGGATCAGACAGCCATGAAGACCCCTCGTTTTCTCTATGTCTGGCAGGTTTTGACTAAGGGACAGTTCGGCCTCGGTGGCTGGAAGACGTATGGAAGAACCCAATCCAAGTACAACCCCGTACCCGTATACTGACCTGTGATCATTGGCAGGACGGGAGACAGCGTCAGGCCTGAAGGTGTCGACGTCTCGTGTTAAGTTTGCGGCCTTTTTCGTCTTGCAGGGCGACCAGGTGGTCGGTGGCTTAGCTATTACTACTACAAGGCTGCCCGATAAGTTGGAGTCCTGATGATGCTACGGCTGCCTGTAGGTTTAATGCCTTCGAGCATGGTGTACGATGGAGGCTCCGGATGATGTCTAGAGGCTGAATATCCGGAGCCAGAGCCTCAAGAGATATCTTAACCAGGAAACGGTCAGCTATTACACCTTATTGCTTTACTTTATCTACGGCCTAATTTTCGGTTGTGGTTTGCAAAAATCATTGCTAAATGCTACCACACAAGCCCCTGTATTAGTGTATACGACAGTGATACCCTATCACAGCAAGGGCTCCTTTACATGAATTACTAACACTCTTCTACCTCTATCTTACCCCCTCTCTTTACTTCTACCTCTATCTCTTTACCTCTACGGAGTACCTCTATCTCTATATATCAATTTATCTCTATCTCTCTCTCTCTATATATAACTATAACTATATAGTCTCTATCTACGGCCTTCTATATGGAGGGTAAGAGTACAGTACAATGTGTATGACCAAGATTAAAATAAAGCAACTTTTTGCAACTGTTTGCAACATGCCTTATTGGACAGCTTGTCTCTACTTTAAATACTTTATCCATGGCAAGGCATCCGCGAACCAGCTTGGCCTTAACCCTGCGAAACCTCAACTTCAAAGATTTATAGAGACGTATATATAAAGGGACTGGACATCCAGGACTTTATCAGGTAAATAACATTCGAATGCGCTCTGGCTCTGGCTCTGGTCGGCCGGATAGCTGGTTGTCGCCCGTATCATGCTCGTAGACAACGGCCAGCGCGATACAGCTGCTCTCCAGGCCGCTGCACAGGAAAAGGAGCTCCGTCTGCCGTCATGGGCCAGCTTCGATCCAATTGACCAGTATGCGCCCTCCGATGCTGCTGCTGATGCCAGTGTCAACCGGCTAATCCGACACATAGATCCCTTTCCTCGTCGCCGGGCTCGTCGCCGCACTCGCCGGTGCCCTCGCCGACAGCGTCAGTCTCCCCCTGTCCATCCAGCAGAGACGGCTCCCAGTATCAATATCAGTATCAGTATCAGTCTCATGTCCATGTTCAGTCCCTGGATACGGCCGCTCTGCAGAATCTGAACATCCGCGAGCGAGAACGCACGCCCAAGACCAGACGGTACCACCAGACGACTGCCACGACGACGACGACGACGCCAAAGAAACGCCCAGCGTCCCAGCGAGATGACGACCAGCTCGGGGCCGGTCTGCCGTCGAAACGGTGCTCGCACTCGCAAAAGATCGAGCGCGGAGGCGTCGTCTTTCAAGCCAGGCCCAAGGCTGACTCTCCGACGGCAGATGTTCACGTTCATAACGACAACAACGACGACGACGCGCCGCACAGCATGCCATGTACGCTCGATCTCGTCCTGCAGCCAGAGACCAGGCAGATCACCGAGGACCAACTAATAGTGGAAGTCCAAGGCATATACTCCGGACTAGTAATGGTGGAAAAGAAGTGTGTGGAAATCGACATGCAGCAGCTTAACAGTCGCTCTGAATTAAGTAACGACCAGTGGGAGGCCCTGATAGCTATTCACCGCACTCTACTTCACGAACACCATGACTTCTTCCTCGCATCGCAGCATCCCTCTGCTACTAAGCGGCTCAGGAAGCTGGCCGCTGAGTACGGGATGCCGGCCAGGATGTGGCGGCATGGAGTGCACTCGTTTCTGGAGCTGCTGCGGCATCGACTCCCCGGTTCGTTGGAACATATGGTCTCCTTCATCTACATCTCCTACTCTATGATGACGCTCTTGCTCGAGAGTGTGCCTGTCTTTGTCCATATCTGGATCGAATGTCTAGGTGACTTGGCCAGATATCGGATGGCAGTAGAGGAGACTGATCCGCAGGAGAGGGAGAACTGGGCGGAGGTGGCCAGATACTGGTACAGAATGGCTGCAGACAAGGGGCCTACTATCGGCCGCATACAGCATCATTCTGCAGTTCTAGCGAGACCGCACATTCTCTCTCAGTTGTTCTACTATACCAAGTCCCTGGTATGCGTGGAGCCCTTTGCCAATTCGCGGGAGAGTATCTTGCTGCTCTATAACCCTCTGTTAGAGGAGCAGCAGCAGCAGCAGCAGCAGCAGTCAAAGCCACGCCATCCAGTTGTCCTTGCGTCATTCGTTAAAGCGCATGGCATCATGTTCAAGAAAGAGTCCGTCCTGTCCTTCTTCCAGCAGTCTCTGGACTTCTTCTCCGCCCTGCCACAGCATATCGGCCGGGTAGGGGAGAAGTTCCGAGAACAGGGCGTCCATATATCATGCACCAACGTTGCGACTCTCTTTATTAATGATATCCCTGCACCGGGTATACTGACAGCCTCGTATGCCACCGCTCTGATCCAACCGGTTGAGTCCAGGATAGCTTCTGCCCGAACCTACTGGAGCCGCTGCACTCGTTCCCCCACTCCCAGTTCCATGCTCGATACCATCCCTCGCTCGTTTGATACCAAATTTAACAACACCCTCAGTCCTTTCCACCATACAGCCTGCCTGTCCATGCATACGTTATCTCTCTTACTACGTCAGATCGGTGATAAAAACGTCCTTCCAGCAGTCCACGTCTCTCTAGCGTTCTTATATACGTTATCTCTTACCCCAGAGGCCATGCATGTCTTTGAGCCACTCATTCCTTTCCGCGATCTAGTTATCTTTCTTAATACCCTGAATCGACAGCGTGTAAGTGAATCTAAACTGGCAAGTGACGACTTCCCGCTTCCGGAATGTCGGGATCTGGGCGTCACTTATCATCTGCCTGAAGACTTTGACCTAAGGGGACTAGACTGGACGAGACTCTACTTCCCAGATGGACATTTCGTGGACAAGGAGCTCGCGGAGGACGAGGAACGACTGCTGGAAGTGCCCAGTACCACCCTCGTGAGGGCTGAGAGGTGTTTGTGGCTTGGATGCAGGCTCGCTTCTGTATGCATCACCCCCTTTTTCAGCATTCTGCCTTTTCTCTTTTCTCGATTCTCGTTTCTTCTTTTCATGACGCGGCACTAATACGGATAGATGGATCGATGGTTCACGTACGACCCGGCCCTGCGCAGGTTCGAAGTCAAAGACCTCGTACTACAGCTTGAGCGTTGCTCAGAGCGAGTTACCTTCTTCAGGAATGCCGCGGAGGTCCTTGCTGGAATGGAGCCATCAGCGCATACGCCCGACTCGACTTCTAGTCTAGAAGTGAGAGATCCTCCAAAAGTACCAGACAGGTGAAACCGTACACCATACAGCCATACAGCCATACAATCATACAAATCATACTGATCAACGCAGTATGATGTAACAAATGTGCTTACCTGGTTTGCGGGGTTATCTCTTTTGTCTTGCATTATGTTATTGCTCTTTTGTTTTTACTATGTCATTGCTCTATTTGTTTAGCATTGCTGTATTTGTTGCAGGTTAGAACTATTTGCTAAACGGCGTTTATGGTATCGGTTTATTCAGTTTTTTGCAATTGATGTTTAATGATGATGATGATGTATGTTGTGCCGCCAGTCTATCTCAGACCTCCACGGCTTTTCTCTCTTTCTCTCTTTCTCTCTCCTTCTCTCTTTTCGTTTCTTCTTTCCTTCATTACGTTTTCATTATGCTACCTGGCATGTCCGGCGGTGTCCTTATCAAGAGTGTATATAGGATCCTGGCTAATAGATAGTATACCAGGTCCAATGACGAACGTACCGACCATCCACGAAGGAATTGACCTTGCATGAGAATACACCGACGTCGTACTCCGTACTCCGTACTCTGTATTATCTCCCCGATCAGCTGCAGCTCTGGTGCCTGCCTGCCTGACCGCCTCGCCCGTGCATGTTCCCAGCAACCCGTCTACCCATTCCTCCTTCGCCAGACGCTGCATCCAGGGCTTTTGGATGTGCAAAGCATAGGTTTCTTTTTTCTCTATCCATCTGACCTGTAGCGTCGCCACGGGCTACATATACATCGATACCCAGGGCGACTTCAGTACGGCTGAGATAGGTGGCGGACCTGTCGACATCCATGTTTCTGTGCCTACTGGTGTCGATGCAAGATGTCTGGATGTCCTGTTTTGCCACGACTGCCTCGAATCTTATAAACTGGGATTCTGAGACCAGCTTGCATGATCCATCGTTGCATGTACCGGGCATCGGAGCATACGGACCAAGGCTGCAGGATAGAGCTGGAAGGGCGCAGTTGTCCGACATCTACAACACGCGACAAGGTACTCCGTAATATCATGCTGACGTCGCGGAGGAGGCCGGTTCCCTGCGAATAACGGGCCGTATAATGCGTTGATCATCAATGCACCAGCCACCAACCAGCTGCACGACGGACGCTGACTTCGCTATTCGTTGGACCGTCGCTAACTGGAGTTGGCCGCCTGTTGGCGGCATCCATCGTGCTTCCGTCCGTATTCTTAGCGCGTAATTCCCAGGATGGCCACCTTCTCAAGATCGGCGGTATGAGATAGCCACTTTTCAACTACTAACCTGATGGAGGAGGTTCCCCCATCATTGAGGTATACACTCAGTTTTATATCGTAAATCCCAGGGTAATAATAAATACGGATATACGCCTATTGGATATTTATTATTGGCTTTGGATTTACAATACAAAACTGAGTGTATAACTCAAGAACGGGGGAACATCCTCCATCAGGTTAGCTATCTCATACCACCGGGCCGAAAAAAGTGCCATCCGAAGAATTACGCGGTATTCTTAGTCTACGGAGTACACTACACTTAGCTAAAAGAAGTATGAGCATCCGTAAGGAGATAAAAAGAAAAGAGGAACTCCATAAGAAGTAAGAGAAAAGAAGAAGAAGAGCTGGTAATAAGTAAAAAGAGCAAAAAGAACTCCCTGACGGGGAATCGAACCCCGGTCTCCCGCGCTTGTTATCCTCTTATTGAGAAATGACAAGCGGAAATCATGACCACTAGACCATCAAGGACTGTTTGATGTAGGGCCGAGGGCGGTTTGGCATGAAGAGACACCGACACACTCTCGGTATAAGTTATCTCGAGAAAGACTCTGTAGACACAAACATAGAGAAAGAGAGAGACAGAGAGATGCGCGAGTTGGGCCATCTTGCAAACTCCCTGGCCACGCCGGCACAGCTCGAGCACTCCTCGTCGTCGCTGGACGGCGTCCCGGCTGATCTCGAGAGGTCGGTTCGGTATGCGGGCGTGAAGCTGACACAGGCGGCCGGCGTGCTGCTTCAGCTTCCCCAGGACGTCGTCGCGCAGGCCATAGTCGTCTTTACCAGGTTCTGGGTCGGGCCTGAAGGTGGCAGTCTGGCAGCTTATTCAGTCAAAGTTGGTATATCCTTGTTGAAACTCGAGTGTGCAGATACTAACTGCGGTCTAGGATGTGTCTGCGGCAGCTCTCTACATGACGGCGAAGCTCTCGTTCTCTCCCGTCTCGCCGCGCTCGGTTCTAAACGTGTACACCTACCTGCTCTCCCCCAGTGCCTCGCCGTTGTCCTTTGTCAATCCGGATGGGACGCCCGAACGCCCGAGCCCGGAGTCCTTCTACCTGTCCGAGGGAGCATACCAGATCGAACGACAGAACCTGATGAAGGTCGAGTCGGCCGTCCTGCGTACCTCTTCCTTTCACACCAGGGTCGTCCTGCCGCATACCATCGCCCTGACGTATCTGCAGACACTCAAAGTCGCCTCTCCGTCCGTGGCATCGCGCACTTTCGCACATCTCAACGCCGCCTTGTTCTCGCCTCAGCTGCTGTATCTCACTCACCAGCCGAATGCGCTGGCTGTCTCTGCCATCTATCTTGCAGCCAGGGAGGAAGGGGTCAAGATAGTCGACAGTGAGTGGTGGGAGGTGTTTGACGTTGACCGGGAAGAGCTTGGGTTTCTCGTCGTTGCGATGAGGAGTATGGAAGGGTTTGCCAGACATGAACAGGATGGCTGGCAGGGGAAAGCTGTTCCTCTGAGTATCGGTGGCATCGAGAGGGAGATGTCTCTCCGTCAGCATGCAAATTCTCAAGAGTGATGTACGATCCCGACCAAACTACCTGATCGAGACTCAGATAGGTCAGTCTACATCATATCTACATGCTACGCGGAGATCTAGGCTGTGCCAGCAGTCTTCCAAGAGTCATGTACAATAGAACATATCTATAGTAATGACATCTACAGTAATGACATCTATAGTAATGACATCTACAGTAATGACATCTACAGTAATGACATCTACAGTAATGACATCTATAACGATCCGTAGACTGTTGATATGATGCCAAGCACGTGAACGTCATAGAGATCATCCCACCCCGTCAGCGGTTTCCAGGCACCACGACATCGATATCAACGAAGGACAAGGAACAGTCGCAACAGACTCAGACATCCTTACCCTTGACCGACTGCGCAGACACACACGCATACACTCAAGATGAACGTCCTTCGCTCCAGACTGAACGATATCCGCGACCGCCTTGCGCCCATCTCGTACGTCTCGACCTTCCGAAATACAGGACAGGTTACCCCCGAAGAATTCGTGCTTGCAGGCGACTACCTGGTCTACAAGTTCCCTACCTGGTCATGGTCCGGGGCGTCCTCGCCGTCAAAGCGTGTCTCGTATCTACCGGAGGGCAAACAGTTCTTGGTTACACGCGGGGTACCTTGTAATCGACGGCTGGATGAGAACTTCGCGGGCAGCGCGGGGAAGGGCGCAGATGTTATGGTGCAGGATGGACTGAAGGGGTCAGGTTCCGGCGGGGACGACGATGATGGGTGGTTGAACGCCGGCGGTGATGAGGGACAGGCTGACGTTAAGGATGTGAGGACCGTCGATGAGTCTGGGAATATGGGCGAGAAGGAAGACGAAGAAGACGAGGAGATTCCTGATATGGATGATGAAGAGGATGATGCGGAGGCCATCATTCGAGAACCAGCTCCAAAGGGGGGGAAGAATGCGTGAGTTAGCTGGCTTTCTATACATTTTTGTCCATCCACTGACATCGACGTGCTAGGCCGCTGCGTACCTATTCTCTCTACATAACATATACACCATACTACAAGACCCCTCGCCTATATCTTTCCGGCTACGTCGCCGTATCGGAACCGCTGCCTCCCCAGCTGATGATGGAAGATATAGTAGGCGACTACAAGGACAAGACCGTCACCCTGGAGGACTTCCCCTTTTTCGAAGGCGGCGTGAAGATGGCCAGCGTCCACCCGTGCAAACACGCCAGTGTGATGAAAGTTCTCCTCGACCGGGCCGACGCAGCGCTGAAGATTCGACGCGAGAAACAGTCAAAACGCTCCAAGAGCAGCGGAGACAAGGGGAAGGTTGAGGCAGGACTCGAGGGACTTATCGACGACACGGAGACGAGACTAAAGATCTCTGACGACAAGCCAAAGTCTGGCAGTAGTAGTGGCGGCGATGAGTGGGAGATGTTGCAGCATGAAGAAGACGACGAGGATGATCAGCAAGTTGCTATCCGGGTTGACCAGTATCTGGTTGTTTTCCTAAAGTTCATTGCAAGCGTTACCCCGGGCATCGAGCATGATTTTACCATGGGAGTTTAGATATGCTTCTTTCCTACTTTCTTTCTTTTTTAGGGGCAAGCAGACATCCGTTGGGCAGTTGACCTCTAATAGTCAAGCTTCTCCTGATATTAGCATTATCCAGTCTTCTATGTATTTCCTATTCTTCCGTGGGTTGGAGTTTGGGTTAAACCGCGGAACACGTACAATGTCAGATGATGATCTATCCCTCGTCTTATCTAGATTCCCTGATGATACTATGTTAGACGGCTCATTGGGAGTACTAGTTCTAGATTCCATTGGTTCTCTCGAACACTCGACTCTTCTCAAACCAGGACCTCATCCCGCGATACTCTCCACCATGCGCTTTGGCCCTTTAAAAAAAGAAGTAAAGACACCCGATCTTGCACATCATTTCTGTCCCGCGATGTGTCAATTCGCTGAACGGGAGAGCTTGATTAGATCCCTTTTTGTTTTTCGACCTGTTCGTTATACATGCCGCTTTAGGACGTTGCAGCAGGGGGGAGCTTAAATAGTGTATTTAAACGCGGACTCACCTAAGCATCCGTCGCAGGGATGGGATGCAAGGGATACGCTTATACTTAGCGAAGAGGCGGCGAGGAGCGATATACTTAACCGATTGAAGTCGTGGAATTATTGAGCTAACGGAAAGGTAAATGCGCCTCCAAGCAATATGATATGTACATTATTCGCCAATACCCAATTACCTTCCCATAGGTTTCCACCATGATAAATATCTGTCCTGTCCCGGTAAACTCCATATGCATAAAACCGCTGGAAGAATGGATATGAAAGACATAAACGAATACGTATGAACGCTCTCGCAGCGTGGAACATGATCAACATATCCAACCGAGGAAAAAAGAAAAGAAAAGAGAAAAAAATGGGGGGACAAGGGTATAGTGAAATAGTCGTGGGCTAAGTAGAGTGGAGGCCAAAAAGATGAAGCGGAAAGATATGTGCTAAGCAGAAGCTACTGAACGCTCGGATTGCAGTCATCCTATGTATTCGTGTGGTTGAGTTGAGCCGAAAGCGGTGCCAAAATTAGTGCTCTTTTTGAACCGGATCTCTGGCTCAGGCTCTGGTTGAGGGTTGGTTGTATCAGACAGGGCATCTGAATCTGATAGCGCGGGATTGGAGACCATTCTTTTGGCCTCCATCAAAAGCTTCTTGTCAAGTGCTTCGAGGAAGTCTAAATCCTGTTCCTCGTCGTTCTGTAGCATTAGTGGACCCGTTAGCTCGGGGTCTTCGTCCACGTCTGCAGTATAATTTGGATCGGGCGAGTCGACATCCGGGGTAAAGTTGGGCTGCTGGTCGCTGGGATTGTTCGTGGACTGTGTGTTTAGTTGGGGACGCTCCACTCCAGCGGGTGCGGTCTGGACGGTAGGTGCCCCTGCATCGCACCCATCATGTGTCTGGTGATGGGGCTGCGATTTGCTGGCTTCTGTTGTTGTGTCTGTAGCTTTGCTTCGGTGTGGCGGAGACGAGATATTTGATGAGAGTGGCGAGGTTAATTTGGCGGCGACATCTGGTGGTAGCCCTGTAGACTTGAGAGTGATCCCATCCAAAGTGCTGTCTACCAGTTCAACGGGGATGCCGATATGGTGTGTTCGGTCAACTGGCTGCGTTCTCGGAGAGAGGGCCTCGTCTAGGGATGGCGATCTGCCGGACATCTGAGGATCGTCGGACTGAAGAGATTGGTCATATACCCCGTCGACGAAGCTCCGTGTCGGCCTGCCTGTTGGTTTTGAGCCTTCCCATACTCGAAAATTACTCGGAGCCGGGTCTCCAACTTGCGTTATGGGCATCGCAGTGGACATGTTCACATGTGTGCGGGCGATATATTTCTCGAGACTGGCAATCCTCGACTTCAGTATCTCCCGCTCCTGACTCCACAGTTTGCGCTCGTCGCTAAACGAGGAGCGCTCGGATTCAAAACTGGCACGCTGGCTTTCGAGGGTAGCCCGTGATTGCTCGATATAGTCTTGCAGACTACTGTTATCCTCGGGCAGCGATGAGAGCGGGCGGGGGTAGGATACAGGAGACCGGGGATCCGGTGCAGCTAGGTTCATGGGTGGCCTAGCACCAGCGTCGTGGCGGAGTTGGCTATTAAAATAGCAAACAAGTGCTAGTTATCTCGAGACGGGCCGTCTGGGCTGGTAAAGGTTCAACGGTCCAAACGGTTTACCGGTCCAAGTCAAACGGGAGAACAAATGGATGGTGTCTGGTGTCGGACAAAATCTAGCGTTGAGACGCCCATATAAGCCAGATGAGATAGACTATCGGCTCCCGGCCTCCTAAGCGCGGTGGCTGATCGATGGCTTCAGGGCGTAGCGTGGAGGGTGAATCGCATGCCACCAAAGAATGTTTTTTAAAATGTCGAAGGATTAGCCGCGCCAACAACGGTATTGCAGCAGCCACAGACCAAAGGCACAGCGCAATTCCTCGTATCCAAGATCACCGGCAGCTCATAGTCTCGACTCGCCCGGTGTCCACGTATCCCAGCTCAAACGTCCATAGTATCGCGATTTGTCTAGGAAAAATAATCGTGAGGTTGAATTACACATCCGGACTTTTGTTTCTCCGTATACTCGTCACGTGCCTAAACACTCCGCAAGAAAAAGAGAAAAGGGGAATCTTTCAACCTCCAAGCTGTAACATATATATGTCACAGCATAAATATAAAGGATCTCACAGCATAAATGAGGTCCCACGACGGAAGATAATGCTTTGGCCAGCGATTCGACGCTATCAAGATACCCCCTGTCGGCTCGTTTTACGTTTACGTACTCGGAATATTGCGATCCAATGACTTGCATCGCGATCGTCGAGGACGCCACAGATATTGGCCACTCCACAAGCGGATCGCGCTATTAGGAGCCAGACATCGACCTGAGCCTTGTTTTTTTAGATTTTTTTTATGGCCCTTCGGTTACAGAGTAGCCTGCAGGGGGGAAACGAATGAATTTCGATATGGACGAGAGCAAGGCGCTGATGTCATGGAAGGCTGGCAACACGTGATGAGACAGCGCATTTCACACGGAGGGTGGCGCCCGTCTACATATCAAGGTGCAGACACCCGCACGGCTAGGCATCTTCAGGGCGTCTGTCACTCTTTGCGCTGGTTTTGGGCTAGCGGGTTGATGGCGGGAATCATGGCCTCCATGGCTTAACGACAATGACAGAGACTGATGACATTTACCGACAGCGAACTCCAGGCGCTTGCCATCACCGAGCGGGTGAGCTCGACGATATCTCTCATCGGCTGTATCTTCGTCATCGTTACCTTTCTATGCAGTGACCGCTTCAGGACGCCTGTCAACCGGTTGATATTCTATGCTACGTTGGGGAATATTCTAGGCATTGCCGCAACGCTGACCTCGCGTTCTGGGATCCTTGCTGGTACTGAGAGCAGTTTGTGTCAGTGGCAGGCTGTTTTCATTCAATGGTGCGTTGTATATCTTGGAGTGCTTCAAAGTACAGCCTTCTTACGTTATATGTGTACAGGTTCCACCCCGCGGACGCTCTCTGGGCATTTTGCATGGCATGCAATGTGTACCTAACGCTCTTCCACCGTTATAGCACAGCGGAGTTGAGGAAGCTGGAATGGAAATACTTTTGTGCTTGTTATACCCTTACGTTCATACCGGCGTTTGCTTTTCTTTTTATTGAGGATGAATCTAGGGGCAAGGTGTACGGAGGGGCAGTTGTGAGTATTTCTCGGAATAATAATGATAATGCGTCACGCTTTTACTGACCTTTAATTGCTCGATTCTAGCTTTGGTGCTGGGTTAGGCCGGAATGGTCGATTCTCCGCATTGCAGGCGTATATGGTCCCATTTGGTCGATAATCTTGCTTACTCTAGGCATCTATATATATAGTGCTAGATATATTCTCGCTAGCAGGAGAGAGATACAGCGTCTAGGCAGATTCGGTTTCTCCGTCACGCAGACTTCGGAGGCAGAATCACACCAATCGGCCAGTGCTTGGATGGCTGATATGTCTAGCCCGTTGGAACATGGCAACCATACAGGACTTCAACAGCAGGACGTCCAACAAGACACTCAGCAGGTGGGCCCGCAGCCATACCACTTGGATAACTTGCCAGAATACCACCCAGAAAACCAACGACAGCATCTTGGTGATGACCTCAGCCCAACCTATTTCCCACCATCTACCCCACGAGATACTACCCACGGTCCTGACTCCACAGGAATGACCGACGGAATCGATATTGAAGATGCGCCAGGGTACCCTGGCCTCCAAATAACGCCTAGCGGAAGACATACTTCACCTGGGGATACCTTCCGCAGGCGCAAGGCGTCATGGGAACGACAGAGCGCAGCATGGGCGTACTCGAAATTTGCGATTCTCTTCTTCATCTCTTTGCTCATCACATGGGTGAGTCGGCTCCATTTACCATACCAATTATCTTACTCTTTGAAAAAAAAAAAATTCTGACAAGTATATCATATAGCTACCAGCAACCATTAACCGTGTTTACGCATTCGCCCATCCGGAAGGTCCGAGCCGTGTCTTAACATATATCGCCGCCCTCGTCCTCCCCCTACAAGGGTTTTGGAACACTTTGGTCTATACCGCTGTGTCTACCTCAACTCTTGACTCATTGATAGCAGCATTCGAAGAAAACCCACGCCGCTTCTTGCAATTCCCTGGCTTCCGCCGTAGCCTGGGTCGGTTGTATAGTTTCATATCACGGCCCTTCCGACGTGAGACATGATCGGAAGAATACTGTATATACCCACTGGAGCAACGCAGTTTCTCATACTTCTGCTCCTTTTCTTTTATTTTATATCATGTCTTTCTCTGGAATATATAGAACCATTGGGCATTTTGGTGGGACTGGTTAGGAAACACATCGGGATCATAGCACATGGGGTTACGACTCAGTTAAAAACTAGGGCAACAGATAGCGACTTTCTATGGAATGCATGTTCTATTTGGTATACTTCACACTGCATCTCAAGCCATATCCCGTAACAGGATGAAGTGGGTTAAAAAAAAGTAAAATAGTAAATGATGTACAATATCCCACGGGTACTTACAGTCTAAAGGTATATACTCTTAATATGCCATCTTCTCAAGCTCCAGCCCGTGTATAAACGCCAAATCCCCATGCAGCTCTAAGTATAGCCAGGCCATAGGCCATCCCCAAACTATCCCAAACAACACTAAGCTTGCTACCAGAGACCTCTTTCCATCCGATGGGCACCTCTGCAACAGGAATGTTGGCAAACTCAGCCAACATGAGCATTTCAACATCAAAGATCCAGCCTTCTGAATGCATGTAGGGTATAATATATGGCAAACTTGCGCGAGAGAATAACTTGAAGCCACACTGCGTGTCGTGAATTCTAGCAGTTGCGGGAGGAGTAAGAAGTCGAAGCGCTAAGTGGAAAGAGTGCATTAAGAAATTTCGGAGTTTAGAGCGCTTCAACGATCAATGTTAGTTTATATTGTTATCAAATAATAGGGGTGACGCTGCTACATACCTTGACAACCACATCACTTCCTACAAGGTGCGCTCTTGACCCCACAGTCACGGCACGGCATTCTGAATCTTCTACCTTCTGACACGCCTCCACCAGTTTACCGAGATCGTTGAAATTGCTGGCCCCGTCTGCGTCTGCAAAGATGGCATATTGTCCTCGAACATGTCGCATGCCATGGGTCACTGCTCCTCCTTTACCCCTATTCTGTGTCAATTGAACAACGCGTATGCTGCCGGCTGGGATTTTCACGCCTTCCTTTGATTTCGGGGTCCACGGCCCTGCATGGCCCTTCGGATGGATTGAGAGCTGGTGGTCCTTGGCAAATCCTAAAGCTATGTCCACGGTTTTATCGGTAGAGCCATCTGAGACAATCAATATCTCCCAGCCAGACAATGTCGAGTTTGCAGATTTGGTAGGTAAGGATGCTCCTTTGCCATTCGCATTCTGTCGATGACGGGTATCCCCTCCCTGGTCGTCTGGCGATGACTGCAACCCCGTAGCTTTTAATTTCTCTGCTTGGTTGGAAGAACCCGACGTTCCGTATGTGCGTTCTAGAAAATCCACTGCCTCCTCCAACATGCCAGGAAGTCGATTCTCTTCATTATACGCCGGTATAACTACGGACATAAAAAGTGTTGGCTCCTCGAGATCCGAACGCTTGTACGCATTCAGCGTGACCTTATCTTGCCAACAGGGTAGCTGTTGTTCCTTTGTGATAGATCCATCTGCCGAAATAGCCTGGTATTTCTTTTCTTCAGGGAACGGGGCTCGCGGGGAGGGTGCTAGGATGAAGAGAAGGACGTATGCCTAGCGTAAACACCAGTCAGCCACACCATAGCTTCAATTCGACGCACGACAGACGAAACTTACCAAGCTGAGTAGTCCCAGAAAACAGGCGAAGAGGAGCCCCAGTAGCAGTGTCGGTGGAATTTTTCCGATGACGCCTATGCATTCTGTACAAAAGGTCCCTAGACCGAGCGTCGACATTGTGGTATAGGCGCTCTCCTAGCCAATTGACCAGAACTCGAGGAATGAAGTCAACAAAAATAGCAAATCAGGTCACCATCGAGTGATACAGCACAGAACTCAAAAACACCAACGAGTTATCCGGCAGCGTGGGTGGGTTTCGTTGGCGGACCTGCCACTGTGTCCTCTGGCTGTACGAACTGAGGACGCGACGTCAAGTTAGTTAAGCTCTTAATAAGCGCCCCTTCCCGCGTGTTAGCCGCGAAAGCTCCACTCTGCGCCGAAGACTTTATATTGTTGTTGTTTACATCCTGCATCGCCCTTCGCACTCGTCGTAGTTTGAAGATGGCCATTGGGGAGGCTAATTACGGTATGTCTCTTATCTCTCGGGCTCTTCCTGGCTAATACTATTAGGCTCGCGCGCCGCTGTGGCAACCGGCCTCGTGAAAGTATGCGTTAGCTTCGACGGTGCCACCAGTCAAAAGGTGACCAAGGCATATAGTTAAAGATGCCCTTGGCTTTGATGCACGCATTTGCCCGCAGTGGCGCACTGAACGGCGAGACTCGTCCATGAATATGATGCTGCAGAACGCGCTATCTATCACTATGGCAACGCCGTATTTTATCGATAAAAGGCTAGCAGGCTCCACAGGGGGATATCCCAGCAAGTCAAATTCGTCATCGTACGTCGCAGCGAGATTTGCTTTTTAGGAGCCGACAATTTTCCGACGTCTGTCTTTCTGGTTTCGTTTCTGTGGCAGCGCTTCACGCCTTCGCAATAACATAACCTCCAGGTCATATTCCTCAACTGGCATTATCTCAAAATAAACCAACTAGCGGAAATCTCAATATGAACTATTGGGCAGCTTAGTGAAGGCATGGATACGTGGAGCAAGCAGGCTGGCGAAACGACGCCCGAAATGTCGAGGAACCCATCGCCAGACCGACTGCAGCAACGCTTAAACAGAATCTTTGACGAATCAAGAACGAACAACAACCATATATCGAGAAGTCAGCAGGAATCAACACGATCTGCCCGCGCTGCCACATATTCGTCGCCATGCGAGGAGAAGGAGCGGTCCCTATCCAGCTCTCCCACGAAAACGATCAGGATGCGGCCTCACCAGGAGCGGTTTGACGGCTCGCCAAATAACATCCCCATACGGCACCGTCGATCCAGAACCGACCTCCCGGGGCTTGGGAATAGCCCGAACTTCTCCATCGATGGAAATAGAATGACCAGCCACTCGACTGACACGGACCCATCCAAGCTAGAGGACGTTGATCTGGGCGCCTCAACGGAGAAAGTCAGTGAGCCTAAATCCAACCGCACAAGTCGACTTTTCTCTGGGCTGTTTCAAGGCGAGTCATCCCCTATACGATTGGGCCTGATGTCTTCCCCACGCTCGGATAGGGGTACTGAAGACGGGATGCTGGAGGCCTCGCCTGCGATCGATCGATCTAGTCGCACATCATCGCCGTCACCTACAAAATTATCCAGAAACATGAATGTCCCCGCCTCACTGAGGCAGGTCGCTTCAGGGAACCCCTTCTCGTTTTTCACCTCAAAGCCCCAGCAGGGTCAAAAACAATCGCTTCCAGAGCCTGCAGATGACAAGTTTCTAAACCTTGATATTAAATCCGCACTATGTCCTCCGTCAGTTGCCGACCTACCGCCCGAAGAAGCCCTTCGTTCCTTTCAAGCTCACGCCGAAAATCTCGTGCGCGAATTCCAAGAAGCATACAAACTACGAACATTTGCGTTACACGGAGCAGTCGCGGAGAAAGATGCACAATCGGATGAGTTGGAAGATGCTCAGTCTCGAGTCGGGAATATCAAATCACAGCTCGATGGGATGGCAGCAAGGGTGTTTGAACAAGACAAAGCGTTAAAGGCTCTAACGGAGGAGCTTAAGGCCGAGAGGGAGAAATATTTGGAAGAAAGCAAGGCAAAGCAGCAGGCGGAGGATGTCGCAACCCCAACTCGGCAGTCTCAAGCGAGCCATTCAAAGCAGCAGTCCAGTGGGGGAACATTCACTAGCGATTCTGGCTTTGACTCTGGAGACGAGAGCGTTGCGGAGAGCGTGTTCTCGCGGGAAAACGACGACGGTTCGTCAGTCAACACTCGGCTCTCTACCGTATCTACTTCAACTCCATCTACGCCCTTGCCCCCGGCAACATCAGTGCCGTCTACAAGACCCAGCACCCCGAAGGCTGCCCAGGCTGCCCAGCCAGCCCAGCAACGAGAGACGGCATATGGAAGGGTTCTCAAGGGCATATCCTCGTCTGGAATCGGCTCCTCATTCAACGCTTTGACATCCTCGAGATTCAAATGCCCTGACTGCCGCGCAAATGGCTCGTCAGATGCTTCAACGGTGACTAGTATACTACGAGAGGAAAACAAGTATCTGAAGAAACGGATCGTCGAACTTGAGTATGCGGTTGAAGAATGTATTACGCTCGTTGGAGGTTAACTGTTAATGTTTGTTGACATAATTGATTGGCATAGCGGCCCCCCTTATACCTCGTTCCTATGTATTGAATCTCCGATATATGAATCTCATTTTGACGATTTAGGATGGAACGAAAGCTGGTCCTTGGATTTCACTTAATTAGATATAGATATAATTTGAATATCATTCCTGCCCCACGGCATCGTCGTGCTTTGTTATAATTGAAACTGCAACTAATCCGAAGTTGCCATACCGAACTCGTTCTGCACATCAATATGTCTCTCTCCGCGATTTTGAGCAATGAGTCCTATGAGTCCTTGCCCGATGTCCTTGATTTCATTATATTCGTGTAGAAGCCGAATATGTTCCTTGACAATGGCGTTTGCATCCAGCGGCACCTTCTGTATATCGGACAGGTCCCTGGAAGTTGGATAGCTAATGTCAGAGCCTATCTCGAAACAGGGCCATCGTGGATTGTACTTTAGCTTCTGCCTTGCTCTGGTGATAGCCAACTCCGTCTCAGCTATCTGTTGTCGAAGCTTGGGTATAGATGACTCCAGGGATAGCTTTGGGGTATGAGAGTTAATCAGGGTAACTCGTGCACTTTCAAGTAGACTTGAACTTGCCACGGACAATTTTCTTCGCCTGCTGGGGTGTGGGAGGCAGGTTTCCGCATGGGGTGTTGTATGAGACCGTCAAAGTCATTGTTGCTGGTCCTTCAACGGCTATCTCAAGCTTCGACTAGCGGTTCTTTGTTCAACTGTCATTGTTAGCTGGTTGTTTGCAGAGTGGCAAGGGTATTGGAGTGTTCACAGTAACAGTAGCAGTTCAAGCTATGTAAATGCTAAGCTCAAGGGTGTCTATAGCTGGACTGTGTTTGGTCAAGATGTCGTAGGTTCAGGAGATTTACAGCGATGACGGAGCTAACGTAAGCAGAAAGGAGAAACGCCAAAGGGCTGGCTTCTTCCCTCCATCCAGACTGAGTGATCGTCACCACAGTTTTATATATATTCCATTCCTGTTGCGAGATGCCCTGGGCTGTGTTTGCTCTCTTGTAGTCTTAGGGACTCATTTGCTAGCACAGATTATGGCCATTGTATATATATAGCTCGGCGACACATTATATATTCAGCCTCCCGGTCTCAGCACACGGTTCTGTCCTTCACGTCACAGCAGCCTAACCAGACCAGGTTCTGCTTTATCCGGTCTCCTACTGTCTCTACAACCGCCTGTGTTTGCAGATATTTCAGCCAGAAAAGATGAACAGTTTGGTGTCTGTGGCCTTGGGGTTGGCCCTCAGCCCTGTCATGGTGGTGGCCCATGGAGACCATCATAAGATAGAGGGTGGGAAAGTGATATCAGCAGATCCTCTGGTATGTCTTTTCCCCAAGTACTAAAGGCAGGAGGATGAATATCTGGGGGATGGTTTGCTAATTCTACGTTGATAGGATTCTACATTATGGATTCACATCCTGCTGATGACACTGGCCTTCGGACTCATCTTCCCAACCGGGATGGTTCTTGGTGTAAGTATCTGCGAATTCACCCCGGTTAAACGCGATGTTTTGACTGTTCTGACACTGCTTGACGTATCCAGATCATCCGGTCTCGATACCATGTCCCTGTCCAAGTCGTCGGTACCGCCGTGGCCATTGTCGCGTACTTCCTCGGTCATCTGCACAAGGGCCGCCAATTCGCTCCGAATATCCATGCCTCCTTCGCAACCTCGTTGATGCTCATGCTGGTACTCCAGGTCGTCTTGGGCGTGTACCTGAAACTCCACCTCGAAAAGGGATTCCACGGCCGAATTCGCAACTATGTGGTTGTAACCCACGGAGTCGTCGGGAAGATCATGCCGCTTGTGAGTTGGATTCAGATGATATTCGGAGGTATTACGGCTCTTGGGTTCTGCCGGGAGGACCACCTTGGTCAATGCCTTGCCCATTTTATTATGGGAAGCGCGTTCATCGCATATGGAATCCTTCTCACCATCTTACTTCTGGTCGGGCAATTCTGGCTGCGCCGAACCGGACGGAGTCAAGAATTCTTCGACTCGGCTGTCATCACTGCCTGGGGCTGCGTCAACACCTTTACCGAGCACCGTTGGGGATCAAATTGGAGTCATAGTGATATGCAGCACACAACCATGGGAGTCATTTGGTGGTGTGCCGGTCTGCTTGGAATGTGGCTGAGTAGGAAGCGAAATGGCCGACCAAAGAGAAATATCTTCCCAGGAGTAGTAATTCTCCTTACCGGATATGCCATGTCTTCTCACGCCCAGCATCTTATGCTCAGTACCATGATTCATTCAGTGTTTGGATACACTTTGATGGCTGCTGGTGCTGCAAGAATCATTGAGATATCCTTCATCCTCGAGGATCGTAGCACTCTCAGCCCAGATGGTTCCGATCCAAACAGCTTCCAGTATCTCACCCCATACGTAAGTTTACCCTCTCTACAACCAGGTTTTGATATCAGCTAAACTAATAACTCCTTAGCTTCTCCTTGCCTCTGGCTTCATTTTCATGGGCGCCACAGAAGAACAGATGCAACTATTATCCGATGCCGGAGTTGGCCATGTCGCGTATCTCCTCGTCCTTTACAGTCTGGCCTGCCTCCTATTCTTGTGTAAGTTTCTACAATTGCTTCAAGTACATTAAAGCTGCGACTGACCACCCCTCTTATATCAACAGTCGTGAACGTTCTTCTCCACATCTACGCAGTCCATGCCTGGCCAGAAAGTGCTGTCTATACTAGACATGCCCACAGTCATTTACCTGGTCGGTACCCCCACCATACCAGGGCACCAACTTCCTTCGGCTTGGATGGAGCACCTCCCTCCGCCGGCATGAATGGTAGCATTCCCACCCCTTCCCAAGCTCGAAATATTTGTGACGCCCAAGAATTTGAGCTCGAAGGATTAATCGGTGCCACTGACAAAGATCGTGACGAAGAGGATGCTCCTATTATCGGAGGAGCTGCCAAGTTTTAGGCCTTGCCACCAAACACTGGGGTTTTCTTTTACCACAACTGAAGTTGTGCTACCTTGGAACGTCATATTGTGGCCCCTAGTCAAAGCTAGGAGTTAATCTTCTTGATATGCATCCTGGTGAAAGCGAGCTCTAGGAAACAGTCCTCACTCCTACTTTCTGCAAGCCTGTTCCTTCAAGATTTCCTGGCTTCAAGCGGAGAGAGATGATGCTTGATTAAATGTCCATCTCTCTGGCTGGCGTTCACACTCTGATTCTTCTTGTATTTAACTGCTTTTGTTCTTCTTCCCCTCCTGTATTTTGCATGTCCATCTGTTTCATTAGGTCAATAACTAAAGGCAAGGGTTCAGGAGTTTAATTAGGCGATCAATTAATGGGAAAGCATTTAAAACTAGACAGACCCGTCATCCTCGCGATGCAAGCATTTGTTTCCAAGCATATCTACGAGAAAATTGTCTCGGGTCGTTCTTCTATCATAACTCGTGCGAGCGCTGTTCTATCCTACAGCCCGAGAACGTAATCCGTGTAAAACCTTTATAAACACCAACCCGACCCCAAAGGAAATAGAATCAAGAAAGAGATCACAGGCCATTAGTAGTATCTGGGAAGAATGGATGCAAAGAATAAACAGGCGCCACGCTCTTTTCCGAGTCAAAAATCAAAAAGTTCTGCAGGGGCTGCTCTCTTGCGCTCAACACGTTTATAGCATCCTGTGCCAGGCTGCCACCCAAGAAGGCAGCAACTGGGTTTATCTCGCTACCGACATTTTGAAGGAACGATCGTAGGAATGATGCCGTGAGTGTCGACGGGTCTAATTGGAGCTCCAGATGACGTTCATTCGCTAAGCGGGTGTAATTCTCTAGGTCCTGCCGCGAGAAGGATGGAGGGACGCCGTGTTGGCGTTCAAAGTCCCACAAGGCTCGGAGACAGGTCAGTAAGGGAGTGACTTGTTTTCGTTTCCGCGGTAGCCGCGTGAACTCTTCAGGGAGTGGTGAAGTGTTTGCCAATAATAAAGGCGTGTAGGATTCTCTCTTCGTAACCATCTCGATGACCTTGTCATTTTCAACCTTTGTGGTAACGCCCAATACCATCCGTGTTGGCGTCTCGTTTGTCTGCGGAGTTACGTTTGACTTTTCTCGCTCGATAACAAATGTGTGACTTATTAGGTCGGCAAAGATGAACCCATAAAAGCCGTGGACGCCGGCTACATAGGATGGACGATTTGCTACGCGGCATGCAGCATTTATCGTTGAGAAGGTTTCAAAATCTAGATCGGTTGCTATAACGAGATCGAACTGCTCGAAATACAGCGGGGGTTTCGACTTGATGCTTGATGTATCTGTATGGAGTTTGACTCTGGGATTCAATTGCTGTATCTGCGGCGCAGCTGCTTCAACCCTCTATATGTAGGCAAGAATGAAAGTTAGTGAGGGGTTCTGTCCGTTTGTCATGGTTTGACTAGATGCGTACGGGCTGGTTCAGGTTCTCTTCTGTAATGAGAAACTGGGCCCCGAGGTCTTCCTCTCGCACGATGCCATCGTCGACTACTGTGAGGCTTCCAATACCAGCGAGGACGAGGTTTTTGGCGATCTCGTTGCCCAGGGCCTTGAGCGTGACCAAGAGGATATTCGCATTGCGTATTCTTCAGACAAGATATTAGCGGCAGTCTTCAATGAACGGCTCAGTTCACCTTACCTCTCTTGGGCCTTGACACCCCAGAGCCGAATCTGTCTGTCGTAGAGTGCAATCTCATCTATCAATCATGTCATGTTAGACTGTACCAGAAGGACCACTTTATAAGACTAACCGGCACTGATCCCATTTTGCTGAGGAGCCATTGTAGCAGCGTTCTCCATCGGTAAAGCCATAGCAGCCATAGTAACCACAGCCTAGCAAGTAGTGAGATGTGAAGTCAAAGAGTGAGAGAGTAAGAAGTAAAGGCGAGAGTCAAGCTGGAGGTGAGAGAGAGCTCGGCTTATGTCATAAACTGATTATGTCATATATTATGTCATACCATCACGTGGCAAGCGGGTCCCTGAACCGTGCGTCTGCTTTAATTATGCGCTAGGCCTAAAGCATGCTAGCGTGACATCCGCGGGCCCGACTTTCTCCATCGCCGAAACGGGCGAGTTTCAACTTCAGATATACAACATCCACGACACAGCAGAAACAACCGCGGGCCGGCGTCACGATAGCATCACACACTGCAGCGTCTAGGGAGCGGGCTTGGCTTGCGTTCCCTCTTGGCTGTCGCTTGGAGGACCTGCGGCGAGGCACTTTTCGGCGGTTCCCGCGCGTTGGGAGACGAGAGATTTAGTGCGAGGGTAGCCCGCTTATCCCATTGTCCAGCGGCAACACACCCAGGGATACCATACATCCTGAACCATGGTGAACACCGTCCCCTCTCAGACTGTCCTTTCACTCCCGCTCTACGAAGTACACTCGATGTCCTATTCTACATTGTTAAACAGTTCCTTCATTTAGTCAAACAACGGCCAGTCGCCGCCATCCGTCGACCGAGACTCTGCACACGACGTGCCCAGTTTCCAGACCATCGCCGCTAGAATCCGGCAACTTCGAGACATAATCTCTGAGATGGACGAAGACCGAAGCTTTTTCCTTCACGCACTAGACCGCTCTCTCCAGGAATACAACACCGTTGACTCTACCGTCAACCCGCAGGCCATCACGAGCCCGCAAAGACAGTCTCCGCCGAGGCAGCCTCCACAGAGACAACCCCAGCAGAGACAGGAGTCTCTCGCCTCGCTGGCCTCGCTGCAGCGCGCAGAACAGCAGTTCCGGCAGGCGGTCGCCAGCATTGGAGGCGGAGAGACGCCGTCACGGCAACCGGAACGCCCCACGAGACCTCCCCCGTCTGACTCCATGTCAGACCACCGACAATCGAAACGGCGAAAGGTAGACGCCGACGATAGTCGAGAGGGCGCCAAGGGGTTCAGCTACAGCCATTATGGTCAGGTCTCATCAGTTCCGTTGGAGATGGAAGTCCATAGCTGCAAGGGAGCCAGTGCAGAGCCGGATCGCCGCGGTAACTCTCCAGAGCATATTTTGGTCAACGATGGCGCCGTTTACAGAGCACAGGGTGGTTGCTGCAATATCGTCCTGAAGCACCGTGGTGAAATTCCGTTCTCCTTAAAGAAGTTAATTATAAAGACTCCAAGGAGCGGGTGTCATGATGAAATGAAGTGAGTACCCCCTAACTAACGGTTTGGTCCGAGCATCCTATCTTAACATGATATAAAATATAGTGTTCGAGAAGGCACTGTGAGCATTTCCATGGTGTCAGACCCACGATTCCTTCGCACCGTTGCCAGCCATGCTTCGCAGTCCATTATCCCTTCCTCTCGTCGCTCTCATCGCCGGAACGAGCCCTCGCAAGCCTTTTCAGGCGCCATGGCACCACCCCTGAATGCTAGGAGAATAGAGTCTCCATCTTCAGCCCTTCGAGCACGCATTCAACGTGCACGCGCAACCCAACACCAAGATGCCCAGGTCGGCACCGAGCAAGAAGACAAATCAGACGATGAATCGACCCAACACGATGCCGCCCGTGATCAACTCTCCCTTTCTGACCCGGAGCCTTCAAACTCCCGCGACAGCTCTCCGAACAATGAAACCAGCGATAGCGAGAGCAGTGATGGTATTGCCGGTGTTGCTGAGGCCCTTGCACAGAATCTCGATAGCCGACAACGTCAACTTCTTGAGGCCTTGGGCGTTCGTGTCCCTTCACATATGCATTCTAGATCATCGCGGAATCGACCCTTATCTCCAACGACTGTATTTGCTCGTCCAGCTGCTGAAACACGGAACCAAGAGACAGATACTATGACGCCTATTGCGAGATTCTCTATCGAACACGAGAGAGCCGCCGTCCAAATAAGATTTAATCCCCCTGTGTATGTTCCATTCCCCTCGCTTACATTCCCTCCGCTACACGCTCCTTGTATAGTCTACACCTGCTAACAACGGATGATACATAGATCTGCACGATACATCCTTATTAAGATGTGGGCTCCGTTCAATCCAGGCCGCATGGATATCGAAAGTATCATTGCTCATGGCTTTGCTGGACCTCGATTCTTCCCCTCCCAAGAACCCCGATAGCGTACTCATTCCGTCACTCTCGGGAATGAACCAATGATTAGAGTTACTTCCAAGCGTTTAATTCATTTTATTGTCTGCGTCTTATTTAGAATGTTATTACTGCGTTGCATTTACGACACATCTTTCTGGCGCAAGGAGGTCATGGAGGGAGTTTCTTAAAGTGGAATATAGTTTTTGTCCCTTTCCCAGCCCCGGGCATCCTTTGTTGATGCGATTTTCTCAGTTTAACTATGCTAGATGACGCATATCTCTAGAGTACGTGATAATTATACCATTATAGAGCAGGCGAGTTATATCGAGAAAATCGTTATTTTTGTAGTACACCGCCCCCATTTAAGACTAGACATAATGTATTTAATACTGCTCATTCCTTTCCTTTACTCTTTCTCATTCCATATCTATTACTTCCATCTCGGTCGTCAAATTAAATCTGGTATCGGTAATTCGGGCTAAGATCTCCTAGGTCTCCGTCCTCCTGGTCAGGAGCCTGCGTCGAACCGCCTAGGGAATCCTTCTTCTTGTTGCGGCTCAGGATCAGCACCAGGTATAAGCAGGAAGACATGACCGCCACACAGAGGAAGGCAATAGAGATGCTATGACCGGGCTTGAACTGTGGAGCGTCCTTCTGGAGGAAGCTGTATGTTGCAATGATGCCACCGACTATGATAAAGTTAGCAGCGCCTACGTTATATATGTTATATATTTCAACGTACTGTTTCCGAATCCAATCTGCCAGCCTGTGCCAATAGCACGTCGTTTGTGACCACTTAAATTCATCGCATACCAACATATTATTATCGGCATGGCGCTGTATGTTCCGCAGGTAATAAGGAAGAGGGCGCCGTATTGGACGTTTCTGTTCGCGACGCCATGGACGGTGAGCAGGATGGAGAAACCAGCAATTGCTAGTGCGATGGGCAGAACAGCGAACGATACTCGGTGTCCTACTCGATCAGAGACGTAGGCAAGTGCCATAGCAAAGACGAATGCTACGGCCCATGGTGGAATGGAGTATAGTTGGGTTTGAATTGCTGAGAGTGCGTTAGCTTTCTTTTTGAGGGTGTAGGAAGGCGAGTAGACTTACGTCCATATCCGTAAGTCTTGATGATGGTAGGAGCAAAGTATGCGTAGCCTATACGACTGTCAGTTGATGGTTAACTAGGATAAAGATAAAGGAACATACTGTATGCTGGTACGATCATGCCCAAATACATGAATCCACCGACCAAGACCTTGGCTATGATAGGGTTAGTTGAGGCAGCCTAGACATGTAGGCGTTTGACTTACGATCAGAAACGATAGAAACAACGTCCTTGAAAGTGACCGACTTCTCGTGTCCGGCCTTTCCAACATCCTTCGCCAGCTTTGCCTTGATGAAGTCACGCTCCTCCTCGGTCAACCACTTTACATCCTCTGGGAAATCGGGCAGGATGAAGAACCAGATGATGGCAACGACGCAGGAGAACGCGCCTTCAATGATGAACAGCCATCTCCATCCGTGGTAGCCGCGTAGACCGTCCATTTTGCCAATGGCACTAGCAAGAAGGCCACCGAACGCGCCGGCGAGAGTCGTAGAGCTGAAGAAGAAGGAGAATCGCTTTTGGGCTTCGGATCGCTTATACCACATGCCCATCAGGTAGAAACCTATCATTTAACCCGTTAGTTTGCATTATCAACTCCAACTGCGCGAGATACGTACATCCTGGGAACATGCCGGTCTCTGCGAGACCGAGGAAGAAGCGAGCTGCCAGAATGCCTCCATAGTTTTTGGTGAATCCCTGTAGACAGGTAATGAGACCGAAGGCGAACATGCATAGAGCCACTGTCAATTGTATTAGCTGATGTCTCCGAGGCCGTGTCAGGGTCTACATACGCCATAGATGCGGCTTGAGCTTCTTGAGCAGCAAGTTTGACGGAATCTAGATGTTGTCTCGTTAGATCCAGCGCGCGGTTGAAGGTTGAAGCGGGAATCAGAATCCACCATACCTCGAACAAGACGTAAGGAATGAAGAAGATGGTCAAGGCAGTGTTATACTGAGTCCCCGAGACGATGCCCAGGTCTTCCTTGAGGTGAAAAATGACGGCGTTTCCGATATTGACTCTGCACGTAGCGAACGGTCAGTGCTCCAACTCTGCCGGCGCAAAAAGAAATATGCGATCGAGGAATCATACCTGTCCAAAAATGCGAGCAGGTAGAGGATGCTAAGCATTGGGAGGATGCGAAGATCGATCTTAGCCATCAGCCGGCGCTCTGTCGTGTTCTTGAGCTGGGGGAGGTCGCCGTCGCCATGCTGCTCGATCGAGCGGTCCGGAGACACATCTGCTTCTGCGCCGGTCAGTAATTGTCTCTATAATGTACGGAGTAGAAAGAGACGTACCTGATTTGATGCCCATGGTGACCTCTCTAGCTCCTGTGGTGTCTCGCCTGTGGTGTAGAGGATGCTGAGCAGGCTGGAGATGTGCGGACAACCAGTACTATATCCCCGAGGCGATGGAGCTGACGGTGGGTAACTTAGCAGGCGGGGACTTGATATCCCAGCCGCATGTCATATATAACAGAGTCGCAGGGCACCCCGGCTAAGGATGATATCGTCTTATATATGCGCAGGGAGGATGGGAAGATGGGCGTCGGTGGGACCTGGCGATGCGACGACGGAAACTCCCCGGCTTGTACAGTCGGCCTCTACTCCCGCAAAGAGGACTGACTATTGGCAAAGCCACCGGCTAATCTTATGTGTAGGGGGATGTCTCAATCCTCTCTTGTGCGATGCAATGCACCTCTCTCCGATCCCAGTCGCACGGCAAGAGATGTACATACAGCGCATCCTCATCCTGGTTGTCGGACGCCAGCATAAACGGGTGTCTCTCTCCACATGTTCTGGAAATGGAGAAGGGAAGCTGTTCGGCGTATATTCCATTGGCTCCTTGGTCTCCGCCATGCGACAGACTCTGATATCAGGTTCTACCGTCAAAAGTACCCGGAGGCATCTCGTATAGACGTCGCCATGCCTGTCGATACGGTAGGCCTGGTCTGCATACCTATAGGCATATAAGTCTACACGCCGGACGAACGGCCGGAAGTCCAAGCAGCTTAAAATACTATAAATGTCAGATTTAGGATATCGCCGACGATGCCGAAGGCAAACTAAGATCTAACTTTTACTCCGCGTGTTTGTCCCATGGATACGAACTTCCGAAGAGCTAAAAGTGGACTTCATCTTATATATCAGATATCATAATGTATCATAATGTATCAAACAGCAGCCTGGACGATGAGGACGCTCGCGTCTATGCCATAGGACTTGCCCGCCATGGCTTCTCCGAGCAGGCCGATCGCCTTCTTTGCCTCCTGGCCGAACTCTGGCGACGAAGAAGGCGGTGGTACAGAACCTGCTGCACCCAACGCCAGGCTGTTGCGTCCAACGACCACCAGGTTCCCGCTGCTGTTCTTGCATTGGCTGAGGTCGTGGATCGCTGTGTCGCGCGTAACAGCCAGGGCGGCGTTGGCCGGGCAGTCGACGGCCTGGAACACAACACGCGAGCTGAGTTCTGGCTGCACAGAGTCGCGGATCGACTTGTAGAACATCTCGTCCGCTGCCTTTTCCTGCTCGGAGAGAGTTAGTGTGTGTTGTTGCTGCTCAATTGGTGCAGCAGTGATGGCCATGTATACGATGGTAGCCGTGATGGACAGGTTGTTTGCAAGCTGGAGCACAAGGCGCAGAGCAAACTGGTCATCGGGACCACCAAAATAAGGTAGGAAGATGTGGTGTCCGGTTTCGGGCGAGGGCGTCATCGCCAGATCATTGGTGCGGTACGTGTTGTGTCCGCTGAACGTCCTGGATATCTGGCCTGGCTTTGGCTGGCTTAGGGCCGACCCTCCGAAGCCCTTGTTGATGAAGATGCCGACGTTGCTCTTGGAGTTCTTCAGGACGTTGAAGATGAACGAACTATGTGGGCCAGTGGAAAATTTCTCGCTGCTGTCGTCGATCAAGGGGATCTGCCTCTCGCTCATACCGCCTGTTTCACTCCAGGGGACCAAGACAAGGTCGGAAGAGCAGTCGCGGGCCTTGTTTACCAGGGTCTCTGCATAAGCGTGCTCGGGAGCGATGACAACACCGCCAGACACGGCTACTTTATACAGCTGGCCAAACGTTCTGAACGCGTTCAGGATCGGGTCGCTGTAGCTGTAATCGTGCACCTCTGACACTTTCATCACACTGGAATCACGATCCGTGAGCTCGACAAGGCGCAGAGCGTGGACCTCGATCGGTCTTCCTCTCCTGGTACTGCCTGGCCTCTCGGGCGACTCCTGGTCGTCGTGAGCATGGTGGGCGCGAGAGGCATCTGGATCCCGTCCGTCCCCAGCACCAAGCAACGATACGAAGGTGAAGATACTTGGCAGGCTGTCGAGCCTCAAGTATATCATCAGCTTGCGAACAGAGGTTCCTTGTGACTTTTGTCGGCCAATTTCTGACCCGCTGTTGGGGTCATGCTCGGAGTCGAGAACGTTTCCGTCCCAGTCGATTTCGCCCCGCCTCCAGCGCTCGACCTTGATCTGATACCATTGAGGGTACAGATAGCTCACGGCGGGTGTGGTGACAAACGTGGTGACAAGAGCCATGACGACGAAGATGGTGAATGTACGGGGACTCAGAATCTTCGCTTGCAATCCGATGTTCTACCCACGCTCTTCGTTAGCATCTGGCAACCATTATAAGAATAGGAATACGTACCAAGACGATGAGTTCGACCAAACCTTTGCAACTCATCAAAACACCGATCGTTAAGCTCTCCCTCCACAGCAGGCCATTTAGCCTCGACGCAACCATTCCACCCGTCACCTTCGCGATAAGAGCGATAAAGATGACCGCAAAGACATATCCCCACACAACCCCAGAATCCAGCAGTCCAATATTGGTATTGAGACCAGAAAGCGCAAAATACAACGGCAGGAAGAGAGCACCGATCACATCCTCAATCTTCTCGGTCAACTTGATCGCAAAGCCTCCGTCATGCGGGCAAATGATACCAATCATGAAACCGCCGAAAATGGCATGGACACCGATAATCTGGGTAAAGAATGCGGCTGAGAGGACAAGCAGTAAGGTGAGAGTGACGACCGACTGATCGGGCCCGTCATGGAGACTGCCGGTACGCCTCAGGTACCATAAGAAGACGGGTCGGATAACAAATATCAGAACCAGCGCAAAGCCGACGCAGGTGAGCAGCACCCACAGGGCCGTCAGACCAGTACTGGCATTGACCAGGGCAACGCAGAGTGCAAGGAGGACCCAGCCAACTACATCATTTCCAACTCCGGCAGAGAGAACGATGACTCCGACTCTGGTGCTGAGTAGTTCCAGCTCGGTCAGGATACGACATAGGACCGGGAATGCCTGTAACAAACTTATGGTTAATCTCATAGTAGTAGTACCAACAGTAGACAGACAGGAGCGTGCATACGGTAATAGCCATAGCAATGCCGATGAATAGCAAATAAGTCCCAAACCCGATGGGAGCCAGGCCAGGCTCTTCGCGGAACTGGTGATACAGGCCATATGCGATTGCACAACCCAGGCCGAACGGGAGGACCATGCCAGCTGCAGACACGCTGGCGGCAACTCTCCAGTTACTCATCAGCGATCTCAGGTCGGTCTCCACGCCTATCATGAATAGATATAGCACCAGGCCGAGATTGGCTACCAGGTTGAGATTGGGGAGGGACTCTGCTGGGAATATAGCTTCACGGAAGCCCGGAATGCGTCCCATCACAGACGGACCGAGCAGGATACCGCCGAGGACCTCTGAGATGACTCGTGGCTGTCGCATTCGCGATAGAGGGATGTGTATCAGCCGGCAGAAGATGATGATGAGGCCGGCCTACGTCATGGTTAGCTATACGCGCCGTCTTGAGCTCTCTAGGAGAAAAGTGTCAACTCTACCTGGATGATGAAGAGTACAAGTGGATTCTTGGGGTCATAGTGAACTGGATTCGCCTTGTCGAAGATTCCTCCCTGCGGCGATGCTCTGTGTGTAGATGTTGGAGATGGCACAGCTGCCGCCGCCACCAGAGCCGTCATCGTCGAAGCCATCACAGACGTCTTGATTCCCGTAATCTGTAGAGAGGAAGCAGATAGTAACCAGGTCTGGGAATATCTCCAGCTTTAAGCTGTTGGACAGCTCTTCGCTAACGTCTTGGGGCTATCTCAGCTGCCCGTGGTTCCCGCGTAAATATGCCTATCAAACGTCATGGACAGAGCAGCCTTGCCAGGGATGTACCGTGGCTCGTCTTGGACTCTGCTAGCAGTGCTTGTTATATCCTGCGGCGTCCGAAGAGACAAAGAGTTCCTCGCTGCCATCGCCGTTTAAACTGTCGCTTAACTCAGTGCAGCGCCATGTGGTTCACGTCACACCTGATACCCTCTACTGGCGTATCACAGCGGTCCAAGGACATGGTTCTTGGTTGAGGCTGTCCGTATATTCGCCGTCCTGGGCTTGCGGGGGCCTCATGGGTTCGTCTTTAGGTCGTCGGGGAACAGCCATGCACTTCCGATATCAGCGCGAGGATGTGAAACACACTTGAAAGAACGTTATCGTTGTATTAGCATCACTGCCTTCTTCGCCGCTCGGGTCTCGTAGCGCCTTGGTCTATCCGCAATACGAGCGGCCCTAGCACGAGTGCAGTAGCTGAAGCCGAAGACAGCTCAAGCTGCGGTGAAGATAGGCCATAGATATGGTTATGGATGGTCATGGGCAAGAGACTCGGCATGCCGATGGATGGTATCACGGCAGATCAGATGCTGTTTATAAGCTCTGTGTCTATCAACTGTGGCTTTGGTCGTGGAGCGTGATAGAGCTATCTCAGAAGGCATACGCGTACAGTTGATGATAGAAGTGCCGAGAGGGATGTTAGTATACTGGAGCGCTGTCTCAAAGATGAGTTGACCTGACTACTATAAACAAGATATAGGTTCAGTATGCTTCCCTGTTCCTGACCCTTCTATAGTACACTAAGCTCGATGCCTTAAAAAGCCATTGGAGTCATGTATATTACGGTCTAACATCTTTTGCTATGAAGAGTATAGCTAATATTTATTACTGGTAGAGATGGAGAATCTTACAGTTACTGGTTGAGATATGGTGTTGTGTATATATATGAAGGCTGGCGGGTATAATGGGTATTTGATTGTGTCGTTGACTATATAATGAGGAGACATAAGCTGCTATGAGCTGTCCGTCGCTTTACCCCATGCAGACTCAAAGTTGATTTCATCTTTGGCTTCAGTTACACCAACTTCGACGGGCGTTATAATATCCCTTGGTGTATCTACCCTTGGAGACGCCTTTTCAGCAGTAGTTGGAGAAACCACCACGAAAGAGCCTTCTACCGAGTCACCTAGTGATGGCGCCTCGAGTCCAAAGTTGCTGCTATAAACGACGGCAGCGAACGCTTCGAGCTCCCGTACCCCTTCTTCCATTGCGGAGAGGTACTCGTTTGGTGGATTGGTGCCCTGGCCGATGGTATGTGCCTGGCGAGAGACGACTGCTAGTATAGTCGCCAGCTTTACCTTGGGGTTGGGTGCCTGTGATTCGGAGGATGGGATGACGGTGGCAGAGGATGAGAACATGTTTGCGGCACTGGTGTCTGGTGCTTGGGTTGCGGGTACGGTTGGTGGTTTCTTGAAGGCGTCGATTGCGCATTTGTGGTCGATCAGGTATGAGAATGCCTCGTTGTTGAGGAGGGAGAGGATGTGGGTGAATTGCGGAGAGTCTACGAGGTCGGAGGTTTCGTCGAGCAGGTGTCGGAGGTTAGAGGCTGTTTGGGGAGAGGCTTCGTCTGAGGATAGGACTCCCGATTCGCGAAGGACGTAGTCTTCCTGTTCGGGCACTGGTAGTAGGTATGGAAGCCATTTCCTTACCCGTCTTTCCTCGGTTGTGGCGCCCTCGACTTTCTTGCGCACCTCGAGGGTCAATTCCGAAAGCCTCTCCTGCGTTATATCTTCGCGCGGGTTGAGTGGTCCAAAGACTTCGACGACGGCTTCCTCCACTTTCTCCATCAGATATTTCCATCCACGATGTAGAAGCCACCAGCTGAAGGTCAGGTATCGACGGTTCGTCTCGAAGTCGTTGCCAAACGCATTGTCGCCGTCATTCTCCTCCAGGCTTATTATGGCCGGGTTTGCCTGTGGAGAGGCGAGTGATATTACGCTGGAAAGGTAGTTTCGTCTTCCGAGGAGGTTGAGTTGGATGCGGGTGAGTAGTGTCAATAGGGAGAGGGTATATAGTAAGGTGAAAGACCTCGTTAGAGCTGTCAGAGATGGATATATGTTAGCATTCCGGCCTGTACACGTCCAACAGTGCTTGACTTACAGTTAACTTTCAGCTCGTTCCAAAGCTGCGTCCTGCTCTTCTTCCGGGGAGCATCGCCAGCAGCAGAGTCTCCCATCTGGCTGGTGTGCACGTATCCATGACTCCTGAGACTCGAGAGACTCCTCCCGTCATCGTCTATCGCGCTGGGAGGCTCCGAGCTTATCTCTGACCCGGCAACCTCTCCGGCGCTCAGCTGCTTGGCCAGTCTCTCTGCTCGCTTCTGCTGCAGCTCGTTCGTCAGCTCCTCGACCGGGAGAGCCGCAAGTATATTTTCCGTGGCCGTTGGGAGCAGCGCAAGCACGGTGAAGGTGCAGTCTGTCTGGTTCTGTTCGAATCGTCGCCGTAGACTTCATCGAGTATTAGCTATGCACTTTATGTCTTGTCAGGGATGGGTGCTCACTTCTCCCGCGCAACTCGCTCGCTGCTCATGCGCTCTCTGGCGTCTGATATCTTCCCTAGCACGTACTGGCCAGCCAGGTAGCCGACTCCGACGACTCCAGCCCCAATGGCGATGCCATTCCGGTGACGACGAAACCACTGCTTCGTTACGTTGATCATCTCGATGTCGTCCCAGAGCTAAAGGAGTAGCATTATCAGGTATATCACTGCACAATCAGCCAGACAACCACAGGTATATCTCTGCCCACGCGACCTGCTGCTTAAAAGAGAATAACAATATAGAAGAAGAGAGTATAGAAGAAGAAGATAATAAGAGAAGAGTAACTGTGATGCTTGTAGGATAATGCCATCGAGTTCAACCTCGGCTGCGGACCTGGCAGGTGACCTGGCGCATCTTTTATCGGGGTCACGGGCTCATCTCCGCATCAGGTCTAGTCGCCAAGCCATGTCGTGCAGGCCTATGTCGTCACTCCATCCCGTGACCCCGCTATCGCCCACTCGGCCGCCCCCGGCCTCTCCTTTCCCTCCTTTCCATACGTAAAAGAAAAGAAAAAAGTACACTAAGAAAGGAGCCAGATGGAAAACTCCGATCCCTTTAAATAGAGGGGCAAAAAAGGGAGCTGAAAGCTCGTTCTCTCCCCGCAGGCCATAACCATAACCATAACAACCCCCCGTACTCCGTAACCCGCCTGCGATCGTGATCCCCAACTGACGATGCTCCCTCCGCCGGCCGCGACATGGTGACTACGTCTCTGCCCATCGTCTAGACCGCAGAAGTAGAGCAGTGCGAGAGTTGAGAGTTGCCGGCACGCTCGCCTTCTATTGCGGTATCCCCAGCTGTGGTCCGGGTCCAGACGGCTGGCAGGTTTCAAGTAACATACAAAACACGATTTAACGCTGCGACCAAAACGAACCATGGATCTCCGCAAACCGCCAGAGCATATACTAGAGATCTTTGCGGATCGGGCGTCGGTCAAGGAGATCGTGAAGGGTACATATGCCCTTTTTCTTTACCTGCTGTGTTCGCTTTCCGGAGTGCGGCGGAACTGACTTGGCTGCAGGAATAATACATGCAATCTTCTTCCACCGCTACTTCCCCTGCGTCAGACCGGATTCCGTCGACGTTCTCGACCTGACGCTGCCGGTTATCGATGACCTGGAGGTTGAGACGCTGATTGATGCGCGGGTGAATGCGTTGATACAGCAGCATCTCTCGACAGCGTCGAACTCTGCGAATGGCGGGGTACGGGCTCGCATTGCCGTGCAGTTCTTCGAGAAGAAGCGGAAGAAGTCTGGTGCTTGGTTTACTGGGTTGACGGGTAATAATGAAGAGGAGGTGTGTTGGGAGATATGGACGCTGGATATTACCATTGCGACTCCGCGGACAGATTTAGGTGAGGATCTTTTGAAACGTTGCATTGTTTGGAATCATGTTTAACGGATGACTACAGACCGAGCCAAGGTGCGCAAGGCGATGGAGAAGATGCTGCACAAAGCCGCACTCAAGATCGTTGCGATTGCGAACAAGAACAAAGACCACATACCGCCGATTACGAGCGAGACGAACCCGTTCCCTTACCAGATTGTCCTGAACCCGAAGCTGGACAACTGGGGCAATCGGCTGGGCCTTTACTGAATTGAAGGTGAAGAGAGCCTTGCTTGACTGAGATTGCTATTCGTATTGCTGCTCCCATTTCGAGTTGCTTCTATTAAAAGAAAAATCAACCTTTAAAAAAAAGACAGTGGCAATCCGCGTCACTATACAACCAATTAAGCCAAGCCGCACTCCCACCTCCCCAAACTACCGGACCGAAGCGGGGGGAAAGGAACGTGGCGCGAGTCACGCAGAATTAGGATTATGCATTGCACGGCCACGCAACCTCCCCGCTAGGTAACGAAGAAAACAAATAACAATACTCTCAATACTCTCAAAGCGGGAGGGGAAGAATAAGGAACTGAAGCAATGCGCGGGAATAAAACAAAATTGTTTGGTTCGTTCGTTGTCGAGGACGCCGCAGCGAGACTCTTGTGACCATTAAAAAAATCCATCCGTGTCCATATTCATACCAAATGCGTCACCTCTTCGTCCTATTACGCGCATTCGGAGAGGTATTCGTGTCTCGTCAGATAAGAGAGGAAATCATGCACAGCTCAGAGCCAGCTGTAGATAGAGGAATTTTGATACATGATATCCGTCTCCATCTCTTCAATTAGGGGGGCGATCAGGACGAGTGCTCCTTGGCGGCCTGCTCAGCCTGGGCTCGGAGGTTGGCTGAGGTGGGTGCACTCTTGAAGTAGCGGGAGAACACGGGCTGGATGAAGGAGTGGAAGACGATTTGGGCACCACTGGCTCGCGGGTTAGCTGTTGGGCGCGCTTCCACGGGTCTTGCGGGGTGGCTGCTTACCTGGTCTGTGGGAGCGCCATCCAGAGGACGAGGAAGAACTTGAATAGATAGTAGAATGCTGCAGGGTCATGTTAGCTCTAGGCAACAGAAGAACATAGATCGCATGTACGTACGGAACCAGTAGGCGGCACTGATGGCGCTCTCAATAACGCTGAACAAAGCGAAGACAACCCAGTACTATATCATTATTTTCACGTGGTCAGCATCGATCACCTGGAAAGCTCGGTACACCATGGTGGGTCATCGGGCGAACTAACCGTCAACCACTATAAACAAAGAGTCAGCATGATCAATAGATAGTAGAACGGTAGAGCAGTACGGAGTAGACGGCGAGGGAGGGCATACCTGAGTGTCATCTGCCGTGGAGGATGTGAACAGAGCATTGAGGGAGTAGTACCCGGGGATGGCGAAACCAGCGAGGTTGACGAGGAAAGCTCCGGCGATGTTGAAGAAGATGAGGAAGACATAGATGCCCGCGAGGCCGAGGAAGGCGTATACTTTAGGCACGGAGGTCTGTCGCTCGAGGTTGTTGAGGACGGGGTACTTGGAGAGCTGCAGGCAGAAGTGGTCTGTTAGCATCGCATCCGTGGCGGGCTATTGATAAGACCAAGCTTGCGTACTTCCTTATCGATCTGAGCGATCTGGTGCTGCGCACGGTCTTGGAACGACATCTTGCGGATTCAGCGTATAGCACGTATCGGGGAGGCAGAGTATCAGTAGAAGACGACGGCGAGAGATGTAGAACGGGTGTAGATGAAGGCGAAGATGAAGTGATGGATATCAACATTTCAGGTTGTTTCGTCTTTCTGATTTCGGGCCTGTGTGCAGCTACTGTCACGTGATGCATTTGCACGTGCTTTGCCACTTCCCTGTTTAGGACGTTCTGCCGACTTCCACCGCCTATAACACGTGACCACTCTCTTACCACGTGACAACATATGCTCACGTGATAAAGACATACACGTGACGATGTCTTACACGTGACCATATTATCTCGTGACATGGTTACACGTGACCCTCGCTTAGTGGGCAGAAACAACAAAGGCGTTTCCCCATCAACAACATCTTGTTTACATCGAGAAGAAAGCGACATGCCAGGCAAAAGTCCCTTGCGCGACGACGCAGCACCAACAACCACTCAACGACAGCCCGCAACCAACGCCGTCTCGGATCTCGGGGCTCAGTGCGGCTGCATTCTGAGACCGGCCTCGATCCTCCCAAGGTCGTGCAGAAGGGAAGACTTGCCAGCTACCAGCCTTGACTAGGTCTCGCGAGTGGCGGCGATAATCTCGAGTCCTGAAGCAGGGACGGGCTGGAAAAGGGGGTCTATTTTTAAGCATTAAACGGGGCATTGCATTTGGATATCATGACTCCTGATATTGGTAAACGCCCTCTCGTCTCTCATAAACGGGGATACGTCCTTTTAACGTTGCTTCTGGCCTGTTCACTCTACGGCTGACTGACCGGGATGCTGTTGGCAGATACTTCATGCTTGCCGGCCCAGGCCTCTCAGAAGAGACCGAGGAGCCGCCAAAGCACCATTGAGCCGATGCGATCGCGGTCAAACACATCGTCCACGAAGAGTGCTCGACTCTCACGGTCACGGGGGTCGACGACTAGCATTCACTCGGCCACGACGCAGTTTCACCCCGACGTCCAACAACAGCCACAGGATGTCTATGGAGCTTATATGCGCCCTCAATATGCCCCTTCCCAGGTGCCATATCACCCAAACCCAGAGGAGATGATACTCCGGTATGGTGAACAGTTTGGCCATGCCGGTTCGGCCAGGTTGGACGATCCTGCTTTACAGGAGAACCACAATAACGCAGTTAGATCGCGTCCGGATATGCAGCTCCAGGAACACCTTATGAGAAACAGAACTCTGAGTGCACAGCCATCACAGCCGACACCGCCGCCGGGCCACATTCCCGCCGAGTTTACATCAAATCACTTCCCCCACATGTTCGACACGACTGAAAACCATACACCCGACCGCATGCTAGAAGATAATGAAGGGTCAGAGGTTGGTCCTCGGAAACGAAGAGGAACATCATCATCTATAGCCAATGATAACGAGCTACGGCGGTTACTTCGTCAGTATGATGGCTATAGCTTGCAGGATATGGCCGCAGAGGTCAGAAAGAATGAAGGTGCTGGCGGCAAGTCGGAGAAAGTAAAACAAGTGTTTGCTATGATCTGGTATGGTTCAACTACTACGACATGTACATTGGTAATCTTTCTAACTCTTTTGTGCAGGCTACGTGAAAACTGTCTACGGGGAAACGGGTCCGTTCGTCGAGACCGTGTTTACTGTTGCTACGCTGAAAAGTGCGGAAATGACCGTGTATCTGTGCTGAATCCCGCTTCCTTTGGGAAACTTGTTAGGATAATATTTCCAAACGTGCAGACTCGTCGACTCGGAGTGCGTGGAGAGTCAAAGTACCATTATGTTGACCTGTCCCTTATTGGTCAAGATATCAAACCCGAGTTTGATGATAAGACAGATAAAGCGCAGATACCCGGTTCCCAACTGGGAATGGATGGATCTGCTCCCCAGCTAAATTCCAGCTTTGCTCATAACCCTCACCAACCGCAAAAGTCACCCATTGAGACATCAGATACCACCTCGTCGGCCTCAAATATTTTACATCAACAACAATCGTCAGGCACGGGCCGTCATTGTTCTTGTGCACACTCCGACAGCGTCTCGGAAATGAATCTAGGAGTCGACTCGATGGCAGTCAAAACGCAGTTAAAGATCCAACATATACTTCATTTTGAGCCAACGGATGGCACTCCATCCACCGAAAGCGATACCCTCTCATTGCCAAATATACATCAGTACCTTCCCGATAACCCTGACCCTTCGGCTGCTGACGCTCTTGCAGCTCTATATCGCTCACATTGCACCTCAGTGATAGATAGCTTCCGATTCTGCAAGGAAAAGAATCTCTTCCGCCACTTTTCTGCATTCCAGGGCACCCTTACTGTTCCAGTGCACAAGCTCCTTGTTCATCCAAATGTTGCTCCATGGGTAGAGGAATGTGACTGGCTAATGTATCAGAAGATGCTGGCCTTCGTCTCCCCCCTAACCACACAGGTTGTCCCAGACCCTGTCCTCAAGGCGTTTCGCTCAATATCATGCAAACTTGTCACACACATTGCCGAAACTCTCAAGTCGCAACCTGATCACGTTTCTACGGCACGTATCATCCCTTGTCGTCTGTTTTGTCACCTGTTGAAACGTATGCTTGACGTTAACCAGTCTGCAAACGCTGCCGCTGCATGGCTATGCCACCTGCAAAATCGGAATAAGATGTGGGAAGAATTTAGCAACTTTGTCGACCCAGCTGAAACAGTCATCAAAGCCAACATACCTCCTTGCTCTGTGAAGACAGCAATTACCATCTTGAAAGAGCACATGAAGTCTCTATTATACCCCTTGGATAATTGTTCGCCTCCCCAGACAGACCCCCTAGACGGGGACTTGGCTGGGTTTTCCCTACCACCAACCAATACGGAAGAATACACAAACTTCCCTGATCGGTGGATTGCTTTTATATTACAGCTGCCTACCATGTTCCCTGACCATTCGGCAACTTGTATGATTGAAAAGGCTGATGCGCTGTGGACAACCGTCCTTCATCGTCTCACACTCGCTGGTGCCGAAAGCTTTAGCGCGTGGTGGATGACAAAGGTTTTCTTCCTCGAGATGATGCAATGGCAAGCTGAACGGGGTGGCTTCATGGCCTCATCCCCAAAGTCATTGCGGGAACATTCCACAAATCTCTCAAACACTTCGACTGCTGCCGTTGCCGCGCAGCTTGCAAGCTTCACTCCCGCCAATAACATGTCCAGTCAGCAAACGGAGAACGAGCAATCAACTCAAGAAGCCCCTTCCCCAAATATGAATAACGACATGTCGAATAATGCTTCCAAGACAAACAAGGCTGACGCTCCAAACCGACCAGCTGTTGATACAAGTCTAGAAGCCAGCCAACTGAATAATGATGATAGTGCTATCGCACTAGAAGACGATTCAGTTCTTCTTGGGACTAGCAAATATACCGACATGACCCTGTCTGACCCCGCAGATGCAGAAGGAGATGTCATCGTCGTATAGCTATGAAGAACTGGTTTTTCATGGAGGGTTATATCGATTACGCCGTCTCATTAATTTTTGGGATTTTTAGCATCTCGGCATACCGCGCTTGGTTTCTGCATTTTTGCCTTTCTTTTTTGGCAATTCAATTTCGGCTCGTTGGGATTGCAAACTGTTCGTTTATTCGTACATTGATGAGACTAATATTTCATTGGGCCGTTTGCATTCGGCGTTTTGTTGGCGGACAACTGGATTAAAGCATCCAACCATACCAGGCGGTCATATCGTTTCGTCCTACTTCACCCTATCATCATCCATTTCAGTCAATCCTCTCCTGAAGGATACTGCTGCTGACGGACTACTGTTCTAATCTTGGTTTTTTGCACTGACAAACTCGCGTTTTGGTATTGTCGTTTGCAGCAACTAGTCATCCCCAGTTTGCTATGCTGCTATGCTGCTCTGTTACGTCTTGCGTTCCAATTCCGGCCTATGACTGATGGACTATTGTTGGCGATTCATTTCTCCGTTCCATTTCTACCCATTTCCCGCTTATTTGATTAGCCGACTTCAGAAGGTCGACGAGGTGTGGAGCTTTTGCTATTTTCTCGATCGTCGAAAAAAGGGGAGGACTTGACTCCTATTCATGCACAAAGCTGTTTTCCTGTTACCGATCTAATGATCACGATGATGTTTATGATGGGCTTGAATAAAGCTCTTTTCCTTCGATATGTATATAGTCCCTTTTCTCGATACTGGACTTCATTATACATGAGGCATTTGATTTATGACTTTTATACTTTTTATCTTCTTACTCTAAATAATATATCTCAAGTAGTATGTATGTCTCGACTTGTCGGGGTATCAGGTTCATGCGTATTCATTATTGGTTCTTTTTCTAAGCGTGGCGTGGCTATTAATTAATGTATCATTGATCCTTCTTGCTCTCTTCAGGCTCATCCTGCGCTGAACCCGGAGCGTTTACTCTTAATCCCAACTTCCATAGCACCCACATGAAACCGCCAATGATAATCATGGCAGTTCCTACCTGGATCTCCATGCGTTGAGTATCGTGACCCATGTTCAGAACCGGAACAGTAATCGTCTCGACAAGCAGGTTATCAGTATCTTCCGGCACCGAAGAAGGCGGAGAAGGCTGAAGATGATGATAAGTCGTTTGAGCAGGAAAACTCGACTCCCAACCCAAGCTCACGCGATCAAATGGATTAATTTTCTGCTTTTCAACTGCGGCCTCGTCTTCATTCGCGCATGCCCAAAATACCACTGGCCAGGGGATATATATATCGCGGTATCCGGACGGTGAAGGGTGGAGATATCGAAGGTGGAGGGGGATAGTTATATTCCATTCGTCGTTGGTGAGAGCGGAATCTGATATGGCGTCCGATGCGGGCGTTGCTAGTTCTAGGAGGAGATTGGACCCCCACTGATGAGTTATCCAGTCTGGAGCTTCGAGGTCGGTTTCACCTTGGATGCTATGTAGGGAGACGAGGTTATGGGATTGGAGGAACAGCGGATCTTTGGTAGATAGTTGGTATTTGTCTGCGAATATTGTCGATGGGAGGCTGAGGTATGTGTATAAGGAGCAGGTTGTGTCCTGCGGTAGTTCAGATGGCGGGGAAAGGGAGGATTGCGGTATGGAGATTTGGAGAGTTGGATGAAGTCCAGTTGGCGATGGGAATTGAGTCCGATATGTCGATTGTATAGGATGGTGTCGCGAGTTAAAGCCGAAGAGGGTGGGAGCTGCGGTGTATATGTTAGTAAATAGTTCTCTTCTCAGCGTCTCAAGGGCAAGCTCATACTTAGTTCTCCTTTGCGGCCTACATCGGCTAATAATCCGCCTACCTTCACTTCCTCTGGTTTTATTCGATTCTGTTCAGCTAAAATACCAATCTCAACCCTGTCTTGATCGTCCTTGGGCTGCTTGATCACTTCCGTCCAGCCATCTTTCACCGGAGCTTCAGCCCAATATGCAGCTACCATGAGATGAGCCGTGGAGTCACTATAGTCTATATCCAGTGACGAAGCCGAGGAGATCGACGCAACGTGATTACGGCATTCGGCATCCTCTTGACAGATATATTGGTTGACGTAGCTGAGGAGACGGGGTAAGGACGGGAGCAGCGTGTGGAATTTTAATCGTGGGACCGAGTCAGTCGTTGATATGAAGGATGCGGGCGAAGATAATAGCTATAAGCGCAATTGAGGTCAACCAAAGTGTCACTTCCGATATTCAAAGCAGTGTTATGCCTTTGCTGGGATTGAAGCCGCGAACTAACCGGAGAAACGGTGCAGTCTATCTCATCGCTGAAGGTCTTCTGGAGCAGACGGCACAGGGGTTCACTATCAAACAACGCAACCAACGTAAGCAGGCCATCCCATAGTAAACGAGTATCCTTAGGCCATGACATACCCGGACGAGCCGCTGTTAGCTGGTGTGTAGACGACATGCAGTCCCGGCGAGACTCTGCTACTAAACGGCGCAACGGCAGCGTACGGTCGTTCGGAGGCCCAGCGAATGCGCAGGTCCCGGCATTTCTTCAGCACTTGTCGTATCTAAGACGGCCATATCGTCAGCAACCGTCCAGTTCTCAGTATTATCCAGCTTCCTCTCTCTCGTACCTCGTGGGGGAGCTCGGTGTAGTCGAATAAGATCCTTTCCTGCTTAGCAGCTTTCAGCGATCGGAGCGAGAGCGCGGTGTCGTTCAAGGCTGTCTGGGTCGGTTCGAATTCATTGTCTCCCTCGTATATGTACGTCAGCCGGGTCTTCATCGTGAGAGCGCGCTGCCGGTTCTGCTGTTGTCTGTATACCTGATGTTTACTCTGTCCACGAAGTTACGCATCTATTTCTATTTCTGGGGTGGAAACTAGCGTGCCAATAAGCTTTGAGACTAAAAAGCGGGCAGTTTATCGAAGTTCAAAAGTGAATATAAAACGTCATCTTTATATCGTTATATCTTTATTTGTTTATGTGGTAGCATGTAGTGTTAATATAGCAAGAAACATGGCCTCTCCCTCTCACGCAGGGCACTGTTGGGAAGTAAAAAGTAAAGATAAAAACGCCATTCCTTATGGTAGCAGTTGCATGAAATCAATCCCCTGTGTCCACTGGTAGATAACAAAACCAAAACTCCAACAATGCAGCTGCCCCCCTGTACTGAATTCATTCATTAGTTCATATCTAGTATCATCCTCTCTGTATGGATGTGGAGGACCATGCGTGGGGAAACACCACAGTTAACGTTCAAAGAATCTGTCCCAGTTTCTGTTTCTGGGCTGGAGTCAACGAGGTAGGGAACTTGACGTCGACCTTGACGATAAAGTCACCGCGGGAGCTTGGTTGCTTCGGCTTTGGCATCCCCTGCGAAGGGAACGTCTCTTCGAAGCCGGGCGGTGTTGGTCCGGAGCCGCTGACACGCAATTGTTTGCCGTCGATGGTGTTGACAGTGCGAGACCATCCGGTCAGTGCTTCCTTGAGACTGATCTCGGCGGTGGTGACCAAGTCGTCTCCAACACGCTTTAGATGAGGATGTGGTTTCTGTGGAAATCATGTTAGTGAACGTGGATCGTCGACATAGACGAATGGATGCTTACCTCGGCGACGATAAAGTGTAGATCCTGGGTTCCTCCCTCTTCCTGATCACCGACTCCCTTGAACTTGATCTTGCTCCCAGCCTTCAAGCCTCGCTTGATATCGAATTCCAAGATCTTGTCTTCCATGCTTCTCTTGCCCGTCCTTTCGTCGAACGTCTTTCGCTTGATCTTCATCTTCTTGTGGACACCGTGGAATATCTCTTCCAGCGAGAGAGGGAGCTGCCTTTCGACAGTCGTTACTTCGGGCGTGGGTGGTCTCCTTGCTTCTCGTCGGTATCGTGATCCGCCACCACTAGAGCCGAAGCCACGGCCACCCCCGCCTCCCAGGAAGGAGAAGAGGTCGTCGTCACCAGCACCGCCAGACCGAGCGAAGCTAGAGAAGATGTCTTCCGGCGAGCTAAACGAGAATCCTCCAGGCCCGCCTCCGGTCGAGAAGTGGAAGGTTCGGGCACCGCCTGGCATGCCTCCATAGCTCTGGAAGCCACCAGGCATGCCACCGGCACCAAACGGCATGCCCTCACCTCCTGCACCGGCACCGGCACCGGCACCAGGTGGAGGTTCCGGGTTCCCTCCACGGAGGAGGAATTCTAGTCCATATTGATCGTAGACTTTGCGTTTCTCGGGGTCTGAAAGTACTTCGTATGCCTGAGAGACCTCTACTCTACTATCAGCCAGCTACTCCTCCAGCCATGAAACATACGATTACAACAAGAAAACGACTTACCTTTGAACTTTTCAGGTGCAGCAGGGTTGTCTGGGTTCTTGTCTGGATGCCACTTCAATGCTGCTTTCCTATCGACCGGTCAGTCCACGTACACACAAACCGGGTACTTCAGAAACTGGGAAGAGCTGGCTTACTTGTATGCTTTCTTGATCTCATCCTGAGTAGCGGATGGAGTTATGCTTAGGGAATCGTAGAGCTTCGTCTCAGCAACCATGGTTGCTGGCTCTTGCGTAGGTCGAGCGGTGGTTGAATGTCGAATTGCTCGATTATGCGGTGTGCAGGTGGGCTGTAGGTCGTAAACAGAGGCCAAGCCGGGGCAATTCGCTGTCCGGCAGGCAGAGTCAGAGATGTTTATACAGAACCAGCTACAGAACAGCAGCTGTATGGCAATATATAGAGCGAGAGCAGAGCTGGCGCAGTCTATGTAGTTGATGTAGTAGTTGTAGTTGCGTGAGGCGCTGTGCCGGAGCCAAGTGGGCGCTGTGACGTGATGCTGGCCGATCTCCACGAAGCTTCGAGAAGGTTCCTACAATAGTACGAGATAGTACGTACGGAGTAGATAGATATAATATAGATAGTACATATACGTAGATATAGATGTAGATATAGATGTACGTAGATGACTATTTGGAGACGATGTGGACGACGTCCTCGTCTGCAACGAGATGGCCGAGACCGACTCGCTGCGGTACATGCATCACACTCGCACCCCAGACAAGGGCGTACTTGAATGATTCCTTGAGCGTGCGATGGATCTGGTCGCACACGTCCTCAATGGTTGAGTTGCTTCTTACAATGAGCGCCTCGCTGAAGTCCGGATCGATGCCCTTTCTGTACAATCGCATTGTTAGCAAGACGTTACTTTCCTGAGACGAGGTCTACTTGCCGCTTTGTATAGATACGGATAAGCTGGAGCTCCTCCCAGCACCGATCAACAACGTCTCTGATGCCCAGGTCAAGCTCGCAGCTCATCACGCAAGTATGTGGCTCTCGGGCAAGCTGGTCGAGGAAGTCGAGGCTGACACTGTCGATTTTGTTATACACGTAAAGACTGAGGATTGGCCGGTCAGATACTAAACGTTAGAAAGTCAATTGGCAGGAAGCTTACCACTTGATGTATTTCCTGTGATCCTTCATGATCACGTCTATAAAATCGTCGACCGTAGCTACGTCATCGTCAGTTCATGCAACACCACGTCAATTTCAAGTAGGTAGAGGTACCGTTTTCATCTCTGACCAAAACCTCGCAGTTGAGCACCTTGTAATCTCGTAATATATTGTACAGCATCTTTTCGTCAAGATATTTTGGGGGTGACTGGAACGTAATCTTCATCCCGCCGGCCTTCTTGATCTTGAGATAGATATTTCTGTCTGAGGTTAACGGTTGCGCTTCATCGCCCTAGGGGTTGCAGATACTCACGGTACTTCCCGGTTCAGCCGAATGCCGACAGACTCGAGTTCTGCCTCGAGCAACGCCCTCTGCTCGGCACGTTTGGTTGCATCCAGAACCATCAGGATCAGATCGCTCGTCTTTCCACGTTCATTAGCCATCTTAACTAGTAATAAGCTTGCCAACAGCGGGGACATATACCTTAGCTGCGGAGATAACCTGTCTTCCTCGCCCTTTGCCCTCGGATGCCCCCTCAATAATTCCGGGAAGATCGAGTATTTGAATCTCTGAGCCGCCATATTCTAGCACGCCGGGGATAGCTGTGAGGGTCGTGAAGGAGTATGCAGCTACCTCACTCTTGGTCTTGGTGATTTTTGATAAAAATGTCGACTTCCCGACTGATGGGAACCCGACTAGTGAAATTCGAGCATCTCCGCTCTTGCTCACATCGAAACCTGCACCGCCGCCAGATCCAGATCCGCCGACAGGCTCTAAAAGCTGTGCTCGTAGTCTTGCAAGTTTTCTGGAAGTTGGAAAGCATTGCTTAGTGGATGTTTATGTCGGCGGTTATATAGTCTATCTTCAAAGGGGAGAATATACACACCCTTTAAGTAGACCCAGATGGTATTCTAGAGGACGTTAGATATATCAATGCAATAGTTGAACGTATAAAGGGTTGAACATACCGGTGGCCTTGTTTTCTATACACATAATTTGTTAGTACTGATATTAACATAGACATATTCGTATAGCAAAGGTCCATACTCTGCGTCCTGCGCATCTCCTCCTCGATCCTACACGTCAAAAGATATACATGTTAGCCCGTCTTCCTGGGTCTAGGAATGTATTCCGAGAAGCTCACTCCTTAATCTTCTCCGTGATGTTCACCATGACGGGCAACTGCTGGGGGGTATCGTCTCCAAAGGCTCGATGTAAAGTAACGTGAGATATGAAATATTCAAGCCTGACAGCTTCCAGCCTGCTTTATCAACGGCAAATGGAAAAGATCGAGTTCTTGATTAATTTGATATCGACCTTCTCCCCGCCGACTGATTGGCGCAATGTGGGTTGGGCCAGATTACATAAGCATTTCCGTCATCTTGAATCTTTTTTTGGCAGTTTTGAGCTTTTGATGAAGCTACAAAGTACATACAAGCTAAACTACAGACAAACACGACAACATTATGGCCTCGACAGAATCCGTTGAAGCTCAGGAGAGCGCTCTTACGGTTGAGCAGCCATCCACCGAGCTTGAGACACAAGACACGCCTGCTACAGGGGCGGAAACCGCCCTAACTACGACCGATGGAGGAGACAAGGAGAAGAAGACCAAGATTATTCGACGGAAACGACGTCCAGCACGAGTACAAGTTGACCCGTCGACGATAAAATCAGAGCCGCCTCCTCAGACAGGAACCATCTTCAATATCTGGTATAATAAATGGTCAGGAGGCGATCGCGAAGACAAATATCTCTCCCAACAACCTGCAGAGTCGAGGTGCAACATCGCGAAGGACAGCGGCTATACGCGTGCCGATAAGATCACAGGCTCGTTCTTTTGCATATTCTTTGCGCGAGGGCTCTGTCCAAAGGGACACGAATGTGAATACCTTCACCGTCTCCCGGGAGTTCATGATTTGTTCAACCCGAACGTGGACTGTTTTGGCAGAGACAAGTTTAGCGACTACAGAGACGACATGGGTGGCGTGGGGACATTCATGAGACAGAACAGAACTCTCTACGTTGGAAGAATACATGTTACAGACGATATCGAGGAGGTGGCAGCTAGACATTTCGCGGAATGGGGTCAAATCGATCGAATCCGTGTTCTTAATCAGAGAGGAGTGGCGTTCGTGACATATACAAATGAAGCGAACTCTCAATTCGCAAAGGAAGCGATGTCGCATCAGAGTTTGGATAATAATGAGATATTGAACGTCCGGTGGGCGACGGTGGACCCAAACCCGGCGGCGCAAAAGAGAGAGGCCAGACGCATCGAGGAACAGGCTGCGGAGGCCGTGAGGAGAGCACTGCCCGCGGAATTTGTGGCGGAGCTGGAAGGGAGAGATCCAGAGGCAAAGAAGAGGAAGAGAATAGAAGCTGGATTCAATTTGGATGGATATGAGCCCCCAGATGAGGTGTGGTATGCTAGAAGTCGAGAGTTGGAACAAGCGCAAAGAATGAAAGAACTCGAGCCCCCAGTTCAGCAGCAGTCGATTGAAGCTCCTCCTGCTCAACCAACGGGAGGAAACGGTATATTATCTGGCTCTACGTTGGCCGCGTTGAAGAGCTATGGTGGCTCTGGTATAACCACCAAACCAACCACTACTCAAACCCCAAGCGGGCCTTTAGTTGCTTATGGTAGCGATGATGATAGCGAATGATACCATGGGAAGAGCGAAGCCTTCATTTTATTTGGTTTTTTTAATGTATTTTAGATTTCTCATTGGGCTAATTACCAACAGACACTTTGTAAAATATATACATGAAAGTCATGTTCTGTTTCTCAATTCCCTCGTTTCAAGTCATAATAAATGCAATTTCCTGTGCGGTAATTGTAGATGAAAGCATTGGTATACTTCACCGTTCCATCTTGTGTGATACTTTCGTTTGCCAGGTCGAGGAGCAGGTCATGTATATTCCCCAGGTATTTTCTCTCAACCAGCGGTGCACTTTGGATGGTGTTTCTCCAGCTATCTGGATCAGAAAGGCGCGTGTCTCGAATACTCTCAAGCACGTCGTCTCTGACATCAACTGCAGCAATTGGCCCCTCAAGTCCTTTGTCAAGCACTTCATGAGAGCGACGCAATGCTATAGGACGAGAAGACAAACGGTCAGTGAATACCTCTCATCGAAGGAAACAGGGATACTAACCGAACTCAACGATATTTCTTCTGTTCGTCTTCTTGCTCTTATGAAGTGGTGTCAAGATTCTAACATCTGGGTCTCTCTCCTTACCCGAAAGACTCGCATCACCAGTACTGGGGTGCTTGACAAGTTTTGGGGATTCAGGAGGGTGTCGGTCATGTTTGAACTTCCTGCGCGCACGCATCTCGTTTCGAAGCCAAGGGACCAAATCTGCACTTCTTACGTCGAAGTCTTCCTTTCGATGAACACTCTTGACTCTTAGGCCTCTCTCGATACTATCTTGTTTGACGATGACTACCCAGCTATAGTTATCATCAACGTATCTAGTGAGCAGTTCTTCCAATGAAGGCGTCGTTTCGGCTGCGAGCTCTGCGCTGATGTCGTTTGCCCACAGAGTCGAGACAATGCCAACTCCAACTGTTCGAAGGACAGAGGCGTCAAAGCTAGCAACCAATACATCGCACTAATTTACTGCTGTTAGCCATACGGGGCCTTGGTTTCCTGAGTATTTAATCCACATACCTTGCTTCTCCGCCAGGCATTTCCAATTTCTGCATCTGGCTTCAGGAAGGCTTTATTAGAACCTTTAAGATAGTTTGTCATTGACCCATTCAATTTGTCCAATCCAAGATTGAAGCCGACAGCATGAGACCGAGGACGGCTCGAGCGCAAGCTAGGCTGGAACTCTTGGATTAAACTGTCATATCTTCCGCCTGCGGCAAAGACGTCTCGTCTTTTTTTGTCAAAAACGCATTGGAAGAGTACACTGCCATTGTAGAACTTGTCGTTCAAGCTACTCAAGGGACTAATGTAGACCTTCCGTTTAACTTTGAACTTCTCCAAATATGACACCACCATGTTTAGTCGGTTAAAAATAGGCGACAATCTATCCGCGTATTCGGTGCCATCCATGATTGCATGAAGCCTGCTTAATGCTTTCTCGGGGGTATCTATAAAAGGGTCAGCTGGACGTTCTGTATATTGAAAAAAGGGCGATATATACCTCGGAAATCGAATCGTGACAAATCGTCAATAGACGTTGATGGGACTCCAATACTCGGGGAGCGGAGTTCACTCCTAATTTTCTGCATCGTGTACTGCCCGATGTTCAGTTTGCTGATGACCTCCTTCACAATCGGTCGCTGTTCGGGGGTAATCCGACAGAATCCGACAACAGCTTCCAAGAGATCAGAGTGGTTGATGTGAAAGCACATCTGAGTCGACTTCAATGGCGGAAATTCATCGATAATCTCGTCCAGTACTTTAATAACTTCCGCCTCCTTCAAAGGTAAATCTAACGTATTATAAGAAACAATATCAAAATCAACCTCTTTATGGCCCCTGGGTTCGCATCTGTGAACGGATTCCCTGTAAACCGTGCCGAATGAAAACGCTTTTTCAATAGAGAGATCTTGCTTAGGTAGAGCCCGAGCATTTGGGAGAGTGAGATCATAGGGTAGCTGGACTAGGTTTCCTGCTGGATCTAAAAGGCGTACTACACCTGGGCCGTAATGGGGTGAGCGTGGAAAAAGAGATTGTCTTGATGTTTCTACTGCTCCATGTTTTCGGAACAATGAAGTTAGTCTGTCCTTTATCATTCCATGTAACAATAGCTCGGTAGCTGTGGGACTTGCTCGCGAGTCCATATCCCATGCGAGGTCTTCGAACTTCTTCTGCGGTTGGGAAAAGATGGCAGAGAGAATCTTTTTGTAGTCAGGAGAATCGGGATCTGATAGGAGACCCATCACCGCTTTTCTGAACATCTCTTCTTCAACTTGAAGTGGTATCTTATCACTTTGCAGTAGCTCCGTGGTCGTTGGCCGCTCACTGGGGCGATGACTGATGAGAGACATAATTATTTCTCCCTGGACTACCTTCTCGGGAAGTTTAAATGTATCAGGGAGGGTATGTTGTCTCTGCCTAATGTCCTGAAGCGTTCGGTCACGTTCCATGCCGGTCTCAAGGGGGTGGCACATTTCAAAGAAGATGATGCCGAGAGAATACATCTACATGTTGTTAGCAAAGTAAAGCTTAAAGGATATATAGCCAAATGTTACCCACATCAACTTTCTCATTATACTGTCCCATGGAAGCCTTCTTCACCTCGGGAGCCACGTAGTACGTAGTGCCAACGCTTTGAGTAAAACCACCTCCAATATTCTCTGGTACGGGTAGTCGATCTCCGGAACCAAGCTGTCCACTTGTGGCTAAGCCAAAGTCTCCAATACGTGGGTTATTTGCCATGTCAATGAAAATATTGTCCGGCTTAAGGTCTCGATGGAGGATTCCGTGAGAATGAATATGGTTCAAACCGTCAATAATTTGCCGGAAAAGCCTCCATGAAGCATCGATATTCTCATGCAGTCCATATCTAATTAGATCACGCAGTGTCTAAAATGTAGGGTTAGTTAGATGCAACATATAGCATAGATGATTTTAACGAGGAAAACTCTTACATGCTTCTCACAGTATTCCATTTGAATGTATAAGGTGGTTGGGATGACGCGCGACTGCGAGCCTGACCGTGTGCGGCCAAGGGATTGGCCCTGCGTAGTACTGGGATCAGTTGCCTTTTTCTGAACTCCGGTGCCGTCAGAGATGGTGTCGCTTTCGGCCTCCTCATCGGTGTCATATCCGAATTCAACTTTGGGGTACCCTTCTGAGCTGATAAAATCCAGACCACTAGTACTGTATCCAAACTCAATATTGTCGCCAGCCTGTGAGTCTGTCCCGTCTGAAGATAGGAGGGCCTCTTCATCGTCCTCGTCGTCTATGCTAACGTAATTTTCTTCCAGCCATGCTGTGAAGTATCGCACCACATAAGGATGATTCAGTCTTGAGAGTAACATTATTTCGGATAGTGTGTCTTTTAAAGCAACGGGCGACTTTTGTGAAATCTTCTTGACGGCGTAAAAGCGGCCATCAAGCTTATTTCGAGCTTTGACAACTAGGCCGTAGCCACCTCGCCCTAGACGGCCAACTTCATCAAAGTCGTGGCTGTAGCGAGAAACAGCTGCCAAGTGGCCTTGAGAATCATGTCGAGTGCGATTTTGAAGAGATGACGAGCCTGGGGTGCTGATAGGTATGACTAACGGGGTGTCGACACGGAAGAATTCGAATGGCTGAATCTGGAAGGGTGTCGGGCGTTTTTTGGGATCGGCTCTGAATATTTCAAGGAGCATGTCTTCTAGCTGTGGAGATAGCTCTATGGAGTTGACGACTGCATCTGCAGACGTGTACCGCTGCAAGACATCCTTTCCAAAGCCCATCTGCAAAAAGAGAATCCCCAAGTCCCAAACATCGGTCTTTATGCTTGGTTTCATGCCCTCTCCTGCGAGTTCTGGAGGCATCCAAAATGGAGATTTGGGTGTTGTGAGACTCCTTCTTCTCGATGAAGATGAGAGCGGGAGTACCTCTTCCACGTTACCTAGTAGCTTCACGGTCGTGGTGCTCGATGGGCTTCTGAAAAGTAGAACACGGCCACAGTGGATATTTCCGTGTACGACCCCGTGGCGACTATAGTATTCCAGGGCTTCAACCAATTGAATCATCCAGGCTCTGGCGTTATCTGCTGGAACGGTGCCAACGATATCCAGTAGCTCGGATAGGGAGCCCTTATTTGCATGCTCAAAAAGTGCATATATGTGCCATGTACCTGTTTGGCCCTCATATGGGTCAAGGGGACGTTGGATCTTGAAGCCGATAAAATCCACTAGGTTTGGGTGCCGGAGTTTCTTCAAAAATTCCAGTTTGTCCTCACTCTGGCTGATTTGGAAGCGGAGGTCGATGGCTCTACTCTCGCTCTCCTGAATAAATATTTCCTTCAGGACCAAAAGTGGCACCAGCGGCGTGTTTCCCAGGACAATTGGTCTCACAAGGAAGGTCTCTTTGTAATGAGATTTGCCAATCATATTCTTCCCGCTAACAGACTTGAATAGGAGAGGACGATCATGTAGGTCGGTGATCGTCATAGGGGGGTCGAACGATATTGAGCCAGGACTGTCGACTATCGACTCCAGAAGACCGAATTCCTCGACATTAGACCTGCTCTTGCGGCGAGACATTTGTTCATTCTCTCGTTGGCGTTGTTTCAATTTATCCTCAACTAACAGCTGTAAGGACTTCTCTTCCTCAACGGTTGCTTCCTGCTGTCGTGCCAGCTCCTCTTGTTTCAGTTTCTCAGCCTGCTGAATAGCAGCAGTCTCTTGGACGATACGTTCCTCCTCGAGACTTGGTAAATCCTTGTCTTGAGCCTGGGCCTGAGCAGAATCCTCCAGCACATCTTCAATGGCGACGGCCAATTCATAAATCATTTCAGATCCCAAGAGATCTACTGGCTTTGACTCTAGGACACACTCAAGCCGCTGTCTGGCACTATGCCTGACATCTTGAACACTTTCTAGCTTCAAGATCGGGACTGTTTTGGGGTAAGTCGTGGGCAGTTCTACCAGAAGGCGAACTCGGACCTCAGGGTTCGAGGACGCCTTCAACCGCAACTTAAACGCTATTGTCGAGGATTGCTGGATGATCAAAATAAGTATAATGGGTCAAATAGAGGGCAAAAAAAAAAAAAACCGTTACAAACGGGTAAACTGTACTCAAATAGCAGTGCAGAGTTCCGCCACAAACTTACATTCCATGCAGAGGGTTTGGTCTCTACATCTTCGAATTCATCACCGTAGATTGAACGCAAGGCATCGGCCTCGTTCTTGTGTATTTCTTCATAATTAGTGGCCAAGACCGGGTTAGAGGCAGTCTGCTGTTTATCTTCCATAGGAGAACCGTTGGTCTTTGTGCTACCTTTCCTTTGTTTGCGCGGCATGTTCACCTACAAATCGAGAGGTTCTTCAACGAGTGGGAGTGTTGCTTCTTGGGAAGCAAGCAACAGAGATTGCAGCCGCAGCTGCAGCCCTCTACTGGAACATCATTAGACGGAAAGCAATTGGTGGCTAGGTGAATGAAATGCTGGCACTGGCATAGTGTCTTTGTGCCCAACAAGTGATGATTCATGTACTGAGGTACAGGGATTTGCTGGCGGTGTGGAAAATAGTCGCACCGGTCACGTGTTGATACTACAAACAACACAGCTTTTACATACATCTTCCTCTATTCTACGGAGTACTTTTATACGGAGTATGATATATAGATTCTGACTATAATGACCATTATTGTGCTAGATTCTATAATCAACAGGTTGAGTCTCGAGTGTCAGTGGGAAGATACCCAGCTTGCTAGTTCTATATATAGACTACTAAACAATATGTTCGATAACATGTTTAGATCACTCCCTGCCTCATGCATATGCATCCGCATCCCGCATCTATACATAGTCTCATATATCCATCACCGATATCATAATAGCAGCTCTTATATGAACCTCGATGTACCTCGGCTTGTCCAGATCCGGACTAGCGGCGGGAGTGGCCAAGGGAATAGCCACGTGACGTCAGGAGGTAAACAAAGCGCTTTCTCCATCAAAGTCGCGCAATACGATGGCAGCATAGAGAGTCAAGCAGCTTGTCTCCCTTGACCGCTGGATATTCCGTGGTATGGACAGTTGCTGATACCAATTTCATTAACTGAACATCGATGATGCTTAGCTGGTTGGCAGGCTCCAATCAGGACTTCGCAGGAGGTGCAGGTAAGGCGCCTCACTTATTCGAGATACCTTCGATATATTAACCGCCCAACTCGATTTCAAGCAGATGAGTCCAAGATTATCGATGCGCCAGAAACCCCTGCGCCAGTTTTCGCCTACAGGGCCTTTAAAAACGCGATGCTTGGAACTCCGGTCGCAGAAGTTGACGAGGACAAGGACTTGACTATTCCAATACGCCAGCTGAACCCGAACCTACACCGGCGAGATGATGGGTTGAAGAAGGCTGCTCAGAAGCATTCAATGGACGAGAACCGAAAGATAGAAATTCCCAGACTTGAGCCAAAACAGCAGGAACCAACACAGCCAGTCGTATCCCCTTCTAAGAGTATCCTACTCACTCCTGGAACTGCTGCAACGCGCCGGAAGACAGTGTCTTTTGGAGCTGGTGTGAAGGATAATGAGCGCAAGCCGGTTATATTCAACGACGGACCAGATCTCGAGCTAAGCGGGGGGAACATCAGCCGCCAATGGTCAATGAATGTGTCTGGTGGGTCGGGACGTAGGAGCAAATTGACACAGTCGCTACTTGAGGCCCGAGAAGAAAAATTCGGGCAGGAAGTGGATGGCCTAGATGATGTTAGTCGCCCAAAGAAAGAAGAACGACAGGATACCTGGGATATGGAGTTGGAGGATCATCACGATTCAGACCAATCGCAGGAGGACGAAGAGGATGTGACAACAAATCTCGAGGCGCCACACTCTCAGTCGGGGAAGTACTGGAAGTCTGAATTCGAGAACTATCGCACGAAAACGGAGAAGGAAATACGCAAACTCATCGAATACCGCTCCGTCGCCAAATCTTATGCGAAGAAGAAGGAAACGGAGGCGCTTCGCCTAACGGAAAAGCTGAAGCAAGAAGAATCCAAAGTGGCGGAAATGGAGCGACGCGTTTCTGAACTTGCTGCTGGCATGGTTGGCGGCGCGAATGGGGAGAACTCAAATAAGGATCAGATGTTTCGCGAGCTTTCAAGGCAGACTGCTGCAGCCTTACAGTATAAACAGAAAGCAGCAACTTTCAGGAAAACACTCGAAGATCACGGTGTGGTCGATAACAACAAACAACCGCAGCTGGAGGATCTGTCACCAGACGAAACTACGCAGAAACTCCGCGAGGTCGAGAGCGCTCTGAGGGAGGCTAACGCCCAATTGCGAGAGAGTAGCGGGAATTCGAAGTTGAACGAACTACAAGAACTAGTACGAAGCTCGGAGCGAAAAGCTGCTGAACTCAAGAGGGAGAACCTGCTGTTGCAACGAAATCTTGACAGAGTTAAGACTGAACTGCTACATGTTGGGGAACGACGAAAGGCGCAAGAAGAGAGGGCAAAACAGCGCGAAGAACGGCTGGAGTCTCGTGCGCAAGATTATAGTAAGCGCTTGACAGACTCTTTAAGAGATCACCAGGCAGCGGAGGAAGCACTTAAAAAGTCCTTTGACGTGGAAAGGAAGCAGATGCAGGAAACCATTGATTTGCTAAAAGGGGCGCTGTCTACAGGTGGATATCTACGGTCTGATAATACTCAAACCCAAGCGCACACTCGGTCGACAGGCCCTGAAGAATCCACAAGAGAGATCTTTCAGCGCTTGAAGGAGGAGACTAAGCGTGACCATCAGGCTAGAGTTGATTCATGCGGATCCGAAGATGGCGAACCAGAAATAACTCTCGACAGTTATAAGGAAGAGTTGAAGTCACCAACGGGGTCGCCAACGAAATCATCAACCAAGCCTCGTGAGCCTGCTCACCGTGCGGTCCCCGAAAGTCCCTTTGATGACGAGACCATTGGCGCTTTTTTGAAGAGCCTACGAGGAGATTCCAGCTCGCCGAAGAAACAATCTACCCAACACCGCACGGCCTCTCAGTATATCCTCGATGAGATAGAGGCCACCGACAGTGTCCTTTCTGCGAATATTCGTCGCAAACTGCAGCTTGAACCTGATTCTCGAATTCCTAGCAAACACTCAAAGAATTCTAACGAGCCCCTTAACCTCGCAGAGGAATTATTCATAAGACTCGGGGGTTCGGCCCGCAATCTTGAATCCCTTCGTCAAAAGGACGCCGATATGACAAACACTTCTCTAGTTTCAGCCCCTACTGTCACAGCAGATATGAAATCCACGCCTATCTCGAAACTAACCTCTAAACCGCGGACCTCATATCGCCCAGGGTACTCACCTCGTCCGTCCCTGATGTATCTCAACGCTGGTCGTGTAGACACGCACCCTAAAAGGCCAAAGGCTAGGACAGTCTCACAACCCGCTCGCCAGAAGGCCATTAACACTGCTTCAGATACAAATCGCCCACCGAGTACCAGGCCAGACGGCCCTGCTCATTCAAAACTCGATTCCATACCATCAGATCGACTCGCGGCGGCGAAAGCGAGGTTGAAGCAGAGGCAGCTGAATGCTAAGGTCGATGCAGAAGACAAGGAGAATATGCTTGCTGTTTAGGGTACTGTTATGGCACGAATTATGAATTAGTTGTTGGTTAACGTTTTGTATTAGCTGTCCAAGCATCAGCGAGCGAGCCTTTTTCCCACTACTGAAGTGGTTGAAATATTAATGTCTATTAAACGCACTCTAAACCACCATTCTCTCCAGTCCCCTTCTACTAAAAGCTGCCTGAGGGGGCGGTTCCAAATGAGCCTTCTCAAGCACTTCAAATCCGTGTTCCCCTAGCAGTGAACTGTTTATACCTTACTCTTCCCATCACATAGTGAAACGACAGCCCATTTCCCACTCCATGCCCACTTTCGTGATCCAGAGTCACCACCTCCATTCGGCATATTGCGCAGACGCTCATCCTCGCCTTTGTTTAAACCGACAACTACATCAGCTTTACAAGTGCGGAGAGCCAGTACTCTAACGCCTGAACCCAACCCAAGGGGCCCAATTGCGGTGTTAAATGGAGTTGTTGGGTCCCAGTGAGCCTAAACGGTCAAATTAGCGTCCCGTCACTCAGTCCCGATTATTATGAAGCAGGTGTCACAACTTACATCTGCTGTCAGCTTTCGATAATTTAGATCTCCCTTGAAGATGACTAGCTCGCTCTCCTTTAAGTCCTCGAAGAGCTTGGGAGCTTCATGCGGTAATCTCCAATAACTTGACCCGGCGGTCCAGAACCGATTCGGTCTGATAATCAATTGTCCTTCAGCATGGAAATCTCCCCACTGCTCGAATAAATATTTCAGCTCGTCTACTTCCTTCTCCGAAAGGGGTTCAGGTTTCTTCTCGGCACCACTCTCTCCCTCGTCTGAGCTGGTGAAGAAGCTCTGTGGGTTGGAAAGGAGAGCAATGAGATCTCCGAAATCCCGTGGCAAAACATCCGATACGAACCAGGGGATAGATTTGGGATGTAAAACGACACATGTGGCTAGGCCTGAGGAAAGGAGATAGCCAGCTAGGATGAGGTCGACATAGAGTTCAAACCCTGCGTTATCAAGAACGATGTCTACACGGCGCTCTTCATTCTTTCGTTCCATGCGGGCTTTGTTTAATATGTCAAATGCGGCTGGAAGGTCGTTCACAAGAACATTGGCTTCGGCCTTCTTTCGGGCTTCAGCACCTTGGAGCTTTTGGATATCTTCGTATGTGAGAGATGTCAGAAGGGAGAGATCGGTAGCGTTTCCCCATAGGCAAATCTCGCACATCTCCATAAATAGTATTTTGTCGGCTTCTTCTTGTTGTTCGGGCGACATGTCATTTCTCCTGGAGTGCAGTTGCTTTAGATCTTGAGATAACTCCTTGTATCGGGTCGCCAATTCAAGCACGGCTGGTCGTGAAGACCTAAAGGTTGACATCTTTTGGTTCGCAAAGACATCGTATTCCTTCCAGTGCTTTGAACGAGCAAAAGAGACATTCATTCTCCTGTCTTTTCAGTAGTATCTTCCTGTCAGCTTGGGGTGCCGGCTGTATGTATGCCTAGAAATGGAGCGTCCACTAACAAAGATAGCATTCTGCAAACAGCCATGGAGCATTATACCATGAGATATCACCACGCTCTGAAAGTTCCTTGTTATATACCGCAATATCTGACTCTCCATCTTCGGGTAGAGGTCTGTATATCGTATAAGGTGTATTAGCAACCATCCTGTCCGGCTCAATGGCATCGTCTATAAACGGATGAGATCTCACGTCAATTTTCTATCATGCTGCAGCTCATATTTCAATCCAGCCAATTCATGTAGAATATTCTTCCCTTCCTTTTGCGTCTCCTCATCTGTCGACTTGATGACTGAACGATGTAGGTCGTCGATAGCACCAGTCTAGGAATCGCCTTATTAGCTTGCTGTGAATTCGCCCAGGCCATATCGACCATGCAGAATATCGTGGAAATCTCACTAGAATAACGGGCCATCTTTCTACGGCTGAAATATATGCGAATGTCTTCTTGTCCGATGTGCAGACGGGGGCTATCATGACGGAGTCGTTAGCTTCGGCATGTATTGAATGACCCCGCCAACGCGATAAAGGCCGTTTATATAACAACCAGCGCCCACGAAACCGTAGAGCTATAGAACAAGTACATAGAGGAATGGGACTTACGGGTTTTGGTGTCGAATTCCATCTTGCAAGCTTGATACGCGATGTGATGAGAAGTATTGGATTGGGAGACACCAAAATATTATAATGCCGAGGGGTTGTCCCACTAAATTTAGTCAGGGCGGAATAATTCCAGGATCTAGATATTTATAATAGAACATTTTATAGATTATACGAATGCAGCCATATACTGATAGATAGCTCTCTTAAATTGCAATCTAATGCTAAAGAGCCAGGCTATATCCATATGAGCGAGAAATTGTCAACCCAGAACAACAGGTGTAGGGCTTGGAAGCAGAGTAACTAAACAAAAGTAAACCAAGGCGTTCTCTTCACTGTATTAGGTGATAGTCCCAATTTAATTCCATTTCTTAAACGCCTTCGCTCTACCATGCAGTTATATGATAACGGGTATCAGGTTCCTCGCTCGTAGATTCTAATAAATGAGATGGGGGTCGGGGTAGCTGCTTGCGATGTGGCGCAGGCATAAGCTGATGGTGGGAAAGGAGTCTATCCTGAGAACCTGCTTTCGGCTTTGAAGGAGAGATTAACATGGTCAATCGGTTATAACCCGTAGACCTGGGTGATGTGGGTTGCCATCGTGGTGTTATGAGACCTGAGCTCCTAGATGGATTTAGACGTCGTTTTGGCCCTTACTTTACATCAGAGACATTATCGAGTTGTTTGCGTAAGCCTGGATAGCAGAGTTAGTAAGAACTAGCTTCACATAGAATGGACGATAGACATACCATTGGCTTGATATCAGGATGCGGAACAGCATCGAACTTATGGAAGTCAAGCTTAAGCTCTGGGCCAATGTTGATGTATGCACCCTTATTTTCCGTGCTGTCACAGTATTTGGGAGCAGAGAATACTATCGTGATCATTAGTAGAGTTCGCCTTTATAAAGAAACCAAGGAGAGCCGGGGACATACCAGTAATACACCTTCCATCATGCTCGACCTCATAACCCTCCATGCGGACCTCGTGACTTCTAATAACCGCCTCGAGTCCGTTCTTCTCACAGAACCTCTTCGTGACATCAGGGCCAAACTGCATTCCGACGCCTCTCTTGCTGGGTCCTCTACCCGGTGCCGTCTGGGGATCAGTCCAGAGCATCTCCATCATCAATCCCTGCTGACCAGGCTGGCGCTGATTATGCCTGTTCAGCGCTCTGATATCAGCCAGTGAGATGTTATCATCAGAAAACAAGCCGCCGTGGAGAACTAGGAATTTCTGCCCTATCAGTGTAGCAAGGGCGAGTGCGCTGAAGGATTCAGAGAAGACCTTGAACAGACGTTCGGAGTATTTGGCCTTGCATTCACCTTCGAAGCCGTAGGCACGGTTCATGTCATCGGTTTCGTGGTTTCCACGGTTGATAAAGAAACCGTTGGGGCGCATCCATTTGTAGGCGTAGAGGAGAAGAGCGATTTCACAAGACCAGCTGCCGCGATCGACGAAATCTCCGTTGAAGAGGTAGGAGTGCGTGTCGGATGGGAAGCCGTTAAGACGGAATATTTCAAGAAGATCGAAGAATTGACCTGCCATTGGAGTTAGTGGGGGTAAGAAACGCTGCGTGTGCACGAGGGATATTAAACTTACCATGTGTGTCACCGCAAACGGTCATTTTTGAGCCCTCCTCAACGCCAACTTCCACCATGGTAGGCTCGTTATACGCAATATCCCGTACAGCCTTGACTATCTGGAAAGCGTATTTCTTGTGTATCTGCTTCCCGTCCTTGAACCGTTGAATCATATCGTCTATGAACTCCTGTGTCATCTTATCCTCCAACCGAGCGCCGTCGTAGCTATCATCCACGATAAACGAGTCGATATTCAGCCCCTCGAACGCTGACGGAGGATCCGCGACCTCGATGGCCTTCTCGAATTCGATACGCCGTACGAGCTTCTCGCACTCTGCTAGCTTGAGCTTCGCGTCACGGTCGTGTGGGGCCTTTTTCACCACGGTCTTGAAGTCTTTGAGTGCCGCGCGGGAGTTGAGGATTGCGGTGTTGGCGACTGCTCGGCGCCAGTATGCCTAGATACCGGTTAGTTATCGAACAAGTAGCCATTGCGTCGGTGCCGAAGTAAATACCTTGACGTATGAAGGGTCTAGCTCGATAGCTTTGGTGGCATCTGCGATCGCGAATCCAAACGCTTCCATCTTAACATTTACCTATCAGACGAAAGATAGAAGAGTTAACCTATGTGACTAATAACAACGTATACCCGTCGCCTAGCTACTTTATATTGATACGTGGGGTAAAGTTGTACCTGTGCTCTGTTACAGTAGAAGGACGGCTCCTGATCGTACAGCTCGATAGCACGAGTGTAGAAATCAAGTGCCGCGGGCCAGTCATGCTGCGCAAACGACTTGTTACCCTGCTGCTTGAGGGCAGTGGCAGCCTCGATATCGGATTGGGACATGGGGGGCGACGGATGTGCAGCGGGACGGGTGTGGGGTTGTAGATGGGATGCAGATGCGGGCTGGCGGTGCTGAGCAAGTTTATACAGAGAATGAAGGAGGAAATATCAATATGGTCTGCCCTATATACCGCAGCAACAGGAACAGCGCACGCAGAGAGAGGGAGAGAGACGTCGAGAAATGTCGAGATGTCAAAAGTGAAAGCGAAATACGAAAAAAGGCAGCGGAACCGGGAGGGCAGATAAGCTTTGGGCCTGTTAGTAAGCGGCTTAATAAGTCACTTACTAAGCGAAGAGCTTAACATCGACGAGAAGAGAAGAGAAGACGACGAAGAGCAGAAGAGAAGAAGACGAAGAGAAGAGAAGAAGAGAAGAAGAGAAGGTAACGATGGCATCCGGCTCCTTCTACGTCACGACGAGCCAGCAGCGCTCCCTGCGCGCATGCATGGTCTGCTCCATCGTCCAACTACACAATGTATGCAGTCAAGCCCTCTACCTGCTTCCTAACTAACGCCTGGCTAGAAATTCATGAACGAAGGCTGTCCCAACTGCGAATCCGTGCTGAACCTCCGCGGCAACACCGAAGCGATACAAGACTGTACCTCGCAGGTCTTTGAGGGGCTGGTTGCGCTGGCCGACGAGCGTACGTCGTGGGTCGCTCGCTGGCAGAGACTGGATGGATATGTGCCTGGAACTTATGCTGTGAAGGTCGTGGGATCTGTGAGTGCTGTCTGCTTACTTTTATGGTTCTTTTGGCGTTGGTTGGCTAATGTGGATGGTAGCTACCGCCAGAAGTGCTGGGTGATCTGGAAGAGTCGGGGATAACGTATATTCCGTAAGTGGCTGAGTGAGTATATATTTACAAATGGTTGGAGACTAACTGCTGGTATTCAGGAGGGATGGAAGCGCTGCCGATAACGATGGTTGATATGGGCATGCTGGTTTACTTGGGGTTGGGTTTTGGTTGTCCTGTTTTATATTCCGCTTAATAGGTTGATAGCGAGGCGAAGGCGTTTGTTCTGTTTTGGTATACACTACATTCTATCTGTCGGCGTTTGGACTTGCATGATCATGCGTGGCTACGGAAGTTCGTTGAAATAATGCATAGCATGGTCTGCTTAGAACAGGCTAGAACAGGCAAGGCAGAGAAATATAGCAAGACATGCTAAACGTTCATATTAGACTCGTGAGACGTATGTTTAAACTTGGGTGATCTTTGACAAACAGGTTGCAAATAGCTGCTTAACCGCAAAACGAGGTGAAAACAAAAAGTGGAAAAGAAAAAAATTCCGCGTGGAACAAATTAATGGCACTATCTATTGCTTGACGATTTTCTCCAACGACTCGAGCAGGATATCCGCGTGATGCTTCTGGAACACCAGCATGGGTCTCAGTCGCACGGCGGACTCGCCGCATCCACCGACGTTGATACCGACCTGCTTGCCGCGCTTCAACACCGCATCACGCTGAGGGCTATCCCAAGAGATGAACGTGCCCTGGCCCTTTCCTCGCAGGTTCTGGAACTGGTCGGGATACTTCTCAGCCAGTCGCTCGAGGCCGGCGAACAGATAATCTCCCGTCTGGGCGGTATGCTTGACGAGATCCAGTCGCTCGATCTCCTCGATGATGGCGCGGAAGATGAGTGCGCGTGCGGGATCACCCATCCAAGTGTTGAACTGTCTGTAAGGCTTGTTGGGCCTGAGGGCTGGGTTGCCAAAGTAGTAGCCTGCAGCCTGTGCCTTCTTGGAGAAGGTGACGATGTCTGGTGGGGTGGAGAGGTTCCAGTGCTCATGGGCCCAGAATTTACCGGTTGCACCAACACCAGTCTGTACTTCGTCGACGATCAAAAGGACATTGTTGCGCTTGGTGACCTCACGGAGGCCCTGGAAGAAGGCTGGGGAGGCGTGGTTGTCTCCTCCCTCAGATTGGACGGGTTCGATGACCACGGCAACGACGGGGTTGTGGAACTCTTGGATGGTTCTCTCGACTTCCTCGAGACAGCGTTGTTCCTCTGCTGCGTTTTCAGAGGCGAATTGGTCGAGAGGGTATTTGAGCTGTGGGAACGGAGCACGGGGCCAGTCAAAGGCCGGGATATCGAGCTTGTGGATGGCCTTGCTGCGAGTGGTGGAGAGAGAGCCGAAGAGGCGGCCGTGGAAGCCGGAGGTGAAGGACATGATGGAGTAGTTGGGGGAACCGGGAGCCTGGTTGACCATGGTGGAGGAGACGTCCTCGGCGGAGAACTCAGCCTCGGGCCCACCACGCTGGCGCTGGGCATAGTACATGAAGGCGGCCTTGTAGGCGGTCTCGTTGGCATCAGAGCCGGTGGTGGAGGTGAAGACCTGGTCGAGACCCTTGGGGGCAACACGCAGGAGACCGGTCTCCAGGATGCTTGCCCAGTTGTGGGAAGGGAAGTTACCGAGTGCGGGACGGTTGATGAGAGCACTGGCCATATCGGTGGTCTTTGTGGCAGCAAGCAATGCCGCGTTGTTGTAGCCTACAGGGATAGAGGCGATTTGGGCAAATCTACATACCACGGGGGTCAGCCTGGAGTTTCGATCAATTGTCTAGAGCAGCACACTCACACATCAAGCAGGACGTTTCCATCGAGGTCTGCAATGCTATATCAGGGATGGCTATCAGTATGCTGTCCCAATTGACGGTCTGAGGGCGCGGACATACTAGTTGCCCGTGGACTTTTGGTAGTCGACCAGCATGTTCAGACTCCTGGTATCGAACACCCGGTCAAGCTTGGTGATCTCCTCCTTGCTCTTGGGTCCCGGGATAGCAGTCTTCACCGTAGGCCCCTCTGGCTCGTTGGCGAAGAAGGGCTTCTCAGCAGCGGCGAGCCGGGGGGTGTTGCTGAAGCATCTGGCACCCTGGACCCGCGCAGCAGCAGCTCTCACGCCCACCCTGGAGCGTAGAATCGAAGCCATTGTCGTTGACCGAGTGCCGCCTAGCACGCAGAAAAGGTATGCAGAGATGTGGGAGCGTCGACAGAAGCTGCTGGAGAGATACAGAGTATATGTAGGATGTTGAGTCTTCGTTGTTGTTGATGTCGTAGCTCTCCCCGCAACCTGCCCGGCTTTTGTTCGGCCGAGCCGCCCAATCAGGGATGGCGCGCTAGTCCCGAACAGGAAGAAACATCCCGCCGCGATAAGATAAAACTGCTTATGTCATCCATCTTCGGGCCGGCTAAGAAGACGATAGAAGAAGATAATAGAATAGAATAAGAATAAGATAATAGGATAGAAGATAATAGAATAGGATAGGATGATGATGATAGGATATGATAGGGTGAGGATGATAGGCCAGGAGTAGAAACAGTCGCCAGACGAAGGCGTTGGTGATGGCTGATCTAGCAACTGGTTAGACGGCTAGTGTCTCGTCGGCTCTTCGGTGATGGAGTTGGCCTCTCTCTCCTCGAAGCACGCCCTTTGACACCGCGGGACGAAGGTCTAGAACGGGAATAGAAATCTCACGTGAGATGGTTGATGGTTGGCCGTTGGGCAGGACAGAAGAGAAGAGAAGGGTATCGACACCAACCCGAAGACCACTCGTGGGCGTTTGTTAGTGGTCTCTAGCTCTGGCACTGCCATAGTGACAAACGATGCAGATGATTCATCGAGTACTCATCGAGCGATTAAAGTGAAGTCTCCAACTGAGTAGGAAGGTTTTCAGCCGTCAAGTTAATATATCTTCTTTATCAAACGAGATAAGAGATCGAGTCAGGTAGCCGTAATCTATCCTTCAAGAAAGTCGCTAGAGTCGCCACCGTATCACTTCATCTCGGGTGACAGAAATCCGTATAGCAGACACGACTGGCTCACACTCTGTCACAGCTTCAGCCTTGTGCAGGGGCCGGGACCCTTGTCTGGACGGTGAATCAGTGCATTGCGTTCTGAACGGCGTATCCACAACGTGTGCAGCCACTCGGCCCCTGCAATCCTCCTCTCTGCACCTCTGGATCCTTCGCGCCAGCGTTGGCGCCTCCACCGGACGGGCAAGGCCGTCGCTTGATGACGCATCCTCGGCCGTCAGGAGAGCCCGATGTTGACGGTGAATAATTATATAGAGTAAGTACTTACAGCTGCTCTCTGATGTCTTCCTGATTACTCCGTATATTCAGTCTGAATGTGATGATGCTGAAACTCGGAAGATTTAACGTTGCAGTTAAGGTTGTCCAGCCGGCCCGGCGGAGTTAAATTATCCTTAATTTACTCTATATATACACTCGCATGCCATTTGGCCACGTTCAAGCGCCCTTGGATCGTCGTGATCAGCGAGTAGAAGGTGAACATGGTGAATTGGGCGACTGGGGGCCAACTTGTATGCGGTCTTGTATACTTACTTTGTCTTCTGGCAGGCCCGAGGCCTAGCTGCGACGTGTGTTTCACCTTCTCCCGCCCGCCCGCCCAGACAGGGATGAACTTAGCGCCCTCATGGTGGGCCAGCGTCTTCACGTCCAGGCCAGGGGAAGAAATATTTCTTGAACTCGGATCCTTCCATCGCTCCTTTTTTTTCTCTTTCTCTCCCTCGTGTTTGTTTGCTGCGTTATTTTCATTCCTTCGTTTATTACAAGCGTCCTGTCCTTCGTTGATCACTTTAGCTGTTCATTTACCGTCCTTTTACCCTGTTTACTCCGTACTTACTTGCATCGTCACTATCATTTATCTACCCCTTAGTCCCCCAACATGAGTGAAGAGGTCCACCACATACAGGAACAGGGACCGCGACCGATTCGAGCGGAGAGCAAGACATCCAGCATGGAGACCAAGTGTGAGAAGAACGGCCAAGTCACGCCGTCAAAGATCACTCCTCGGCCTACATATATCAGCAGCGCAGCAGCCGGCTCAGATCTCAAGCTGCCTCAGCAGATGCTCTCTAAGAGGAATACAATCGACATAAACGATTATTTCGTCAGTAGCCTTCTTTATTTCCTGCTTTAAAGTGCATCCGTCTAATATATTGGGTGAATAGAAAGGACCCAGGAACCTCGACAGACACTCGAAATGGCCGCTGTTCCTCCGAGTCCATGGCAGTGTTATGCCCCGAATGATCATCCCGTTGTTGGTAATGGCTTGCTGGTCAACCGTTATCACCTGTGTGACCCGTCTGGCTAAAATTCCTCGTACGTTCGTCATTACACCGTATAGATGCAGATCCCTCTAACATTCGGTAGTTGGCATTGACTCGACCCTTCTTACTGTGCTCGGTTTCGTCGTCGGTCTCGCGCTCTCTCTCCGAAGCTCGACTGCATATGAACGGTACGCCATGCCCCATGATTTTTAGGCTAGGATATATCTAACATGTTCACGTTTAGTTATGGTGAAGGCCGCAAGTACTGGGCAACTTTGATGCAGTCCTCTCGCAGTCTGGCTCGTATCATCTGGATCCACAAGACTGAACGCGAAGGAGAAGAGGGAAAGGAAGACATCATCTCCAAACTGTATGTTCCTATTAATTATCATAGTTGTGGTTATCGCTAACGCATGCCAGGACTGGAATAAACCTCATCGTGGCCTTTGCTGTGGCCTTGAAACATAAACTACGTTTCGAGCCTGGCAATGGTTATGAAGATATCTCGGGCCTCATCGAGCATTTGGATACCTTTGCCAAAGCAGCCAACGATCCTAATGCCGGTCCGGAGAGAAAGCCCGGCATGCTCAAAGCTGTCGGCCAGTATCTTAGCGTTCCCATGGCCATGTCCAACCCGCGAAAGCAAATCAAGCGCTCCGACAGGCCCCTGGGAAATCTGCCAGTAGAGATCCTCAACTACCTCTCCTCCTACATCCATGAGTCCCTGATGAGTGGCTCCATCCCCATGCCCGTCCACCAATCTCAAGCCGGTATGTCACTCCCTTTTTAACTATTATTGTATAGTCTAGCACACGCTAATATTTATATAGGTGCTTGTCTGGTTTCTCTGGAAGAAGTCATGACTGGTAACGAGCGTGTACTCAACACCCCTCTACCACTCGCATATACCATCCTGATCTCTCAAGTCACATGGATCTATGTTCTCGCCCTGCCATTCCAGCTCATCAACAAACTTGGCTGGGTCACCATTCCAGGAACTATCGGTAAGCTTTCTCGCTCTATCCCTAACATCCACCCTACTAATACCTCTTAGCTGCTACATACATCATCCACGGTATTGCCTCCATCTGTGCTGAGATTGAAAATCCCTTCGGTGACGACGTCAACGATCTTCCCCTTGACGTCTTCTGCCAACAACTCGCTGCCGACCTCGATATCATCACCTCTACTCCACCCGCTGAGCCAGCCTCGTTCATCAACCGCGAGGATAACTATGTCCTCTACCCACTAAGCAGGAGCAGCGTCAACATGTGGAAGGACCGCAGCGTTGAAGATATCCGAGCTGCGCTCAAGGCCAAGGCGACGCTTACGCCCGCCAGACTTAACGAGGCCGGCTCGAGGGACCTGGCATTGGCTATGAAGGGCCAGGACGAATCCATTGCGTGATCGTATATAAGAGGCTACGCGAATCGATGATTACAGGGCTTGATAGAGTCATCCCCTCACTCATTTATGCATATATACGCCTTCCGACAACACTACACAAACCGTTCGCCATATTCTTTCATTTGACTTACTATCATTGTTAATCACCGTTGCCCTTATCCGGCTCCAGCATATATGCTGTCACTTCTTTTCTTGGTTTATAGCGTGGGAGTTTTGTATATTGCTTTTTTTGATTTCAAACCAGTCCTTTATTGCGTTTTTTGGTTATATGTGCTTTACATATCGAAACAAAATGTCTGTCCAATAGAATAGAGGCCTAAAATGCGTCAATTGCACGAATTTCCTTGAAGTTATTCTTCGTAGTCTTCTACCTGAGGTGAATCACCCTTTCTCTCAGCGCCTAGACACTGGATGATCCGTATAAGTTGTCGAGATACTCTTCAATGCATCAAGTGATGACCTCAGAAGTCGCGTCTCGGAATAGGATGGCCCAAGGGAACGAGATGGTGGTCCCCTTGATGCCTCGCCTCGCGGCGCTGTGAGGTGAGAGAGGCGGTCTAGCAACCTGCCCTCAATGGATATCAATAACAGTAATTAAACATGCCCTTTCCCCCTTCAAGGCACAAATAGCTCCCTCCCAGTACCTCCAACCAGTGCACCGAGCCAGGAACCCCTCGCTATGACCCTCCACGCTACATCCATAGACCCAGTCCCAGAACCAGAGCCAATCCAGGAGCTCATCGCAGCAGCTACGGCAGCGGCATCATCATATGGAACTCGAATCCAAAGCGAGTTCGCGTCCTTTTGGTTCACCTTGTTCCCTATTTTGAGTATATCAATGGGTATAGCTGTGCCAGAAAGGCCAAGATATTGAGAAAGGGCAGCAGATAGATACGTTTTCGCCGTGAGAGGGTCGAGTTGTTGGGATGCGTCGGGCGTTTTGGTGATTGAATCGGAGGTAGTGGAGACTCTATTGTCATTGACAGTTGAATATTAGCTCATCTTGTATTTCACTTTTTTATATTGTCTACTTTGAATGGTCAATTGACATTCTATATTGAGGGTGATCATACAATTCAAGGTGGAGATAAGCCCATTGTGGCTTCCGGGACGTCAATTTAACTTGCGTCTCTACGGAGGTAGATTTGCGTTTCCTTTTATTCTCGCCCATGATTAACACACGCGTAGCTATAGACGGGGTATCTCGGGTGTGTCGCGGATCGTAACTAAGTTGGTTAACGGAAGTAAGGAGCTTGTATATTTATTTATCTGACTGTGGTCGATGTTTTTAAGCTGTCGCGGAACTTTTTGGAGCTTGGCTTTATTTTCTTGGCGGCGGAACTCTAAATTATCAACATGGAAAAAGATATCAACAAGTCAACCTCAGCATCAATATTCAATCATTTAACTGCAAACAAATGTCCATAGGTAATAGGGTCATTACGCACTTATTTTCAATAATAATATAGTTACAACTATATTTTAGATAAGAGTTCTGTATTAGATCTACGGAGCAGCGCTCTGGTCATAGATCTAACTCACTTCCTACTTCCATAACACACCAATTGCACTTACTATGGCGCCATCTGGCCTCAAAAATCTTCTATATCAAGCAGTAGAGTTTATATCCAGCAGATTCTTCACCCTGCCACCCTTTTTTCGTCCCCGCTTTTTCCCCTCTCACCGTTGGGGTGAGGGTGGCTGGTAGGTAGGGAACCGCCGTGAAGGACAATATATATCTGCATTGAACAGGCTAGTAATGCAGGATAGCGGAGAATTAAGGCGCTTATTCAGGCCTCAGCAAGGTGGTGGGCCCGCGCTAAAGATCTCGGGTACCGTGATATCAAGTTTGGCTCCTATTGTTCGCAGCCTGTGAGACGGAAAAGGAGGGCGTTCACAATCGGATGATATAGATATCAGCTATTCGTCTTCTCTGCAATGAAGAATTTTCATACATCCCCTCCCCTTAGCTTCGTTTTGCGGCCCAGCCCCTTTTCAATCTGGTATTATCAGGATGAGGCAGTATCTATATCTTCGTCTCCTCCCCTCGTTCTCTTTCTCCTTCTCCTTCTCACCCTTCTTACACCCTTCGTTCGCAGACCCTCCTCACGAAGCAGATTTCAGCCAGTTGCAAGATTCTCTTCATCCAATTGACAAGTTCCGAGTCCTAGACTTCGAGATTGAAGAGCCGGTGCTTCCTTTTCACCAGATATCTCAATTTTCCCCCTTTTATCAACTCGATTTAAACACTTGCAAGATAGCCAGTTCTTGAAGCTGGCTTCAAGTTCTGCACTACTCGCCTCTTCCGATTGAACCATCGTAGCCTGTGGCTACTCTTCAAAACATTCAACATTCAAACGACAACAAATACGAAAAAGACCAGCAGCATGGATTATGTTCTGGGATTGACCATGGAGGAAATAGAAATGGCAATGGGCCTGGCAGCGGCTGGACCGCCACCACCAAACCCACCAAACTCAAACTACAACAATATTCCTACATCCAGGCCTATCATCGGGTATGGTGTGGCCAATGATGAAGGTGAAGATGAATATGATGACGAAGACGAGGACGACGAGGGTATGTATTTCCTCAAAGCCACACGGCCCATAATCCTACTTAGAGAATGAACTTCTGGCTAATATCAATATAGAAGAAGAAAAGCCAGTAGCCACGACGTCTAAGAGAAAAAAATCGACCAAGAAAAAAGAACCAGCGGCCGATCCTGCTGAGAACTATACGGATATAGTCCCAGGCCAAGGTTCATGGTCATTCGAAAATCTTCCGGATATCCTATACGTTTTCAGGGGCCCAAATCAACCAAGGGGCAATGTCGAAGTTCCAACGAAACCCTCAGCTTGGGGCGATAGTCCATCGCTAAGATGCTTTCCCATCCTACCGGATAGGGTATCGGGCAGTGTCGAAGAATTTAGGGTAGAGGCATGGATGCGCATGGATAGACGAATCCAGCTCCATGACATCACCGACAGGATGCACCCGGCGTTTAGGATCGTCCCAAACACGCTGCAACAGCGCGGAGTCCGATTCCGACAGGCCTTCAACATCGCATCTTGGGGGGTATCATCTAAACAAACCGACAAGGCCGTCGAGGCTATTAAAAGCAAGCTGATCCAAAACAACATCAGCTTACAAGCAAATACCACGCGCGGCTTGACACCGGGTTTGATTAATCCAAGCCTTGGGGAAGCGGGTGGCAGAATCTCTGTCCCCCGGCAATACGCACGACGAAAGGATACCACGATTCGTGTAGGAATGGCTGCAGGAAATTCAATGCTAGGAAGCATTGGCCCAGCGCCGGCGCTGGTTCCAAGAATGTATGCACCTACATCAGCAATCAATCCTGGTGCGAACTCAACGCAAATGATTTCGAAAAGCCCACCCGCGGCAGTAGCGTCCTTCACAGGAGCTCCCTCTTCGGTGACAGCATCCACGTCGCTCAGAGGATTGAGGAGGCCAGCACCTACGCCAACCCGAGTTATGCCTGCTCAAATTCTTGCTAGAGCTGCAACAAACGCAATTGCGAATCCTTATGGTCACTGTTTCACGGCGCCGGTGCTTACAGCATCTGGTGAGGTCAGAAGTGTCAGGGCTCCCACCCTCGACGCTGCGAACGCAACTTTGGAAAGTGCAATCGCAAACATACTCCAAGAACAAACGAGGAACCCATTGTTCGAAGAATTGCTCAATGACCGTCAATCGCAACTGATGCGGGATTATGAAAGGCGTATGGCATCTCGCCCACCGCAAACAGTCCAAGCAAATCCTGATACCTGGCCATGCCACCAGCCTATGGTAAGCTGGGCGGCGGAAGCGGCACCAAATCCTACCCCAGCTCCACGGCCCACGGGTACTATCTCAAACCCCGAGCACAATCTTCTTCGGAGGGTTCAGGATACGCCGATCCAAGGCTCCGCACGACCCAAAATCAAAAAGGCGTCCACCCGCCGTCAACGTTTGTCACCAGCTCGAAACCATGGACACAGACAGAATGGTCGTAATCCTACTGCAAGCATCAATACCAGCAGGGAGTTGGATAGGCTCGAACCCTCGACGATACGAGCTATCATCAGCCTTCTTGAGGTGAACACTGAGGAGCAGTTCCGCCAGTTCTGTCATCAGTTCACCGCCTCAAGCAACGCCATTGTGAAGAAAAGCGAATCACCAGATCCGCAACCTCAAGCCTTAGCCGCCAGTTTCAATGAACCACAAGTCGGCACAACTAGGCCAGTTGTCATCGAATTTGACAACACCGAACAGGCTGAAGAGGACCTTGTAGAAGACAACCTCACCTTTGACGAGCTCATTGCGATATACGAACACGAACAAGAGAATGGTCCAGCACGACCAATACCATCCGCATCGGACGAATATCAAGAGGTTGCCAACACCCAAGAATATCTGATGGAAGAGGCACAGCGTGTAGCCGACATTCCTTCATACGAATACTTGGGCATTACTCAAGAGCAGTATGAGAAAATCATAGCTGGGGACGACGACCTAGCTGAGAGATTGACAGGGTATCACTAAGAACGAGAAGAACAAGAAAGGCAATTGATTTGCCACTTGGACGGGCTGGTCCCTCCAAGATAATCCTACGACGAGACGTGATACGATACGGAGATTGGGGACATGACGGATGGTTTTGTTTCATGTAGATACTAAACGGATTGGACGGATTTGTATGAAAGAAAGGAGCAAGAAAACAGGCGAATGAGGTAAATGGATGAGAGAGAAAAAAGGAAAAGCCCAAAAAAACGTGGTTCATGGTTGAATATGCGATGTTTTCTGTTTTTATGTTTGTCGATGTCAAGTTTAACTCAAGGTTGATGCCAAGCCATAGCTAGTTTAATTGTTTAGTCATCTTATTTCCGACTTCAACTTCATCATTTTCTTCCTCTTCATCGCGGCCATTTACGTCGATATTTCATCCTGCTACAAGAATCCAGGAGATACTTACAAGCGTGTGATTTACGGCTTGACATGAGTAATCCTGCTATCTACGACCAAGTCAATCCACTATGAGAGTCGCAACCCTATGGGCTGTCTTGTTTTCTCGTGTTGATTCTCTACACCAAATGGTTTATGATACCTTTAATTATATTATACCAAGGCTATCCCAATTATCCTCTGTCATCAAGTAGCCGCCGTATGGCGGTCACACAATACCTTTACTTCAAGGCAGATATTATTGGAATTTTGCCCGGAGCTATCAATATCCTATGATCTCATACTGGATGATCTGATTTCTTAACGTAACAATATGTTATGAACTTTCACACAAAATGCACCACTTTAAGGTCCATTTTCAATACGATTACATGCTATCTAAATTGGGCGTAATCATAACAAAGCTCTCTAGATTAGGAAAGCACAGAGCTTGTAGCAAAATCAATGGATATACCTAGGTATATTATCAGTATATATATGTGTGTTGCTTTATATACATGCCCTTGGGGTCAGGTATCTCACTTATCCATGATATATATATCCATCTCTATATAGGAGATGAAATATGGAATATACACAGGTATTCACTGCTGGAGACTTCACTGGTGAAGGTGGAAGAATGAGAAGTCCCCTATTGTTCTCCTTTCTAGGCCAGCCATGTTGCCAGCTCTCTTGTTTAATAGAAAACTGCGCTAATGAAGCAAAAGTTTACGCTAAAACCCTTCCATCACTGATATTGTGTTGCTCACTTTTCACATATCAGAGAGTGAGGAGGACTTGTTTTGCTCTCTAAGCAAAGGTGCCTCCCACTCAGCCAAATCATCCCTGCTGGTTGTTGACATCCTGCCATTTCTCACAGCCCTTGAATTGTTCTGCTCTAGCCATGGCCGAGATAAAGATGGAGGACGCGGGCGTGCCGCTTATTCTGCCCTCTGGTGAGTGTATACCCAACGCAGGAAGGCCTCCGGGTGGTGGCATATTGTCGTCATCGAGCTGGGTAACGGTTTGGGACCTCTAGCTAACCAGGTGTTGCTGAATAGCTCAGCACGAATGTAGCCGTAAGTGGCCTCCTGCCGAAGCCATTGATATATATACCAAGACTGACGCGTTGAATCCAGATGACGGGATTCCAGACATGCTGCATACCTGCTACCACCCCTATCACTCAGCCTACAGCCCGGCACATTTGCCTCCTCTTCTATTCCGACTAGATGCTCCAACAGAGCCGCCTATGCCCCGTATAATTCGGTATTTAACCAAAGACGGGGCAATCTCCTATGTCAAGGAGAGTAACGCAATCAAAGACTTCCAATTTCTGCTACGATATATCTCTGTTCGCGTATCCGGCTGGCTCCTGGAATACTGGATGAGGACTGACCCCCGCCTCACGTATCGAGATATTAAGGCGCGAATGACAGCTTCTCCGAGTGATATTCCATCTGACAACGCGCTAAACATGCGTCGTGAGCGCGAAGCCCGCCTGCCGCTAGGTCTCTCCTGCTGGACCACGCGTCGTGGCGAAATCACCAGAACTGAAGTTGAAAGGGTTGAACGCTGGTCTCAGCCGCAAATCTCCTTAAATACTACCATGGAAGTTGAACATGCCACGTCCGCCAGGACAAACGAAATGACCCCCGTTTGTCTTCTAATGAGGCGTCTCGATGGAGGAAAACCTCAGCGATATGTCCTAGATACGTTCATGGACGGAAGAGAAGGGCCGCATGTACCTGGGCTGCGTATAACGGCTGCCATTCAACTTCTGTATCAACTTCAGGACTTCGCTAATGTACTGGACACAAAGGACTGGAGATACTTACCCGGAGAGTACCTCCCGGAGTCATGGATTAGGAGAACTGGGCCTCGAACCAAGTCCCAGGCTGGCAGTTCAACTGACAGCGACATGAAGTTTGACTTGATCGCCCCCAGCGAAAGTGGGAAAAAGAAAATGAACGTTGGCAAGAGAGTGGGATATCAGGCAGCATACTCTGAGGGTGGTTCAGAAAAGGAAAACATGAATGAAGGAGGATGTCATTGTGGTGCAGTTAACCGTCTGAAGGAGGACGATGAAGATGCCCCATCTGACATGCCAGGTGACCAGCCAGCTCTCGGCAACATGTCATCTCCCATTCACTCAAAGCAGAATACTGTATGGAAGTTTGCTGGCTCTGCATCGCCTTCACAGCAGGTCTCCTACTCTTCTTCACAGCCTGAACAGAGTGATTATTATGGAGAACAGCCACATACAAACACCTTGTCTGATCCATCTTGCATAGACCAGCCTGTTATCCAATACAACCCCCAACTTACAGTGAACATCTACGGTGCTCCATACAATGAATCTTCCCTCCAGCAGCAGTCTCAAAAAGTATTGTCTATTCCATCTTCAGCCCAGCATACTTCACAGGAAACGTTGAACCAGCCTCCGCCGTATTTCAGCCAGTCGTACGATGGAGGAAACGAATTCATGTCGAATCAACATCAGACACCCAAGGATCAGGGATCGGATTTTCTTTCCATGAGCCCTCCAAGTCAGCAGTATGAAGTTCCCGAGCCGTTTAGATTCAATGGAGCTGGCCTATTTTCAATCCGGAACAACCCTGCCCATCGTCTAAATACCAATACCTCCGAGGTGATGGAGAGAAACAACCCGTTTCTTGACCTCGACTCCCCCAGCATAGCCAACCAGCGATCATTTGATGATTTCTTTACTGCAGATCTTGAATAACTCTTGCGAGGCTTATTCAGGTCATTTTTATCTTAATAAGTTGTTTTTCCTTGGATTTTATCGGGGGTAAAGGGTTAAACATACAAAGATCCCTGGATACCAAATATTGATACACGCATTAGTTACTCACTTGAAAAGGGGAGCAGGCATTTTTCTTTTTGCCTTGCATAGCTGATTTGTTTCATAAAATTTCCCCGGATTCTAGTTGAACTAGTACTACCCTTGCCGGAGTATTAGTTGTTTCTCCCCTCCTGTGTGATAGCTAGATATCTAATTACCTGAGCATGGACGTTGAGATATTGTTTTATACATCCTTCTCTTGACAACTAATCGCTTGTTTCAGTTCCAGTCCTACTTTCGAACAGTCTTTTCCGGTACTGCTAAACTTTCCAATCGATGATCTGTTAATTTCCCTTTGGATCTTCTCGGGCTTTCTATTAAACCGTACAATGATATAGAGTGTATGAGGGTGGAGAAGGGAAGTTGGAGTCATCCCTTGAGGCTAAAATCGACGTGTCTCTAGTTCTAGTTTAATCCAGACTCTGTTAAAAAAGCAATATACTGTCCAAGGAAGAGAATCCGGCGGCCACACCTCCTTCGTCACTGTCCTTGGCCTTCGTTCTCATCAGCCAGCCGCCTTGCTCATTATGCAGAAGCTCGCCATTTTCTTTCCATAAGGCTGCCCCGTACATGCCTAATTCCCCTACTACATCTCCGCTGAGGACCTGGCCATCGCTACGGAGAGCAACATTCTTAGCTGGCGGGGGTTGGATGAGTTCCATGAGGATCCAGCCTTTCCAATCCTTTTCAGGCAGTGATTGGAGGAAAGCGGGTATCGAGTCACGATATACGTTATTTCCGCCTCCTTCACGCTGAGGCTTTAGCACATGGTTTGCGGCTGTTTCCGGATTCAATGCAAGCTCTCTGCCACGGCCTCCAACAGAAAGGTCGTATTGAGGTGCAAAGGTAGCCCGAATTTGTTTTATCTTTGTAGGTTCAGTGTTGGGTAGGAAACGAGTGAGGTAGTCCATTTCGGGTCCTCCCACTTCGGTAGCAAGAATTTGTTGCACCTTCTTGCAGCCTGACAATTGGCTGAGGACAGTTGGGCACTTTATGGCTGCTGAGCGCTCTAGATGTGTCCGTGCTTTCCATGATGCTTCATCCGGGTAGTCCTGTGGTCCATACAATGCTCGAAGGTAGATAGTGGTGGCCTCAAACTGGGTAGAGGGAGAATAGGGTGGAGTATATATAATAGGGCGCGAAGGGTTAGATTCAGGGATGGATGTTAGTTCTAAAATTTCGGGACTCGTGATTCGGAAAACGGGGATGTTGTGAGACTGAGTGAGGCACGTTGCTAGTTCCATCTGGTCGAAGAGATTTCTTTCTCCAGCCTGGACTACAAACAGAATGCATAACGGCAATGCATTTGGCGTTGACTTGGAGGGGCCGTATGCCTTGTGGGCAGCAGCAAGGCCACCGGCCAAAGCAGGGACAGCCGTATTCACTGGTGGTAGGTTCCCCTTTAAGGCTGGATGCGATGGGTACACTATGGGCTCTCCCGTTGGCGAGGATAGAAGAGATGTATGTAGCGCTGATACCAGGCATGATAGCCCTCCAAAGGATGCAGCAATGGTGTTGAATTCAACTTGCTTCAATTGTGCTTCCTCCAAGGAACTCTGAGGCTTGTGTACCATGTAATCTGATCGGAACAAGCCAAGTGAGAGAGGCTGTACATATCCCTCACTTTTGACTGCGAGATGAACTTTCCAGAGGCCGGCCACGAAGTCATCTACGTCAACGAGACTATCGAGTAAAGATTAGCGATTGATGGCTAACTCGAACAACGTAGGCCCAAAACTGATATAAAAGGATATAGGGCAAGCTTACTCTTCAATTATCTCGCCCAGCCAGTCTATATTACCGCTTATCGAGGCGTACAGCTCGTTATACGTCTTCTGCACCGAGACGGCAGACTCGTAGCAAGACCTGGGGAATAAACTCGGAAAAAGGGTCACTGGAGCATTGGTCGCTAGCACGCCCTGCGGATCTGCTGCACCCTGTACAAACGCCGGAGGAGGCCTGACAGCAAGGCCGTGATGTATACACCAATCCTTTACAGTAGAAACTAAATGCTGTTTCTGTTCTGGAGAGAGCTCCGGCGGGTACGAAGCCGAGAGGTCCATTGGAGAGGACATTGATATATTATAAAATTGAGCTGTTAAGTTGGTGAATGCAGGCCCGTACAAACCGCCCTCGTAGACGGCGCAGCTATCGGCCTTTATATGAGTCCCTAGTGAGCTGGAACTGACGCGAATCGCGACCGGATTATCAATCAATCTGATCCCTCGGCGGGGCAGCTTGACCCCACGTTGCTACCCCGCTGATGTAAGCCTAACAGGCATGTCCTTTTCCTTTTGCTTTCGATAGCAGGCAGTGAGGTGACAGTGAATATATATCGCCAGTATCGCGCATATCAGTGACCACCCAGCAAGACTCGAAACTGCATCTTTTTTCTTTTTTTAGCCTGCGACTTGCCCTTTTTGGGTCGCTGACATCGAGAATTTCCCGATCGGGACCTGGCAGGCTTACATAAGAAAACGGGTTCCACGTGACGAGCGGAAAGCTTATATTTAGTGTCTTCACCGCCCTTGGCAGAAAAACGGCCGAGTTTAGGGCTAATCGCCGAAAGAGGAAGTCAACACGTCCAACGCGTCGTCCTCGAGCAGAAGAACAAGAAGAGAGCAGAAGAGGACGACGAAGACTCTCGTTTGCCAGCAGTCGAGGACGTCGTTGGGCCGATGACTGGACGCGATGGAGACGGATCCGTTCCTCTGGTCCATTGATGAAGTGGTTGCTTATCTCTGCCATGGCTCGTTCGAGGATTGGGCTCGATCATCTTTACCGCGGCCTAATCCAATCCCCTTAGAGAACAATCTGCGAGAGAACTATGTGACCGGCGAGGTCCTTTTAACAGAAGTCGATAGAGAGGCGTTGTCTCGCTATCTTGGTTTAAAACCGCTGGGACATCAAGCTACTATCTTCAAGGCTATCCAGTACTTGAGATCGCGGTCGTCTGAGTTTAGTAAAAGTGCTAATGCTCCAGTGAGCGCACAGCAGCCTGTAGCCGCTGCTTTTGATAGCTTACCAGGGCCTTCTCTTCCTCCCCCTCCTCCTCCTCACATCCAAAATACGCCTATACAGACCCCCACCCGGCCTCCTTCCACGCCACGAGTTCCGCTGACCAACGGTGATTCTTCTCGGTCCGCTAAACCGACGCCTAAACAACCCGTTCTGCCCCCTCCTGGCCAGAAGGAGAACGATGCTATTGCATCTGATGGCAGAAAACGACGACGACTCAACCCCGACTCCTTATCGACACGCGCATTCCGCGTTGTTCCCGAAAACCCTCGACGAAAACGATACCTCTGCTCGCAGAAGCAGCCAGTTAAGGATATATTCTATAATGGAATAGAAAGTGACGATGACAATGATACATTCGGGTTTATTCGCCCACCTAACTCCTCTAGAGGTCAATCTCTCTATGTGAACAAACGAATGCAACATTTTCTACAACAAGTGCCCCAACCTTTCAAGGATGGCAAAGAGGGGTCCCTCGCATTATTCCCATACGATAAAACAGTTGCGTCGGATGCACCACTCTATTTTACACTCTTTGAAAAGAATGACGGAGAATATAGTGCTAGGATGGAAGCGGTAGAAAAGTGGCCACACCTCAAAGAAAAGAGTGCGTTAGACTATCTCCTTGTCAAATATCCCCCCCAGGGCGACGAACTACCTTTGTATGGAGAATCTGGATCCGAAGACTACGACTCCGACACATGCAGAGACATGGACGAGGCCAGGGACGATGCCGAGGATGAGAGCAACAGTAATACGTCTGGTCTGATGTCGGTTGCCGAATTAAGCGCGATAATTGACAACTTTATTGCTGATACCATCGACAAATGGAAGGAGAGCAAGCTGCCAAGTCAGGAAGGAAAGGCACGAACACTATGGAGACAGTCAAGAAAACGAGGGACGGTTTCTAGCGATATACGGCGGGCTAATACCGAGATCACTCGACTGAATGAGCGCCTAGCCAATTGGTCAAAAGGAATAAAGAGCAACGAGTATGAAAAAGGTGATGAGGACAAGGTGCTGCGACAATGCGCGTCCTTGGAAATCACTATCAATCAACGGGAGTTACAGAGATGGAGACTCTCAGTCCTGGAACTAGAAACCTGCCCTCCCAAACTCAGCCGCCCCGTAAGTCGCTCAGAAAAAGTCCGACCACGTCTCCAACGTGACGATGAAGAATCTATTGGATCGGATACCGACGACGCCCTGGACGATGATTCGGATTTTGTGGTGTCAGATGATGCTCAGGAGGGCCATAACGCAATAAGACACCCCAGGGAGACTCGGACTATCACCCCTTCGACTTCATCCATACCGAGCGGTGAAGATACGAGCTCACCACCAGCTTGTCCGATCACGCCAAGTCCCATGAATGGTCCGTTTGAAGACATCGAATTTGTAGATCTAACCCAAGGCGACCAAGCAGACCAACGAGAGATGGTGGAGGATAGTATTGAACCACCCGAAAACCTAGAAATCAATACTCCGCCATTGAATCCAGTGGAAGGCCCCAAGGCCTCGCTTCCGTTTCCATCCTCTACCCTTATTGCTAGTCCAGCGAGCGGTGGTACTCCTCCAGCTGACACAAGTACTGCTGTGCGTCTACCTGATGTTACTGATGTTGCTGGAATTTGTAACATCCGCATGGAGCTTCTACAGGAGCTTCGTGATAGGAAACGCTTCCTTGCTAAGATTGTTTATCTCCTGGCTGATGCAGAACAAGTGAAGTTAGCTAGCTTGGTTGGCTTTGTTGAAAAGAACACCTTGCGCCTACGGATTCGGGAAGCTTTGAGGCTACTTTCGAAAAATAAAAAGGGCAGAATCTCAAATGTCAGTGACGACGATGTCCAGTATTACAAGAGAGTGGCTGCCCTGTATGTCTCATGGCATCAGATCATAATGATACCGGCCGAAGGTATCCCCAGGATAAGTGTTAACGAATCTCGCGCTACGGATAAAATAATTCCTTTCCATAGCGATCTAACCGAAATTCTGCGTGTTAAGCATCCAAGAGAGATAAATAGGGAACTATCTTGCGAAATCATCACACCGTCACAAAAGTCCCATAGCCAGGGCTCCCCGCAGGCTGGAGATCCGATTGTCATCGAGGACGACATCGATAATCTTTGTGAAAAGGATGGCGAAATGGGAGGGGGTGTTAGGGCCACTCCGCGCAAACGAAGGAAGAGAGCCGTCGCAGAAAGTCGAGAAGCCATGGAGTCCCAAAACCGGGCACAGCGGCGTGTTGAGGAACAGGCAACCCAGCAACGGCGCTTACTAGAAGAACGCGGCATTGAAAATCACGACCCACAACGGAAGATCGTCAGTTTTGACGACCCTGTTATCTATTTACATCGCGATATCGGGCGCCATGTAAAAGAACATCAGGTTTCTGGAATTCAGTTTATGTGGAGAGAATTGATCAAGGATGAGAAACATGAGGGTTGTCTTTTGGCTCACACAATGGGATTGGGGAAAACTATGCAAGTGTAAGTTACGTTTCCTACCTATGAACCAATATTTTTTATGCTAACTCCGCGAAGCGTTTCGCTCCTGGTCACCATTGCCAATGCATCAAATTCACCAGACCCCAAGATTAGGTCCCAAGTTCCAGAGCGTTTCCGGTTGTCCAAGACACTTGTTACATGCCCTTCATCCTTAATAGATAACTGGTGGGAAGAGTTCGGAAAATGGACTCCACGGGATGAAGTGACTCAACATAACCTTGGAGTCGTACGGAAGGCAGTGGGATCGGTACCTAAACGACTCTCCGAGATCAATGCTTGGTATACAGAGGGTGGTGTGCTGTTGATCAGTCATGAACTATTCCGACGAATGATACTTAACCCCTCTCGGAAAAATGGCTCTCGGGCCTTGTCGGACGGCGACTTCCAGCTGGTAAAGCGCCAATTGCTTGAAGGCCCAAATATAATTGTTGCAGATGAGGCACACAAGCTGAAAAACGGCGCGTCAGATATTTCAAAAACATGCTCCATGTTTAAGTCCAAGAGTCGCATCGCCCTGACTGGATCGCCCCTTTCCAATCAATTGATTGACTATTATCAAATGATTAATTGGATCTCGCCTGACTATCTTGGAAACCTGAAGCAGTTCAAAGCTAAATACGAGGAGCCCATTAGAGAAGGCTTATACTTTGATAGCACCAACTGGGAATATAGGCGATCTCGGAAAAGACTGGAGGTTTTAAAGAAAGTCCTCGAGCCAAAGGTGAATCGCGCCGATATATCAGTTATCCAATCCGACCTTCCTCCTAAGGTTGAGTTTGTCATCGTAATCCCGGTGACTCGGCTCCAAGAAGAGACATACAACCAGTTCATATCTATGACCATGGAAGGAAGGGGTGACTTCACATTTACGCGACTATGGGCCTTGCTTTCGTATTTGACCCTTTTGTGTCACCATCCTTCGTGCTTCCTGCGAAAGCTCCGCGAGAAGGAGAAGAACAGGAAGGACGAAAAGAAGGCGGAAGGTGGCCAATTAGTGGCTCCTACAGAATCGGAGGCTGACTGCGGTTCGGAGGATATATCAACACCAATAGAGCTTGAAGATGAGGTCATTGAAACGGAAGCACAAAGTACGATAACAGATGAGCTGGTGTCGCAATTTGAGCTCAAGTTCCAGGATATTCCAAACTTGGATTCCCCGGAACATTCCCGCCGTACCCAGATGGTTGGTCAAATTGTCGATGAGTCTATCAACGCTGGAGACAAGGTTCTTATATTTTCAGGCCATTTATACACGCTTACTTATATTGGCCTTATGCTGGAGGCGAAGGGTCAGAAGTTCTGCCGCCTTGATGGGCAAACATTAGTGGCAACTCGACAGGCAGCTACGAAAGCTTTCAGCAGAAGTGACTCGGACTCGCAGGTGTATCTCATTTCAACAAAAGCCGGAGCTTTGGGTCTCAATATCATCGGCGCTAATCGGGTCATTATCTTTGAATCTGATTACAACCCAACATGGGAAGAGCAGGCTATTGGACGGGCATACCGCCTTGGGCAAACGAAAGAAGTTTTCGTCTATCGGTTCGTTATGGGAGGGACCTTTGAAGAACTAATACACGAAAAGGGGGTCTTCAAGAAGAACATGGCACTTCGTGCCGTCGATAAGAAAAATCCCACCCGCTCGACAGGCAAGGATACGAGTGAATTCCGTCGCCCCGTCCGCAGCATTGAAAAGCACGATTTGTCCGAGTTCTACGGTAAAGACCCCAAGGTGCTAGATAAAATCCTTGCACGCCCAAACGACATCCATAAAATCACCCTTACGGAGACCCTTCATCGAGAGGATGCTGTGCAATTTACCCCGGAAGAGAAAAATGAAATTCAAGCAGAGCTAGATGATGAGCAGCTAGAGCGAAGCGACCCTGTTAAATGGGCGCAGATTCAAGAACAAAGGAGATTGACACAAGAAGAAGAAAGGCGTAGGGCACTGGCACTGGCACTGTCCCGACAGCAGCAACGGTCACCATCACCCCCCGGATTCGCGACTGGCCGCAGTTTGATGTCTGGATACCCTCCGTCTATGCGGCAGCGAGTGCCTCCTGGTTATAATGGGCCACCACCCCTTACCCCAGACTTTAGCGTGTTCAATCCACGGTCAGCCTCAGCCCCAATAGCCTCAAGGCCGTTTCAACCACCGCCTTCGACGACTGCCCAAAGCACACCTCCATCGCGACCTCTTCTAATGGCTCCAGTCTCACAACCAGCACGGCCTCTGATGATGGCTCCAGTCTCACGTCCAACACAACCTCCAGTCTCACGTCCACCACGACCTCTGATGATGGCTCCAGTCTCACGTCCAACACAATCTCTGATGATGACTCCAGTCTCACGTCCAACACAACCTCTAATAATACCTCCAGCCTCACTCCTGGCCCGACCTCGAACATCACTTCCAGCTCCAGCCCCGGGTCGACCTCAAACATTACATTCAGCTTCAGTTCCGGCCTCAGAGTCGACGCCATCCCCAATTTCGCACCCTGCCTCCGTTCCACCTATCCCCTCTTCAACCCACCCTCCGACAGTGCCTCCGTCACCAGCCCCTCATAGCCCCTTGGACCCAGCCACCGAACCCCGAAGCGCGCAGGCCCCATCCTCACCTCCTTCAGTGGCACAGACGCCAAATGATGCCAGGCTCAATGGTTCAGATCTAGCGGATAAGGGAACAGGAGGTAAGTAACTTAACGCTATAGTAGCAACACACAAAAATCATAATACTGAGCTGAATCCGTCGGCAAGATCCATCACCGAACCCCGAGAACCCGGTGAATGAAGCTTGCAAAACGCAATAAGCTGTGTTCTCTAGATGATCCCCTCGTTCCCCCTTACACGCTCACAAGCTATGACAAACCCGTCTTGACTCTAAAACGAACCGATCTTACCTGCGCATCCTCGTCTCGTACGTTACCTTTATTTAGTCCTCTCGACTACCATCCGTACTGCTCTTACTTTTCCTCTTGACATGTACCGTTTTCACCTACTCATATTTATTTTGACTTCTTTCTCATATCCCCCGTATTCCAGCCGGCGGTTTATGATATTGTCACTTCCATCAACCTTTGCTCTCCTCCATACGATTTTTCTTTGCATTTTAAAAATGGGGTTCTCTTTGGTTTAAGCTGGGGCGTTCGTGGCACGGAAAAGGGCCAGGCAGCTGTCATGGGATATGATGATACCAGCGGTTTAATCTACGTTTTCTACCTCGTTTCTGTTACACTCACTGGCCCTTAGCAAGCGACTGCACAAGCCATAAAGATAATAGCGTTTCTCCATGCATTATGATTTAATTTCGCTCGATTGATTTCTAGGCTACAGGCAATGTTACTAGATACGACTTACAAGTAGGAATTGGGAAAGCCTCTAGTCTAAACCACCTACTCTACGTAAACAACATGCAGTGGGTTATACGTGACACCTGGAGTTAATTCAGATACTACGTATCTTGATCTAAGCTGGTCAGGTAGGGCTCGAAATAAATAAACCCGACTAGCCCTCTGAATACTTAATGTATGGTCATCGTTTAAAGGTGATGGTACCGTTTAGATATATTGGTAAGCCGGTGATACGAAATTATATATAGAAACTAAATCGAGTGCAAAAGATATCCGAATTGAGAGATGAAGGTCAAATAAAATTATCAAGGGGGCCAGCAAAACGGAAGTGATGATCCTCACTGCATCACCTAAGTAGCTTCTCCAGGTCAGCCAGCCTGGATCGCTGGACCTGATCTTTGGGTCCTGCCTTCTCCTGAAACGCAGTAGTCATGAGAGTCCTCTTTTCCTTCTGGATATCAAGCACTCGGTCCTCAATGCTATCTTCCATCACAAGCCTCCAAACAGTTGTTGGCCGCGTCTGACCTAGACGGTATACACGATCAACAGCTTGGTCTTCGATGGCCGGCGCCCACCAGCTATCAGCCAGAATAACCTGGTTTGCAGCTACTAGGTTGAGGCCTACGCTGCACACGTTCAAACTGGCAAGCATGACAGTACACTCTGGATCAAGGGTTAACTTGCGCATAGCAGCGTCGCGCTTAGCAGAGTTCATTTTCCCATCAATTCTAGCGAAGTTGATATTATTTAGGGCGAGTTGGGGTTCGATCAAATCAAGAAAGGAAGTCCATTGGCTGAAAACCACAGTCTTCGTCCCGGGAGCTTGGCCCTTTGCCGTTAGGATTTTGATAAGAGCTTGGATCTTACTGCTTGATGAATCCGAGTCAACATCGACTTCGTTGGAGTCCTCTCCTAGCTCAACAGCAGGTGATACCAGCGCTGAACAATCTTTGATTTCCGCACGGCAGAGAGGACACCTATGTTGCCGCTCAATCGCCTGTTCAATGCAGGCGTAGTCAAAAGCATGTGCGCAGGGGGTGATGACCGGCTTATCTAGGCTTTCGAGACATATCGAACACTCCTCTTGGTTCTCAATCCTCAATTGCAACACAGTTTGCAGTGCCTTGATGTTTTCCGGAGTTAACTGCACCACTTTGTCTTTCTCAATGAGGTCCATGAGCCCCTTGACGCGGTCATGACAAAGTTTCCAGTGGTTACAAACTTGACGGAGTCGTAGAAGAACCTCGAGGACATGTGAATACGTCGATTTGCCCTTTTTGTTATTTGACCGGAAATCCATAAAGACACCTTTAGCCTCAGCCCTAGAGAAGTGACATTAGATATTTAGTTCGAACGAGATTAGAAATGGAGTACTTACTCGAACATTTCGTATTTCTCCTTCTCATGAGGAAGAAACTTGACGTGAAGAATATGGGACTCCATTGGCGGCAGACGTAGATTTACGAAACTCATGTCTTTCTTGCGTCGCAAGCAGATGGTTGCCATAAGCGCTTGAAGGAGAAGACTGGCATTCTCATCACCAGCGTTAAGGGGCCGTATGAGTGCACTGTGAAACACTGGTAGGTCCTCTAAACCGCCAGACAGCCTGATAAACTTTCCTTGAGAGTACAAATCCTTCAGGTTGTTGACGATGGGAGTACCAGTGAGAGACCAACGCGATCCCGCCTCAAGCAAGCACGCTGCACGCGCCGCTTTCGTTTTCGGTGTGCGAATGGTATGGCCCTCATCTAAAACCACCCTCCGCCAGTGTAAGGAGAACAATCCTTTCTTGGTCTTGGCCAGTTTCCCCGTTGGTCCCAGAAGTTGTCCATATTCCGATGCAAGCGCACCATACGTTGTAATGACTACATCGTATTGACCAAGGTTCGCTCCCTCCTTTTTACCAGCGCCGTGGTATGTCAGAACCCGCAGGGCATTTTTATCAAGGACGTGGGTAGCAATTTGGTCTCTCCAGTTACTCATAACTCCGAGAGGAGAAATAATGAGAGTTGCCCTGGAAGACTTTGGAGTTTTAGGGGCCGAGTTAGCTAGGATTAATGCGATAATTTGTATAGTTTTACCAAGACCCATGTCATCTGCTAGGATTCCACCACTTGCAAGTGGTGGCTCCTTTGAGGAGGTGTAGTTGGTCGCAATGTTCATGTATCTCTTGCCAACTCGCTTCCACAACTGCACAATTTCGTCAGAACCCTCTTCTGGGAGACTTGGTGATTCTCGGTTAAGCATCCATGCTAATCCTTGTCGCTGATATGGAAGTAGTTGCGTAGAAAGCTCAACAGGGCAATCAGCCATCGGCATCTGGGACAGTTCTGTTTCGTCCATGCCGAACTTTTCGACAATCTTTTCTGTCTCTCTGGGATTGAATGCGATGCTTTGAGAAAGCAGCTCATCCAGGCTCTCCGTCTGTACAGTCTGCTCTCCACCCGAAGCTAGATTTGCAAACATAGGCTTGCCCTTCTCCTGTTGAGCAAGTGCCCTGGCATTGGCGCGAGCCTTTGCTGCATCTTCCTTTGCCCGTTTCGCGTCATCTTGTTTTCGCTTCCTTATGGCCGCTTTCGCGACACCGACCGGCAGTTTATCACGCTGCATCTTCTCCAACAGTCGAGCCTGTGCTTCGGGTTCACTGGTTCCAAACAATCGTAGTGTAATGGGACAATCGTATGATCCAATTTCACCAGACAGCGTGCCCTCGACCATCAATTCATTTGAATCCTAAGAGCCAATTAAGCATCGACATCCTAGCAGCCGAGTGCAATACAGCTAGACTTACCATGTAAGGGGCAAGTCGGCTCACTAACACGCGAGGCAGATGGCCTATTTGATGGCCCATGACATTGTCAACTCTGACGGCGTTACTGTCATACTTGTTGGTCCGCTCTCTTTTGATAATGACACACTCGCCAACAGTGGCATGGCCGTTGTAGAATCTCACTCCAACGACTTTTGTTTCAAGGTGGCCTAAATGAATTTGTATTAGTTAAGTCATTGACTCAGGCTTTGCAATCTGATTTCACACTCATTTTGGAGGCAAAGCTTACCATAAAGTTCAGATGTTAAATATACCATATCATCAAGCTCTTGAGAGTCCTGGATGGACTGCATCGCATTTAGTTCTTCATCCCGCTCCATCTGGGTGCTCGGTTCGCCTTGAGTGAGGTCCACGAACCCCTGGCCGTCTCCAAGCTGCAGCCCATTCCTTGCTATCTTTCGACTGGCATCGGTGGGTGGTTCTCCATCTCCGGTGAGATCAACAAGAGAGATTGGCCGTTTGGATGCCATGTTGTATGGGATCCAGGCGCTTTATTTCGTCGTGACATGAATCTTCAATTCAAAAGGAGAAGAGACGTTTCAACGTCTAAACAAAACGCGTGTTTCCACCTTTAACATTTGCTTGGCATGACTTTTTTCGCAGCTCAACGCAAAATATAACATTTCGTGTCCATATCGCGTTGCCGGGCTCTCAATGGGGGACATTGGCGTTGCAGCACCGTGTATTATACGGGAATTTCTCGTCTTTTCGTGTTACCGTCCTCCATCTTCGCTGTATATCGGTTTGCACGGTGAGAAACCAAACCGCAACTTTTCATCTATAAAAATCCTTTGGGCGCGTTAGTGGCACGTGACTTTAAGCTTTGATGTCAGCGCGGATAATCAGTAGCACGTGATTATAAATTTGACGCGCGGTTAAAACAAGCGCCGGCCTTAAATCGAGGTTTCTTTATTCGCTGAGACTTATTGAAATATGGAAGTCAAGCAGAATGTCATTACTATGGCCTTTACTCCGTACTTGGGAGATTATTGTCGACTTGACGCTTTTATATTTTGTAAACATAATTGGCGTTGCTGTAAACTTTGATTACCAGAAATGGCCTAAGCATCAATAGTAGCCAATGGTGACCCGACTCTATACAAGAAGGCTGAAGCCCCTTTTTGCGCAACTTCAGCCCAATTGAACAATCCGACAATCGGGCACACGGCCTCATAGAAAACCTCAAACACATCTTCTCGCACCCGGGGCTGGGACATTCAGTCTAGACTCTGCTCCTAGTATGGATGCCACCTACATGGACAGCTTGAAGGCGTTTGTCGACCGTCAACAGGAGATCTTCAATAATGGCATCAATGCAGGGAAGTTTCAGCCTTGGGTATTTCCCCGGGACTTCGTCTCTATTCCCATCATTGTCATTGCTTTGCTCATCAAATGGCCGCGTGATGGCCCTATCAAATACCTGAAACATCTACTTTATTTCTACTCCCTCTATTCGAACATATATGCCATCTTCCACTGTCGGTCCCTTGCAATTTTGGGCGGCTACGGCATTGGATTGATCTTCTCATGGTTTAGCATATGGAGTGCTGCCTTGTTATTGTTTAATGATGTGCAAGAGAACTACAAGAGAATTGAAAGGTCATTTGAACCCCTTGAGGCCGAGAGGCAGGATTTGCCCAACGGAAAGAACGAGAACCATATGGGTTCAGTCAGGCTGAGATCCCCCCAGAACCAGCGCACTTCGACTCTGGAATTATCGAGTGACGGAAAAATTGGCTATAACCCCAAGGTGGTGCGGCGGTTCAGATGGCAGGGCTATCCAGAATCACTGGGCCATCGTTTTGCTTGGGTCTTTGACCTTCTCATCAGCCAGAGGGGACCCCATTGGAACTGGAGGGCAAAGGACTTTCCAGCTTTGCCTAAGAATATTCAACTTCAGCTTGATCATGGCGAGCGTGCAAAGCCTAGTGACGACTTGCTCTGGGAAGAAGATACCAGGGCCCATCTGAAGGCCTCCTTCTGTAGGATGCTGGTATATTACCTTTGCCTTGACTTCCTGAAAGTCATCGTGATAGGAGATCCGTACTTCCTAGGCTATCTCGACAGTCCGCCCCCTTCGTTCTTCGATTTTTGTGGAATCCTGGCTCCGATAGTAGCTCACATCTATCGTCTTATCCTAACTACTGCGGCCGTTTTCTTTTCCGTAGTATTCCCAGCATCATTAATTACGACGATCTTCCTCGCTATCTCCCTAACACCGCTTCGATTCTGGACTAGAATACCATTTGAGGCTTCATTTCTTTACCCACCCTACTTTGGGAACATCCTGACCTCCACCCTCGACGGTGGCCTAATAGGTCTATGGGGAACATGCTGGCACAAGCAATTCCGGGCTGGATTTTTGGCTCCCGGTAACTGGATCAAGCCTGTCTCTGTGTCTACGCCAACTGGTGGGGAACAGCGGTCATCGATGTTCTGGTGTCTTCATGTCATTATCTCCTTTACTCTGAGTGGAATTGTGCATGCCGCGGGGAGTTATACGCAAGTCACGCCAACGAACCCGTCCGGGCAATTCCTATTCTTTATCAGTCAAATGGTGGGTATATTTATACAGGTGCTTATAGAGAAACTGTCCCATCGGATGATACCCTTCAAAGTTCCGCAATGGTTGAAAATGTTATCCAAGTTTGCTTTCACTTTTACCTGGATGGTTTGCACTGGCCCTCTACTGTGCGATGACTTTGTACTTGGCAGGGTTTGGTTTCATGAGCCTGTGCCTTATAGCCCACTCCGTGCTTTGGGCTTTGGTCTTGAAGGCGGTCCTGCACTGCGTTGGGTAGTACCACCGGTGCGATGGTGGAAGGGAGATAGATGGTGGCAACGCGGTATAATTATATAGATTTGGCTTAGAGCTCGACGTTGTATATATGTGTTTGGGCTGAGAGCATTTGCTAGAGCGAATTACGGATGAAAATATTGGGAATACGGATCATCAAATTCATCAAATATTTTTTTTTTTTGTGCGCTGGACATTAGCCCCCTAACCATAATGGTCTATAATAAAAATGTGTCAAAATGTCGCTTTTGAGTGAGATCGCAGGGTATAACTCATCATTCTTCGTCATCCTCATCAGTATCAGATTCCATGTTTAATTGAGGGATTCCATCGTCACTATCAGTATCGGCTTCATCAAGTTTCTGATGGCTCTGTGCTGTCCGTGATGGGATATTAAACTCTGAAATATTTTTGGGAGTTGGATATCTAGCTTCCTGTGGTTCTGGGAAAAAGTTCATCTTTGCGGTATCCTCAATTCCACTGCTTGACTGATTGCTTGACTCGACCTGCAGTGTTGAAGACGTACCTTCGGTCGTTTGCCGGTCAGATAAGGTTATGGTGACCATGGGCGTATCGTCCTCTACTCGTACTCGTTTGTCGGGCTGAGAAAAGGTGGTTTGAAGGGTATTATCAACATCGTCCTGGTGTCTCCGCTTATTTCCTCGCTCAGCATCCTTTGGTAGTGCCGTCGTTTCTTCTGAAGCAGAGGCCTGACGACCACCAAGTTTTTCGGCCAGAGACTCTCGTACGTCACATTTTTGTATATTTCCCATACCCCCAACAGATGTTTCTACTGCTTCATCGTCCTCGTCGTCAGTTTCGAACTCTAGTTTTCCTTTTCTACCTGCTCCTGTAATTATCACGGGCATACGCGGTCGTAATAAGCCTTCAACCTCTAGATCTTTAGGCTGACTCCTTGCGAGGAAAGGAAGGATACTTGAATGGCCACGTTGAGACTCCATTGAGGATATGGGGTTAAGAACACTGGCCATCACGAGACCTTCATTTGCAGTAAGTATTGACGTGCGGTCAATCTTCGCACGAAGCGATAAAGGAATGAGCTCGGTTGGAACATATGTAAGAACATGGAGCAAAAAGAAGGTGGCGGCATCTGTAAGGGGCCCCGGTTCAGCGGTGCTCTGGCCCTCGGAGCTTGATTTTGACTTGTTGTCTAAAAATGCATCCGCATTGGTGGTTCCAGAGGAACTTGACTTTCCTTTGCTGCCGGTGGGTTTACTCTCGCTGATACCGGCGTCCTTTGGTGGCAACAGGTCGCAACATGATGTCTGAATAGCTGGGGCCAACGACGAAACGCCTGGCTTAGTCAATGTCGGCCCTAGTATAGTGAGACATGTTGAAATGGATTTATATGCGGCTTCTCGGACCAACCGGTTGGAATTTGAGGATGCAAATACCCACATAGTCTGGTCTAAACAACTTCGTGCAGTTGAAGAGCTCCCTGGCCCTAATAGCTCGAGAGCAGTTTGTTGGAGACTTAAAGATGCAGCATGTATGGAAGGTATGACACTCCACAGGGCTTCTCTTTCATCTCTGCCTATCTCGGAGTTGGAGTTATTTGTGTCCTCCCCCGAAGCTGAAGAGGGTACAATGATGGATGCCAGTCTAGATGTTAAATCAAGAATAGAACCAATTGGTATAGCAACAGTAGAGTGCGAGCGCAATTTGAGGAAATTTGACAAGAGTGCTATCAGGCTTATCAAATGTCCACTTCCTTGCTGTATGCCAGACCACCCAGGGAGCCCAAGTGGATCCGGCCCATCGTCACCAACAAGCTCGTCTGAAGGTCTGTGACCAGTGCCCTGCCGTAATGTAGAATCAACCGATTCCCAGTGTTCTACAATAGCCCTAAATAAGTGATCCCCAGTTCGATGGGCTGCTAGGATTGTTGTTCGAATGGCCTTGATCCATTCGTCACTTGCAGTATTTTTTGGAGCACACTGATGCAATGATATAAAGAGTTGTTGAGCCATCGATTTGGTAGACTCAGGAACTGCATTTGGCGAATTTGAGGTTGTTATTATCGGGAGAAGAAGGCCATGAATCTGGGCTGAGAATGGGCGGAAAATTGTTGGGTGGTTTGGAAGGAGTGTCAAAAATGAGCAGAACACGGTCTCAACCAAGGAATTGCCATATTTCAAGCTCCGTCGTGTGTCCATCGGTGGCTTGGTGGATATGATGTTTAAACAGGCGGTTATGAATTGCGGTAGAGTAGGCGTCGTTATTTCCCGAGTCAACGTCTGATAACGATGTGTTAATTGAAATATCCGCGTGAGAGTCAACACACTGAGCTTCTTCAACGATAGAGGATCTGGTTTCTAGCCATTGAACTGTTAGTATTGAATTTGCATTCCATAACTTCGAGGGTCGTTGCAGCCTACTCCTAATATAGCCAGAATCGAGCGAACCCAGGTCTCGCATCCACGCAGGATTTCCCATTGACCAGCTTCCACTGTCGATTTCACAAGAACCACGCCAGACCAGCGTCCTTCGACCGTTTTATCCTGTAGCAAGCTTGTGATGCGGGCCTTCAATTTCTGGACGAGCAGCGCTCTATCTGGCGCTCCGGCGTGCTGGTTCTGGTTTGCCGGCGCAGATAGGATCGCGCTACAGTCACTAATGATAGTAGCAATATATTCCGTCGTCAAGGGCAGTTCCTTTGCCGGAGTCGAGCATAGATTGTGCACTGCTGCACGCAAGGCCATAACCGCCGCCATTTTGCTGCGAATGGAACTTTTGGATGATTTATATAGACAGCAACCCCATAAGGACGAAGAAGAGTATCCCCGCTAGTAGTTCAAACGTCAATTGTTAAGATAGACGTGTTTATAGCTATGGGTGGGAATGCGCAAGCTCAAACAATATTTTTTTTTGATGGCCGTTGGACTTTCGTCACTTTTTTTTTTGGCGCTAGGAGGCTCGGATGTGGATGTGGACCTTCATACAGCTGCGAAGGAGTGACGTCTCTGCTACAAAAACACGCAGCGCACAGCAAACCATCTACAGGGACACTGAGCCTTGATATGATGGTCAGTTGTCTCGGCGAGTATACAATCGTTTTTAATCAGGCCATGCTGCTGGCTCCGAGTACTCTCCTTTTATCCTGAGAAATGACCGTAAGTATGCACATTGCCCGCTGCCTATTCCACGCTCCCCCAGATACTGACGGCGTCTCCTATAGCAAATCCAGATTACAGAGAAGGCTCAGCGCTATCTAAACTTGTTGGACACGGCGAGATGCAATCAGAATTGGCACGAAATACCAGGTCTGGTCCGAAAGGTCGTTAAGCATGCCCCTGGCAGGAAATGTGCGTTGCCCACCGATAGGATCAGTGCCCGTCTTCCACTCTTCCAGTTGCTGATATATTGTACCCTGTGATAGGTTTAATTCAAACGGCCCAGGCAGAAGCTCAGATCGTAGAGTACTGCAGGAAGCGAACCTCGCTAGGCAGCGCAGCGAACGAACAGAGTGCGAACAACCTCCGAGAATGCATACCGGGACTCCAGTCTGTGCTAGGAGATGAACAGAACACTCCTGAAGATTCTTTTCAGGCACAAGTCTGCTTAGCATGGCTGTTCTGGGAATTATCCGAGCCAGATGAAGTAGCAGCGAGTCTTCCCGAGGACTTTGAGGGCAGTGTACAGAATTTAGCTGGCAGCGAGGAACAATTGTCACCATGGACAGAAGTGTGTATAGTCCAAGGTGGCTATTTGAAGGGTGATTAAATACCATATATCTCGGCTTTTTTCGCTGTTGGCTACTAATCGGGATATATAGGAGCTGCTGAGGAGTTGTCTTCAGGAAAGGAGGATGCACTGCAAACCTTCAAATCAACATTTTCGTGGGCTGCTACTCCTGCATCTGCTAATACATCTAACCCTCAGCTTTTGTTCTGGTCGGAACAGTACTTGGCGAGGGTCTCGATGTTGGCCTACGAACTGTTCATATCTCGATCACCAGACTACGATGAAAGCAGCCTCGAATTTGCGCTACGGTCTCTTCGTCTTTGGGCCTCTCATCCTGACGTAAAGGGCAGCGATCCAGCGGTGGCCGCGGATATCACACCAACTAATTCGAGTTCCAAGACGTCATTATGGCGAGCCTACTACGATATTCTCTCAATAGTCTTACAACACGAACTCCCATACCCACCCATCTCAGACGGACCGAAGCGTGTACAACTCTCTGCCGAGTTTCGAAGGATAGAGGCGACCTGTGAAAATGTTCTTCTCAGACACTCCAAATTTCCAAAGGCCAACGTGGTAAACCAAGAAGTTGAGCTATGGGTGCAACAAGTCATTCGCAATTGGGAGGTTTTCTGTGGCGCCGAGTGGTGTGACGATGACTTCGGAGAAGGAGGGCAGGGTGCAATCTCCCGAAATGTTTTGGACGTAAGGATTCATCCCCTGCGAAATGCACCTTGACCAGCTATGTGCAATTGTTGCTAACATGATAATAGATATTATACCGCGCCGCAACTAAAACATTTCATTCTACATTAATCCTGAGAGAACTATTTCACGTACATACAGCTTTAGCAGAGTTTGAGCTCGCACTTCATGCCCTGGATACCTATGTCCATCTAGTAATGGACGCAAAGGAAAGATCTGACCATTCCCACAATCATCTGAGGGATATTGAAGATGACCGGCTTTTTATCTATACCCTGGCCGAGGGGTTGATCATGCTTTGCTGCTTTGGATCCCGGAAAGAGGCAGAGAAAGTAAAAGAGCTCACTGACATACTAGATGGTGTATTGAGTGCACAAGTGCAACCAAATGGACATGGCCTAGCTGAAGCTAGCCATCGATCAGGAGAAACTAGGATGCCCACACAATGGATCCCATTTGCCTATCGAGCCATCGGTATCGGGCTAGCTACATGGGCTAGATGGACTCCTATCAGCGAATCTAGGCCTGAACTTCAGGCAAACGCTATAGATGCCCTGGAGAAGGCTCTGGTAGCGGAAGCTGAACATGAACCCAGCCCTGCCACGGCTTTCGCTCTCGCTCTTCTACGTGCAGAAACAAGAGACTTGGATGGCGCCATTGCCCTTGTTCGGGCAACGCTAAGCTCGTACAATACTGAAGACGATGAGGATCAAACGGACACTCGCTCAGTCATTAACTATGGGGAGAGGGATATCGTGCCGCTATGGCATTTGCTGGCGCTCCTACTTAGCTCAAAAGAGGATTTCAAAACCGCAGCTAATGCCTGTGATGTTGTATTTGAGATGATGTCAACTGAAAAATTACTCCATAAGCAAAGTACCGTTCGACCCCTTCGAAACTCGAATGGAAAGGATGAAGCCACACAACCAATATCATTTACGGGCGAAGGACAGCACTCTAGATTCCCAGATATAGAAACCCGTGAGAGGGAGAGTATGGTTGAGCTACGTATGACGCAACTTGCGCTCATGGATGTTGTTCGCGGCCCAGAGGCTGCCCTCAACTATAGTGATGAACTGATAGGATTATTCGGTCGACTCTTTGCTGGCATTGGCCTAGCTGAAATTGAAACCAAAAGCAATGCGGACCAGCTAACTCCTCCCAAAACTGCCACTGGGACCGTTCGAACTGGACGAGGCAGTATCTTTGGCTGGAGGAAACCCCAAAGACAACAGCAGCAAGACCAGGAAAGCGGTCTGGGCGGTGAAATTGGCACTGCTACCTCAATAGCACCAACTATATCTGATAGAGACCCCGCTACACCAGCGCCAGCCATCCAAATTACAAATGACGATCAAGAATTTGTTGCAGTACAGCCGCGTAGCAGATCTCGCAAGGTCTCCGTTCTACGGAAAGATGGCAAGCTGTCCCAGAAGATACACCATCTTGAAGAAAGTGTTACCAAGCCAACGCTTGAAAAAGGCTCGGTCCCTCTAAGCGAGCAGAATATCCATGGAGCCGATTCCGCAAGGCAGACCTTACCGGCTATCCCTCATAACATGAAATATACAAAGGAGCCAGCTCCAGCTGGACACTTGAATCAGCCACCTATACAGGACGTTAGGATGCCTACAACTCGTCAGTCAGGTTCACTCAACAAAGCATTAACTAGGTTTCCAAGAATCCAGGAGCAAAAGCATTCTCTTAGCCTGCTTGTGAAAATTTGGCTATTCATTGCCGACCTTTACCAGAAAGCCCTATTGTTTGAAGACGCCGTGGAGGCTTGCAACGAAGCGTCATTGCACGCTACTCGTATAGAAAGTCTTGTTGCAACACAGGAGTCATCTACAAGGGCTTTCGCTGACGAAGGATGGGGTGGTACAAAGTCCTCTGATGAAATCTGGGCCGATATCTATGCGGAGCGCGGTTACATCACCCAAGCGCAGTCCAAACCGTACGAGGCCATGAAACATTTTGAAGACGCGCTTATGCATTACCCAGATCACCCACGAGCAACGGTTGGATTGGCTACACTGCTTCTTGATATACACGAACAAATGTTGCCTGCAGAAGAACCAGCCCCTCCGCCATTACCTGACATGTCAAATCTCTCCCTCCAATCACCTTCATACCCGGGGCAGCCATCAATTCTTCCAAAGGAAGTTGACGCTAACGATGCATCAACAACCACGTTACCCAACGATACACCTGAGTCGCTTAACCGCCTTGCGGCTAGGGACCGGGCCTATGGGCTTCTCTCTACCCTCACAAAGCTGGGAACAGCGTGGGATAACTCAGAAGCATGGTTTGCGTTGTCTAGGGCATACGAGCAGGGAGGGCAGATCGAAAAGGCAAAGGAGGTATTGTGGTGGTGTATTGACCTCGAGAATGGCCGGCCAGTCCGACATTGGTGGAACATAGGGTCCGGCGGCTATGTTCTTTGAAGTCATTTCATTTTCATCGCTCGTCGGCCGTATATCGTTGCGTCTTGGTTACGAAATATATAAATTTTAATTTACCTTTGTTCTCGGCCTTTTTCATACACTCTTCTCATCATGCCCGTTTGCAATTAGACTAGATTTATCATAGTGGAAGGATTTGAAATAAGATAAGGTTGCCCGAATAGCTCATCTTCTTATATACAAATTTGTCCAAACAGGACCTCAGAATTGAGTCTAAGTGGTATTCTTCGAAACAAATACCCGAAGTTTAGAATAAAGGAGCGCTATTTAACGCAGGCTCCCTTACCGAGGGGCGGCAACTGGCTCCCATGCGGAGTATTTTGGCTTGACACTACGAATATCGAAGGTGTTAGCGTTGGAGGGTCAATAAGAGGAACCATATGGTGACCCACGTTGAATATGGCTTGTACGCAGCTCGAGTCATGGTCATATTAGGCCTATGCTCTGGAGTTTCCCATTTTCGTACACCGGTTTGGATAATCGCATCTTGCGTTGGTGGCTTGTCAACCATGTACGAGATCCAAGCGTGCCTATATCAATGTCGAGTGAGAAATTGAATCTTTAACCCTGCAACGGACGTAATTTTTCGTCGCAATTGCAGCTCGTAAATCGGAATCAGGAAACTAACCAGCCAGGATCGATATGCGAAGCGTCGAGATCTTTATCCTTGTAATCGACCCAGCGCGTTCGAACTAAACCGTGTGTCAACACCCTCATCACTCCTTATCAAAGGTAATAAATAACGTACGAGGCAATTCTTCGTTGTTTTCGAAATATTTGTTTCCGTATCGATCGATCGCTATGAGGGTACCGGCTTTGGTATCACCTATGTTCGACTTCCGTTAGCAATACTCGCAGACAGCTGGACGCCGTAAACATACCGATATACTATAAAACAGAACAGACATGACTTTAGTGTCTGCGCTTCCTATACCACGAATCTCCATCCCCCGTGGCCGCCATTTCGCACCGACGGATGTCAACTTACGTGAAGTTGGTGACCATAGTCCTGCACCAAACCAATTAGCCCACGAACAGTTTTGGGTTTGATTTGAGATGATACGTACCTTGATTCCAACCTTCCACAAGTTCCGCAACGTCCTAGAAATGGTCGACATGGTGACGGCGGACGGTGTCGTTCCCTTGAGTTGCTCGCTATCGTTGAAGTCGAAGTTCCGGCTTGTTTCGCTGTGGTCGTTCTTGACGCCCCGAAAACGGTTTAGCGCCACCATCGTCTGGATGTAGATAAGATAAAATTGTTTACGGCTTCACTTTCTACGCTCTGCTTTTACTTGCCCTCCAACTGCGAGGATCGTTCATAGACAAGTGGTATAGGCCCTGGAATGCGATTCTTGGGGTGACAGAAACAATGATAAAACGCATTGGAGGGCGTACCCTCCAGAACTGTACCCGGAGATGTTCAACACATACCACCAGCTACATCTCCCCCGTCCGCAAGTTTTCCTCTACTTCAGCTCCGACCGCCAGCTATACAAGCTCATCGTCACCCATTGGCAGTCTCACAGTGGAGCTGGATCGAATTGCGCCTAAGTTTGAGGTGAAAGCGTCCAATATCCAGATCTTAAACTCCCCAGCTGCGTTCTATGAGACTTTGAAGGTAAGGGTTCCAATGCAAAAGATTGAGAAAGCGTAGTTAATAAATTAGTAGGACAAAATACGGAGTGCAAAACGAAGGGTCTACCTCTCAACCCTGTATATCGGCAAAACAGAACATGAGCTTCTTTCGGTCTTAAACGAGGCACTCCGCCAGAACCCGGACTTAAAGGTATCAATTCTGACAGACGCCTTACGCGGGACACGCGAGTCACCGAATCCCTCGTCCGCTTCTCTCTTAGCGTCCTTGGTCGAGGAACATGGACCAGAGCGGGTTGAAATAAGGATGTTCCATACTCCTAACCTGGTTGGAATGAGGAAAAAACACATACCGAAACGAATAAATGAAGGATGGGGCCTTCAGCACATGAAGCTTTACGGAGTGGATGATGAGATAATTCTTTCCGGGTATGTCTCTATCTTCTATACTCCTCAGTGCTCATCTTCCTGACATGTCTTCTTGAAACAGGGCCAACCTTTCAAATGACTATTTTACAAATCGACTCGATCGATATCATGTTTTCCAGTCGACAGAACTAGCAGAGTACTACTCACAGATCCATCATGCTATCTGTAAATTCAGTTTCCAGGTCCTGCCCGATACAAAGAGCAAGCAGGGGTACATTTTGAATTGGCCTGCTACAAATAGCGGGCCATCCCCTTTGGATGACCCTAAAGATTTTATATCGGCAGCATCAATCACACTGTCAAAATTAATACAGCCATCGAAATCCCACACTGTCTCTGCGTCGATACCCGAAAATCAAACATACGTATATCCTGTTGCCCAATTCACACCGCTATTGAAGCCGGACCAATCAACAGAATTTCCGGCTGTTACAAGCGTTCTCAGCGCCCTTGCTAGTAATCCAGCACTAAAAAATTCTCGTTGGCTGTTCACGGCAGGCTATTTCAATATGCACCCTGTTCTATCATCTCTCCTGATCTCCAGCACTACACCTTCTCCTGATTCCCCAAGTAATCAGGGGACAGTCCTCACAGCCTCCCCATGGGCAAATGGATTTTATGGGTCTCCAGGTGTCTCGGGGATGCTGCCGGCAGCATACACTCACCTTTCTGCCAGATTCCTAGACCGAGTTGCAGAAGCCCAGAGAACAAATTCAATTCAACTAAAGGAGTGGCGTAGAGGAACTGTGAACGAGCCTGATGGCTGGACATATCATGCTAAGGGGTTATGGGTAACGCTCCCGGATGAAAAATACCCCAGCCTCACTTTCGTGGGAAGCAGCAATTATACGAAGAGAAGTTATGGACTTGATTTAGAAGTTGGTGCTGTTGTAGTGACTACAGACAACAGCTTGAAAGAACGGCTGGGTCAAGAAACAGAGTGGTTGCAGAAGGACTCCAAACCCATTTCGAGAGAAGACCTCAGGAGAGTCGAACGAAGAGTTAGTTGGAATGTTCGCCTCGCCATGTGGATTGTAGAGCGAGTGGGCGGCGCCCTATGAACAATCTATCCCCAAACCTGTATAATATGTAATCTAATAGACATATGTATCGACGTACTTAAATCATATAGCGTGTATAGAGATCCTATATCGTTTCAATTATAGCCGGAAGACCTTCACTTTCATATCATGAGTATCATCCTCTATTTCCCGTTACAGTGTATATAAACGAACTCCAGATACTTTTGTTTCAAGAATCAACGCTCAACTCCAACAAACCCATCCGTAAATGAAACATTAACACATTAAACCTTCCCAAAGGCGTTGGTGGAGAGCCTAGGTGGTCCAAGGCCTTTCCTAACCTCATCCAACATCTTGATGCCAATAACCTCGTTTCCGTTCTTCCCTCGTCTACCCTGTGCGCCCTTGCGTTTGGCATGAACTCGTCGGTCATCCCATTTATCTAAAAATCCATCCATGACGTCGTTGAAGTCCGAACGAAGTGGCATGCCTCCGCCCTGTGAGACCAGGCTTGGAGCCTGTGAAAGTTTGGAATATCGTGAAAGCCCACTGACGACGGACATGTCATCAGCCATGCTTGATCCTTCATATTCCTCCCCTTCTTCATCCAGAGCGTACAGGGCTTCCATTCTTTCAAACCGATCGTCGAGAAGTCTGTGTCCATCTGTCCTCGCGAGTGAAGAGGAAGTCATCGAATATGCGGACGGGTTAGTTTGAGCGCCCTTGCGTTTCTTTTTCCTAATTGGGGTTCCTCCAAGCGTAAACAAAGTTGATGCTGTAGTGCGGTGTTCTGAAGCATTTTCACCACCATCAGCCGTAGGCTTGTTTCCTTTCACTTCTTTTTTATATTTGGCAAAATCTCGTAGCCAGTCTCCCTCATGTTCCTCCATGTCTGGAATTTGGTCGTCATTTGGTGGTTGAGAAGATTTGACTGAACCTGACGAGTTATCTGGTATACCGGACGATTGGCCAGTAGTGGAATTGTCGTGCTGAACAGGTGCCTTTTCTGTTGCGTCTGACTCCCACCCTTCGTCATCGTCTTCAATATATGTATCCCTCCACTCATCAGGGTCAACCTCTGCGTCATGACCACCGGAAACAAGGCTTTCAAAGATATCGTCTTCACATTCCTCATCAACGTATGCATCATCCTCTAGCGCCTCCAGGGCCTCTCTCAGTCGGGGGTCCATCCCCGGCTGGAAACCCGCAATCGCATCTGGTATATCTTGTTGGTCTTGGTAAGTGGCCCTACGCACATATGACGAAGCAGTTGACTGGAAATCATCGCCAGCACCACTGTAAATGGACCCCTCTGGCCCATCGCCATCAAGTGAAACTTCCCTCAACGCATCTTCAAGTTTCATGCCCTTCTTCCCTTTACCCTTCGATTTCGCCTCAACAAAGTGGGTGTCTCCAACGCCTTCTCCTAGCCCGCGCAAATGTTGCATGTAATCATACTTGGTATCGTCGTAGAAAATGCCATAATTCGCCGCCTCTCCTTCATTTTTTCGAGTGGCTGAGCTGAATTCCTTGTCTAGGTCACGAAGCGTTCCAGTTTCTCGTTTTGATGAGGACGATGTGGTACTAGCGGTCGGACCAGGCCCTCCGACTACATGGAGGATCCTGTCTTCTGCCTCGGGGTCGTGTATTAGCGGGTCATGTTGAGATCTGTGAAAGAGCTGGTATTTTGTTGCGGATTTTTTATCACTGGAAAATGTGTGCGACACGAGTTAGCGATTCAGCGTCCACAAGAATTGGGAACGAGTTATAAGGGAGATACATACATCCACTGCTTCGTTGGAGGCATCGTGACTTCGCGATCTAGAGTGTGAATTCCCTAGTTTAACTGGTTTCGGTGAGAAGTGAAGCCGGAGATGCTGCTTTTCGCGTTGTAAATGCGGGCCACATTCAGAATATTTTAGATAAGGTCACGTGGATAACCCGATAAGCGATAAGCTTCGAGCCTTACGCGATAACAAAAAAGGGGAAGTTTTTTACATGGGAAAAGTTGAGATAGATGGAAGAAATGAATTCGCAGGTGGCATAAACAACATGATACCTTTCCTAAATGCAGGGCCATATATGAACACATAAAGTCGTAACAGTTCACTCATCGTCTGCCAAAAAGCTGTTTCCCTTCTGCCTTGTCTTGACCTTTCTATTCCCCTTGAAATGCTTCTTTCCCGGCCCCCTTACTTCAGACACATCTATATTCTTCTCCAACGCAATGAGAGTCCTCTGCTTGCGACCGGTGATTTCCTTTACCTTGCCCGCCTCTTTACCCACTTCCGTATACTTATAGCTAAACGGCATCTTAAGGTGTCCTGCTGATCCGGAACCGCCAGGACCAAAGAAACCCTTGTCAAGCTTCTTTGAGCGAGCACCTTGGATTAATCCAGGTGCGGTAGCTGAAGATTGCGAAGTAGTGATGTCTGATTTTAAATCAAAATCATCATTTATTCCATCGACTGATTCGCCGTTACCGGCCAATGCCGCAGCGTGCTCTCTTAGCATCGCCTCCTTCCTTCGTGCGGGGAGATGAGCCATGTCATATAACCCTTCGTTGAACGCCAGTTCATAGTCTGTACGTTCTTGCGTATCTGTGAAAGGAGGGTCCCTTGGCGGAGGATGGCAGAAGAGAAGTTTTCCATTGACATAATCCTTCAATACGTATCTTGCGGCGCGAGATTCATCTGGCTGTCCCAATCCTGTCGTCGCAAATCCACGAGCACGGGCATATGCGCGAAGAATCTCTGATGCGGTCGGGGTTCCTGTCCCTCCCTCCTCAAGGGGTCGGATAGGGATCTTGATTCCGTACACTGCCTCGAGGAAGTGAAGCGGAACCCTCTGGGCCACGAGTCCGGCTGGGCCGGTGTACTCGCGTAGTTGATCAATAGGGAGGACACCGTTAACGACAAGGTCCGCTTTCGTGGTGGCAAAGTTAGGGAAAACCAGACCAGGGCAATCACAAAGCATGATCTTAGGCGTTAGGTATAGGGTTTGGAAATGCTTCGTTTTTCCAGGAGTTGCAGAAACAGACACTTTCTTCGAGCCGAGAAGCGCGTTTATAGTACTGGATTTACCAACGTTGGGGTATCCGACAAGACCAATGGTGGTAACGTCCTTGCTTCTCTCATCGTTAGGATCACGGGGAGGAGCAGCAGACATGAATAATGCCTCCAGCTCACCCACGGTGATGATTTCAGTTCTCTTTGGTCCTGGCTCTTGTGGAAGAGGTAAACCACCACCATCGTCATCGTCCGAGTCATCTTCATCCTCGACCTCTTCAGCACTTGAACCTTCTTCTGAGTCTTCTTCCGAATCTTCAATGCGCGCTTTTCTCGTTCGCTCGGCCAGCGCCACTTCATCTTCATCTTCATCCTCTTCCTCATCTTCTTCCTCCGATCCTTCGCTACCATTTTGCTCGTTCGCCTCATTAATCTCCTTCGCTAAAGCAGCGGAAAAGAACTTGTAAGATATGTTGTGTTCCTCAAAATAATCTGCCCATGCCTCCCTCTGTTTCAGTGTCATCATATCTGCCTTATTCACCAAAAGCAAATTCCTCTTCTTCGGGCTCACTTCCTTGACGTATTTTTCCAAGTCTTCAGATCGAAAGAGAAGTGGGTTCCTCGCGTCCACGATTTGCACGACAAGGTCGGATCGCTCAATGACTCTCCATAGCTGTCTCCAAACCTCCAAATTTCGCTCGAACGGCGTCATCAATATGTCCTGAACCTCCTGTAGCTCTGCAAGCCCCCTCCTCCATTCTAGGAAGTTTTCTCGTTCCATCGCATCGAGTTCGTGGCGTGTGGTTTTTTCATTCCACTTGGGACGTCGGGGGACTGTTAAGCGAGCACGATTCTTCTGGTGTTTTCTGATAGCGTTTCTCTCGTCCGCGGCTGAAAGGAGGTAAGGGTTCTTCTGATCCTGATGTATGATCTTGACATTATTCATCTTTTCGGCTGTGAAATCTGTGCCTGCAAGTTCGGCTGTACTCAGGAACTCGTCGAGAGCAGCCTGCTCTGTGATACTGCGCATCTTCACCCATGATGCCTCCTCGGAAGGGTTTGTGATGTAGGTCTCGCCGTCGGTGCCCTTTCTCTGAATAGCAGCAGCATTGTGAGATACTTTCTTGCGATCCGCGCCTTTTCCCTTGCCGAATCTATCGTTCATCAAACTGTTCCCCAACCCCACCGAATTTTTTGATTTGGCCAACACCATGGCTGCAGATATAAGGGAAACAATCTATATTCAATACTAAAATGTAGCATAAAACGCCCCTGAATGAGTTGAGTGGGATGAATAGATGGCGGGGCAAAGAGCGATGGAATAAAATTTCTATGATAACCGGAAAAAAATACAGCGATAAGCTCGCTTATTAATCTTGCTTATCAACTCCCCCTTATTGCCACTTTCGGACATCAACTTCACTTCTTCATAAAAAAAAAACGATAGAAAAACGATAGAAACACGATAGAAACTGGCCTTTATGTTGAATGGATACTAATCTATAGATCCGACCTGAGAGGACTTGCATAAAGATGTCTGCTTAACTCGATGAGAGCACGCGAGAGGCTTGAACCCCAGACTAAACACTGCATGCATAGCTGCAACGTCCAACATACCGACAAAGATCGTTGCTGGTACCAATTGGAATATCATCCCACCACAGTGCATATCTCGGCCGCTCACCGCTCCGGTTAACAAGCAACAGGTTCAAACATGGCGAAACGAACCTGGGAAGATTCCACTCCCGAAAGATCAGACTTGAATCATACCTCATCGGCCGCAACAATGGTATCTACAAGCCCGCCATCACGGAATAAATATCCTCACATGGATAACACTGCGTTGTCCGACGGTGCAGATCATGCAGTGATGCGCTGCTCGTTACCGCCGCACAGAGGAGAGCTGTCGTTTCCGACGTACGAAGAGTATGAATCGCACTACATGCAGACACACGTCAACCGGTGTTCGGAATGCAGGAAGAATTTCCCATCTGATCTGTTTCTGACTCGACATATCGAAGAGAATCATGATCCGGTTATGGAAGAGAGGAAAGAAAGAGGGGAGAAAACTGTACTTTTTCATCCTCATCTCGTCCGTTCATTTCTCCTACTGCTTATACTAATTTACTGGCCAGTTCGGCTGTTTCGTTGAAGGATGTGATCGTAGATGTTCCACTCCGCAGAAACGACGGTTACATTTAATAGATAAACATTGCTTTCCGAGGGTAGGGACCATTTTACCGCTTTTTATACATCTAACCTTAACGTTGACGTTCAATGATATACTAATCCCTCTCTCCAGGGATATAACTTCTACATTGTAAACGATGGCATCGACAAGTATAGCTCTATGCTCAGATCTAGCATGACCATGCATCGACGACGGTTCTCTCTCGAAACAGGTAGTATTAATCCTAAGAGTAATGCTGTTTCGTCACCACCTACAACTCCGCAGAAACGCCGGAATCATTCTATCGCGAATAAGGACCAGGACGCATCACCTACGCAGATATCTAGGGGAACAGCGGTGCATGCAGGTCGGATGGATAGGGGTAAATCTGGCGTTAGGGGTGGTACCGACGATGACGATCTAGCAGGCCTTACACAGTCCATGTCAGCACTGAAATTCGTGCCTCACAGCGTGACTATGCGAATACAGTCTCAGAAAGACAAGACTTGATGATTTCTAGCGATATATTTTTGAGTATACATTTTTCATAGCGTTGATTTTTTGAATAGCGTGTTTATTTGACGGGGTAGATAGAGGGTATAAATGACCAATGCATAACCAAGCCGAACCTATAACGATCCTATGTCGTTACTCTAAAAAACGAAAAATAATAGAAACAGATAGAATAGTATAATAAAGAGATATAGAAGTGAAACGCTTATCCAAAAATGCAGTGTCTATGACAATGTATATCATACGTCAAGCAAATCGGCATATATCTCTAAGCTGGCGCCTATAAGGTCGACGATAGGCCAGCTCGTGTTCCCCTTGAACGTCCTCGACCAGACACGCACAACGGCAACGCTAAGTTGCCTCATCATGGCCGGATCATTAATTAGATCAGCCTCTGTAGCCGCGCTGATCGATGCAGACATGTCAGTTTCATCCATCATGCTCTTTACCCATAGTAGGAGCTTGCGTTCATGTTCTGATAGCTGCTGATCATGTTGGGTGCCGGGTATAGACAGCAGCCAGCGAGAGAGCAAGAAAGCGCATTCCAAACTGCATATTGAGTGTTGAATGGACCAGAAGAAGGAGTGGGTGCGGGCTACGAAGTCGATGCCTAGACGGACGGGGATGGATAGGGCGTGCGCCGAGTGGAGGAGAGCCATTATCAGGCGTGAACTGCGTACGAGCGGTGGGGAGTCGTTGAGTGCCTGGGCTATCTGTACGGGATCCTGGGAGACGAGTCGTCGACATGGTCCGAGGTCTAAATGGAGGCGTATATATGCTAGTCCTAGCAGGGCGGTGGATGTGAATGCAATGGGCCCCGCGGGATTCTGGGGATCGATGCTGGACTCCGGTGTTTGGCGCCATCCGCGTTTCCAGGCACTGAGGGAGTTGCCCATCACGGCCAGGTCGTCGGGCCGGAGGCTGGTTCCTGGCATTGATGGGGCGGAGAGGCAGAGCTGTCGTGCAAAGAAGATCTGTTGGATGATGGCGTGGATGAGGACGTAGTTACCCAGTGGAGATACGGGGATGGATGGCGTGGTTGTGGCTGCAATGGACCCCTTTGTGAATAGTTTTGCTAGGACTTCCTGGAACGAAGAAGGGGTGTTGTCTGATGCCGTGCGGGGACGGTGTACACGGCGCCACTGGCCAGACGTCGTGGCCTTCCATTCATCGGCAGACGCGGGCATGTTGAGGTTCAGCTCAGAGTTGAGGATTAAAGGGGGTATATTATACATTATGGAATGGAGGTTGAAGAAGCAGTAGACGACAAGTTTGGTGCGCCTATCAGCCTCCTGCCTGGACCAGTCTGCCCATGAGAGTGTCTCTGGTGAGACGGAAGCCGGCTGCTCGTTGAGGCCATGGTCCCGCACAAGTCGGGCCAGCGTGCTCTGCAGGGCCAGCATGTCTCGCAGTATATCCGGATGGCTCTCCCAGGAGGCGAATATGGTGAGTAAGAGGAACGTGCGTATGATCTCCATTTGTGCTTCGGCGTCCTCGCCCGGTAACGAAGTGTTGTCCATGATCTGCATGAACTGCTGCGGGAACGGACTGCTTCCCGGGTTCGAGACTGAAGACGACGCTCGCGGGGTATTTTGCATGACCGAGTTGGGAGGCGGTGCTATCCCCCAGTGCGGTTGAGGGACACGCCTTGAATCCCGACGCCGGAGCCGTTCAAGCAAGATGGCCTTTGCAGCGTGGAAGAGCTCTATACCTCTGTTGTTTTCAAACCTGTAATGGGAGCCTGCGGCAGCCAGTGCGAGGGTCAGCTCTGGCGGACATCTGGCTATCGAGAGAGTAGGGACGTGAATAAATGGAAGATGCTCGTTGAGACCACTGATATAGCCAGCCATGTAGCGGGACAAGGCATGTCTGGAAGGCCGCGCAAACCCCTTTGATAATACATGAGCAAAGTCTTCCAGCCGAGCGGTGAACAACTGGTGTTCCTGGGTCGATATGTCCCATGCCGGCCTCGGCTGTGAGTTGTGCTCAGAGGCACCACCGGCATCCGAATCCTGAGCTTCCGGCTGTAGAGAGGGCAACCTGGATCCGAAGTTTGAAAAAGAAGGGGCTTCATCTGCCGTGGCAGCGTTGTTATTCCGCGAGTCTATATCCTGGCCAAACCTGGAACTGGCAAACGGCTGCTGTTTGGTATCTAGTGTCGGCAGTGGGTTTGATAACAGCTGCTGCTGCTGCTCCGTCTCCACCGAGTTGAACAGGCCCGAGTCCCAGTCGGAGGATAGCCCGACACTCTCGAGAAAGGTGGTAAAGTCCTGCACCGGATCTCCCAGATCAGCCAAATCGATGATTGACGGCTCGACGCCGTAGTTCTCTGAGATGGGCCGCTCGTACACTGGAGCTGGTTTCCTAGCCGGCTGACCTAGATCCTGGCCATGGCCGTGGCTGTGACTTTGCTGAGCCTGGGCCTGGGCCTGAGCTTGGCCCTGGCCCTCGAGAGCAACATGGCTGGCAGCGTGGGAGAGCAGGTTCAGGTCGTAACCCCAGGACGGGTTCAGCTGCGTGTGGTCTGCCCCTATATCAGCTCCCACGGCCGGAACCTGTAAGGGCGGCTGCGGCTGTGGCAGCAAGGGCACGGCAGCCACCACGGCAGCAGCAGCGTCCACGGCGGCGGTAGAGGGCGCGGCCGCTCGCTTCTCTCCCCTGCCGGCCGCACTCGCCTCTGCCGGATGCACCAGGCGCTCATGGCGGACAAGCAGGTCACTTCACACCATCAGCACGATACCAACAAGATAAAAAAAAGACTAAACAAAGGGGAGAAAAGACCTCCGCGCAAACGACTTGAAGCATATGTCACAGGTAAACGGCTTCTCCTTTGTGTCTATAAAGTTGACAGGTTAGAGTAAAGAGCAGAGAGTAAAAGGAGATGCAGGGGCAAGGGGTCAACTCAACGGGTGCGGAGATGCCGTTGGAGATGCTCGAGACGGGCAAAGGGCCGGTTGCAGTGCTCGCAGGTCAGCGACTTGCGGGTGGCCGTCGCCCTCTTCTTCCTGGGCCGCGCAGGCGACGCTGCAGCAGAGCCAGAGCCAGCATCGGTGCCGTCATCCATCGCTGCTCTGTTTCCTGACGTCCTGAAGATGCGACTTTTGCTCGTTTTCTACGACTTTGGCGAAGGATGAGGGGTGCGGGGTGCTTAGTCATTCATTGGAGACTCCATGGCCGATAGAAGCAGGTAATATATATGATAATATGTAGGTAGATGTAGATAGATGTAGACGCAGATGTAGATGATGTAGATGTAGGTGTAGGTGGTGTAGATGCAGATGTAGAGGGAGAGGTGTAGGTGTAGTAGATGTAGATACCTCGACGCCCTATATCAACACCACATCAACAACAACATCAACATCATCACATCAGCATCATCGTCAAGACAGATAATAGAGGAGATAGTACGTGGCAAGGCTCCCTGGTCCCGTCGCAAACACGAACTAGACGATCGCGGCGCCCCTGGAGGTTTCAGCTTCTCACCGCAGCACGGCACGCAGACCTCGGTGTCTCCTATCGCTATTATAAGAATCACCCTATCCCTGCTCTCCTTTTCTCTTCTCCTGTCTCTCCTCTTCTAGTCTCTTCTAGTCTTCTCCTTTATATGTTCTATATGTTCTATATCTTCTATATCTTATGTTCTTATGTAGAAGTAGAAGTTCCAGCTCGGAGACGCGCTAACCCCATCGGGCGCTGAATCAGGCCGCGGAACGCCTTGCTCGCTCTACTCTACATCTACTTTACATCTACTCTACTTTATATCTTATATATATTCCATCTTACATCTTGATTATCGGACAAGACAGGGCGAGGAGTACATAGACCCTGCTCTTAGTCGACAACCCTGCTCTAGGCCGGCCCAGGGTAGCACCGAGCGACGACCGGCCTTCTCGACCGTCCCGCCAAAATGCGATTTTAGACACCATCACCATCACCACCACCACATCATACAGTCTCATACATTCCACAAGCAGGAAGACGATGCTGACCTCCCAGCCTGCTCCCTACGCTCAGGCGTTCCCAATGGCCCCCCAGCAGTCCGCCATGTCCGCCTCCTACGCAAACCTGCCGCTCCAGAAGCCCGCCAACGGAGTCGCGTCCAGGGAGAACCTCTTCACCAGCCCGACCGAGTCTGAGTTCTCCGAGGGTGCAGACCAGCTCGATCCCATCAGGTGCGTCTCTACTGTAGATATGGTGTCTATACATCGCTAATAGCAGTGGCGTAGGTCGTGGGACGAGAAGAAGGTCGGCGAGTGGCTGCATAGCATACGGTGTGGACAGTATGAACCCGTCTTCAAAGGTAGGTCCTCTTTCTCCTTACTCTAGATCACGACTGACGGGTGCAGCAAACCACTTCACGGGGGACAATCTCCTCGACTGTGACCAGAAGATACTGCAGGAGATGGGCATCAAAAAGGTCGGAGACAGAGTACGCATCTACGTGGCAGTCAAACAGCTGCGCAACCGCACCCTGTCGTACCGCAAAAAGAGAAACAGGGTATGCTCTCTACTTAATATATATGTATGTATGTGTACTGACAAGACAGGACTCGCTGGCTGCCCTGGACTCGGCACGGTACACTCCGCCATCCTCAGAGTCGTCTCGCCCGTCAAATCCACGATACCACCCCTCCGGTCGACAGTGGTCACGCAATGAGCCTTCTTCTCACAGCTACGGTGCAAAGCCGTCGTCTCGGCCTACTTCTCCCCTGACCGAGGCAGACCGCCAGATCCGATCCTTCCGGTACAATGGGGCCAGCCCGATGGAGTCCATTCGCCGTGAGCAGGGCCCCAATTACTTCAGCTACTCTCACTCAAACTCCAGCACCTCACGGCACACAACTTCCTCCAACGACCCCTCACAGGCACCCAGGACGGTGGCCCATGTCAGGCAGAATCCCAGCAACGATGGGCTGACCATAAGCTCCCTACCGAGCCACTCGCCCGTCATCAGAGTGATACATACGGGTGGACAGACCAAGGCACTCAACATAAAACAGTGCAAGACTGCAGATGATATAATGGTCTGCGTTCTCAAGAAACTTCTCCTTCCCGAGAGCCATTATAAGAATTACTGTTTCTACGTTCTGGACGGGCTGGATCCCAATCCGGCAAACTGCAGGCGGATATCCGACATTGAGCTCTTGCAGATATGCGATGGCTCCAACAGGTCTGAACGCGGCCGGCTCATCTTGAGGAATATACATGCCGGCGAGCCAGACCTGGATGAACTCGAACTCGCCGCGCGACTGGCCACGGACGAGAGCCAGGTTGCTCACATGAACGCCATGAATACGACCAACTTGAGGAACCAGATCAAACTACAGAAACTGACGGGAGAGTCCTGGGACCATCTGCGGCAGCCCATGTCGCCCATTACGGCCACCGATCGTTCTCGAGATGACCATCGTAGACTGCCACATACGCCATCTGACACTACAGATCGCGACCAGGGCACAAAACTACGTTCATTCTTCGGTGCCCGTCCTCCAAGCGAGATGATCATCCATGAATTGACCTCTTACTTCCCAAGTCACCAGAAGGAGGACATTGAAAAGACCATGCGTCTGTCTGTGCGAAGGTCGCAGCGCATGAGTCGGGCCGCAAGTCGGCTGTCTGTCATGAGCGGCGTCAGTCTGGCATCAAGTATGAAGGATGCTCCGCCAATTCCCAGCATCGCAGACGCATGGCTGTCTGCGGGCGCGGCATCCAACCCTCCCTCGCGAGCTGGTGGTGGGCGACCCTTATCTGTATCCAGGTTCAACCTGCCCCAGGCTTCGTTCCGAGACTCGATTGCTTCCTCGGCTCTGGAGCCATTGCAAGAAGAGTCGCCAATCCAGGATAATCGCAAGTCCTACGTCTCGTTTGATGAAAGCTCCGATCACCCGATCATTGAAGAGCCAGAACGACAGACCTTCCTGGACGAGACGCTGAGCGTCACCGCGACCGATGGCGGCGGATCGATGAACGAGCGCCTGAGCATGATTGTAGCAGAGGACGGCGACGAGGTAGACGATGGACTAGCTGATTTCCTTGCTGGTAACAACTTCGGCAACAAGAACTGGATGAAGGGATCCTTGATCGGTGAAGGCTCCTTTGGCAGCGTCTTCCTTGCTCTGCACTCCGTCACTGGTGAACTCATGGCCGTCAAACAAGTCGAGCTTCCATCTGCTACAAAGGGCACCGAATTCGACCAAAAGAAGAACCTCATGGTCACCGCCCTCAAGCACGAAATTGGTCTCCTACAGGGCCTACAGCATGAAAATATCGTACAATACCTAGGCACCTCGACAGACGACCAGTACCTGAACATTTTCCTCGAGTACGTTCCTGGAGGCTCCATCGCAACAATGCTAAAACAATATAACACCTTCCAAGAACCGCTCATCAGGAATTTTGTCCGTCAAATCCTAGCGGGCCTCGAATACCTACATTCCCGCGACATTATACATCGCGACATCAAGGGCGCTAACGTCCTAGTCGATAACAAAGGAGGCATTAAAATTTCTGATTTCGGTATCTCTAAGCGCGTCGAGGCATCCACCATGCTCGGATCCGGCGCAAAGGGTCCATCAAACCATCTCCACCGTCCCTCCTTGCAAGGAAGCGTGTACTGGATGGCTCCCGAAGTCGTGCGTCAAACAGCCCATACCAAAAAGGCAGACATCTGGAGTCTAGGCTGTCTCGTCGTCGAGATGTTTATCGGCGTCCACCCGTTCCCAGACTGCAGTCAGCTACAAGCCATTTTTGCCATCGGCAATAACCAAGCAAGACCACCTCCGCCTGAAAATGCGAGCAAAGAAGCCATGGCCTTCTTAGACATGACGTTTGAAATCGATCACGAGAAACGTCCTAGCGCAGATGAGTTGTTGACCAACCCGTTCCTAGAAACGATTGCTTGATGTGACGTTTCCATCATTTCCCCATTTACCACCTACCACCTTATTTCCTGGTATCAATCTATCTGCATCACCATCTATCTAACCTTGTCGACATTTACATATGCTGGTCTTTCAAAAATCTCTATCGCATCTACTTATTTGCTTTGCTTTATTTTGCGTGGCACGGGTAATCAAAATCATGAAGGCTAGAAGAAGTACCCTGGAGGATTTCGATTGTTCATCTCTTCGTCATTTCCTTTTTGTTCTCGTTTGCATGCACTCTCGACCTTTAAACAGGGCGATGTACAAATAGAGAGTCGACCTCTTCTCACCCCCCACACCACCCTTTTCATCGTTTCATCTCATATACCATGCCAGCAACGAATTTCTCATCTTGTCATGTGTGATTTGTCTGCTCTTGTCATGAAGCGAATGGATTTATAAATATGTTTGTATTTACCTAATTGTTTCGATTGGCAAGAATAGACAAAATTGAATATCTCACCCATCATATCTCTTGACTAGACATAATGACCAACGGTAATAAATACTACATCACCTATCAATCCACGTTAATAAGGCATGCGTAACCAAAATGAAATCGCTGTTTTTCTATGGGTGTATGGGTGTTATTGTACAAGAAAATGATGCGAGGGCGAGGAAGTGCTTTACAAGCCAAGGAGATAAGGGTAGTAGGTAATAGGGGTACAAGAACATATCCCTATCGCCGTCATTGATAGAGCAAGAACCATGGCGGCAATAGGGTGACGATAATATACATCTCGCCAGGTAAGACAATAAATGGTGCTATAGTGCGATTAGATGGGTCGGCATTTAGTTCGGGAGTTTCCCATTGAATGGAACGCCCAAAGCGTTAAGCAGGAGTCTCGCATCCTTGTCAGTACGGGCGGTGGTGTGAATGGTAATGTGGCAACCAGGAATCATATGTGAAGGATACCTATAGAAAGAAGATTAGTTTAGCCCAGATCAATGGCATTAAGCTCGAGATACTCACATATCATAGTTGACCTCAATTTCAGGGAACATGGCAACCATCGATGGCTCGAGACCCAGGGTAATGTTTCCACTGCCATCACCACTGGTATTCTTAACTCCCTTCCAGTCTTTAAACTTGGGCATCACGACGTCCACCAACTTGCTGAAGAAGTGCTGCATATCCTCTCCCTTCAGCTCGGCAGTGGCCGCAACATGTCTGTGGCCGGCAATCAACCCCCATTGCGGTACACCCGTTCTCGTCTTGTGCGTTCTCACCCTGACGTTTGTGATGGCCTGCAGCGCCATACCGGCTACGTGCAGATAGCCAGATCCATTCTTCACGGCACCCTTGACGTAGCTGTGAACCGTTACTCCTGAGAGTTCGGGGACATTGTTGAATGTAATTGGTTTCCTGAGCAGGCGTAAGACATCACCACCTCTGGGGCCACGGAGCGGTCGGTTCTTATGGTATGGCGAGCTGTCGTCCCAAGATCGTAGACGTTCGCGAACTGGGGGTGCTTTAAAGCCATGTGGTTTATGTACGTAACAAAGCGCGAGGATGTCGGAGGCTACGGTTGAATCAAACGTTTGTTGGACTCGAGGTAAACTGAACGGGCCCGGAACGAAGAGACGCGAGGACGGGTGTGATGGTGGTGGAGGTCTGTGAGGGTTTAGAGGACCACGGTAGTATTTTGGAGATCGATATTGGTAGCTATATTGAGGTTAGTGAGATAGCTTCTGCTGAATCAGGGTTGGTATCCAAGCTTACCGACTTCGTGGAAGTTCTTGTTTACGAGCCTGACTTCTTCCTAGCGGATCGAACTCCTTTATAAGGTCTTCTGGCGGCGGTGGAGTGGTAAAGGACGACACAGGTTCAAGGTCGTTAAGCGGCGATGATTCTGAAGAGGCATTGCGGCGGTATGCTGGGAGCTGGGAGGAGAAGGCGGGCGTAAACCTCCTGGATAGGGCCTTTGGCAGCTGTGACATCGACTCGTGAAGCGCCATCTTGTGTTTCCTCCGTTGATGCCTGGCACGAGTCCTGTTCTGCTCTCCGTCTTCGTCCTATCTCGAATTTTGCTCCAGCGAACTTCATACTGGTCACGTGTACAAAAATCTGACTAAGCGGTTCATTGGTCAGTGTTTAGTCATTCGGAAGGGATAAATATAAAGACGAAACCTATTTACTAAGCAATACAAAGGTAATGCAAAGAGTGCAATCAAAGCAAAAGAAGCAAACTTATACTTGATGACGTAATATGATGTCAAAAGTTGAACGTTTTTCTAGATGTTTATTTTATATTCTACGGTGGCACCCAACTTTGCCTTCTATGCAAATGTTTGTTGAAGTTGGAGTGACGCCAGTCCAGGTATCAAAATTTCATCAGGGATAAAGCTTTCCTTCGGCGGTACATTGATGAAGTCGGCTCAAGAGAAGAGAGCGCAGAAGGCCACTTTCGAAATGCTGGTTTAACAGTCGAGAATATATGACTGCATTCTGAGAATGAGAACACCGGCTAGGCCGCAAGAGTTCCCTTGCATTATTAAGTATCTCATTAATCCCCTTCACTAGATTTTTGGGACAACAGGTTTTGATGAGTATCAGTGTAGCGGAATGGGCCTCAACTGTTCCTGCTGATGTGATCCCTCAGCTCGCAGAACGCTGACTTTGAATTTCCCATCCGAACGCAGGGAAGGCAAAGCCCAGTGTACTCCCTCAGGTAGTTTATTGACCACTGACGGCCCTTTCTATATTCCGGTACCCTATGTTTGTAATCATATGTGCAGGCAGTACTCCGTTCATCGGGGACCGGGTCTGGAATGCTCCCTGCTTGCTCTATTGCCTTGGAGATGGTGACTAGGCCCGTTGGCCAAAGATCATGGTGGCGGAGCAATTCCAAATATGCATATGCATATTTGCTTGTCCACCCACACTTGTGGGCACACATTCCACCGTTTGTAATGCCGTCCATGAGAATATCTCCTAGTTTAAGTCTCGCAGAGTTCCTTTGTTCTTCTAGAAGGCCTGATTCGACCGGTCAGCCATAGATACTATGAGCTAGAGAAATCGACCAGAGGTCCTTACAGAATACTTTCCAGCCTATTACCGACCCGATATTTTCAGTAAAAAGAGAAATGTATGAGCCTCCGTAATCAAGTATCAAAGCTTTGGTAAGATCCCTGAAGGCTTGTGCGTTCTGGAAAGCGTATGCTGCCGCAGTTAGGTTCATTTGCTCATTAGCTTCCATGCTCCGAGAATGCAACCAAGATGCGCTCGCAAATCTTAGGGCATCAACGAAATTGTATTTATCTGCCGTGATAGCAACTTCGAGGATATCATCTGAAGCTATCATATCAGGCACCATCTCGTTTCGATGGTGTATAATAGCACAGATATACTTCATTGCCATCGCATTGTCAGCAGGTAGGGGCACCTCCGTGGACCCATCTTCGAGTAGATCACGGCCTTCTTTCCAGCTCGGGCCTAGCATAGCAGAAAACGGGGTTGAGGTTGCTTTCATGATCAGCGAGCGTACACGTAGTCTGACGTTTTCTGGCCCAACAACTAGAATAATATCACCATCCCCAGCGATGTCCACGGTTGCCCCAAGTTCACTGTTTCCAGCCATCTCAGATGTGAGAGCAACACGTCTTATAGGCAAAGTGTCGCCGTGGAGATGCATGTAGGCTGTAATGAAGGTTGATCTGTAATCATTTAATTGAATATACGCTCATTCATTCATGATAAATGTTTGCCCAAGTGTTTCCTGTTAAAACCCCACATTTTCGATTTGACGGGCCATATTTATTCCGGACATCTGACATCACTCGGCAAGAGTAATGTTTGTGTCTTTTGCTCTATGTATCGAAATCAACGGAGGAATTTATAGAACAGGCTGGGTTGGATATCCTTCAGCGTCATTTTTTGAACTACACATAGTTATGGAGTACCCTGAATAGATTATCGTCATGCAGAAACCGGCATTCTAAAGTACACCAGCTTCGAAGATGCCATTATCACCGGCCAAAGGATCAGGATGTTACGGATGTTACGGAGTACGCAAAGTCCGTTTCATGATATTGCCTCGATATCCGGAGCACTAGATACTAAGATCAAACTTGCCTCCGGTTCGCCTTATCTATAGGATTGAGTTTTGTTTACCACCTTATGCTATCATCCTACAGTGGCCATTCTGCCAGTATGAAGGGCTTATGCTATGCCTTCAACTTCACCCCTACTGACAACCCCTCGAGCATCGACTAGTTGACTGTCAGCGAGTAGCCTCCTAGTTAGACGCCGCCAAAAGCCTCCATGTCGATCGTTCTACTAGCTGGCGGGACACTCTTCCGCCGTCAACACCGCCGTTAGCAAAGCTTGCACTGACGTAGTGTTTGATACTCCTCCTCGCCACTATGAACCTTCAACTCGCTGTAGAACGTGTGCTCGCTTGCAACAGTTACTCGCTTTCCGCTTGATAAAACGTCCAGAGTATGGCCAGAGTGGCGGGTCACCTGATCTGGGGTTGGTCGAGCCTGGACGTGGACGTTTGTTTACTTCCACACTTTCCGCTCGCCAACGGGAACGGAAGATCGAGATGAGACGGTGATCCTGGTGCTATAATACCGGGAACCCTGGCTATATCTAAGCGATAGATATCGTGGCGTCGCCTTACATCCTTTACCCCGAGTCATAAACATTGAGCACAGCCCGCTTATCTAGACGTCTGCGATCACGATATCGATAGCAGCGAGCAGGAGATCGACGTCATCGAGCAACGCTTCGAGTAGCAGTGGCATGGCATTTTTGGCTGCAGCCTACCAACTGTAAGTATCAGCCGTCAAGAGGTTCATCCTGCCTGTCATCAAACAGTGTTGCCTGGGAATTACGTGCGCATTCTATACAAAACGTCACCTGCTCACTCATCATGACTATTAGGTCACCCGTTGCGGCGCGTTACTCGTCCTATCTCCTTGAGACATCTACGATGACCGATAAATAGTACTTTTGCCCTAGCTGATTTCCGTTATACAAACTCTCGAGAGTACGACTATCAGTTCAAAAAGATAAGATGGCGCCGCATATTCATAGATTTCTAAACAAAATGGGTGCCCACAAGGTTGGTTCTATGCCCTTTCATCGTTAGGCTGGTTCATAGAACGCTCTGCTAACATTGCACGTTTTCTCTTACTCTAGAGGCTTTCACCCGCGGATTCAGAGTTACTAGCACGCTGGGACATATTCAAAAGGGATAAGGGAGGCGTTGCGGCTGAGCTTACGGTTTCTAGATCGCTGGAGCAACAGGTTAGTTTTCTAAAATTCAGGCCAATACAGCTGTACGATCAGTTCAATAACATGACCCAATTAGGTTGGAACCATCAAGTCACTCCTTGCCAATACTGAGCTATATTTCCTGAGCAATAAGCATATTCGATACGCTGTACGGTCCCGTTACGCCGGTGGCAAACAAGAAAGGGCTCTCGAATTTATATATTTAATAGACGACTCTGTGCAGGGTATTATTCGAAGTTATGTCCCCGAAACCAGGCTACTTGGGGCGGAGAACAGGGGAGGATTTTCTTGCTATCTAGACGCCGCTCTCTTCGCGATGTTCGCACGACTAGATTTCTACGAGGCTCTCCTCTATAATGACTTTTCCAACCCACCAGAGCGCAATCTAACGGTTCTTTTGCGCCTATGGGTTAACCTACTGAGGTCAGGAAATCTGATACCGACGGATGTGGTAAGTCGCCACCTTCTATTTTGCATAGCTGTCCCCGTCGTCACAGGAACAAGCTACTGGCTGAGCAAGTCGGAACAGTGAGATTAATGAATTTTTAAACGCGACAGACAAAACAATTACAAGACGCCATAGCTACCTGTGGCTGGAAAGAGGCTGGCCTTCCTTTACAGCAAGATGCATCCGAGGCATTCACATTCATAATGGAAACGCTAAAGTCGCCCCTCCTTACCCTTAAGATGGACCTCATTCACAACGGACAGAAAGACGCGGCGGGTGATCATCAGTTTGTCAACGAACGACTCTTAGAAGTAGCGATACCCCCATCATTAGAAGATGATAATAGGCCGGTTACGCTCGAGGAATGCTTAGAACAACACTTCAATAGCCGAGTTGAAGTTAAGCGATATCTAGAAAACCAAAGTAACGCAGATCTACTTGAACCAGGAACCAAAGGATTTTCTACTCAACATATTGAAGTGGCAGATGCTGAATCTCCAATTGCCGGATCTGGGCACGATTCTGCATATTTCAGTCCAGCCAACGGGCAGGTTGCCATACCTCAAGTTACAGTGTCTGATAGTACACCTGGTGGCCGAGATCGTGCTTCCAGCATCGTTCAAAATCGCTTTATTTCAGAGGATAATGATATTGCCGATGACGCCGCCTCCGATATTACGCAGGTAAACCCGAAGGGCAGTATCCGCAAAGAAGTCATGATGCCTGCGTGGCAGGTTTTTAGTCTACTCCGTAAGTCATCCCCTTCTTTTCTAACCAAATGGCCACTAACTAATATATCGTCTCATTGTAGCATGGTATGCAAATGATCGAGAAGGTGATAACCCCCAAACGGCCACCCACTTCTCTGCAAAGAGGCCGATTCTAGGGATTAGTTTGAAAAGATACTCAGTCTCATCAACCGGCAAAACAATGCGACTAAAGACGTATGTTGATATTCCCGTGGAGATTGGTTTCCCTCACTTCATAAACGATGATCAGATGAGGGAAGATGGGCCACTCTATGGAAAGTTTAAACTCTCGTTACAGTCTGTTATTTGCCATCAAGGGGATTCTGCGAACTCTGGGCACTATATTTCTTTGGTTAGAGGCACCAAGAAGGATTCATCATCTCCCGATCCGATGTTCCCAGAAAAAGGCTCGTCCATCTCATCTGCCGACAGCAACTACTGGATGCGGTTTGATGATATCGCCAAGGAACGCATTACGCTCATTGATATCGATGACTATCTGAGGACCGAGTTACCATATCTTCTATTTTACCAGATCCTCCCTATAGACGCTGATGCAGGAGACTTGGGTCCCCCATCCGGTCCCGGATTATCTGATGTACGAATTCCTCTAAGTGGGAAACTAGCTAGGCCCCCTTCGAATTCTAGCTCCGGTGACGAAGAAAGCCCCGTTGTCTCTCCGGCCGCGGAAGCGTCCTTAAATGTGCATCCTAGAGATTCTGCTATTAGTGTCGACCACACGCCTCTACCAATTCTCCAGCCACAACCACAGCCACAACCTCAACAACCTACTGTGCCAGTCTTGGATGCTTCGGACACCTCCAGGCACAGCAAGAGTCGGCCAGTGTCTATGGGCGAGAGCAGAATCGGATCACTCTTTTCTAGACGCAAGAGTGCTGATCCACTAAGTACCGGAGAAGCCTGGCGGCTTTCAGGCGAACATAGGAGAGCCAAGTCAGCTGAAAGGCAGAGATCAAAAGAAAGAGCCAAAGAAGTGAAACAGCGCGAGGCAGCGTTACGGAAAGCAAAAGGGGACCCGCAGAGAGAGTGCGTTGTGATGTAATGACGCCGGGGGGAAAGGAGATGGGCTTGCCCTCGATGGGCTTTTCTTGCAACATACGCCTTTATTTTACCTTGATACTGATTCGCTGCACCCAGAAACAAAAGTATATGGCAGGCCTAATACAGTAATACGGTTGATGACGATGACGATGATGCCGGGAGCATTGGGAGGCGTTTTATGTTTGGGATATCGTTTAGATCATGCCTGCCAGGAGGATCACTATGTCTTATTATGGCTCTACATACTTTTAATTAATGCATTGATATTTCTACTATCAAATATCCTCTGCGTCTTTCTAGTTGGTCGTAAAATAGCAGGGATAGAGCTCGAGCTTGGCGTTGGCGATAGTTATTCTAGCTTTCTCCGCAAGCTCCTGGCATCACAACATCCCACGATGACATAGAAGAACACATTTTCAGTGCGCATCATGGCGCTGGACGGATCCAGTGGCTATGTAGCTGCCAGCAGCCTGGCCAAGCTGTCCGAATCCTCATTACCGATATTCAACGTCAAACAAGTCGAGCTCAAGTTCTCGATCGCCGCCGACTTCGTTGCAGCCCAGGTTGCCAACGATGTACTCATCCTGGCTCTCGCAACAGGCAGGATTCTGAGGATCGATCTAAATAATGCCGTGGACATCGATGGTATGTTTCTTTCGCTGGGATCGTTGCCTACGGACTGTTCCGGGAAAATACTAACGTTGCTTCGTTGCTGTATAGACATCGACCTGCCCAAGAAATCCGCCGATACTGGCGTCATTCGCCGCATGTTCCTTGACCCTTCGGCTTCACACTTGATCATATCGACTACGCTAGGGGAGAATTATTATCTTCATACACAGTCTCGACAACCTAAACCGCTCGCGCGCCTGAAGGGGGTTATGATAGAATGTATCGCATGGAATCCCTCAGTACCTACGGCTTCAACGAGAGAGATACTTGTGGGCTCGACAGACGGGAATATCTACGAAGTATATATCGAGTCCGCGACCGAGTTTTACCGCAGAGACGAGAGATATGTCAACACGGTATACAAGGTTCCCAGTCTGTCGGTGACGGGTATTTGGGTGGACATTGTCGGTGGAAAGAAAGACTGTCGACATATCATGGTGTCATCGAATGGAAAGTTATTCTATTTCATGGGCAAGATAGGCAGACACGGGAAAGAGGGAGGAGGGTCTATATACATCGACCTATTCCGCAAGGAAACCCCCGTCGTTCATGAGCTTTCCAGCGCGACGCTATCGGCGCCGTCCCTGCTTGCTATCCAACCAGACCCGCTCGAGGAGGGACACAGTGATGGAAAATCTGATGAAAAGCACTTTGCTTGGTTGACTTCCTTGGGCGTTTTGCACGGCGTGGTGCCCAACTCTCCAAACCCAGAGATAGGAAGCCGCATATTCGACAAAGCAAAGATGATCCAACGCTCGATTTTACCAGCTACTGAGTCTGCTAGAGGAGGCAGGAAGCTAATTCAAGACCCGATAAAAGGAATGACCATGACACAATGGCATATCTTGACATTGGTGGAAGGCCGAATCGTTGCCGTGAATCGCTTGAACGGAGAGATTGTGTACGATCAAGTAGTCCTTGAACCAGGTGAAAGCTCACTCGGTTTGGTTGCAGACCAGAAGATGAACACATACTGGCTTTTCACTGGCAAAGAGATATATGAGATCTCCGCCCACGATGAGGATAGGGACGTATGGAGGATCCTTCTTAAAGAGCAGCAGTTTGACTCGGCGTTACGATTTGCCCACGGAGTTACCCAAAAGGACGCTGTTGCGACGGCTTCGGGTGATCATCTTGCTAGCAAAGGGCAGTATCTGGAAGCTGCATCTGTTTGGGGTAAAAGCAGCAAACGTTTCGAGGAAGTCTGCCTCACCTTTATTGATAAAGGGGAACATGACGCTTTGAGGAAATACCTCCTTACCCAGTTGACGACCTATAAGAAATCAGCAGTTATGCAAAGAATGATGATAGCAAGCTGGCTGGTGGAAATTTTCATGTCGAAACTGAATTCGTTGGACGATACGATTGCAACGAAAGCCGAACTCGTCGAGGGAGGAAATACGGACGATGCAAAGGATGACATTCAAAGCATACGCACCGAGTTTCAGCAATTCGTGAACAGGTACAAGGATGACCTAGACCCCAGGACTGTCTATGACATTGTGGGTAGCCATGGTCGCGAGCAGGAGCTGCTGTACTTCGCGACTACCATCAGCGATCACAACTTTGTGCTGTCATACTGGGTTCAACGCGAGAAGTGGCCAGAAGCACTCAATGTGCTGAAGAAACAAACCGATCCCGAGGTGTTTTACAAATATAGCAGCATTCTAATGACGTACTCTGCCAACGAGTTCGTCGATATATTGATGAGACAGACGGATCTAGATCCGCAGAAACTCATTCCAGCCCTATTAAGCTACAACAAGGACACCAAGGTCGCTCTGCCTCAAAACCAGGCGATCAGATACCTCAATTTCATCATCGCCAACCATCCGAATCCCTCCGCTGCTGTTCATAACACCCTAATCTCCATATACGCATCACACCCCTCAACGTCCGAAGGCGCCCTTCTCCAGTACCTTGAATCCCAACCATTATCCCCGCCTCGCTACGATGCCGATTTCGCCTTACGTCTTTGCATCCAGCATAAACGAGTCCAATCATGCGTCCACATCTACAGTATGATGGGCCAATACCAAGAAGGCGTCATGTTGGCCCTGAAGCACGACGATATCGAGCTTGCTGCCCTTGTCGCCGATCGGCCAGAAGGCAACGACAAGCTACGGAAGAAACTTTGGCTTCTCGTTGCCGAGAAAAAGATCCGACAACCGGGGATAGGAATCAAAGACGCCATTGAGTTTCTACGGCGCTGTGAACTTTTACGTATCGAAGACCTTATTCCATTCTTCCCTGATTTCGTCGTGATTGATGATTTTAAAGATGAGATCTGCACCGCTCTGGAAGACTACTCGCGGCATATTGATACCCTCCGCCAGGAGATGGATAATTCCGCCCATGTAGCCGAGCAGATCCGGCTAGAAACCGCAGCGCTCGGCTCGCGGTATGCGATTGTCGAGCCAGGAGAGAAGTGTTGGATATGCTCGTTACCGGTGCTGAGTAGACAGTTTTTCGTCTTCCCTTGCCAACACGCCTTTCATAGTGATTGTTTGGGTAAGAAGGTAATGGATGCTGCGGGTACGGGAAAGAAGAAGCATATCAAAGATTTGCAGGCTGAGATGAGTAAGGGGACGAACGTTGGGGCCAAGCGAGAGAAGATTATCAGGGAGTTGGACGGGCTGATTGCCGAAGCCTGGTGAGTTTACTCTCTATCATTTCACTTTTCGGCTATTCCTGCTAACCATTGACCACAGCATCTTATGCGGAGAGTATGCTATCAAACAGCTCGATGAGCCTTTCATCAGTGCTACAGACAACAAGAGTGAATGGGCAGTATGAGCTGAATGTATACATAATATAATATCTGTTTATGAACTGGCTACCATATGTTAGAATGAAGGCATGAAGTATATTCACATCTCTCTTATCTACTTTGTACTCCGTATCATCTCAGGTTTTCAGCTGAATCCACATGCAGACCATATAAGCGGCGGGTGTATCACACCTCATGCTCGACTTCAGCTACTCTCGGAACTCTATCAATCTTGACCTGCGCAAACTTTGCGACGAGTTCGATCTACAGCACCAGAACGCCGAATAAGCCGATTTGCCTCCTGAATCGTTCCACGGATGGCTTTTCAGATGCGGGGAAGGGGGCAAAAACACATACACACTGATGGACTAGTTCAACGTCTTCCTGCGCAATGCCAATCCGCCGCATACCGCGGAGGTGCCAGCGGGATTCACTGTTTAGATTCTGTATCATGATCCCCGACAGGACGACCAGCTCGGTCTCGACGTCGTCGAGTATCGTGTGGTCGGAGAGGTAGAGGCCGTATGTGATCTCGGTTGATATCCAGACTAAAGCCGTCAGCATAAGCACTAGTCTGCGCCTTGGGCGGGCGTTATAGCCATACAGAAGTCTTTGTGAGCGGCCAGAGAGTCCTGGATGCCGTCAATATTCTTCTGGTAGATTCGACTCAGCCATGACACCCCTCTCTCATGGTTTTGCTCGCCAGACTGCCAGTGTTCCCTTCGAGTCGTTAGTACGGAGTACTCTATACATATAAAGTCTTCTTTAAGGTTGGAGAGTATATACATACCTCGAAAACGAGTAGTCCTTATCTTCATCCTTCTCGATCTTCGCAATACCGAAAATGACCTCGAGCGGACGACAGACGCCGATAATTGGCACACACTTGACCAACGCCTCGCGTATGCGACGGACTAATCGCTGTCGTGCCTCAGGCGTAGCGTATCCCGGCCTCTCAACGAGATGAGAGTATAGCTGTATGGCGTACTCCGGCACGCCAGCACCAGACAGAGCGGCGATCTAGAGACACGACAGAGAATGACGACACGGTCAATTAGATTTCCAACAAGACATGAAGCAGTCAATCAACAGGCACGAAAGAGCAATGTATCACGCGGGCTTTCACTCATCGTGCAGTTTTGCTTTTTCCCTCCCCCCTCACTATTTCAATGAATCGACCAAGTCCGGGGCCCGTGACGCCGTAACTCTTAACTCTGTAATACGGACGGGGAGAAGGCTTCGACTTGATCGCCAAGTGAAGTAGATAGTAACATGGCAGCAAGTGTAGGCGCGCCGTGACGACATCGAGTGGATGTATACGATACAATAATCCGGGGTAAAACATAGAGTGTGTCATCACAGGGAGCGATAGTTCCGTTGATCCCTGGGGAAGAGGAAGAAGAAAAGCCGTTTTTCTTGACCTGAACCTTGCCCGGGGGAGAATCTAAGAAAATACGGGCTTACCGGGATGAAGTACCATCTCTCGTTGCCCAGGCTGGTGGAAGAGAAGGTCCTTTCGATCTCCTCGAATAGTTGCGTGGCTTCTTCCGATCGGCTCATTGTGGTCGATGGTCGACGACGGTCGATGTTGACGTAGGTGAATTGAATTAACGGCGACTGCTATGGTCTATATTGGGGCAGTCTATACGCATGGTTAGATAGAACAGGGCGCTAACTGGTAGCCGGTTGCCAGTAGGAACTAGAGGAGTTTACTGCACTATGTATATGTACTATGGGATGACGCCGCATTGGGGAAGAATGTACGCCCACGTCGGACGGCATCAATTAACGCATGGAACTACGATGAGGACTACGTGCATCCGATCAGCAGGCAGTCTGTCAAGTCGATAGGCGGATCAAGAGGATCAAGAGGTGGCTGGCCTGTTCATCGGTATTTGTCTCCTGCAACGCTGAATGCAATTTATCGGCAGCGCATGGACGGCGACCAAACGGAAGACAAAGGCACAGTGCTCGGCGAGGGAATAAGAAGTGCGCGATAATGGATAATTTAATCTAGACGACGCTCTATTGCGCCGAACTGAAACGGATCAAAACAACACCTTGCAGGACAAAGTGAAAGGGCAGAAGCCAAAAGATGAGATAAAAGGTTTAATATAAGTAGGTTATGAAGGTTGTTTTCTTCCTTCCAATCGGACGGGGGATAATATTCATTTAAATTTCGTCGGCGATCAGGGTGTCCATTCTAGAGAAAGGCATGGATGGGTATGATGCAGCGAGTCGGAGGACAGCAGAGCGGTTCCGATGGAACGATCAATGGAATGACTGCGGACGGTGCATGCGTCTGTCTGTTCGGGCATGGATGGGCGTTTGGTCCTTCTACTACATCGTGGGTAGTAGGGGGGAAGAAAGGTACAAGTGACGATTCAGATGCAAGGCTCGTGACGTGGCTTCATTTCTCAGGGTCCTCTCACGGCCCGGGAAGGACATTGGATATAGGATCAAAATGAATGCCGCAGTTGTAAGCGCTGGGCAGCAAGGAGTCATCATGATACTTGTTCTAGATGTTAGCAGTGGTGCAGCCTGCTTATGAGACATGCGAGTAACATTCATATGACAGACGGCAAGCGATGACGAGCGGCCGGACAGGTGATTCCAACTCCAGCAATTGTTTTAAACCTGTTCATCACAATGCCGGTCTGTACTCCGTGCGATGGAGGATAGGGAGAGAGAAAAATTTTCACCTTGACAACAAGGTGCCTGTGAAGAAGACAGCGAGTCCGGTCATTGGCTCTGTCGAGATGCTGTGTTGAGGCGGTGAGTTCTGCATTTTCCTTTTTTTCTCCTCTTGTCTCTACGATGTACGGATGATGTTTGTTTATTATTTGCTGGCTGGATGTTGCATACGGGACTCCGCTGATGTGCGTCAGGGCCTTCGTTATGCAGAGAGGCCAGACAACCACGACCACAAACAGTAATGTATGTACTCCGTCGCAGACCAGACCGAGCGTAAGGTGTGTGCCTTTTTCGTCGCACGTAGAAAAACCTTGCCGGCGGGCCCAAGTACCACAGACTCGAAGGCAGGACGAACCAGTCACGCCGGCGCTCACCTGCTAGGCCGAACCTTCCACCGAGACAGAGCTCTGGAGGTCACACGGCCGCTGCCGCCAGAAACCTGCTCGCCCAGAGAAGCTCTGCCATAAGGGCCTGATGGTGTGGTGGGTGTGTTTGAGATAAGCCGTGTCCATGTCTGGCGTCTGGGGGATCGCTTGACCTGAGCCACTCACGGCGCCGGAGGTCCCACCGCGACCAGCAACCCGTCGACTGGAGTGGTCCTATCCGTGGTTCGATGCTGGCGTCATGCTCGCCCCAGATCAGGAGCAACGCTGGGCAGCCCTGAGTGGCTCTTCCTGCAGTATCAAAAAAAAGGAAAAAAAGAACGAAAAAAGAAAAGAAAAAGGAAAAAAAGAAAAAAGAGATCCTAATCCCAACACGGCAACGCAGAACCTTGTCCGATGGCAGCCCTCGTCGTCTTGCTTTCGAATCGAGCCAGTTTGGTGCGAGATAAACATGGTTGACGGGCGGTTAGATAATCCAAGCCCGGCGACGAAAAGCCAAACCCCCAACTGACAGAGTTCTTCCAACGCATAACCTTCGCAGAGAAGAGGTTGTTGTACTCGAAACAGCACAAGAAATCGAGACTGTCGAGGCGAGACAGGTCGATATGCTCGGGTCATGGGAGGCAGTTCGGCAGACACGACATGTTTCGCATTAAAAAGTGGCCGTCGTCGTCGTCGTCAGTCGAGGTCGAGGTGCGGGGTGTGAAGATCGTACACAGTGTACTCCGTACATCAGAGCTCTGTACTCCCGCGCAGGCCGTCGACCGTCAGGAAGTTGTGATGGCCGGTGATGGTCAAATCTCCCATTCATGCAGGGGGCCTCATGCTAGTCAACTCTAGCGGATGCTAGTTCCTGCTGCGTCCATGCTGACCGTGGCAATATCTCTATCTCTCATCTGTCTCTCTCTCTATCCGTATCTCTCTCTCTGTATCCGTATATCTTTATCTCTGTATCTGTATCTGTCTCTGTTGTTGTATATCTGTCTGAACACGTAGTGTAGTCGTAGTTGAGTGGAGTGGTTCCTGACATAAAGTACCTTACGGCTTATGTAAGTGACTTTCCTTACTGACACATGGTTCTCTTGCGTCCACGCCAGGGGTACTTCCAGCTACTTTCGTCATCACTGTAAACACGCGCAGACGGAAGTACCTTAAGTACCAGGTCGTCATGCAGGCTGCGGACTAGCGGGTGTTCACCGCCTCCGCCCTCGCTCCACGCTCTTTTTTGCCCCCCGCTAGTCCCAGTTGGGCATGGCTTATGTCATCCCCCTTCCTGCTGGCGCTTTCTCCGATCTTCCACGCTTCTTCCTTTAACGACTCCTTCTCCCTCCATCTTCACCTTCATCTTCACCTCTCACCACCTCTCACCACCTCTCTATCTTACCTCTATCTCTTCCACCACTTCCACCCTCGCTCCTCTCTACCGCCGTCCCTCCGTCTACTCCGTACTCCGACTCTCCGACTACCTCCTCTCGTCTCGTCCTGACCAACTCGCTGACTCGACGACTCGACCGACTGACTCACCTATATATTGTCCGCTCGAACTACATAGACGCCGCCAGCTGCCACTGCCACCTCGCCGTAGCATGCTAGCTCTGCCCGAGTCTGAATCAATAGTCACGCATTGATTCGTCTCCCTGTTACATAACCGCCGCCAATCTCGCAGCATCTCGATCCCAGCGTCTGTTCGTCTGACAACGCTGCCTCAACCACATCGAGAGCCTGCTGCCCGTTCCATATCTCAGTCTCACAGCTGCCTTGACCGACAAGCTGGCCTTTTCTCATAGACTGCAGACAACCCCACTTTGACCACGTTGGGACCATATTATCGCTGAATTTCGTGACTCGTCATCAAGGTTGAGCCTGTGTTGAAACACCCCCCTCTCCTCGCCAGACTAGATGCAGGCAACGCCTTTTTGAACCTCCCAGTCACCCTATTCAAGCGATAATACGCTCCCGTCTCTCGTCTCTTTCTTGTTTATCCTCACGACCTTGCACGAAGCGTTATTTCTTTTACTCAACTCCAAACCAGGATCAAATTCAACAACCAACCGGTTATCTCTCTTTCTCGTCTCATCTCATCTTCTTGCTTCATTTTCCGGCAACGAGAGCTTCGTTCTTCGGCACATCGCTCAAATGCAGTCATAACGATCATTACTTCTTTCATTTTCCAGCATCACGGAGGTGCCCTGCAAATCCCTCCCACCAGGTCCTCGGACACGGCGAATCTATTTCCTTTTGTCTAACACTCATCAATCTTACGCCTCTCAAATCTTTTATTCTATGACAGCCTGATCAACGACACACTTCTACTTCCTTTTCTTCTTTTTTTGCTTTCTTGTTTGTTTCCTCGTCGGTTATCCGGGTTCGCTTCCCTTGCTCGCGTCAGCTCGTCCTTTAACGATCCGTTTCCCGTCTCCACAAGTCCAGCTTAACTATCGTCATGGATTGCTTGCGGGACAAGTTTATCCAGGGGAAACTCCTCGATGGACGTTTCCAGACAGTTGCTCCACTCAACCATGGCTCCTTTGGAATGGTCTTCCTGGCCAATGACACCTTAACTGGAGAGCAAGTCGCCATCAAGTGCCTGACCAAGCCTTCGTCTGCGGATTCCGCCTCGCCCCTGTCCGTGGATGAGCGTTCCGAGGAAATGCAGTGCCACATGAAGCTTGGTCAACACCCAAACCTGGTCAATCTTGTCAGCTCCTTCGAGACCCAATCTCACGTCTTCTTGGTTCTCGAATACTGCTCCATGGGTGATTTGTACGAAGCCATCCGGACTAACCGCGGGCCACTGGAAACCGAGCATGTACGCGACTTCATGCTGCAGCTCATCGACGGTGTTGACTTCATGCACTCCAAGGGTCTCTACCATCGAGACATCAAGCCAGAGAACATCTTTCTCTGCCAAGATGGTTCCATGAAGCTCGGAGACTTTGGCCTGGCAACCCGCAGCCCTTGGTCCTTCGAGGCTTGTGTAGGCAGTGACCGATACATGGCCCCGGAACAGTACGAGCCAACTGCGGCTGGATACTCTCCCGCCAAAGCCGACATCTGGTCCATTGGCATCTGTCTGTTGAACATCTTGTTTGCAAAGAATCCCTTCGTTACGCCAACCGAATCCGATATCCTCTTCGGCGACTACACCCGGGACCGACAGTCTCTCTTCGACATCTTCCCCAACATGTCCCAGGACACGTTCGAGGTGCTCAGACACTCTATAGCTTTGGACCCCGAGAAGAGATCGCTGGCTGGCTTGAGAGAGTCGATCATGCGTGCCGTCACCTTCACCACCGATGATGAGTCTCTTGATGAGTTCTGCACCGAGGACCGTGACGTCGTTGCCGCCAGTGCTTACCGTGAACCTCTACGCACTCCATCCATCCAGACTCCGCAGGTCAACCAGGGAGATTCGTTCCCGTGGGCAAAGGCCCTGCAGATCTCCCCGCATCAGGAGGCTCGTCGTCTCTCGGTTATCCCTGATACCGAGTGCTACAGTGAGGACCTCTTCCCCGCCTCGGAAATGGATGGTGCCTCCTGGTACTCCATGCATGCTGTGTCCCCATCCATTGGTTCTACCTTGGATTCCAACTTGGGAGCCTCCTTCAAGTCGATGAAGATCCGTCAATCTGCCTTCCGCAACGCTCCACGCCCTGCACCCATCAGCGAGTCTCTTCCTACTTCTGCAGCTCGACCTATTCCTGCCATGTCCTTGGTCTTTGGAAAGGGCAATTCCGATCAAGTATCGAAGAGCTGGAGTGATCTTTGGGATGAGGAGGAGTCTGAACTCGAGGAGGCTCGCCTTCGCAGCCGCCAAGCCCAGAACTCTCGTACCTGGAGCAAGGAGAGCAACTCTGCTGATATCACTGGCCTTGGTCTTTCTGAAATCGAGGATCCTTCGTCCATGCTTAACGTCCAGCCAATTCCCATCGTCAAGGACGAGAAGAAGGCGATTGCGCCGTCCACCCCAAGCAAGCCACGGAGCATCCTAGACGAGAACAGCAACACTCCTGTTGCTGCGGCTCGTCACTCTCCGTCGAAAAACCAAATTCTTGACAAGTGGGCTGCCCTGGGCAAGAAGCGTATGAACGTGTCGCCTGCAAAGGATCATCGTGTCGCCTCGACTCCCAAGAGCAAGACTCCCACCTGGCGCAAGGAAACACAGTACGATCACGGCACCTGGACTAAGAAGAAGTTCCAATCAAAGGATAGTCGAGGACACAACTACCAGCAGCAGCCTATTCAACCATACATGCTGAGCAAGGATTGGCGCCGCGACAACACTCAGACCATCAGGCCAAAGAGAGCACACATCTACCCCCAGATTCCAACCTATTCCCCAGCAGTGATTGATGACGAATTCGACTTTGTCGGCGGTTGGCAGGACCTACACCCGTAGTCCGCCCTATTTCGGAAGCCTAGCGCTTCCATTATCTCCCTTCCTTTTCCATCTCACGACCAGCTACTTTTTTTATACCTCACGCCCCTCTCAAGATGACGCAACGACTTCAATTCTTCACAGCCTGATAATATATTACAATTCTTTTCCTTTTATTTCATTTCCTCGGGATTCTGTCGGAGTTTAGCGAACTTTTTTACTTCCACCTTTTACGTTTTTTAACATCTATACTCAACGGTCCGGTCTGCATTTCTTATACCTGTCTACTATTCTATCGGCTCGCTGCGATGCATTTTTCACCAGTTTTATCCTCAAATCGAATACCCCCGACGAGCATCGCGAGACCGAAACATCACGACGACGACATCCATCAATCCACCTTTCCGCCTCCTTCTTGCACTAGACCGGAGTGGACTGGCCTGGCCTGGACCATCGTCGCCAAACATTACCCTGTACACTATATAACTTACCTTGTTATTGCTACCAACAAATATGGGTCGGCCTGGCGGAGCGTAGCTTCATTTTGAAGCAGTGTTGAACATTGAAAGATTCGAAGGGGTTACCACAATTGCGGCGTTTGTTGACAAACTTCTCTTCTCCGTTCCTGCAGATCATTCTAGTTCTCCTTTCCTTTTCCTTTGCTCATATATAATTCCCTCCTCTTGCTCCAATTGCCATCACATTTGCCTCACACGCACACAACACATCACCACTATTATTATTTCCTTGTCTTATTTTTATTATCATTATTATTACACATACTCAGGCATGCACGCTACGCTTTGTTCTCATCTTGAGAGGGACACACGATGGTTTTTCTTTTGGGTCTCCCCGCAGCAAGCATCTGCCAACCTGGGAGAGATGGAAAGACGAAGGTTCGTGTCAGCGCATCGATTTGCCCTGGCAGCCACTTCCCACACCACTCAACGTGGGAAGTGGAAGGGAACGTTACGGCTACGTTATAGGAATGAAGCCATGGAAGAATATCACCTTACCAAATTGTTCTTTTTCCTCGTTCTCTTTTTTTTCGAAAATCCCTCTTTACCTCCACCTATCTCGACCCTCTCCGTTATTAATAATTTCAACCCTCCCCCTTTTTTAAAAAAATTATCCCCCTCCCTTACTTCCCTCTTTTCTTCTCTTGTCGTGTTTCCTATTTTCATATCTAAACGCGAAAAAATGGTTTTTCTGGAAGGAAAGAAGGGACATGTACTATCTCTTTTGCTGCCCTATTAGACTGTTCGAAAGAAGGAAGTTGGGGAAGGGTGGTTTTTTTAATTGGCGAATTCTGAACGGGTTTTTGTTACATTGGACGGAGCCGAGGGGAAGAATGGATGGTTGGGACGATTGATAAAATTGATTAAATAAAACAGAACTTTTCCATGGCTGGATATTTGCTTCCTATTATATTCTGAATTGTAGACGTAGAGTAAACACGTAATATTGTCGCTATATTCTCGAACCGCAACGCAAGACTGGGCCAGTTTGATTCTATCGTTGCTCTCATGGCTGCTTCCGACTGGGACGTCGAGCTCTCTGACATTGCTACAGAGAGCTGTCATCCTCAGAAAACAGCAAACAGCTAGATGGCTTTTTATCCTACCACTACATATACTTCTAGATTCCTTGATCGGAAAATGGCTGGATGATACGGATTTAGATGATGGTTTACTTGGTTCTGTGGCCTGTTACGTAGGCTACCTTTATGGGCATGTTCCGATTCTAAAACGTAAAGAATTCGCCGAATACCTGAGGGCAAAGCATCGACAGTATCATTTAGACGTGGTTTGCAGGAGTCAGCTATCTTATAGTGCCTTTTAGAATCCATTCTCAGACGGTCCGAGATGCTATACTGAGAGGGGAGTATGAGTTGCGTGAATGCTCTGTTTCGAGGGACGACGAGCGATACTTCACGGCTGCGGTAGAGGCACGGCTGTTGGCCAGTGTTCCACCCGCAAAGCATGTATAATCTATAGCCATCTCAGTCATGGTTAATCCGCCATACGTTCAATGCTCGTAAATGTATGTAAATAAATGTAAAGGTCAGTGCTAAAGATAGGCGCGGCTCATGAAGCTTAAATGCGCCCAACCTCCAACCCAACCCAACGCCCTTTGAGCAACAGGCCTACGTGGTATTTCTTTTTCCACACCGACAGTTCCAGCAACGTGTCTGAACAAGGGGGTTGTCAAATAAGGATCATCGAGAAGAAAACCTGCCCGACATTCGGGATCTGGGAGGATCAGGACAGCTAGGCAAGGGGACGAGAGTTTTAACATGTCCAGACGTGGGATCAGATTCCCCTGCTACCTGAGGGCCGGACGACGAGTGAACGGCGAACACGAACGAGGCGGTTGATGGGCAATGAAGTGCGTATACTCTGCATGAGGGCTTTTACTCGCTGATGAGATGAAGAGATGGCTAACCGTGGCGTTTTGTTGCCCGTTTTTAGAAATTGTGAATAGATATCTCGAGGACACATAACGCACACACTGCCAAATTTACACGCGAGCCGGTTTATAATCACACCCCTATACAGGCTCGACGGAGAGGGAGAGGGGGAGACAGTCACCCTACACACGATGCATTGGCACCAGCCTTCGCCACTCTGGCGTAAACGGGTGCGTACCGATCGAATCACGTCGGCATTCCTGGCCTTTCTCGCAGTCTGTGCTGCAGAACCGGTCACGGACTCTCATAATTCGCATGTTGAGTCGAGATTGATGGCAGCGGATAAGTCGAATACCGTTTGCCAGGCGCCACCCGCTGGGGATTTGGGGACGGAGTATATACGATATCCAATCTGTCTGGAAACGAGATGGACTGCCGGTGGGCCGATGCGGCATACTACAAGTGTCGATATGGCATCTGCAGCTACCTCTACCAGTGTATATCTGGATGCCAGAGATATAACGGTATCGGTGCCAGGTCACACAGGCGCTTCTGCGCGGGAAGATGGTGGAGCGATGGGTGATTTCCATGCAGAGCAAAGGAGCAGACATGGTCAAGAGCAAGATGATGCCGATTTAGATTCGCCGCTAGATAATTCCAATTTCTTGTCCTTTGAAGAATGGAAGAATCAGAATCTGGCCAAGGTTGGACAGTCGGCAGAAACTATGCGAAGACATAGACAAGGTGCCAGCAGGGGTAGTGAGCATGGCGCGCAAGTGAGGAGAAGGCCTGTCTCGTCAGCGCAGATTAATGATCCCCTCGAGGGCCTGGGTGAGGATCCAGAGATTGGCCTGGAGTTTGGAGGGTTCTCAACAGACGAGTCGGGAATTGCGTCGTGGGATCGGAAAGAAAGTGGAATTCCTCCCGATATTGGTTCTGGTGCTGGGGGCCGCAATGGAGCTGGTGAGGGATCTCAACCAGCTTTTGAGCTCGTTGGTCAGGATGCCGAGAATATTCCGCGTAAGGGAATTGGCCGCCGGAAACATGCAGGAACTACCTGTAAGGAGCGGTTCAACTATGCATCCTTTGACTGCGCCGCAACAATCTTGAAAACAAACCCGCAGTGCACCGGTTCTTCCGCCGTGTTAAACGAAAATAAAGATAGCTACATGCTGAATGAATGCAGAGCAAAGGATAAGTTCCTTATTCTAGAATTATGCGACGACATACTTGTCGACACAGTGGTGCTAGCCAATTACGAATTTTTCAGCTCCATCTTTCGCTCCTTTCGGATCAGCGTGTCTGATCGATATCCTATTAAAGCAGATAAGTGGCGCGTTCTAGGAACGTATGAAGCTGCTAATTCCCGCCAGGTTCAGGCATTTGCCGTGGAAAATCCCCTTATTTGGGCGAGGTATCTGAAGATCGAGTTTCTGTCACATTACGCGAATGAATTTTATTGTCCTGTCAGCTTGGTTAGGGTGCATGGTACCACTATGATGGAGGAGTACAAAAATGATGGCGAGGCTGCAAGGGCGGATGAGGAGGAGGACGTGAACGCTCAGCTAGAAGAAGCACAGCAGCAGCAGCAACAACAACAGCAGCAGCAAAGGCTTGACGAACTTGCAGCAATACCGGAAAATATCTCTATCACTAAAGCGACTGTGGATATCTCTTTGGTTCCTCTCTCCAACCTATCCACGCATGAATTGACGGAGCTGAGATGTTTCGTGGAAAGGAATGAAACTGAAAGCATCTTGCTCGGGCTGGTATCCGGCAAAATGTGTGCTATTCGAGAGAAAGCTGCCCATATCGAAAGACACCCCCCCACTGCCAGTCGTGCGGGAGACGATCCTGCTGCACCTTCAAGTGGATCAATAAGCTCTCTCAGTGCTGCAGAACACATACGTTCTGGCTCTTCGACCGGCGCGTCCATGGCCTCTGATAGACAAGAACCTCGGCGCAGTTCTACAAGCTCGTCTATCACTGCGAATGGCTCACATACAGAGCCAACGAGGATGAACGCTGGAGCCAATACGCCACCCCCTGCCTCGCCGCCGCATAACCCATCTACCCAAGAATCGTTCTTCAAGTCGGTTAACAAGCGACTCCAGATGCTAGAGTCAAACTCTACACTATCCTTACTATATATTGAAGAGCAGTCCCGTATCCTCCGGGATGCCTTCAACAAGGTCGAAAAACGCCAACTCGCGAAAACATCCGCGTTCCTAGAAAACCTTAACTCTACTGTGTTACAGGAGTTGAAGGAATTTCGCCAACAATATGATCATCTCTGGCATTCTGTCTTTATCGAATTTGAGCAGCAACGCCAGCAATACCATCGAGAAGTATTTTCTGTAGCAGCCCAACTGGGTGTGCTTGCAGACGAACTCGTTTTCCAGAAGCGAGTTGCCGTGATACAAAGTATCTTTGTCCTCATCTGCTTTGGCCTAGTATTATTTTCTCGCAGCTCGGTGGCGCCGTATCTGGAGTTCCCAAGGGTTCAGAACATTGTTACCCGTACACGGAGCTTCCGCTCTCCGTCGCCTACTTACGATTCGCCGATTGCATCCGCAAGCCCTAGCCCGCCGCCGATTAGCAGGGTAGGCTCATCCATGCTAAGTAGAGATGATGCAGATGACCACCACCGCAGTCACCCGCATCATCAACGGAGCCCATCAGAACAGACAGACTACGAAGTCGGGAATCCCACCTTTGCATATTCTCCTCCCACTCCAACGTCTGGAACCTCGACCCCGGATAGAGGTGTGAAACGCTCAGGGTTCCCCATCGAGTCGCAACGCGCCCTCTCTGCTGTGATCTCTGCTCCCAGCAGTATTGCTTCGTTGACCGATTCAGATTCTGGTTTGAGGCAACGTGCTGTGAAGAATACGAACGAGGAGAAACATGAGTCTGAATCTGAAGGCGAGGCCTGAAAGACTAGCGACGACTGACGAAACTTGAACTCTTATATTTATGAACTTTTATCTACCATTGGAAGCAGCGATATCTTGTATCATACTGATTTATTTGCGAGCGACATGAATGTATCTATAGCATCGTTGATAGCATGTTGAATCTTATTAAACTACCGTTACTCCCATGGTTTTCCTCCTTAGAGATAGAACTGGGATGCGTCGTGGCTACTGCTGAGTCAGCAAATGTGGCTGTTGCCATGGAAACTATCGCCTATCAACCTTATCTGGTACAACGTCAACATAAAAAACTTCCTTTGACATATCGAACTCCCACGCGCGTTCAACTATTACAGGATCGCTGAGATAAGTTCGAGTCAGAGAGAAGATTATTACGTGCAGAATCTTCACCTCACAAAAAGCAAATAGAAGGTACGTTTATAACGTCAGACAGCATGATCTCTCTCCTTCCGCATCCACCCTACGCCCTTTGATAGGATGATCAAGGACCCATGTGAAGAGAAATTACGGAGTCATACCCTGTCGTCTTTTTGACATTTCTCCCTTGGGCGGAGAGAAAAGTTCTCCTACTTCCCGTGGATGTAAACAAAGAAGCCTGACCTAAGATCTTGCCTTGCTGACTGATACGATATATAAAGAGACGCAGTTTTCCAAGAATAAACAACCTCCCCAGCATACCAAAGAACCCCAATTCTACAAACACAAGAACCCCAATTCTACAAACACACTCTCCAAAGGCCATTTCAAGTCTATACCCCTTCATAAACAGATCAGACTATCACATTATGGCATCCAACTTCAGCAGCCCATCTAAGCAGCAGCCGCTCTCCGACCGTCCAACAAACACTCACCTCCCATTATCACACTCTGGAGTCGAGGACGGCGGAGCAGACTTGAAAGACGCAACAACAAAATCCATGGAATACCATAGACAAGTACTGAAAGAGAAGATAGATGGCGACTCACAGTATGTATTCATGCATCGCTCCTCACTTTGCCATGCTTTTATCCTTGTATTGAGTTATTTTGGCTTGTGCTAATATACCGTGAACTAGGCAATCGGGTCATTACATCTCCCCGTCAGATGGAATCATGAGTCCCTGCACCAAGAAGTTGAGCAATTTGAAAGGCAAGATGTTTAAGAAGTAAGTCAGATGCTACGAATAACCGACTACAATTTGATAATACCGACCATCAATACTAACTCTCATGTTCTCTCTACTAGTGCTGGAAAGCCACAAATGCTCTTCGCGAAGGCTCTTGGGAAGAAGTCCTATGACAAGATGAGCAATGAGAACACCGTTGACGATGGAGACGAGCCAGTCTAACTCGGGTGATGAGAATTTTCTTTCTCTACGGCCCCCACCAACCTCGTAACGATTCCATTGTATTGATAGCATCTTTTTCTTGTGTACCTTTATTCATGACTTCCTTTTCTGGTTATCCTTTGTTTTTGTGCTGGCGTTCAACATTATTGCGCATTGGTTTATGACAATATTGTTTGTGGCTTCAGCTAGGTTAGGTTATGCAGGAGGCTGGTAAATTGGAATAATTCAATGATTCTCTATTCCACGGGTAAAGTGTTTAATGCAACTTTTCTGAGCGGCTACTCTATAAATCCTTCGAGGTGATAGGCTCAACATCGGCGTCTGGAAGAGCCAGGCACCAGCGTTGGAGCAGACCTCAGTTTCAGTTTCTTACGAAGAAGCCCTCGTCACGAAGAGCTAGTAGGTGGCTACCCACGACCTAACAAATATGAAAATGCCATCTCTCGTCTTCCTTGATGTCGTCGCGATGTTTTGTTAAACTGTTTAGTCATCAAGAACTGGTTATCAACACGTGACTCCCCTCGGCTGTATCAAAAAAAAGCCCGCTCGAGGAGCAATCTAAGTAAACCTCGAGGAAGCGAAGCTGCAACGTCCCCTGCAACGCTAAACTAAAGCCGCTGGGCTAATAAATATCCCAGGCATCTCCGCAATTGATCGCCAGGTTCCTTGATTGCCTTGACATTTCATTCCATTCCCCTCAATATATCGAGTCATGGCGGACCTACGCAGCTCGTACGTGGAGAGGTTCACGAAGGAAACCAAAACCCAGATATCACTCTGTATAGATGGCGGGCCGCTCGATGTCTTACCCGATAGCCACAAGGTCTTCGACTCGTCGAGCATCCCTGGTCAAAAAGACGAACACCATGCATGCCAATTTTCCCCCTCACAGCATATCTGGGTATGGACCGGTGTTGGGTTCCTAGACCATATGCTACATGCGTTGGCCAAACATGGGGGCTGGAGTCTACGGGTTCGAACTGTTGGTGACCTGGCCAGTGAGTACCCTATTCCGGAAGACTTGATGCAATTGCTTCGCTGGTTACTTCTCTCTGCGGCTGCTGGCTGACTATGTTCCACCATAGTTGACGACCATCACACCACCGAGGATACATTCCTTGCGCTCGGAGAAGCTCTGTCAAAGGCTTTGGGAGACCGAAAGGGAATCAAACGATTCGGCAGTGCCTATGCCCCATTGGACGAAGCACTCGCGCGTGCAGTCATAGACATCTCATCACGCCCTTTCTTTGCTGGTGTATTCGACTTCAAGGATGCAAAGATTGGCAACCTTACCACTCAGATGATCCCCCATGGGCTCCAGAGCTTTGCCCATACGGCTGGTGTCACTTTACATGTCGATGTGCTGAAGGGTGAGAACGACCATCACCGTGCTGAGGCTGCCTTTAAGGCACTGGCGGTTGCTATCAAAGATGCCACAGCAAGAGTTGCTGGGAAGGAAGGCGAGGTGATCAGTACAAAGGGAGTTTTATAGATTATTTTTAAGGGCAAATGTATAATTTTTTACGCCGCCTTACATGATGATTGTTTTGGTACATCTACGTTGGATTTCGTTTACTCTCACACGGAGTCAAGAATTTATCGACAAAAACAGCTCTTTCAGATTTAAGGACTCTTTGGTATCTATAGAGTTTAGGATGATGCCTTGGTATGATAGGAGTCACTCAACGGAACTCCTAGGACCAAAATTCGGCCGACCCGGCGTACGCTGTTCAACACCGCGTGGGAAATCTAACAGCGTCACACAGCTAATTAACTCCACGGAAAAGATTTCGATTTTTTACCATAGGTAGCCTTACAGCTGTGGTTAACATTTGATGTCCGGCCATTCGTGCTTCGCGCCTCGTGTGGTTGTGATAATGTCCGTTTCCGCTTAACATTCATTGAAAAGGCACTAGCCACCCATACATAAACGACTGTTTATACACGAATATCTTTCTGTCGAGACACTAAAGGATTACGTAGGTTCTATTTATAGGGAATTCCTATAAAGTCCAAAAAGATGCGGTCGTCGGTATACCCGTTGCAGCTAATACTTGAATCGGATGGGCCAAATTGAGCTCTCAAGCCGGCTCAGGGTATGAACTCCGATATCTACCTTACCGCTGACGTACGTTCACGGTGTCATATCTTTGTGTCTTCTTACGTGCAACACTATGCTTGACTACCTTCGGCTTCTAGGAAGTCGACGGGAATGGAGGCGGCCCTTTCGCATAAACTGCCTACTATAAGAACCTGATATATTTCCAAATTCCTCGATGAACATGTTAAAAATGTTGCCCTCTACTCAAATCGGATTCCCCTTACTATTTATTCTTCCCCATATACACCTTCTTTAATGGAAGCTTCCGTATCTTAAGTGAAGTCATTTTCTCTCTCACCAAGGCATTGCTGCCTCCTTTCCTAACGCACAAGCTCTACTCACACGACCTATACTGAATCTCGAAGCCCTAACTAACTAAAGATGGCGGACCTCTTTCGAGATAGTGTTGCCGGCCAGCTCTTACGATATGCTTTCCCGGGCACTTTGCAATACCCGGAAGAGAAACTAGAATTCAAGCTTCCTCCCGGTTTCCAGCTTTCTGGCCTGTCATCTAACACTTCTGAACGCACGCTATCTGGGCTAGAGGAGCGTAAGCCAGACGCAGCTGGACCTCAATCGATAAATGGAACGTCTGAAGGACCGACGGTTTACCCTGATCCTGATTCTTCTTCACCGAACTCCAAAGCCGGTGTCGACAGCCGATCAGTCGAAAATGATGAGCAGCCTGAGCCCAACGTTCTTAAAACAAATTCTGATTTAGAGGGGACTCCTTCAAGGGCGATAAAGGATGAAGTCACCGATACCCCGATTATGCCTGAGGAGTCCCCGGATGGCATTGTCCTGGTAGATTGGTACTCCCCTGATGACCAGGAGAACCCACAGAACTGGAGTAATACTAAGAAAAATTTAGTCGCAGCCCAAATTTTGTGAGTTATCATACCTATATTTCCTCTTCGAGAGGGCTTCGTCCTAACTCTTGCAGTACATATACATTTGCCGTCTATATGGGATCCTCCATATACACTTCAAGTATTCCAGATATTCAAATTGTCTTTGGCGTTTCTACCACTGTTGCCTCCTTGGGTCTCTCCTTATATGTCCTTGGCTGTAAGTCTATATCTACACCATTATCTAGAGGAGTGATACCAGCTTCTAATCCAGAATAGATGGCGTTGGGCCAATGTTATTCTCTCCCCTTAGTGAGATGCCCATCGTTGGTCGAAACCCTCCTTATATCGTGACTTTCGGGCTGTTCGTCATTTTGAGTCTACCGACAGCTCTTGCCGATAATTTTGCAGGGCTCATAACACTCCGGTTCTTGCAAGGGTTTTTCGGAAGCCCGTGTTTGGCAACTGGAGGTGCCTCGCTCGGTGATATGTACCCTTTCGTTAAGCTCCCTTACGCCTTAGCGATATGGGTTGTCTTCGCGTCTGTAGGTCCAGCACTAGGCCCGCCGATTTCAGGTTTCAGTGTTCCAGCATTGAATTGGCGGTGGTCGCTCTGGGAAATACTCATATTTTCTGGCCCTGTCTTTCTGGTTCTTTTCTTCTTTCTACCGGAAACTTCTGGGGATACTATCCTCTTGAAGAGAGCCGCCAGGCTACGCAAGCTGACGGGAAATCCAAAACTAAGTTCTCAGTCAGAAATTAAACAGGCGAAAATGAGAGTCTCCAAGATCATTGTCGAAGCTGCGTGGAGACCATATCAGATCATGTTCCTTGATCCAGCCATCCTATTTGCAAACGTGTACACCAGCCTTGTCTATGGGATCTACTACTCGTTCTTCGAAGTCTTCCCAATCGTCTACACTGGGATCTACGAGTTTAACCTTGGAGAAACGGGACTTGTCTTTCTAACCATTTCTGTTTCAAACGCACTGGCAATCGTACTATACTTTACTTATTTATACCTAGTATTTGAGCCAGAAATCAAGGCGCACGGCTTAAAATACCCAGAACGCCGCCTAATCCCAGCCATATACTTTTCGGTATTGGCCTCGGTAGGTTTGTTCCTCTTTGGCTGGACATGCCGTTCAGACGTCCATTGGATAGCCTCCGCGATTGGGGTAGTTGTGTTCACAGTGGGCATCTTCATTGTCATCCAGTGTATATTTGTTTACATCCCCATCTCCTATCCGCAATACGCTGCCAGTTTGTTTGCCGGTAACGACCTCGTCCGCAGCGCAGTCGCAGCCGCAGCGATCTTATTTTCTGGGCCGCTCTTCGGCAATCTTGGGGTTGTGTATGGGGTTACCTTACTGGCGTGGCTGACGGTTGGGTGTGTTGGAGGGATGTTTGCACTCTATCACTATGGTGCTAGGCTGCGAGCCAGGAGTCGATTTGCTGTGAGTGAATAGGCGAAGAAACCAAGGACACATTGAAGTCATTCTTCATGGTAGTCTATAATTCTTCGTGATTAAAAGTAGTATGCAATGAATCTGGTGCCTTGAATAGAACTCTTACCGTATCCTCCAAGTCCCTGTTGTATATTTCTTAGACAAACACTTCAAGTATACCCTACTTCTCACTTTTATACTTATACCATTCTTATACTATTCTTATACTGTTCTTATACTCCGTCGTTGTATAGCTCCGTGTGGGGAGCGTTGAGCCTCGGCTCGGGAGCTGGGCCATCGGCAACTCCGCTCAACCTTCGTCCAAACCTCCAGAGCAACAGAACATCTAGCCGGGAACCGAGCTTGCTCTCTCGCTCCTTTTAGACACATCACTATCTCTTGCTAATATATAGCCTTCCCTCTCGAATCGTCATCAACTAAATCTCAGCAAGACGCACTCGCCTTTATCGCCAAGTTCACGCCTATCAACCTGCCACAATGGCCGCCTCTTCCAGAATCCCCCCTCTCATCCAGCCGTTCGTCAGTGAGCGCGCAAGGAAGACGTTAGATATTGTAAGTAATCCCTTGGTGTGTAATTCTGCCGTCTGGAATCCGTGTTGCTAACTCTTACGTTGGCTGTAGATTGAAGAGTTCGTTGAGAAAGAATGTATCCCAGCAGACACCCTCTTCCAGGCCCAATTAGGCGAAGGAGAAGCCAGATTCACCAAACATCCTCCAGTCATAGAAGAGCTCAAGACCAAGGCTAGGAAGCTTGGTCTATGGAATATGTTCCTACCAAAGAACCACTTCAAGGAGGGCGCAGGTTTCAGCAACGTGGAATATGGGCTGATGGCAGAGATACTAGGAAAGAGTAGAGTTGCTAGCGAGGTACGTTGCCTTTGTGACTCTCTTGATAGTCTAGGTTAGCTAACATGAGGACATGGCGGAATATAGGCTACCAACAATGCTGCTCCTGACACTGGCAACATGGAAGTTTTGGCCAAGTACGGAAACGAGGCTCAGAAGAGAGAATGGCTAGACCCCTTGCTTGAAGGAAAGATCCGTTCTGGGTTCTTAATGACTGAGCCAGATATTGCTTCGAGTGATGCCACAAACATTCGGCTTAACATCCGTCGTGAGGGAAATGAATATGTTCTTAATGGAGAGGTATAGCATTACCATGGATTACGATGGATTGGCCATATATGCTAACCTGTCTTATTATATATAGAAATGGTGGTCCTCTGGTGTTGGTGACCCACGGTGCAAACTGTACCTTGTCATGGGAAAGACTGACCCCAACAACTCGGACCCCTACAGGCAGCAATCGGTTATCCTAGTCCCTGCTGGAACTCCAGGCGTCACGATACACAGAATGCTGCATGTTTATGGCTTTGATGACGCCCCCCATGGTCACGGACAGGTCTCTTTCAAGAACGTCCGCGTACCAGTCTCTAACATGGTCCTCGGCGAAGGTCGTGGCTTCGAAATCATCCAGGGCCGCCTTGGACCAGGCCGTATCCATCACGCCATGCGCGCAATTGGTGCTGCCGAACGTGCCCTCGAATGGATGATTGCCCGTGCCAACGATGAGAAGAAGAAGCCCTTCGGCACTCCCCTCTCTGCTCATGGTGTTATTCTTGAATGGATCGCCAAGTCGCGCCTCGAAATCGATTCGGCTCGTCTGATTGTCCTCAATGCTGCTGCTCGTATTGACGGTGCAGATGCAAAGGCTGCTCTTAAGGAAATTGCCGAGGCCAAGGTTCTTGCACCCCAGGTAGCCCTCGCCGTCATCGACCGTGCCGTACAGGCCCACGGCGCCATGGGAGTCTGTCAGGATACTCCTCTGGCCAACATGTGGGCGAATATCCGCACCCTGAGAATTGCAGATGGTCCAGACGAGGTTCATCTCCAGCAGATGGGCAAGCGTGAAAACAAGCAGAGAAAGGATGCCGCAATGGCTAAGATCAAGGCCCAAAAGGCCGAAGCTGACAGGTTATTGAATGTCAATGGATTTGGTGCCCTCAAGGGTCGTTTGTAGGGCTGTACTTATACAATTTGGAGGCGGATTTATTTTTATATGAAGATATGAGGATAACTAATGTAGCAACCACATCTATCTAAAATGCCATTTTGGATCTTTATATAAATAACAATGAGATAATGATACTCTTCTCTATATTCCCTCTATGAAGGCGAAACGCGGTGCATCACGTGACATAAATTAAAGGAAAATGTCGCCAAAGTGATCGCATTCCGAGACCGAAGGATCTCTCACTGTTTGGTATCGCGGACTGGCGAGTCTGTGGTCCAAGGAGCCCAGGACATCTGCGATTTCAGATGGATATATAGCTGGAACACTCCATGGGCGCCAGTCACCGACGCTGCTCCACCAAACACGCCCTCCGTCACCCCCGGACGCATTGCGCAGCTTAACGTCACCGGAATCTCGAGCCCACGTCCAGGCAAGCCCGGCGCGCTCTGCGTATCGTTACTCATTTTCCATTTAACTAAAACCGGTAAATGATGGCCGCATCGGTGCCTCAGAATGCAGCCGGTCATTTGAACGCAGAGGAAACATTTGAAAGACGCAAGGCAGATCTGATTTGCGCGCTGAAGGAGAAAGAGCCGACCTTTGCAGAAGTTGAGCGGCTGTTGGCAGAAACCCGGGTCTCAGGCCAGCTTGCTATTTTCCAGATCCTCGGGGCAGGAATACGAGATATCAGATTGAGAAATGGAGGGCCCGTGGGGAGCCCAGAGGGATCTGATGTCCGTACTCCGATGAATGCGCTGAAGATCGAAGGCGGGCTCTGGGACGCGCATCTAGAGATTAACGGGCGGTTTCGCAAATGGCTATCGAACATCCAGGAAGACGAGAAACGCGGGAAAAAGCGGCCTGTCGAAAAGCGCAAGCTTCTGAACCGCTACTCAAAATTCATCAAGTCTAGCCAGGAGTTTTACGAAGAATACATTTACCACTTGCTGGAGGACTTCAAGGCCTATCATATCCCGGAATTCGAAGAGGTTGCTAGGCGAAAGGGGTATCTATTCGAAAAAGAGGAACCTTTAAACTCAGCCGCGGACAATACGCTAAGCGCAGAACTAAGACGGGCGGTCCTCTCCTCCTGTCATGCTACTCTTATTAGGCTTGGAGATCTCGGTCGTTACTACCAGACGGAACTGGTAGATCAAACGAAGAAGAACTGGGAGCGTGCTACGAAGAATTATTCGATGGCGTCGTTGGTTAACCCTGACTCCGGAAATCCATTTAACCAGTTCGCCGTCATAGCCCTCGCTGACGAGGAACATTTGAATGCGGTATACTACCTATACCGAGCCCTCTCGGCGAAAGAGCCTCACCCCAACGCGCACAAAAATTTGACAAAGGAATTTAAAAAGGTGCTGTCCAAGAAAAAGGGGACGTTGCCAACTTCGAAGGATCTTCAGTCTGCCCTGGTGAATTCATTCGTCTATCTCCATGCCCAGTGTTATCAGGGAGACTCTCCCGAACACGAGGAACGCGAGAATGAGATCATGCGCCAGGTGACTGTGGACTTGAAGGAAAACGTACTTGAGCCGTCTCTTTTGGAAAAATTTGCTCTTATAAACATCGCCTCTGAAAGTCACGCAAAGGATTTAAACGCCCAGGTATTTCTTCAACGGCTGAACGTTAAGTTCTTTTTCACGCTCCTTCAGGTTATTCTAGCCGAACTTGAGTGCTCTGCAGACAAAGTGACATCTGTTGCCCATTCCATTCTCCCGGCCTTGCGCCACTACAGCAGTTGGCTGCTCGTCAACAGTCAAGAGTTGGTATCTGTGCCTGAAGCAAAGGATAGCCCGTTATGTATTCAGATCAAGGAACTGTGGAAGAGCTACGCCAACACACTGACTCTTCTTACCTCAACCTTCGACGTTGTAAACCTGCCTGCAGTTGACTACCTCCTCGAAGAAGATGAGAATACCCTTGGGTTCAAACCCTTCGCACACGAGAGTAATATGCGCCGCTATCTTGGACCCAACGGAGCAACGAAACCCAGACAATTGCACACAGAAACATCAAACTCCAGTAACACAGATATGCTGTTTCGGATCCGTGAATTTGTAATTGACGGTCTAGATCTCGTGATACATGAAAGGATCCCAATTGTAATGGTGGACAAGGAGGATGCAAAGTTGTTCGTTTACAAGGAGGAAGGGCTACCGCAATTTTCAAGCCCTCGCAGCCAACCCCGTGGCCATGGTCATACACTTTCGTCGACAAGCATTGATCGAGATGAGATACAGAGGCCTACGCCTCCCGCTCCTGGTGTGTTGGAGGACGGGGCCTCTATCTCGGGTTCAGTGTCAATGCATCGAATGGTCGACAATCTAGTTGAATCGGAGCCAGCCGAGAGCTTAGCGGACAGTGATGATGGCCCAATGCCATCGTATGCCTCGCTCAATTCGAATCATCGCCGAAATATGGTCCGTCAAGGATTTGAAGGCACTCTCTCAAGTACCCAAGGCCCAACTCCTGTTCAGTGCTATTCGCCAGGACCACCACTTCCAAGTATCATGAACACTGCGTTTGCTCCTCAGCCCGGCGAGGCTATGTCTCCCGCAAGCCGACCATCGACCGCCATACCTGCGGCATCCCCCCAGGTATTACCATCTGGCGGAAACAACATTTCCCCGTTCCCAGGCTCACTCGGCTCATCAGCGTTCCCTTACTCAAGCTCCTTCATCTCCACACCAGTGGATGAATTCCCTAGTAGCTTGTCATACATGCAAACACCGCGTCTCGGTAATGCAGGCAGCTACATCAATGGGACAAGTTTCTTCGGTGTTCAACCATCAGAGTACATTACCCATTACGACCAGCCTCAATTGCCTCAACTGCTCACTTCATCCCCGTACCCTGGAAGCATGACTTACCCTTACCGGGGCAACCGCGAATCTGCCATGAGCTATGCCGGAGTCATAGGCGAGCAAACCCCACCGAATGGACAATGCGGATGACAGTTACAAGATTTGGCTTGCTTTCCTCGCAGCCCGTTTAGAACTGTTTCCACTAGGCTAGACCTGTAACGCGTTTTCGACACACCTAACCCGTGTTTATCAGAAGGGTCGTTAACTGATAAGGGATAGATACTGAACACCATTCGCCTGCGACTGTCAGGTCCTTGCAGTCCCTCCTCCGAGACGCCGACTCGTGGTCGTATTTGCATGATTTCTGGGTTACTTTGGAACCGGAAAAAGGCATCCCCTGGGAGGAATTATGAGGATATATCAGCTTCGTGCACATTTCAAGAAAACTTAGCCTTTCCTCCTTAATATTCACGATAGCGAGTCCATTGTGATCTTGGGCAGTCAACACGAACCTCGAAAGGGGTTTTTGTTTGGAGTGGGAAACAGCTTAAATTTCCCTGCCCATCAATTTTACTAGTGATACTCCTGTCTTAAATCACCCACTTAAAGTACTTTCGTTTCTGTCTCTATTTCGTCTCCAATTACTTTCCGCCATGTTTCGACCGAAAATTGCTTTTAGTTTCCATGACCAGCTCAAGGACACACTAACGAAGTCAACTGATCTCATGTATATTTTCATTTCGTTGTTGAAAACGTGTAACTGTCTTATTCTACTTTTTCTTATAAAAAAATTGGTCGTCAAAATATCCTAAGATTCATCAAAGGCCCTGATAAAAGGCCCGGTCCTCCTCCCATGGAGTCCGGTTAATCTTGTAGCTGTTGAGTCGAGCAGGTGGTCGGTTTTGGGTTGAAAGGTGGTAGGTATAGTCGAGTTGCTTGTGACGGGAGCAAATGGAGAGAGTTGATACAAGTCAGTCCCCTAGGAAAGTAAAAATCAAAATAAAAGCCCGATACCCGTTTATTTGGTACACAGGGTTGAGCCTAGGCAAATGTCAAAAGGGTTGTTGATTTATTGGGTATAGGTTTTTTGTGGGAATGGGTAACTGTGTTTTCTCAGGTCAGTCCAAGGGCTTTCAAATTAGTCCTATCCTTTCGAGGAACTTACGATGGGCCCAATTCCCGGATGCTCAAGTTGGCGAGCCAATGTCCCATATCGACACACTCTTCGATAGACTTTCCTTCAACTACACCAGCACATAGTCCACCAGCGAAGGCATCACTATTGTAGAAACATCAGTTATACAGGCCTCGATTGTCAACAGAGAAACAAAAAAAGGGGTTTACGGCTTACCCGGCGCCGTTGGTGTCGCAGATCTCGTCCTGGGAGATTTTGCGGATAGGGGTCTGAGTGACTTTCAGTTCGCCGGATTCGCTGGAGACGACGGCAATAGTTGGCTCGGTGCCTTGGGTGATGATGACAGTACGACCGCGCTTGGTGTTGGTCTTTGGGAGCTTAGCCATCTTTTGGGCAATTTCGGAGATATCTTTGGTTTCCCATTTCTGAGATTCGGCGAAAGAGAGGGCCTCGGCCTCGTTTCCGACAATGTAGTCGGTGTATGGGAGAACGGAAGCAAGTTGGTCCTTGAAGAAAGCTGGAATGAATGGGGCGGAGAGTGAGAGCATGAAGGTCTAGGTCATATATTAGCCCCCTGAGATTCTATAATTCTCTCCATCTAAATCAACCAGGGAATACGTACCTTGTTGTTCTTAGCAGCCTCTTCAGCGAGGGCAAGGATTGCTGGAACACAGACGGTCAAGTGGTAGCCACCGACGAAGTAGACCTTGGCCTTCTCGACGAGGTCCCAAATTTGGGGCTGCTTGAGATGGTCAAGCTTGTACTCGTTGGCAGCGGCCAAATGGGTCACCAGGCATCTGTGGTGACCGGTGATGATCACACCACAGCGGCCAGTGGGTTGGACCTCATCCACTCGGTATTCGACTCGGAGACCAGCCTTTGCGCAGGACTCACGGAGGATATCGGCGTATTTGTCCTTGCCAACACATCCAATGTAGAGGACAGAGTCCTTGGGGAGAATGTACTATAGAAGAGTAGTCAGTACGCGTGAATACATACTTTTTAGCTTCTAGAGGTTAGAGACTTCATACCTGAGCTCCACGGGCAGTGTTTTGAGCAGCTCCTCCGGGAATCAGCTTGGCCTTGTGGTTCTGCATCAAGTCCTCGTAGAGGCCCATGTGCTTTTCTTCGGCAAGGATTGCATCGTTTTCCTTGACCTCATACTTATCCAGAGTCGATTGATCTCTAGATATCAGACATATTAGTAAACGGGGCCGAATTGGTGGGAAAGGGGTTTTCTTTTTCGTGGAGGCACATACCCCTCTCCCTGGATATCTATGAAAAGATGTCAGTAACAGCTTCACCCAGGAGAACAATTGGAAGGTAGACGTACCCAGAAGAGGATTCTCTAGGCATAGAAGCGGGTATCCCTGAGCAGCGGCCATTTTGCAGGTAGGAATTGATGTTGTTTGTCTGTTCTGAGGATGTCGGAGGAGTGTTCGGCGAAATGTTCTATATAGAAGGATCTTGGTGGGGTGAAGGAAGGATGCTTAGTCATGTCAGCTCGAGGATGAAAGAGCAAACAGAGCAAACATGCCAGACCGAAACTCCGAATATCAACTTCATACACAATATAGACAACATAGACACAACATAGACAGCACAGCAAACAGCACAGCAGAAGGCAGCACGGCACTGGATAACTGCGACACATCACACAATGGATGATATATCCGCGCGCATAGCGGACAACATCCAGGCTGCGTCCGTATATGGCCCACGAGATCACGTTTTCCAGCCGACAGACCAACATCACCTCGACGGTCTCGACGGAGTCGACCCCGATGTTGCAAGTATCTCGACCGGCGTCGTGAATCCGGAGCGAGCAATTAAGCCAGAGCGGCCGAGACGCGCGCCTCTGCCTCCCATACCGGACCTGCGATTCCACCAGAGCTATCTTGCCAGTATCCGCGCGGCCAATAGCTGGCAGCATGTTGCGTGGATCACCCTAAGAGACCAGGTATATACCCTATTACTACCTCTGGGATTTATCCATAATCTGCTTCTTAGAGTGCACACGCTAATTTGGGTCCTGTGGTTTCATTAGATGATATTACCCCTGGTACAAGGAACACTATGGACACTTGCTCTCTCCGGATGGCGACACTGGACCCGTGGAGCTCAAGCCAGTGGCAGAGCAACAGGTCTGACTTTACGCCAACTGTGGCAGAAACTGATAAACTGGAAGGTGCCCGAGTTGTGAATGTGACGCGGGATGTTTACGAGCTGTTGGCGGTCATGGGACAACAGGTGTATTTTTTTTTTTTTTTTTTTCAGCGGTAAATTAGTGGAAGGCGTTCTTGGGCTATGGAGTCATTTATTAATCACATTGGTGTATTTGCTGGTGTTATTCCCCGTCGTGGAGTTTATGTCGATGTTGATGGATATTGTATAAACATTTAGAGCGCAGACAGCCATCTACGAAACCTCACAACACCCAAATAAATATCCTAATAGCAGTAGATCATGCATTAAAACGCCATCCACTATGGACAGATTGTACATTTCGAACCAAACAACATATTGGCCAGGACCGGCCACCTTGGTGCCTGTGACAGATGGCTAATAAATGACAAATATTCGAACACGCATATCATTGATCAGAGATAATCCGTGACAGAGTCAATGACCAAGTGATATAGTCTTATTTCTTTTGCCTCACAGATATGGTAACCCTGCCCGGAACGAGATATCGGGTAACCGAACAAACCTCCTGCGCCCCCAGACCCGTGCCGTAGATGTAAACTAGTGATTAAATCAAGCAAATAGCTAGCATAACGATTGTGTGTATTAGGCGACTCCGTTATGAGATGGTAGTTGAAATTCCTGCTTTTCGGCGGTAGAGGTATAAGCCTGCTTCAAGGCAGGGTCATTGCCTGAAAATCCCGACTTTGGAATCTCGACAGCGTAAGGTGCTTTTGGAAGCTCGCCAGCTGCTTTTAGGCTTTGGTTGTTCGCTGGAACTTCTGTCGACATGGCTGCAGGTGTATTGATATTGTTAGTTGCCTCTTGTATCATCGGCTTGACTTGGTCGGAGCCAGCCTGAGGTGATTTCGCTGCGACTCCGTTTCCGTTTCCGTAGCGTAGTTTCACGACCAAGGTTTTGTTCCTGTCCAGGTCTAAATCCGCTGTAAATGAGTCTGCATCACTTAGTGCGGCCTCGTCTTCATCCTCATCGTCTGCTGCGAGGTCCGCATCCTCGTCCCACTCGTTTTCACTTGATGCTGCTTCATGTTCGTCTTCCCCTTCTGAATCACCTGCGGAGTCAAAGGCGTCGCTAGGAGTAGATCCTTCCCACCCATTACTGCGATTATCCCGCCTGCTTCTGCGGGATCTGCCGTTCTCCATCCCTCCATCCTCCCCGCCAGCAGGGTTGCTTGATGGTTCGTCGTCGGTCGCGTCGAGGGGTCGCTTCCCAAGAACGGTCTGACCATACATTCCACCAACTCTGGACCTCACCTGGCGACCGGATGCAGTAAAAGTAGGTCCGGCATTATCTGGAGGGGATGAAGCGCGAGACTGGTTGCGTGTAGATTTCCTGGAGGGAAAGGCCTCTGACGAGAAATCGTCGTCGTCAGAGAAGGTGTACTTGATCCGCTTCCCGCGGGTTCGGCCTTCATAGAGAGAGAAGCCGGGTTCGGGGCGGGCAAATGCAGCTTTCCGAGCAAGCCGGTAGTCCCGTCGTTTTCGTTTCTAATGAGAGGGTTAGAGCTCGATGATATATTGACTAGCCGGTCGATGCAGTTTCTTACCTCCTCTGAGTTCTCAAAACGAGGGATACTATTTAATATCTTCTGGCTCAGCTCCTTAGACGCACGGGATTTCTCGGTAGCCAAAGATTCAGCGACAGTTCGTAGTTCTGGAATTGTGCCGGCGACGCTCCACCAGGTGTTCGTTTTCAGTGCAGGGTTGCTTTCTCTGTAGAGTCTGAAGTGTGTGTCGTCTTGGCCTTCGATGAGCCAGTATCGCCTCTTCAGAGTATCGGTGCCCCAAGGCTGAACGGACAACGGCTGATTGCGATCGCCGTCGTGTCTGGATTGCTTGTAGGAGTCTTTAAGCTTCGCCTGAACAGATTCGGAGGAGGAGAGGGCCCATAGGGTCAGGGTCGTAAGCAATTGGATCTAGTGAACAGTGTTAACCTATAGCTCTGAGTAAAACAAAGTCGGTCATTATTATTCCTTACCCTTTCCTCAGGAGTCATAGTCGCAAAGCCTCCTCCACCTGAAAGAGGGCTTTTCCCTTGCCATGCCTTCGGCCACTGCGACTGGTGTGTCTGTATAGCCTCCTCGAGGGCGCGTTGGTAATGGCCTCTCCTAAAGTAGAACGCCACGTATTAGCAAAACTGACATTGCTATCGCGCATTCAACATAATCAAGTCTCGCGCATCATTCTGGCGACTATTCGATGATCGTTTAAGCAGGAATGGCGTGGGGAACCATACTCGACATCCTTTTTCCTGTTGAGTACAAGGCCAAGTAGTGCACAAAGCAGCCGCTCGATGTGGTCACCCGGCGCGGGTTCAACAACGCCCTTTTCTATATCATGCGGGCCATAATGCGGAAGCGATTTGGGGAAGACATCGCTGAATCTCGACCGGAACATCACAAGGAACTGGACAATTGAAATGTTAGCTATGGATTTCGCGTCAAGGCACTATAGGAGCGCGTCACGTTCGCCCCCCTTCCAAAAAAAAAAATTGTACCGTGCAGACAGCGGGATAAGAGATATGGGGGAAGTTATAGAATACTTACTGCGATATTAGGATTATCAGCTAGGACATATTCGTGAGGAGGCGACGGAGGCCGTTTAGGAGACGGTGGTGGTGGTTCAGGCTTCTCTGCCTTTTTGAAATATTTAGTGATTCCAGCGCTGCGGTTGATGGATTCGGCGATGGACTCGTCAGCCGTCGAAACGACAGAGGACAAAGACGACGAGGAATCGGAATCCGTCATGGTGATTGCGCGCGGAATCGAAGTCTCGCGGGTTGTAGGCGGCTGTAAGATATGTTGGCGTTCGTTCGAGGAAGTATGATGGAGGTAGCACGCTTGGAGATAAGATATGCCAACCAGGCTTGCTGGTTCGTAGTAAGCAAAGCTACGGCGACGACAAGGCAACGTCGACCTGCGGATCGCTCGTTTAACGCAGAAGTCTGCGTAAGATGCTGGATAAATGCTGATTTGGTTCTTTAGGTGGAGGTTTAGAGGGCAGAGTAGAGAGCTGAAGGATTTGGATGTAATAAATAGGGGCCAGAAAGCCAACTAGCAGTAACACTCTGCATTCAACTGTGAAAAGCCGGCTTGAATCCAATCATTCACATATAACCTATTCACGTAATAACTATTCGCGTCTGTAGTTATATTCACTGTAACCAACATAACACAACTCAACACTTAACACTCAACACTGCGAGACCAGCCAGTAATAACAAGCAGAGAAGAGCCGCCAAAAGAATGCCAAAAACCGCCAAAACCGCCATAAATCGCCAAAGGAATCGCTGAGAAGTCATTATCGCAGGAGAGCTGACGTTGGAGAATGATAGTTGCATAACGCATGGTTAGTTCCTGCTATACGAACATCGTAGTTTGAGCCGAGTCTTCGTTTCAGAGACTGAGTAGACAGACACGAGTTGAACATCATCCATCAAGAACAGTATATTGAGTGGATGTTCAATATTGAACAGTCCACGCGAGTTAGTAACCATACATAGTCTGGCGACTTGGCTGAATATCCTGTCGAACAACATCGTAGACAAGTATGCTCATCGTCACCGTCGAGTATCTATCACCGTTTAGTTCGTGTAGTTCGTGTATTTCGTGTTAGTATCTTGTTAAATCATGGTATGTTGTTGTTGAAGTTGGTGATGTTGAAGTTGAGTTGAAGAAGTTGAAGTGTCGAGGCGAGCTTAGTCATGCGACCCAACGCGGCTAGCTTAGCGACTCCCACACTGAGCATCCACACAACTTCGACATTTTCATATTGAACTTCACTTTCCTCGACCAAGCCGACATCTTCGCGAAAGGTACGACACGCCCTTCTACCCTCGGAGAACCAAGGAAGACGACGAGAAACCAGCTACTGACAGTCTCTACAGTAATCATGGGTCGTGTGATCCGCAATCAGAGGAAGGGTCGTGGATCTATCTTCAGTACGTTACCCGAAGCAAAAGCTGGAAGTTGAACGGCGACGAAGAAGAAGATGAAGTGCTAACATCTGTGTAGCGGCTCGCACCCGTCTCAACAAGGCGCCAGCCCAATTCCGAACCCTCGACTATGCCGAACGCCATGGCTACACGCGCGGTGTCGTGAAGAAGATCATCCACGACTCCGGTCGAGGTGCTCCCTTGGCCCAGGTCTCCTTCCGCCATCCGTACAAGTACCAGGAAGTCACCGAGACGTTCATTGCCAACGAAGGCATGTACACTGGCCAGTTCATCTATGCCGGCAAGCACGCTTCCCTCAACATCGGAAACATCCTCCCACTCGGATCCGTGCCTGAGGGTACCGTTGTGACGAACGTGGAGGAGAAGGTCGGCGACAGAGGTGCGCTCGGCAGGACGTCTGGAAACTACGTTACTGTCATTGGACACAACCCCGAGGAAGGAAAGACACGTATCAAGATGCCCAGTGGAGCCAAGAAGGTCGTCAAGAGCAGAGTCAGAGGAATGGTTGGAATCGTTGCCGGTGGTGGCCGTACAGACAAGCCTCTCCTGAGTGCGTTTTTCTTCTTTATTTTCAACCCTTATTTTCAACCTTTTTTCCGTGATAAGCTAACAGCCTGCAGAGGCGTCTCGTGCTAAGCACAAGTTTGCTGCCAAGCGCAACTCGTGGCCCAAGACTCGTGGTGTTGCCATGAACCCCGTCGACCATGTAAGTGACCCCTGTATGCCATCGGCCAGCCCTATGCACGTACTGACATCTCGTAGCCCCACGGTGGTGGTAACCATCAACATATTGGTAAAGCCTCGACCATCTCCCGATACGCCGTACAGGGTCAAAAAGCCGGTCTTATTGCTGCCCGCCGAACCGGTTTGCTGCGCGGTACCCAGAAGACCAAGGACTAGATTTAATGGCGCGTGGGCTTTTCATAATGATTATGGGAGAATAAATAAAACTTCTACTTATGACTCGTATCTGTATTGTAGGCTACCAGATGTCTTCATAATACATCCTCCTATCCCCTATCCCTATCTCCATCCCTACCATCGTCATCTCATCGTCATCTCATCGCCATCGTCATCTCGTATCTCTTGTCTACTGTATCATCGTCATGTACGAGATCTTTCTGCCGGTTTCCCGATTGCGGTGTCTTGGCCTTGGCATCATGTGATACATAATCACGTGCCATGACTCATCACGTGGCAAGATCTCTACTCCCGAAGCGGCCTAGCGTCCCCGTCTTGCTCCCAAACTGGCCAATCACGGGACCGCGCCCTTGCCCTCTGCTTTCTTCCGTCACTCGCGCCCGAAAGAGCGAAGAGCTATATAACATCTTGCAGGCTCCGCACATAGAGACTTGGAGACGCTTGTCCGATGCCTGTTTACCATTCGTAGTTAGACACGAGATACGAAGACCAGACAGGAAGAAAAAGCAGAGTGATGGATATAGACACAAGCCTATTCTTATAACCCTTTCACTCGTCCTGCCCAGCCTACCACCTATCATCATCATCTCGCATATTTCGCCGTTGATATACCGAGCCAGCAATGGCAGACGCAGACAACAAGATGGCCTATGCCACGACCTCCGCCAGATGGCGCGCAATCGTCAACCGGGACGCCGCTGCCACCTGCTTCGTGTACGGCGTCCGCACCACCAAGATCTATTGCCGTCCCCGCTGCCCTGCCCGGCTCGCCCGCCGTGCAAACGTCGAGTTCTACGACACGCCTCCCCAGGCCGAGAAGGCCGGGTACCGCCCCTGCAAGCGATGTAAGCCCGAGGACCTGCGCGCGCCCACCGATCCGCATATCAGGCTGGCACAGCGGGCGTGCGAGACCATGACGCTCGCTGCTCTGGCCGGCGGGGACAAGCAGCGGCCGACGCTGTCTGATCTCTCCGGAGAGGCCGGCCTGACGCCCAGTCACTTCCACCGCGTGTTCAAGAAGGTCGTCGGCGTCACACCAGGCAAGTTTGCAAGGGAGCTGATGGAGCGGAAGTCGTTGGGCAAGGTCATGGTCCCCAGTGGTATCAATGCGAAGATTAGCTGGCCGCCACCGCATCTCGCGGCCCTGGTCGGCATGAATATACCTGTATCGGACAGTATATCACCAAAGCCGCAGGTCCAGACCTCTCTTGGCGACTGTGACATAGATCAGATAATAGGGCAAGGATATAGTGATCCGCAGACAGCGGGTCCGATCAACTGGAACGAGTTCGATCTCATGTTAGCCGCAGCTTCAGATCCAAGGCAGCAGCAGCATCAGCATCATCAGCAGCAGCAGCAGATAAATTATGCTGACCCCCCAACTACCACTCCTACCTCTGTCACTACCGCCACTGCCGTCACCTCCACGGCCGCCACATCCTCCGCCGCCGGACTATGTATGCCACAGACAACACAGTCACACTCATTCGACCCCAACCCACTCACCATGCTCCCTCTTGACCACAGCTCGTCGTCGACCATCAACTTTGCCCAGTACATGGCCGAGCCGATCGACTTCTCCTTCATGAACCCCCTTACCACCACCAATACCACCACCGGCCACAGCCCGTCAGACACCTTCAGCCGTCCGACCCCGAGTCCGACCTCTGTCCCGTCGTTATATTCACATCCGTCACTCTCGCCGACTGACTCACCCGTGCTCTTCGACTCGTATGCCGGTCTGGCCGGTTCCGGGTCGCCGTTGCTGCTGGACGATACAGACTGGCTGGATAGCCAGGTGCTGCTCCAGCAGGACTACAGCATCGACCACTGCGTTAGATCGTAACCGGTCGTGCTCTTGAATGGGGAAACGAAACAGAAATATGGAGTTCAACGGGTATGGGAATGAAATGGGTCGGGATGGGATATGGGATGTACTCTCGGCTTGGTTCGGTTGTCCTTTTTTTAGCTTCTTCCTTTGAATGTATTAATGAGCCATACATCAGTATAAAAATACCTAATAGAAAATAATGACGCATGAGTAATGCAAGCATCTTACCTCATCGCTTCGTATTGATCAGATCGTCCTTGCTGCCTACTCCGTTTGCTGCCTGTATCTGCTGTAGCCGTCTGCCCTAACGACCAGCTAGCCTCCATCTCGTAGACCATCCATAGCGTAGGACTATACCGTCTAGTCGCAGTATCAAGAGTAAGTGGCCAGGCGAGCCAGGACAAAGAGGTCGGCGGTTACACCCTGGAGTCTCCTGTTTCAGCGTAGCAGAGATGCATCGTCCGCCAACCACCGCCAACCCCTGACCGCACCCGCTACAGCATCCCGGACGCGCATACGGAGTATCTACCTCTAGATACTGCTGCGTTGTGGTCGGGCTGTTGCTGGCGGTCGGTGGTTGGTGGTTGCAGGACGTTTCATGGGATGAAGTCGGAAGTGCGTAAGTAGCTATTTATGTAAGTCGCAACTCCATCGACCGCGCTTAATGTGTATAAAGGGAGCTTCCCCGACGCTTCAGAAGACGGTAGAGAAGAAGAAGAAATAATAACTATGGTGAAGGGCCGGTCCACTCACGCTCTCCCGTCTTCTCCATCTTCTCCATTCTGCGTCGCCACTGGGAGAGGGAAAGCTGGGAGAAAGCTGGCATCGCCGCAACTTGCTTCCTGGCCGCCAGTTTCTTCTTCTTCCTGGTGAGACAGCGGGCAGATTTGACTTTAGTTCCACTTATTCTCTTTCATACGCTCTATCTCTTCTTTTCTCTTATTCTTTTCTCCTATCCTACATTATTACTATTATTCTATCTGCCACTCGTTATGAACGTCAACAAGAAGCTGGGCCGCCTGAAGCAATGGGCTGGCGAACGCATGGGAGGCGAGATCAAGACGAACGTCTCTGATGACTTCAAGATGCTGGAGATGGAGATGAATCTCAGACAAGAAGGTAACGCTGCCCGCACCGCTGAGACGACCTGATACTGACGGCTATAGGGATGGACCGTCTTCACAAGGCCATGGGCGCCTATGTCAGAGCAATCTCGAAGCGTAGCGAGGGCGAGGACAAGGAAAAGCTCTTCCCAATTGGAAACTTGGGAGGCGTCATGGTCGCCCATGGCGAGGATTTCGCCAGCAACTCCGAGTTCGGCCAGTGTCTTACCAGTAAGCTTGTCCTGGAGATGGATATAGATACGGAAAGCTGACTGTATAGCCTTCGGGAGGACAAACGAGCGCATCTCCAGGATACAGGAACAGTACGTCATGGCTGCAACCTCTAGCTGGCTAGAGTCGCTGGAACGGTCCCTCAACCAGCTCAAAGAGTACCAGGTAGGTGGATTGATCCATGTGATTATATAGTACATCCTTCTAACGGCGTCTAGGCTGCTCGCAAGAAACTGGAGAACCGCCGTCTAGCCTACGACACTTCGCAGGCGAAGATGCAAAAGGCAAGACGTGAGGACTTTAGAGTGGAGGAGGAGCTCCGGTCGCAGAAGCTCAAGTACGAAGAAGCGAACGACGAAGTCCTCCGACGCATGCAGGACATCAAGGAAGCCGAGCCAGAGAACACGGCTGACATGAGTGCCTTTTTGGACGCCCAATTGAGCTATCATGAAAAGTGCAGGGAAGTCCTGCTGCAGCTAAAAGACGACTGGCCTGCCGGGTACGTCTCATACTTTATTAGTTTGTATAAAGGTATTCGCTAACTGTAACAGCCCAACGCAGCAGTTCAACTCCTACGGCCGCCGGGCAACCCTTACCCGCTCCAACACCTCCTTCAACGAGCGTGTGGCCGAAGAAGACATCCACCGAACTACTTCTCACCCCACCTCTCACCACCGAGAGCCCTCCCGGTCCCGCGAGGTCTCTGCCTCTCGACCAGCCCTGGGTGGCCGAAAGCCAACGTTTGAGGGACCAACGCAGCTACGACGGGGGCCATCTCCTTCTCCCGGCCCTGGTTCGCTGCGTAACTCCATCCGCGCGGCAGGTGATAGCACCAATCCAGCCGTGAGCGGGAATGCAGCAGGTATCGCCAACGCCCGTTCCCAGCTCCGTGTCATCAGCCAGGGGTATAGCGGTGGGAATGATGGATACTACGACTCGACGGACGACGCTGCTTCGCCGGTCAGAGGCAGTCCGGACCAGTATCACAGCTCAACCAGCTCGTCTCCCTTGCGGACTGTGCCGGCATCACATTCCGTTCCTGGGTCAGGGACAGCAACGCCCATGAAGAAACCGCCGCCGCCGCCTCCACCGTCCCGGTCGAAGAAGCCGCCTCCTCCACCTCCGCCGGCGAAGCGGTCCGTCTCTGCTTATGCCCTGTAATCTGTTCTTTTCCTGCCTTTGCCTGCCTTTGCCTTGGTTGGTCTTGTCTTTGGTCTTTACATGTACCTGGCTGGTCCTATTACTACAATAAACTTCTTCTCCATCTCATCCTATCATCTATCTAGTATCTGCTCTAGTATCAGTATCTATCTCTATACTCCGTAGTCTATGTTGATGACATTAAATTAAGCTTATCCTGACGGCAGTAAACAACTCTCACCACCGCCTTCACCTCACCTTATACATCTACACATACATCTACATCTACATCTACATCCTCATCCTCATCCTCTATCATCCTTTTCTTTTCTTTCTCTTCTCTTCTCTCTTCTCTCTTCTCTCTGTCTTCCCTGTACATCACGTGTCTTACTCAGCATCACGTGCAGTGACTAAAACTCTTCCTCCTCCCGTTTTCCCTGCGCTTCTTCCTCCCATCAAGCCAAAAGCGACCGAACCACACGGGAGAAGGAGAAACAACCAGCGCGCCCTCGCCCTTCCGCCCTCCGCCATCGACCGTCCATCAGCCAAGGGCCGCAACGCTCCCTGCACCACGCGACGGCCGCCCTTCCACGTCGCATTTCCGCCCTCTGCCCTCCCATCCGCGGTTTCGCCTCCCTCCACCCATCGCCCATAGCCCGTCGCCCATCGCCCATAGCCCAGGCGGCCAACCCCATCTCCGTCCTGCACATCGCGCAAACGCAAAGCAGCTACGCGACGAACCATCTCACCACAACACCATCGCCCTCCGCGCCGGCACACCCGCTCTGCCCTGTCGCGTCCCTACCTGCTGGCATGATCTCTGCCATCGCCACTCGCTAGCACGTCGTTCCCCAGCACCTCGCTTTTCATGCAGTGCTTTGGTCTAATATAAGATATCAACCATGGCGTCTGTCCAGCATCAGGCGGCCAGTATGCCGCAGCAGAACCTGGGGCTGCCGCCAAACGTCACGCCCCAGCATATCCAGGAGGTCTATCAGGTATGTCAATTGCTTTTGCTCCCCCCGTATATGCGTGTCTTGCTGACACGGTTGAAGAAATTCCGGCAGATGCAGGAACAAGGCGTGCGCCATGATGACCCGGAATACCTCAAGGCTCACAACCTGCTCGCCGCCGTCCAGCGGCAGCAGGCATACAATAAACAGCGCCAGATGCAGATGCTCCACGCCCAGAGACAGCAGCCACAGCCACAGCAACCACAGCAAGTAGGACAGGCACCGCCAAATGGTATTGTTGATGCCAACGGAGCTGACGGTAATTGACATCTCTGTTCCTCTTTTGTTTATTTACCATGCTTACATTGTTGGTATAGGGCGAAATGGGTCAGGCGCGAACCTCGCTGCTGCCGTCAGCCAGGATGGCAACGCGATCGCAAACAGCAGTGTGCTTGCAGGGAACGCTCCTCCCTCTGGCGCTACTCCTCCGAATCAGAAGGGTGCGCCCCAGGGATCACAGAGCTTCACTTCGGAGCAGCTGGCCACCCTGAGAAACCAGATACTTGCCTTCAAGATGATCTCGAAGAACCTGGCAATCCCCCAGCGCGTTCAGCAACAGCTCTTTGCAAAGAAGACTGCTGGTGCAGATGGCGTCCCCGTATCCGATCAATCTCTCGACGGCGCCAGTCGCGATGTCGTGGCTGGTGAAGGTGATGTCACTGCCGACAAGCTAAGAACCATGTTCGAGACCTTCAAGTCTCCCTATGACATCCTCGGTGATACTATCAACTATACAGACCACGGTATGCGCCGGAATCGATTGAGACTACCTTGCATCACGCCAATGGGTGTCGATGTCGAGAAGATTCGCGAAGACAGAGAGCTCATCTTATACAACCGTATCACCGCACGGAAGGCAGAGTTGGCCAAGCTGCCTGCTAACCTCGGCGTGTGGGACAGCGGTGAAAGCGATACTCCGGTTGTTGACGACTCTCTCAAGCTCAAGGCCCTAATCGAGTACAAGATGTTGAACCTCCTGCCCAAGCAACGCGCGTTTCGTAAACAGATTCAAAATGAGATGCTCCATTTCGACTACCTGGCCATGTCTGCCAACAGGCCTGCCCATCGTCGAATGAAGAAGCAGTCTCTTCGTGAAGCCAGGGTCACCGAGAAGCTGGAGAAACAGCAGCGTGATGCCCGTGAGACCAAGGAGAAGCAGAAGCAGTATAACCAGCTACAAGCAATTCTCAACCATGGCGTTGACGTACGCAATGCCGGAAATGAGCAACGCGGGCGTGTACAAAAACTCGGCCGTTTGATGATGGCTCACCACACTCACCTTGAACGCGAAGAACAGAAACGAGTTGAACGAACTGCCAAGCAACGTCTCCAAGCTCTAAAGGCAAACGACGAGGAAACCTACATGAAACTGCTCGGCCAGGCCAAGGATTCGCGTATCTCTCACTTGCTCAAGCAGACTGACGGTTTCTTGCGACAGCTTGCCGCCTCAGTTCGCTCTCAGCAACGAAAGACCGCCGAGCGCTATGGAGACGAGGATCGCTTGGATATGGAGGAGGATATGATTGATTCCGACGACGAAGAAGAGAGCCGCAAGGTCGACTACTATGCCGTGGCCCATCGCATCAAAGAGGAGGTCACCATCCAACCGAGCATTCTTGTCGGTGGTACCTTGAAAGAATATCAGCTGCGTGGTCTAACGTGGATGATTTCTCTATACAACAACAACCTCAACGGTATCTTGGCCGACGAGATGGGTCTCGGTAAAACAATCCAGACCATCAGTTTAATCACCTACCTCATCGAAACCAAGAAGCAAAACGGCCCATACCTCGTCATCGTCCCCCTCAGTACCCTCACCAACTGGAATCTTGAGTTCGAGAAATGGGCTCCTTCTATCTCCCGAATTGTCTACAAGGGTCCACAGCCTACTCGAAAACAACACCAGCAGGCCATCCGATGGGGCAATTTTCAGGTTCTACTCACCACCTACGAATTCGTCATCAAAGATCGTCCTATCTTGAGTAAGGTCAAATGGCTACACATGATCGTCGACGAAGGTCATCGTATGAAAAACGCGGGCTCGAAATTGAGTTTCACCTTGACTAACTACTACCAATCGCGATACCGTTTGATCTTGACTGGAACGCCGCTGCAGAACAACTTGCCTGAACTTTGGGCCCTGCTCAATTTCGCCCTTCCAAATATCTTCAAGTCCGTCAAGTCTTTCGATGAATGGTTCAATACCCCATTTGCGAACACTGGCAGCCAAGATCGTATGGAACTCACTGAAGAAGAGCAGCTGCTTGTCATCCGTCGACTTCACAAAGTTCTTCGTCCCTTCTTGCTTCGCCGTTTGAAGAAGGATGTCGAAAAGGATCTTCCCGAGAAGCAAGAACGTGTCATCAGATGCCGATTCTCAGCTCTACAGGCCAAACTTTACAAACAACTTGTCACTCACAACAAACTGGCCGTTAGTGATGGAAAGGGTGGGAAAACACCCGTGCGTGGTCTCAGCAATATGCTCATGCAGCTGCGTAAATTATGCAACCATCCATTCGTGTTCGACTCTGTAGAAGACGAAATGAATCCTGGCAAGGCTACGAACGACCTGATCTGGCGTACTGCCGGTAAATTCGAGCTTCTCGACCGAGTCCTTCCTAAATTCTTTGCCTCTGGTCATCGTGTCCTCATGTTCTTCCAGATGACTCAAATTATGAACATCATGGAAGATTTCATGCGGTTCCGTGGGTTCAAGTACCTACGTCTAGACGGTGCCACAAAGTCTGATGACAGATCTGATCTTCTGAAGAAATTCAACGATCCCGGATCAGAGTACTTCTGTTTCCTCCTTTCTACCCGTGCTGGTGGTTTGGGTTTGAACTTGCAGACTGCCGATACAGTCATCATTTACGACTCCGATTGGAATCCTCACCAGGATCTTCAGGCTCAGGATCGTGCTCACAGAATTGGTCAAAAGAATGAAGTTCGTATCCTTCGGTTGATTAGTTCTAATTCCGTCGAGGAACGAATTCTCGAGCGTGCTCAGTTCAAACTGGACATGGATGGAAAGGTTATCCAGGCTGGTAAATTCGATAACAAATCCACCAACGAGGAACGAGATGCCCTTTTGCGTACCTTGCTCGAAACTGCTGAAGGTGCAGACCAGATTAATGACCAGGACGAGATGGACGACGATGATCTGAACGAGATCATGGCCCGTTCCGAAAGTGAAATCGCGCTTTTCCAGAAGATCGATGAGGAGCGACAGAAGAGCTGTGGATATGGCCCAGGGTGCAAGTACCCTCGTCTGCTAGGAGAGGAGGAGTTGCCTGACATCTATCTCACGGAAGAGAACCCTGTCGCACCCGCGATTGAGGAGGTGGCCGGTCGTGGTGCGCGAGAACGCAAGAACGTGAAATACGACGACGGCTTGACCGAAGAGCAATGGCTAACGGCTGTGGACGGTGATGAAGAAACTCTTGAAGAGACAATTGCTAAGAATGACGCCAGGATGGAGCGACTTCGCGCAAATCGCGAAAAGCGTAGTAAGAAAGCACAAGGCCTTGAGTCCTCGCCTGAACCTTCAAGAGAAACTTCCGTCACACCACAGCAAAAGAAACGTCGCAAGGGTCCCGTGCCAAAGCGTAAGGCAGAGGAAATCATTGATGACGCTCCGTCGAAACGCAGAAGGGGCCGAGTCAACAATAAGGCTGCAGACTCACTCACCAATTCTGAGCGTGCTACATTGCAGAAAATCCTCGGCAACGTTTACCAAACTCTCATGGATCTTGAGCAAGACGTTCCTGTCGACTCTGAAGATAGCGATGATGAACCTATGACTCGCTCCATCATCGAGCCGTTCATGAAGCCTCCGCCAAAATCGCAATATCCCGATTACTACATGATTATTCAGACCCCCATGGCTATGGATATCATCAAGAGGAAAATCAATCGCGAGGAATATCGCAGTCTCAAGGATTTCCGTGAAGACATTCGCTTGCTCTGCACCAACGCCCGGACGTACAACGAAGATGGAAGTATCCTGTTCCAAGATGCCAACAACATCGAAGTGAGTTTTGATAGATCCCCCAGATTACATCTTTTATCGTCACATATCTAACATATTCAACTCTTAGGCCACTTGTAACGCAGAGCTGAAAAAGGAAACTGACCAGCACCCTGACTTCGCCGACTTTGATGACGTCGGTTCGTCCATGGGTGATGAGCAGTCCGCTGCAGTTTCAAGTGTGGGCACGCCGCTCGCATCTACTTCAGCCTCTGGACATCCCAAGCTGAAACTAACGTTCAACGGCTCGAATAGAGACAATGCCGCATACAACGGAGCGGACAACGGCGCGTTAAGTGATGATGAATAAGGTTTATTTCTTTAGCCTATGATTATCTACCCTCTCCTTGGTGATGATCACTCTCTCAAATCCGCGTTAATTAGACGTCCAAATACCCCTTTTATCGCACCCCGCCCCAGCAGTTATTGCGTCCGATTTCACTTTACCATCCCCTTACTCCAAGCTTTATGTATTTGACATTATTTCTATCGCAAGTTTTGCCTGGCGTTTGACATTTGGTATTTATTTTGGGTCAGTTAATCGCACCTTTTTCTTAACCGTCGGCGAAAATAAAAAGAGACCCGATCGATATCGAATCGACGGGTGATGGCGGGCGGCGGGTCAACGTTTCATTTTCGCATTCCAGCGGCAGGGTTGTTTTTGATTTTTTCTCCCTATTAATCCCTTGTCCCTTCCTTTCAGCTTCATTTCTAACCCTCTTGTCTTTATTATACTCCTTTTTTTTCGTGTTTTGCAATTTCCTCCGTCGCCGCTCCGTTGTTTCGACCGTTGCACTACTCGCTTGTTTGCTGGAATCGCTGGGATGGATGGGTCATGGTCTTATGGAGATTGGTACTTGTTACCAAACCTGAGAAAGAAGAGAGTTATTCAAATTGCCTAAAATGATAAATGTATTATGTATGAGTTACTGCCTCGAGATCTGGCGGAGCGACCAGAGTAAAGCAGATAGTTATTAGATGATGAATGGAAAGTTTCAAGTATATTTTGTCGGGCCTCCCTCTAAGCTTGCTCTATGTCTGCTCTAGCATGACTTACTGGTTAGCCTAATGTAAAACCGACTATTTAACGCATGAATGCGAATCCTCATCCAGCTACAAAGAACAAGGTACAGTTGATTCATACACCAGTGATGCTAGTTCTATCCTATACATTGGGATCTTACGGAAGAGGCGGACAGTGCATTGCTGACTCAGTACGCCCTCAATATCAACCGACAACAGGCAATATATAGATGGATGTATATTCAAATAGACGTCAAATGTCACACAATTTCGGGCCCCGAGTCCAGGTAAAAGTTCACCCAGCGAGTTAAATAGGAGATACCTCATCATCGGGTGGGCGCTTTCCCGCTCCTCGTCTACCAAACCGTCTCTATTGCATCATGGGTTTCTACTACTCCCAGTTCTTTGTCCAGCCGGCGTATCCCACGCAATCTTTCGCCGGGCAGACAGTAATTGTTACTGGAGCCAATGTTGGTCTGGGCCTAGAGGCTTCCCGTCACTTAGTCCGACTCCAGGCAGAGAAAGTAATCCTGGCTGTCCGCAACGTTGCCGCTGGGGAAGAGGCAAAACGAGACGTCGAACTATCCACCGGCAGGATAGGAGTGTGTGAGGTATGGGAGCTGGACCTTGCATCCTATGCCTCTGTTCAAGCATTCGCCTACAAAGCCACTCAGCTGCCTCGATTAGATGTTGTGATCGCAAATGCCGCTATTGCTACAGCCACCTTCAGCATCGCCGAGGGACATGAGCGGACAATCACCGTTAACGTCATTAGCACCATCTTGCTCACCTTACTGCTGCTCCCCAAGTTACGGGAGACTGCTGAGAAACACCCACAGGCAAATCGTCCTCGCATTTCGGTCGTAGTCAGTGAGACACACGCCTGGACCCCGTTTCCTGAGTACAAGGCCGAGAACATATTCGAAAAGCTAGATGACCCGACAGCTGCTGACATGACCGACCGATACGCCAGCTCAAAGCTAATGGATATCCTTATTCTCAGGGAGATGGTGCACCGGGCGTCAGGTGCCTGGCCAGAGGTGGTAAACATGGTGAATCCGGGCCTGTGTCATTCGAGGCTCGCGCGTGAACTGGGCTGGGGCTTCTGGCTCTTCAAGCAGGTAGTCGCTCGGTCCACAGAGGTGGGCAGCCGAACGCTGGTTCTAGGAGCTGCTGCTGGCCCCGAGAGCCATGGAAAGTACATGGTCAATGGGAAAGTTGATGATAGTGCTCTGTCCGGCTTTGTACGTAGTCCGGAGGGAAGAAACGCTCAGCAGAAGCTGTGGGAGGAGCTTGTTCCCATCCTCGAAGGAATCAAGCCGGGTATTATGCAGAATCTGTAGCCTTAGGTGGATCCTTTGGAAAGGTCCTAATCCGCTAATCAAGGTGGCATGTTCTTCTGTTTGATAGTTAGGTAAACCTCGGCGCACTTGAGGAACTTGGGTGCCATTGGCAAGGGAATATGTCTAGCATTGGCACCAGACAGGATCAGGATTCCTCAAATGGCCTGGACAATTCTCACTCTGTATCAATAGTGGTGGTGATATCAACATCGAAAGTCGCGATATAAAAATGACAACTATCACGTGATATGCCCATCTGCTTCATCCTTCACAGAAGGTTGGAAATGACATTACATTCTTCATCACTTCTTCCGTGTCTGTCATTATAGCCTACCTTATTCCAGTCTCTACAAAGCCGTATATCATTGGCTCTTATCTGCTTTAGTTCCTCTCGCTCGCCTTCTCTTGGTGCTTACTCTTTAGTTTAAAGATACAGCCATGGCTGCAAGAATGATAGATGATATAAAGATATCAGTTGCGAGGACATAGTATGGGGCATTTAAACGTTACTCCTTACATCCGCGTACGCAGCTTAGAGCATATGGATATTATAAAAAGGGTATAGAAATATCACCCTAACAAGCTAACTACATCTTGACGTCAGCTACTTTTGAGATTAAGTCATAATTAACCAATTGGTGGGAGATCAAGGGAAGCGATGATATTGCCTCCATTTAGCAAGATGTACTCATGGGAGTCAGGAGGTAGAGAAATAGCTGCATATATGACGTAGTTATAACAGTATCAATAGCGAATACAGCGGAGTCTAGTGGTCGTTGTCTACGTATCGAGGCCTGGATATAAGATTATTTATTTAGATTTGATGAACAATATTTGAAGCAATACTTTGCTAGCATCTTGGCTTAATCATCGAGAAAGCTTACGTGTATTCTGAATTCATATTCGTACGTCTTAACATTGATCTATCTAAAAAAATAGCATAGCTATAGCTGTATTTGAAAGAATATTTTATACAAAGCAGTCTACCAGGCTAGACGTTTCTATTCCCTCCGGGATGCACTATTCAATTAACTATAACATGGCAGAAGAAAAAACATAGAAAAACAACAATGCAAAATACAACCCTGAGATCTTCAATAGCATATAATCCAGAACAATGGGAGGGTTGCATTATAGATACAGAGGAGCACACCAAGGAATCAAAGGTTTAGACAAGATCTCTCTTGACGAACTCGGCGAGGAGGGTCTTTCCAAGCGATGCCGGGCTTCGCTCAACAATGACACCGGCATCCTGGAGAGCAGCGATCTTAGAGTCGGCTCCGCCCTTGCCTCCGCTGACAATGGCACCAGCGTGGCCCATTCGTCGGCCAGGTGGAGCGCTGATACCGGCAATGAAGCTGACGGCAGGCTTGTTTGCGGTGTTCTCGCTCTTCAAGAAAGCGGCGGCGTCTTCCTCGGCGCTACCACCGATCTCACCGATCATGATGATTCCGTCGGTCTCCTCGTCCTCGAGGAAGACACGGAGACAGTCGATGAAGTTGGTGCCGGAGAATGGGTCACCGCCGATTCCGACGACGAGAGATTGACCGAGACCAGCTTGGGTGGTTTGGTTAACGGCCTCGTAGGTGAGGGTACCAGATCGGGAGACGATACCGATACGACCTCTCTTGTGGATGAAACCGGGCATGATACCGATTTTGCATTGTCCCTGGAGAGTATATGGTCAGTATGTGTTTCAATGGACATCTTATATACGAGTGTGCGTACGGGAGCGATTATTCCAGGGCAGTTTGGTCCGACAAGTCGGGTCTTGTTTTGCGTTTTTAGCATGTCGGTGATGCGGACCATGTCTGACAAGAGAAGTTTAGTAGGAGTATACCAGCATATTCACATCCATATGGCCATACCATGCTGAGGGATTCCTTCAGTGATGCTATACAACGTGTCAGTCGACTTCAGCCTAAACCTACAGTGGCGGGAATGAAACATACCAGACGACGAGAGGCATCTCCGCTGCGATAGATTCTTCGATACTCTGAGCAGCCACGGAAGGTCTGTGTTCGATGCGTTAGCACCAGTAAACCAAGCCAGCAGCTAGAATTCGTGTTATACATACGGGACGAATATAGCAGAGGCAGTTGCTCCGGTCTCCTTGACGGCATCGGCGACGCTGGCGAAGACGGGTTTACCGAGATGAGTCTCTCCAGCCTTCTTGGGGTTTGTACCGCCGACAACATTGGTTCCTATACAGGATTAATCTCATATCCCCCCGTCGTATCTGAGCTGCGTAAGGGCAGAAGAGTGTTTACCGTAGTCAATGGCTTGCTGGGCGTGGAAACTAAGAGCATCGAAAACGACAACGTCAGCTAGCTGTATACATCTCATAACACCGATAGATCAGCTCAATTGCAACTTACGTTCCCTGCTTTCCTGTGAATCCTTGGAAAATGACCTTGGTGTCTCCGTTGATGCGGAGGTTCTTTACTGTCGAGGCATAGCCCGTAAGGCCTGCGTACCCGCGTCGCTGGACACGGGCGGCATTCTGCAATGCAGAGACAGTGGAACGTCTGAAGGACTGCATATCTGAAAAATTGCGACAAGCAGCAGCCTGTGTGAGTAGAGAAAGGGGTGCTGGAGGAAAAGCAGAGCGAGATAGATGTGCTGGTTGGAGGTCGAACTGGAGAGAGTCGGAAGTTGACGATGTTTTTTTACAGTTTCAGTTTTCGCATCGTGGCTTCCGGACCATACAAATTAAAAACTGACCCCATGCTCCGACACATCTACAGTCCACCACGAACATACCTGAGACGAGTACGCAGTGCGCAGTACGCAATAGACGCGCATATACGGAGTAGGCTGGGCTGATATCTATTTCGAAGAACTCGTTTACCATACCAGCTATCCGCCATGGCGACGAAGACGATGACTATGCCGAAGCACAAGCTGCCCAAGAACCTCAAGCTGCCGCCAGAGAACGAGAGATATATGAGAGCCTGCTCTGATATAGCAAATGCGCTGATCCAGGACTATGAAGCGCAGCGGGACGACAAGAAGTCGAAGAAAGATATCAACTTGAACAAGCTGCGGGGCACGATCGCGAAGAAACACTACCTGAGCAATCTACCGCCGCTGACTGCTATCATCGCCGCTGTTCCAGAGCATTATAAGAAGTATATCCTTCCGAAGCTGATTGCAAAACCGATCAGTGAGTGGGAAACGCCGTCTTATACCCGTGTGGCGAGTTGTGCGCTGACCTTTTTTCTCTGTATAGGAACATCCTCTGGAATCGCTGTCGTTGCGGTGATGTGCAAGCCTCATCGTTGTCCGCACATTGCGTATACAGGCAATATCTGTGTTTACTGTCCAGGTGGGCCGGACTCGGATTTTGAATACTCTACACAGTCCTATACCGGGTACGAGCCAACGTCGATGCGAGCCATCCGAGCCCGATATGACCCGTTCGAACAAGCGCGAGGTCGCGTCGACCAGATTAAATCTCTGGGTCACAGCGTGGATAAGGTGGAATACATTATCATGGGTGGTACTTTCATGTCCTTGCCCGAGGAATACAGAGAAACATTTATATCACAGCTACATAACGCTCTGAGCGGCTACCAGACGGATAATGTCGACGAGGCCGTGCAAGCCGGAGAAATGAGCAATATTAAATGTGTGGGAATCACGATCGAGACCCGACCAGATTACTGTCTTGACACCCATCTCAGCAGCATGCTTAGATACGGCTGTACCAGATTAGAAATTGGAGTGCAGAGTCTTTACGAAGATGTGGCGCGAGATACCAACAGAGGACACACTGTAGCTGCTGTGGCAGAAACGTTCAAGCTGTCAAAGGACGCAGGGTTTAAAGTGGTCAGCCATATGATGCCCGATCTTCCAAACGTTGGAATGGAGAGAGACCTTTTCCAGTTCCAGGAATACTTCGAGAACCCAGACTTCCGAACCGATGGCTTAAAAATATACCCAACCCTTGTTATTCGTGGAACAGGTCTTTATGAACTCTGGAGAACTGGTCGTTACAAGAACTATACTCCAAACGCTTTAATTGATATCGTCGCTAGAATCCTCGCCCTCGTTCCTCCATGGACCAGAATTTACCGTGTGCAAAGAGATATTCCCATGCCTCTTGTCACATCTGGTGTGGAGAATGGAAATCTTCGCGAACTCGCACTCAGCCGAATGAAAGACTTTGGCACAACCTGCCGTGACGTGCGTACTCGAGAAGTCGGCATCAACGAAGTGAAGAATAAAATCCGACCGAACCAGGTTGAACTTGTCCGACGTGACTATGCGGCGAACGGGGGATGGGAGACCTTCCTTGCATACGAGGATCCCAAGCAAGATATCCTTATCGGCCTCCTTCGACTACGAAAGTGCAGCTCTACGCACACCTTCCGCCCTGAACTCACCGGCCAGCAAACTAGTTTGGTTCGAGAACTACATGTGTACGGCTCTGCGGTGCCAGTTCACGGCCGTGACCCTCGCAAATTCCAGCATCGTGGATTTGGAACATTGTTGATGGAGGAAGCTGAGCGGATAGCTCGCGAGGAGCACGGAAGTCGTAAGATCAGTGTCATCTCTGGAGTTGGCGTGCGGAGCTATTATGCTAAATTGGGATATTACCTTGACGGAGTCTATATGAGCAAAATGCTTGATCCCCTTGATGATACCGAGGACTCCGACTAGGCTACGTTCTATGCCATTGATATTCTTCGCTGTTTAGAGAAAAGTTGGTGGTGGTCATGCTATGTTAAGAATGAATGATGCTTAGGTGTTTTGGATGCATGGTAACTGATGCATGGTCTGGCGCACGGAGGCAGGCAGCTACTGGGAGGATATCTATTTTCTGAATTTAAAAGTGCCTTTCCACATTTCTAGACGGTTATACCAAGGGTCTTCTGTTAAAATATTTACTGTTGTCATTGAATTCGTATAATATGATTTCAGATTTTTATAGACATCTTTATACAGGAAGCAATACTACCAACTAGTATCAAAGATCCAACTTGAAGATGACATTATTTGACCTAAACTATAGACTATTCTAATCCCCTGTAAACATAAAATACCACATGGCCGAAGATATAAAGTAAAGCATCCTCCAAACATCGGGTAAATAACCAATAAAATGCATATTATACTCCGAAAGGAAATTAATTAGACGGATCTAGAACATATACAGCAAATATACATTTGACAAAGATGGCCGTGCTCTAACTGTAACACTCTGCACGACAAGATATGGTAGGTGTAAGTCATCTTCCCATCTTCTCCGTCCCCAGCTCGACACAACGTAGCACCATAGCTATCCAAAAGCTACCGAATCAATAACTCGTCTTTCATAGAAACAGAGGATATCAAATAATAAACAATCCCCTTAAGCTAGCCAGCCTTATGATATAACGAAACAATGTTGTAGATAAAAAGAAATAATGGATGGATGTTTGCGGAGATTAATTCAACGATATCGCTCCTCGCTGACTTGATCGCATGTGTAGGAAGGCCTGGAAGCCGCAGAAGACGGCGAAACACTAATATAAGAATGAATTAGTTCCAATTTCTGTTTATAACGCTCTCGGCCGCGTAGGGTAATATCCTCTGGATATCGAATAGCTCCATGGTACGAGGTAAGGTAGGTAAGGCAGGAACATACAGCATAGATGATGACAGCGGTGAATATCGAGGCTGCAACGGCTGCGGGATGCTCGGCATCTTTCTTAGAGCCAGTCATGGAGTGATGGTTGCTCTGAGACGAGTAATTCAACATGTTAGCCTATCTGAAGATGCGATTCAACCTGATCGCGCGCAGAGGAACCCGGGAGACACGCACTTTGAAGAGAGCTCCGATGACCGAGAGGATGACGACTGCGAATATGGATATAACGCAGCTAGAATCGACAAGTAGAGTCCATGGTTAACGATAGCGTCTTCGAAGGGACCAGGCAGCTCTTACCAGCTCCACGCATTCATGGCAGACACGACGGGCTTCATGGCGGCTAGAGGTCGTCGCGGGGACGAAGAACGACTATCGAGGAGGGATAACAAGAGATCGACGAGGATAGAATCTGTAGCTTTAACCAGAAAGCTGAGATGCGAGCTGTGGTGGGTTCGGTGGTGGAATTGTCTATCGTCAAGGACGTTCTTCGATGTTGCGTCAGTGAAGTTTCCCTCGCCACAGCCAAGCGCAGCCCTTTTTCTCTTCTTCTGCACAGCTCGAACAAAACACCAACGACATGGACGATAGACCTCGACTGTCCTCTACTCTACAGCATTTACTCTCGCATACTGATCAACTGATTGTTAACTGATGATCAACTGATCTATTGTTATATCAAGACTACTCAAAAACAGCTGTATCAGGCCTCGCTCGTCCTGTTCCACTCTATACACTGCTCGAAAGTGACACCAGAACCCCCAAAGATATCCAGGGCGCTCCCAATCGTGAGATCGACCTTCCCTCCGCTGCTTTCCTTGACCCGCTCAAGGTCTGATAGCCCTCGTCCACCGCCAGCATACGTAACCGGAATGCTGCACCACTCCGCGAGCCTCGACACCAGCTCCTCGTCAATACCCTGCTGCAGCCCCTCGACGTCGGCTGCGTGGATGAGGAACTCAGAACAGTACGGCTCGAGCATCTGGATGGATTCTACAACGGACAGACAGACAGGTCAGAATGGAATTCGTCATTTGGGGCAGAAGCGGATGCACCAGGGGCTTCTGGGGTGTCGATCACACATACCTTGGGTTATCTCCATGTCAGTAATTGTCTGCCACCTGTCCATGGCGACAAACCAGGTGTTCCCCCGTTTTCGGCAACTCAAGTCCAAAACCAGCCTTGACTTGTCGTCGCCAATCGCCGCAAGAATCGACCGTAGCCTGTCGATTGAGAACCGCGCTTCTGGAAATAGGTAAGACGTAACAACCACCTACTATTCTTTAGACCCGTTTTCTTGCAAGGCCGCTTGACACACGAATAGCCCGTGGCCATGACGGGAGTAAAGCCAAAAGGGTCTGGGATGCGTTTCACTGCTCACTTTTTCGGCTCCAGCATCCAACCAGTACTGCGCATTCTTATCTGTAATCCCGCCAGCGACATGTAGACCGTCAGGCCATGCCTTCAGTGCTTCAAGGGCAGCATCATCGTTCCCCGGACCCAGTTTCACGACGTGGCCACCCGTTAGCCCGCTATTTCTGTATAGCTTTGCGAAGTGGCCAGCGGAGTGCTGGGAGACAAAGTTGGTCTTTAGCTCTCCAGGCTCAGTGGTCAAGGTGCCGCCGACTATCTGCTTGACCTGGCCCGCGTGCAAGTCGATACAAGGACGAAACCGTGTCATATCGCGCGGCCGTCGAGGTGAAACCGCCTGTCTTAGTTGTTTGTTCTTCCCCAACCCCGCGATTTTCTCGCTCTCTCCATGGATCTATATTAAATAGGTCGATATAAAAAGCTATTGGTCACGTGGTTATGAGGGCCAAAAAAGGTTTCCCGAGGTTGGAAAAAAAGATGGAAAGACATCAACGACGCCGGTATCTGTGAGCAGCCAGGGAAACATGCTGGGAAAAAGGAAGAGGGAGGTTACTGTGGCCTCTAGAGGTAGGGTAGAGGTCGACGAGAGCGAGACTACGCGTGATACATCAGCACAGGATGCGCAAGAACGCCTTCGGAAATATTTTGAGTCCCGTTTCGAGCCACTAGATTTGCCCGGGCCGAACCCAGGGGCTGCCTCAGACGTGTCTGGCGGTACGGATGATACAGATGTCAGTGAGGAAGCTGACTGGGGTGGAATTGAGGACGATGAAGAGGAGGAGGACGAAGATGAAGATGAAGACGACGATGAAGATGGAGACAGCGAGCCAGCTCCAGAAGTTGTGGACTACAGCACGACACCAAAACATAAGATGGAGATAGTTGATAAGGCTGCCCTCAGGAAGTTCATGGTGAGCTACGCAGCTTCACATGGTCAATGCCACATAGCTAACGCTGAACAGAGTGCCAAACCTCCGTCCTTGTCAGACTCTACCAAGCCCTTGAGGAAGAAGACCAAAGGTGGAGCAGAAGCTGCCGACGCCGACCAGACGACAGACGCAGCGAACCTGAAGAACGACCTAGCTCTACAGCGTCTGCTAAAGGAATCCCATCTCCTCGACTCGGCATCTGACCTCAATCCCACGGGTGTCAATCGTCATAAGGCGATTGATCTTCGTGCGCAAACCGCTGGTGCAAAAACGTCAATCTACACCCAGAAGAGTATGCCGATGTCCCACCGGAAGGGGATTTCCGCGAAAGCTACACAGAAAGAAGAGACACGACGGCGTGAGGCGCAGGAAAATGGAATCATTCTAGAGCGCCCTTCGCTTGCAAAGTCTAAGCCAGCTGTCAAAAGGCGAGAGCGCGGAGTCGGTGGCCCATCGGTTGGCAAGTTCGTTGGCGGGACTTTGAAACTCAGTCGTCGGGATGTTATGGCGATTCAAGGCCCGAAGACGGGCAGACGGGGAGCTAAGGGAGCTGGAAGGGGAAGGGGGAAACGCCGCTAGATCGGGAGAGATAAGGGAGAATACTGGACAGGATCTGCCTCCCATTTGGCATCTTGCATTCTCCGTAATGCAAGGAGCACGGTGGCAGATGGACGGAATTTCCTGCCTAGCGGTCCTCCTGATCCCGTATTCTTCGGCAAAAGTACGGCGTGTGCACTCGGTAAATAAAGTATATTCTTCCTCCTCCAAGATATTTGCTGTCTATCAAAACCAAGCTTGTCAAAAAGGCAAGCGATTTACAAGACAGGGGCACTGTTTCACAGCGAGGCCCGTTGTGGAGGCCACGTTCCTAGGCGTCAGGTGAACTTTAACAACTTTCTTTCCACGCCTTCTCTCTGCCTTCTATCCCGCCCTATCCATATATCCTTTTTAGGGCTGGGTTTTTTTTGGAAGCTATGGCCCACACTAAATATCGCACTTGCGAGGGATGAAACCGTTCCTGAAGCAGGTCTTGACAGCAATCTAGGATGCCACGAAACATTGGCAACCCCATACACACTGCCCAATGCAGTGCATTGCAGTGCGGTGCAGTGCATTCCGGCGCACTGTGGAAAAGTGAGATCAGATCAAAAAGTGAAATCAGATCAGACAAGCAATTGAGGGCCCGCCAGAACCGGGTATAGAGATTATCCAATTCCTGATTAGGCGGACGACAGGAACGTCATCTCGACCGCTGTTTGTCTGGACATACGGAGTAAAGGTCAATTAGGCGGAGGCAAATAATGCATCAATCAAGATACTATTACCTTGACAGGATGGAGATGCTAGAGCTCATAGCTCTTCCAATTGCCCACTTCCCCTGCATCGGTCTATCTGTATCTGTCTGCCTACCTATCCAACTATTTCCAATCAATCGGTGGAGCCAACCAGGCTGTCAGCTCGTTAGTGGCCCAACATGTTCGCATGTCCGCGTGTCCGCATGTTCGCATGGCATCCGCATGGCATCCAACAAACCCCCTACCCGATTTAGCGAAAGAGAAGCTCACGCGCACCGAGAAGAAGGAAAAAGGAAGCAAAAGGTCAATGTCAGCCGCATCGACGTATGTATGTATCTTGTTAGCTAGAATGTCGTTATCACGCCTTACCCGTTTTCGAAATCTCCTCCGATGCAGGCGGCCACGTTCAGCTAGAGGACGAACGATCGCCAGTTCATCGAAGCCGATTGAACGGCCCGAGTCCGCCAAGATGGCACCGCGATCATATCGTGATGGATCAATGGGCGCATTAGGACCAGTTCGGATAACAGCAAAAAGTATATTGGCGACAGAGTCGGTGTGGGCAAGCCGGTCAATATGGATGGTGCATAACCGCTAGGTTAGCTTGGGGTGATCCTCGTGTTGGATGGGGAGATAGAGGGGGGAAGAGGTTCGTCCGCCATCTGCAGGTAGCTGGCAACGGGCGATCTGGGGAGGCAATCCGCCGAATCGGTCAGCTATATACGCCGGTTACTATCCAGAAACAGCAAAGAGCCAAAATCCAACAAGAGCTATGTTTGAGATGCTGCATCCTTCGCACCAACGAGTCGGTAGACGTCATGTTATACGGAGTACATGATTAGACTACCTGACTCGAAAGTAAATTTTACGATCCAGGTTCTCCGTACGGAAAAATGGGAGAATGGAAATCCATATTTGTTGGCTCCATCCAAGCTGATCATCAGCCTACACTCGCGTGCAATAGTTCAGCCAGAAATAAATTTCAGTCGCAATAGTCCATATCGAGATGTGGAGAAGTCATGGAATGCCCGAAGAAGGTGGCTAGCTGCCGGGGCACAAGAAGTACGATGACCGTTTGGGTCGATCCCGATAGCTGCATGTCAAGCTGGTCGAGCTGGTCAAGATGGTCAAGATGGCTGGAGTGGTTGGCTTCAGGGCAGGCTATTCGCCTCTGGGTTCCCTGCTCTAGCTTTCCCTGGCTAGCTTGCTCTAGCTCTAGTCGCTTTTTTCTGAAGCATCCTCGCCTGCTTCTGAGCATCTCCGAAGCGAATTTTCGGAGTTGGCTGCGTGTTTCAGAACCGCGTGTTCCAGACCTCTAGCTACCTGCTTACCATACGGACCAGCGACTGCGTGACATCACGGCGTAATGTATACGTGCAGGGAGCATGGTGATTAATCAGATGGACGAGATCTACTCCGGCTTTGCAGCGTACGGTCAACGGTCTATTACGGTCTAAACGGCCTAATGTGCGTGAATCCCGGTCGTGTGATGTGTAAATGTGATATCGAGTACATGTCCGGGTATGGTAATCTACGGTGTGCTACATTCAATGGACGATATAAAATCGAATCAAAACAGAATCAAAACCAAATCGAATCGACTCGGACCCCAGAAAAGGAGCAGATTTTTCGATCTTGTTCTTTCCTCCTATGGAACATTGGAACCAGCGCGATCTGCTCTCCACCTGTGGCGTTCCCGAGAACCAGAGCCAGAGTTCCTTTTTGGCGGCGTGATGCAAGGAAGACCCTGTCAGTCTGTGAGAGAGAGGGGACCCGTCAGTTAAACTAGTTACCCTCGCTACCATCACGCCATGGCTACATCGGAGGCTTCCGTCATGGCTAGCTTACCGTCGTTCTCGTCGATGAGAGCATAGCTTTATGTTCGAGGAAAGGATGTACGAGAATGGATGTACGAACGCCTCGTTCCCACCACCAGGTACGATATAAATAACCTTTCAACAAAAGGAAAAAGGGGGCCGTAGGGTGGTAACCGTTGCCCAATCGAGCTTTAAGCGCTGAACGAAGAGAATCGGAATAGGGATATGTCTCCACCGAGCTGACTGGCATTGAAGAATCGGAGCAAAAAAGAAAAGAAAAGAAAGAGAGTTACAGTAGAATGCCGGCGCCAACGCTGTCGTTCTTCACGGCGCCTGAAGATAAGAAGAAAAGAAAAAGAAGGCTGTTCTAAATATGGACCGACGTTTTCTTTGATGCATATTCTGCACATCGGCGGCGTTCAATGATGTCGTCCATCCGGCATCAGCAGCAGCAGCAGCAGCAGCAGTATCGGCGTCAGCAACGTCGGCATATCATATCTGATATCCTAAATATAGCGCTACCTTAAACCGTCCTCGAGCAGCGCTTCGCGACATGTATCTCGCTGCCCAGCCATCCCTGCCCTGCATTATATGTCATACGGCCTTGAAACGAGAGGAGAAGCGTGAGTGGAGGAGGATCGCATCCCGGTCGCCCCCTGCACATCAAGTCCGCAGGAGACCTGAAACACCCAGTCTTATTAGGTCCCACTGGCGTCAGTTTGATGCCCACCAGCGCACCGCCAGCCAGCAGGTCGCCATCGCATGCCATTGGCAGAGGACGGCGAAGGACATCCTGGATGCGCTTGTTCGAGGCCGCGAGCACCTTGCTTTTGACCTTGCCGTCGCTATCTGGCCGTATCTTCGTTACGACATTACAGCGACCCTCAGGGGGCAAGGCCGAGGACTCCGAGCCTGTGCAGCGGTAAAACACTGACAGTACGGGCGGTACGCACGGCTCGCAGGATAGGTACCTCGCTTTTTGCGGAGAACAGGGCGAGAACAGAAGTACCTCTCCCTCTCCTCCACCCTTCTTCGTCCGCTCTCTCCCTTCTTCTTCATCTACATCTTCTTCCCCCCTCCCGTTGCGATCGATCGCTTTCTTTCTTTCTTTCTGTCTCTCACTCTTTCATTCCGCTCACTCGTCGGATCACTCGCATCTCGCATCTCGCATCTCACATCTCTACCCTCTACATATACTCTCCCTCTCGCTCGTCCTCGACTCGACTGCTCTTGGGCTGGCCCATCTCGTCGTCTCATCTCTCGTCTCATCCTCGTAACGGTTCTCTCACAGAGCTCTTCCTATTGCAAGGCTGAAGGCTGGGCCTTCTCTGCATCTCTCTTACTGCTGAAACCGCCCCGGAGTACCCCCTTGAGAGTACGCTGCACCGCACCGTGTCAAAGCCTTTCTCTTCGCCCGTTGGCTCTCCATCTGTCTTCATCCGTTTCGCATCGTCGATCTGTCTATTGTACTGCTTAATTTCGCGACTTGATATTGCGTGCGACTGGTGTTTGATCAGGTTAGTCGATATCATCTGTTTAAGACGGTGACGACGCAAATAGCGGTCGCGGTGGTGGCCGTGGTGGTGGTTGGCGCTTAATGCTAATATTCGTCTACAGTCACCATGTATCCCCATGGCGCGCCCATGCCGCCTCCCCAGAAGCCAGAGACCTTCATGCTATCAAACGAGGCCCAGCAGAGTCTCCCACAAGACGTACAAGTTGCTCTACAGCAAGTCGATAACCGTATGTCTCGTCATTTTCTGTACGTTAACGGTCAGCGCTAACAGTTTTGAACAGTGAAATATTTCCTCATCTCTGCTCCGGTAGACTGGACGCCAGACCAGCTTATCAGACGATTCTTGCTTCCCACCGGCGACTATGTCTCGTGTGTTCTATGGTACGTAATGTTGCTCATTCCCGCCGGACCAGTGGTTAACAGTACCGTAGGAACAACCTCTTCCACATCTCCGGCACCGACATTGTTCGATGTCTCTCCTTTCGTTTCCAGGCATTCGGACGGCCGGTGAAGAACACGAAGAAATTCGAAGAAGGTATCTTCTCCGACCTGCGCAACCTCAAAGCTGGCACCGATGCCTCGCTCGAGGAGCCAAAGAGCCCATTCTTGGACTTCCTCTACAAGAACAACTGCATTCGCACACAGAAGAAACAAAAGGTCTTCTACTGGTACAGCGTGCCTCACGATCGCTTGTTTCTCGACGCTCTCGAGCGGGACTTGAAGCGAGAAAAGATGGGCCAGGAAGCCACCACCGTGGCCGTGAATGAGCCGGCTCTTTCGTTCGAGTTCGACTCGTCCCAGTCGCTCTACGAGCAGTTGACAAAGGCCCAGCAGGCAAACTCTTCATCCTTCTCCGCCGCTCATGTCTCATCCGCCTTCACATCATCTCACTCTGCCTCGCCCATGCCACGAGCTACCGATTCGATGCCACCACCGCAAATGGCGCCTCCCTCCATGCCAATCGTTCACGAAGAACAACAGACCAACCACTCGATGTACCAGCATTCTGTCAACGTCGGTAACGAGCACATGAACGGCCACATGGTCAAGGCTGAGGCAGACTATCAACACTTCCAATATGATCGCAACGGCGTCCCTGTTTCTAAAGTACACCAGCGCCACACCTCCATGCCAACCTACATGGAATACTCGCCAGCACCTTCGTTCGTCTCTTCTCACTACGACGACTACGCCAACCGCGGTATCTCGTTCGAGCCTCTAACTCCTCCACAACACACAATGCATCTCGGCTCGGAACCAGCATACATCGCCAACGAGGATACTGGCCTCTACACTGCCATCCCAGACATCGGATCCGCCTCCTCCTTCAACCCGATGATGCAACTACCTCCCTCCAACGTTGCCGCACCTCACTACTCTACTGCCTCGAGAAGCTTCCCTTCTTCCAGCGTGTATTCCGTCATCGAAGGCTCGCCAACCTACAAGCAGCGTAGACGCCGCTCATCCATCCCACCAAGCGTCACCAACGCCATCGCAACGGCCACCAACAACCTACACGCACACGCACATCCTCAGGAAATGCACCAGCCACAGATGCCTGTCCAACCACACGCAGTTCACAGACCGAGCGATCTCCGCCGCTCTATGTCTACCTCTGTTGCCCTGGAGGGCGATCTACCACACGAAGACTCTCCTCCTCGAGCCATGTACTCTCAGGGTAGCGTCCACCACTCCCGCACCAGCACTCCTCTACCTAGCCTAGAAGAAAACCCTGCACAAACCTCTGTTTCCATGTCAATGGGTGAGGCAACTGTCTCTTCGCTGTCAAATATGGAGGCTCTCGATGGCGTAGAGGCCATGCATATGATGAACGGCCACCAGGGCGAGAGGCCCGGGCCCATTCGTCGCGCCAGAAGTGCCACATTGATGGAGTTGGGACCATACCCACAGAAGTCGCATTCTTGCCCTATCCCATCTTGTGGACGTCTCTTCAAGCGTCTAGAGCATTTAAAGAGGTAAGCCTAGCCTTGGTACACTTTCATCCCATCTTCAACACGACTAACTTTTTCATAGACACGTAAGAACACATACACAGGAACGTCCATACACCTGCCCATATTGCAACAAGGCCTTTTCTCGATCCGACAACCTCGCACAGTATGCATTTGTCTCCACCCATCTTACGCTTTAATCATAAACTAACCTACTTTACAGACATCGCCGTGTACATGAAACCCAACAGTCTTCCGCTACCGGCTCCCAGCCTCCCAGCTTCAAGGAAGACGAGCACCTCGACAATGAGCGTGAACAATCCGTTGCCGCAAGCCATCACGAACAGCAGCAGGCCCAGCAACAGCAACAGCAGCAGCAGCAGCAGCAGCAAGTGCCCACCTCCAATGCAAACTACCTCCCTACCACGGTCGTCAATATGACCAATGTCACATCCATGCACTCCATGAGCACCCACGCCAACCTACCGTCCATGGTAGCACCCCAGATGATTCAACCCCAAATGATCCAGCCACAGATGCTACAACAGCAGATGTAAACCCTCTGTTTTCTCTTTATTCCATTTACATAAAGTTCATTAGATTACGAAAATACGCCCATCAGCCTCTGCTTTTCTTCATTGGGAGAACCACCTCTGCGTTTGTTTTGGTTTTGGCCCCGCGAAAATTTTCGTTGGGTACGCCGTGCTATACCATGGTTTATATATATATTGGGGTATGCAGGCTCTCTCTCCCCGGCGAGATTTTGAACCTCGCTATAGCGACAGACAGACAGGTGCTCTCTATGATATAACCCATCATGATTTTGTCCTATCTATCTTATGTTGCAACGTATATTTTTTTGGTTGGATTTGCCTTGTTTCCTGGTTTCCTGTTTCTTTTTTTTCTCCCGTTCTGTTTTAAATGTTACAGTCTTACATGCGCAGAACCCCTACTTGTTCCCGGACTGAACACCAGGGGCTCTTCCGCCTAGCCTTTTAATAATGTCTTTTTTTTTTCACTCATACTTTCATATCTCTCCGGTTCCTATTCATTTCCTACCCTGTCCTATGCATATGGTGTATAATCTCACCGGATTTCCACTCGAGTAAGGAGAACTTTGAATATTTGGCATTTCTGCAATTGCGTTTTAAAAAAGAAGAAACATACAAAAAAAACGGGGATGAGAGGACAAGGAAAGAAAAGAAAAACGTCTGTTTTTGGTTGTTTTCCCTATTGGAGGATGAGAGATGACTTGTTGGAGAATTATGGGACATGTTTGATTTTCAGCTTCTCGTCTTATCCTGCTTGTCCCTTCTTCTTTTTTAATATGTCTTTTTCTTTTTTTGTTTTTGTTCTTGTGCTTTTTAACTTAGACCTATCTATTTATCTTCTCATCTCTCTGGTTCATCACTCTCCTTTTCTTTTCCTATCTCTTCTTTGCTTCGTCTTTTCAGTGTTGATATTCACTATCCCAAGCCTTGGGCTCTGTTACCTTTCCTTTGTTCGTCTTGTCGGGTATATTGATTATATCGACTCCCTCGCCCTAGGCTGGTTTATCGCTTCATGACTGATGGTGGAAGATATAGATCTCTGTCTCTATAGGAATGAATTATTGAAACTACTATCTTGTATCTTCATCTCAGGCTGTATCGTAGCTCTCTCTAGCTTCAACGGGACAATTTACTCCCTGTCGAGCTATCCCTGTAGCTCCACTGACCAAATTAACGAGATACGCATCATCATTCTTCCTGTCGTCGGTTATACCGTCATCTCGCTAGCATTCCACGTAATTTCTGTGTCGTATTCGAAATCTAGACCAACTGCTACAATCTTGGACCTTCGACATGAACATGCCGTACCCTGCAGAGACATCCCATCGGCATACCCGATATCAAACCGCCAACCACCCCCGTTAACTGCTCTCACAACAGCAGCTATCGGGATGTTCAAGTTGTGCGTTGTACCTATTTTAGGCTTCGCAGATGACGCAGGGCGACTCCAAGCCTTCTAGCAGGCTGGGGAAGTTTAGATAACTAGGTTACGCCCATCTCACCATCCAAAGCGCACACGACACACGCCTCATGACCCTGACACGCAGCGTTCACGGCGAAGACTGGTAGATGAACGGATGGGGATGCACCAGACGGTCTATGGCTTGATATACGGCTGTTTTTTACGGGCGACCATCTATTCCTTGTCCTTACGCACCTCGCACGCCGGAGCTTGACCTGCCCTTGCTCTCGAACTGATCTTGAATATCTCGTTTGATCGCGCGTATTTCTACTTCCTCTCTCTTTCAAAGTACTGCTACATGTGTCCTTCCTTGAGGCTCAACCCAGCCAGCTAGTTTGATACCCCTTTTGCGGCGTTTGCCATCGATCAAGCTAGCCTCGTCTCATCTCACGTCGATTCCAATGTCGTACTCGCCTCACAGAGAAAATGATAGCACGTCTCCTCTCCTAGCTGAAGCCCCGAGGCAGTCTGGAGAGATATGGGACGATGCAGCCGCCGTGGCCAAGCAGGCGGAGAAGGAAGGGGGGTCGAAGAGTAGTTGGTATCTGTTTCTGTTGGCGCTCGGTATTGGAGGGTAAGCATTTCTTTATATCTCTACTATTCTGTAATAGAGGCTAATATTTATATAGGTTACAGATCGTGTGGTCGGTTGAATTGTCGAATGGATCCGTAAGTATCTATCGTCTAACGTTCTCCAATCTATGTTAGCTGTGCTAAACAAACATGGTAGCCATATTTACTCTCCCTTGGCATGAATAAGTCTCTGCTTGCGTTTGTATGGATTGCTGGGCCTTTGACTGGGACCCTGGTGCAGCCGTATGTAGGAATCCGAAGTGACAACTGTCGGCTTAGCTGGGGGAAGCGGAAGCCGTTTATGATCGGAGGCGGCATTGCTACAGTTATCTCCTTGCTGGCACTGGCCTGGGTACGGGAGATGGTTGGTGGAACACTATCGTTCTTTGGAGCAGACACTGCATCGTCTGGTGTGAAGGTAACAATAATCGTGGTGGCGACTATACTGATGTATTGTCTTGATTTTTCCATCAACACCGGTGCGTATCTACACTTCACCTTTAGGCTCTTGTCAATGCTAAAATGGAATACATATAGTACAAGCGGCAATTCGTGCCTTTATAGTCGATAATGCCCCTGCACACCAACAGGAAGCAGCAAACGCATGGGCAAGTCGACTCACTGGCATCGGAAACATAGTCGGCTATGTGTCCGGCTACATGGACCTGCCAAAAATTCTTCCATTTTTTGGAAATACCCAATTCAAAGTCCTATGCGTGATTGCATCCATTTGTCTGGGTGTCACACTCACGGCTAGTTGTCTGTATATTACAGAGCGAGACCCAAGACTAGAAGGCCCGGCCCCAGCCGAAAACCCAGGTGTCATGGCATTTTTCGTCCAGGTTTTCAAGTCTATCCGAAGGCTGCCTCCACGGGTCAGAAAGGTGTGCGAGGTCCAGCTTTGGGCATGGGTGGGCTGGTTCCCGTTCCTGTTCTATTCCACTACATACATCGGACAGCTCTACGTCAACCCCATTTTTGATAAGCATCCCAATCTCTCCAAAGAGGAGATAGACGCCGCCTGGGAGGCGGCAACTAGAATAGGCACATTCGCACTTTTGATATATGCCCTTATGTCGTTTGCAGGAAGCATTCTTCTGCCCTTAATAATCGTCCCGACTTATCGACCAACCGTTAGCCCGCAAGACATATCTCCTCCCTCGAATCGGCCGTACTTGAGCAGCCGCCCGTCGACATCTACGCTCTCATTCACTGCATCCGCGGGGGCTGCTATTGAATCAGCTGCCATCGAGCCAGCCGGCTATCCTGGTAGGCTGGCCGAGGAGGGAAGGCTGTCGCCCATACTTTCTAAACTCCGAATCCCTGGCCTCACCCTCCGCAGGTTATGGCTCATCTCCCATATCCTGTTCGCACTGTGCATGTTTAGTACGTTTTTCGTGTCTTCCCCCGCAGCTGGGACAGCGGTGATTGCCATAGTTGGTTTGTCCTGGGCGCTCACCCTCTGGGCCCCGTTCGCTCTCATCTCCGCAGAAGTTGCGCAGCGTGACGCAGAACACAGACGGCTAAGACACTCGCTTCAACCTCGGACGGCCTCAGATCCTACTCCCATTGGCCCTCATCCACCCCCTTCCCATTTCAACGCTGAAAACCATGAAGGCGAAGCCGATGATGAGGCCTCTAGTGCTAGCGCACTAGACCATGCGGGAGATAAAGATGAAACAGTTGACCAAGCCGGGGTCATCCTGGGAATCCATAATGTTGCGATTTCGTTCCCGCAGATCGTATCGAGTCTGATCAGCAGCGCTATCTTCAAAGCCCTGCAAAAACCGCGGGGAGAGCCCTGGGACGATAGCGTTGGGTGGGTTCTTCGGTTTGGTGGATGTGCTGCTCTTGGAGCTGCATGGTTCACTAGCACAATGGGCGACGGAGTCGCCGAGGATGCTGAGAACGACGCTGTCTAGAGTATTTTTGTATTTTAATGTGACAATATCAAAGGAGGCTTCGTATTTTATATCTTCCTGCACCTAGCAAGGTCGATTGTTTCAATTTTATGCCTATGTAAATAGACGAAGGGATGTTGGGCAAGGAGTACTCCGTAGACTACTACACAGGCATCTTACCCTATCTTAGGACACTGGCTCGAAGTTGCCTCCTGATTTAGACTAGGACTGGTCTACATAGTGGGTGAGAATGCTGTGATATAGCCACTATATTCTTCCGCTTGACGAGTATGATCATGTTCCTATGTAGCTGTAGTAAGTGAGAGGAAGTTGATACTTTGAAAGAGGCTGAAGACAAAGATGAACTGGCTAACAAGGACAAGAGCAAAGAATGTCTATCTTATCCTCTAGAGCACTCCATCTTGCTGCCCATGTCCATAGTGACCGGGTACTCCCTATACACAGCCAGCAAAGTACCCGTGGTCATAGTTTGTGCCTTGCCCACTCTCACAGCTAAACACTCTTGTAATAGGAACCGTGTCTTTATATCATTCTTGAAGATAAAGGTGAAGTTGTTGAAGTTGAAGTTGTTAATGAAGATGAAGTTGAGATAGAAGAGGAACACGTGACTTGGGGTCAACTTGTTCGTTATGGAGCTGCCTCGGGGACGATTGGAGAAACATGTAAACACTCGATATCAAGAGCTTCTCCGCGCCCAGTAGCATCGTCTGCTATCTCGACAGCTACCGGTAGAGCTAGGCCCGGGGACTATGAGCGCGACCTGCCTTTCTGATCGACTTACCCAGTCGCGTCCGTACCCTCCGATCTGAAGTCTGGCCTGTCGCCATCACCAACCACCATGGCAACCAATTTTATAGGCGGCGTTATTTCAAAGGTTTTAAGTGAGCAGACTACCATTTGTGCTTCTTGCTATCTGGAACTTTGGAGAGAACCTTTGGCTGACTGTGTATTTCACTCCATAGGGCGAAGAGAAGATCAAGAGGATCCCGATGGTATGCAACTGAGCTAAAGAGCCACACTCCAGTCCAACCTAATAAGAAGCACTCTTGAACTTTTGCACTCTATAAAGTTGCGCCGAATTGGTCGAGCTATTCTGACATGTGTTATCGCAGACCCCCCCGAAGCTGGGGAACGGGAGTTCTGGACCTCCTGGGCTCTGTTCATCCTTATAATACTATTGATTACGGCCCTGTTCACTAGCTACTTGCTTAAACAGAAGCGCATTCAGGCAGTGCATGAAACGGTTTTATCTATATTTGGAGGTACGTTGTGGACTACCAACTTTTCGAAAACATTGGCGCTAACATTCTTCGATTTATAGGAATGGTTGTTGGGCTTATTATTAGATTTACGCCAGGAACGCTGATTCAGAAATCCGTCAGCTTCGATTACCAGTTCTTCTTCAACCTTCTCCTTCCACCTATTATATTGGCATCAGGATATGAGTTGCATCAGGTAAGTTTTTAGGAAGCCGGATCTCGCCCCTTCGAGGGCGTACCGTACGGGCTATAGAGGTGAGGAGTTACTGATTGGCTACTGTCTGGAAATGCAGGGCAACTTCTTCCGGAATATCGGGAGTATTCTTACCTTTGCGTTTGCGGGAACGTTCATCTCCGCTTTAGTCTTAGGACTCATCTTATACCTCTGGACACGGATTCCCCTCGAGGGACTAGATATTTCCTTCGTTGAAGCATTTTCCGTTGGGGCGACGCTTTCCGCTACCGATCCTGTCACCATTCTTGCAATATTCAACGTTTACAAGGTCGAGCCTAAACTATACACGGTCATCTTTGGAGAATCTATCTTAAACGATGCTATTGCTATTGTTTTGTTTGAGACGGCTCAGAGATACAAACCAGGCAGCGCAGCAGGATCTCTGACAGTGCTCAGTCTCTTCGAGGCTATCGGCATCTTCTTAATTGTGTTCTTTGGCAGCCTCTTTATTGGCGTGGTTGTTGGAATAGGCACTGCACTGGGCCTCAAATATACACACGTTCGCCGCGACCCTAAAATCGAGAGTTGTCTTATTCTCTTGATAGCTTACGCTTGCTATTTCTTCTCAACTGGAATTCACATGTCGGGTTCGTATCCCCGTCTTATTCTAAACTAGGTCGAATATGCTGACAGTCCCAATTAAGGTATTGTGTCATTGTTGTTCTGTGGAATGACGTTGAAACATTATGCCTATTACAATATGTCTCGCAGAACACAACTCACGACCAAGTACATCTTCCAGATTATGGCGCAGCTCTCAGAGAATTTCATATTCATCTATCTGGGCCTAGACTTGTTTACCGACGAAAACTTACAATTCAAACCTCTCTTTATTATGGTGTCGGTTGTGGGAATCTGCGTGGCTAGGTATCTATCTGTATTCCCACTATCCAAGGCCATCAACTGGGTCATTCGATATCGAGCTGCAAACAGAGGTAGGGACGTGGCAGATGAACTACCATACCCTTACCAAGCCATGCTTTTCTGGGCAGGGTTGCGAGGAGCGGTCGGTGTTGCTCTAGCTGCCGGGCTCGAGGGAACCAATGCTCCCGCTTTACGTGCAACCGTTCTAGTCGTTGTTGTCTTGACGGTCATTATATTCGGAGGCACAACTGCCCGAATGTTAGAAATCTTGGACATTCGCACCGGGGTCGTTGAAGAAATAGATTCAGACGATGAATTTGATATTGAAGTAACGAATGGTGGCACGTACTACAAACGATCTGGAACTGGAATGGGTCACACCCCACGCAGAAGTGACTTCCAGCTAGGCTCTGTTGATAGGGAAAACGATATCAACAGGACTAGTCATGGCTTCTCGAGCGGTAGCAATGGCCGACTCACCCCCCAGGCAGCTGAAGGCCCTGGCACTCTTGCGAGAAAGAAATCCTCGTATTCCAATCGGGATCGTACTCGATCGCGAGACGGAGCTTCGACACGAGAATTGCTCGGTCGAAGTGGAAGTGGTAGTGGCAGCAGTGTTGACCTGGATATTAGCCATGACAGGAGCCGTGCAGGACGAAGCAAAAGAGGCACGGGCGATGCGGGCATGAATATTGAAGACTTTGACCTAGAAGTTGATGCTGCGTTCTCTGACGACGATCTCCCTCCTGCTGCGTCTCAGGCACAACGTGCGAGTCGGGCAAACTCCCAACCCAGATCGCATGCTACGACCTCCGGCGACGGGACATATGCCAACACTACGCAAGGGGAATCATCCTCTTCATCCAGACCCATCACAGGTGCCACTGATGCATTCCGTGATTTATTAACTGGTAATCGTGACCATGCTACATGGTTCAAACACTTGGATGATGAATACATAAAACCAAAACTATTGCTCGACCAGGGCCCAGGATCTGGATCTGGATCCGGATCCGGGTCAGGACACAAGGGATCTGATGCTGTATGATTGTATATGGCAATTTTGTTACGACTTTGTTTTTTTTTTATACCTTCTCTATCTTTCTATCGTCCTTTTAGGTCTTGTACTTTAATTTTCATCCTACTGACCCTCTTTATTCTGATATTGATAGAGTTACATTATGTCCCTGCTACAGGGTTGCAAGGGCTAAGGATTTAGGATTAGGATTGTCCCTATGAGTGGGTTAATGGGACGGTACATATATTTCGTTGTCTTCTTACCCTTTTGGTAGCAACCTTATAGACAGTTTATAAACACTTTCTTATCCATTACAAACTCCCATCAACATTCCAGGCTAGTTTATAGGGATATAGCCTCTCTCCAATCAAAGGAATATTTCCTAATGTATTAATATATCAACTCATCCTGGAAACTCCACTGCATGTATCAGACAGGCCACAGGATAAATAAACCCAACTAAAACTACCTAGCTTAACAGCTAAAATGGGGCATAAGTAAGACAAAACGAATATACCTTAAAAGCACATGGGGGGTTCAAAAAGATGTAATCGGGGAGGGGAAAAAATACATATGTGAAACGAAATAATAAGGCAATTGAATCTGTTGGGGAAACCACTTTTTCGCGGGGTTTCTTTTAATTTAATCATCACCATCAATGAAACGGAGCCTTTCTTTGGCTGTCTTGGCTTTTTTGGAGGTGCCCTTTCCCGGTCCACGGCGGCGACCTCCTTTACCTGGTGGGCCTGCAGCAGGTGTCTCGATGTCTGCGGATAATGGAGTTGCGGTGCCGGAAGGTCTGGCGCTAAGATCTTCGAAGTGTCCTTCACCTATATTGTGTGGGCGGTTAGTATATTATTCTGTATGGGATAGATATAAAATATAGTGGTAATGCTTACCTTCGTGATACATATCATCCAATGTAACATCTCTCTTCTTCTTGGGGGCAGCCTTCTTTCCCTTCTTAGGTGCAGCAGCCGCCTCCTCTCCCTTGTCCATGGCTTCTTTCTCCTTTTGTTCAAGGATCTTTGCCTCATCATCATCTGCAAGCCACATGGCGATATCCTTGGTGCGGTTCTCGCGACTACGAGTGTTGAAGTCGACGCCACCGCCTGCACCGCCGGATATGACCACACGCTGCACCTCTTCTTTCTGTAGGGCTCGCTTACGAATTCGTTCTTCGATGGTTCCACGAGTGATTAAGCGGTAGACTGTGACCTGTCTGGTTTGACCGAGACGATGGGCTCGGTCCATAGCCTGAGAATCGATGGTTGGATTCCAGTCGGAGTCGTAGAAGATGACGGTATCGGCGGCTGTAAGGTTGATACCCAATCCACCGGCACGGGTGGAGAGAAGGAAGATGAATATGTCGGGTCGTTGTTGGAAATCCAAGACCGTATCACGACGGTCCTCGAGCTTGGTGCTACCGTCTAATCGACAGTACTTGTAGTTGCGGTAAGTGAGGTATTCTTCCATAAGATCGATCATGCGCGTCATCTGGAAATAGAGCAGTACACGATGGCCGCCGTTCTTCAGCTCTCGAAGGAGCTCGTCGAGTTTCGCCAGTTTGCCAGAGTCGGTGACAAATCGTCTCATCGATGGTACGGTGATGTTCGTGTATCCTCGTTTCGTGGAGCCAGGTGTCGGCAGCATCGGCGAATACGAGTAGGGCAGAGGGCTGACCTTGTTGTTCAGAATCTCCTCATCAAGGCCTCGACTTATCGTTCCAATCAAGGCCTGACGAGCCCGGACGTTGAAAAACGTATTCTCGATCTCCATGTTGGCCGACGGGGAGGAACAAGATATCATGATCGGAGGAGCTGTGGCGCACGTTCTACCGCATGGTTCGAAGCCGGAAATCCCTTCATTATCGATCACAGTCTGAGTAACGTTGAGCAGTTTGCGTAGATATCCGGATGAGCTAACTTCTGCCAACTCAGATAAATCATTGCGATCAACGATATTGAATAAAGAATGTGGGAGAAGCGTGTTTGCGTTCGTGGTATCATCGTCGTAAACGACTGAAAGTCGTGCCAGACGATTCTCACAGCCATGACGGTCTAATGCCCTCTCAAACACCCCCTTATATGACAACCTAGACGCCTCGCCTATCGATATGTCGGTAAACCTAAGCCAGGAAAAGGCTTGGTCGTCAGCCAGGCTCTCACGTATATTGTCTGGTGCCCAGACATTCATCATATGAGAAAGGTATTTATCCTCAAACCCAGCCCTGCTGTTGTCGGACCCGGGGATGTCAAGACGTCCCGTAGAACTGCATAGCATACGAGGTAGATCGTACTCCACCGAGCTGCGAGTTGTGTAGCAGACAACCGACGGTGCTCTCACGAAGGATGCCGACTCAGCGAAAGAACACATGGAATAAGGCGAAGAGGTATCAGCGCGCTCAAACAAGTCTGGATGATTGCAAACTTTCCGAAATTGCATGACCAAGTTCATCAACGTGGTGCTGTCGGCATCGTCCCCGATAGCAGCCTTTTCGATAAGATCGATAATGCTAACGCGATTTCGAAGGTTGGCGTAGTACGCCCGCTGTCGATAGGTAAGGTCACAGAAGACGTCCTTCTCGACCTTGTCACCGAGTTCCTTCTGGACATGCTTCTTTATACGTCGCAACATGAACGGCTTGAGAATCATATGTAGTCGCTTAAGCTGGTCTTCGTTCAGCTTGGTATTACTCTGAGCGTGACTTTCAATATCCTTGGAGAACCACTCGCTAAACTCGTCGTGTGAATCGAAGAGCGTCGGCATGATGAAATGCAGCAGAGCCCAAAGTTCTTGCATGTTATTCTGGATGGGCGTACCCGTGAGCAGCAGCCTGTTCCTGCAGTGGAAGCCAAGCAAGTTCTTCCATCGGGAACTCTGCGAAGATTTGATTGCCTGGGCCTCATCGAGAACCATATACTGCCATTTGACCTTTTGGAAATACTGGGCATCCAAGACCACCAGCTGATACGATGTCACTAGGACGTGAAACTCGGACTGCTTGGTATAAGTGATATGTTTGCGATCCCAGAATTTACGCAGCACCTTTCGATCCTTGGCCGAACCCCAGTATGGAAGGACTTTGATATCCGGGACGAATTTTGTGATTTCCTGCTGCCAGTTGTGAAGGGTCGAGGCTGGGGCGATGACGAGGAAGGGACCCCAGATATTGTGCACTTCAGCGAGGTAGGCCATGACAGAGATAGACTGTACTGTCTTTCCGAGACCCATCTCGTCAGCAAGGATACCGTTGATACCTTGCTCGTAAAGGTTGACCAGCCAGTTGAGACCCTTCAATTGATACTCCTTGAGCTGGCAGTTGAGCATCTTGGGCTGTGCAACCTCGACGTCACCCAAGCTTGTAGGGTTCTGGAAGTTCATTTCGCCTTCATCGAACGCGGCCATCTTGTTCTCCTGCTCGTTGAATGCCTTGGCGCGATCCTGGGCCTGTTTAACTGCATTCTGAGCGTTGGCCATGGCAGCCTCTCTCAGCACAGTATCATCCTCAGCATCGAAGTCGAGATCCTCAAAGTTGGTAACCTTTGCGCTAAGATCTCCCACATCGTCAGGCACGCCCAGCGAGTTTGCAGGCTCCTTTGCGGCTCCAGCCTTATCGTCGACGGGAGCAGCGGTCGTGTCTCCAGACTGTTCAGCTTCACTTGTCTTGATCTTGCGGCCGATGAAATGGGAGTACAGCTCAGTCTGGGAGATGAGGAAGTTGAGTTTGCGTTTCTGACGGTTGGCTTCACGGTCAGCGTCTGCCTTCCTGGCGAGTTCCAGTTCTTGTTTCTCTGCCATTCGGCGTAGATCACGCTCTTCACGCTCGTTTCGCTTCCAGAACGACATCATTTCGCGCATGGTTCGTTTAGCTCGGGCCTGTGTATCCTTTGTGCTGCGATTAGTGCGTTCTTGCCATTTCCTAGCTTGCTTGCTGGCGAGCTGTGCCGTTTTGCGCAGGTTCTCCTGTCGAGTATTAAGGGAGGCGGTCTTGATACGGGCAACCTTTGGAATGTCCTTGCGGGCCATATCTCTCCAGATCTGTTCGTATAGCTGAGTGTAGCCCTTGGTATCGAAAGTTGCAACAGGAGTAGGCGTAGGTTCCTTTGAACGAGCTGCCTTTGTCTCCTTTTTCAGAGTGGCCTTTCTCGAGCCGTCCTTGGGAGCGATGGGAACGGGCTCCTCGCCTTCCATGGCAGCATAGGCGGCCTCCGCGGCATCCTTTTCAGCCTGCTTCTGCTCCTTGGTTTTCTTTGGTCGTGTCGTCGCGCCACCCTTGGTCGGCTTCTTCTTATTAGGAGAGACTTTATCTCGGGTGTGGAATGAACCGGTGGTGCCGCCTTCGAGGTTGGGGGAGAGAGGAGCAACCTCGCTGATCTCCTGAGGAGCGGTCCCGGTCTCGAGCACCTGTTTTGTGTGTTTGATCTTCTTGCGTGACCGGGCGATCTCTCGCTGCAGTTTCTCCTTTTCGGCGTCGTCTTCCATCTTGCTGACCTTCTTCTGGGCGGCCTGGATCTTCTCCATCTCGGCACGAACGGTATTTTCACGTCGTCGTTTCCGTTGCATGTCCTTTTTGCGTTCCTTTTCGTCTATTATTTCTTTCTGCTGGACTTCCTCTATCACCTCGGCTTCGTGCAGACGGGCAAACCGTTCCGTACCAATGGTGGCCTGTTTTTCAAACACTCGCGCAAGTTTACCCAAAAAGTTCGTTCGACGCCGCTGGCACAGGTTAGCTATGAACAGACAATAGATGATATAATACATACCTTGCGCTTCTGGGTATCGAGGGCCTCTGCGTCCCGCGCACGTTTCCTGCCCTTGACGATGTATCGTTGCCAGTCGTCTTCGAACCCGGGAGCCTCGACATCACTCTTGTCCAGATTCTCCAAGCGTTCCATGGCGTTGGTGAGATTTGGGCTACTGAAGAGCTGTGCCGGGCGTGGTATTTTCGCAGGAGCCAGCGAAACCAGGGCAGGGGATTTCGCGGGACCCGCGCCATTCGCAACTGGTTTGGGCGCAATATCACTATAGGCAGAGTCGTAGTTGTGATGGCGGCGTCTCTTATCCGACTCCAGCACTCGAATTTCCGGTTTTGGCGCGGAGACAGACGTAGACACAGGCGTAGACACAGGTAGAGGCGGCTGTTCGCTGGCCTTGACCACGGGAGGGACAGAGGCCTTTCGCGGGCGCTCCTCGGCGGGTCCTGACAGGATACTGGCAAAGGACATTGGATCTGTAGCTCTGGCGGGTTTCTAGACGTTGTTAGTATATACACATTATCGAATACAGAACGCAGACTACACAGATAAAAAACAGCACCAGACTGACCGTTTCCTTAGGCGTGGTGGCTCTTTCCCGGGCCATGGGAGGCTGCGAGGCATACATGGCGCTTCCGGAGCGTGAATCGAGCGAGATATCAGGTTCGCGCTTTGGAGAATGCGAAACCGCCTCTCCGATGCTACCTGGACGCGTGTGGGAGGGAGTATGGTTGAACATGCCAGGCGGCGGCGAGTGAGCGGAATTCGACATCAGCGAGCCACCGTACGGCCGTGGCAGCGAGTATCCAGGCTGATTGGGGGCAGAGTGGCCGCCATGGTATGCCGGCGAAGGCTCCGCGCCGTTCAAAAGAGGCAGCGTAGTGTTCATGGGCGAGGTCGGGTGCGTGTAGTGCGGGCTCCTGTTGACGGAAGCATGGGATGGGAAGCTGGGAGGCGTATGAGGCGGATGCTGCTGCTGTTGCTGCTGCTGTTGTTGCTGTTGCTGCTGCTGCTGCTGTTGTTGTTGCTGCTGCTGCTGCTGGTAGGAGTCTGCGTAGGGACGGTCCCGCGACGGCGAGTACGAAACATAGCGAGGCTGCTGGGTGGGCGAGCGCGAGGAGTACGGGGGAGCTCCCGTCATGGCTGCTGGAGCTGCTGGAGGGCCAATTCAGGCCTCCGGAGTGCTCTGAGCTGGCGAAGGGTTCAGAGGACACGCTCCATGGGCCGGTATACGGGCAGGTCGCGGCGAACTAGAGGAACGGGGAGGGCAGACGGTGCAGGAGACGCGGCGGGCAATGCGGCAGCGCGGCGAGGAGAGATGGCAGAGGCGTATACGGGCGGTCGATGGATATGGATGCTGGAGGGCGTTGAGCAGGGCGAGCAGGCGAGCAGGAGAAGTGAAGGTGAAAAGGCTGCTTCAGGACGCTATTTCTTGTATCTCATCTATGCACGTGACTCTATAGAGAGATGATACTGAGAAGAGATGATGAGAAAAGAAGATGAAGACAAGAAGGAAAGACAAGACGGAGAAGATAAGATGACACTAAGAGGAGAAGAGAAGATGAAGAAGAGAAGAGATGATACGAAAAGACAAGATGGAGAGATGAAGAGATGAAGAAGGACTCCTGCCTACGTGATTACTGACTAGACAAAGCAGAACAAACAGACAGACACCTACAGACATACACATTCCAGTCCATAGACTACAGACAGAGACTTCATAGACTTCATACAGACTATACAGACAGAGACAGAGACTTCATAGACTCCAGACTCCAGACTATGCAGACTCATGGGTGAAGACTTGATATCTCCAGCCAGCCACGATCTCCGACCAGACTGATCTCCTGCACCAACTCATCCAGCTGTATCGAACTTATACGATGATGATCCAGCCGATCCCTGATCCCAATCGCATACACCGCGACAGACAATCCAACTCGCTACTTATACTACTTACTACTTATAAGGAGTACTCTACTTGTACTCTACTTATACTCTAGTATGTCAACTCTAGTATCCTTCTCTCTCTCTCTCCTACTCACTATCACTCCTACTCTCTGACTATTTCTCTATAACCACCCACCCTCTCCCCTCTACTCACCTACTCTCCTCTCCTCTCCTCCTCTACTCTCTTACATCTATCTCCTATATCTTTTATATATTTTATATCATATATGTTATATTCATCTTTTTCTACGTCGCGATAGAGTGTTGGCTTACTCAGCAGTCACATGCCCTCAGCCAATCAGAGGCCGCTTATTCATAGAAAAGCCAAATCACGGGGATTTCTCGGTCAAAAAGCAGCCGCAAAAGGGAAAAAGGAAGAAAAGGATCAAAGACGAACACACGATCACTACACACACTACACACTACACTGCACTTGAGACAGAGACAGACATAGAGACAAAGACGAGACGAGACTCTACACTACGAGCATCGCCATGGAATCTCTGCTCCAGCAGTCGCGCTCGCTCTGCCCGTTCCTGAAGAAGACGGCCCCGGCAACCCTGCGTGCGCTGTCCACCACCACCCGCCCCAGCTCCAGCGTCGTCGGAGGCACCATCACCAACCTGCAGGTCGTCGCCAGGCGCTGTCCCGTCATGGGCAAGGCGCTCGCCGTCCAGAGCTCCCGCATTGCCCTCAGAGGCGAGGCCAGGGCGTTCGGCTCCTGTCCGCGATCCGCCGGGGCCGCCAGCGTCGTCAGGGAGAACCTGCGCCGCAGCGTCAAGCACCAGGCCTGTCCGGAGTCGAGGAGAGGGCTGCATACCACCAGTGCTCAGGCGGCCGTCGTCGACCAGCAGTCCCGCGGAAAGGACCGAGGTGTGTATAGTCATTGAATTGAGATGAGATGAATGTACTGACGGTGATAGTGTACCCCGTTCACCCACGATCTGGAAGTGAACAGCTGAACCGCGCACGAGAGACTCCCTTTGCAGGCCCCAAGCCCGCCATCCCAGCGACGACCGCCAAATTCGACTATGAAGGCTTCTACAGAGGCGAGTTGGACCGCAAGCTCAAGGACAAGTCCTACCGCTACTTCAACAACATCAATCGTCTGGCCAAGGAGTTCCCGCGTGCCCACATGGCGTCTCCCGAGGACAGAGTCACCGTCTGGTGCGCCAACGACTATCTCGGTATGGGCCGTAACCCTCATGTGCTCAAGAGCATGCACGATACCTTGGACAACTACGGTGCCGGTGCCGGTGGAACACGCAACATCTCCGGCCACAACCAGCACGCAGTCGCATTGGAGAAGACGGTGGCAGACCTGCATCGAAAGGAAGCTGCGCTGGTCTTCTCCTCTTGCTATGTTGCCAACGACGCTACCCTGGCCACCCTCGGTAGCAAGCTGCCAAACTGCGTCATCCTCTCGGACAGCCTGAACCACGCCTCCATGATCCAAGGGATCCGTCATTCAGGCGCAAAGAAGGCTGTCTTCAAGCATAACGATCTCGAGGACCTGGAGATGAAACTTGCCTCTTTGCCCCCTGATATCCCCAAGATCATTGCCTTTGAGTCTGTTTACAGCATGTGTGGCTCCGTTGCGCCCATCGAAGCCATCTGTGACCTGGCAGAGAAGTACGGCGCCATCACTTTCCTGGACGAAGTCCATGCCGTAGGCATGTACGGGCCTCACGGTGCCGGTGTTGCAGAACACCTCGACTTCGACACCTACGCAGACCCAACGGCCAGCGTCAAGGGAACAGTCATGGACCGTATCGACATCATCACCGGTACCCTGGGTAAAGCCTATGGCTGCGTGGGTGGCTACATCGCCGGATCTGCCTCCCTCGTCGATACCATCCGCTCCCTTGCTCCCGGATTCATCTTCACCACTTCCTTGCCTCCAGCCACCATGGCCGGCGCCACTACTTCCATCAACTACCAATCCAACTACTCCCGCGACCGCACCATGCAACAACTCCACACTCGCGCCGTCAAGGCGTCCCTCGACGCAAACGACATCCCCGTCATCCCGAACCCATCACACATCATTCCCATCCTCGTCGGAGACGCAGAGCTCGCTAAAAGGGCCTCAGACATGCTTCTGGAGGACTACGGCGTCTACGTCCAGGCCATCAACTACCCGACCGTCCCCCGTGGTGAGGAACGACTCCGCGTCACTCCCACGCCAGGACATACGAAGGAATACCGCGACCATCTCATCCAGGCTCTCAAGGGTGTATGGGAACGTCTCGGCATCCGCAAGACCAGCGACTGGAAAGAGGCAGGCGGCTTCTTGGGCGTGGGCGAAGCCCATGAAGAGAAGAACCTCCCGCTCTGGAAGGACGAGCAGCTCGGTCTGGCTGCCGGTGAGGAGCTGGAGACTACCATCGCCCGCGAACTAAAGGCCGAGGAATTGCATAGACAGCAGATGATGCGTCAGCTGGCTGGTGGTTGCGCTACCGAGGCGAAGGAAGGTCGAGTTGATCATCTCAACATGGCCATTCCGGCCTCTGCGTGATCTCTCCTATTCCGCTGATAAACTTCTGCTTCTTCTTCATTTTCTGCAATGTGAACGTTTTATGCAAAACTCCAACTATTGACGCTCCTTTGGCACGCACATACATAAACTCTTAAGCCGACCTTTATACCCTTCTTATTTGCAATAGTTTCGCATTATTGAATATAAGCAGGCCATGTCTTACCATCCTACTTCAATTAATATCGAGGCTATACTTGCAACCCCTTTTTTGACCCTTGTCTTTTTGACTTGCCTTTTGACCTGCCTTTTGACTTGCCTTTTGACTTGCCTTTTGGCTATATACTTTTATATAAACCGCCATCACGGCGAAGCAATTCTAACATTCTATCTCGGCAAAAGCTTTCCCATATACTTCGTAGCTCTCATTTATCTGAACAGTCTGTATTTTTATAACATAAACACCCGCGCAAAGTACATACATATTTTCCAAGGTATCTATCTACCTCTTCGACATCCTCCCCCTGCTAACCTTGGGAAACTCAACGGGAATCTTCAGTCTTGCGATTCTCTTTGATGCCGCCTCCGCCTTGCCGCCTTTAATATTCCACTTTGCAAACTCCGTCTCCCTAGGCTTGTCAACTTTACACCCGAGCTCTCTGAAATATTTTAGAATTGTGTCATTCTCTAGTCGTAGATCATCACGCAGGTCTGCGGGATCAGTGGCTAGCTCTGTCAAGCTGCTTCCACCTCCCTTGCCAGACGATGGCGGGATGTGGAGCGATAGAGCACATATCGTGGTGTGGAGGAGTGTTATATCATTTCGGGAGAGGAATGAGCCCTGTGGAACAAATTTACGGCGGAGAGAGTCCAGGAATGGGTCCGTTATTGTTGGAGTAGTAGTGGCTTCAGAGTCGACGGCCGTAGAGAGCACTCGCCGCAGGTCTTCGCGGGGAGGGAGTTTCTTGCTCTCAGGCCCACGACCACCACCGCTCGATCGTTTCAGAGACCGTGATAGCTCGATCAATATAAGTATGAATCGTAGGAGTTGTACAATTGACTTGTCGCCTGATTGAACAGCGGCTTCAACCCGATTAGCCACGAAGCGCGAGGTAGTAGTGATACCCTCTGAAGCAGCGACTGCCTCCTGCCAGTCTCGAACCGGTATTTTGCGCAACGTTGGAAGGCCGTTGGGTACCAGGCTCTCAACGCTGTAGACGTCTGCGGGCTGGGTGGCTGACAAGTTCGGTTGAGGGAGTGGTTTGGATGCCTGGATCTCTGCCTGTGCTGACTTCTCCGCCGCTGCAATTGACATTGCATCCTGTGGCATGGACGAGAGGAGAGCGGATTCGGCTGCATTGGTAGACGAGACAGATGCGTTGGAGGTGAGCGCATTCTCCGTGATGGCAGCAACAGCTTTACGAGCCATTTTCGTTCCGAATGCTTCTGCGAGTGCAGCTCTTTGAGAGAGGGCAGTAGGCTATAAGCACTTGTCAGCATAATGCGCTTTGAATACTCTTCCAGAGCTAGTAACTCTTCAAGAGAACATACCGCAGCTTCTTCGCCAGTTTCCTCCTCTACCTCTACGGCAGCTTCCCGCAGACATCCTCGCACCATCATCTTCCTTGCCTCCAAGATCTGCATGGTGTTCTCCTTCGGATCGTAAACCGCAACGTAGTGATTCCATAGATTGTCCAACTCATTCTCCCCCTCTCTACCGGTGAAATTGAGCTTAGGGTGCGCAGAGGTATGCAATAGCAATTCAGTCGAGGATAGGTTTGTGTTCTCAACGTGCTTTATGCGCTGCTGGCGCGGCTTTGCGTAGGTACTTAGCGGCAGCGTTTCTGGAACCGTGAGACCAGGCGCGGAAGCTGAAAACAGGTCGTTAGCTACACGTACACTTCTTAGGGAGCAGAATGAGTATATACGGTGCATACCTATGATAGGGACTTGTCCTGCTGGGTTTTGCTTGAACTGGACCTTCACCGGCGCAGTGCTGGAACCGATTGCAGGTTTTTTGCTTGGTCGCTCATGTCGGTCTGACGCCCGTTTTCTCTTCTTCTCAACGGAAGAACTGCCCATTATGGCTATATTTGGTCGAATCGATACGGATAGAGTGTTTCTTCCACTGTTGTAATGATCGTTAAGCTGTATAGATGCGCTGGTGTCGGGAGTCGTTAATGATGGATGTTCGGGCTAAAAAAATATTATGCCTCTGCGCCAGAACTCCACTCCACAACACCAAGCATCAACTAAATATCAATTAGTAAAGAATTGACAACTTCAGCACAAACACACAAAGCAGAGAATAACTACGGCCAGCTGCGTTGAAGAAGATAATTTGCTTGAAAACTTCCAGTTTCACATTCTGAGACTCGTCACTATCAACAGGCACAAGTGAAGGTATTAATTACATGAGTAAAGCAACACATCGAAATCCCCAGAATGAAAAACCGTCCAAGTAACTTTCACCATCTCTGTGGTTGAACAGGGTTATTTAAGCCCCTTCGTAATTGACCAGCCTGGCCATTCCCATGCACATTAAAAGATGTTTTCATCACCCCATTGACCATAAACAAGAAAAGAAACGAAAATACACCTCGGGGGGTGAAATTTTGACGGTTCCCAGCCCCAATTGACTCCTAGTCAGATGCCCCGTTGAAAGAATCGCAAGTCATTATGAGTTAATCGATATTCGCAGGCGGGGTTGTTGGGAGGTGGGAAGACGGAAGATGTAGATTCGTGGGTCCGACATCACAAACACATTCGTAAAGAAGACTTTCGTAATAGCGCACGCGGTGGCTGCTTTTTTATTCAGGCATTAAGGTAGCATAGGCGGTTTGGCTGAGACAGAGCGGTTGAATAGTTTACTTGCTGTAGAAGGGGTTAGCTATGTTCTCATCAATATCATAAACGACAGACTGTTTACGTACCTTCTGGCTCTAGTCTTACGGCGCTTACGTTTCAAACGACGAACTCGCTTCTTTCTCCACTTAGCTCTCATCTTCGCAGAATTGCTAAGGCTGTAGCAGATGAAGCAATTAGCAACGGAGACACGATCGAATCGCACTGGAGCAGGGCCGACATACCTTTCTTTGTCGATGAGGAGGATGGTTGAAGGAAGAAGAAGTCGCTTGGAAGCTCGAAGTAAAACAACTTTGTATGTGTGTGTGCTGACTAATGCGGGCTAGGCTGTATCTGGAAGCGAGGCTTGGCTATATTACGTCATCTACTTTATCCCACCATTACGTAATATAGACATCAACCACGGAAAGAAAAGGAGAAAAGGTCAGAAGTGAACAGAACGTAATGGAATTATATTTCAATCTGGATAGAGCACGAGTAGACATATTTCAGGCCACAGATAACTGATTTTCAAAGCAAACGATCCTCCACTAAAGCCAGTACCTCGGAAATACCACACATAGAAAGATAAGAAAAATAAGAATCAAACACTCAAATAAGAAAAATAATGATCAAATCATGCGGTAGCGGCAGCGAGGGTTGGTTCTGGTGTAGCGGCTACTGAGGCAGCGGCAGGCTGGGTGTTACGGACGATGTCGACACCGACTCGCTCGTTTCCAAGGAGATCCGCCAAAAGAGGGCTGGGGCGGTTGTCCCGCTCGGGCTGGTGGGTTGCCTGGCTGGCCTTGTACTTGTGGACACTGTCGAGGTAGATGTCGAACAGGTAGGAAGAGTCAAGAGGTCCTCCCTTGGCTTCAGGGTGGAACTGGGTGCTGAAGATTGGTCGGGTCTTGTGAATCATTCCTGAGGGTTAAGGTTAGTGACGAGAACACTGGAGCATAGATACAAGATTTACGTACCTTCGTTGCTGGAGTCGTTGAGGTTGACAAAGTACGGCTTCCAGTCACTTGGAAGGGTGCTGGCGTCAACGGCGTAGCCGTGGTTCTGACTGGTGATGTGGCAGCGGCCGGTAGTCAGGTCCAATGCCGGAATGTTATGGGCTCTGTTACCATACTTCAACTTGATGGTACGAGCTCCAACGGCCAGACCCAAGAGCTGATGGCCTAGACAGATGCCCATGATAGGGATTTGGGAGGTCTTCATCAGCTTGGCGAGGGTGTGAACGGTCTGCGCACAATGAGTTGGGTCACCGGGGCCATTGGAGATGAAAACTCCGTCAAAGTGGTGGGCGACCTTGTAGACTGGGTAGTCGTAAGGGAAGACTGTCACGCTGGCACCACGGCTGACAAGGCTTCGCAGGATGTTTTCTTTCACTCCACAGTCGATGACAGCTACGTGAGACGTGCTGTTTGCGGCACTGACGTGGAAGGGAGACTTGGTGCTAACTTTGCGGACAAGGTTGATCTGTTCAGGGTCGACGTAGGCTTCGTCCTGGTCGGCGTCGTACTCCTCGCCGACGGTGATTTTAGCAAGAGATGAACCTTGCTCACGGAGGTAAGTGACGACTTGGCGAGTGTCGACGCCGGAGATGGCGGGGACACCCTCTCGAATGCACCATTCGCTCAAGCTCTCGACGGCAGTCCAATGGCTGTATTTAAGGGCGGCGTCTGCAACGACAACGCCGACGGCCTGGAGGCTGGGGGACTCAAAGTACTTGAGGAGGCCGTGCTGGTCGCGTTCGGACGACGGGATGCCATAGTTGCCGATTAAAGGTTGGGTGAAGACGAGAATCTGCCCACGGTAGGAAGGGTCACTGAGGGACTCTGGGTAGCCGACGAGAGAGGTCGTGAAGACAGCTTCGCCAGAGATGTTGGATTTGGCACCAAACGACTTTCCATGGAACACTGGGCCATCGCGGATCGTGAGAGTGGCACGTTCATTGGAGAATGGAGCAGCAACAGGCTTGGCTGGCAAGGGTCCCCCGTTAACGACGGAGGCCATCCACCGCGTCTGGACTGCGAATTGACGGGGTAAACGGCCAGCCGCATGGGCCTTGGGCAGGGATTGAAGAGCTCGAGCGAACATGGCGAGTGGGTGACGTGAGGAGTGAGGATTTTTGATATATAGTAGTAGATTGAGTGAGGTTGGCCAGTCGGTCCAGAGATGACTCAGTTAACTGCGGCTTTCCACAGGTGGTCTGGGGGGAGTTAGCATTGTTCTTTCAGGCCGTAGCCGTCGACAGAGACGAATATTCACGGCCATACCTGAGATGTAGTCCTGCAGAGAAGCCACGTTAGCACTGGACAGCTTGTTAGGGACGGGGTAAAAGGGAGGAGTCATACTTGGGAGGTAAAAACTGAAGCGAGCACACGCATAAGCACTTCTCTGCCTTTCAGGACTTGGTTATTCTGTTGAGGAAGAAGAAGTGGAAGAGTCGAGGACGAAGAAGAGGAAGAAACGGTCAGGGCATCGGTGGTTGTTGGGCGAGGCTTGAAAATGAGGATGTTCGAAAGCTGACTGGCGGTGGTTGGCCAAGGTTACCTCTTTTGTATCACGGGTCAAGGCGGTGAAGGGTGCAGCCCGAAATTTCTTTTTTTATCTTTTTTCTTCCCCAGCAGAAAACTGGCCAACCAGAGGCCGTGTTTCCCCGGTATTTGCGTGTTTATAACGGTTATCCCGCTGCTAATTGTGCTGTATGGTATTGTCAATAAGTGGAGACGTCCAGACCGCGGCTTTTCTTTTCTCGCTTCCGATGCCGAGGTTTAACTGTTCGACATTATCATTGATCCAGAAGAGATGTTGATATCTATAGATATATATATATATAGATATATGTATGTACGTATGTATAGATATATGTATAGATATTGATACCCATAGGAAATATCTTCAGGGACCTGGACTAACGCCTACTATAAGGATAAGAGCTACTCTGATAGAGCCAGCTCGAGCTGAGATGTGAATACGTTATATGCTGGTATAAGGATGTTACCGTTGGGTCTCTGGTAGACGGTGCACCGTGTCTGAAATCCTCGTTGGTGTATACTCTAAGCTGGGCCAGATATATCATGCCGTTGCTATGGACGAACTCGCTCCAAGAAGTTGGAGTTTGATACCATCTTTCAATGAGATACTCTGCAAGGCTGCTCCAGTTCATGGTTTTGATGTTCTCTTGGTTTCTCTTGATGTTTGTTGCTTAGAGGCGGTCTCCGCTTGGGTGTCTTGATATCGTGTTGCCCCTGACTTCGGGCAACCCCCAACCACCACCACCACCATCACAACAATATCAATAACACATCTGAAGCCCTACCGGAATTTTCCACCAGCCTGAATCACATCATTCACTCTGTGAAATCTCTGCACGAAGCTTCCCGGCCACTCGTTACCTGCCTTTGAATCCTCGCTTAGTTTTAGCGCCGAATTCTCAGGTATAAAAATCCCCTTTCCCTGCTCTCACTTTGCTCTCCTCTCTCTTCTCTTTCTTTGACAATCAACCAGATACAGGCTGCTGTATCTGGTTATTTTGTCTGTCTAGCCACTTGGCTAGGTAAGTAACTCTCGTCCTTTCCTGGCCCCCTGATACTGGCTGACGGCATCTTGATACAGGCATCCCACAGGCTCACAGCAGGCACTTGGAAACAAGTATCTGAGAGTAAGTACCTTCATCATATCTCATTCACTTCACTCTGGCTGGTCATTCACTTACATGCTTCTTCTACACAGGCTTTTTCTTACCCTTTCTTGGGTCTCTCTATGAGATTCCCCTGTTATGATCTACCAGCTTGCCTGGTAGATCATGCAGTGATGACACCCCTCGGATACGATATTTTTTCGTCTAGCTTCTAAATTCAACTCTCAAGTTGAATTTAGTAATATTTCTTACACTTCTCATTTTTTTTTCATCATATCTTTCTGCTTGTCGGAGAGACTGAGGAAGGAAAAGGAGGCTGCAGATGAAGTGACCTCGTCACAACGCGTCAAGATCAGGAACTATGTATCTATAGCCAAATATTATATGCTACCCCTATCTTCTCAGGCTCTAGGGCAATAGTGAAGGGATGGAGAAGGCTTCCTCTCAGGGTCAACTTTCGAGTCCAGTTGTAAGACCCAACATCCAGAGTAAGAACCCCTGCGTATTGATTAAGATGAATTCCTCTACACGCAGCTGACATATACAGGACTTTGCCTTAAGGCAGTCAATTAATAGACTGAACGTCATGACCCGGTCTTGCTAGCAATTTCTAGCCAGAGACGTCCCCGAGAGCCCCTTGGCCTAATGAACAACCTACAAAGTGAATATGGAACCGACTATTACTTACTCATGTTAATCTTTTCATGGTATCGGATAGCATGTTTGTTATTATCAGTTTGATAGAGTGATGTTAGTTGATTTCACATTGTACAAAAGTGATGGATGGCCCTAACTATAGCATAAAATTGAATCAAATTCTATATCAGATCTACACCTCATCCCTGCCCGAGTCTATATTCTCGACCACACCATACATATCAAGACAAGGGCTAGATCGAAGTAAGTTTCTTGATGTTGCATTCACATAGCTGGGATACTGCAACTAACACCAAGCTTCGGGTATTTTATTAGACATTAATTTCCTTGTCGAACGTTATTTATATATGGTTCGAATATATGGTCTAGCTGCTCCTATACTTTACTCCGTTGTTCCAGTGTGGGTGTTAACTCGTAGCTAGCCAGTTAGCTTGGTGCACATTACCATATCTCGCGAGCTTCAGCACATCTCCCTGCACGAAAACAAGCATCAGCATATACTTCCTAATACAATTTAGCCCGCTAGGGATTGGCTGTTTGATGTCGTCGTTGGACCGTCCCAACTCCGCATGTGCGAGATCAGTCGTATCCTCAGCGAATGCTTGAGATACGGAGAAATTGACATAAATACATATTATTTTTGTCTGCTCTCTTCAATGAATGAACAGATCCGGGCAATGGCGCTGGCAGTCGGAGCTGCGGCTATAGCTATCGCCCAACGGAGACTCGATCGCATCGAACAGCAGCGTTCACGCCATCAGCGCTGCCTACGAAGACTGCATGGTCATCGTCGCCAACACAACCACAGAGCCGGATCTCCAGCGTCTTCTTCGGATGCTAGTCTTGACCGAGGTGTTACGAAGCTGGCTACCAAGCTGGACCTAGCTAGAACGCCTTCTTCGGACAGTGGATATGAGCTAGATACTTCTTCTTCCAATACTGAACCAGACGTAGGTACGTGGCTTGGTATAAATTTCCCGTTTTTTTTACCCTACCCTGTCTTTGTGATAAATGGCCGTTTTCTCATGCATGCGCGCTTCGTGGATTATGGCCCCTGAAGGGACTCAGTTCCCCGCGGAAGTTCTGGTGAAGGGAAAGAAAGGCATTAGAGCCTCGGTAGAAGCCTGGCTGGACGCGCAAGAATAGGTATGGATCTGGCTTAAACCCTATATCTTTGCATTCATGCATTTACTTATATTATTCTACCAGCTGCGCCTCTACTGCAGGATATGGTGGAGCACAGTGGATTAGGTGTATTCGCGGTAAGAAAGGTTGCCGGTGGAAGCTGCAGGGGATAGAAGTATAGAAGCCATATGTATGTCTTGTTCGGGGTTTATAGAACAATATATCTTATAGCTGAATATTTTTCTTAGCTGCAGACGGTTATTGCTAGGCTAAGCATTTATTGGCTTTGGGATCCTCAACTAGACCCTTGCATTAGAAACTTAACATCAAATGCCCGCCTGCATCTAGTACGCTACTTTCGGGTTAATAAACGTAGTACGTATGGTTAAGCAGGCTTTTCTGAATACGAATTATTCGCCAGACGAAAGGATGTTCAAAAACGAGATGTCATATACGGTTGAATTGCTTGACTGAATATTCTTAATTAAGATATATATACTCCTTCAACAAGCATATTACAACAGGAAGGTAGTGATAGCGAGGATGGCAGTCAGTCCCAACATTGAGACTGAAACTCCATTGACGGATCCAGCACCTGTGGGAGGGCGAGGAGAGGGCTGAGAGGTTGGTGGAGGGCCTTGCTTGGGAGCGGTAGGGCTCTTCACAATGTAGTTCTCAACCACTGCAGTTCCATTCTTGACAGCCTCGATTTGGTCCTTGGTGCAACTTCGGCCCATGGAGAGGACATAACAAGTTGGCTCGGGCTCTGGAGGAATCTGGTTCTTCACCTGGAAGGTAGTTGGGCTTCCGCTGGTGGAGTAGTCGCCCTTCTTAATAGTATCGATTTTACCAGTTGCAATGTCCTTGTTGAACATAATACGGTGGAAGATCTCCAAAGATGTTTCAGGCTGGTACGCAGGGACCTCGTGGCCAGCTTCAAAAACCCTGGTGAAGGAGAAGTTTCCGTATTGACGGACCTGACCACCAACGTAGGAACCGTTGACTTGGACGTCGGCATATCCTGCTTTGTGGAAGTTTTCCGTACCGGTGTAGTTGAGAGCAAGACTGACCTTCTCACCACCGAGCCAGTTACAGATGTAGTCTCTGTCACCATAGACGAGGGCAACCTTAACTCCGGTTTCGAGGAGGTAAGCAAGATCGTCGATGTAGCCACGGGCGTCACTACGGCCATAGTCACCGATGGTGTGGAACGCTTTCCAGACGGCGTCAGAGGCTTGAGAAAAGTTGACTGGCATTCCCATGTCAGAGAGAACGTGGGCTTGGCTCAGGTAACCCTTGTAGAACTGGGGTGGGAAAGGATCACGGACAGGGTGGGCAATGTCGTAATATCCTAGCTTGGTAATGTCATAGGTATCTTCAAGCTTTGAGCCGCAGAAGTCACCAGCGTCGTTACATATTTTGTTGACAGTTTCATTGTGGCTGTAAAAGTGAGGGTCATATTCTGCAGCAACTTCGCGACATTTGATCAACTGGTCGCGGCAGCCACCGGCTCGATAGAACTCGTTCAGCATCCCATCGTATTGGCTCTGGTTGTAAGCCTTAATTCCATACGTGTTGTTGTATGCAAATTCAGGATAGCTCGTTGCTTGCTCCATGAGATCAACACAGCCGTTGATGATGCCAACGGTATCAAGGTTGAGAATATGCATCTCACCTTCCTGTGTGATGGTGTGGTTCCTGATCCTTTCATTCTGCTCCTGGAAGAAAGAGGAGAAGGCAGGGCCATATCTTCCTCCGTAGGACTCGGTCCAGATGCTAATCTTGTCATTGTTGGGCTTGTATTCGGGGAATTCTTGGAACCAAACTTGGGCAAAGTGCCATAGAGAACGAGCAGCGTTCTGGGTATTGTTTGCTGTGGCAGATCGATCCTGGCTACCATAGGTTCCGACCAAGAGCGTATTGTTTTGCTGAGGGATGCCGTTCGAAAAATCGGCAACGGTCACATCACCAGTAACAGCATTGACGGTGACGTTGGTGGCCACATCGTAGCTGAAGCCGACTTGGTTTGGCTGATCGATGTAAAGCATGTTCACCTTGTTGTTCCACGAGTATGGGTTGTTGTATGTGGAGTTAGAATCATCGTTAACCATGCAAGGCCCATTCTCCTGGAAAAGACCAATCATGGAAGAAGATCCTGGACCACCGTTTAGCCAGATGGAGAGAGGAGCATTCTTGGGATCTTCTCGAGCCTCGAAGAACCAAAAGAAGGTGTTGATAGAATAGTTTTGGTAGACACCAAAGTCGTTGTTGTTCGGAGGTAAGTGAACATGGCCAGTGAACGATCTTACTCCCTCGGTGGCTTCACAGATGTCATTCTACGCAACAGGTTAACTAAGTGCCACAATAAATTCATGAACTGATAAAACGTACCTCCTTGTAGGTGATCTTGACGTTCTCGTCGTACTTCGACTTGACTACAGTCACGCCCTCAACAGGTGGAGGGAGGAACTGGGCACTGGCAGCGCCAATTAGTGGCACAGCCACGGCAAGGCTCGTAGTAAGACGCATCGTGGGCGTAACTATTTTGCCAGATAAAAAGAAGATATAGCAAGATAGCTGCCCAAGCTCCTGGTCAGAGTTCCTGGAGGAGAGAAATTAAACCATCACTCTCGGAATGGGCCCCCAATGCCTTTTTATAAGTAAAAAATAACATGACATTCACCCGCGAGGACCTGGGGAGCGGGGGAAGCATGTTGAGAGAACATGGTACAGGCCCCAGATTGCGCGAGAGCCGGCCTCCTGGTCAAGATATCCCTGATATGGGGCTGGTAGCCAATAACAGGGACGACGATCCCGGGGAATGCTGGACGTAATCCATGACTGATCGTTTTCTGTATGTCGACCCCAGGCAAAAAGAAGAGGGGATGAGATTGTTAGGTCAAAAAGATTGCATCTGGTACATCCATGTCTAGTGCGGAGCAGGACACGATGTAGCATACCCCTGTTGAGTTACTAACAGGAGTCAAGCCTCTCCAAGCAAAAGCTTCAACGAAGCATCTCCCCCACAAGCAGTCCGTATTTTCCGGCTGTTATCGGCACTGAACTGAGGGCGCAAATGTTGGTTGCATGTCTCTGGAATACGACATGAACTTGAGCCTTGTATTGGTGGTGGACGATGTCGAAGCTTCTCGGAGAAATTCTGGCGTCATCTGCGATCAGCAATGCCTCTGACAGAATGCCCCAGGACCGTTTGATGGTCGATCGACGTCCATGTTTAAATCCTTCAAAGCCTCCATCGAGAATTGATCAGTTATCGCTGAGTTGTGTGGAGTCTCGTATAGACGCAGGATACATATTTGAGAGCAAAGCGTGACCATCCGCCAATGACTGGCATCCAACCCCTGGACGGTTTTACTAACCGACCAGACGTAGAACACCGTTTCAGGCCCATATTGCTCTTTAGGTTGACCGTTATAACCCTTGATCTCAACGTCTTATTCTTGTCGACCAAAGCGCGCGAAGGTGTCAGGATGAACATGGAGATGGATGTCGGCTTTTGCTTCCCAATTAGGGAGTTATCAAGTGCCCTGGTCAAGCTCACGCCGTTTGATGTACGGTCCAATTTCATGTATAGCGGGCGACTATGGCTACGCCTGAGAGTGAATGCCTGTTACTGATGTGTGATGATGTAGCCGGCCCGTCACTCTAAGCGATATGTAGAGCAGACCATCGACCACCCAGAGATATATGCCCATATGCCGGCGGGGCCGTACGCGAACCTGGAAGAGTTCGAAGCGAAATATATCCGAGACACAATCTACAAGGATAAAACCAAATCGACCTTCGCGATCATAGATAGAACCAAGACAGAGCCGGGTCAGGACGACGGCACTCTTGCAGGAATAGTGTCCTACACCAATGCATCTGTGCCTAACCAGCTGCTTGAAATTGCATTTCTGGTCGTGCTGCCTCCGTTCCAGCGTACTCATGTAACCACGCATGCAGTGGGATTGCTGTTGCAGTATGCACTTGATGCTCCCGACTGTGATAACCCGCAGACGGGAGGGTTAGGCCTGCGTAGAGTAATATGGCAAACTGGCACGACAAACGCCGCTTCCCGAGCTACAGCTAGGAAGATGGGATTTGAACAAGAAGGGATTTTGCGATGGGATCGAGTGTACTATGACGCCGTGCCGATGAAAAAGGAAGGGAATGGGAGAGAGATCCCCCCGCATGGAGATGGGAGGCATCTGGGCAGGGATACGGTAATCTTTGGGCTATGCTGGGATGAGTGGCATGGCGGGAAGAGGCACATGGTACAGCAGCTTATGGACCGATTCCTGTGAGGAACAATGACGACAAACGCAAGACGATGTAAATAAGCAAGGCTAACGACAGACAAATACAAAAATATGTAAGAATGAGAATCTAAAAAGCAAAGGCACAAGAAATGAGCCCTAACAAACACAGGTAACCAACCGGCTCTCCAAAATGACCACTCATCGCATGTCAACTTCAAGCAAATACTTGATCCGTATCTGTGCCACGTCGTACACGATATATTCGTTGTACTGAAGCCACACATTGCTTGCAGTATTCTGGCCCAACGGGTTAGAACAGTCTGGTATCATCACCCCAGCCAGATCTTTATGAACGCATCCAGCATCTTTCCATCCGCTAGGGATGGCTCTTCCTAGACCCAAGGTGGCTAGTTTTCCAGCCTTCTTGACAGCTTCAGCAGCATTATAATCGGAATCCGCCAGCTCATGCATGGGATCACCCAACTCGACATCGCAAAGCATAAGTAAGCCAATGTTATTACTGAGAGTGTGGTAACAGTAGTTGGCGGATTTACTAGAGACATCAGCAAAGTAAACACCTTTTCCGAACATGTATCCGGTAACAGGTGCTTCTGGGGGAGCGATTCGGAGACCCTGGCTGAGGATACCACCGTAATTGGTAGTACGGGAGCCATGCCACAGCAGACGACGGTTGCTGTTTGGCAAATTGGCATACGGGGATTTCTTGTAGCGTTCTGCTTCTCCGGTACGCTCAACTCGGAAGATGTTGCGTAGCTATTTAAGATTGTCAGACATGGTTATCGTGATAGGAGGTTCAGAGCGTGGGCACTTACGTTGTATCTAACACTATGAGTTGCGCCGTGTGATCGAGTAAGGTAAGTTTCCAACTCCTTGTACTCAGTTGAGACACAATCAACTAATAAACAAACTTGGTTAGAATGTAAACAAAACAGTGGGATATCAGGCAACTCACGAGGCGTCATCTCATCAAGGCCGAGACCAAGGAACTGTCTATCCAGATGATGAATAGGATCGGTATCTTCCTCCTCCTCAGAAGCACTCATGATCTTGCTACTAATCTCCATGTCAGACAGAGCTTCAAGCAACTCGACCTCTCTCTTGATCAATTGTGGCGCTCTGAGCACGGGTGGTCGCTGCCTGCCGAAAGCGTGAGGAATAATGCTGAAATACTGGTTGCTCAGCTGTTCAACTTCTCTGTGGGCACCAGAAAGCTTGGTAGCGTCGTTGATGATGACATCTAACTGCTTTAGGACCTCGAAACCTCGCAGAAGCGTCCGCTTGCTTAGTTTCCCCAAAGGTAGCTTATTCGCATCATAGGCCATCTCGACCATGGTGGCATTGAAGAAACTCTGGTTGAAGATCAATGCGACGAGGCTCTGCACGGCCTCGTGCAAAGTACTGTCTGCCTTCTTGACCTCCTTCTTTGGTTCGTCACTCTTAGCCTTCTTCTCTTTCTTTGGCTTCTTATCGGGGTCATCTTCCTCGTAATTCCGTTCCACGTAGGTATATTTGTTAGATTTGGGAGAGTCATTCCTTTTTTCCCAGCTCAGGCCACTCTTATCCTTGAACTTTTTCTCGAAATTGCTCATCGCCTGTTTAAAGTCAAGGGGGCTTGAGGGACCCATTTGGCCGTTTTCTCCAACTCTACCCCATCGAGTCCAGGCGACGAACTTTCCAGGGGTTGGCCCTTCAAGTAACTGGATGATATAAAATTTGTTGTTGTTGGCACCGGAATCGGTCCGGTTCAGCGCCGCATCGAAGATGACGCCCTGATCCTGCCACACTTTATATTTATCTAGATTGGGAGTTTATGTTAGATTCCTGCATTGCTCTAGGGCGACATGGAGCGTACCTTTCTGTGGAACATAGTCATCAACTGGAACAACCAAAGCTGCAGAGTCATCCTTTTCATCCTCTTCCTCCTCGGCGTCCTCTTCGTCCTTAACTTTGTCATCTTTCTTGACAGCTTTGCTACCTTTGGCCTTAGCATTGGCCTTGGTCTTGGTATCAGCTACTGCGGCCTTCTTCTTCTTCGCCGGCGGTTCGTCAGCCGCATCGTCGGCATCGTCGGCATCATCGTCGTCTTTCTTGCCCTTGAGCGGCCGCTTACTCCTCGAATTGGCCTTTGCAGGCTGTGACTGAGGCTGCGACTGAGGTTGCGACTGAGCCTGGGACTGGGATTGGGACTGGGTTGCTCGGCCGGACCTCCGAGGAGCAGCAGCATTAGGCGCCGGAGCCTTGCCAGTGAGGGATGATGCAATGCTGTAAGAGCTCTCGTCTGCGCGCTTCTTGTTGCTATGCGAGTCTTGCAGCCAATCCAGCGTCACGATCTGGATATCGCCTCCTAGGGCAATAGCCTGCTTGTCTGGATATATGTGAGTCGTAATGTTCCGATGTATGGAAGACTGGGCAATTGAGAAATTGATCCCGTTAACACCGCCAGCAGGAGGCTTGCAGAGTTCAAAGTGCACAATTAAGAAAAAAAGGGGGATTATTTACTCTTTGTACCCGTCGGGTGTGCATCCGTAGTAGTAACGAGATGTGTGCACGCATCGCTCACTTTGGTGCTGAATGTTCCGCCGAGCTGCTCAACGAGGTCCTTTAAGTCTCCTGGAGGCCATAACCATCAATTGATCAAAACCATGCTTTCAACGTTGAGGACGCGAAAATGTAAACAAGAGAGCTTACCGTGTTTGTAGTTTGGAAAGGTACCGCTCACCGCGACGACCTGATCTGCGAGAACTTTGGACATTGTGGATGAAGGGGGAGAGAGGCTGTGTCGAGCTACCTGGAGGGAGGGAGGGAGAGATATAAATATGAGAAAGCAAGGGAGAAAAGGGGATGAAACGTGGATAAATATCCCTGGAGCTCGCGCCCAACAGCTAAGAAGGTGGAAGCTCGACGTCCAGGCTGCAGCCCCTTTTGGGCTAAGCGCCGATATCTCCGTGCGGCTCTTCGCTTAGGTAAACACGGCTAAAAATAGGCAGCTATCAGGCAGAAACAGGCCAGAGGAGGGAGTTAACGAGTGAAAAAGATTAAGATATACAGTCATATATGCATGTTTAAAAGTACATCCCTGCACCGTAGCTAAATAGACAGGCAAAGATAAAGAAGTACACCAGGAACAGGCCGGGTCAATCAACCGAAAACCAAGAAAGGACTCCAGTTGGATATCTCGAACAGTGAAACAAACGCCCCCATGCCCAATTGCATACAATAGTACAGTTATACCCAAAAGCAGCCCAATTCCATATCGTGTTGCGATGACCAAAAAAGAATACCAACCAAAGGATATAAGCCAGAAAGTAAGAAGAACAATAATCTAATCCAGAGGGAAGTCAAGGGGGAATTAAACAAAATATTTAATCGTTAAAATGGTCATGTGAGAATAGAATGGTAAGGATGAAATGGTTGAAAGGGAGATTAGGCTTCCGTCTCATCTAAGGGAAAGGCGCCGGTCGTGAGAGATGGTTCTTCGACTGGCTTCTCCTCCTTCTTAGTACCTGATTTAGGCTTAGAGGTAGGCGATGTAGGAGAGGCAGGAGAAGTAGGAGAAGCAGGAGACGTGGGAGAGGCAGGAGACGGAGGTTTGGAGGTGGCGAGATCGGCCTCAGACGAAGACTGGGATGCAAGGAACACGGACTTGGACAGAGGAGATGCAGACTTTGGCGAAGTAGAAGTGTGTTTGGATGTATGTGACGAGTGACTGGACGAACGGCGTTGCTCTCCATTAGATTCGTTCGAAACCTCCCTGGCCAAATGGTGATGGATATCAGCCTCCGAATCGAGACTCAGGGCCAAAAGACCCGAATCACGAGCCTCAGAAAGGGTAGCCACTGTTGAAAGGGTTCTTCCCGGGTTACGTGCCGGTAGAGCGGGAGGGTTGCGCTTCTGGATGGTTACAAGCTTGGCTCGCGCAAAGGGCGGGCTCTTGGAATGGATCTGTTGCGGGATAGCGTGCTCTGCTACTGCGACTGCTATTTCGGCCTCTGGGAAGGACTCCGGGATAGATTCGGGGATAGACTCGGGTAGAGATTCCGGGATGGCTTCGGGGACCTTGGGGGATATCGATTGAGGTCGTGATGTGGTGGTGGAGGCTGGGATGGGGATGCAGGCCGGGTCAGGTTCGCCGGTGGATGAGTGGTCTGTATCTGACGCTGTATGCTCATGTATAGAGAAAGAGACATCCTTAAGACTGTGAGATGATGCCCGGCTGACCGACGATGGACTCCGGGCCGGTTCGACCTCGTGGAGATTAGTCTGCGTCCCTCTGTCGGTGCTCATGGTGCTCTGCGTGCTGAACCGCCAACTGCTCCTACCACTCCACCGCGGGCTGATGGGGCTGGTGGGACTGGGCCGGAAGTCAAACACATCGAGAGCCGGAGTCCGTTTTGTGCCAGCTTCGCGGATCATGACACCTTCTCGCTCCAGGGCCTTGACGCCATATGGATCTGGATCGTCCTCCTCGGGCACTCCAAAGGTACCGGCCAACGAGATTTCAGCGTCACCGGGAGTTTCACCGGGTGGTAGGAGCATCCGTTCGTCTATATCCTGATCTCCCTGGGCGGCTTTGATGGTCTGCATTAGTGTGCGTATAGACGGAGGCGGATTCTTGGCCTTTCCAGAAAGAATATCCGAAACACCAATCTTCTCGCCGTAAAACCGCTCGTTTTCGTCTGTCCGTTCGATGATGATGGTCCCGTCCAGCTGGACGCCCGCGTAGAAGCCTCGACTCTTGAGATACGACCATACCGGGGCCTGGCGTTTATGCACTTCCGACTCCAGTACGCCTCCTATCCCAACGGGACCTGCCGCTGCACTCAGCGAGCCGCCCAAGGTGCATCTGACCGACTTGAAGGCGTCAAGCGCCTCGTACGTGTTGATCACGACAACGCAGTCGTAGATATCAACCCCCACGAGGAACCCCAGACCGGCCGTATGTAGCATAATGCCCGATGGCGGACTCCATTCCCCCGTCTCCGCCAGACGAGCAAGCAACACTCCGCTACCGCCTGCTCCACTAACCCACAACCCCGTGCGCATCGTCGTGAATATCGCCAGTCCCTTTGCCTGCCTGATGACGGACGCAGGTATCTTCTTGATCGTCCGTTGTTTACCCCTGGGACTGCCTTCGGGATATTGTTGCTGGCTGCTCCGCCGTGATAGCCAACCACTCTCGGGAGAGGTACGTCCCTGTCCCTCCGCGGCCGCCTTCGCCAGGTCCCCTTCCGAATCGACCTGCCCGTAGAAGCCATCTTTGCAGAAGCTCCGCAGTATGCGTGCCGCCTTGTCACTCTCTTTGTCCAGCGTCGTGGGCCAAAAGGCCTCTGCGCCAAGCTTGTTGGATAGCCGGTTGACTGGCCGGCCGATCTTGTCGAGCTGCTGCCATGCCTTGTCGAAGCTGCGCTTAGAGTAGCCCTTTGTGCGCTCCCAAGTTGAGGTCGACGTCTGTGACATGGTGTCCTGCAGCCTGCAGCCTGGCCTGATCGCTCCGTGCAGCGAGAGAGGAAGAAAGCGAGGAGATCGAGAAAGAAAAAGCAGACAGCTGCAGCTTTAGGCCCGTCCCGACCAGTCGCGAAACGCAAGTGATATGTGTGGCGTGTCCCTGAAATGTTCAGGATAGATGTATATAAATGAAGCGAGGGGCCAAAGCAGAACCCTGCCTGGCCGCTGACTGCGCTGCTTTGCTTGCTGCCGCTGCCGCTGCGAAATGCAAGGGTGTTTCAGGAAGACCCCCTTGCCTTGCCCGGTCTTGAAGCAGCCAGAAGGAGAATGCTGTTTATTAAGTACTCTAAGCAATAGTTGTTCTCAACCTGGGACCGGGCCGGCTTGCCTTGTGGAACGCAGCGCAAGCAGTATCAAAAAAGAAAAGAAGGGAGAGATGCACGTAGAACAGACGCATCGCCAGCTCCCGTCCGAACTGATATCTCTATCTCGCTGTCTCTTCTCTTCTTCTTTTTTTATGAACAAGCGAAGTCCGGGAGGCGCGGGGCTTAGATGGTTTTTCATGCCGAAGGATCCTGATGACTGGCCAAAGGTAACGTCATCATGTAAAAGGTACCTGCATAACGCTGGCCAACGGGCGAGGAGGCGAGTACCGGGTACATCTCGGCCTCTGCATCCTCGCATAAAACACGAGATGGTAACATAGGACTAGAATATGGATGGATGTGTTGGATATGTGTTGGAGTTGGATGTGACTTAGATATGAGTTGGATATGTTTAGGATATGTGAGAGGTGGAAAAAAAAAGAAGAAAAAAAAAGCTCCTAGCCAGGATCGAACTGGCGTCGTCGGAATCAAAATCCGATGTGCTACCACTACACCATAGAAGCAGTGACTAGTGTGGACTCGCGCTCAGTGGTATAACTTCCTCTGGCCAGAAGAGAAAGACGTCTATCTAACCATGTACATAAGTATATAAAAACCAGGGCAATGTTCTACTATATTTACAAGGCTCCAAGGTCCTTCAGCTTAGCGATGAGGCCGTCGACGTCCTCGACCTTGCTACCTCCCTGTCTCGTCGGTGGTTCTATCAAACAGTGAGCTTACGCCAGTGTGCAAGGTAATGAGGAATGACATACCAGTAACTTTGACGGTGTTCAGCCGCCTCGACTCGTCCAGGCCAAAGTCGGCCAGAGACGCCTTCTCGATCGGCTTCTTCTTCGCCTTCATCAGGTTGGGAAGCGTAGCGAACTTGGGCGTGTTCAGTCGCAGGTCGGTCGTGATGACCATCGGCAGCTTCGACTCCAGCGTCTCTACACCGCCGTCGACCTCCCTCGTCACTTCAACGGTGCCAGCCTCGTCCTTGACCGTCACCTTGCTCGCCTGTGTGGCCTGAGACCAGCCCAGCAGGCCGGCAAGCATCTGTCCCGTCTGTCCGTGGTCGCCATCGATCGCCTGCTTGCCGAGGAAGACGAGGTTGATCTTCTCCTTCTCGACGACACCCTTGAGCATCTTGGCCACCGTCAGTGGCTCGAGGCCGGAGTAGTATCCGTCCTTTGCGTCGGGGACCTCGACGTGCATGGCTCGATCCGCGCCCAGGGCGAGGGCGGTTCGGAGGACGTCGACGGTCTTGGGCCCGCCGGCAGAGACGGCCAGGACCTCGGAGACCTTCATGGGCGACTTCTGGTCTCGTCGTAGGCGGGCGGCTTCTTCCATTGAAAGCTCGTCGAACGGGTTCATCGCCTGTCGCATGCCAGTTATATCGACGCTTGTCTGGGTCTTGCCGATGCGGGGTTTAAGCTGGTAGCAGTGTCAACGTTAGTGACTTATATAAAGGCCGTAGAGGGCTCGCATGATGTTGCTAAAGACTAATTCTTCACAGAAGAAGAGCAGCAGTCATGGTGAAGCTGATATGCAGCCATATGCCGGCTGTTCATGTCTTCCATGGCCCTCGGCAGGATCTGAGCAGGGAGAACTCACGGTATAGTCAAGAACCCTCTTGACGGGCACTAATATCCGCAATGCATTGGCCATTGTGAGTGTCTGCACTTGCTCCGGGGTCGTCTTCGGGAAGTCCAGGTGTGTATCTCGTGTGTCTCGTGTGTCTCGTCGGTGGTATCGAGGCTGGCGATGCTCGTTCGGCCTTTTCTGGTGCAACAGCGCCAAGACGCAGCAACTTTCCGGTTCTTCCCTTGGCTTTCGGGCGGCGCGGCCGAAGTTCGGCTTAGCCCTCCTCACCTCGAAGTAGCTACTGTTAAAGATCATATATTCATCTATCTATATCTACCACGTCTCCTGCTTGTACCGTCCAACCCTCTCCATATCTATCAGGTACTTCTCCGCCGCCTGTCTACTCTCCGCAGAATCACCCAGCGGAGCCTGAAAGGTCTCGATCAACGCCTCGCGAATGGCCTGGGGCATCCTGCCAGACGACCCGCAGACAAACACGGACCCTCCCTTCGCGTGTAGCAGGTCGTAGAAGACCGCTGCATTCTCGCGTAGCGCATCCTGGACGTAGAACTTCTTCTTCTGGTCTCGGGAAAAGGCCGTGATGATGGTTAGGTCGAACTGGGCTTTCAGTTCCTCCCACTCGGCTTCGAAGAAGTAGTCTGCTGACCGATTACGGCCGCCATAGAGCAGTATCACCGGTCCCAGGGGTAATGGTTTATCGGAGCCATGTAGTCTCCTAAACTCTGCCGCTATGGCTGCCTTTTCCCAGAGCAGCGAGCGGATAGGCGCAACGCCCGTCCCTGGGCCAATGAGTACGGCAGGGTCAGAAAGCTGTCTTGCCGATGACTTGAGTCCTCCCTTCTGCACTTGAACCCGGAGTGTGCTGCCCGGTTGCAACGCAGCTAGGTACCGTGTGCACACGCCCTCGCGAATTCGTTTTATCACAGTCTGGTACTTGACTATAGCCACCAGCAGCTCGAATCTTGTGCCGCCATCCGGCGACGTCTTCAGTTTTCCGCCACTCGCTAGACTAAACTGTCTCCCCCGAAGGACTGGCAGAACGTTGCATGCCAACTGCCACGGAATCTTGATGGTGTCAAACTCATTCAAAACCTCAAGTATGCTTCGTCTCGGACGAGTGGCATAGTCATAGAACTCGTCGATGTATTCCGGGTTTGTGAACTCTAGGAGACGCTCTTTATGCATGTCGTCACTTGTGAAATGAGCAACTTGGCTGAAGAAGGACCGTCTAGGAATGGCCATGATATCTAGGTAATCTGTGAGTAGCACGCGGAGGGTGAAACCGGGGAGAGTAAGTAAGAATGGAATGGATGGTGCAGAGATGGAGGTTGACGGAGGAGAGCCATCCCCGGTGACAAACTGCAGAGGCACGTCAGCTTCGCTTTCCCAGCCCATAAGCGCTATGAGCCTATCGACATCCTGGGGGAAGTTTCTAGGGGTAATGTGAAGTATGTCACCGGGCACATATGGGATGGATTCGGTGGCCGTTAAAACGAGATGACGGACGTCTTGCCAATGTTTGGCCGGTGTCATCCGATCATTCGATATGAGAGTCGCCGAAATAGAGTCAGGGAGTGGCCGGGTATCGTGGTTCAGAGGGTGGAAGTCGTGGTCTCTCAATAGCTCTTTCGTGTTAGGTACCCCATTCTCTTGTGTCATCGTATCTATTTCGTCCTTTTCTCCATGGCATGCAAGAACCCATTTAGGCGGGAGACGGATGTCGTCTGGTATTGGGTGTTGCCCGTCTTTCAGGGGGAATCTATCAAGGAGGTGTTTCCGCAAGTCCAGCGACCAGGGCAGGAAAGTCCCCTCAAGCCTTTGACATACCGATCAGCCGGATACAATCTAACATAGATAGGCTGGCGACATACCCTTCTGGGTGCTGCTCGTCTGCTTCCCCGCGGGGGTATAATTCATTTGCACCAAGCTGTAGCAGTCTCCTATACAGCTTCCGAGACGCCCAGTTGAACCTACCAACGTTAGACCCTCACGCTCCTAGACACAAATATAGAAACCATACTTTGGATATGAACTGTCACCGAGCCCAAAGAGGGCGAAATCAATTCCCTGCAAGAATGTAGGCGGGAGTTTCTTCAGGAGCAAAGACCGCCAGAACTTGCGTCCGTTGGCGGGGAAATCACCCTGCCCTGTAGTTGGCACCACGAAGATGGTGAACTGATAATCGTATAGGTCTTTCTACGGGGGTTTGTTAGCTATATCATGGGCATTCGGTAGAGCGTCACTTACTGACTGGAGGGCATCAAGTTCAGCTACTCTTGTCTTGAAGTACAGACGCTCCATCACACGACCAATTTCCTCGGCTACATCCTGGGAGTTTCCAGTCTCTGAGCCATAGGCAACTAGAGCTGTTCGTCGACCTGTGTCGTCTCGCTCTACGGATGCCATTGGAAAGATATAACTCACTCCTCTACCTCGTCCGACTCATGATGCTGGGGTTTTTAGAGAACATGCGGTTATACGATAATGTTTCTGCGATAACTAAAGAAAAAAAGTCTGGATGACATCACCACGCCAAGCTCCGACCTGACGACAAATATAAAAGAGCTTCATCTTCCACAGTTCTATAAAACTGATTATGTTGCTATAAACTACGGCTTTATAAGGCCGATGGACCAGAAGTCCCTCATAGCTAAAGTCCGAGAAGGAGAAGTCTTCCTTTCGTGCTTAACCCCTGAGATGGGACTTCCTTCCTCTAATGTTGGCTATGGCTAACATAAACACAGAGCACTCCGCCATGATTGTACGATATAGAGGACGTCAACTTTATATCTATCAAGCATGGAGTATAAATCGTTCTATACTCTATGAAGTATCGTTTATTCAATCCGTTCATACCCCTTACCCACTGCGGCGTTTGATATATCACTTACCGACCTCAACGTCTCCCCGTTTGAATATTGAATATACCTGAGGAACCTGACCAGAAGGAAAAAAATTCTACCATATCAGTTGCCTAAGACAGAAAGGCAAAGATGAACAAGCCTCGGAAACCCTTGCTCATCGGATACGACGCTTGGATTGGTGCAGATGCCCTCAAACATGACACCGCTCTCTACTCTGAGGTGATCGAGTTCGTTGAAGGGATCAGCTGGGGTGCACTGGCTGAAATATGCAACAACCTCAAAGGCACTCCGTGCACAATTTCCGAGAAATATACCGTTGGCAGATCTAACCTAGTCCGCCAGATCAGATTTATAGACGACCAAATCTGGGTAGCACGACTCCGACTACCGCGCAAAGATGGCAAACCTGCGTCACAAGTGGAAGATAGCATTATATCCTGCGCCGAATCATTGACATTTCTACGGTGTGTATATTTTCTCCTGGCTGGTTACTGCAATGAGCGCATTCATGTTAGCTGACCAGAAGTATAGGAAGCGCACGCAGGTCCCTGCCCCAGAGGTTTATCACTACGATCCTTCCTCGAATAATCCAGTAGGCGCGCCGTACATCTTAATGAAATACGTTCATGGCACACTCGCGAAAAGGCTCCAGAAGGCCAGGGGCTGTCGAAAATATATGTTCGGAACGCCCAAAGAAGATGCCAACTTCAGAAAGCAGCTCGCTTCGATCCAGGTGGGACTGGCAACGCATAAATGGGAACGCATAGGTCGTCCACGCCTCCATGAGAATGGAGGCTTCAGCATTGGGTCTCTGGAGACGGATTTGAATTTTGCCACTGCTACTCAGTATTATGACCATCTCACTAAGAATGCTTTATGGGGCGGAGCAAGCGAAGCACCAGCAGACTCGCAGGATACTATGATCCTTATCCCCGCTCTTTTTAAGACCTTGATTGCTCGCTGGTCGACTCATTCTGGCCCTTATGGCTTGGTTCATACTGGCCTCGGCGCTCACAATGTTTTGGTCAACGAAAAGTTCGAGGTCCTCGCGCTGATAGATCCTAAGGGATTGATGACAGCGCCAATCGAAGTACAGGCTCAGTTGCCCCACCGCGTGGGAATGCGTATGAAGCCTCCTGGGTGTATTGCAGGTTCACCCAAGGAGGAAGAAACGATGCGAGTCACAATGCAAAGGGTAAAGGCACATAGGAAGATGCTAAAGGAGGCCGACGAGGAATATACTACGACTCGGAATTCGATGATTGGTATGCCACTATGGAGGGCGATGTTATCGCCAGCAGCAATTTTGGTTCAGGGAATGGTTGAGTATGGACATTTTGGAGAAGAGGTAGATAAAAGGTGGCTTGTTACGCTCTCAAACATGGTGAGACAGGCTCAATGGTTGGCACCCAGTATCACGCGCAGCTTCCCTATCCACTATGCCTTCGACGATAGCGAGGACGAGGAAGGATAGCGGCTTATAATCTGAATGTCTATTAGATTGGCAGAAGAGCTGGTACAAGGATGCGTACCTTGATTGAGTAATGAATGCAATATCTTTTCCCCTTTTGCTTTTGGCTTGCTAAATCATAAAAATGGGTATCATATCAGAATTACATATCAGAAGGAAGACACTAAAAAAAGAAATCAGTAAACATCATTATCTTCTCCTCCGCCTTCATCAAACCCGTCGCCAAGTTCATCGCCGCCGTCAAAGTATTGTTCGGCATTATAATCCCCACCCATTTCTTCCTCGTCTTCTTCGTAATCATCATCCACTATCTCCTCCTCGCCGTCGTCGTCGTCATCCTCTAATACCTCCTCGCCTTCACGGGCGTTCGTCCGTCGTTTACCACCCGAATCAGAGCCTTCATCGTCTTCTTCAGCTATAACCCGCTTCTTTCGGCGGCTTTCATCCTCCTCGTCGTCGTCTTCGTCTTCCTCAAAGCCTCGTTTTTGTGTAGCTTTGGAAAACGTTCCGGCACCATTAGAAAATGATCCAGGTAAGCCAACGTACTTTGGATCAAGTGTTGACCATAGCTCCTTTGGGAAGAAGTTCATTTCTATAACGAAGCCATAACGCATTAGATGAACCTTTCTTTAACCGGTCATAAGGCAGTGCGGGGTGGTCAGATATTACCGAATGGTACTGCGCTAAGTTTTGGCAATGTCCTCGATTTTTTCATATATCTTTGTCCATACGATGCCATTCCCTGGAATGGATCGAATTGCGCGCGAACCGGCACACCTTTCTTCCCGTATGACGGCTGCGCGCTAAGAACAGTGTAGAAGGGTCCATCATGAAATTTCTCCCGTAATTGACGATACCGCTGTGCTCCCGATATTTCAGACTCGGTAAATTTGCTAGGGACAGGTAGAACGTATTTCTATAAAATGATGGTTGAGGTTAGTATGCGCCCAAGAGTCAGACGATCATATAAGGAAATTGGTATTTACAGGAAATAGTGGCGTCGGCGAGGTGTCTACTTCTCCACCGCCCTCCGACTTCCAGGCAAACTCAGCTCCTGGCAGCTTTTTGTTGCGTGCAGCTCGAGACATCGTTGCGCCATGCAGTAATCCCCGAATGTTCAAGTTGGAGTAGCCGAGTTATAAATTTTGACAGCTCCGTCACAATGTCGAATCACGTGATCTACTCTGTTTATCTAGCCAGGGCTCCAGGGTTGTTAGAGACGGATGGCTCTTAAAACTGTTTGATATTATATTTTGTCTTTAATTATTGTCCAAGGCATAGTTATGGAGTGGTAAGGTGGCAGTGAAAAAATGATTAAGTCAAGCTTAAGGTGGTCTCAAGTTTGACGTCAAGTATGTACATGCGAGCCAACGCCTGATAGATAGGTAGTAGATATGAAGAAAACGGCATACTCATAGCTCCAGTGCCTCGATCCTGCTTCCGATTTCATTCGGCGCGCCCATGGGACCTTCAGCAACCCTTCGTTTTAGGGTTCTCTTTATATCATCGAGTCCGCCCGCGGCACTCTCCATTTTCTCCACAGCTGACTGAAGGGCTACAAGAGCATCATATTTGGTAGTTGCAATCCGCCAGACAGCACTCTCAGTGTCTCCGGCACCTCCAGCAACAAAATTTGCATAGGAAGGCGGCTGTTTAAAGAGATATGGCAGAACGACCGTTAAGGCCGGAGGTACAAGTAGCGCCCACGCGCCGCTGACAGGAAGATTCCCCTGTGTCGAAGGACCAAGCTCGCTAACACCAGCCTCCGTTGGCAAGGCAAACCGACTAGAAGTTAGAGTGCTTGTATCTTCATTGGGAGAAAGAACAACCCAGTTAGCTGTTATGACACTTTTAATGAAATTTATCGCCGGGATTGCTGTATCCTGCATCGCTATTATATCCGCGGCTTCGACAATGCTGGCCCAAAAATTGGGGTGGCCGTTCAAGTATTGAAAATAAAGGATTCTTGATGCTGCTGCTTCAGCTCGTGGACTGGTAGGGTTCGGGCACCTGGAAACATCTTGTTCGATATCCATTGATTCTTCAGAAGATGAAGGCCCGTTAAATATTTTCCCTAGACACATCAAGCTCTCTAAGTGCAGAGGCTTTGAAGGGATAGAGAGCAATGGATTAAGCCCCCTTTTCCCGGCCTCAACAAGCATCACTCGTGGAAGTGAAGCCAATATATCCAGGTCACCAATAGGTACGGGGCCATGTGCCCATTGGGCTGATGGGATATTGAATGCTTCGAGTATGCGCGAGGACAGCCGATCTAGCTGCGCCTGATGCTCTTGCAATATATGGTTCGGGTAGAGGGCTGCGTATGCGGCAACATATGCCATTACGGGAGTGGAAAGGAAGCTTGCGGTAGCAGAGTCAAGAGTAGAGGGATTAAGGTAGTAATTAACGACCTTTCGGTGTAGCCCAGTGTTAATAAGAAATTCTAATGATGGGGAAGAAAATGCAGGAACCGAGGTGGATGTCTTGTTTCTGCATTGACGTAGGCCTGGGGCATTGATCTCAAGCAGTTGGCGAAAAAACTGCAAGAGAGTCATATGTAGTAGGAGGTCATTGGTGTCAACCATTTTAAGAGCCACAAAGCTTAACAAGCTATCGCTCTGGAAGGATGATTCAATGTCGGCAAAGTGTGATGTCGATATAGCGTCCCAGTTCAGTGATCCAGCTTTGACGACGAATTCTATCAGCCTCCCCTGAGCAACCGTCTTTTGTCGGGCATTTATCTGTCCCGCCTGTCCAACGGTACGGAGCGAGCATATGGTAAAGAGGAGTCCGTATACAGACCTATCCTGGAACAATCTCTGCCACATAAGTCCACCATGTCGTGGCGTATTGCTTGATCCTCCATTGACGGTATTTGAAACTAAATGATCAGCCTCTAGAAGCGACCAGAGAACGTCATAGGCAGCTTGTGAAACCCCTGAGTCAACCGTTGACAGCCATAATTCCACGATCGACCTGACAAGATCTGAATCCCTCGCAATCTCCGCAACATGGCTCGGAGATTCGCTTGCTTTTGCAACGAGGAAAAGCGTAAGATTGCTGATCGGAGGGAAATCAGCTTTGATTCCGGCAACGAAGTCAATTGGGGGATCGATTGAACGAAGCTCTGCAAAGCTCAGGAACCTGGCCACCTTTGTTGCTAGGGCCGTAATAGGGCTTGGATCCTCCTGAATAACGGGCAGGACGCGGGATATCAAGGCAATCAGCGAAGTAGAGAGCTTGTGGTCAGTCTGAGCTACCACTTCGGCGCCCAGCTTGTCGATGAGGTGAACATCGAGGGGGGTAGATGGCTCCACGAGGATCTGGTCAAGGTTGCTCGCCACTCGGTCAAAGGATGGAGGCCTGTCCATGGCGTCCTCGTAGCTGTTATAAAATACCGGTCTGTATGTTGTTTGGAGTTGTTGAAACCTCGACTTTCTCGTGAGGAACAAAATACTAAATACCCCACAGGCAAACAACCCAAACGCCAAGAATCTTTAACGTATCTCACCACTCGGTGACCGCCACCACTCGATGACCACCCATCAAAATAAACACCGATATCACCACCCCCCCCCCTACATGTATTAATATATCCACAACAACGCGAATAACAAATAAAATTAGATATTAAATAACAATAGTAGAGCTCTAGTTTATATATTAATTAGTTAGGTTAGAAAAATAAACAAGTGTTGGGCTTAATAGTTCGGTGCTACAAGCGGGCTTGTTGTAAGCTTTATAATCTCTGGAGAAGAACTAACTCTAGAGATTGCTTATTAGTAAGGTAAGTCGTGGAGAAGACGGCTTAGTACTAGAGTAAGATAGAATAGAGTATATTAAACTATCTCTTAGTTTCAAGTGTGGCTTTAATCTAAAGATGTCACAAGCTGACGGCGCTCCTTGATTACCTAAAGGTGATCAAAGGTTCATACCTACCATAAGATAGAAGATACGAAGGTCTTAGGGAAAGCTTAGGTTAGAAGTAAATTATTATAGAAGATAGCTTAGTACTAGAGTGAGATAGAATACTATAGCAAGACTATCCCTTAGTTCTAAGTGTGGCTTTAGTTAGTGCCTGGGTCGGATAAAGGCTAAAGGTCCTTATAAGTAGTGAAGACAAAGTTAATCTATATTAATAGGCAAAGGGTTATTTAGTAAATATAGTATAAGATAACTAGAATGATACTTTATATTAAGTAGTATAGTAAAACTATAGCTAGTTTAATTATAAGTATAAGACTCTTAATCCTAAGGTAATAAGCGTCTTTATATATATGGTATATATCTAGTAATAGGTATAATAGTTCTCTGCCAAGGGGTTCCTATCACTTCTATCGGTTGTTGTGATAGTATTAATAGAAAGCTGCTAAGCCCGTTCTATCAATCCTATCGCTATTGGTCACGTGACTAGTGCCCTTAAGGTCTGGCCTGTGATCCTCCCATTCAATGAGTGTATATCCTGGGGCTGCGCCGCAGATGGTCTGTAACAAAAGACTAAAGGTCCTTATAAATAATAAAGATAATATTAACCTAAATAATAGATAAAGGGTATTCTTATAAAAGGGTAATGGAATAGTGCTTTATATTAAATAGTATAGTAAAACTATAACTAGTTTAATCATAAGTATAAGACTCTTAATCCTAAGGGTAATAAGTGTCTTTATATATATAGTATATATCTAATAATAGATATAGTAGTTCTTCGCCAAGAGCTTTCTATTATTCCTATCCCATCCCTTGATAGTATTGATAGGTGACTGCCAAGTCCTTCCTATTAGTCCTATTGTCCTGGTCACGTGACTAGTGTCTCCAAGGCCTGGTTCATGGCCTGTTTATCCAATAAGTGTGTAGTCTGAGGCTGCACTGCCGTAGGTCTGTAACATCATCCCCTCCTTTCTTATTGAGTCGTCCCAACGCGTGTATATATAAGCCTGGTTAGTCTCCCCCCTTCTGGCTCTCACTATCTTTTGCTGATATACTTTACCATAGCTCATTCTAAGGGTGTCTGTTACAGACCACCTGCGGCGCAGCCCCAGGATATACACTCATTGGACAGGAGGATCACGGGCCAGACCTTGAGGGCACTAGTCACGTGACTAATAGCGATAGGACTGATAGGACGGGCTTGGCAGCTTTCTATCAATATTATCACAATAACTAATAGGAGTGATAGGAACCCCTTGGTAGAGAACTATCATATCTATCACTAGATATATACTATATATATAAAGACACTTATTACCTTAGGATCAAGAGTTTTATATTCACGATCAAACTAGCTATAGTTTTACTATACTACTTAATATAAAGCACCATTCTATGTCACAAGCTGACGGCGCTCCTTGATTACCTAAAGGTGATCAGAGGTTCACACCTGCCGTAAGACAGAAGGTACGAAGGTCTTAGGGAAAGCTTGGGTTGGAAGTGAGTCGTTGTAGGAGACGGCTCGGTACCGGGGCGAGATAGAATACTATAGCGAGACTATCCCTCAGTTCCAAGTGTGGCTTCAGTCAGTGCCTGGGTCGGATGAAGGCTGAAGGTCCTTGTGAGCAGTGAAGACAAAGTTGACCTGCGTCAATGGGCAAAGGGGTATTCGGTGAATATAGTATAAGACAACTGGAATGGTGCTTTGTATTGAGCAGTATGGTAAAACTGTAGCTGGTTTGATCGCGAGTATAAGACTCTCGATCCTAAGGTAATGAGCGTCTTTATATACATGGTATATATCTAGTGATAGGTACGATAGTTCTCCGCCAAGGGGTCCCTATCACTCCTATCGGTTGTTGTGATAGTATCGATAGGAATCTGCCAAGCCCGTCCTATCGGTCCTATCGCTATTAGTCACGTGACTAGTGCCCTCAAGGTCTGGCCCGTGATCCTTCCGTCCAATGAGTGTATATCCTGGGGCTGCGCCGCAGGTGGTCTGTAACATTCTAGTTGTCTTATACTATATTTACTAAATAACCCTTTATCTATTAACGTAGATCAACTTTGTCTTTACTACTTATAAGGACCTTTAGCCTTTATCTGACCCAGGCACTAACTAAAGCCACACTTAGAACTGAGGGATAGTCTTACTATAGTATTCTATCTTACCCTAGTACCAAGCCGTCTCCTATAACGACTCACTTCTAACCTAAGCTTTCCCTAAGACCTTTATACCTTCTGTCTTATAGCAGGTATGAACCTCTAATTACCTTTAGGTAATTAAGGAGCGCTATTAGCTTGTGATATTAATCACCCCGACTTCACAGTTATAAAGAGGCATAATCAATTTTGACTTGATAGAGCCCCAACTTCACAATTATAAAGAGGTAAAAGTAATTTCGACTTACTAGAGCCACCATACTATCATAGACACTCCAACCTAAGTGACTTATGATTATATATCAAGAAGGACAAAACTAGGTACGTATCACCCTACCCCTGAGAGCATACTAACTACAGGAATATACCAAAGCAAGACGAGCCAATATGTCATCAGCAAGTGGACCAACCACCAACACCAACGCCTTGTTAGGGCAAATGCGACAGAAAATCATCGAGTTGGAAAAAAGAGTCGAGGAGCAACCCAATGATAAGCAGCTAGATAAGATCAACAAACAAGTAGAAGAACAACAAAGATTACTTGACAAATACAAAGATATCATCAAACAGACTTTAGAACAAGTTAAAAGTCACAAAGATGCCATCGACGTACTCAGAGTCAGAACCAGAGATAAGAGAACTACTATTAAGATCCACAAACCCAATACTTATAAAGGAGACCGCGCCAAACTGGAACACTTCTTAGGGGAATGCGACATCTATCTGGCAACTAAACCAGGAGTCACTAATATAGAAAAAGTTATCTTTACAGGATCCTATATGCGAGAGGCAGCGGCAACATGGTTCAAACTATATCTCAAGGACTAGACTAACACCAGAAGACGACCCATACTATACACAGATATACTCAACAGCTACACATGATTCAAACAAGTACTCAGACAATTCTTCAAAGACACCAACAGAAAGAGGACCCTATAACGCAAACTACAGGGACTCAGACAAACCAGGGACGCAGCGCAGTACGCAGCGCAACTATAGCAGATCTATCAAGAACTAGGAATCCATGACGATGAGCAGAAAATGGCTATATTCAAACAAGGACTAAAACCAGAAACCCAATACAAAACCATCAAGATGGGACCATACAACAGTTTCAAATGAATGGTTGAAATGGCAGTACGCATCAACAATCAACTCTACAATCTACAAAACATACAACAAGGGAAAAACACTTTTTGGAAAGGAAACAGTTACAAAGGATCAAACAAACGCAACGATTACGGCACCACACCCATGGAATTAAACGCCACCAAAAAACGACCTTATAATACCAAGAAAAGCAAAAGATACAGGGACAAGAAGCTATGTTTCTACTATGAGAAACCCAGACATATCACAAAGGACTACAGGAAGAAACAAGGGGATACCAAGAAACACCTCAACGCTACCACTACGTCTAAAACTAGTAGCAACAAGAAGGAGCAAGGTAGAGGAGGCTACTAAGACTCACAGAACATCAGATAATACCTTAGGGCAATAAGGGAAGTCACCTATCTATAGCCACCAAAAGACGAACTCAACGACACATACAAATAAGTACCTAATATATAGCAACAACAAGGATGGCAGAAACAGGATGAACGGATTGAACAAGGAAAATAACCAGTATTGATACAACAGAACGCGACGATAGGACAATGAACATACAATCCAGCAACAAGCCCAAACCAAGGAATTGTGACACCAGAACAAACAGACTTGGAAGGAGAAACTGAATCAGAATACAAAGATACGCAGGAAACGAACAATTGGGAAAACAAAGCACTATAAATAATGTTCAAAGACAGTCACAAACTACTATGAGAACAAAGAGAGAAATGTGATAACCAGATACCCAATGAACATTGGACAGTGTGTGAAGAAAAAGGACTATATTTCAGACACAATAAGGAAAAACAAATGGAAGTCAGAGACCCCAGGCACCCATGCTATGACGAATACGGGTGGGACTGCCACTACAAATACCACATCTCTAAAGAAACATGGAAATCAGGACAAAGATTTCATTACAGAAACTGTATAAAATGCCCATTGTGCAGAGACAGCAAGAACATCCACTAGAGGTATTATATAGACAAGGAGTGTCTGGTACACATCAACAAATACTCAGGATGGATAGATGGAAAAAGTGTCAATATAATGGACCAAGAAAACATAACGCCACACGAATGACTGGAAGTCTTATACTAGAAAACAGGCAAACAAATCACTGTGTAGTATGAAGGATATACCATATAGTTTGAAGGAAAAGCGGCAA